CCACGTGTCATACAGATTTGGACCTGCTCGGTGACAGACAGGGTGTATGGAGACTTGACACGCTGACCCTTCGACTGCATAGCCTTGCGAGATTGGACGAACTTGTCGAAAGACTCGCCACCAATAGGGTACTGCTCGTCGAAATCGGCGATCTCTTTCTGAAGCTCCTTGTACGCCGCACTGTTTTTCCAAGCAGTGGCGAACTCGTCGGGGGTACGGGGAACCATGTTCTCAAAGCCAGGCTTGACAATTCGCTCAGCGGGGCTGGTAAGAGAGGTCAGGAAATCGGCGGTAGTCTGGCGCTCGGGACATTGGAAGCCCATATTGGTGAAGAATTCCTTGGCCTCGGTGGTGCGGCCGAAGTAGATCTGTCGGCCCTCGTAAAGCACAGTCACTTTGTCGAAGACGTCGTAGGCACTCTGAGATGCCTGGTAGATAGCAACGGCACAGGTGGTGCCCGAGTACTTGGACATCAAGTTCAGTGTCTTACAGAACTCCAAGGCATTGGCACTGTCCAGACCACGGGTACTGTTATCCCAACATTGGAGAGGGCTGCCGCAGAGGGTGGCCTCGGCGATACTGACACGCTTCCGCTCACCACCTGAGACACCACGGATGAAATCGTTACCGACCTGGGTGTTGATAGTGTGCGTAAGACCAAGCATAGCCATGACGACATCACGCATGTGCTCTGCGTACTGATCACGACTGACGCCCGGCAAACGGTTGCGCGGGGCACGAGCCATAGCAGCAAACTTCAAAGTATTTCCCACAGAAAGCTGAGGGAAATGCACATCGGTTTCGGCAGTGTAGATGGCCTCACCACGGAACTGGCTGCGCATCTGCTTATCAGAGATTCCTTGGTAGTTCATGTGAGAGTTGGCGTCCTTGAAGATACCGTTCATCTCTCCTGCAATGGTCTTCAAGAAAGTCGAACAGCCGGATCCAGGACGGCCGAGAACGACCAGCATCTCGCCGCTCTTAATGAGACCATCGAAGTCGCTGAGGATCTGAATCTTCTGCTTGCCAGTGCCGGTCATCGTACGGAACAAGGCACCAATCTGCAGGACGGAGTTGGCCACATCCTTTTGGTAATCCGTGGGACTGCCAAATCCGTGCACACTGAGGTTTTTGAATCCCAGGCCAGCCTGACGCCTCGGGTATCGTTCTGGGTCGCGGGATTGGATGGCAAGGAGGTTCTTCATCCAATTCTTGGCCTTGAAGTTTTCACCGTGAGGGTTGAGAGTTGAATCCTCTTGGGTTTCGATGAAAGGGTTCTCTGCATGTTGGGTTGAGACGGAGAAGCGTGTTGACTGGCGGGTGAGTTGCCGGGCTAGGCGGGTGACCTCGACCTCGGTGTCCTCCTCGTTGCTGATCTCGCTCTTCTCATTAGCGGTGTCATCGGTGCTCACGCTGGCGGTGGGGTCATGGCGGCGAGCTTCCATGTTGGCGACATGGGATTCCTGGTTTTGGGTGCCGGTGCTGTTGGGATTCAATGTCCCGAGAAGCGACATGGTGACCTTCCAGCACGGTCACTGTCGGATTGATAAGGGATGAGACTGATTAAGTGGGGTATTATATCTAGAAAAGATGAATAGAAGAGATCACCATCAACGGGATGGGTATAAAGATTGTACAAATATTAGGGTTCAAGTAAAAAAGAAAACAAAAGAAGGAAAGGCAATGAGCAAACAATCTGAATTAAGTATTATGAAAAAACAAGAAAATAAAAAAGAGATCAAAAGATCTGGAGATCGGGACTCGGAAAGGTTGTATCCTTTGCCCGGAAAGAAAATAAAAACGGGGACTCCCGTCTAAACAGAGACCCCGGGGCGGAGCACTGATGTTTCCGGAGATTTCATGGAATTTTCGTTTCGGATTTTTAAGGCCTCTAGCCCTTGGTGGCTTATTGCCAAGAAACAACACGGCTATATCTCTTTATTAGGGTGATGGTCATCTTGGATCTCTACACGAAAGTAATACGAATGCGATGTATGACCCTATCCTGCATGTACTTGATACTTCCATATGACAGCTAAACAAGGGATAAATGTCCGATATATGATGTATATGCCCATGTTCTAATGTTCTACACTGGTCATACATCCTACACGTGTCCAGGTAAGCAAGGTTCCAGAAGGAAGGGTCCCGAGGTCGGGACCACTGCTATCCGTTCCACACAGGGCTCGGATGTCCGGGTGAGGTGCATCCGGGCTGACTCAGCCATTCCTGGACCTTAGGTTAACGCTAAACGGCGTATCACTTTCCAAAGTTGGGAACTTTGGAATGTTCCAAGGTTGGGATTCATCTTATCTCCGTTCCTTAACTCCCGGAGTCCCCGTTCTTTGTACTTTCAAGGCTGACCTCCTTAACCCCCTAATTATCTTAGGTTATGAATGGACCAAATTCCGGCCGATTTCGTCCGAGTCAAGGAGTCAAAGAGTCTCCGATATTGAAATTCCTTGGAAATCTCACGCAAGATGTGGCACTGTCAGATATGTGCCCGTGCACTCCTTTACATGGGGCTGAATATCAGCCCCATGGTCCATTGGTCCTTCGGACGAGCCTAACCAGAAAGACGCCAGGCTGCAATGATGTTTACGCCATGCCAAATACGGAGAATATTCGGTTAAGCAGGCAATTTCAAAATCTGACCAGAGTGTAAGTTCAGCCACGCAGGGAAAAGTGAAATATCGAATCATAATAATCTTAAATTGTACATTGGATATTGTAAAACAAAACCAACAGAGCGGTGTCAGTCGTGGCCCAAGGAACCCACAAAAGCGGCATTTGAATCATGGGAGATCAGTCATATTCTCAAGACATGTCGGTCACAGCCTCGTCATCATCTGCATCTTCATCCTCATCGATCAGTTCCACCAACAGATTGCCACCACGTCCAATTTTATCTCTGATTGACCCTCCCTCATTAACGGGATACACCACCCGAGGCATCGGTGAGACCAGTCGAAATCCGTATTGGTGCACAAACCCCTCGGGTGCACTCGCCACCGGACGCTGTGTATCCTCCTCCTGCAAGCTCTCGTAGCACTCCACCACCGCGTAGATCTCTTCAATGTCCGCATCGGGCGTAAACTTGCGCATGATACGCTCGCCCGACGGGAGCCGCACGCTAATACGAACGGCATCCTTGACATCTGGTCCGGGCTCCGCGCTAAGCGATTGTCCGCGCCAAAGCTTCCACTGGGCGAGATTGCGGCGCCGATACTCCTCGGCCGCCTGTCGGCCAGCGGCTTCCTGTTCTTCGCGTTGGCGTTCCATCTCCGCTTCCCGGCGCTGGCGCGCCCGTTCACGGTCGATCGCCAGCGACCGCTCGTAGGCCGAGTCTTGCTCTTCGCGGAGGCTGCGCGAGGCTTGTTGCTCCGCTCGTGAAGATCGGAGTCGCTCCAGGGGCTCGCTGTTAGATGTCACGACTGCCCGGAGCTTGTTCATGACCTCGGATGGCGTGGTGAGACCTGCGATCCGTCCTACAACAGACATGGCGGTTGACGAAACATTTGGGGTATGGACGATGACCGCTGCGAAGGGGAATTTAGTGCATTTCAATGAGTTGGCAACTTGGTATGCCTCGGAGTCTCGCACGTTGCCGCCCCACACCAAGAGGTTGTTCTGGGGGTCGTTGATGAATTCCACGATCTCAGGTGCCAGCAGGGTATAACGGACCCAGCTGTCTGTATCGTCGTGCTCTGGAGATAAGAGAATGACCACGAGGTACTTCAAGTCGCGATGGGCTTTCTCCAGCGCCATGTTGTATCCGTTCTCCATGAACGGAATCGGATTAGATTCAAATTCTTCCTCAAACTCGCGGATAAAGCGAGCGGCAGTATCCTTGGGGCCGAGGGATCGACGGCCAGTGGTATTCCGGCGAGCGCCTTGCAGTGCAGGGTTCGCCGTCCTGTTGAACAAGCGTGGCAAGAAAGGGAAGAGGACACCAAAGAGGCGGAATGAACTGCAGAGGAGTCGATACACCAAATTGAATGGAGTGAGAAGTAGACTAAGAATGAACGGAGGTCGGTAGATTGGCTGGTCTCCTGGTTGTGTGTCAACTCGTGGAGCCAGATCTGTAGCTGGGGCACGAGCAACTTGCGACAAGTGTTCGGTCAAATCGTCAGTCATTAAATTCTGGGTTCGGCGGTTGTCTTGGGGAGGAGGCGGGCGATCCAAGGCAGCGCGAGCTTCTTCAACGGGATCTGGGCCTTCGCCATCAAAGAACTTGGATATGGCAATCTATCATGCGGGGATCAGTTAAACTTTCATGTGCCTGGCGAGAAGTCGGGCAAGATAGACCAACCTGCACATTCCATTGCGACCGGCGTAGTAGGGGAATTGCCTCTGAAGGTTCCTGGCTGGTGACAGCCATATACATTTCTAGCGTAGACTTCTCGCTATCGGAAAGCTGGTCCAGGTCAACCTCCGGTTGTGACATCTTGTTGTAGAAAGGCCGTAAGCCATAAACTCAGGGATGTCGATTGTGTCAAAAGAGAGAAAAGATAAGAGCCATGAAAAGGAATATCATTTGGGGTTGGTCATTGAGCACGTGCAATAGAGTAGAATAGTTATGTCCACGGATGTGACGTCGAAGCTCTAAGTGGCCTCAAGGTGAAGCTCTCATTGATGTCCTGACCGCCTGGTCCGTGCGTATCCCCCTTCACTCGGGTTCGTTTCTCGCCCCGCGTCTTCATTTCCATCAGTTCTGTCGCTCTCAATCATTCCTTGGGATGAGAGACGACTTTGGTCTTATCCTTATATTTCATTCATGCCTATTGTTATCGGCTGAGATACCACCCGACGTCCGTGGGCTCTCCCGGAATTGACCCGCCGCCAATCGCGTGGACTATTGGTGACTTGAATTTATATAGGATCAAAGCAGGGGAATGCGGTTTTCACCCAATAGCATCCTTTGTTCCCTACCGAGTCCGGTTTCAATGGGGATCTTCTTGCGCTGATTCGCACCATCAAGTGGGTATCAGCCAGATATCATGGCGTCTGCCGGAAAGCCTCCATTGGAGGATGCTCGTCGGACGACAGGATCACCGAAAATGAAAAGCCGCGGTGAGTGTGATTCGAAGTCAAAGGCTGGCATGTCACTTCCATTTCAGGTCTGAAATGGGCAAGCTGGAGATAAATGCCGAATTTGATACGGACAGAGTTGCTGACAACAATGATTGTGATTGATAGAGAATGCGAAAGACACATTGTGCCGCAATGTGACCATCTATGGGCGATGCCGCTATGAAGACAAAGGTATTAGCGAACCTTGATCACGGCCAGCATGGGTGGTGAAGCTAATTTGGAACTCTTGTATCCAGGTTGTGCTTTCAATCATGACCCGTCGAAGCTCAATGCAAACCAATCGGACAGGTGCGATGAAATCTTGGTCTTTAGACGAAAAAAGACAAAATTTGCTGACAAGGACTGTCTCGTTTGATAGCAAGAAGCGATTCAATGTCGACTCACCTAGTTTTACCCCATCCTTGCTGTCTGGGAACGGTGTATCAGCACCAAAGAAGTCCACCGCTATATCTCCGAAAGCTGCCAGTGCGGCTCCTTTTCAACCTCGAACAACATCATCACGTATGTGCTTTGTGGGAAGAGAGGAAGGTTGCAAAGGCATCCGCTGACGTTAGAAAAAAAGGCTCCAACACGAGTACACCAACAACGCGGTCAGAAGCAGTCCAAGATTGGGCGGTAGCCGATGTGCAGGAATTTGTTCCCCAGGGCTTTGAGCACGTGGTCAGTCGTCCCTGCCCTCTAGGGCTATTATTCGATTCCCCTCCCCTCGTACTGTTGTTGTTTTCTTAACCATCCCAATCTCCCTCTGCATTGGCCGTATTATTATCATCATCTCTATCATCGCGATGGTGCTGGGTGGCTTGTCTGCTCTGGCAGCGGAATATGATCCAGGCCGTGAACCCCGCCAGTACTTCACCTCTCGTCTGCCTCAGCGTCATATCCCCCAGCACTTCAGCGCTATTCTGAACCATCGTGCTAATGTTCCCACCCAGACACCTCTTCAGGGCAATGGAAACGGAGGAATCACCCCTACGGGTGCATTTGATCCTTTTGTGACTACCCCAACTCCCATGACTCCTGGTGGCCCTGTTTCTGCCAATCCTTACTCTCATGACCCTACTGGCGCGATGGGAGGCGCTTTCTTTGCAAACCAAACTGGATTCCAGCAACCGGTACGTTTGTATCCAATGGATCGTTCTCTTTGTTGCTTTGAATGAGCTCTGACCGTCCGATAGATTCAGTACCATCTTTATGCCCCAATTGGCCCTCACAGCCAGAACACATTGGGATACCAGCGCAACGTGCATGATCTCTTTATCCCCAATGACTTGCGAGAAGAACTGCAAAAGAAATCTGCAGCTACTCTTCAAACTCTACCTAGTATGTTGGACCACAATTAGCAATAATTTGTAGTCTTGCTGACGAACTTGAAGACACCCAACTCCCTGCCCAGGTCGACTACTTCCATTCCCTTGTCCCTCTGGATCTCAGTCATCAGAAGAATGCTGCGACCTTTGGCTACCCGAGCTGGATCTACAAGGCCCAGTCTAGCAAAGATGGCACTTTTTACGCTCTTCGCAGACTTGAGGGTATGACAACCTCCCCGTCTCTTTTTTTATAGCTTCAAACTAATATTAATAGGTTTCCGCCTCACCAATGAGAAGGCTATCCGCTCCGTGCAAGCCTGGAAGCGCGTCTGCAACGCCAGTGTGGTGACCATTCACGACGCGTTCACTAGCCGCAGCTTCCAAGACAGTTCTTTGATCTTTGTGACCGACTATCACCCACTGTCCAAGACACTTGCAGACCAACATCTGAACGCTGGAACCCGCTTCCCAGGCCGCCACACCAATGCTCATATTCCAGAGCAAGTTCTCTGGGGCTACATGACCCAGATCGCCAATGGGCTCAAGGCGATTCACGCCAATGGTCTTGCTGCCCGAGTGCTTGAGCCTAGCAAGGTTTTGCTTACCGCTAAGACACGTGTCCGCATCAACGCCTGCGCTATCCTTGATGTGGTGCAGTTCGATACCCAGCGGACTATGGCTGACCTCCAGCGACAAGATCTAGTCAACTTTGGCCAAATGATTCTCACCCTTGGCGCCAACTCGCCCACTGTCATCCACAACCCCACCAAAGCTATGGAGCATTTCACTCGCGCGTACAGCCCTCAGTTGAAGAACTCTGTGTTCTGGCTGTTGAATGGACTGCAGAAGGATCAGGAGCGAACCATCGACACTTTTATCACTGGCATCTCATCCCAGCTGATGTCGACTTTTGATTCGGCACTCCACCTGGATGATCAGCTGAACTCTGATCTCGGCCGTGAGTTGGAGAATGGACGAATTGTGCGCCTGATGGGCAAACTCGGCTCCATCAATGAACGCCCTGAATATGAACTTGACCCGCGCTGGTCGGAGAGCGGGGAACGCTACTTCCTGAAGCTTTTCCGCGATTATGTCTTCCACTCGGTTGATAGCCAAGGTGAACCGGTGGTTGATCTTGGCCATATGCTCACTTGTTTGAACAAGCTCGATGCAGGAACTGACGAGAAGATCCATTTGGTCAGTCGCGACGAGCAGAGTTCCTTCATTGTCAGCTACAAGGAGGTCAAGAAAGCTCTCGAGTCTTCCTTCCAGGCTCTGATGAAGCCCGCTAGACGAATGCACTAGCTAGTCTTCGGCACATTTTACATGTGGTAATGGTTATGGTTTCTGGCTGCTTGCTGCTTGCTATTTTTGACCACCTGTTTTATGCTCATGTCTCTGGTTTGGCAGGCTGCCAACTAAAGGCATTCGCCCAGGTGTTAACTCAAGGGTTACATCTTTTGTTTAATTTGCAAGCACCGATCTCGCTCGCCACCGTTATTGAAACACAAACATAAGAATGAAAAAATTCAAATTGCTTTCCTTGACCGTAAGCCTGTAGACATCCCGAGGTCTCTCATAGTTCACCGCGACTCACTCCATAGGCACAACCATCCAACCTCTCCACAAGTTCCTCAATCATCATTTCTTCCCTATCTTCATCTACATCTTTATCCTGAATCTTCCTCGGCGGAACCAACAGTCGATCCAAAACATGCACCACCCCATCCCTCGCCAACAAATCCAATGGTCCAACCCTACCAAACCCATTAACCTGCATATCAACCTCACCAAACCCCTTCTTAACATCAATCCCCAACTCCCTCTTCTTCAACAGAGTCCAAAGCCGCACATTCGCATACTCTTCCTCTAGCCCACCAAAACACCCACCCTTACCCTTGCCCTCGTGTCCATTCCCACTATCATGCCCAGAAAACAAGAGATGAGCCTTCCCATTACTACTATACAAGACATCCGAGTACAGCGTCCGATTCGGCACAAGATGATACTGCATCAGCGCACGCAAACACCCCTCACCCTGCCGCGAGAAAAGAAACCGATTAGCACGCTCCCCGAGCCGTCTAAACGCAGCGTTCGTGGGCGCGAAGGTTGTTCCGCCCTTTCGCTGCGCCGGGTCAAGATTGGAAGCGAGTTTCGTGCGTGCTAGCGCCAGCGTGAAGGTGCTGAGGTCGGCCGGTGCTTGATGCAGCACTGTGCGTGTCTCTGGGGGTGGGTGCAGGGGACTGGTTATTAGGTGGATTATGCCGTTTTTGGTTTTCTGGGTGAGGTTAGTATGTACATACACATTCTACAAGGGATATTGATGTTGATCTTCTACTTACCATATCAGCTCCAACAACCCTACTCCTCCGGTTCAACGTCACTCCGTCACCGTGCTCCCGAACAACAATCCTCTGCGGTAGTTTCGATTCCAAAGCTGGCTCTGTGAGCTTCGTCGGTAGCGTCCCGTGGCCCGCGATATGCTCGATGGACAATCGACCAGGCAGAATATGATACCGCAGCAAGCTGGATATGAACTTGGGACTGGGGCTATTTCGTCCTCGTGGAAGTCCCTCTAGGGCTTCGTTCGTCAGCGCGAAGAAGGTGTGGTTTGCTGTCGTGCTGTTAAGGATCTCGATCAAGTCTTTATTGCCGGCGATGAGCTCGGCGAGTTGGGATGTATGCTCGTTTGTTTTGATGAGCTCCCAGGTTGTTTTGTCTGAGTGGCAGAGCGGGCCTGGACAGGCATCGATTGGTTGGTGGTGTCGGTGTCTGTCGCATGGTCTGCCGTTGCGGTCGTATCTGCATTCTCCGTGTCTGGGGTGTGGAGGGTAGCGTCTGTCTTCGTCGTCGTCTCGGTGTCCAGGCCATCCCCCATATCTGGGGCGATCACCACCGGGCCATCTCCCGTGTGGATCTTCGTCGTATCCGGGCCAATCGCCGTGTCTAGGATATCCATCATCATCACGCCAGTCCCCATCTTTTCCCCAGCCTCTATGTTCATCCGGAGACATGCCCAGCAGGCTCATCTCACCATCTGCTTTAGACAAATGATCATTTGCAGCTGTGAGAGTCTCAGAGACTATCTCTGCAAGGATACTCTCATCGGGGATGACAATGGCCGAAGCCAATGGAGCCGCCACAGACAAGAAAAGGTAAGTGGAACGCATAGTGCCGATATCGACAGGGAAATCGGAGCCAAATGCAGATGCTCGATCAAGCCATAGTGATGTACCTATATAGACGCAAAGGCCTCCCTCGTCGAACCCCTAAACTGTCTTGGTGTCTGGTTGTACCAGTGTATAAAATCGACCAAACTACGTCGAATAGCCTAGATGCAACCTGTTCAGTCCTCGCTAGTCCGGTCGTCATACGGTGCACAAACTCGAAAGACAACTTGGATAAATAAAAGGACCGGTCATTGCTCAGAACATGTTACATATTCCAATCAAGACCAGAAACCAGCGGAATACAGGCATGCGGGTTATATTTGGCAGTCTCAGCTTCGTCGGGATCTTGTATTCACATGCAAGTTTGATTCTCTTGTTGGTATGCAACGAAAACTGGGCAGTCTTGGAAGAAATGGTAATAGTTCCTAGCCAAACTCATACACTGATCTTTCTCACATACACTTTTCTTTCTCGTAATAGCATTTAATCCAGGTCTGGCACAGGCAGCCCATTGACAATCTTGACTTTCCGACCTAGCTTATCCAGCGCGACTTTGGAGTTATGCGCACGCAACTTGCTCGTCTCTTCGTCGGACACAAGCACAAAGTCATATGTGAGGAGAGGGTGGCCCTCGGGAACGTTATATTTCTTAGCGATCTCGGCGTCGGCCTTACCAATGTCCACAGTCAAGGAATCCTTTACGCCGAAGACTGCGTCAGATGTTTCGTAAGGGTCATTGCGGAGGTAGAGAGCGCTGGGATCAAGTTAGCATGATATATTCCACAACCTGGGTCAAAAACAATAGGAAAAACATACGTAATCAAGTGATCATAACCCTCCTTCTCGAACATAAAGTGCATATGCGAAGGCCGATACGGATGCCGATGCAACTTCTTCAACAACCTCCCAACAGGCCCATCATGCGGAATAGGATACGGCACTGGCGTAATAGCCTTAAACCAAAAGACGCCCTGTTCATCAGAGCGCATAATACACCTCCCATCCGGGCCCTCTCTTCCCGCATACTGGACATCATAATGTCCCGTAGAATCCGTCTCCCAGATATCAATCTTGACATCATGCACAGGGTTCCCCCGCAAATCCCGCAGCGTACAAACAACCAACAAGGGCTCGCCTTTAGGATCATGCGACATGGAATCGCCTGCGGGCATTTCCTCTGCGTCGTGCGTGTGGAAGGGACCCAGCACTGTTCCCTCTGTGGAGCCCTTGGGCTTGGGGTGGTCGATTGAGTCGACGAGGATTGATAGGCCTAGCACGTCGGACAGCAGGATGTATTCTTGTCGCACGTCTGTGCAGATCTGGCCTACTTCTGTCAGGAAGCGGAGGCCGGTCATCCATTCGTCGCTGCTGAGGCGGGTTTCGCGGGCGAAGTCGTGGAGGTGGGTTACTAGGCGTTCGAGGATGTATTTCATGCGCTCATCTTCGCAGAGACTGTTGATTGTGATTACGTTGTCCGTGATGTTGTCCACGGTTTGGTCTTTCATTGGCGGGATCTTGACTTTGGAGGGGTCCATTGTGGGCTGTAGGTTTGTAGTTTTGTAGGTATATAGAGAGGAATAGTAAGATAGTGAATGGTTTAGAGCTACAATCCGGGGTCAAGCTGTTTATATGTTATAGAAGTTGCCCAGGTGGTGGGGTGTGGTTATTACTTTCCCCAAGGAGATACAAGTTCGCTCAATCAATCAGAAGCTCCCGAATGGAAACCTTGGAATGGTTTTCACCCCGCAACCCCCACTTAGTGCCCCCGTCGGATGTAAGATCGGATTTATATGCCGGCTTGTGGTTAACTATACTATAGGGGAAAACTATCCGATGGATGTCTTTAGGGCAGAGTATATATCCGGATGTCTTGGTTAAGCATCTAATCGTGGGGTAATATATAAGGTCTAGTTATAGTGATACTAGTACTAAGGAATAGTTAGCCAATATTAAACAAAGTGCCAAGTAAATATCCAGTGTACACATAAAGGAAAAAATGACAAGTCAAGAACTTGGCTTGATTAATGCGCCATAGCACTAACGTAGAGCTTAAGTCATTCTATATCTCGAGAATCGGAGAGGTAGATGATGTTTACATGGTCATTTGATATCGAGAGAAGGCGATAAATGTTTAAATGGAAGAAGCAAAAAGAAAAAAAGAACGCTAACCAGAGGGATATCTAACATAGTACTCCCACGCCCAACCCATTTTGCCAACGGATATGTAAAAACAAAAAAGAAACTACATATACACAAATCAATAGAGAAGCTAATACTTTACGCATGCACCATACGTCGATCACGATCACGATCACGACCACGATCACGACCACGATCAGCCTCCCGCTCACGTTCACGTTCTCGGTCATAAGCACCATCACCAGAAACCGGAGCCGGGCCTGGAGGAGGAAGAACAGGGGCACCACCGCCCATACCTGGGTGTTCGCCAGCGCGCTCCGCACCACGCTCCCTCTCCTGTACAGCCGCGGCAACACGTGTGTGATGATCCACAGTATCCAAAATAGCCTGTCTGAGCCGCTGATTGGCATCGGGATCCTCATCCTCGGGGCGATCCACGACACGACCAGTAGAGATATGAGGGCGGTCCCTTTTCTCTGTATCACTTGCTGCCCGTCGCGGCGAGTTATCATTTGAAGGAAGCTCCATCGGAACCGCAGACCCAGGAGCCGGGTTGGGGGCGGAGGGTGCCGATTCGCGTCGGTTTTGGTAGTAGTAGGCGTGGACCTCGGGTTCAAAGGGCGGTTCTCGGCGATGTTCGCGCTCAGCGGAGATCGGGGGTAGTGGACCCATACCGAATTGGGGCGGGGTAAGATTTGAGCTGGAGCGGTCGTTGTCGGGGCGCTCGTTAGATACCGTTGATATCGTTAGTCCCGCCCGCATTGCGGTGACCTCGTCTTCTTTGACGTCGCGCCAGGAGCACTTGGCGTGTTTCTTTGTGCAGCCAACGCAGGCTGTGAGGTTCTTGAGGCAGTCCATGTGGAGGCGGCGGCAGCGGTCGCAGGGTGGGATTATGCGCTCGCCGCGCTGGAGCTCTTCCATGCGGGCTATCATTTCGAGCTTAAACGGGCCTCCGTCGTCTTTTTCTTGGTGGATTGATTTTGGCGGCGGGAGGAGAGAGGATGGGGTGCTTGGGATGGCGACTGCGGTGGTTGCCGTCGCGGGGTTGTAGAGACTGTAGTCTGCTGGGTCGGAGGCACGAGGCCGAGGGAGTGGTGGAGGGTTGACGGGGGCTGTTGCGTCGTCATAGCCACGGGCATGACGGTCAGCCGTTGTGAAAAATCTCTTCATCAAGTCTGCACGGGTTGTTGGGGAGGCACCTTTGATCGATTGCCCGTTGATCATGGTGACATTATCGGTGGATTGTGAGAACATGAATTGGGATGATAGAGGGTTGTTCTCCTCGGTGTGTTCTCCTTCCGGACGATGAGTGTTGACAGCGACGAAACCAGACGGAGAAGGGTGAGATGATCCATGGCCATTTCCTGGGCCTTGACCGTTGGCATCGCGCCAGATTTCGGTGACATTTCGGGATTGCGCATGTAAAGTAGCATCGTTCTCTCGTCGGGTGACAATAGCATTGCGGCGATTCTTCAAACGATGATTAAGCTGTCTCGCTCGAGCAGAAACTAAACACACAAAGATTGTCAGTGAACACCTCCTAAGCTGATATATGTATACAGTGATTGCTTACCTTGATCAGCCATCTGGATTATATGATGCAAGTTCTTCTCAAGAATCTCCAGCGCGCCCAGCTCCTTTTCCTCATCCTCGATGATAGGCTGGGGCGGGATCATCTTCTGTGGCATGCCGGAAGCAATCAAAACGAAATCCTCCTCGCTGATTTCCACACGACACTGCTTGGTATAGAACTGGCAGACTCGCACGCCGTTGCGCGATTTCTCCAGATTGAACTGCTCAGGCTTGCTCTTTGCGAATTCGACCACATCGAGCCAAGTCACCGTGGGTCCGTCTTTGCCATGGGATTTCAACACTTGCGGCGGTCCATCGAACAGGCGCTCGAAGCGCTTGATCAAGATCGGACCGAGCGGGCATGCGCCTAGATTTCCAGCGATGCTCTCGTGGCGGTGTAGAACGCCGTCGTATTCGCCGAGCAGATGGATGATCGCGGGCATGGTATCATCGATGGAGACGAGCGGTAGGTTGTCAGGGTATTGCCGTGCCAAATAGTTTATCTGCAGGTGGTTCGAGTGCGTCTTGGGCACTTTCGATGACATGCCTTGATCGGCGGTGGCGGTGGGAGACCGAGGCCGTTTGTGAGACGACTCCGTCGTTGGGGCGTGGGATTCCATTGTGGGTGGAGGGGGGTGAGACCCTATGTACACCCTGGAGCTGGTTTGGGATGTGGTGGAAAGAGATTGGAGACTGGAAGGAAAGAGAGACGTCGCGGAGTGTGTTCAGATAAAGGCGCGAAGTATGAAAGTTGCGCGGAGATGAACCGGACTTGCGCGGAGAGAAACCGGCAGGTAACTCCTTTTATAAGACTCAAGCTACATCCATGAAGGTGAAGAAATGGAAAGAGAAAAGTGTAGGGCGCCGACAGAGGGGGAACGGAACAGCGCACGGGGAGTGGAGAGGAAAAACGTGATCTGTGTTTCCGTTGGGGGGTCCCGGGACTTGGAGCATCTCTTTTATTTTATTTTTGTTTTATTTTATTTTTTCTCTATGATTGACGGATAGTGTTACAGCAGAAATTCCATTGCCAACTCGCACAATGTGAAGATCTTCCACTAAAGTACCGTACCTCGTCACCTGGAGTCCTCAGCGGAGTCCCGCCGGAGGGTTCCGCTGGCCTACGATACGCTGGTTAAACAGGTGTACGACAGTCACGCCTTGCCTATAGTCTCACATATCTTATATGCAGAGAGAAGTCTACGTACATATGTAATAACAGCCCCAGATCATTCTATAGGTCCTTCTTATCTCTCGATCACCCAAAATTAAGCCTTGAGCCTTGTGGGGAGGTCTTTCGCTGATGCCTGAACGGGCCAGCGGGCTGAAACATTTGGGTCCCGGGAGCTCGGAGGGAATCACAATGATAATCATCTGGCCTAGAATCAAATTACCTGAAAAAAATAGCAAAGAGATACATAAATAATGTACAAAAGTACTTTGAACATGTAATGGAGAACTTGAAGGAATGTCAATAGCGTTCAACATTGAAATGTTCAAATCAAAATAAGATACCCATAATCTAGCTGTAAAATACCTCCGAGCGGGATCCCTCGTGGCTGTCAAATGCAATAATACAGTGGTAATTGGTAATCTCCGTACCAAGGCGGACTCTCGACTTCCGACTTCCACTATGCCTGAGGCCAGTCTCCACCTAAAAATCCCTCATATACGCGTCCACCTTGCTTGTACTCTTCCGCTATCCCCCCATACAACGGAGATACAGAGATACCCCAAGTCTGTCCATAGATCCGATATATTGCCTCCCTTTATTATCTTCCTTCCATTTTCTCAATCCCTCAATTTACACAGGCCATGTCTGAACGAGGCTCATTCCGAGGCGGAGGCGGTCGCGGTCGTGGAGGCCGCGGCGGCCAGGGCCAGCAGAAAAGTGGCGGTGGTGGCGGTGCACAGGAGAAGCCCAAAAAGGAAAACATCTTGGACCTCAACAAGTACATGGACAAGGAGGTTCAAGTGAAGTTCAATGGTGGTCGCGAGGGTATGTTGGACTGATCTCTTCTCATATATCGCATTTTATTTTTGCGTTCCCTTCTACTTTCGATCTTTGATGACTTCTCATCGCCATCCATGAACTATATATGCTAACTCTAATAACAGTCACCGGTACACTCAAGGGTTATGACCAGCTGATGAACCTGGTCCTCGACAACGTTAAGGAGACCATGCGTGGTGAGTCCCAAGTTTCTTACTTGAATCTAGTCTCTGCTTCTTCTTATATACTAACTTCCACAGATGAGGAGGGCAACACTACCACCCGCTCAATGGGTCTGATCGTCGCCCGTGGTACTTTGATCGTACTGATCTCCCCCGCTGACGGTAGTGAGGAGATCCCCAACCCTTTCTTGCAAGCAGAAGAGTAAAAAAAAAAAGGCACTCTTTCTCACGTATTATCTTCTTTCCGGGTCTCATTCATTCCGGGCCTAGGTGTGATTTCGGGAAATCGACATCCTGGGTCTGATTGGAGCTTCAAAACACTACACACCTTAATGTCCCACTGGCTTTCGGCGTGCGCCGGAACATACGCTCATCAGTAGCTACGAAGGGAACGAACGCAATATGATGGTTTCGCTTTTTTCTTTCTGTCGACTTGGAATGTGCATGGTAGGACTGCTACTGTTGTGGTGCAGTTCTGTCTATCGTCTCTCTTTTCTTTTCACGAAAGAGGATGAATTTGGGGATCGGCTCATGATACATAGCGCGAAAACCAAACTAAGATATAACCAAAAAAAGAATAACAAAGTCAACAAGAAAGCTATCCAAGCAAACTGCGTAGGTATCATAGATTAAAAGCCAACATAACATATTCACAATCCTGTATACTCCCCCTGATCACCGATCTACTGGCCCACTTCCCCAGATGTAGGCCCCACCGTATCTCCAAACTCAGCAGAGTCATCAGAAGCACCATCACTGGGGTCATCAGTTGGCAAGGAAACCTGCCGCGGCTCTGCATCCTTCAACCTTCTCACACCCTCTTCCTCCTCGACCCAGGGCCCGACCTTCTCCATACCATCGATATACTCGGCACCAATGCGCAGATTCAGACCCGCGCTAAGGGCACGCTCGATGCGCGTCTCGCGAGTCTGCGATACAAGGGTGCGGAAAACGTGCACGAAGAAGCCGCCGAGAATATCAACGCTCCAGTCCTCCGGAACAAGATCGAGGACTTCACGGACATCGAACCATGCAGCGAAGCGCGCGAGGAGATCGCTTGTACGCTCGATGCGGTCTGACAGATCCTCAATGTGCAGGAACTCGTCGAGTAGGTGGCGGAAGAGCGTTGACTGTAGGGTGTAGTCTGCTAGTTCTGGCGGGGTGCCTGTTGAAGAGGAAGAAGAGCTGCGCGGGCCGCCGAAGAGACAGTAGCGGATTGCGGAGTCGTAGTCGCCTAGCCCGTGTGTGAGGAGACGGAGGGCCGGTCCGTGGTGGCCTTGTAGGCCGTCGAGGATAATGCATTCCGAGACTAGCTCGTTCTGGAATGGCTCGATGCGGGTGAGGACGTTGGGGATTGAGTAGCTGATTCCTGTTGGGAGGGGTTGGGAGGTGAATTGGGAGCTGGAGATTCCACCCAGCAGCTGAAGTAACCGGAGTCGGGACTGCCACCAGGGCTCTGCGGGGGTGTTTTCGGTTATGAAGTTTAGGTATGTCGGTTTGGGGGCACGCAGGGCTCGATAGGTTGAGTAGGACTCGGCTAAAGAAGTTCGTGCTTCGGGGGATGACTCGAGTACGGAGAGTACCGTGTCTAAGTAGTATGAGATCAGGTCGTCGGCATATTGCGTGTACTGTATTCACAGGTCAGTTAGATGGACGTGAACTAAGACAACAGGACGTCTCACATTCTTTGCAAATACCAGGTGCTCTAGGTAGACCTGGACCGCATTTGGAGCTCGCTCCTTGAGTAAAGCAACAACATCCGCCGGTTCCAGTCTAACACGGCTGGCATTGTCTGCGAATACCTGGATGCCCAGACTGGGGTTTCGCTCAGCCAGCCAAGAGCCATACTCTTCGACCAGCTGAACGTCCTTGATCTTGACCAAGTACCTGCGCATCTGCGTCTCCACGCCATTTGCGGAGACCTCTCCACCAGCGTCAGTCTCCCCATCGACGATTCGTCGCCATGTTTTGAGGACATTTCGAGACATCTTTTGGCTTTGGTATAAACGGCTTAGCACATAGAGCCGCTTGTATGTTTCCAAGAGCATCACTGCTCGGTCGAAATTGCCTTTCCAATTGTCGACCAGCCTATTCAACTCAGGGCGAATTGGCGACGCTGCTCGCTGATCTCGAGTCAGGTAGGCATCCTGTTCCAAGGTCAGGTGCAACAGCGCGGCATCTGTGCTATCCAAAACATATGTCTCATCGGTGATACTACCATATCCCCGCTTCTGCTGCCAGGAGAGAAGGAACCGTTTCACCATGTTGAGAACAGGACTGCGAGAAGCATCCAATCCAGAGGATTCAACGCCTATCTTTCCGACCTGTTCAATATATTTTTCCGCCATGCTTGCCAGCCCAGCGTGTATCCATATACCCTGAGGCCCCTGCAAAACCTCACATCGTAACAGAGGAATAAACAGCAATGCCAAACGCGGGTCGAGGTTACCTGCCAGTAGCGCTTTTTCGGTGCCATCGATTGCTGTGGCATTGCGGTCGTCAGGCTGCATGGAGAGAAGATCTCCGTAAAGCATAAGGCTGGCCTTTTGTTTCACATAGCTCAATCCAATGAACTCGGCCTCGGTCTTTGGCTCGGTGTCCTGGACGGAGAGCAGCAGATCCAGAATGACATCCCTACGCAGCACCGTATGCTCGCTCTCTTCCGTCTCCTGGGCCCTTTGCAAGGTATCCTCCAGCTGGACTATCAATGGATTCTGCAGTACGCGCCATATTTGAGATCCAGACCACATGACAAGACTGCTTTGGACTTTGCCCAATCCATGTGCAAATTTTGCCTCTTCTGCATCGCGTTGAGTCTCCCAGCCCTGGCTTGCTGAACCGTCGCCTTTTTTGGAACCCTCCGAGTCGGTTAATTCTGGTAAATCGAACAGCTCTTTCTCCTTTTGGGAGTGCTCGATAGATGCCTGGGTTCTTGAATCTGCTACTGACACATGCGGGGGCAGCGTGGGGCTTTTGAGGCGGACCATCCGCAAGAGCTGCCCGATTTTGTTGAGCTCAAGATGGCTAGGGCTGAGGGTATGTCGGAGGCCGACTTGAGTAGGTTGTGTCTCTTCAGGAGATGGTATCTCCAACCAACTCTTGGTCCGCTCAATCTCCCCTGGGTCGTCGTCCCAACGTTGGATTTCAAGTCTTGTTCGAGACTTCCCAGCGTCTTCGTCTTCGATTACAGCGAGAACAAACTCCTCTTTAGCCTCTTCACTAGCCTGGAACATTTCGTCATTCTCGTTTGTATCAATCACAACCGACTTTGGGAATCTGTGAAAGTTGATTGTGCCCCGAACAACTTCACCGTCCATGTCGACAAACATTCCAACGCCCGGTTCTGTTTCCTCGGTTCCGGTCACAAGTAGAAACTCAGAAGGCGTTGGGGACACCACATGAGGCTGGAGACGCTTCGAGCCTTCCTTTGTTGGCGGAGGTAGAGGTGGTAAGGGCTTCAAGCTGTCGTTTGTGGGAGACGTATTGTCTGGCTCTTGGTCACTGGGGGGCTTGGGGGAGCTCTTCCCCTCTCGCTCCTCCGAGCTTGATCTTCTGGGTTCCCCGGTAGATGTGAAAGGATCAGGCGTCCCTGACGGCGATCTATCTAACTGGGCCGCTTGTGCCTGTGGTGAGAGCATTCCCACAAAGGTATTCAAACTAGTGCTTCTGCCATGTCCTGAAGCATCACTCGGTGGGGAGGTAGGGTAAGAGGAAGAGGGTGAACGTTTGAGCGGAGTTCGTGGTGCTGGGTTCATATCTTCCACGTGCCCCGACTCAAAGACCTCATTCGAAGAGGATATTGGGAAGAGCGGAATCTTCTGCTGGTGCGCCACTTCAAGTAATGAGTATGAATGTGTATCCGCAGCACATGCGATCGTTCCTCGTCGCGCCGCAGTTAAGCAACCAGGAAACTCGATCTTCTTAATCCGTCGCGCCTCATCCCCAATCTGGACCAGCATGATCCTGTTCTGCACAGCAATCATGATAGTCGGATCCTCGCCTTCCTCTGTATCCCAGTTGAGATCCAACCCACCGATCCAGCGGCAGTTATTGACCTTTGTGGCTCCAAAAGCCGGGCTGAGCTCCGGCAGCATGTAGAATGTAACAGTGCCATTGCAGAGGACACATGCCTTATTCACTGAGGATAAGACAACTATTTGTCGAACACCTTCTTGATCACTGCCCGCTGGGGGACTCTGGGCGAATAGGATCGGTAATCGGGATGCCAATATAAAGGTAGGCTCGGCGGCTTCGTCTGGGGATGCTGGCGGGAGGCAAACGAAGTGCAAGATCTCGGCTGCAGAGGTGCCGATGTATAGATTTTCATCTGCGCAATGTTAGTCATCTCGGGGCCATCGAGCAGCAGCCCCTACGACCAAAACAGATAGAGCTTACTCCAGTATTCAACACAGGTGATGTAGACATCGGAGCTATGCTCAGTCGCTAATGGCACGTCCTCGAAGAGGGAATGTAACAAATAAGGTACGGTCCCTGGAGGACTGGTCTTGCGCCTCTTGCGGGGACCAATTCCATCGTCTGAAGCCATCATGAGGCTGTAGTTCCAGGCATCTCCCCGCAAGCTTGGAGAGTGACGATGTGAGGGCGGTCAGTAGCTGGGGCCAAAGCTCAGGGGCCGCAGTGGACGGAGGGAAACAACGGCCGCATTGGTGGTTTTTGTCTGGCAGAATCTGTGTGATCTACTGATGCCTGTTAAGGTACAATTCTAACTATACACGTTGATATTAAAGCTAATTTACCAAGACTTAAACTCATCCTGGAATGCCTTTTATTTATTCTCTTTTTTTATGGTTCTTATTTACAGACTGGAGATTTAAATGTGATACTAAAAATAGGACATAAAGGCGGCCAGTAGGGCGGTCACCCCAATCTATAAGTGGCCGTTATCTCCTGCCATACATTGTACTATAGTAAACGGGTGCCTCGGGTCAATCGCTGTCATCTTGAAACAACACACTCATTATACAGCCTGCATGTTTGAGGTCACTGGATATTCTCTCGCTTTTGACATTCACATTTGTCATAAATTGTGTCCAACAACTCCAACGCAAGATCGTACATTGTACACATACAGTCGGAACAATATCGGCCCGTTCGCCGCGTGTCCTGTTCCTCGCGATAACAGATCTCCATCTTTCCCCTTGTGGACTGCTATTTGATGTGGGGTGACAGTGCAGACCCTTGGGGTTAGGACCGACAATGGATTCATTTGCCATCACAGAAAGTTTGGTTCCTCGGGACCAACATGACAGCCAACCTGAACCACCCATGTCCAGCAAATTGACCGAAGAGACCAACAAGTTCCAACGCGCCATTTCAGCCTGGAGAGGTAATTATTATCTTATATGTTGGCGAGGATTTACTGACATATAATAGGGATTGATTTGACCAACACTATCGCGAAACTCGATACAACCGCTACGGATCTCGTTGAACAACAGCGCGATGCACTCGTGCAACGAAAGGACCTGGCGCAGAAGACGAAAGACTACAAGAAGCTAGATGATGAATCTAAGCTCGTGGAATATAAAACACTACTGAAATCATATCAGTCCTTTATCGATCTCTTGACCAACCAAGGCAAGACGTCATCGTCCTCATTTTTACAACTATACTCTTCATTATCCGAGGCTCCGGACCCTTACCCACTCCTGGAAGCTTCTGTCGACTCCCTTGTCCTGTCCGAAGATACAGTTCCCAAACTGACCTCAGAACGGGACCAATTGCAGAAGTCGGTGGATCGCCTCACCAGGCAACAAGAGGAGACTGAGAAACGCCTGCAGGAGGAACGTGCTGCGCGGAAGAAACTAGAGGAAAACCAGGAATCAAGAGCTAAGGAGATCGAAGCGTCGTGGGAAGCTGTCTTGACAGAAAAGACAAATAACTGGGCGGCAAAGGAGAAGACTCTAGAAGAGAAAGTGGAGAACCAGGATCGATTGATCAAGGAGCTCAAAGCAAGCTATGAAGTCTCCCAGCGCCTAGGTGAGGGTGAGAATCAGGGTGACGATAGTGAGGGTTCGCACAGTGGCGCTACTGCAGCTGAGCTCGAGCTCGTTTCTGCCGATTTAGAGAAAACAAGCTTGAGATTGGCTGATGTAGAAGCACGCAATGAACAAATGCGGTTGGAGCTGGCTCAGGCTGCATCACATGCATCTGGTCCAATTTCTGTTGAGGACGACCCCGACTATCTACGACTCCAATCAGAGAACTCTTCCTTGCTTCGGAAACTGGATGCTGCACGATTTGACAAAGACTCGGAACGACACACCTGGGAAGCTAAACTGCTTCAATCGGAGCGCACGGCTTCAAAGGCAGCTGTGGAAAGGGAAGAGTTGCGTTCCCGGTTAGCAAAGGTAGCCGACTACGATGAGATCCGCCGGGAGTTGGAGATGATCAGGTCGATTGAGTTTGCAGCTGGAGATGATGATGAGGCGGGAGACGGTGCTGGTGCTGGTGCTCGAGTTGATGCCAATGGTGAAGGGGCCAAATCCAAAGACAAGAACTCCCTGGAGCAACTCCTTATGGCCCGGAACAAGAAATTGACGGATGATCTCACCCTTTTGCGAGTGTCGCACCGCGATATCCAAGGGCAGCTCGAAACACTACGGAATGAGCTTTCAACTTCGAAGGGAGAGCTGGAAAAGTCACGAACCTTGTCCACTACTCTTGAAAATGACCTCCTTCGCGTGCAAGATGAGGCTGCAAATACATTCCCGTCCTCGGCGATGTCTGTTGCAGGAACCTACACCTCAAGATACCCCCACTCTGCCCGTCGAGGCGCATCATCGCCCACCTCATCCATCATCTCTGGCTTTGACCAAAGTGCCGTGTCGGCAAATACCATGGAATCTATCCGTGCAGGAGAAGCTGTTGGCGGCGGCTCTGGCCTCCTACCTATGATCCAAGCCCAACGAGACCGCTTCAAGAAGAAGAATGCCGAACTCGAAGAAGAGCTGTCAAAGCTATATGCCACTGTCAAGTCCCTCCGACAGGAAGTTGCATCGCTCCAAAAGGACAACCTGAGTCTCTACGAAAAGACTCGCTATGTCTCGACCTACAGTCGTGGTCAGGGTGCCTCTACATCGGCTTCGTCATTTGCAAACAACCCCAGTTCAACTTCTGTCTATACCTCTGCAGACACGCCTTCCGGTCTGTCCCTCGATCGATACCAGAACGCCTATGAGGCACGAATCTCACCGTTTGCCGCGTTCCGGGGCCGTGAATCAACACGCGCATACAAACGCATGAGCCTACCAGAGCGGATTGTCTTCTCTCTCACCCGAGTCATTCTTGCCAACCGGACGAGTCGGAACCTGTTCGCTGGTTACTGCTTTGCACTCCATCTTCTGCTTTTCACAGTGCTCTATATGATGAGCACGACTGAGATCGAGAAGCATAGCGCTATGGGCGCCGTCGGTAGCGCTGCTGTTGCTGCATACGGTAGTAGCAGTGGGGGCGGAGGGAGCACGGGGAGTGGCGGGAGTCAGCTGCACGGTGATGACTGGCAGCAGGAAGGTTTCAACTAATGTTCCAGGGTTCTGTCTGATTTTACACAGCGAAGAGCTCCGGAGTTCTATTTTTTTTTTTTTTTTTTCCTCTTCATGACTGATCATAAGTCCTGGCGTTTTGGGCTAAGTGTTTCTCTACGTTGAACTATTCTTGGGTGTGGGTCGAGCTGCGTCGTGTGTAAATTTGATTTCTGGCAAATATCATGTGTCTGTGACCAATCGTTATAGTGAGGTGACTGTAGATTTCGGACCTTTCCAAGGTTGGATGTCGTGGCGGTGGTGAAGTTTTATTTATAAACTTGCGTCCGAAGTAGACCGAGCCCTTGGTTTAGATCCCTTTCCAATGCTATGAAGGAAACTTGTTTCGCTCTACTTACATGTAACATTTCGGGTGCCCAGGTGGGATGGGTCTTTTTCTAAGCCTCTACCTATCTAGTCTTCTTCTTGTTGTAAACTCGAAGGTTTTGTTGCATCTTCTTTACATCTACCAACGTAGCACCTAGCTGACTGACCGGCACTCACCCTCTCCATTAGATTAATTAGTCAATTGGAAAGAATATAAAAATATCTACCTATAGAGCAGTAACGCCACCAGTAAAAATATGCAAAAAGACGAAAGGGATAAGAAGGCCCGACCCGCGGAATGAACGCGGGGCGTCGCGTCATAATACTTAGGTTTTGTAGCCGATGTATGTTGTCTGCAAGGCACTATGCTTGAGATATCAAAACATTCCCTTGACCCTCGTCAATTTCAATTTTGGGTAATCAGATATACCAATAGGTACATACATATGTACATATATAGTACTAGCTGCCGGATCGATGCTGATTCCGGCTTTGCTCCCGATGTAGTGCATTAGTGTGGGAGAATTACGGCCTAGCAGATATATATATCTCACCAGTGGCTTGCCCAAGTCAAATAAAAGACAAAAATGCCGACGTTGATAAGAACAGATGTCAGCAGTCACATGAATAGATGTGAGCTACAATAATAACCAAGCGGGTCAGAGCAACTTTGTGTAAGATGGCGTTATCGAGGCGCCGGTGCACTATAACCTGGAAGGGGAAAAATAAGACGGAGGAACGGAGGAAAAGCCAAACCCCGCCATGTCAGCCTCCGCACTCCAACATTGGAAGACGGATTGTAAATAAGTTGACTGCACAGTTAGGAATATGACATGGTTGAAGATATGAACAAGCTCTATTTGATAACTGCCGGGACCCATGTAGCCAATGCCTGCAATAATTCCCCGAGTTCTGCACAAATCCTAGGATAAGGACCTTAGTATCGTTGCAACCCTGCACACTAGCCTGTATCGGCAATAATTTCGCATCTCCAACCGCCCAACACACATGGCACTGTTCTTCAGTCAGACTTATTAATAGCCCCGGGGAATTTATAGAGCTCACCACATTGGCTCGGTTCAAGCTCCTACAATTGAACCGCCAAGGGAAGCCCCGTTGTTTTGCTTAGCGCGTTGCTATCATGATTTAGTCAAAAGTTGTTTGCAGCCATCGACAAATCAGAAGCCAAAGAGGCTGGGAGGGTCAACCCTGGGCGCGTCCATCTACCAATGAGAGCCCGTGGTCGAGCTTTAATCCCTGCTAGTACCTGCAGGTTGCATCGATCGCTCTGTTAATAGCACAGTATTGTTTCGAGTCCGACTTGTGTTACTATCTTTGATATATGCTTGAATTGAAGGATAGTTGCAATTACCACCGCATCTATATGTATATCTGCCCCTCGGCCGGGCGGCCAATTTATCACCATATCAATCCCTCCCTTGCCATACCTTTCTTCAACACGCTTATACCCCTCCCTTCTTCATACCCGCTGCATCAAAGGCTTGCTGGACAATCCTTGATTAATCATAAAACGTCACCGCCATTGACCGTCCTGCTATTACTCTGCCTACTAGCACAAACACATAGTAGCAATGCGTTTTGCTCCTCTCATCATCTGCCTGGCAGCAATATCACTTGCTGCCCCAACAAACTTCCTTGACGATGCATACGACTGGACCGATGAACTGGCAGAATTCTACGGAAAAGTAAGCCAGTACATCAATACCGCAAAACACAAGATCAGAGCACCGGGGGCTTGCGAAGCCTCGAAGATTGCTCTACCCTCCTATGCTTCGGGAATGACCAGCCCGTCAGGCCTAAAGCCCAGATACGTTGCACTTGGACGGGGCACCCAGGTATGACAGGCTCCCAAGACACTTTGCTGATTTACATCGCTCATTATAAAACTAGAACTACACATGTGCGGACTCTACTTCCAAATCTACACCCGTGGCGGTAGGAGCTGTCGCAAGACTCTACAATGCCACATGCATTGCCGCCAACTTCCCCGATCTCCTGGCAAACCTCCCCCAACCTTGCCTACAGTATCTCCCTACCGACGAACGAATATGCCTCGTTCCCTCCCGCCAACCTCGAAATGATGGGTCACCATTTCTTCACTGATGCAACCCCCGAGTTCAACTTGAACACCACACCCAAAAAGCAGAATGGCATTGTCATGACCAAGAAGGAAGGTGCAATCGATGCACCCTCCGGTGCAGTGTCAGGTAAGTACGGTGCTGTGCCTTGGCTCTACCTCACTTCTACCGATGGCACGGTGGGCAACTACAAGAGTGTCTATCGAGTCAACACTGCCGCTGGATCACCACCAAAGACCTGCAATGGTATGCCAGCCGCATTTCAAATACAATATGCCGCAAACTACTACTTCTTTGGAGAGTAGTTGATTGTTTTTATTTTGTTTGTATATACAGAAGGGGTACTTCGATGGGAGGATATGATTTTTCTATTTGCGGGGCGGATCTGTCTTACTTTGTTATTATTATTTTATTTCATGACCAATCATGAGCTGGTATAACCAAGGAATCAATTGTCATTCTTCATCGTCATTGATCGTAGTATTCCATCTCATCCGCTGCAGGACTTATTCGACAGAAGCACCTCATTTTCCGCTTTGCAGAAGAGAACGTTTTTTTGTTGATCCCATTACTTCATTCACAGGTTAATCCATAAAATTCCATCACCAAAGAATCAACAAACATTTTTGTCTATTTTCAATCGCAGTCTTGCATCACAAACAATACAGGGCTTAACTGATCACGTGACAACAACATAGAAGGGATATTTCCACGTGACGTTCTCACACGGAGGATACGCTAAACCTAAAACAGCCTAGCGCTGTTCTGATTTTCTGAAAGATCCCAAAGGCGCAAAAAAAATCTCGACCGCATCAACGAGCAGCATCGGTATCGATCCGCATCCGACAGATAGTCAGCGGCCAATTCAATTTGAATTGATTAATCCCACTATCTCAGATACGTTGCCCATTTTTTCTCCATCTTTATCGACTCTCTCGGAACTTTTATTCCAATTTTCAACTACACTCGGTTTAAGCACTCGGAAACGACAGCTTAACCTCCCTCCCCTTTGACTCCCTTTACAACGAGTCTTTTCTCTCAAAACATATACAATGTCTTCTTTCGCTCCTCGTGGACGTGGTGGATTTGGTGGTGACCGCGGCGGTGGCCGTGGCGGTGGTCGAGGTTTGTTCAGTCCAGTCCATTTGAAGCAGCAAGCATGCAGGCCCAAAGTCTCGCTGGTGATTCTATCGCACCGATGGCCATGATCCTCTTTCTTGCTGTGATATTACAGTTCACCTCGCTGACTCGTTGAAGGTGGTTTCGGCGACCGTGGTGGCCGTGGTGGTAGCCGTGGTGGCTTCGGTGATCGTGGCGGCCGTGGAGGTGGCCGTGGTGGCTTCGGCGACCGTGGTGGTCGTGGAGGTGGCCGTGGATTCGGTGACCGCGGCGGCCGTGGTGGTCGCGGTGCTCCTCGTGGTGGCCGTGGTGCTCCCCGCGGTGGTGGTGGTGCCCGTGGTGGTGCCAAGGTTGTCATTGTAAGTGTTTTGGAAATTCTCATGGATATGGGTATCAGTCACTAACCGATTCTTTTTCTCTTGCGAACAGGAGCCTCACCGTCACGCAGGTATCTTCGTCGCTCGCGGCGGTAAGGAGGACATGCTTGTGACGAAAAACCTTACGCCCGGAACTGCTGTCTACGGCGAGAAGCGCATCTCCGTCGAGGGCCCCTCAACTGAGGATGGTACCGTCACCAAGAACGAGTTCCGTGTCTGGAACCCCTTCCGTTCTAAGGTAAATAACCCTTTTCCTAGGACATGGCGTCGTTGCCGATTTTATCGAATTTTTCTCGGAATTCTTCAATATCGCCCCGATAGCCATGACTGCCTTTTGTCTAGTCCTTCTTTTCTAACGCCTTTCTCCCTTTTCTAGTTGGCTGCTGGTGTTCTTGGTGGTCTTGATGACATCTACATGAAGCCCGGCTCCAAGGTTCTCTACATCGGTGCTGCCTCCGGTACCTCCGTTTCTCACGTCGCTGATATTGTCGGACCCACTGGTAACGTCTACGCCGTCGAGTTCTCTCACCGCTCTGGCCGTGATCTGATCGGCATGGCCACTCACCGTACCAACGTCATCCCCATCGTTGAGGATGCCCGTCACCCTCTCCGTTACCGTATGCTCGTGCCCATGGTCGATGTCATCTTTGCCGATGTTGCCCAGCCCGATCAGGCCCGTATTGTCGGATTGAACGCCCACATGTTCCTCAAGGCTGAGGGTGGTGTCATTGTCTCCATCAAGGCCAACTGTATTGACAGCACAGCCAAGCCCGAGGTTGTGTTCGCTAAGGAGGTCCAGAAGATGCGTGAGGAGAAGATTAAGCCCAAGGAGCAGCTGACCCTCGAGCCTTTCGAGCGTGACCACTGCATCGTCGCTGGTATCTACAAGCGTACCGCCGCATAAAGGTCTTAATCTCTGGTCTCTGGTCATGTCCATTCCCTTTTGATGTTCCCCTCGGCGTCTCGTGTTCTGTGATGTATCGAATGTTTTCCACCTTTCTTGTGACAGGTATTTCCGCCTATGTACTTTTGGCTGCGTCTTAAAATTTAGTTTTCCTTTTCGATGAATTTTTACACGCTGGAATGTGTCATACTGAGTGTCTTGATCTGAGGTGATGAGATAGCTCTGGTTAGCGTATGATATCCGTACCTAGGTAGCAACCAGTGGCCAATACAAGCGATCTTAGTCTTGCTAACATTTCGCCGGCAACATCTGAGCAATTATTTTAGATGTAGCTTCCGTCTTCAAGGGTTCTAAGCTTGTTCTGCAAGTGCCGTCCTTCGACCGATATAGAGCATATATGACACGGACTCAGAACATCCCCAACAAAGAAGCAACATTTTGCTAATTATTTCCATCGTCTAAGAATGAAAAAGGTCTCTCACATGTTTCCATAGGCCATCTCGCTGTCCTAATCCCGTTCTCGGACTTGCGCCGGGCCTCCCGGTAATCGGGTTTCTCACCGAGGCTTGCACCAAGAAAAGACTCGGAATTGATGCGCGAGGCCTGGATTAAGTGATCATGTTCGTGGGATATGATAATACCATTGGCTAATGGGAGAATTGTCATGACTGAATGAGCGTGGGGGAGACACAAGTTCCGCTTCAACCCCGCAAGGTGTGTTACTATATAATAGTAACACATCCATTTTCGTTTCTACATAGTTGAATATACTCCTTATTTCATTGCACCGCCCTCTTGCCAATAACGAGACTGATCTGACCAATCGACCTAATCACCCAAATTACGTTATCATATACCCATCATGTCGATTCTCATTACCGGTGCGGGGGGTTATGTCGGCCAAGAACTGGCGGCTTGCCTCCTCGAAACCACACCAGCCGCGACAACCGTGACAATCACCGATATCGTTGAGCCCGAGATCCCAGAGTCAGCTGCACAGCACGCAAGCCGCCTCAGCTGTGTCAAGGCAGACCTCACCTCCACCAAGGAGGTCGACGAGCTCATCAACGCATCCAATCCTTACGAGACAGTCTACATCCTCCACGGTATCATGTCCGGCGGCTCCGAGGCCAACTTCGAGCTGGGCATCCGCGTCAACCTCGACGCAACACGATACATTCTAGACCGGCTACGTGCTACCATGCCCGGAGCGAAGGTGGTCTTCACATCATCACTGGCAGTCTACGGCCCTGCACCACCAGGATTCGTCATTGACGAGACAAACTTCCCACCTATGCCATCTTCCTCATATGGATCGCAGAAACTCATTATTGAGACACTGCTGAACGACTACTCGAGGCGCGGATTCCTGGATGGCCGGTGCGTGCGCCTGCCCACGGTGACCGTGAGAGCTGGAAAGCCCACCCAGGCTGCCAGTAGCTTCGCTAGTGATATAATCCGTGAGCCCTTCCACGGCAAGAAGGCTATTCTGCCTGTGGCCAAGGAAACCGAGATGTGGATTTGCTCGCCACACACTGTTATCAAGAACTTGATTCATGCGCGCGACGTGCCCAAAGAGGCATTTGGGGATTCAAGATCTGTTAATCTTCCTGGGTTGAAGGTCAGTATTCAGCAGATGTTGGATGCGTTGTTGGAAGTTGGTGGTAAGGAGCGTCGGGATCTCGTGGAGGAGAAGTATGATGCTGCTACCGACAAGATTGTGCAATCGTGGACTCCTCGATTTGATACTGCTCGTGCTTTTGAGTTGGGTTTTGCAGCGGATATTTCGATGGAAGAGAACATTAGACAGTTTGCAAGCCGGTTTGTATGAGATGCAGGGTATGTAGCCAATCAATAGGCACGAAATTGGATGACCGAAATTGAAAGATCGGAAAACGAGGCGTACCGGGATATCTCAGCATCAAGTAAATCGTATTTTCATATCATAAAGATCGATAACAACAATATATAAGCCCATTTAGACTGTATTCTAGCCCACATCACGAATTAATGCAGAGTAAGGAAGTATTCGGGATGTCAAGGGCGGTTTGGAAAAGCGGGTTATGTAATTGGCTGAGCTGGGCGAACAATTTCAGACTTCGGAACCTCAACCTCAGGGTGTCTCCATCAGCTCTTTTCTCCATCTCTCCCCCTTTCCCCCTCCGTCCACCTATACAAGTCGTTCTCAATGGCTTCTCGGCGCCTTGCTTTCAACCTAAACCAGGCTCTCCGCACTCGTGCGGCCCTGAAGTCCATCCAGCCCGTGAAGCGTGGCTTTGCGTCGCCGGTTGCGTTGCCGTCCACCACCCAGTCCACCACCCTCTCCAACGGATTCACCGTACGACCAAGCAACTCATCTCAATGACTTCGCAATTTAGCTAATTCCCTTCTAGATCGCCACTGATCACTCGCCATGGGCCCAAACCTCGACGGTCGGCGTGTGGATCGATGCCGGTAGCCGGGCAGAGACTGACAAGACCAACGGAACTGCACACTTCCTTGAGCACCTTGCCTTCAAGGTTCGACCCCACAAGCCCCAAACTACGAAGCGCTTTTATCTGATAAATATGACTAGGGCACCAACAAGCGCTCCCAGCACCAATTGGAGCTTGAGATCGAGAACATGGGCGCTCACCTTAACGCCTACACTTCGGTACGACCCGGGAAACCACCCATCAACGTCTACCAAACCCAATACTGATCGCGAATACTACAGAGGGAGAACACTGTCTACTACGCCAAGGCCTTTAACAACGATGTCCCCAAGGCCGTCGACATCCTCGCCGATATCCTCCAGAACTCCAAGCTCGAGGCTAGTGCCATTGAGCGCGAGCGTGATGTGATCCTGCGCGAGCAGGAGGAGGTTGACAAGCAGCTCGAGGAGGTTGTCTTCGACCACCTTCACGCCACCGCTTACCAGGCCCAGCCCCTTGGCCGCACCATCCTCGGCCCCAAGGAGAACATCCAGACCATCACCCGGGACAACCTGACCGACTACATCAAGACCAACTACACTGCTGACCGCATGGTCCTTGTCGGTGCTGGTGGCATTCCCCACCAGCAGCTCGTGAGACTCGCCGAGGAGCACTTCGGTGGCCTCCCCAGCAAGGCCCCTACCTCCGCTGCCCTGGCCCTCACTGCCGAGCAGAAGCGCACCCCCGAGTTCATCGGTTCCGAGGTCCGTCTCCGCGACGACACCATCCCCTCCGCTCACATCGCTCTCGCCGTCGAGGGTGTTAGCTGGAAGGACGATGACTACTTCACCGCTCTGGTCACCCAGGCCATCGTCGGTAACTGGGACCGTGCCATGGGCCAGTCGCCCTTCCTCGGCAGCAAGCTCAGCTCCCACGTCAGCCACCACAACCTCGCTAACAGCTTCATGAGCTTCTCCACCAGCTACAGCGACACTGGGTAAGTTTTGTTATCTTGTTGATAATATATGTCTTTGATTGAAAACTTGCTGACTTGATATTAGTCTCTGGGGTATCTACCTTGTCAGCGAGAACCTTACTCAGCTCGATGACCTGATCCACTTCACTCTCCGCGAGTGGTCTCGCCTGTGCAACAACGTCACCTCCGCCGAGGTTGAGCGTGCCAAGGCCCAGCTTAAGGCTTCCATCCTCCTGTCTCTCGATGGCACCACCGCCGTCGCTGAGGACATCGGCCGCCAGATCATCACCACTGGCCGCCGCTTGAGCGCTGAGGATATTGAGCGTACTGTCAGCCAGATCACCGAGAAGGACGTCATGGACTTCGCTACCCGCAAGTTGTGGGATCAGGACCTCGCCATGAGCGCTGTCGGCAGCATCGAGGGTATCCTCGACTACCAGCGCATCCGTGGAGACATGTCCCGCATGATCTCTTAAGTTGTCCTAGAGTATGATCGCGTGTGAAGATAGCTGCTGAATGCTCCAGGTAAACTGGGCTTTCGGTGGCTTTGATTTGAATGTACTATCAATCATTGCCTTGGGCTGTTAGATCCCAAATTCGTGTGTGAAATAGCAATTAATGGTTTGCCATAGTAGACTATATAGTTTGCTGCCTTTGCAGCAAACATACCAATTATTTCCTTTGTTTGTTCCATATCTTCCAGTGCACTGCGAGGTTGTTTTTTTCCCAGCGTATTACATCGCCGTCGCCATCGTACTTGCCTCTGTCGCCTGTGTGCTTTGTCGTCGCCCCCTTCTGAGCATTCTAACGTTAACCACTTGTGATTTCCCGCACATGAAAACCCAAGTCCTCGTGTTTCCTCCATCTCACAGTTCTTCAAATTCGTCGTTTACGCTTCGCTTGTTCTATGCCGGCCTGATCGAAACTTCAAACCCTAAGTACCTATCTACGTGCTTTACTTTAACGATTAGCATCTCTGCCGACTCCGGTTCAATTCGTAAACTCTTGTATGTGGCCTTGCTATCTTCATTTGGTGATCATTTTTCATCACTGCTTTTCCGTACTGTTTTATTCTAACTGATATTGATGTTTTAGTGACTGAGCTTCTCTCATCATGGCGCGATTCGCCACCCTGCCAGCGGAGTTGCGCCAGCTGATTTGGGAGTTTGCGGTTCCGGCGCGAGTCGTCGAGATTGGAGAACCGTGTGACCCAGATATCTTACCAGAGGAAGACCTCAGACAAGCATGGATCCTTAACAGAAAGTATCCAGCCATTGCTCATGCCTGTTGGGAATCCCGCCGAATTGCATTGGCCAAATTCAAGCTCCCCAAAGGTGTTACTATTGCGCCGGATTGCATGACAGACGCTCGATGGTGGTGGAACTCTACGGAGATTATTCACTTCAATGCCCCTGAGATTATTGCAGCCACACAAAGATGCAGACTGGAAGATGACCTGCTCGACTCGATAAAAGTTCCTATTCTGTGCAAAAAGGTCTCTATCAGTGCGGACGTCGTCCACCCTTTTCTGCGTTTCCGTACCAGGTCCGATATTCCACAGTCGTTGGTATGGGGGGTACTTTCCTCAATGGAAAGATGCATCATCTCCCTACACACCGTCTGTATTCGAGCTACCAACGAGCAAGCTCGGGAGCTGGGCCTCTTTGGCAACGGTGACGAGCCAACACAGTTGATCGACCCGTTTGACAAGGCAGCTATCAATCGATTCAGACAGCTCTGGATGATCACAAAACAAGAGGTATCTTCAGTCAAGTTTTTCGATACAATCGACACTGAAAGATTCACTTTTCGAGTGGAAAGGTGGCTCGCGGAGATGTCAGCGGAGTACATCGATTTCAAATGGACCGATCCACCATTCCCAACCCCAGCACCGCAGGTTATAACTGAAGCACTTCGTCGGTACCCAGCTCAAAGACACAACCCTGACACTAAACAATATCTCGTTGGATTTCCCACTCTGGAGCTGAGGATCATGTTTCGACTCTGCCCACCTGCAGTGGGCGATCCGGTGATTACATAACCATCCCGCATTTGATCGGGAGATTTTTTGAAGGCAATTTTGTTTGAAGTACACTTTCCTGTAACTCTTACCACATCATAACAATGGGAAAACGTGGCGGCAAAAAGGTAATTTTATCCTTCATACACGCTATATGAGGTGTTTGTAGTACTGACCGTGTCTCCTTTCTTGCAGGGTGGTAGAGGCCGCGGCGGTGGCGGCGGCGCAGGCCGTACGCGCTCTCAATGGCAAGATATCACCAGAGAGAACGAGAAGTTCGAACGCTACTACAATGAACCCGAGTTCCTTCCGGAGGAGGAAAAGGAGGTTTTCTGGGCTACCATGCGCAAGGATCTTCCCAACAGCTTCCGTTTCACTGGTTCTCGAGGGTAAGTCACAACTGGACATTTTTTTGCGATTCGTGCCTCGTGAGGTTTCAAGCAATACTGATTGTTATGTGGCTCTTATTAGACACGCGCTGGCTGTTCAGCAGTCTCTTAAGGACTTCCACATTCCCAAAATCACTTCAATCAAATACGAGGACGAATTCGTCGAGCCCCCGCGCCCAGTTTCGTGGTACCCAGATCAGCTCGCTTGGTCCATGACCACTCCCAAGAATGTCATCCGTCGATTTGCGCCTTTTGCCTCGTTCCAGAAGTTCCTTGTTGCCGAGACCGACGTCGGAAACATCAGTCGCCAGGAGGTTGTCAGCATGATTCCTCCTCTCCTTATCGATGCTAGACCTGGAATGACTGTGTTGGATATGTGCGCTGCGCCGGGCAGCAAGTCTGCGCAGCTCATGGAGCTGCTTCACGCAGGCGAGGAAGATGCCATGACGCAAGTCACTGAACAGATCAAGAACGGCACTGCTGGACCTGAACCCCTCGGCCCCGAAGGACTGAATGACGACGGCCGAAGCACCGGCCTGTTGATTGCCAACGACAGCGACTACAAGCGCGCTCACATGCTTATTCACCAGATGAAGCGCCTGAGCTCACCCAACCTGATCGTTACCAATCACGATGCCACAATGTTCCCTTCCATCAAGCTGCCTCCTCTGCCCACTGCCGATGGCAGCAAGCCCCAGAACAGATACTTGAAGTTTGACCGCATTCTGGCAGATGTTCCTTGCTCTGGTGATGGTACCACACGCAAGAACGTCGGTGTCTGGAAGGACTGGACCCCTGGCAATGCTTTGGGACTTTACAGCACGCAGTCTCGGATCCTGGTTCGCGCTCTGCAAATGCTGAAGGTCGGCGGACGGGTCGTCTACTCAACCTGCAGTTTGAACCCTGTGGAGAACGAGGCTGTCATTGCCTCTGCAATTGAACGCTGCGGTGGCGCTGCCAACGTTAAGATCATCGATTGTAGCCAGGAGTTGCCCGGCCTTAAGAGATCTTCCGGTCTGCGAAACTGGAAAGTGATGGACCGAGAGGGCCGCATGTGGAACAACTGGCAGGAGATTGAGGACCACCGAGACCAGGAGGGTATCAATGGTCTTGCCAGACTTGCAGAGGGTATGTTCGCCCCGACAGGCGAGGCTGCCAACCTGCCGCTTGACCGATGCATGCGTGTCTACCCTCACCAGCAAGACACTGGTGGTTTCTTTATCACAGTTCTTGAGAAGACCTCCGAAATCAAGGCCAAGCCGGAGAGCAGCAACGTTATTCCCAAGGCTTCCGTTGCAGCTCTCGCTGCGGAGCTTGATGCTAAGAAGAACGAGGTAGATGGAAAGCCTCTGGAGAAGCTCGAGTCGCTGGATGAGTTGGTCGCTCCCGACCAAGAAGTCCAGGAGGAACTCGCAAAGAATGCTTCTGTTGCCGAGGCCGCCCACCAACTTCCGTACTCTGCTACTCTTGATGCTTCGACCCCTGGCTCTCCCATGAAGCGGGATGCCGACGACCTCGAAGAGGAACTTCCTGCTAAGAGGACTAAGCTCGACGATGGCAGAGAGGTCCTTATCGGTGACCGACCCGTCCACGCCCCAGCGCCTGCAGTGGGAACTGGCATTGAAACGCCCACTGACAGCACACCTGCTACCTCCGCGGCTACTACACAGCCTTTCAAGAAGAAGGGCCCCCGTCAAGAGGAACCGTTCAAGTACCTTGATCCCAACCACGAGGAGCTTCTTCCCATCTATGAATTCTACAAGTTGTCGGATCGATTCCCCCGTGACCGCTTCATGGTCCGCAATACTGAAGGCCTCCCAACTCGCACAATTTACTACACCAGTGCCTTGGGACGTGACATTCTCACCTGCAATGAAGGCCAGGGCATGAAGTTCGTCCACTGCGGTGTGAAGATGTTCGTTAAGCAGGATGCGCAGCGTGAGAACGTCTGCAGATGGCGTGTTCAGACCGATGGCCTGAAAATCGCCGAGCCTTGGCTGGGCCCTGAACGGTCCGTCATCCTGACCAAGAGGGAGACTCTGCGTCGTCTCCTTGTGGAGATGTTCCCCAAGATCAATGACGATGGATGGAAGAATCTAGGCGAGATTGGCGAGCAAGTGAAGGATATCCCCATGGGGTGCAGTATTCTTCGCATCCAAGCGAGCGGCGCAGAAGATGGTCTTCCGTGAGTTTTTTTCCCGTCATATTGTTTTAAGTGATATTTGCATCTTACTAACATAATCTACAGTGAGGCCATGGTCCTGCCATTGTGGCGATCCCTCCATTCCTTGAACCTTATGCTTCCCAAGGAAGAGCGCCGTGCCATGTTGCTGCGTATTTTCAACGACTCCACCCCTCTGATCAACACCACACAGAAGCAGGGTGGTAAGACCGAGCCGACCGCTGAGGCTGAGGACATTGCACTGAAGGAAGAGAATATCGAGGTTGGACAGGAAGCGCAGGATGACGTGGATGATCGTGAGACATACACCAAGGATGGCGATGAGGAGGATCGCTTCAACACCACGGTGTAAATAGATCTGCTTTTTACATGCTCCTATTATGGAGATCTCTATGCTGTATCAAAAAGCCAATATCATGAATTCTGTACCTTTTTCAGGTCCTCGGTAATTTCCTGAGTGATCTGCACCGGAGAAACATCGGTAGTATGTGCTTTCATATTGCAACGCCGGCTAAATTCAGGCCTCCACAGCTTCCCCGCAGGAAAATTGCTTAGTTTAATCTTCGAGTTGATCAAAATGGCGCCATTAACATTGGTTTGACATACTTATTGCCCTTGACCTTGGTAAAAGGGTGCGAGTATCTCTTATTTAGACTATACTTCGTATAGCTCTATAGATCAGACTGATATAGAATAAAAAGCTATGCATACACCTGGGCAACAGAAAGCAAAACATCACATCTACGACAAATCTCCTGGCATCTGATATGTGGATAAAATAGGCCCCGCAAAAGGCAAGCTGGGGGATCGTCGGTCCGGTTACCGTGTGAGGGGACAGTAAGGGCTTGCGGCCATGACCCCGGACTTCTGGCTGAATATTCCCTCTTTCAGCTTTTCCACAATATCCCAAATCCTCAGTATGGCCGCAAATACAGGCCGCAGTGGACCCTAGACATTTCCTGCATGAGCAATGCGGAGCATCCGGGGCAGACCCCTCAATTTGTCTGGGGGAATGACGAAAGACCTGGCTTGGAAAAGGGGTCATTGCTACAGTATTACCTCTATTGCATGGCATGAAAAACGGGTCATTGCTACAGTAGTACATGTAGCAATTGCATGTTGCCTTGATTCGTGCTAAAGATGCCCCGAGGCTCCGTACTATATATGAATGGCGCAACCCCTGCATTGCAAGGAAATTGGACTTGAATTCAAGTGCTTCCTCCCTCCCTAGCACCCGCTTCACCCCTGTGTGAACTGTCGAGACAACCATGAAGCTATCGTCCTCTTGGGCCATTGCCTATCTGGCGGCCCAGGCCGCTGGTGCTGCCATTAGCCATTCGGTGAATGGCTTTACTATCACCGAGCACCCGGATCCCGTTAAGCGGGATTTACTCCAGAAATATGTATGTTGGGTTTGGTTTTTGGATTTGGATGGTTGTGTTGACAAGTATATTGTATAGGTCACTTGGGATGACAAGTCTCTCTTTGTCAATGGCGAGAGACTCATGCTCTTTAGTGGTGAATTTCACCCATATCGGTAAGTTAAAAGGCATCAATTAGCCTTTTTCAAGAAAGAATTATGCTGATTGAGATTCCTGCAGTCTGCCTGTTCCATCTTTGTGGATCGATGTGCTCCAAAAAGTCAAGGCTCTAGGATTCAACTGCGTTTCTTTCTACATCGACTGGGCTCTGCTGGAAGGTAAGCCGGGTCAGTATACTGCCGAGGGGATCTTCGCTCTGGAGCCATTCTTCGATGCCGCCAAAGAGGCTGGCATCTATCTTCTGGCGCGCCCTGGTCCCTACGTCAATGCTGAAGTATCGGGCGGTGGTTTCCCGGGATGGCTTCAGCGTGTGAATGGAACTCTTCGAAGTAGTGATGAAGCCTACCTAAAGGCAACGGACAAGTATGTGACCCTGCTAAAAATGCAAGATTGGAAGCACCGTGAATACTGACATTCTTAACTAGCTACATGGCCAATGTTGCTGCAACCATGGCCAAGGGTCAAATCACCAATGGAGGACCTATCATTCTTTTCCAACCCGAGAACGAGTACAGTGGCGCGTGCTGTGGATACGAGGATTTCCCAGACAGCGCTTATATGCAATACGTGGAGGACCAGGCTCGCAATGCTGGAATTGTCGTGCCTATTATTAGCAACGATGCCTGGGCTGGTGGCCACAATGCCCCTGGAACTGGCGAGGGCGCTGTAGATATCTACGGCCATGACAGCTACCCTCTCGGCTTTGACTGCGCAAACCCTTCTACCTGGCCAGAGGGTAGTCTGCCCACTAATTTCTATACCACACACATGAACCAGAGTGCCTCCACCCCATACTCTCTGGTTGAGGTAAGATATATGGAATCCTCCCGTGTGGATTATCAATCTGACTGGAGTATAGTTCCAAGGTGGTGCCTTCGATCCATGGGGAGGTGTCGGGTTCACTAAGTGTGCTGCCCTCCTGAACCATGAATTCGAGAGAGTGTTCTATAAGAACAATTTCAGCTTCCGAGTTGCATTCCTCAACCTGTACATGGTATGTTCCAGCTCCCCCGTCATACTCGCCAATTCTAATTCTTTATTGGTAGATCTTTGGTGGTACCAATTGGGGCAACCTGGGCCACCCCGGTGGATACACATCCTATGATTATGGTTCCCCGATTACTGAATCTCGCAACATCACCCGCGAGAAGTACAGCGAGCTGAAGCTGATTGGTAACTTTGCTAAAGTGTCCCCTGCCTACCTTGTCTCAACACCAGGAGAGTTGACCACCTCCAAGTACACCACTTCGTCTGATCTGGCTGTGACTCCCCTGCTCGGAGGCGAAAATACAGCTTCTTCCTTCTTCATCGTCCGACACTCCGACTACTCGAGCCAAGCGTCCGTCGACTATAAGCTCAAGGTTCCTACTAGCGCCGGTGAAGTGACTATTCCCCAGCTTGGAGGAAGCCTTACTCTTAGCGGCCGTGATTCCAAAATCCATGTAGTTGACTATGATGTGGCGGGCACAAACATCCTCTACTCCTCTGCTGAGGTGTTTACCTGGACGAAGTCTGGTAAATCCAAGATTCTTGTGTTGTACGGCGGCCCTGGTGAGCACCACGAGTTGGCTGTCTCTTCCAAGTCGAAGGCTTCGGTTATTGAAGGGCCATCGTCGAGCATCACCACTAAGCAGGTGGACAAGGCCGTTGTTATCGGCTGGGATGTCTCCACCACTCGCCGTATCGTGCAAGTGGGTGATCTGCAGATTGTTCTTCTAGGTAAGTGCTCCCTCAAATACCGCCCTGCTTCATCGTAACTGACTTAAACTACTAGATCGGAACTCTGCCTACAATTACTGGGTTCCCCAGCTCCCAACCACGGGCACAAGTCCTGGCTATAGCTCCCAAAAGGCCGCCGCCTCATCCCTTATCGTCAAGGCCGGCTACCTCGTGCGGACTGCTTATGTGCAGGGCAATGACCTTCATCTCACTGCTGATTTCAACGCCACCACCCCGATCGAGGTGATTGGCGCTCCGTCCAAGGCCAAGAACCTGGTCATCAACGGCAAGAAAGCGCAGGTCAAGATCGACAAGAACGGAATCTGGTCCAGCAGCGTCGCTTACACAGCACCGAAGGTCGAGCTTCCGACTCTGAAGAGTCTGAAGTGGAAGTCTATTGATACTCTCCCCGAGATCCAAAACTCGTACGATGATTCCGTATGGGTTTCCGCAGATAAAGCCACCAAAAACAGCGTCCATGAACTCAAGACCCCAACCTCGCTATTCTCCTCTGACTACGGCTTCCACACCGGGACTCTCCTCTTCCGGGGTCACTTCGTCGCAACCGGCGACGAGAAGACATTCCTCGTGCAGACTCAAGGTGGCAGCGCATTCGGCAGCTCCGTATGGCTGAACGAAAACCACATAGGATCCTGGGGCGGGACTTCCATCGACAGCAACCACACCGCAACCTACACGCTACCAACCCTGAAGAAGGGCAAGTCGTACGTGTTCACCGTCGTCGTGGACAACATGGGCCTAAACGAAAACTGGATCATCGGCGAAGAACAGATGAAGTTACCCCGCGGTATCCTGAACTACGAGCTGTCCGGCCGCTCTGCTAGTGACATCACCTGGAAGCTGACCGGCAACCTGGGCGGCGAGGATTACCTGGACCAAATACGCGGCCCCCTCAATGAGGGCGGTCTCTACGCCGAGCGTCAAGGCTTCCACCAGCCCCAGCCGCCAACCCAGAGCTGGAAATCTGGCAGTCCCTTCGACGGCTTGTCGTCGCCTGGAATCAAGTTCTACAGTGCAAGCTTCGATCTGAACGTCGAGAAGGGCTGGGATGTTCCTCTTTACTTTGACTTCGGGAATACCACCTCCTCTCCCGCGGCTTACCGTGCCCAGCTCTATGTCAACGGGTACCAGTACGCCAAGTATGTGAACAATATTGGTCCCCAGACGAGCTTCCCTGTTCCAGAGGGTATCCTTAACTACCACGGTACCAACTATTTGGCTTTGAGTCTGTGGGTACTTGAGTCGGATGGTGCTAAGTTGGAGAGTCTGGATTTGATCCATGATACTCCCGTGCTCACGGTGCTGAAGGTTGAGTCGGTGGAGCAGCCTAAGTATACGAAGCGTAAGGGGGCTTATTAGGTGTGCAATGGCAAGTACATAGAAATAATTCAGAGTACACAATACGAAGAGAATGAGTCAAAGATAACCAAAAAGATATTCTACTGTTATCTTGAATATCATATTCCTAATGTCCGAAGTATGAAAAAGTAGGGCTACGGTCATCTCCACTTCTCCGCAGATCCCAGCCACCCCCAGCCTCCTCGTCTCTTCTGCTTTTGGTGTGACATTTGCTTGTGTTTTTCTTATTTCCTTGCGCTTTTCAATTTATCCTATTTAATATCTTTCAACATTGTACGGAGTATTCCATATTTCCAACAAAACCCACTCCTCCGACACCGCATATGCAACCAAACCCCACAAGCGCATCTCAGCTTGCAAGCTGACCTCAAACCATCCATTCGCTCGAATCGAAATACCCAAACCCTCACACAATAATCTCGACTTTCTACCTACACCTGCAACCCCAAAGCCAACAACCAAACAACTGGACACCAGACACCAGACACCATGTCCTCCCACCCCCTCGAGGTCCTGGACCTAGACCCAACCAAACCCAACCTCAACACAAGAGACCTAAACGCCAACCTCCTGCACACAGACACCTCCCTCCAAAAACGCTACACAACAATCTCAATCCCCTCAACCTACGGCCGCCTCAACTCAAGCCCGGCCGCCGGCACAGTAGTGGGCATCGTACTGGGCAGCGTAGCAGGCTTCGTCCTGCTAATGTACGTACTCTTCCTAGCCGTGAACCCAGGGGGTGTCGCACGGGGAGGCGTCGCAGCACCAACCTCATCCTCGATCTCAATGTCGATGTCAATGGACGAAGAAGAGATTGTGGAAGTGCGCAGTCGGCGCGGCTCATCTGCTGGACGGCGGCGACGCGACGTCATCGAGGTCACCGAGGAAAGGGAGAATTTCCGTGATAGTTATCGACGTCGTCCGGTGTCGAGACATGATCACGTCGTTGTTGAGGAGTCTTTGGCTACTTCGACTGGGGATGAGGATGTTATTGAGGTTGAGGAGGAGGAGTCGAGTGTGCCTTCTGATGTTTCGCCGCGTCCGCCGCGGAGGTCGAGGAGGGGCGGAGTTAGACATGTTGATCCTATGGCTTATGGTGGGGGTAGTGATTATAGTAGTCATCGGTGATTTGGGGGCTGGTGGTGTTTGTTTTTTGGAGGTTTTGGCTGCGATACCCTTTATGGAATTATGGATTATGATTTATTTGACTGATGATGCTGGGGATTTCTGGAATGTTTCATTTCTTGTAACAATCATTATAATCATGTATTTCCCTTAAAGCCATCTACATATATGTAGTCTAGTCTTCCTACAGTTGTCTTCAGACTATACTATATGTACATAATAGGAAAGAGCTAGTAAAATAAAATGTCGATGCCACAAGTACGGACATCAACCACATAGAAGCTGGCCGAGGAGGAGTTGATTATGACACAGTAAGTAAAGAATACTTCATTTACGAAAATTTGCTAACAAACTCCTATAGAGAGCTCTACTAGTTACAAGGTTGTAACGATGGACGAGTATGCTTCTGTCTTGTCATTGACATGGGCATGGATTTCTCTTCAGGTTGTATCTACTCGATCAATAAAACTTCTTCCTAAGATTATCTTCGGTCTGTACTGTGTGTATAGCGACTGAAAGGGATTAATTAGGTAAAACATAGTAAACCGGCTCGTGAAAGTAAACGAAAAGTAGTGTAAAAAATAAGTGTAGTACAATTGAGGCCCAAGCACCGAGGACCCAAGAACGCCGAGTCCTGTTTTGCGCTAGCGATAAGTAATAAAAGTCAAGGATATATACGAGGGGAGCCAAAAGAAAAAAGGAACAATCACACCCTCAGACCACTTCCCAACCCAGGATTTACGAAAGCACCAATCCCCGAGTCAAAAGCCAATCCCAGGAAACGCCAGCCTCTACTCTCGATATTTTGTCAAGAGTGTAGGGCGTGCACGGCATAGCGAACTGGACAAGCCACTCCAACATCAGCCAAAAACCAAACCAAAAGTAGGTCTAGAACAAGATATCCAAACAGCAGCAACAAGCCATTGCAGCCATGATACCCGCGCAGATGCCACCTGCACCACCGCCGCCGGAACGCCCGCGGTCATTGGCATAGTAACCCTGCTGCTGCTGTTGAGGGGGGTAGTAGCCCTGGCCCTGCTGCTGCGGCGGGTAATACATCGGCTGGCCCTGGGGGTAATAGCCCTGCTGATTTTGCTGTGGCTGGCCATAGCCTGGCTGGGGTGGGTAGTAGCCCTGCTGTTGGGGTGGGCCGCCGCCGTAATAGTCGTTTGCGGCGCCGGGGCTTTGGCCTTGCGGCTGTTGGTAGTAGGGGCCTGCGTCATGGGCTTGGGCCGGGTAGGAGGGTGGTGGGCTTGTCTGGAAGAGATTATTATTTAGAATTTGTGTTTTAGGGATGTTTGCGATTGCTTGTTCTTGGTACTTACGGGTTTGTTGTAAGACATGGTGGGAATTGAAGGTGGAGTTCCCGGGAGATGTCAGAGTTAGTGCTGATTTGGGGAGATTTCGCTGTAGATATGGATGTGGGGGCTGTTTCTCTGCCAGATGGGTTCGGTGTGTACTCGAAACCCGCGAACAGTAAGGAGAGAGAGGTGATAGGAATAAAGAGACAGGAAGCGCCGGAATCGAGGAAGAGTTGCAGTGGCGCAGCTCGGGGCTTAGTCAACCGTTTTCCAGGGTTTTTTTCTATACTTACGCGGCCTCATTTTTAGTACATCCACGAATATACCTACAAGACAAGAATAATAATGCTTAAATATATTTTTAGGGGTTTCCTCTTGTTAGTATTTTAGCTAGAAATATAGAAATCATTAGTTACAAAATATAATACGTGCGGTAAACAGAGTTGTCTATTTTTATAGATGCCTTCCAAGGTTCTCAGTGTTAGAGCTCGAAGGATGATGATTGGCAGAAACGAGAATAATATGTAGTACCTACTAGACATGCCAGGCTTGTCACTCTAGGTCCGACGGCAAAATACCACACGAATTTTCCATATAACTACATGTAGGGACCTAGGTAGGTGTAGTTATGGAAACATCACTTGGGCAGTGACTAGCCATAATTTATAACTTCCCACTCACCTAGACTCGAACTATGCTTTCTCGAAGAGGATCTTATTCAACCAATGTAAACTCGACCCAATTACTAGCCGGCACCACAAGTTCAGGCCGGCCTCCATTATCTTGCGGATTGACGACCCTGCCATTAATCCACACCACAGTATCTTCATGATCTTGAAAATGTCCCCAATCCCACCAGTCAATTGGAGCTCCCTTGAACCCGTACCGGAACTTATCACCGGGCGCTACATTCTTCGGGAAATCACTCACCTCCCGCGTAAACGACCACGACTCACCAGGCATCAGGGCCACAAACTCATTCCGGTCGTGGCTAACATTCACCGGGGTAGAAGTAGAAAATCGGTAATCGTGGTGCGTAAATAGGCCCCCAAGTTCATGTGGACTCCACTCGTCCTTGTCCTTTTCTCTTAAGTAGAGCCTGAATCCCTCCTGGCGGCGATCGAGACCTTTGAGCTTAAACGTATGAAATGTAACCGGCTTGCCGTTTAAGGCATCCGGAGCTGTATCATACGAGAGTGTGGCTGTGATAGGATAACGTAGTTTACCTGCTGGAGTGCGATCTTTCATCGATAGCATAGCAGTTCCAGCGACACTAAGGCCGAAGACCGGGGCGCCGTTCATCCTAGCAGGTGCTAAAATAGGTTCGGGCGAAGGCGACAACGGGCCCACATCGTCAATATCACTTTCATCAGCGACAATGTGAAGTGACTGTCTTGGCCCGCCGGGGAGTACCACCGCAGGGGACTTCGGGCCGAGTTTGCGGTTACCATACTCGGATAATATGCCCCAGTCCCATAAAGGAATTTGTCCGCCTGACCAGAAGATTTTGTAAAACTGTCCTGCTAGGAAGGAATCGAAGTAGACAGATGGTAAGGCCACCTCCCAGGACACGCTGACGCCTAGGTTGAGTTGTTTGAAGCACGGGTCTGACATGTTGATTTCTCGTGGGTGAAGGGATTTTATCCGCAACTGCTTAGGGTCGACTTGAGCGGGTTGCCGCTCGTTCGTGAATGGATAATTAGAGCGAAGTAGTATGATACCAGGCTGGCCAAATCCATCCTCAATAGGGTCCCAGTGAATGATGCATGGTTGTCTTTGCGGATCATCTGCATCCCGCGTGATGGTGATGATGATAAGGTACCGCGCCTCAACGTCGATATCTAGATCCGGTTTCGTTTCGAGAGTAAGAGTGAGGCGGGGGGATCCAGATCTATTTAACTTTAGTTTTTTGTTAGATGGCTTGTCAGGGAGTACCGTACGGTCTGTCTGCGGCAGAATATCTCACGAAGGATGAGAACTCATCCATTCCGGAGTCATATGAAGTTGTGGAGGTTGGAAAGTTGTTGAAACACAAGAGCACATCAAGTCCAGACAATTTTCTATAATACTACGCCATGTATGATGCTAGTATCAGGGTTTCAACTAGAGCTAAGCACTAAAACGGAAATGGCCGAGGAAATCAAGGTGGTAGATTAATGACAGAAATCCTGCAGTACGTAGGTTAGCTCAGTGGTATTGAGCTCGGCACTCACTAGTAGGGTCATGCAGTCATTCTCGAAACCGACTTGACCAATACCACTTGATAACTACATCCATGGATGTGTATTAACTACCTTATTAATACATGTAGCCTATTTGCACGTAAGAAAACACTTACAATAATCTACAACTTCCTCCTCACCCAACTCGACTCGATATGACAGCCATTCATAGATTGGATTCATCTAGACATACAAAGACACGGCCATTATGTAAAATCACAGGCAAACCCCCCATCGCAATCCCCCAAAGCAGGAGAAACTTCGCGCCTATACGCCATGCTGCCCATAATACAAGGGGGAGACCAAAACTTTTTTTGTGTTTGTTGAATGTGAGTCGATGAGTAAAAAAAAAATAACTCCCAAGTGTCCACTTCTGTCTGGCATCAGCTGCTCTTTCTCGACTGCCAATTGGGTATTTCCTGCAGAACTGCGTAGTATGGAAAGAGGTCATATCGGAGACAGTGAAGTGGACCCGATGCGATTCGAATTTGCGAGGTTGAGGTTCATAGGAACCGGGGTTTCACTCTTTGCAAAACCCCCAAAATGAAAGGAAAAGAAAACAGAAGGGAAAGATCTAGCGTCTGTCCATTCTGAAGAGTCGCATTCAATCTTCCTGTTCCATTTTCAGCAACCTTCTTTTTGCAGCTTAAATGACCCAGCGGTAACTGGCATAGCGACCCGCAGTCTCAGACTTGCGGATGATCTTAACGACCTGACCACGGCGCAAACCAAGATAGCGGGCGACAGGATCGGAGATCTGTATGCGGGGCAGCTGGGACTCCTTCAGACGATAGCGCTCGAGGAGCTTGCCCTTCTCCTCGGGGCTAAGCAGGACGTGCTTGGGGACCAGCTCGTGGCGGGTGATGTTGACGAGAAGGTCTTGTTCCTGGAAGTGCTCACAGATGCGGCCGGGGACGCCGGAAAGCAGGCGCACGGCAGAGGGCGAGATCGGCGTCTGCGTGATGAAGATACCAGTGTGGAAGTTGTTCTCGTCGACAAGGTGGTTGAAGGCGCGCACTTGCTTGGTTCCGACACCTGAGGAGTCGGGGCAGAAGTCGACGTAGATTGTGCCGCAGTCTGGCTGGGGGTTTGGGTTTGCTTTGCTGGGCAGTGCTGTGTACTTCATCTTCATGGTGTCGGTGGGGCGGGCTTGGATTTTCATCTTGGTGCGACTGTTGTTGCAGAACAGTTTGTTAGTGATGTGTGCCTTTTCAATGATATGTGTCGGCATTGCCTAGCTCAAGTTTTCACTATCTCAAGACAATGGGACAGTGGGCGCAAGGATTTTGCGTACTCAGGGTAGCCCAGAGGGTCAGCATATTTTGCGCGGAAGTCTTCTAGCGGGAGGACCAGCTCGTTATCGGACACTTCGTAGCCCTAGTGTGTCGCCGATGGTTAGCCTTGGGTAAATGGGCATTATGGGAGAGACACTGGTAAGTCAGGGACTCGATCTGAAGTGCCTACCCGGTCAGCGAGCAGTTCATAGACTGTCCTAAAGGTGCGCCAGAGCCGAGTCATCTCGCGCTCGGCCTCCATGGAGTGTGCCGAATCCCCATCCATGATAGAGTGATAATTCGATGACTGGGATAGAAAAGGAAATAAGAGATTATCTCGCCAAGAGAGTTTAAAAAGAAAAAAACGGATAGAAAGAGCTCCGGTGGAGAGATAAAGGTGAAGTCGAAAAATCGGCGGGAACTTTCTGCCAGCGACGCTTAAGCGGAGAAACCGACCGAACCATTTTAATTATTCCAAGTTTCCCCTTTTCAGTCTCGCTTTGGTCTCGTTGGTCTATTTAATTAATCCCTTCAGGATCCTCAGGCAATTTGTCTCTTCCTTCTCTCCGCCCTTCTTTTTACATTCAATCCGTCGCAATGGCTGCTACTGATGCGGAGCGGGTTAAGCCCACCAAGCCCGATGAGGCCGCCTACAAGACCAGTCTCGCTGAGGCCGAGAAGGAGCACACTGCTGCTCAGGAGAAATTGGTATGGATGCATTTTTTTGGAACTGTCACTTGAGCTCTCATCTGACTCTGAGTCGCGGGGATGATCCCCCGACCCACTCTGATTGTTGATTGTCCTCGTGTTCATTATTTACTTGCATACCATGTCCTCGGGCCAATGACTGATATGCGCAACAGAACCAAATCAAGGCCAAGTTGGACAACGCCAAGCCTAACAACCAGGATTCGCCCACCGTTAAGAAGCAGCAGGAGCTGCGCGCCGAACTCTCATCTATTCGTCAGAAGCAGTCCGGCTTCAAGTCCAGCCGGTCCTCCACCCAGGAGAAGATCAACGCCCTGGATGCCAACCTTAAGGCCCGCATTACCGAGCAGAACAACTCTCGCGGCCGTCTGTCATTCAAGAGCGTCGAGGAGATCGACAAGGAGATTGCCCGCCTCGAGAAGCAGGTCGACTCCGGCACCCTCCGCCTGGTGGATGAGCGCAAGGCTCTTACCGAAGTCTCCAACCTGCGCAAGCAGCGCAAGAGCTTCGCCGGCTTGGACGAGGCACAGAAGGGCATTAACGACATCAAGACCCAGATCTCCGAATTGCGCAAGACCCTCGACAACCCCGAGGCCAAGGCCCTGAGCGACAAGTACAGTGAGATCCAGAAGGAGCTCGATGCCATCAAGGCCGAGCAGGACGGTGTCTTCAAGAACCTGAACGCTCTGCGCGATGAGCGCACCAAGCTGCGCAACGAGCAGCAGGAAAAGTACACTGCTATCCGCACTATCAAGGATACCTACTTCAAGGCCCGCCGTGCCTACAAGGAGTACGAGGACGAGGCCTGGCGTGTGCGCCGCGAGCGCCAGAAGGCTGAGCACGAGGCCTTTGCGCGCGAGAAGCGCAAGAAGATCGCTGATAAGAAGCTGGAGGAGGCCTCGCAGCTTGCCTACGCCGACGAGATCCTCACTGCGCAGGGTCTGATCCGTCACTTCGACCCCGCTTATGATTTCTCCTCCCTCGGTCTGGACGAGAAGAAGGATGAGGGCAGCAATTTCCGTGCCGGAGTTGGCCGCACTGTGGAAGCTGCTGAGATCAAGGGAATGAAGGTTGTGCGCAAGAACGATGAGGAGGACTACTTCGTCGGTTCCGGTGGCAAGAAGGGTAAGAAGGGCGGCAAGAAGGGCGGCGCCGCTGCCAGTGTTGAGAGCACCAAGTTCAACATGAACGTTGGTATCATTGAGGACTTCGCTAAGGTCAAGATTGACCCCCCTATGAACCAGTCGGATGTCCCCGCCTCTGTGGAGAAGCTGGCTGCCAAGATTACCGAGTGGAAGAAGAACCAGGCCAGCAAGACGGAGGAGGTAAGTTTTATTCTTTCTAAGGTTGTTGGTTGTGATCGGCTGCTAATTACCCCGCAGAACATCAAAAAGGCCCAGGAAGAGATTACCCGCCTCGAAGAGGAGGAGACCAAGGCCGCCAACGTCCCTCAGACCAACGGCCGTGCCACCGACGCTGCCAAGAAGCCCGCCCAAGAGAACGGCGTTCCTTCGGCTGAGGCTGAGCTGGCTCAGGAGCAGGATGCCGTGGCCGACGTTGAGGATGAGCTCAAGAAGGTCGCGATCGAGGAGAAGGCATAGATTCGAGGAGGAGGTTATCCGTACATGCTCAATGCGTCAACTTATACATGAAGTCTAGCGTTTGTCTAGCATTCTCTCTGCGTCCTTTTCATTTTTTTGTTGTTTGGCTCTTGCATATGCATTATATCTAAAATTCATAAATGGATAGCTGGTTGTTCCCAAAATTCATATAATTGAAGCCTTTTTATTTACCATCCAATCCCAAAAGAAATGACCTTAGGAGAAAAGCCCAATTATGCTCTGATCAGGGTTGTACAGCATCATGTGATTGATATGATATTTTATTAACCTCCAAAAGGTATATTTCTCGGTTGTATCTTGTCGTAAACGTATGTATATAGTATGTAGTTATGTAGGGGTACATTATTAGCAAGCCAGGGCTCCAAAGAGAAAGAGTGCTAGTCATGCCCAAGCCGTTGGAAGTGTGCAAGGGGACGCCGGGATGTAACACCAACGCCAACGCTAATAATCGCATGAGGGGGAATATAACAGAGGGCAGGAAGAGTAAACAATAAACAGGGAAGAAGGTATAGGAGTATGCGAGATGTGTACATAGTCTCTCAAATCCAAAACAAGAGACTCCAGCCAAAATATTCCATATACAGGAGACAACAAGCCTCAGCCCAAAATGTCCAAGAAAGAAAAAGAAAAGAAAAACAGCCGTCATATCATGTCATATCACATGGCATCGCATCAATCTTGGAAGTGCAGTGTTAATGCACATGTCGCGATAACAACCCACCAACATCATGAAGCTCAACATCAGTATCGAGCGTCACATCCGAAGAACCAGACATCGAAAAAATTCGATTCCCAAAAGCCGCAGCAGGAAACGGCAATTCTGCAGGACCAGAAAGCGGCGGCCGAAGGCCATACCCAACAGCAGTGCGTGGTGTAAAAATCCCCAAATCCTCCAAAAAAGCCCTACTCCCGCCGCCTCGGCGGCGCTGCGGGCTTTCAACCGGCGAGGACAGGGTAGTCTGGGCGCGCACATGGTCCGAACCAGACTCGGGCAGTGCTCTTGTCAATAAACCGCCGACATCTGAGAAGGATAGGCGGCGGGATGGCTCTGATGAAGATGAGATGTCGCGCGGGGACTGGTTTGTGGGCAGGTACTCGTGCGGCGAGACTTTGCGCTCAAGACTATCTGTCGCCGAGGCGTGGTCGTCGTCTGAGCGACGTGTTGTTGCGAACGACCATGTTGGATCGAGGGTTCCTGTGCGAGCGACTGCTAGTGGCACGTTTGCTGGTGGGGCGATTGGTGCTGGTGTTGGTAGACGTGTTGCGTCTGATGTGTCTGGGATAGTGTGGATATCTGGATCTAGACGGATGCATAGACCGGTTGCTAGTTCTGAGTCTGAGCCCCATTGGTTTTGCATGACGGTGTTTCTGCGGACGAATGATTTATCCATGCTTTCTGAGACGGATGCTGAGCCTTGGGCGCGCTTGTATTTTAGTTTCTTGACGCCGCGGTCTCGGACGAAGGAGCCTATTACTAGGACGTTTGAGACTGCTGTTGCGGCGAGGATTTCAAAGGAGGCGAGGAGGGAGCGGTATGGTTGGGAGCCATTGTGTTGGATTACGGAGGGGACGCGGTAGGAGGTTATGGCGACCAGGATCAGAGATAGGCAGAAGAGGGTTGATAGGGTGAGTCTGCGCTTTAGGGGCATTTGCGCCATGAGGATTATGGGGATTGGGATGGCCACGAGGAGGAGGTCGGTTATCACGTCGCAGGTACCCATTGTTATTAGGTTGACGTAGCCGGTGCGGCAGGTTGGGCCTGGGTCTGGGACGACCTGCCAGTAGTGGTAGAAGGGTTGGCATTCCGCTAGCGTTGCGATGACCACGGCTATTAGGGTTGAGAAGAGGAAGTAGGAGATGAAGCGGAGGAAGAAAGATGTCGATTGACGCCAGGCAAGGCCTGTGACTCGCTTTAGGAATTCATATACGGTCACTTTGGTTGTCCAGATACTATAGTTGTGGTTTGTGAGTCACTTTGACCTAGCAGATCCAAGACGAAGACAAGGGTGAATTGGGTGTGTCTTACAAGATGGCGTAGAAGATACGCGCAGCAAGAACCAGCTTACTGCCCAGCTCTCGATTCGATATCTCCATCTCTGTCAAGCCTGTAGTGGTGGTATTGTTGGTCCCCAAGACGAGAACGAAATGTACGAGGACCATGCGAATCAACAAGGGGATGACGGCGATCATCATGACTTTGTCCTCAGCGAAAAAGCGTTCAACGCGAATATAACGACCACATAGGCGCACGACGATGATGACCAAGGAGAATATAGTAGCCCACCAGCTCATCATGAGGGTCGGATTGATCTGGGTTCTGGTCTGCATGGCTGGCGGGTTCTCGTTATAAATGCCACGCGCGACCAGCGACACGGCCATGGAGGCCATGGAGGCCATGATCAAGTAAAAACAACAGACTCGCAGAAAGCGATTCAGAATGTGCTTTTACATTGCTCACACGTGGAAAAGTGTGGGGATATTTTAGGTAATGGTTATGGGGCGAATTGCGGAGACCAAAAGCTTTGGGACGATCTTAAGATGAGACGAGAGAAAGATGTACGGAGTACAATATATTTGAAATAATAGTCGGGAGAGATAGGGGAAATTAATATAAAATTAATATATTAATAAGTTAATAAGTTAATAAGTTTCAAATGGTTTAGAATTCACAAGAAGAGGGGAAAGATCAAGGATGACCTGATAAGCCAAGCCTCCATATAAACAGCCAGTGACATTCGACTGGCTAATCTGGCATACTTTTTAAACGGTTTCAACTCAGATCTGTGTTGCGGTGAGTAATACATCCAAACTTCCCAAGGACAAGGATGGACAAAGAAATAACGGTCCACAATAGCTTTAACATCCATGGATGGTTGACAAGGTTGGCATTGTACAATATTGCACCAATGAGGGTTACCAGGTATCCAGGTATACAGATATACCCTGGTAGCAACGGAGGGGAACGGCCTTGGCTACGGAATGACTGTAAAGTCTAAGAGTGTACGGAGTACGGTGTACCTAGGTAACACGTGGACTATTACTACATATGTATTTTCAAGATAAAGCCTGTACTACATATCCACAGATGAACAGGGGTATATAAAAAAACGAAAGGGAATAACCCCGATAAGCGAACAATATATCCTTTACTCCGTTCTATTCTGATATATTTTAGCCAAGGATCCCAAGATTATCTCCTCCGTACCTCCGTCGGGGAATGTTATCTCACAAAACCTTATGATCTCCATTAATCGCGCAAAAACTCTCATCCAACCACAGCAGCCGCCAAATCTTCCCGTTTCGCCTCATCCCGAAGCGACTCGATTCCAGACTCAGCACGCAGCCCACCCAACACAGTCCGTAACTCATCAAGGAACTTAGTAACCTCCGGCTCCGTACCGACCGTGATACGAAGACAGCCCTCACACCCAAGCTCCTTCCCACGGAAGCGGACCACCACACCACGCTTCTCCGCCATGGCCTCGTAAGCCGCAAGCGCAGTCACGTTACTCGGTTGGTTTTTGGTGTTTAGAATCTCCACAAGCAAGAAGTTCGCATCGCTACCGCCAAGGAACTGCCCCACACCGGGGATCGTCGGTAGTTCACGGAGCAAACGATCGCGTTGCGCGATGATCTGCGAGCGGAAACTGTGCATCACTGCCATATTTGGCGCTTTGAGTGCCGCCGAGGCGAGCGCGCTTGTCGGGCTGGAAATGTTATAAGGGGCTTTGAGGCTGTTGAGTAGACGTGCGACCTCCACGCTGGCGTAGGCCACACCGAGACGGATACCAGCCAGACCAAATGCCTTGCTGAGTGTCTGCATGACAACTAGGTTGGGCCATTCGGTCACCCACTCTGCCAGGCTGGAGCCTTCGGGCGCAAAGTCGATGTACGCCTCGTCGACCACCACAATGCCGTTCCATGTTGGGTGCTCGAGTACCTTGCGGATGTCCTCTTTGCGGATCAGATTCGCGGTCGGGTTACCTGGCGAGCAGATGTAGGCCAGTTTGATTGACGGGTCGGCTGATAGGGCCTCGTTGACTTTATCGGCTTGTAGGTGGAACCCGTTTGTAGCGTCTAGTGGCACCTTGACGATCTCGAGGTCGTTTACCTGCGCACTGACGCTGTACATTCCGTAGGTCGGAGGACATGTGAGGATCTTGTCTTTGCCGGGGACGCAGAAGCAGCGTAGTAGCGCATCAATAGCTTCGTCTGAGCCAACGCCGCAGAACATGTGCTCGGGGAGGAGGGTCTTCGGAGTGTGGTGGTGGGTATTGCGGAGGTTGCAGAAGAGCTGCTTCAGCTCAATCTGGTGACTGGGAGACATGCATTGTTAGTCAATTTGGTCTGAATGAGACGCGATAGTAGGATTTCACTTACGGATCGGGGTAGCGGTTCAGGCCGAGGAAGTCAATCTCCGGGTTGGAGGCTCCCGTGGTATTGCCAGTCTGGGAGGATTGCAATGCTCCCTTGCTGTTCAGAGCAAGACCAGGACCGAAGGCATTCTCGTTGGCGTCGAGGAGGACGTTCGTCCCATCATCTTTGTAGTCACTGACTCATTAGCTCGCCGATACCGGTGATTCGGAAAGGGCAGCATACTCTCTGGCACATCGGTAAGGCTGTAATGCCAGGATATTAGGACGGGCGCATGTGGCCAAATTAAAGGGAGATGTTGAAGCCATTGTGGTGAGGAATGTAAGATGTTGAACAAAAGTTGGTGGGGTGCGTGCCGGGGTGGGGGATTTTATCGGCACTCTATGAGTCAAATGCCGATCTATATGGAGCACCTACACCTATATCTTCAATGTTCTTATCATTAGATTCCACATTTACATATCATATTACAAGTCAATTAACAGAAATAAAATCCTGGTAGATCTATTTACGAGGCTTGAAATCTTGAATCTTCAATAGCTGGTGAGAACGCAATGCAGAGTAGGAACGCGTATCCAACATCGATCACAGTAAGAAACTTGAAGTCTTCGTATACATATTATCTTTTAGATGCATCTACTAGACTCCCGATAGAGCTCATTGCCATGATCACACATAATGTGCCTAATAGGGCTACTATAGCTCTCTGCCTCGATGCAAAAAAACCATAACACTTGAGACAGCGAAGCTTGGAACAAAGAAGCAAGCAGCAGTGAGTACATCAAAATACAATCAAGCAAGAAGCAACATCGTTCTGCCATTCAACCCTTTTCGAACTCTCGCTTCCATCACTGCTTTTTACCACTTTGGCACTGCGTTGTCTCCTGGGGCTTTTCCTCCTGGGGTTTCTCTACTGGTGGCAGCAAAAAGAAAGCCTCCGCCATCTGAATGACACAGGCCGGGTTATTGTCGTACAATTTCTTTTTGAAATCATCGACAAGCCCTTGTCTCTCTTCCACGGTATACTTGAAGCCTCATTCACCCGAACAACATCCACACGTTGGCGTACAGTGTCCCATGTCCCTGTTTCTTTCTGCTCTTTCGTGGCGGATCTGACAGTATCCACAGCTTCGACCACAGCAGCCGCCTCTCTTCACGCAGTCTTCGACCAGTTATTTTCGGAGATACCAAGTTGTATTTTCTCGTAGGCTATCACAGGACTGTTTGATAGGCCCAATAGGAAGCATTGTTTCGGCAAGGCAAAGCTTGTACCCGGCCTCGCTATATTGCCGGAGTAGATTCGAAAGCTCCTCATTATATTTTGCTTCTTTGTCTTAACCTTCGTCGGCTGTTAACCTTCTTAAAGTCCGAGCCTTGCTCTTTAGAGATTGTTCTTGTTGAACGATTTCACGGAGAAGATATTGCATAGTTGCTAAACTGCGTTCAGTGCTCGCTATTGCCCTTCATGAGAGCGAATTTCTTCGTAGAACGCATAATGGAGGGTTGCGTAAAGGGTCCACACTGGTGGCAAGCTCATCCGTGAAATCTGCATAGCTTATAAGCTGAGCCATTAATGCCGATCAATGAAGCTTTTGTGGCCTAAGGCACCTTCTAAGGCCACCAGATCTCAACATTTTATGTAAAAGTTCTTTGTATCTAGTGACGTTATAGAATCCCCCGGTAAATGTCACCAGTCCGTATACTAATCAAACAAGGCGCGGCAGAGAGCGCAAGGAGACAAGGAGACAAGAGATAGTAGTTCTGTCTTAGATAAAAGTCTTCCCTACGGACGAAAATGGCGTCGATAATGCCCTCTTATTTAATTTACATCAATGAGCAGGAGCTGGCTAGCTCTTTGCGATCTGGCGACCCATGAGTCTCCGGAAAAACATAAGTTTGATGGTCTGGATCAGCGCGATCGATCGCCTCACGGATTGGCTGGAAGTCTGGACTGGCACCCTTGTGCTTTAGACAAGGCTCCAGTCGTCCGCCATGGTTGTTACCAGGACAGTATTCAGGAACATTTTTCAGTCGATGTATAAGCGATTCATGCAGCACTGCATCACGCGGAATGTCGCGGTAAGAGCCCTTGTTTAACGGGAAGCGTACTTTCTCCCACTGGTTACCATCAAGCTCCCAGCGGGTGATTATTGGAAGCATCTCTATTGCAAGGTTAGCATTAGGAAAGTGCAGAGGGGAGTTGCGAAGACTTGCCCATAAATTTCCAGAGAAGCACGGTAAAGAAGCCAGTGCCGGTACCAAACCGCAACGAGTCGTGAATAAAGCCCCTGAGTGCTTGCTTCTGACTTGTCTCCCTCGCAAATGCCCGCTTATAGCCGTTGACATTGTTAGACCACTTGACAGCTGCCTGGGGGTCGATCTCTCCAACACGCTCTAGCTCGAGGATCATCCACGACAATGCAACGTCGCTCATTTGGAAAGCGTCTTTCCGGATATCTGTAGTAGCCTCCTTAGGCTTCGAAGTGGACCAAAAGTTCTTAAAGCGCTGCCAGAGGCCGTTTTTCTCTTGGTTATCGAGATTGTCGTTCTCTGTTGCGGGCCAGCCACCGCCGACATCGCCGTGACAGCCCGGAAACCACACTTCCTTGATGTCTTCGGTGTTTTGGTCTGAGCAGCGTATGTCTTGGGCGATTAGGGCGGGCTTGAACTTGACCCGGCGTTCGTCAACAGCAACGGCATGCCGAACAAAGTCCGCCGTCCCCGTCACAGGCACGGGCAGGGGTGCGGATCGCTCCAAGACTGCAACAGAGTTAACGCAATCCCACATGCCGAGGAAATAGACCTTGACATTTGTCTCGGTGATCTCTCCGTTGCACTCTGTAGGCTCCTTCCGGCAGAAGGTATTGCTGAACGCAATAATTTCGTTCCGCGCCGACTCGTATGTATACCCGTGATCCTCCTCGGAGTCTCCGTTGAGTAGCGGCTCTCTTTCTCCGTCGGACTGGGGTGTCTCGCTCGGTTTAGCATTCTTGAAGTCTTCCACCTCACCTGCTAGATAGCGTTGATAGAGGCGGTATGCAAAAGGAACCATCTCCTCGTTTCCCTTGCAGAGCAATCCGACTGTGTTAACCATACGTGCCAGGAACTTGGCCGTGAACGCTCCACGGCTGAAGCCGAACATATAAATCTTGTCGCCCTAGAAGCGTGTATGTCAGCGTCGAGTCATGGCGGCAATATCGGAATGTCAACTGACAGGCCCATAGAAACGCATCAAGAATCGGTATCCAGCCATTACATGAGAGTCAAACGTCGTGCCGATTGCCTGATCGACAGTCTGGGAGATGCTGCTTCGGACCTCACCAAGTCGTGTTTTGTGAACAGACATTTCATTGATGTCGTACGTCCCAACACCGGCTGTGGTCTACATATCAGCGTTATTACACGAGAATCAACGGAAGTAGCTTACTTTGGTAATAATGGTACTGATTGGGATGATGGCGGTCCAGCTTATTCAAGATCTTGACGACATTGGTGTCCGCATTAGACCCACTGAAAGTATTCCCAGTACCATCAAAGCAGAGAATAAGCTTGTTTGGCTCTTTCGCCTCTTGAACCTTGACTGCCATTTTGGTTTTGTGTGGTAAAGAAAAAGTGTAATCCTGACAGCGAACGAGCAGAATGTAGCACTCGCGTGTTTTCTTACTCCATGAACGACCTATTTATCGAGCTGTTCCTAAATGATCAGCAATCCAAGGCCAGACGATCGACGTATCACAAGTCGACAAATGAACGGACTAGGATTCCGATCTGCACGCCTCGCCCTAGCTAACTGTAGATTTTCCCTAGTGGCATACTCTGCTGCAAGGGATGAAGCCAAAGCATTCCGGCAAGGAGTGGCCCGTGAACAGCATGGGGGGCAGATCTACAATTATGGGACAAACGCGGTTAAGGCAGTGTCTTGAGATTTTCTGAGCTGTGAAGTGTCAGCCAATAAAGCTCAGAGAGGCTGGCATGTAGGTATTCTCCTCGGCTATTAAGGTCCCATTTTTATTCAGCTGTACAAGACGTACTTATTCCACTTTGACTGACCGCAAAGCACAGATGAATCGAGTGTCATCGGAGTCACCGCTAGCTTCGACAACATGCTCCTTCAGCCGTGGGCAGGCCCATATAAATGCCCCATATAAACGGCACAAGATTGCTGATCAGAGAAGATTGTTACCCCTTGTCGGCACGGATCGAGCCACCCGCACTTAATTACGGGATCTCCGTGCACTACTGGCTGGCTGACTGGAAGTTAAAGATTGACCAATGACAAGAGGCCAATTGGCGATTCAGACGAACTGTCGATCGACGAGCATGGGGGCCATCCTGTTTGCACGAGTCCAAGCTCATCTGCGTGCGGGGTTGCCTTCCAAAAACTGCCGACCAGTGATGAACTGTCATGAACTATGCATAATCAATGACACAAGGAATGATTCCCAGCGAGTCATGGGCTGCGAATTAGCAAGACGGGAACGACTAATTACCCATCCGAGCGTATAGCACACTCGGCCGCCCCTATCTGCAACATTGTGTGAATGTGAGGTGTGGGACTATCGGAACATTTGCAGAGTTTCTCAGCTAGTCAATGATTCCAAATTACCGCTGACTTTGAGCGGAGACCCACGCGGAAAATAGATGCATGGCAGAGGTTGCCCCTCGAGATGAAGAAGGAATCGGAGACTGACGTGAATCCCCGGAGTCCCTGAGTCCCCAGGTATCTTGCCCTAAGTATATGAAGCATAGCTAATCTCCGGCTTTTTGAATTGAGCATTCTTCTATCCCAAGCTTCAGGCATGTCGTTTAATGAAAAATATCAGGCCGGGGAGTCTTACGGCGACGCACCCAAGCTATCCAATGATAGTTTTTTTGGGAAGATCCGGTGAGGGTTGCTACAGACATCCTCAAAGACTATGCCGGCGCTCGTTGCGAGGCGTCTTTACAAGAGCTTATTGGACTCGTTAAGAGTCTAAAGAACGAAGGGCCTGCCGACGATAGAAAAGGGTGGGTGGAAACCAACCGATGCAAGGAGCAAATTTAACGATTCTAGGAATACGGAGCTGCTCATTGGCATCCTTACCTCCCTTCCATCTACATCAAGCACCAGAGTCCAGCTCACAAACAAGCTCATTGACAGCCTGTGGAACGACCTTCAACACCCTCCGCTGAGCTATGTTGGCGGGGATGTCAGTTATCAAGTTGTCAATGATCAAGCGCCTGCTATTGACCAGGAACATAACGAATACAATACCATTGAGTTTGAGGTACCCGGTACAGGTGTCCGTCTGCGTGAGGAAATCCCATGCGCACCAAATGGCCTGCATCATTACCGGATGCCTGATGGTAGCTTCAACAACATCATGGAGCCCCATCTCGGTCGGGCTGGCTCGCCTTACGCCAAGTCAGTCAGAAGCCCGAAGAAACTCCACGGCGTGAAGCCTGATGCTGCTCAGCTCTTTGATCTATTGATGGCTCGTGAAGAAGACGACTTCAAAGAGAATCCGGCCGGTATCTCCTCTATGCTCTTCTACCATGCCTCCATTATCATCCATGATATCTTCAGAACCAGTCGTACGGATATGAACAAGTCGGACACATCTTCATACCTCGACTTGGCCCCACTCTACGGGTCATCGCTTCGTGATCAGCTTAAGATCCGCACAATGAAGGGAGGCCTGCTCAAGCCAAATACCTTCCATGAGAAGCATCTGCTAGCCGCTGGAGTTAATGTCATGCTGGTTCTCTACAACCGATTTCACAACCACGTCTGCGATGTACTGCTCCAGATCAATGAAGGAGGCCGTTTCACAATGGCCTGCACGGATGGCGCCAGCGCCGAGGATCGCGCCAAAGCCACGGCGAAGCAGGATCACGATCTCTTCAATACGGCTCGCCTTATTGTCTGCGCGATGTACGCATCAATTGCCATGGGAGATCACCTTCGCGCCATTATGAACACCCATAGTACCGACACAGACTGGGCTTTGGAACCACGCATGGAGATTGGAAAGCAGTATGATGGTGAAGGTGTACCCCGCGGAGTCGGGAATCAGGTCAGTGTAGAGTCCAACTTGCTCTATCGATTCCACTCTAGTATCTCCAAGAAGGACGAGCTCTGGATCAACGATTTCTTCCTCAAGATTTTCCCCGGTCGTAGTGTGGAAGATTTGGAAAACATCACCTTGCCGGAACTCGGGCAGGCAATGTTCAACTTTAACCGGTTGATTCCAGTGGAGCCTAGCCATCGCACCTTTGCCGACCTCGAGCGCCAGGATGATGGCAAGTTCAAGAATGAAGATCTTGTCCGTATCCTCAAGGAGGCTATGGAGGACCCCGCTGGAACATTTGGTTCTCGAATGGTCCCAAAGGCACTCAAGATCATTGAAATCCAGGGCATCAATCAGGCTCGCAAGTGGGGATGCGCTTCGCTGAACGAATTCCGCGAGTTCTTTGGCCTCAAACGATATGAGAGCTTTGGCGAAATCAACTCGGACGAATATATCGCTCATATGCTTGAGAAGCTGTATACCGACCCAGACATGGTCGAGTTGTAGCCAGGCCTAATTATTGAGGATACGAAGCCGGTCCGCAATCCTGGCTCGGGCATATGCCCAACCTACACGGTTGGACGTGCTGTGCTTGCGGATGCCATTACGCTCGTGCACGGCGACAGATTCCTGACTCTGGACTACACCGTCTCGAACCTGACAGCCTGGGGTATGAGTGAGGTCCAGGGAGACCCCAAGACTCTCCGTGGATCGATGTTGTATAAGTTGATTCAACGAGGACTCCCTGGATGGTTCTCATTCAACTCGATAGCAGTGATGCAGCCCATGTATACCAAGAAGGCGAACATTGAGATTGCGAAGAAGCTCGGCACTCTTGATCAGTATACACTTGATGATCCAAGCCCGCCGCAGAGGCCCGTTCTGATTACCTCGTCGGCTGGCATCAAGCAAGTCCTCGACAATCCCCAGAAATTCCCGTCAGGCTGGAGCAAGATCTTGGATCTTGTCTTCAACAGGAAGAAGGACTTGAGCTGGTTTATGCTGGCCGGTGATGAGCCTCGCAACTACGAGCATCGCCAGAAGACGATGCAAGCCTTCAGTAAGATTTCGAACAACTTGCCACAGACGATATACGACTTCGTCGACCGTGTTGGATTAATCCAACCTCATTGAAAAAGCAGCCTTCAATCTTAAGAAGGGTGTCCATCAAATCGATCTGATCCGCGATGTTGCCATTCCGCTCAACACGCAGCTCACAGCCGACCTCTTCTACTTCGACCTTCGAACAGACGAGAATCCGGATGGAACGCTAAGTGTTGCGGAGCTTTACAAATCTCTGGTCAATCTCCGTATCTGGGCGACGAACAACCTTGACCCCGCTGAGTCGTGGAACCGCCGTCGCCGCTCCGCCGAGGGAGCAAAGGTGGTAATTGATTCAACGCGCAAGCTGGTTGATGAAGTCCTCGTTGGCCGCGGTCTTGGATTCGGCATCTCCGCGGCTTTGTCCAAGAAGCTATTGCGGCAGGCTTATCTAAAGAAAGACTCTTCGACCGTGTGGGTTCCAGCTTGTGGATGCACTCCCGGCGCAAGGCAACTCGCCCGATAATGTGGTCGATCAACTCTGGCTCCTGGCCTTTGGTGAGATTGGGGTTCTCGTTACCACAGTAAGTTCATTCCCTCAGAGCAACAGACATCGAAAAAGACATCCCTCTAACATCACTGATTACTTCTAGTTCTACGAAGTAATGGACTTCTTCCTGCGACCAGAGAACGGGTCGATCTGGGCTGAGGTTCAGGACTTAGCTCAAAAGGGTGATGCAGGCAGACTTCAGGGCTACGTCGCGGAGGCGCAGCGTTTCACTAGCGAATTTCGCATCGTGCGCTACCCAGCGAGCTCGACGCAGGTGGACAGCAAGCCAGTCCAGCCTGGAAATGTGGTTATCTTGAACATTGTGAGTTTCCTGATGAGACTTCAGTCAAGGCATTTCTGACAGTATACAAGGCCGAGGCAGCCCGTGACCTGGCCGTGGTTTCCAATGCAGACAACTTCGATCCACAACGCAAGCAGCCCGGCATCTCCGCCTACAGCTACGGCCACCACGAATGCTGCGGAAGAGCCATAGCTCTCGCGTTCATAACAGGGCTCGTGAAGATCTCAGCCGGTCCGAAGAATCTGCGATCTGCACCTGGTCAAATGGGAGTGGTCAAGTCGATTAAAGTTGGACAGGAGAAGATTTACCTTAATGACAGTTGGTCCTACTTTGCGTTCAACGTCAGCAGTAAGTATCATCCGGTGCTTATTATGTGTTAGATACTAATCATTCGGTTTGTAGCTTGGAAAGTTCATTTCGATGGCCTTGGGAAGGGTAATTTCCAGGGCAATAACGATGATGCAAATGGAGGAATAGAGATGCAGCAGTATTATGCAATGCTGAAGAAGCGCAAGGCAGAATCCTTGAATTAGATAGTTGTTAAGATCTACTTGCAGGACCTGCATGGTGTCTAGTTGGATGGATCTGATAAGTGATTACATAATAATTTTTGCCGGAGCCCGAGGTCGGCCCTGAGTGCATCCAAGATAGGTAATTTCAATCTCAACTCGGTGAGGTCAAAAATAGAGACGTGCTCAAGATATCAAACATTCAGTTCTTTATATCAACGTGGCCCTTCTAGCACATTCATTCCAACGCCTACAAGCCACATCCACAATTGCTTGAATTCACATATTTTGGATTTTATCAGCTCCAAGGCCACAAATCACTCTACATTCGGGTTTTATAAAAATTCCTCTATATTGTTGACTTCTGCATCTGCAGTGAACAATATGGCTTTTGAAGAACCATCCATTCTACCGGTGGACATTATGGAGGCCCAATTATCCACGATTGACCTTTTAATGGCGATGTTCCCGTCTCCAGGCGAGCTGGAAATTCCCGAATCCACAACGCAGTGTGTCGAGAGACTCCGCGACTGGTGCGATAATCCGGCCTCCACACCTCCTAAAATCCCTTCAAGTATCTCTCTCACCGTCAGTCTACCAATTGCAGACGGAGACAGAACAATACAAGTCAACATTTCCGTGCCACTACAATGTGATAATCCAGAGACACTTGACCAATCACCGTCATTGGGCTATTCGCTTCGACAACCAGAGTGGATGTCCAGAGCCGAAGTTGCTGGACTTACTGCCTCGATACCGCAAGGTGATGATGCGTTAGAGGCATTCGAATACATCCAAGCAGAAGCCAGCCGCTTTCTCGAAAACAAGCAGTCTCAGACCGTGGCCCCAGAGGACACAGACAGAGGGCCAACTGTCCGTGTCTGGTTCTATTTTCCGTCCCTGTCAACCCGTAAAAAGAGGGATGATATGGTCAACCTCGCACCGGGATATTCTCTGACGGGCTTTGTGCTGGCGGGAAAACCGGGCGTATTGTGTCTTGAGGGTGCATCGTCTGATATCGACTCTTATATGAGTTTCATCAAGACCCATTCCTGGGGTGATATCCCTAGTCATCAGAAAAAAGTCAGCGAGAGGTTTCGAGAGACAGAGGGTGTTCAGAGAGTGTTCTCGGGGATGGAGGAAATTACGGACTCGCTAGGAGAGCGAGGTGGCCAGCGGGCCAATCGGGGTGATATGCAAGCGCTGGAGGCGTGGTTAGGGAGTAGAGGACTACAAGAAGCATTTGAAAAAGTTATATTCTAGCTTTGAGGAAAATCTATAATAGTAATGCTTGGCGGAATAGACATACAAGGGTTCATAGTGGCATATTAGAAAAAAAGGGGGGGGAGGGAGATTGAATCTGTATAGTATTCAACAAATGAAAGGCTCTATGTAGTCTGTATGTATTGGGTCCGATAAACATTTCCCGCCGATGCACAGATACCAGATACATCATTGATGATTTTGATACATGGGTCACAAAAATCCACAACGCCTCCATATGCCACATGTCTGCAACATAGTGCTATTCGTCAAAATACACTTGAGTTGCCTATTCCTCCTTTGTCTCCTTCGGCTCTGATGACTTCGGTGCTTGGGTAGGCTTCTTCGCCCCAGGGGGGGTTTCAAGTGCTGAAGCTGCTGCCATCTGAGATTTTCTGTGCTTATCGCGTTTCTCCATAAGGTAAGTCCAACTCTTACCAAGGCCGGCCGTGAACGGTGCCTTGATAGTCTGGACAGTGCTCGGCCAGCGGATTGTCTTCTCAATGGACTTGGAGACCTCCTCTTGAAGGTCACCATCTCCAGCAATCCGTCGCTCAAACGAACCGCCTTCAGGCCGGCGAAGAACCTCGTCCGAATCCTTGCTCTCTTGCATCATCTTATTAAAATCAGCTCTGGGGATCCCAAAGCGAGACTGGTACTGGAAGTACAACTTTTGCCGGAAAGATTCAGGCAGACGGCGGACCATGTTACCACGCATCACCGGATCCATGTCTTGCGCCATGGCTAAGATGGCGTTCGGGTCATCGATCCAATCCTCGTTGCTGCAGCGGGGGTCCTGGAAAGTGACATTGGGCAGATTCTCGATGAGGGGCGCGTAGAGCCGGCGGAAGTGCGCCATTTGTCCTGAAACAATATTTCGCACTTTGCCGGGGTCTTCGGCCGGGAGGGCCATGCGCAGATCTCCCATATAGCTCATACCTGCGATTGTGCTGTATAACTCAAACTCACTGAATCTTTCTGGCAGTAAGAGCAGTGCGACTCGCAAAGCAGACAGCAAGTTCATCTGGTTGGCCAATCGCACCTTGGGGTGGTCCCGCAAGATCTTGACGGGCTTATGCAGACGACCGGCGAGATACATGGTGTCCCATTGGGTGAGGTCTCGACATAACGTATCCAGGTTCACGACACCATATTTGATCATTGTCCCGTTCACGGTGATATAAGGATGGAAGTAGACACCCGCGCCGAAGCGGTCCTGTACTTGGGAGACCGTGTACGACCCCAGTGAGCCCAATCCAGAGTAATGATCACGGTGTTGGTTTAGATTGAGATCATGCCAATGCTGGGAGTATGACACTCCGAAAATGAAGTCAATCATCTTCCCGGAGCCTTTTTGCATATTTTGGATGGCTGTGGGTGCCGAAGGGTGCAGTGAGCTGGACGGAGCTCCGCTGCCATTCTGTGGAAAGACACCCGATCCATAGGCAAATGCGTATCGAATTGGTGCTTTGAATTGCCAAAGGATCATTCGCAATGCCTCCTTGAAATCTTGGTTTATGATCATGTGCTGGTTGACTCCGAAGTCTTTGGAGGGAAGTTCCGAGAAATTGGTAATTGACAAGTTCGGATTCTCATCCCAGTTGTCGGGTAACAGCGAAGGTGAGGATGTCGAGAATGAGGAGGAGGATGACTGGTTGGTGGCCACCTTGCATAGCAGATGTGATGTCGAAGCGCTGTTATGTGCCGAGGGTCGGCCATTGTAGGGAGTAATCGAATGACATTTGAATGACAGAAAACGAGCCGAAGAAGGAACAATACGTGGGGACGAGAGAAGGATGCGAGAGCGACAGAGCGAGCTCGGGTTAGCTCCTCGCGAAGCAACCATCTAGCAGATAAGTTGTAGCGGGATCATCGGGTACAGTGGGGGATCTGACATACTGTTACTCCCGGCATGATTGGGGTTGGGACAAAAGGAATCGGGGCGCGTAGCGCAGTAATTGAGTCAAGTCAAAGAGCCCGCATAGAAACCAAATGAGTGAATAGAAGTGAAGTGAAGTTGGGTGCTTCGTCAACATTTCCGGCTCTGACGTACTCCCCGTCCTCCTCCGCTAATTCGGGTGCTGAGTAAGAGTCACGTGGACGCGTGTCGAGACATGCATAACAACCAAAAGTAAACAGACGCGGAGGATCAACAACAACGACCCTATCGACAATATTCGCCTACTTCCTCCACAGAAGGTCTCTTTGCATGTCGGGCACTAGTACCGACTGTCTCTGATTGCCCTGATACCTCGCCATGGGCTCTGAAATGGATACCTTTGCGGCCCGCCTTGCCAGCTTTGATATAGTGCTGAAGCCGGAGAAGCGCAGATCTTCCGGCACAAAAACGCCCAAAGCGATTACATGGCCGCACCAGCGACCTTCACCAGCTGAGGTATGTCACCCCTGGGAGAGATTACACGCGCCTATTTCAAGGTGATTGACTTGGCGGGATTCTAGTTGGCGCACGCTGGATTTTACTACAAACCATATGAGACAAATCCCGACAACACAACATGTTTCGAGTGCCACCGAGCGCTGGACGGCTGGGAGGAGGACGACAACCCCATCACAGAGCATCTCAAGCATGCGCCCGACTGTGGATGGGCCATCATGATGGACCTCCAACAGAGCAGCTCCAACCCCGCCTCGATTGAAGACCCTACGGGGGACCGAATTACACAAGCAAGACTGTCAACATTTGGTACGGCATGGCCTCATGACGGGAAAAAGGGCTGGGTATGCCAGTCAGAGAAGGTAACGCGCGACTTCACTGTATTCATATTCTTTTGGCTCACAACGACGATAGATGGTTGAAGGCGGATGGTATTTCTGCCCTACAGACGAGAGCAATGACTTAGCCAGTTGTGTCTATTGCAAGTTGTCTTTGGATGGCTGGGAGCCCAAGGACGACCCATTGTGGGTATTCATCGCTCTTTCCCAGTTGGACAGTTGCTAACTCCCCCTAGTGACGAACACTATCGCCGCTCCTCAGATTGTTCATTCTTTGTCTTCGCCCAGCCGCCAGGAAAGAAGGGTAAATCCACTCGTGCTAAGAAACCCCGGGTTTCCAAGGCGTCCTCCCGGCTTTCAACCCAATCCGTTGGCCCAGTTACATCCGAAGCGCCCGATATGGAAATGGATGACTCGATGGACCAGAGCATCATGTCCCAGGCCACCACAAAATCTAAAACTACAAAGAAGGCACCCAAGAGCAAATCAAAGGGGACCAAGACTATGAAGGAAGAATCAGCGGAGGTGGAAAGCCAAATTGGGGCCGACATTGAAGAAGTCGCCCAACCAGAGCCTATCAAATCTAAACGTGCAGGCAGAGGAAAGAAGAGGGCCAGTGAGGATATCAAGGATGAACCAGTACCAGTTGCCATGGAGGAGAGAGAGCCATCGCAGCCGCCAGCAGAACCTCCAGCGAAGAGACGCGCTACGAAAACACGGAGCAGCAGCATTGCACGCAATTACAATTACGAACGCAGTGACTCTGCAATGGCGGACGCAGGGCCAGTGGATGACGCTGCTTCGGAAGAAGAAACTAATAGAGGTTGCAAGCCTACGAAAAAGGGAGCGTCCAAGGCTCGCAAGGTCTCCGATGTGCCTCCGCCAAAGGCGCGAGCCCCTCGTGACTCGGAGATCGAAGCGGAAATTGAAGCAGGCCTCGAAGCAGATATCCCCAAACCTTCCGAACCTGATCCTGAGACCGAGGCTGAGCCAGCAGAGCCACGGGCATTGAAGAAGACAAAATCGAGCAAAAAGTCCAAGGCTGTGGCTAAAATCACCGAACTGACCAGGCATAATCAAGTAGAGGATGTCAGTGATCACGAGAACCTTTCAGATCCTCATGTGGAACCGGTTGATGATGAACCCGAGGCACCTGAGCCGCCAGCCCCAAAGACCAAGCAGGCAAAAGGATCCAAGAAAAAGGGGACAAAGAAGACCAAGACCGAGGAGACGATAAAAGCACAGTCTCCAGAGCCTCCAGAATCTTTAGAGCTCAGGGCTCCCAATGTTCGGGATGATTCCGAGCGTCATGACTCCTTCATCTCCGTCGAGATTGTCAGCAAGGAGGCGGAGAATGCACCGGAGCCCGAAGAACCAATGGCCAAGGCTGAATCGAAGAAGATTTCCAAGAAGAAGGATGCCACATCAGCCAAAGAGAAAAAGTCCAAGAAATCCGAGAAAAAGGCGGAGCAAGCTCCTGTTATTGAACCCGCAGCCGAAGAACCTCGCGCCCAACCGTCGGTCGAGGAACATGATGATGAATTCGAGACTACAGATGATTTACCTGACCAGCTTGAGATGGTCAACCCTCCCCAGGAGCCTTCTCCCCCTCCACAAGAAATGTCTTCCGAGCCACAATCTCATCGGAAGACACCCAGTCTACCGCCAAAGACCGCCAAACGGTATAGCGATATCCCCCACGAAGAGCATCTTGCAGAGTCCCTAGTCCAAAGCCAGACCTCCCCTCACGAAGTGCATGAGTCTCGACGGAATTCAAAACGCTCTAACCGGGCAGTTTCACCACTTCCGCCAGCTCACCAAAACACTCCCTCCCTATCACCCCAGTCATCAGATGCCGAAAACCGGCCTCCATCGTCGCGGCCCTCAGCATCCCGTCCACCTGTTCAATCGACACCCAAGCATCCTGAGTTCCGAGCTCCTCTGGCAGTTAGTACCCCATCACCATCCAAGCGCAACGCCAATGGTGGATTTGGACCTTCTGGACATCCATGGACACCGGTGGATATTGATGAAGTGCTGTTTGGAGAGGCTAGCGACAAGGAAAACGCAGATTTATCTGGACTTTTCAAAGGTGCGAAAGCCGGCTTGACTAGCCCAGAGAAGAAGATGACGGTCCAAGAATGGATTGCGTGGAACGCAAAGAATGGTGAAGAACGACTGAAAAGAGAATGCGAGCGACTTGTCGGCCAATTCGAGAAAGAAGGTGGCCGAGCAATGCAGCGACTCGAGGCTATCGAGTGCATCGACTGAATTTACAGTCACGCTATGTTTTCGGATGATATGATTTGCATGTTAGGCGTTATGCTAGTGGTTGGGAGAACCCTTGTTAGATCTTTAGCTTGCAATTTGAATTTTGGAAGTGCTATTATTGCACATGAACATGATCAGTAAGAAAAAGCCTGGAAAATATGCCAAAACACCATGGGTATCAAGAATACAATGCGCACCCCGAGAAAAACACTCAAGAAATGATTCCCAACCGGCCCTCCCAGCTATCATCCTCCTTCTTAACCTTCTCATTCTTCCGCTTCTCATTGCGCTTGCGCCTCTTCTCCTCCCTCTCTTTAGCATCAATTTCCTCCCGCTCTTTAAGCCGCACCCCCAGATCAAGCTGCCAAGCCTTGCGCTCTTCCTCATCCCTCTGACGCTTCCGATGCGCAAGCATCCTCAACCGCAAGCGCACATCCTCGACATTCGCCCTCTTCACCTCGCCACTTTGCCCCGTCGCGATCAAATGTTGCTTGCTGTTCAAGTGTTCTACAAGTTGCAAGTTATCCTTGTAGGTAAGATCGCAGTCCTTGCAGTAAAATCCGGCGCTGCGGCCGCGCTTGCCCATCCCCGAACCTGAGGGCACAATCATCGTCTTGCCCACCATGGACGCGACGTCCAGGCGCTGGTTGCGGGCTGTGGTATCCTCGAGCATGCTGTAGTCAACTGGTGCGTGGTATTTCTTGCCCAGTAGCTTCGCTTCGTAGCGGGCTTTGCCTTCGGCTTTGCGCTTTGTTTCTTCGTCGGCCGCTTTTTTGGCGTATTCTTCACGGTCCCAGGTTTTGCGGAAGGCCGTGTCCGACACCGGGGTGCCGTAGGCGTTTGGTCCTGACATATTTGTGGTTGATGTGGATATTTGTTTTGGGGAGAGGTAGTGGGAGGTTGGTGAGTGGCGATCTTTAAAAGTTGAAGCTTGCAAGGTTGAGGTCGGTTGGAGGCCGATATTGAAGATTATGTAAGCGATACTTATTTCCAAGGTTCCAACCTGGGCACCTGGGCAAGGTTGGAATACATCGCTCAACACATCTTGTCTTTATTCTAAGTGTTCTAAGGCTGTTGTTATTGCTCAGAACATGTCATAGGAGAGACAAATAATTATTATCTAGAAATTGGTGCTTATTAGGCACCCTAATAAGTTGGAGGATTTTATGATCACAACCCACGCCTTTAATTATAGTTACATGGCTTCTATGAGGCTGAAACTAGGCAGATATTTTGGATTAATTGAGTATTTAATGATTGCATCGGGCTAGCTAGCTTTAACTAGAAATTAGCGTTAGTGGCTGCGATTTCAGGCAACAGTTTTCGACCCCCGCTTGTATAAGATGAACAACATCACTACGTCGAATGTACACAATTGAGCTACAAGCAACAGCCTCGGAAAACAAGTCCAAAAACATGGAGCCATCCCAATCGCCCTCAGGGCCTCAATCAACTAGCGCCAATCTAATGACCCTGCCATCGGAACTCCACATCCAAATAAGCACCTACCTTTCCTACCCAGACGCCCTAGCCCTAAAACATAGCAGCCGTCACTTCTACTCAATAGTCTTCACAGGCGTGCGTCTGAAAGTTGACTGGCTCATCGAGCGGTTTGAGCATAAACTCGAATGCCCCATGGAGAAGTGCTCGTTCAGTACGGACGAGTCTTTTTGCAATGGGCGCGTGCGCGGCATTATGGAGCGCCGTCGGTGGCATCTTGAGTGTCGCCGGGTTAGGAATGGTTGTCTGCTTGTCAATGGCCAGACTTGCAGATCGGATTTGGTGCCTGCTTGGTTCAAAATGAGGGCACGGGGAAAAAGAAGAGTTGTCAAGGTGGTGGAGAGCTGGGGACTTGAAGGTTTGTTCCCTCTTTGGTTCTATCTTCTTTTTGTCTGACAGAGACACCGGCTAATATCGTGTTGCCTAGCCTTTGTAATTGGCATTATGGCTGTTCTGCTGAACTTGCTGTGGCATTTTGCCCAGAGGTGAGACATTGTCTTGTCCTGGCTTGCGTGTGGTTTGAAGACCTTGCTGATTAAACTCGGCAGACGTTGGAACCTCGATAGCAGATTGAGAGGACACTGCATGACTACTCATTGAGTAATGATTCAAATCAACTGATTTGATATATGATTCGAAATTTCAGCCATGTCTCATGTTGAGCTCCGAAGTCAATTGACAAATGCTGACATGCTTCGGTCTATATGACCAACCATGAAGTTGAACAGCCATGTCCTGATGCATAGGCGAGGACCGCTTTGCCGTGGGAAATGACTTGGCATGTGACCGGGCAATCACACTCACAAAAGATCCCTCATGTTGCACTGTACAAACGGTGATTCCAAGAGACATTTTGCATAGGCACGATATGATGTAATGGAGGCTCACAGAATATTCGGTGCGAAGAATCCAGATAGACCCTGACGGAAATGCATCTATGTGGAGACCTATTCTCACAGAGTCAAGTCTCCACAGAATGCAAGGTTTCCGGATGCTGTGATGCAGTGAACTTGAATTTGACCTCATCTTGCGGAGAATCTTAGCTCTAATCCTGATCTTATCGGTGACGTCACATTGACGACCGTATATACTTCCTACATGTATATAGCTTTTCCTTCCATCTTTCTCAGACTCTCTACTTTGCTATATACCTTGATCAAACGAAAATCAAACGAAAATGTCTTCCGCAGATGCCACTATCAACACCAAGACGGGCAACCACCCCGTGGACCCCTATAAGACCCAGAACTTCGAAGACCCGCCCCTCCCTCAGAAGATCGAAGAGCTAGTTGAATTTATCAACCAAGTTAAATTTGGCATGTTGACGACCAAGCAACCAGAGGGCGACTATCTGGCCTCGCGATGCATGGCACTAGCCGCAACGGTATGAGTAGAGCCACGAAGAAAGGAAAAACCATGCTAATCCGTTATCCAAAATAGGAGAATGGCGGCATCGACCTCATTTTCCACACAAACCTCTTCTCCGGCAAAACAATGGATCTCACCGTGCACCCAAAAGAAACAAACATGTCCTTCCTCGACCCCATCAGCGGAGCCTGGGCCTCCATCTCAGGCACTGCATCAGTGATTGGTGATCCTGCCACCGTGAAGAAGTACTACTCGCCCACACTCAAGGCATGGATTGGCGATATGGGCGATGGCGTGCACGATGGTGGACCCTCCGACCCCCGGATTGGCGTTATCAAGCTCGAGGCCAGGTTAGCCACGCATGTTGTCGCGCACAAGGGCCTGCTTGGGCGTGCCTATGAAAGTGTTAAGGGTGCTGTGCAGGGCAACGTTCCTCATATCAATGGCATTCGAGAGTTGAGTTTGCAGGAATTGGCTGAGTGTATGTTTCCATCCTCTTTCGATCTTTTCGAATATGTGCAACAGAAATGCTAACTAGTCTCTCTAGGGCGCCGGACGCATCAGGAATAAGTGTATTTAAAAGAAAACACACGAAAGAATAGCGTGCCCTCTTTCTTTCTTAAGAGGTATATAACGATTTAGTGGAAATAAAGATGAATGAATTGAATCCTAAATATTCCCCCTGCCCAAGTAGTCTTTTTGCTTCATAGTGTTGGCTTCGAATTGGTCCATTGTATCCAGCCTATATAGTCTAAACTTGTGGATGTGCGTAATACAGATATAGCCTTAGGATATCGATCAACTCGCTACTTTCCAGAGTCGAACACTCTTCCAATTCGTCACAGCTTCTTTTGTACTGCCGGATTTAGCCTCAAGGTAGCATGAAAATAAAAACTGTGAGACCAAGTATCTAATTCGCAATTTCTGGCTAAGCCTGTGGTTTTGGTGATAGTAGGATAATTTATGAGGAGTTGATCGGCCAAACAATTAGCCCAAAGATATAGTGCACAGGAATTTACAAGCAAGGTACAACATCGAACTATTCAGACACTAAATTAAACAAGAGGTGAATTCAAAAAGAATACCTAAGAGAGCTTGACTCCGTCGCCGCCACAAATGAAACAAGATAAAATTGGGTATCGTCCGCAAACTCCCGCTGCCACGCGCGTAATTCATGAAGGGACGTCAGTTTGGAATTGACGCCGAAGTGAGCGAACATTTAAACCTGGCGACTTTATTAGCATAAGAACATACAGTGAAAGTTTATATAGACTCACCAAAGCAAGAGGGAAACGGTAAGGAACACGGCCATTGTGCAACAGCATAGCTTTGGCCTTTTGGGGAGTAGCCTGCAGCTTGCGGTAGGCCTCGCGAACGTGTCGTGGCTCGATGGGAGTGCGCCCCTCCTCGGGGGGGTCGAACAGGCCGGTCTCGCGCTTGCGCTTCTTGAGATTCTCGCCGGCTTCAGCGCCCCCGCGGCGGTGCTTCTCGTTGTCTTCGCGCTCCTTGACTTTAAGTGCCTCCTCGGTCAGGGTCTGGACGATCTCGAATGTGAGAAATCCGAGGATGTCAACGATGTCGTCGTTTGGCTTGGATTCGGTCACGATGCCGAAGCCTGCCCACTCGCGGAACCGCTTGCTCTTGCGGTAGGTGAAGGAAGCCTGGCGACATTCGGACCAGAATACATACTCCTCCCTGGTCATGTGGCGGGTGCGTTCATCGGCGGCAGCAAGACGCTGGAGGGTCGCGTAGTTCTGCTCCTCCTCTTCTTCATCCTCTTCATCTTCGCGCTCGGGGACCTGAACTGAATAGAAACTGTTGACATCCCACGCAAGTCCGACCTTGGCGCGCTTATTCTTGGGCTTTGGGGCCACATCTTGGGGGCCTGCAACAACACCAGCCGCATCGTCGGCGGCAGCGAAGTCGGCGGCGTCACCACCACCCTTGTCGTCGGAGTCCTTGACATTCTTGCGGACGTCCTTCCAGGACAGGAAGGTTCGCAGACGGGAGACCTTAGCTTTATCGTGGCGAATCAGGAAAATCAGGTCGTCAGTAGAGATCGAGCGAACTCCGCGGCGAGTTGCCAAGGCGGTGCTGCGGGTAAGCTATTTGGTCGTTAGTGACAAGAGCTTTCAAGGTAGAATTGTTAGTACACACAATTTCGATCACTTGTTGGCGGGTGATCTCTTCAATCAAAGTGGTAGTCTCAGGGGACGGCTCGGCTGTCTCTCCGGAGACAAACATCATCTTAATATTTTCGTTAGTAAAGGAGCCTCCAAATATTTTTTCTTCCTCAATCCCATAATCTTTCTGGCTCTCGGTAATTGTTTCAGAGCTGGTCGTGGCACTGTCGACTTGGAAACTGAGCGAGTTGAAGATATGCGTGCAAAGCAAGCGAAGCCGAAGGCGAGGCAATTCTTCCTTGGTAGGCCCATGCAGCTGGTTGTAATGCTCGTGAAAGTACTCTCCCATGGAGAAGAAGTCTGACAAGGAATCATCCGACAGACGATCTTGATTCGTACCACGGATGTCTTCAGCAGGATGCATGGAAATATCCTCAGGGAAATCCAAGCCCGAGTCTGAAGCTGCACAAGGAGCATTGACAGGGGAGGCAATGGTACGATCACTCAAGGACATATCAGGATCAGTCAAGGTCCGATCAGGATCACTCAAGGTCCCATCAGGATAGCTTTGTATACGTTCTTCCTTGCTTCGCGCAAGTTCGTCCCGACACTGTTCCCAGAGATCAACGATTGATCTGGCGTCCAGGTTGGGAAAAGACATGGTTGTAGATGTGTTTGACAAAGGTATTCATAAAAGAGGAAGCAAGGCAGTGAATCATATGCCGAAAAGACGAAGCCGAAGAGTGGGTTCTCGTGGTAAACGAAGCGTTCGAAATCTTGGAGAGAAGAGACAAAGAGTGACAGATGGCGGATGAGGGTGAAGGTGAAGAATAAATCAGATATCCAGGCACCTCGGCAAACCGATAGGCTGAGTGGTAGCCATCACAGAGTCGATATCGATAAGAAGCCCACGCGTGACCTCCATAAAGATCAGAGCATAGAAGAGAAGGCACGACCGTCTTGCCAATTGCTCCTAACCCTAGGAATTTTGAAATTGTCCTTGGTCTTCAACCCAGTATCCTTCGTTGATCCAATGCCAAAGCTTCAATGTTGGCAGGGCCAGTTGCAGAGAGTATCCAAGCACTTCGAGTATTGCAATTTTGTTGCTCGACTTCCAGATGGCGTTGTTCCAGCAAATGAGTACAATTGCAAGGCAAGTGTCGCCAGCCCAGCTGGACCATCCGTGGGCATCATGTTTGCTAACCTGAAAGGCAGCTTCGAACTTCCCAGGATGACTTCTTCCCATGGGACTTGGAGAATCGAGGTGGCTATGACTCTGTCCCCAAAGACAATGCGCGTGCGCCACGCAAGTATGTTGTGTCGCAAAGCCAGCCGGCAGTCACAATATGGTCAGAGGCCTTTGGAGGCCTATCAGACGACAAAGTTGAAATATTCGAGAGCCAGAAAGATCAAGAGACCGAAAACACAAGCAAAATGAACCAGAGATCGGGGGACTCACCTGTTGTATCTCCTGCCGATACTTTGGATTCCGATCGGAGCTCATGATGGATGGCGGTAACCCTACCAGGGGAAATGTCTTTGACTATCGAGATGAGTCCTACACCGGTGTTCAACCAGTAGTAGTGAGCGGTATTGAATTGATCCAAGGCAAAGTGGAAGAAGATGAGCGCAAGGAGGGTGAAGCTCTGGACGTTCGGAGAAGCACAGGCCGATCTGGGGGAGATAAGCGATAGCCGGATATTCTTTGATCCGGCGGTGGTGGAGTATTCTGCCGGTATCGCGGGGCACGGCTGTTCTTTTTTTCTAACTGTTTGTTATACAGTGAGATTCATTGCATTTTGCTCAATTGCATGACCTGAGATCCTATAGCCAATATGCTTCATCTAGTTGGACTTGGTCTCGCCGATGAGACGGATATCACCGTCCGCGGCCTGGAGATCGTGAAGCGGGCCGAGAGAGTCTATCTAGAGGCTTACACGAGTATTCTTCTTGTCGATAAGGAAAAACTGGTGAGTTGAGTTCCAAGTTCTTATTTTCAATTTTATATCCCAATGAACCATTGCATATCTTCTGCGCAGATGGACTGATTGAACGTAATACCAGTAGGAAGCGTTCTATGGCCGCCCCGTCATTGAGGCAGACCGTGAACTAGTCGAGACCGGCAGCGATGACATCCTAGCCGGAGGCGACAAAGTCGATATTGTGTTCCTAGTAGTGGGAGATCCATTCGGGTACGATCTTTATCCAATTCCCCTACAATATCTATAGCTAACACCACTACCAACAGCGCAACAACGCATACCGACCTCGTCCTCCGCGCGCGCGAACTTGGCATCGAGACCAAAGTCGTCCCGAACGCCTCCATCATGTCAGGAATTGGCTGCACAGGACTCCAGCTGTACAACTTCGGACAAACAGTCAGCATGGTTTTCTTCACTGAGACCTGGAAGCCGTCGTCGTACTACGACCGTGTGCGCGAGAACATTCAGATCGGCCTACACACACTAGTCCTTCTCGATATTAAGGTCAAGGAGCAGTCCCTGGAGAATATGGCGCGCGGACGCCGCATTTTCGAGCCTCCCCGCTACATGACTGTTGCACAGTGTGCGGCACAGATGCTGGAGACTGAGGAGGAGCGACAGGAGGGTATCTATGGGCCGGATAGCTTGGCTGTTGGTGCTGCGCGCGTTGGCGCTGCTAATCAGCAGCTTGTTTCTGGTACGCTGAAGGAATTGGCTACTGTTGAGATGGGCGCGCCATTGCACAGTCTTGTTCTTCTTGGTCGGAGGACGCACGATCTTGAGAGGGACTATATTCGCGAATATGCGGTCAATAAGGAGACTTTCGATGCGAGCTATGTTAAGGGATATGGGGCTAGCTTGTGAGGGTTACTTTGTGAAGAGATATGATTTCAAGATTAAATACATGATAAGTTTCTAAATGAAGACCGAGGTACTTGCTATAATACACTGAAGTTGTTGGAATGATCAAGTTTGGAAAGATAGTATATGTATATTAGCTTTCATTCAATTTGACCCGAGGATCAAACGACCAGAGCAGAGGGTCTGGATTTTTCTATTCTAACATATACAGGACAAAAGGAAAATGCAGAAATATAACGAAAGACGCAAAGCAAATGGTATCCAAGAAACAGAAATGGGAAAAGCAGATGCAGGCACAATATCAAACAGACACCCAACCAACCGACACCTTATGATATGCAAAATGTTGAAGCAATGTACAATTCAACTCTCGAAAAAAAAGACACGCTCATATCGTATCATATCAGATCTCTTCTTCCTCACCAGGAAGAAGAATCTCATGTCCAGAACCTTCATATACGAAGATAGCTGCAAGGCAGCCAAACACAGATACCAATGCAATCAACCACCAGCCGAAGCCGACCATCCCAACGTCCAGGCCATATCCGTACCACGCACCTGAAAAGATGGGTCCAATGGTACGGAAGGCTGAGGACACGGACTGGCCAATTCCGTGAATTGTGCCGAGAACCGATGGGTGCGGCGAGCAGTTATTCAGTAGGATGATGGAAGTGGGGAGAGTAAAGGTTCGGGCAGTGACCTGGAAGAAGAGGACAATGATGATCCAAAACCAGACCCAGGGGCCGTTGGCTTGGCCTGGAGGGGGGATTGTAGATGGAGCCAGCGAGATATAAGGGGCAATGAAGTATGCGATCGGGAAGAGGGAGAGGAAATACTGGTAGCTCTTGGCTGTTCCCAGACGGCCGTTGATGGTAGGGTAGATGGTGAATTGGAGGACCATGCCAATCACACCCAAAATGGCGGTCGCGAAACCAACGCTCTGCGGCAACATGCCCAGTCCACCGGTGAACGCGAATGGCAAGCTTTGGGCAGGGCTCGTGGGGTCATTGGCATCATAGCGAGGAGTAGACAGGAAGAGTAGCCAGAGGTTGTTGAAGGCACCCATTTGGAAGTCGAAGAAAGCCTGTGCGCCGAGTGTGCACAACACGTTCTTGGTCCAGATTCTTCGGAAAGGCAACACACGTTGGAGGCGGACAGGCTTGTGCGCCTTTTCTTCGAGCTCGTAACTTTCCGAGGGGTCCTGGCCCAGCAAAGAACCGTCCTCTTCGTAGTCTCGGAGCGGGAGCCTTGTGTACAAGGACGATGAAGAGGGGACCACCGTCTTCACGCCGCGCGCAAAGAGCTTCTTAGCGAATGCACCCAGGCCAGGCTTGCCCTTGCAAGATGCCAAGGTCTCTTCTAATCCATACGCAACCAAAGCTGCAGTGAAAGAGAGGAAACAGAAGTTCGCGAACATTGGCAGTGCATAAGGGTAAGTCTCGAGCCATTGCACTCCGTTCGCACCTCCAAAGGAAGAATTGGGACCAAAGAGACGAGGATAGCTCTTAACAGGATCAGCCAACATGCCACCCATCACTGCGAAAATGGTTAGCTGGTTGTGGCATAGCCGCGAAGAGCATTGACAGAACGAGGTACTCACCAGGACCAAACAACGAAGCTATGTTGAAGCCAATAGGCAAAATCAAGAAAGCCCGCGAGTGATATTTCTTCTCCTTAACATTCTCCGCAATCATAGTTCGAATAATACCAACAGTGCCGTTGATGCCACCACCAAACGAGCGCCAGAACACGGCCTGCGCGAACGACGTCGAATAGGCGACACCCAAACAAGACACCGCAGTGCCAATCAGACCAACAAGTAGAACGAACTTCCGACCGCCCCACTCAGCATCGGCAACACGACCCCAGGGAATCGCCGTCGCAAACTGAGCAGCTGTAAAAGCACCCTGGAGAATTCCCGCTTGGGTCGCAACATCGGAGTCGGAGAGATTCGGATCGAAGGACTTGAGCTGGTAGAACATGTATGCCTGTAGCGAAGCGATCTGCAAGAAGTCAAAGACACGGCAGAGACCCAACAGCGCCAATTGACCCTTCCGCGGGAGCGACATCCACGTTACGAGCGCGGGGCGGGCTGGCGCCCGCGCAGTCGGAAGTTCATGCTCATGCAGGTCCAGTGTCTGGGGCAGGCCATGGCTAACGGAGCGGCCGCGCACATGCTGTGTTTTTCGGTCACCACCCATATCCATCGAGGTATTCCTTAACATGCTATCATCGATGGCGGAGGAGTCGAGCGAGTCGAGGGAGGAGGAGCGTTCTTCAACGCTGGCGAGGGAGGTATTGGACTCGCGTCGGCGGCGGCCTTTAGTGTTTTCGGAGGATTCGCCGGTGCCCTGAACGAAATGGAAGCCACTCGACCAGGATGTCGTACGCGCGTGGCGGGCATTATTCGTTTTATGGTTCCCAGTCCTGGCAGGCATTGAGGAACGTACTAGTGTAAACCGAGGCGCCGTAAGGATCAAAAGTAATAGGCCCCTTTGGTTTCACGTATTTTTCGGAGTTTGGGTGGTTTCGTAGCTTGATGCGAGTTATTTATGATTGGCTATTGATATGAAAGAGAATAGAAAGAAGAGAAAGAGTTGTAATTTTTTTTTTTTACTTCAATTTCTCCTCTGTTGTTGTATTGTCTCCAGGGGATTCGATGACGTCCTTTCTCGGTACTTTTTAATGAGGCCCACCAGAGCCCGGGGAATGCCGCTATAGTATACGGAGTACACAACAAATATCGCTATTTTTATATTTTATATTGAACAATAGCAATATACTGATAATATAGTATTGATTTCTTAAATCAAATCCCTTCACATCAGTAAACATTCCATATGATACACTCTCTCTGATACATAGATCGACAACGACACAGCTTGCGACGACCGCTCCACATCTCCCTGCCGAGTCCTCCCTCCTTGGGCCATGCGCCCGTGCGTTTTTAACGGAAGTCTTGGCATTAAGGTACGAACCGTGGTGGAGGAGTAATTTTAGCTTTACAGTATTAACTTGACAGTCATACACACAGAGATGATTTTTTTAGATATTGGTGTCCTACATAATGTATTTAGGAAGTGTACCTAGGTACGGAGTATGTATTACTTAGTCCGTAGTCTTTCTAATTATTCAACTAGATCGGGGCTATTATCCATTTTAAGCTTGAATACGTTAAATGTGATACAAACTATTTATTTACAAAAAATATTTAAATTAATACTACATGTAGTATCCACTGAGGTTCTAGAGCCACCGGCGGCAAAAGCTAGCGCCGACAGTTTAAGCGTTTCAGCCACATTCCACGTCACTGGAAAAAAGCCACTTTGATACATCACGTACAATTCAAACGTACCTAGGTAGTCCTACCACAACCTATCGCAAGGCTAGTATACTCGACCCTACAAGGCGAAGCTAGGAGTTGATAACATGTCGCATGATCAAGGCTATAAAACTTCCGAAGTGGACACAGTGCATCGTAGGTTTTTGCATACTTTGATCGACATAAAGATAAGACATCTGTATTTTAATACTGTGTAAACCTGTATATGTATTTATTGTATACTAGTATCATATCCCGTACCATACCTGTACTAACAAAACTAACATAAAATCTACTCCGTACTACGAAGTCATATTATTCCTCTACAAGGCAGTCAATACGAAGTATGCATGCCCATCCAAAGGTATCGTACACTTCCGCCTCGCTCCGGAGGTACGTGTACCCAGTGCGTATGTAGTAGTTTCTCCTAAATGAGAAGACCAAAAGCGGCTGCCTTTCCACCACGTAACTTTGTGTGGGCAAGCCGCCGGTCTGGCGAAGGCCGCCTCTTCACGCATCAGTTCCCACGTGTGCTCCATGAGCATGGCCAAGGTGAAGGCATGGTTCTGCAGAATCCTGGCTTCCTTGGTCCAGACGCGTGCACAGTCCTGCTTGATAGCTCACTTGGTCCTAGTGCTTGGGCTCCATCCTACCACCAGTTTAGCTTCTATAGCTCCGTATATTGTTTGAAACGATAATAATGTAATGCTTTAACAATGCATTCAATCGTTCCTATGATCCATCTTACTAAAGAAAGGACTCGACACATAAAACGGCCGTTCCACAGGCGTTTCATCATGACCACTCTCTCCACCCCCCTTAGAGCCCAAAAGCGACTGCATTCGCGCCTGAAACACCTCATTCTGAGCCAACTTCCCAACAGGCTTCACTGTATCCCGTTCTTTACCCGCAAACCTTGCATCAGGCTCCCCTTCACACGTCGACTCCGGACCATCTATCCATTTCTTCTCCCTGCGAAGACACTCATTTTTCATCTCCTCCGAACTTCTATTAATCATACTCTTCCAGAATCCTCCTTCTCCAGAAGAAACAACACGAGCTTTCTCAAGCATTCCAACAGCACCAGCAACCCAGTCTTGGCAATTTCCGATCCCAAACTCGGGGATATTAGATTCGTCGTTCCCAAACGCAGAGAGCAGGCTAGCAGCTCGTTGGCTCTGCTCAGAAGAGAGAGAAGCAAGCTCGCAGCGACCTTTGAGAACCGGGTCTTCGAGCGGCTGTGTCCGCGGATCGTAGACGAAGTCTTCGTCTGTGGGGTTCCGTATATGGTGCATTTCGCAGGTTGAGGAGCCGTACTTGTAGATGCCGATTCCCATGTGGGAGGGGCCGTCGCCGAGTTTGGCGTCGCCACGGCCGTAGATGTTTATTGAAAGGCCGTAAGTGGGGGATTCCATGTCTAGTACTGGTAGAGTAAAGGAACTATCTAGTTGTCCACTCTCAATATGTATGTCAAAACGTTTAAAGCTACTGAGGGGTAGGTTGCCTAACGGTGTATTAAGGTGCTAACCTGTAAACAGCGAAACTAACCACATACAGTAATTCACAGGTCCTTAGTTTATGCAACAACATCTCTACTAGGTGGTACTTTTTTTATATTGAACATAACAATACCCTAAATTAGTATCTACGGAGGTTCTAGAGCCAGCACCGGCGGCAACAGCTAGCGCCAAGAGCACAAGCGTTTCAGCCGCATTCCACTTGAAATATCTATACTACCGAACAGTAACATAAAATCTAACAAGGTCGTATTATTCCTCTACAAAGCAGTCAATACGAAGGATGAATCCTCGGCTCGAAAGTATCGAGCAGCTCCGCCTCGCTCCGAAGGTACGTATACCCAGTGCGTAGGTGCGGGCGTCGGTTTTATGTATTTTTCGGGTATTCGTATTATATCACATACGGTCGAAACGTCCACGGAGTGTTCTTTACATTACGCCGCGTGGTTCTGCCTATTGTGGACTGTTTGTGCTATACTTGGATCTATGGCATACATACATGCAACTAAGCATCTTTTCCTATTTGGGTAGCAGATACGAGATATAAGATGATCTGAGTATATGGGTTATATGTTATGGTAGTATGTATGTACAGCGCAGAGTACCTAGCAGTATAGACGCAAAAATGAAGCAAGAAGTAAAGAGTAAAGAGTAAATAATGAGGAGTTACTATTCGTCCCGCTCTCGTTCACGCCTGTGGCCGTATAGACTCCGTTCACCGAGCGAGAAATAGGAAGTTGCTTCGTCCTCTCCGATCCACCGGTGCCAATCCCACCAGGGCAGATCAGTGGTTTGCACGGGAGGGTGTTTCCGCTCAACCATACCGTTCATAGACCCAGAGGACTCCTGATCCCGCAGTTGGTTGAGCGAATGTCTGGTATAGTATCTATGTGCGAGGAAGACTCCGGCGAAGATGGGGATCGCCACGAGGAGAACGGCGCCCCAGGCAAGTAGACCTGTGAAACTGTCAGTTTTGCTTATTATATTTGATAGAATAAAAGCTTGTTCGAGATAAACTCACGGCCATTGTTCCACCCATCCGAGTACTTTGGAGTACCAGAAGGACGTGGATATCCCGAGGGATGTGTCCAAATATTGGAGCCCGGGTTGTTGGGGTCAATCCACGGCACAGTGTTGACACCTACCGGCGGAATGAGAGGACGGGCTGCCTCTTCGCCGGGGGACCCATATCCCTGTGCATCCAAGCAGGTAGAGTCGGCACAGAATTCGCGCAGCTCGGACGAGGGCACGAAGGTATACTTGGTCTCGGACTTTCCCAGCACGATGCCCTCGCGATTCACTGCTTCGACCTTACACCAAAGGAAGAACCTGGCGCTGGTGTACTCAGTCTCAAAGCCGGTTTTGGAAACCTCGTCCAGCAAGGTCCAAGGTCCGGTCATGTTCATCGCTCCCCAAAATCGCCACGTGTTGACGTGGGTTGCGCCGTTCCAACTGACATAGAAGCTGGTTGAAGATAATGGTTCCGCGCTTCGGGAGTATGTCCATAGGGCAGGTGAGTCTGTTGGTACACCGTCCCATTCAAACTTCATGGCGCGGTAGTTCATCACAGTGTCTTTGGCGAAAGAGCCCCAGAAAAGTAGATTTCCCGCCTCGTCGTGTTCGGATACGAACGGGTTATTTCCCCATCCGATGAAGGCGTTTTTGTTGGGGAGCACCTGCAGGTTTCCCTGGCTGGAGCTCACTAGGTCGTTTTGAATTGGGGCGTAATCGCGGAGCTGGGTGGCCGTTTTTTCCGCGTGGTCAACCATGACGATCATGCCCGCTGAATAGGTATGGGTCTTGTTGAAGCCGTTATAACCATTGTTGTAGAGTGAGAGAATCGTATGCGTAGCATTCTCATACAACCACCGGGCGTCGTGCTGCTGCGAAAAGCTAAAATTGATATTCCGGAAAGAGGGCTGCGCGCCGTGAAGCCGCCACATCACTGAGCCGTCCTTACCGGAGATCTTGTAGATGGCAGAAGTATGCCGCGACGAAATCAGATAGTCACCGGCAGCATTTTTGTCAACGGAGTTTAAGTGGAAGTAATCCCAAGGCTCATGCACGTTCAAGCCCGTTCCAGAAGTATCCGTATGAGACGGCCATGTATAGCTCGACGATGGATCAACATGATCTAGAGACCGCCATTCAAACAGGACCTTGTTGGTCTCCACATCGATCTCCTGGAAAACACTCTCCATGAGCCACCCCACGCCAGTTTTGACATTCCACGGTGTCATATCGAATTGCCGTTGCTGGTAAATGGTCATGAGGGCGGTTTTGCCATCGTTGACGAGACGGAATTCGTGCATGTCGCTCGAGGCCATTCCTCCACCCGGTAGAACAGATCGCACAACTCGGTAGTTTTTATCCATGATGATACCATGTCCGCGGCAGTATCCTTTTTGCTGGTTGCCCTGGAAGAAACATAGGTGATCGGCGCCGTTATATTTGCACACGTGGAGGCCATGGGCGTTGCCCGGCCCCGAAACACCCCAGCCACTCCATACTAATTCCTATTGATCGCGTGGCGGGTTAGCTTTTCCATGATGGAAGAATCTCAACCCCACAAAATAAAGACCTACCCCTGTGTTATCGTAAATGTACGGGCCGGGATTCTCGAGTTCGTATGGTGTGATGAAGATGTAGCCCGGGCTGAGCTTGTCTGGATCGGACTTTTCGACATTGAAGACGGGCGGGTATATGTCGGGTCTCTGTTGCACGGATAATAATTTCAGTTAAAATGCACACTTGAGGGGACTAGACTAATTTCACTGACCGATTTGTAAAAAGAGGTTTCCTCTCCAAGCGCACAATCAATAGCGCATAGCCAGAGAATACCAAGGAAGAAGAGTGACGGCGCAGAGGAAAATATGGAGCCCATGGATTCTTCGCACCACTTCCCGATGCAAGATAAAACTGAACTTGTAGAGCCGGATAGAAAAAAGATCACCCAAAAGAATGTATGCAAGGAAGACTGTATTGAAAGTAAATCATGTTGGAGAAGTGTAAAAAAATGCAGGCCAAGGAGAACTCAACCATGACCAAAGAGGCCAAAGAGGCCCATGGTGGACGAACAGTGTGTACGAGTCCCTCTCCACCTGTCAATGCATGCTTTTTTGCATATGTAGTGGGGCATAAATTGTGTTGATCGTCTACGTTAATTGGCTAAAATCCATTTAAAGCTAGACAAAGGTGCTTAGTGAAGGGCAATTCGACCAACACCCGTGCAGTGCCAAGATGCCCAGTCCTGCTAAAAGTTGTCTCACTTGCTTAAGTTGTGGGGGAGTGTTTGGGGAATTGGTACTATACTAGCAAAATCATGGTGAAACAATCCCCATCGCCCCTCACGAACAGGATCTTCCCCCTCAAAAGATTTTGATCGTCTAACTATTGCTACGGAAAACCTTGATTGTTATTTTTTCTCCAATACATGTAGGCAGACAATGTGACGGTACGGTATTTTCAGGGGCCACGTCATCCCCGCAAGACTAAGGTGATGTGGCAGCCGCTAACTACAACATAGCCCCGAATACCATAACTCCGAGATCGTACTTGTTTTCGTATGCTCAATGGCTTCAATCCACGGAAAATTCGGGAAGAGCCCGGCAGTTCAACCATGTAACGTGTCTCGGGGACGGGACCACGGATGAACACCCAGTTACCCGCTAGCCAAACTCGGATGGACAGCTGACTCCCGGGGTCCCCAATCCGCGTAGGTGACTTATCCTGTGTGCAACCAATGGCCAGCTTCCAAGGTTCCACGCACTCCGATAAAGCTAAAAGCCACGTGCATGTGGCTGAGAAGAAGCATTCCTCCAAGGTTCGTTTGCGTACGCCAGTGAATTGAAAGCGGGGGATTGGGTAAGATGCAGCGGTGGCGCATAGTGCGTCGTCAGTGCATACGCGGGCCATCTTTGCTGTAACATCTATTCTGGTACACATGCATTAGATTTGAACCTACAATATCGGTGGCATTATGAATAATGTCAGACAACTGACACCACAGGTTGATTGACCATTTGACCTTTTATGCAACAAAGTAAGCGATTGGAACTCGTGTTAGAGATTCTCAAAGTAACATCGCATATACACTGTAAACCATTCAACCCTGGGAGCTACATTGGATAGATAAGAGATTAGATGAGAGCTAAAGAGGACCCGTCTACCTATCAGGTGTCCGTGACCACAGCTAAGATACCTCTCTCTTATATGCCAAACGCGGTGCAATTCGTAGAATCACCAGCCCAACCGGAATAGCCCCGGAGATCAAAATCTAATCGGCGAACAATGAACCGATAACTCAAGGTGCCATTAGTCCACGTACACCAACCCAACCCCGTCCGTGTATATTACGTATGTCTGCCAAAGCTTCTAAGTCAAACCTTCTAAGAGGATCCGCCCCAGAGCCTAGGATAAACGAAGTAATCTGAAATCCGCTTGTTTTTGCACATTCGAATAGAGAGGAGCTATTGTATCAATCAGTTCAATGTTATTTCTCCCTTACAAGAATACAACAATAGATACCAATACACGTAACTTTCAATGTCGTATGTAACGCAGGTCCACGTAATTAATATGGATCCCTCTAACCACCGCCAAGCCACTAGCCGAGGAATACTCCACGGCACATCTCCAACGGAGTGTGGCTGGTACATTTCCTCTTGGTTTCGTACGAGTACGAGAGTGGAGGTGGGAAGGACGTGAGACCGGGTGTTGACGGCCAGATTTGGAAGGTGTCGATAGTCGGTGTTTATTTACTTGCTGAAGCGGTTGCTATGTGTACATGTACAATTGGTCAATAGTTATGAGCGGATTTCTGTTCTCGTGTACGCTGTATGCAGCGAAACATCAGAATCAAATAGTTATTCGTATACACTTCGCAGCTTTAGTTGGCTCATTTTGATAAAGTACTCTACTCCATGCGCCTTGCATTGACCCCGGTTTATTGAAAAAGTCGGCGGTAAGGCTTTTGCTAGCCAAGATCTTAGGCGCCCCTTGCCTCTAGGCAATGCATGATGATGACAGAGCCTCGTGGAAGCGGGTCCCTTGTGTGTTTACTTCTCGATTTGAAAGCTGGCGATGCTTTGATGCGCTTGTCGCACATTTGTAAGACGTATGCATGAGGAATGATGGTAAAAATAGATGCAATAGTATATATTGTTATATTATCGGATTGTTCTCCAATGCGCCCCTGAAGATGGCAAAATAAGAGATCGATATGATGGATGTAGTGGTCTGTTCCAAGGAGGATAACAGAAAAAAATAACAAAAAAGACCACGGAGTCTGGCAGCACACTAGAGGCGCCTGCGCACGCTAGCAGCCAGCGGAAAAAAAAGTGAGATGTGGGGAATATGGAAAAAGGAAAAAAGATGCGCAAGGTGCAAAGACGAGCATTTTAGCGAGGGGAGAAACGCTTGAAAGCCATAGTAGCAGCAAAGCCAGCGGCAAGCAGCGAACCACCAATCGTGACGGCCTGGAGGGCAGCGTTCATCATCTGGTGACGGTTGCGGGTGCTGCAGCGCTTGTAGAAGTCGGCCATGTCGTTGCCGCGGGGGAAGGGGGTGTCAGGGACCTCCTCCTCGAGGAACTCGCAGAGCGGGGCCCAGCCGTCGTTGATGTTGTATTCGAGCAAACGCTCGGGGGGAACCATGCTGCGGACCTGGGCGACGTGATCCTCATAGACTTGCTTGCCCTTTCCGGGGAAGTCACCGCGGAAGAATGTCTCAAAGAACTTGTTCAGCATGGGGTAGTACATGCCAGCTGCCCAGCTAAAGTTCGACACGAACTTGTGCTCTGGGTCTGAGACGCGCCAGAAGACAGTCTTCATAACGGAGCTGAGGGTTTGTTAGTATAGTGTTCTCCAGACCAGAAATACAGATTTATGTATGAGGGATGACTGTGACTTACGCGTGCCACGGGTCGACATCACGGGTGGTCAGAATGACCTTCGCATTGGGGTAGGCCTCGATTAGCTCCTTTGCAAAGGCACAGGCAGGCCAGTCACAGACGGCCTGGCAATCACCCAGAAGTTGGTCCCATTCCTTGCGGCCGAACTCGCCGATTCCGTTGTACTTCGCGTTCAGGGCATCGTGCCACATCAAGCAATCCGGCGGGTTCTCAACACTTGCGCACATCATGTGGTAGCACTTGCCATAGCCCAGGCGCTCAAAAGCCTTGCGGAGAGCTGTCAAATGATAGTTAGTTTATGTTTCTCGTTCCTATCAGACCCGGTATATACACCAAGTCCAACGCAACACAGCATATCATACTCACAGGCAGTTCCGGTACGACCAACGCCCAGAGCAAGGACCTTCATAGGCACTGTGCGGTGGCACTTTCGGCGGTCAATGTTTGTGTCATCGGTGAAGACGTCGGTCATGGGCTGGGGAGCCAGATTATCGGAGAGCATGAGAGACATGATGGGGTGTTTATAAGCTCAATTGTAATTCGATATAGTTGGAACTTTTATAAAGAGAGACGAGATGTAGATGATATAAACGAAAGGAAGTAATTGAGCTGGATAAAGAAAGGACAAGACTTATAGAAAAAGTCTAGAAGGAAGGGAGGGTTTTATGAGGTTGATATGGAGATAAGGGGAAGAGTAAATGAATAAATGAATAAATGCAAGAATTAAAAAAGATCAATTAAAAAAAAAACATCCAGACTCGGTACTGAACTGATCCCCAAGGGAGATCGATAGAACAATGAAGTAGAGTGGGCATTCGGTCACAGTGGCAGTGCCAATGACGAGGCTCGAACCACTTTTCCACAGTCCCCGAGTATGTTGTATGTATGTTGTACATGTATGTATTTCTCCCCGCGAGTGGCAATGTTTCCACCCATTATGTCCGAGTCATGGCTTTTGACAATTTCATTCCTGAACTCCCATCGTGCCCCATTTGGACCGGTGGATTCCAAAAACCGAGGGCCCACGAGCGTAAACGAAGTATGTTGTACAGTCGCAGAGTTAAAAGACATTGGAGTACATACCTAGTTGAAAAGTCATTGTATATCGTACACTGAGGCGCGTAGAGGCACGACGTCACAGGCTGACGCACAGGGTTGTCAAGGATTGTCAGGGGTGATTTTGTGGAGTCGGGTATGGTACAGGCTGTATGGTACGGTTTGTATGGTACCATGTGCAAAAAGTCGGGAATTTTGGTACCGAAAGGGAAATTACCAGTAAGTGTTCCAAGGTTCATGTTGTCTGCCGCGCTGCCAAGACTGATCCACGTACTCCGTCCGCTTCGAATTTCGAAATCTTCTTCGATCAGTCAAGTTTTCGGCAAAATTGACGATCCATGCTGTGTCGGTCATTGGTGGAGCTTTAACTGGAAACGCGTACACCTTCAGCTTGTAGAGAGTGCGCATTTCTGAATATGAAGGCCGGTTTGAGTGCACCATATAATCGTACGCTCATAGATCATCGTAGATATCATCTACTATGTATGAGCCTGCCATGTTGTGTTGCTGTATGTCATCTCATATCCACCACACCACAGTGAGAAAAGCTGGAATTATGTCTGCCAAGCTTGGCCCACAATGTTCCAAGCAGATCAAATCTCGCAGCTGTCCCGCCCAGGGGAATATCGTTCCGGGTACGAGAAACCGGCGCCCCCGCTCCATCAGATTGATTGCGTTTGGCTCGTTCGAGACTGCAGTTGCGAGTTCCACCTGTCAAACTTAGTCTAATTTACTCTCAACACCGCGGAAGGTATGTAAAAGTTTCAGCCAGTCGGTCACGATGGGGCCCTTCTCCTGGATCGTCTGGTAACGCTACCTATCACGGGAAAGACCATCTGCTCGATATGTCGCGGACTCAAAGCCGTCATCACCCGAGTATCAATCCGGAGGAGTTGGCGTTTGGCGTGTTAGAAACAACGTTTCACTTGATTTTCATCCCCAGGGGTATAATCGTCCGGTGTGTACGGAGTAATGTGTGAGGATTCCAGTAGTTCTGCTGTCACGCATCAGTATTCCGTACTGTCACGGCGGAACTGATCGTCAACGGGTCCCGTGTCGCTGAGATAATCTCCCTTCGGGGAAAGTATTCTCGTAGACCCGGCTTTGTCACGTGTCCACCAAAATTGAGCAGATGTCTGTGAGGCTGTGTACGGAGTAGGCAGTTAGTACGATATCATAGTATGACGAATAGTGTTGTTCTGGAGAGTCCGTGGTATAGCGCCTGGAACGTGCATGCTGAAGTTAGAGTAGAGTAGGCTCTTTGTGGCCAGTCGAATGTAGTAAAAGCGAAGAAGAAGAATATATCCAGCAAGACCCTTTTAAAGGGTCAACAGCGACAGAGCTCCTTAAATGTGCTATGCCAAGACCCTTAGACTAACGCTCGCCATCGCTCGCCATTGATAGCTATGATCACCTCACCAAGCCATGACCGATTAGGCAGCTCCTCCACATCATGGAAACATGGCTGATTATGCAATCTAACTTGAGCTTAAAGCTCCTAGGTTGATCCATTGAGCCAAGTTTGCGTATTCCATCTCCACCAGACATCCGCCGACGGCAGTGTTTTCGGCAATCAGTGAAGAATCAGGGAAGACACAGCTATATCTCGAACCATGAACCAGTTCCCTTGTTGGGCGAAAGAGAATACGAGGGAAAGGCTTGGCACTAGCAAACAGATTGTGCTACCCGTCACCCTTCATGGCTGTTATATCTACACAAACTTCACATAGATGTCTCAGCTTTATTATTTTGTACATCTCAATCTCATAGTGCCGCTTAATTTTCAGAGCTACACCGTCGCCTGGCTGGGACAATGGTAGCGCGTGAGACTTCCGGTTCCTCCCCGGAGAATATCCCGTTCGCCATACAAACCTCGGATAAGTAAAGACGCTTAGTCTGAAAAGCCTCTTCATCTGCAATGAGCAGATAGACCAGAGAAAAAGAACTTGATGCAGCGTACTGGTATGACCTGTGATTTCAACATTGGCCCCTAAGTGGTGGCATGAACCTTACCGATGATTTGATATCTCCAGAATAATTCCCCTAATATGAACATGAACAGCACTAATTTTGTCTGAAAGCCACCGAGACACCTGAAACTCCATGCAAATGACTGTTTTGATTTGATTTGTCCAACGCAGTCGGGTCCGTAATCGGCAAGGATCCCATATAGTTCCCGAATCCGAGTATCACGGTTCACTTCTACTCCAACTTGTCCAGGTGTTCCAATCGCGTAAGAACAACCTGCTTGCTTGTTTCTTGAATCTCGCCTGCGAGAAAGACTTCGTCAAGGATAGCGTAGACCTATAAATCCGGCACACGTGGTCAGTATCACGTCTCATGCAACTCCGATCCCACGCCAGCCCCAGTTCATGCCGAGCAATGCATTGCCAGCGACTTGCACGCACCTTGTAGAAATTGAAGACCAAATCCAGCTCGCACACATTGCCAAAGAATTGGTCCAGCACTTCGACAAAGAAATGGATAGCTTCGAGATAGGCTAGCTCGTTGTCATTCGCATCGACGCAGACACAGAAGAACAAGCCAGCATATCTCCGGTAGACGACCTTAGTACTCCGGCGGAACTCAACAAAGTTGGACTGGTATTTCTGATCTCGGGGGGCGACGAGGCGATGGACCTAGACGGTTGTCGGTGGTTAGTTGGATGGGAACCTCGGAGCAAGTGTGGGTGCGGGTGGTATTGCATGGACGAACCTCGCCTTTCAGTTTGACTTTCTCTTCATCCTGTAAGCCGGTGTCAGCTCAAAGTCCCAATTAAGTATCGACTGATTGGATTCTGCCAACACTCACACTGTACGGTGAATACCATTTCGCCAGGCGCGTTTTCCCCCTATACCGTCATTAGCGTCGAAATTGAAAATGACCAGGGCGAACAGCCACTCACTGGCGATTCTGAACCAGGATAAATGAAAGGACCATTGCGGTAGAAAGCCAGGATGTTACCTGGTCAGCATTTATGAAACCACTCGGGGGGAGTGTTGCGACAAGCTTTGGATGGTCTCCGCTGCTCCCGTTATCCAAGCTCCCCTCCCATATTGCCCGGATTCACCGCCCACATCGGATTCTATAAAGATGCAGGGGAAATAGAAGCGCATATAAGAGAATTACAGCAAATTATTCTACTGAATCTTCAAGCAATTTGGTTCCCATAAGGCATCTAATACATCAACTGAACTAGTATAACAATATTTGCAAATCATAGAGTATCAACAGACATAAAGCGTAGAATTCGTTAAAAGCTCCCATCACAGCCCGGTGTAACTGTAACAACGAGGCAACGAGTGACACTGCGTAGTGAGGGAACAAATTGACCTGATTTGCCATGTTCCATAGCACCCAGCCACAGCTCTCACCCCGAGCTCATCCGATTCCAGAACCTCGTCAGACGAGTCTAGAAATACTCCATTAGCAACCATGTAGATGTAGCAGTGAGACTGGAAGTCTGCAAAAAAAAAAAAAAGAAGCCAGTAAACCAGGAGACGAGAAAAAGAAACCACATACCGTATAGCTCTGCGGACTAGCAGGCTCTGTAAAACCCCCCTTCTGACTCTGAGCCTGACTCTGGCGCCGAGTCTGACTCTCATCCTCAGATTCATCCTCAGATTCGTAATCCTCCTCATCCTCAGAATCAGGAAACCACCGTTCAGGATCCCCGTTGTAAACAAGATACCATCCGATCTTCTCACCGGGGGCTAGACGATCGCGCAATTCCTCGAGCGCCGCCATCTGGTCGTCCGTCAACCCAGAGCCCTGTTCCACGCAATCCTCAATATTCTCTCCCCCACCACCACCACCACTCCCATCCTCTGGAATCTCCAGAACCCGCGTTGAAATATACGCATGGTCCTGGCTGACGGTGCCACTGGTCTCGTCGGCGGGGTCATACTGCTCGATAAACGACAGCTCCGGCAGCCGAGTCACGAGGTCCGCTTGTGTTTTGTGGAAGGATTCTGAAATGAGCTCGGTCGTCAGCGGTTGCTGGATGTATTCCGCTGCTGCTTCTTCCAGGTTGTGGAGTACGATGTATACGCGGATCCCCGTGAACCCGGCGCGGGGCCAGCGGAAGCCGTGGAGCATATAGACCGGCATAGTATTTGGGGGCTTTTCTTTTGGCGCCTTTTTCGGGGTTCGGGGGGTTGTCGCACTGTCTAGCGACCGCTAGCTGGGGAGGACGGTCGGATTTGCAGGGGATTCGGAGTTCATATTATGTCTGTGTCATGGCTCGTGTGGTTTTTCGGGGCGGGAAGTGTATCGATGGCGATTGGGTTTTGCGGGTCCCGTGCGGAGTTCCAACGAAGGTTTCGATTTGTACTGCTTTAATGCTTCCAATATTGGGTGGACTTCGATATTAAGGCAATATATAATTAGCCTCTTTCATTAGACTTAGGGGATAACTGGAAACCCACAGGTCTGGGGAAAGGTGTACCTTGCTTCTATCACGTGGGAGCCTATTAGTTCGTTGGCCTCATAGATTGGCTACAGTATAAGCTTGTAGGAGCTCTCTATTATCTATCCCTAATTACTACATAGATCTTTTCCCACGCTAAAACCTATTGACAAAATAGAACCGTGCTAATTCCAATCTAACATTATCTCGGATTCGTTTGCTCTCAACGTTGGAAATACGGACACTCCAACTTCGGAGTTCCGCACTGAATATGACCTGTCAAATTCGGGGAACCACTTGGTCAAATTTAAAATCTGGTATTTCACTGATAGCCAGTCAACTGATATTAACGGGAATCGTTTAAAATGAGGAGATGTGATGCATTATGCGGGGCTAGAAACAGACATTCGACCTAGCTAACCTCGTCCAAGGCACTGGAAAGGAAAACGACATGAAAAATGGCTAAAGTCAAGATGCTGAGTACCGAGTTCTGGTAGATATTGAGATACTAAACTTCTCAATCATGGTCTCCTCTTCAAATCCGCAAATCGTCGTGTCAGTTCATCCAGCTCGGGTATCCCATTGTTGTTACTCTTGCTCTTAGAGGCACCACCCTCCTTTGGGACAGCAGCGGCTTTCCCCTCTGTGCCGGGAAGCTTGACTCTGGGGTTAGGATTGTCCGTTCTGGGAGCCGGCGGCGCAACGCTGACAGGACTTCGGCCCGCAGCGAGTCCACGCGGAGGCGTAGCTTTGGTCAATTCACTGGTCTCCGAGGCACGTCTCGCTTCAGAGAGGTTCGGCCTCGGCGCTGAGTCTCCTTGCTGCTTGCCAGGGGTCTGCGGTAATTGAGGTTCCTCTGCGTCACCGTCACCATCACCACCATCACCAAGATCGTCCACAAATTCAGTCGGTGCACTTCCTAGCTCTTCTTCGGCACCATGCCATTCAACGCCGTATGCGTTCGCAATTTCTCGAAGGTAACTCTCAACAAGTTCCTGTCCTGGTGGACGCACACGCAAGCCCTTGAGAAGCCGATCCGGAACCTTGACAGTATCGACCTTATTATCTTGCGCCAGAGTCATAAACTCCTTGCCGTATCGCTCGCCCAGCATAGTGCGGAGCATAGTGAATTCGCGCACCTCATGCGGAAAGCGATGCCACGCGTAAAAGACCACAGTAGCAGCCTCGTCGAGCGCAGTATCAATGTAGGGATTATCTTCATCGGAGTCATCCGCCGCACTACCAGATGCTGTAATGGGCGCAGCCCGCTCAGCCTCCTTCTTTTGCGCTCCTCCTCCCAGCCAAGAGAACCCGAATCGCGAGCTGGTGCTTTCCCCAGCGCCCTTGACGCCTGCGGTGGTTGATACCGTAGCACCAGCTTGTTCTTGGGTGCGCTTCTTAAGCAATTCCTTGGCGCGAAGTCTGGCGCGGGTTCCCTGGTCGCTGAAGGCCATCTGATCCAACACGTTTGCGCGCGCTAGCAGCAGCTCACAGTAGAGCTCGACCATCTCCATTACCTCCACTGCGATATCGGTTGCAATGACATTTTCGACTCGGATGCGCGCTGATGTATCGCGGCCTTCGCTGAGGAGCTGGGAGAGTTCGCGGCGTTGGACGACTGAGGAGGCTGTGTCTTTCTTTTGTAGGAGGCGGAGACGGGGGATAAGCAGGCGGAGGGTGGAAACTAGTCTGGTCTTTGATTCCATTGTGTTAGATATTTGGTTTCTGTGTCAAACGCGCATGGGAGTTACAAGGTAGGCAGGCGTTATATATGCAGTGCGGGGTAGCCTTGGGAGCTCTAGGTAACGAGGTTTAGGGGAAGTATCCCGATCATGGAATGCGTATGCAAAGAGGAGAAGAAAAAGAAGAGTAGATCATGATGGCTTACCGTTTGAGCCGAGGGGGGCATTTTGGCGGATAAGTTGTTAGAACAGAAGATGTGAGGGGGAAATGGAGGCCGACGGGATCGGGAGATGTTGGAGTCGATCACCACTTTATGGGTTTGCCCTTTGTTTTCTCACATTTGAAACTTGAAGAATCCACAAAACTCAAACAATGGAATGATGGTATATTAATTAGGTATTTGATGTGTCTTCGGTGTTCTGGGAGTTCTGGGGGTTCTGGGGGCCCTGGGCAATCGTCTCATAGCTTCAATATCAGCGCCTTGTTTCCTGAGTCTCTCCTGCTCCAACGTATCGGCAATAGTCTGTTTGAAACTGTTGGTGTAGAGGAGCCATTTGTTGATCTCCTTGTCTGTTTCTTGCAGCGGGCTGTGATCTCATCTAACAATAAATTGAAACTCATTCGAGGTCGTAGTCTTGACGCTCTCAGCGGAGCACTCTGAATATCATCAGGATGAAACAACTCAAAATTTAGATAATAGACTTACCTTGGACACGGTCTTCTTCCATGTTGAAGAAGCTTTGAGTGCTAAAGGATGTGGTGAATATGAGTAGATGGGATGGAGAGATGGATAGGATGGAGAGACCAAATGGCTTCCTGGATTCTAGAGACTCAACACATATAGATACCAAGTTAAGTTTATCTTAATTCTAGTTACTTTGTGTGTGGCTTTGACAGCAGTCATTTGCTATCGTCTCTGTATTCACTGTATTCACTGTCTTCATTTCTCATACTTCCCTGTTTTGTACATGCATTATGTGATTCTTATGGCATTAAGATAATATTCGAGACATTACTCCATACATGTTATACATCTTTTAGGTATCTATATTTTTTTGTCTTTCTATATATGCTTTTGCCATCGCTTTTATACTTACGGGGACTTCCGTTTTAGGAAGTTGACGGGAGTGGGTCTCAATCCAGAGTACTTCCAACGTTGATAGGAGCGTGAGGTCAATCCTGGAAGAGTATCAAAGATATAAAGACCGTCTCGATCTCAATTTTCTCTTCTCGTTCACAAAGATCCCGATACAAAGCAAAATGGCCTCCAACAACGCCCACCCTTCCACCAAAGCATTGCATGCAGACGATGCTCTAAATCTAGTGACTGACGTCGCACCTCCAATCCACCTCTCTACAACCTTCCGATACCCCAATGATCCAGACCAACTCATCCCATCCGAGGATCCGGTAGTACGTCACAAGCCAACACACAGACACCCATGTTCAAAACTAACAGCCCCGTCTAGGATGAATTCAACGGCAAGAACTATGTCTATTCCCGCGAATTCGCCCCAAACGCAACCCGCTTTGAAGCAGTGCTCTCATCCCTAATAGGCGGTAACGCAGTGAGCTACTCAACAGGTCTAGCCGCTCTACACGCCGCCCTCACGCTGCTCAACCCGCGCCACATCTCCGTCGGCGAGGGATACCACGGCAGCCACGAAGTCATCTCGGTAGTATCGCGTCTGTCCGGGCTACAGAAATTCGCCCTCGACTGTCCCGCCGAAAGCCTAGGTTCCGGCGATGTCATCCTACTAGAGACACCCGTCAACCCGCTGGGGACGGCGTTCAGCATCGAGGAATACGCGCGAAAGGCCCATTCCCGCGGCGCATTCCTCATTGTCGATAGTACATTTGCACCGCCTGGCTTGCAGGATCCGTTCCTGTGGGGCGCGGATATCGTCATGCATTCTGGGTCGAAGTATTTCGGTGGACATAGCGATCTGCTCTGTGGTGTGCTTGCTACGAAGCGTGGGGATTGGACGAAGCGGTTGTTTGAGGATAGAATCGCTCTTGGGAGTGTGATGGGGAATATGGAGAGTTGGCTTGGGATCCGGAGTCTGCGCACGCTGGAGGTCCGGGTTCAGCGGGCGAGCCAGAATTCGGCGAGGTTGATTTCTTGGCTTCATGGTGCTATGCAAACCTCGTCCCCTGCTGTGGATAGTGAGGAGATGGTTGTCCAGTCGGTTTTACAGAAGATTCACCATGCTAGTTTGCAGGATGAGCCGTGGTTGCAGACACAGATGCCTAACGGGTTTGGACCCGTCTTCTCCATTGTCTTGCGCAATGAGGAGTTTGCGAAGGTTTTGCCAACTAAGCTTCACTTCTTCCAGCATGCTACTAGTCTAGGCGGGGTTGAGTCTTTGATTGAGTGGCGGGCTTTGTCGGATTCCAGGATTGACCGAAAGCTGCTGCGAGTTAGCGTTGGGCTGGAGAACTGGGAGGATCTGAAGGATGACTTGCTCCAGGCATTTAAGTCACTTTTGGAATGATAGCTAAGTTAATCTTATACTTTTGTGCTAGATAGCATGAGAGATTTTGGTTATATTCAATGTTTAGTCTATTATATCAGAAGGCAGTCACGACCCAAACGACCAATATCAAATATCCACGGCGACGAAGTCTCCAAGCCTTCTTCCTGCTCCCAATAATCTTTCAGGATCTTCGCTGCACTAATAACATTCAAACATCTCGTAGCGGTCCAAAACTTTTCTAAAGATTCAACCAAAAAGTCTTTCTGGGCCCGAGACCGACACTCCAAGCCCGCCACGAAGATAACCCACAGAACACATTTGAAAAGCGCCTCGTCGTCTTTCAAAGTATCAATCAGACCCAACAGCTCAGAGACCAAATCGTCCTGCACTGTGATGATTTCCGTGAGTGCATCAAGAATGCGTCTCCCATACAGCAAAGCCCCGATTTTAAATGTCTGCGATAATGTGCAGAGATTATTGATTTCGTCTGGGGCAGACTGTCTGGAATGTTGGAGACTCGAAGCCCAGGCGTAACTGTCAAAGTTTTGGACGAGTTCCAACATCGCGGTAGTATCTTGGATATGTGTTTGGAGGGCGGCACCGTCCGGCAGCTGTCCCGCGATGGCGTCCCTTTCGTTCGAGAGAAATTGTATCGCCGATAACAGGAACTCCGGACATCCAAGGAAAGATTGTTCAATTTCTTCTTGGGGTTGCCTTTCTGATTGGCCGTCAAAAATGAATTTTGACAGTAGTTTCGGTCGTAAAAATGTTGCCCCCAGCGTTTCAATTCTAATATGTAACCAGTCAGTCTCTCGCATGGCTTTATACCATTCATTAGGCTTAATCCAACTCACAAATGAATCTGACTGGAGATAAACCCCCGGATCTGCTGTACCGTCTGGCTAGGTCCATTATTAACCCCAGCTTGCGCCTCCAGCAGCGGCTGGTAGGATGTAATCAAACTCTTAGCACCCTCAAGATGAAAATTCCAACCTTCACTTCCGGATTCGAGGAGATCCAGGAAAATAAAAAGAAATATGCTAGCGACAGTTGTGTCGCTTTTCGCTGTTCTTCCATCGCTAAGTACCCGGGAGAGAGCTTCCATGGCTTGATGTTTAAAAAGTAGCGCATCGCGATTGGCATTAATGAGGCCAGCGGATGTCGGAGCTTGAATTTGATCGAACGGCTGGCCTGTATTGGCATGATGCCGCGCCGCGAGAGCAAGTATGCCCTTCTGCAAGACCGGATCGTTCAAACCGAAGGAGATCAAACTCCGGAATGGATTTCTGGCGCTGTCGTATACAATGAACAATTTGCATATGCGTTCGTTATCTGAATGCGATGTCAGCGATTAACACGCTGGTGTTAGATCTTTGCATGCGGATCTTACAGTAGTCTATATAATATTTCGAAGTTTGATCCAGGTTTGACATGGTCGGGTCTTGCAAGGTAACCGGCAGGGTTCTACTGTCAGCAGAAGCTTGGACCAGCGCGCGGGACGATTTCTTCGGTGTCAATATCGCGGAGTTGGTAGTTCTAGAAGTATGCACAGGAGTGCCATCTGCCATGCCCTCATACGAATGGCCTTGCATCTTTCCGCGAATTGCAACGCCCTTGACCCACCTCAGAGGTCTTTTGTCGAAGCATTCCACCCCGCCCTTCTCGCACTTGGCGCATGGTGTTCCGGACTGGTCGCATTGAATGCGGCGGTTGCGACATGTCCAGCATGGATCGCATACTGTCTCCATTTGGATATGGCATAGGGAATGTGGAACGTGGCGAAAAGTATAAGATTCGTGGTCCACTCCAGTCGGGAGCTTGAAGATTTGCTGACTGAGCGGACCGGCTATCCATCCATGGATACCCCATCGATGGCAATTTTTTGGGCCATCATGACAATGCTTTTAATATCTCAACTTCACAAATTCAACTCATACTCTGTGTCTGCTATTTATGCTCTACTAGAAGATGGAAAAAAAAAAGCGAAAGAGCCTAGAAAAAAAGACCAACAGAGATCTTTCAAATGTCAAAAAGGATAGTAGAGATGATCTATAGACGCTACTAAGAGGCTAATTAGCCCTTATAAGTGGCTATGCCTTCTTATTATGCCTATATGGATTTTTGCTTTCTACTCCCTAGTTTAATCTATATATTACGACCCTGGTATAGATCTCCCGTCTAATTGATAACCCAAACCCTTCAAAGGTCATATTTTACCATATGCTAATAGACCGTTGGATGCAATTCTGCTGATTCGGAGGAATAGATCCGCCTGCCAGATCAGAAGCTAAACCGGAGATGTTGGACAGCCTGGGCGGAAGAAGAACCAAAACTACGACACTCAATTTGACCACTGGATAGAAGTCCGCCAAAGCTGATCGGAAAGATATACCTTTGAAGTCGTTGCAGAAGAAGCACAGATGGATATGGCTGGGCTGAAATATTCACACCACACAATAGACGTACAGCGACAGTGGGGCTTTCGGGGTCACAATTGACGAGTCAACAAGATTAGCAACGGAGAGACCGAGATATCTGAGACATGTAAGACTCAAACAACCAGAGTTGCCGCAACCCTCAGTTCTCAAATTGCTGCATCCAATGCGCCCCCGACGGTCCAGAGAGAGACACCAGGCACCGTCAAGCCAATCAAGCGCAGCACACAGCAAAATCGAACCAAACAAAGCGAGGACAAGCCACTATAGCAGATTAGACCTGGAAATTGGGGGCCGAAGAGCGGTCCGTGAGAAGAAAGAAGCTTACTCTCCGGTCAAAATCTCCAGGGCCGTATATTTAGAACATTTAGTCTACTTAGCACAATTTTAGTACAATTTTAATTGGTTGACCCACTAGGCATCTGGCTACGCTGATTGGTCTGCTCGGTTCCTGACGTCATTGGCGAAGGAGTCTGGTGCCGCGATGCCTATTTGGGAAGAATATCACAACTGTAGGGTTGATTTTAGCAATCCCTTCGCGTTTCAGTGTTGATTTGTCGTAGATGTGAGGTTTTAGCGTGCAGGTTATGCTTACTTATATAGCTGTCAGAGTTCGCACAATGAATGTAGTCTACTGTTTCCTATCTCTATAAAGCAATCCTCGCAAAAGTTACTACGAATCGACATTCGCATAAACCAACAAGGAAGAATCTGAAATCGACACCTTCTTTTGACTACAGTGCGTTCCTATCCAGCCCCCCATTATACCCCTTATGTTCAATAACTAACGAGACCTTTTATCTTCTACAGCCTCTTCAAACCACAATGCCTGCCATCCAACCCACAACAGAAACAAAAATCACACAAACATCCACGATGAATAACGCTATAAGCTTGCTCAAGCGCAGCAGCATGAGCAATCCCGACAAATACCCCCTCTACATCTTCCTCATCATCGCCGGCTGCATTGTAGGCGGGCTCATCGGCTTCAGTGTATACACCATGTACTACGGCCTTGACGACTCAGAGAAGTTCAAGGACGTGTCCTACGAGCAACGAAAATACATGCGTGAGGCCAGACAGCGGAATATGAACATGTTGGCTGTCGAGGCGAGGAGACCTGATATGATTGTTCCTATCAGGGAATTGAATGCTTGAATTGCTTGGGTTTGGCGTTTGGGATGGGCATGTCTAAATGTGGATTGAGGACAAGGGCTTGTTCGGTCTCTAGTTAGGGGTCAGCGTTTTAGTTTGATGTATATTATATGTTAGCAACTGGCAATGATGATGCATGTACATGGCGTATCATATATTGGGACAAAGACAATTTGAATGTTTGTTTATATTCAATTTACTAAGTATTTTAATGACAGTGTGATGCTTGACCCGAAGAATCAAAGCGAGGACGAATGGTGAGAGAGCGCTCTGTAATCTATTAAGGATCTGTCTGAGATCTTAAAAGATCTTAGTAGTAAGGATTGACGAATAAAAACACTAACACTATTTTCCCGTGTCCAACCAAAAGACCTGGTTGGTTTCAGCAACCAACCGTCATATGTAACCAAAAACAAAAACCCCCTGCGTACCAGAAACAACAAAAGTAGATATTCAACAAGCTGAAAAGGAAGAGCAATGCTGAGGAGCAAAGGGATATAAAAGTCATGAAGTAGAGTAAAAAAAGTCCAACGTTGAGCGTCGTCAAGAAAGGGCATCCAAGGGATGTGAAGAATCATAAAAAGGGGGATTATGTAGAAGAAGAATTAAAAATGTGAAAGAATCAAACAATAATAGATGCCCGCGGGGTCTCAATTAGATTGAGTACCGCAGGCAGATATACTGCGGAAAGGATGCTCCAAGGTGGTGTCTGTACACACTCCGTGCATATATGCAATATTGTACGGTCAATATGGCCGAATCAAGTCGGGGTTGATTTAAATGTTCACGACCATGGCGGCAATGGCGCCAAAGGCCAGGGTCAGCATAGAGACGGTGGCGCTGGTAGCACCGCCAGTGGATGAAGATGAGGACGCAGCAGAAGCGGCAGCGGTCGTCGTGGAGGCCGCTTGGATATCAGCAGAACCGGTCAGGACGTGCGGCTGGTAGGTATAGCTTAGTGCCGGGCTCGACTTGGGCAGGCGGGTGCTGGGGCTAGTGACGCTCAAGATGGGAGTCGTGGTGGAGGTGGAGCTAGCAATAGAGGTAGAGCTAGAGGTAGAAGTGGGAGTCGAGGTTGAAGTCGACGAGGGAGTAGAGGTGGAGGTGGGGGTAGGGGTCTCAGTAGTGCTAGTGCTGGTCGGAGTGGGAGTGGCAGTCGAGGTGCTGGTGCTAATGCTAGAACTGGAGCTGCTAGTGGGGGTAGGAGTGCTGGTGGAAACCTCGATGGTCTCGGAGGAGGTGCTGCCGTTATCCTCCTTCTCGAAGACGATAATGTGGGCGGTCTCGCCCTTGGGGATAGTCACGACGCAGCCGGTGGCGCCACCAGCGCCAACGAAGGGCTTGCCGATCATCTCGTTGACGTCGTTGACAGCAGGGTCGATCTTGCAGGGCAGGCCGTGGCAGCCGCCACCCTCGCACTCAATCTCGACACCGAAGTCAGGCTTGACATTGCGGAAGGGCGTGGTGGTTTCCAAGTAGATAGGGTTCCAGCCGATCTTCAGGAAGGTGTTGCCATTGTCATCGGTGTTGGCACCAGCGGTGTACGGGGACCAGTTACCGACGGGGTTCTCGGAGCTACCCCAGATACAGCCTTCCTCCGCGGTGACACCAGGAGCGTTAATGTAGTACTGGGCAGCAGTGGAGCACCAGTAGGACATGCCGGGCACGGCCAGATCGGCCAGCGTATCAACCATGGTGGGGATAAGCATGGCCTCGTTTCCGGGCAGCACAGTCTGGCAGAAAGATACAGACTTTCCACACTTGTTTTTGGCCTTGAGAACACCACTGGCCGACTCACAGTAGTCACGGTTGGGGAAGGGTTTCTGGATTTTGCCGTCCTCGTCACAGTATAGACCACCTCTCATGGACATAGGGTAAGAGTAGGATGTCGCCTCGGGATCCCACTGCATAGACACCTGACCAGGAGGGCAAGCGTAAGGGCAGTAGTTGCCAGGTTCGCAGGGCTGGTCGGGGCTCATAGCCCAACCGGCGTTTTGCTCATGCGGGGTGATCTCAACCAGGCCAGCGTCGGAGGGGAACTCGCACTTTCCACTCCTCTTTGCCAGAGCCACATCACGAGTCTCGTGGTGATGGCTGTGGCCATGGCTATGTTTGGCGGCCTCAGCGCTCGCAATGAGGGCGACAAGCGCCGCTGCGCGGAAGGATGTCATCTGGAACTTCATTGTGTCAGGGGAAAAGACTTGGCAAATTGATGAATATCAATAAACGAATGAATATATGAAGCGAATGGCTAAGTCAAACGAGTGACAAAAAAAATATACGGCCGATGGCCAAGGACAGACACAGTGCTCACAGAGAATGAAGGTCAAGACGAGAGAAAGGAAAGAGACGGGGAAAAGCACCAAGAAAAGGGACACGGCCTCTAGGGGACAGGGTCCTGGCTCAGGTCCACGAGTCTGCTAGCCTAAAAAGGCGTTAGATCTGGGATGATGTGCGCGCAATTCCGGCACAGAACAGGGCAGCCCCGACTTTCATGAGCGGCTCGTCCATGATTGCCCATAATTCCCATAATTGCTCCCCGAGATTGGAATTATGGGCGCAGCCTTGGACCCCCAAAATGCTTTGCCCCTGAAGCAAACTCCACTAGTAGACAGCCACATGGAACCACTAGACACTTAGTGTCAGGGGCAATGCGAACCTGCAGCCAATGATGAACGGCATTACCCCGATGGTTCCTGCTTGGCAGGGGCAAGAAGGCCAATAAGCTAAGAGGTATGCTTTTGTGGAGTTGTTTCCCGAACTCTTTCAACGGCAAAAAAGCAAATTATCAATTCACAAATGAAGAGGAGAAGGGTGGAGGAGAGTGGGGAGGAAGAGGAACACGTTGCTCGGCGCAACCTTTGGGAACCTTGAAGATCTTATCACATGATATCTCACCATCTGACCTTTACTTGCAACATTATGAATGTTGCAATAAATCTTGCATATATGGAAAAACAAATCAAGTGAACCCGAACTACGGAGCACATCATACATTCTACACACAAAGAAGAGAAGTCCGAAGAAGCACATGAGTGAGCTAATATTCCCAAGCGGGATAGATTGCCCTTTTCGCCTAGTAGCCCGTCAATCCCAATCAAACCCACCACAATGAACGGGTCTGGACCTGTTGATCATTACAATTGAACTCTCACTTCTGTTTGATAGGCACGGGATCACATGGCCCAGAGATCCGAAGCTTTAGAACGCGTTGTCCCGACTGCTAATGTGTCGCTTGTTGGCTTGGTTAAAGCTTGGCCTATGATAGTTTGGGGTTTTGATGGTATAGCAAGCGATCAACAGGATCAGCGCTGTGGTCACTTTGATCATGGGCTCTATTATATGCTATGTACAAGACGCGCCAGAGTTGCGCAAATTGTAAAGTGCGTGGTGAGGATCCCCGGCATCACCCATGCAATTGGTAGGAATATCAATGCAAGAAGCATGGAGCTGATTTAGTATGTGATGCAGGTGTTGAATATCGGTCCTTCGATGGATTGAGCCAATTATATCGGATTATCTAAGTCTTCCAAGGCTACGTTGTCAAGGACAAAGACCGAGTGACTCTTCTTCTTTATACTTCTTTGAGTTTTGGATTGTGGTGATATATTTGTCGGATAGCTCAGTAGTCCTAAGCGGTATCTATGCGCCAGGTCACATCCCGCTGCAACAGGTGCTAAGACTGGAAAGCAAGAACGGCATTGCATCACGCATGATAAACAGGATGTCTTTTTTGAGTTTGCTGCAAGGACTGTTGATGTTCCTTGCATGGTGAATATCCACTCGGCGTATCACTTGGATTTTGCGGGGAGCCATGCATGTACGCAGCGGTATAGGTGCCATGCGACAAAACCCCCTTTGCGGGTAATATTGATTCCTTAATGCCTGATTATCCCTAGAACCTCGACTGCTAAGTTATAGAAAAATCCATTTCACAAATTAAGCCTTTTTCCGCCTTTTTCCGCCATCTAGCTAACAAACTAAGAAGGGGGAGAAAATATCTATGAAAACAGACATCCAAAAAGACAAACTGAAAAGAATCAGAGAAGACCACTGAAAAGGACCACTAAAAAGGACATATATATGATAGGTCGGCATTGCCACGGCCACACCGTTATATTGTATACTCAATTCCTCTGGCTGATGGTAAGCCTCATAGACCTGCGGCTGGACGAGTAAACGAAGGTGGGAAGATAGGGTTGCACTTTAGACTTCAATATAATATGCAGAATCAGTCGTTTGGTCGGCCTTTCTCGCCGGTTAAAGTTACCTGGCCAATCTTAGAAGCATTACATCGCCATCTAAATTTGCTCTGTAGATACCGCATCGTGCTAAATAGGGCTTCTTGGCCCAAAGTTATTGTGGTTTGTATTTTCAGATATCCATCATGACCTTTCGTTATAGATAGAGCCGTATCATCAGACATAAAATATTCACAAATGAAACTACTCGCCTTGCTGGGCCTCGAGGTCCTTCCACCCAGCAAAAGCTGGGATATCATCGCGGTCTCTCCATCCCCAAGCAATGCAGTAATGCCGTGCAAGCAACTGCCACTCCTCCATCTCATCGAGCATCTCCAGCCCAGCAACTCTTTCCTTCTCATCCTCATTAACCCACCGCTTCCAAATAAACTCAATATCAGCCACAGCCTGGCCATCCCCAAAGCCCTGCTCTCGGAAGCGGCCTCGCTGCGATTCAAGCGACGCATACCTAGAGAGAGTCTTGAGTTGGATCCCCCGTGCCGCAAGGTTCGACACCATCGTACGACCAAAGGCATCATTCGGCCGAATAGGCTCATAAAGAATCAGCCCGAGCGGAGCGACATTCGCCTGCGCTTCCTGCAAGCTGTCTCCAGGCCCAGATACTGGATGCCCATGGCCAAAAAGGCGTTGCGTGAAGAACGCAACCACCTGCTCCGCTTCAGTGGGCGATAGATATACCAAACAGCACTCGGAGATCAGCAAAGTCGGCAATCCCGTCTCAACGCCTGGCAGTGCTCCAGCAGGGTCACTGCATGTCGACAGCGACCGCAGATCAACCGGGTGAACATGGTACGAGGGCGAATGGAGAGCGTCCCCGGCCTCGGACACGGTAACTCGAGTATCCTGTTCCGACGAAACCACCGACGAGTCAATCCCAAGCGCGCTCTGTAGTACAGGTGCCGACCTAATCGCGCGGATCTTCTCCGCCGTATTCACAGCGAAATCGAGCTCGTGGTAAACGAAGTCCGGGGTTTGGCGCGACGAGAGTAGTCGGAAGACGCGCGTGTCCGACCCGGCGCCTAGAGATATGATCTGTTTCTTGTGTGTATTTTCCGGTGAGAACGGGCCGAGGAAGCGCGCCACAAGCTGGTCGATGGCTGTTGTGCGGGCGTAGGTTCCTGGTACGCGGGGAGATCTCCCGGTCAGCCATAGGCTCTCTTGTCATTGCGGATAATATGGTTTGAGAAATCGGGCTCACCTCGGTTTATAATTGGCAATCTCCGCGTCGCTGACCCGGCTGGTGTCAATGCCGCCGCGTATGTATCCTCTAGGTATCCTAGCTCGACGGCGCTGAGGCGGGACACGCTTGCGTCATTGTCTGTGCCTTGAACGATGCGGTCTTTTCCAGAAGGGAGCCCGGTCTCTTCTGTGCGACCTATGCCACGGCCTCGGCCTCGGCCTCGTCGGAGAGTGTTTAGGTTGGGAATGTGAGAGGCCATGGGGAATGGAGGAAGCTTGGAGCTTGGAGCTTGGGCTTCCGTGGTGGGGTAGCTATCTGCGCATGGATATCACCGATGGTTAATTTCATCTTTCTCCATCTCTATAAATACTAATATTTCCAAGCCAGTTTCACAATAATATATCTTTGTCGAATTATTCCATCTGGATCCTCGCCCCTACGTCGTGTTTGATCGACTCGGTGACTACAACCCTAACCTTGAGGTGGAAAGCTGCAAGATCCAACATTGGTGGAAGCTCCTTATGCTTATAAAACCAGTGAATCTTACCTAGGTATGTTCAACAGCGAAGACAATTGCAGAAATGATGTACATTAAATATCTCGAGTCCAGCATTTACTACAACAATCTGATGTTACCACAGGGCTATGGCTTTTCAACTCTCCCAAGCACAATATCCCTGCCAAAATATGTATTGTAGAGTTGCCAACAGATCTGCACCTAAGCCAACTTACTCTTGACAAAGGCAATGGCCTGTGCACCATACTCAGCTCCGTAGCCCTGGTGGGTCGCGCCGTTACTGCCGTTGCAGCAGTACGGGTCCGTAGCGTCGCAGTATGATTTAATCTTACTGGCCGACGGGCAAGAGAAGCCAGAAGGACGTGCGTCAAACTATATCTCGAGAGTTAGATCAAAAGCTTCCAAGTTTAGGGGGAATATAGGGAAGTCCATACGCCTCCAGCAGCACAAGTGCCAACATCATACGACAACCCTGCCACATACAGCGGATCACCCATGAAGATGGCTGCCTTGACCATGTTCACAGCGGACGTCGACAGCTGGACCGCAGTGTTGGTGTAGCCTTGGTTGGGAACGCCGCCGCCGCACAAGGCTGCGTCCATGATTTCACCACCCTGAAGCATCGTAAGAAGTTGGTCTTTCGTTTTGAGAGGAAATATAGCTCACCTGGGAATATCCGACCAGAACAAGCTTAGTCGATGGACACTGTGTGTTATAGGAGTTCACAGCCGAGGCGACGGCTGCGATGCCCTGGGCAACTGAGTTTGAGTAGCTCACGCTGCCGCAGGACGATTGTCCACCGCATGCAGGGTAGCTGATGGCCTCGGCCGTAGAGCCTGAGTAGGCACTGAGGAGGCCATTGACGACTGTGCTGGATGAGCCGTATCCGGGGGATACAGTGGTCTCGCGTGCACCAAAGATGTGGACGCCAGGGCAGTTGATACGTTTCTCAATGTCAACCTCAACCGGGACAGCGAGGGCGCTGCTGGCAAGGAGGGAGAACGTCAAGATTTTGGAAATCATGATGACAATGGATATCAATCAAAAGTAGAACAAGCGAGGTGTTGCCTTAAATATGCTCAGGTGTGCAAGTTGGTTTGATGTTTCGAACTGCGGAGACCACGGTTGCTTTATAGATCTAGAATGTGCCGTTGGCAATTGGAGTCAGAAGACCATTGCATTTGCCGTATAGTATGTCATCAAGAAACAAAACTTGTTCCTTTGGACCGAGGGGAGATTTTGCCTAATGGTTGTTTTGAGTATGAAACCTCATCTGCGTTGTGGCAGGATCACCAGGTTCAGCCGTGAAGAAATGGAACAGGACCCACATAATTAGGCTGAATCGACCGGTGTATAGGCTTGGGCAAGGCTAGATTGTCTCAAACATGACAGGCCATTGGATATGTGGTTGAAAATGTGACCCGCTTGCATATAAGTTGTGCTAGTTCTCCGCGTTATTATAGGCAATAATATCGTCAGATCTTTCTGGGGTATGCAACAAGGATCCTTGCTCTAACTGGTTTGGGCGAACTATAATTCTTCACGTTCATTTTTGGCAAAAAAAGGCTATATCCATTTCCAGGGCCATAGGCAGATATAGAGACCTAGTTGTAGTATTGTGATTATCAAGCGACGGTCTCAGCATGGACATCGAAGATGTTCGGGTCAACTTCCCAATCAGGGATGGCTCGAAACGTACTTGTTTCATTGGTCTCAGCTATAGGATCTAGTATGCAGGGTGCTAAAGGTGGCTAGGTGGTCATTCTACATATTCCTAATAGAATCTGAAATACTGAAAATAGGATCCTGGAATGCTTCGTTCACGGTTGTCGGACCGAGCCCGAGGGCCCTGCCCTATGTTTGTTATGTCATGTCTCTTTTTTATGTACAAGTGAACCTAAACAAAGCATCTAAACATAAACAAAGTTGTTTCGGCAAAGAGGACAAGTGCTCTGGTTGCTGCTCTTGAACCAGCGGAACAGACAGACCGAGTGGAAGGTGTTCTTGCAAGTGGCACACCGCTTGTTTGGTGTCTGCATGTCTGTTGAAATAACAGAGTAACAGATAGCACACTCGCTTTGGCCCTTCAGAGCACCCTGGACGTTCCTTCGGAAGGCCAGTAAGCCATCGACCAGGTTGCCATTGGCAAACATAATAACTCCCTGGATCGTCAGCAGCCAGCTCTTCCATTTCTTCTCGTCCACAAGCACGCGACTGCGACCGACAACCAACGCGGGTTGAAGCGGGTATGCGGGTGGGAGAGTGATAGAAATGGCAACTGGAGGCGACTCCTCATCGACTGGAATGCTGGCAATGATTTCGCCTGTCTTCGGGGAAATCTTCACCTCCAGTGCGCGCTCTTCGTTTGCATCCTGGGTGGCAATCCAGTCGGTCACACTTTTGAGTGCATCTTCAACGACAAGCGGGGAGATCTGGGAATGGTATTAGTTAGGGTTGCTCGTTTAAAAGGGCCGACTACCAAAGATCACTCACGTATCTTTCTGACCAGGCTTCCACCGGACCCTTGATGCGTTTCTTCGTGTCGATCCACCAATTCTTGGTCATGTTGGCAGAGTATCTTAGGCACAGATAATACAAATGTACCAGTAGCCATTGTGTCTCCTTTTCGGCACTCTCGGACTCATCTGGCTCAAATGATCGAATATCAAGTTTGGATGCATCGATCATCTTTCCGTGCGATTTTTGAAGGAAATCAAACGTGAATTCCAGCAGTGGGATGAGGATATTGTTCTCTCGGATGCTTGACGCGTAGTATTCTTGGACAGGGAGAGACTGATCGGACTGTTAGCAAGGTATTTTACAATTTGTTGTGGAAGAGTCAAGACTTACAGCATTTGAGAAATGGTCAAATACCACCTTCCAGCTGAGAAGGTACGCCCGAATACTGGTCCACATCTTGTCATCTCCGTAGGCAGCAGAGACCATTTGCATTGTCGGGGGCTCAAGCAATAGAGATACGAGCTCATCAGGAAGGCTGACTGCAGTCTTTGATAAGGCCACCTCAAAAGATACCTTCTCCTGGGCATGGGGGATATAGTGATGGAGAATTGTGTAAGCAGTCCGCTGAACTGCTCGACTGTGCGCAGTCAGAAGATGGAACGTTTCACTGGCATCCTCCAAGTTGTCAACGGGGATAGTGTTAATCAGGCGTCGTAACAAGTCAACAGCAACATCCCGAGGTTGATGGAATGTAGTTGAGGAATCTATAATTCGTTAGACACATCAGTGATGAGAGAAACCTAAAAGGCTTACCAAACGTGTCAATGGTGGAGGCCAGGGCATTGAAAAGACCGGCCTTTCGGTCTGACCAAGCATCCTGGACATCGTCATTGCTGTCACTTTCCGAGATAGACTTCAATCGTGCGAAGAGTCTGAAAGATGACACCAGTAATGGTAGAGCCTCTTCGCCTCCGTTCGTTCCCTGCAATACAGAGTTTAGAATGCCCATGCTTTCTTCCCAATGAGATCCATAAATTTCCCCGAGAGCTGGAAGGACAAGAGACAGGGTCTTGATGACTTCAGATTTCAAACCAAGAGACACTGAGTCGGATTGGAGACATTCAATCAAGTTCTTGGTGAGGAAAACTAATCTCTGTGTCGGAATCGTCGAGACAACATCTTCTTCCCCAGACAATAGAATATTCAATAGAGCCAGCTTCCGCAATCCTGCGCACAGTTAGTTTTAATGCTATATTTGCTAATGTCTTGTCAGACGCTTACCAGCTTGGGAAGGATCCTGGGGCTTGAGTCCAGTGGAATCAGCGACCAGCTCATTGCAGATTCTGTTTCCGATGGGATTTGATAGTATGGGGCTTCGCAACACTGCAAACCACGATGCCGAGCGGATGAGATTTGCTGTTCGGGCCTCTCTGCAGATCTTTGCAACGTCCTCCGATGATTTGGACTTTTGCAGTGAATCCGCAACATCCATTATTTTGACGAAGGCTTCGCCAACCCTATAGTCCAAGGGAGATGTACCCTTTAATTCCTCTAGTCTGGTTTCCCAGAACTCAGCAAACGAAGAGGAAACGGTCTTCTCGGGTGCGAAGCTAACTGGTTCATTGTCACGAATCCAGTTACTGACCACCTTTCGGCCAGCGAAAACAATCTCCATGTACTCTTCTCGCTGATCAGCCAGCTCGAGACCTGAGATGCCGTTGCAATTCTCAATGCTCAAATCGTCATCTATAAGTTGAATTGCCAAGGGCAAGAAATGGAACAAAGTCTCTAGGTCCTCCTGGTCCAGATGTTTCAGTAACTCAGAAGTAGAGAGAGTGCTGATGGTGAAGATTGCCAGGCGGAATGCAGAAGAGCGATGGTCTGAATCGCGAGGAATAGTCGGCCATAAAGCCTTAAAGGAGTCAGATAGTTCACGCTGGATCAAATGAACAGCGCCTCCTAGGGGACTTGTTATAGCAATGGAGGGGCGCGGTGGAAGTTGGAGAAATGGGGTCAAAGATTCCTCCCATGAACGACGAGAGGGCAGAATATCCTTCACGGTACCAGCTGCGCCTTCAGCCGTAAGAGCTGGCAGCAATTCATCTGCGATAGCAAGAAGTGATCCAATCCTGAACCAAAGTTAGCATAACTTCCCACAAAATATGGTGGCAATGGAGTACTCACGACAATGATTCTTCATCCACATGACCGAATGCATGTTGGAGAATTTCGATGCCCGACTTGGCACTCGTGTCGCCAATACCAGATTCTTTCAATGATTTTACCAACGCTTCTGCTAAGCTTGCCACCTCTTCAGATGGTGATTCTGTAAGGAAAAGTAGCTTTCCTGCTAACTTCGACCCATGAGCTCCATTTTGGAACACCCGAACTGAAGATGGTGCAGATTTTCCAATATGAGAAAGCCCATGCAAGGAATCAAAGACTTTATCATCTGAAGATAATGCCTCGATCAAGGATAAGAATATCTGATCCATCAATTCGCCATGTGATGTTTTGTTTTGAAGAACTGCAATGATGATAGGCCAATGAGCATGGCTTCCTTGGCAAGCTTTGCCAAGAGCCCGCACAACAAGTGAGTTGAGCTTGTCTTTGTGCTCAGCATCGTTGAAATCGAGAGAAGAAAGTAAGCTCTGGAGTACATTCACATTAGACTGCTCTGGCTCCAGGGCCAAGGATCGCTCAACAACGTTCTCGAAACTGGATGCAAATCCATCCCACTCACGGCATTCCAAGATGATTGAAATCAATCGATCAGCAGACGGAGAAAGCAAAAGCTCCGGGGCATCATTTTGCACAAAGTTTTGCAGGTCTTGGGACTTTTTTGCGACAGATGGCAGGCTGCGAACACACTCCACCACCGTGGCGGCCGCTCCATATGGTTTCCCATTACGGGTGCGCAAGACTTCGAGACAACCTTTGAGAAGGGAAGTGCTTGTTCTTTCGAAGACCTCCGATACTCGAGGCTCGGCCTCAGTATCTGCGACCCGTGAGAGAACAGCAGACTTCAAACCCAAGAGGCGTTTGGATTGGGCACATATTGAGTCTTGAGATTCACGGAAGTCCTTTGATTGTTCTGGAGACGATAGCTTCACAGCTTCTAGCAGCCCATCGGAAAGGGATATACACAATGATTGCAGTTCCTGGAGTTGCCCAGTGGTAGCCAGAGTGGAAACATAATCCACACAAGTTCCTTCGGCTAACTCGGCCGGCAGTGACCATTGTGTCAACTCTGGGTCGATTTGTACATACTGCACCACCAAGGGAGACAGTCTCTTTGCGATGAATTCGGATTTTTGCTCCTGGGGGACCAATGTTGCAAGCCATGTCCCTATCTGGGTATAAGATTTCCATCCGATAGCAAGGTTTGAACGCGGCTCTTCTCTTGAGTTAAGACCTTCTTGCAAAGCCTCAGCCAAGGCAATTGCGCTGGTAGAAGTGATTCCATGGTCAGCAGTGGCCTTGTCGGCACCTGCTAGTACTTCTTGGGGGATGATTCGAAGCAATTGGTCTAGATTTGACCAAAAGTTAGAATTCCCACCCTGGGACCCTTTCTGTATGTACTGGCGCAATCTCTTCGAGGCAGATGATTTCCCAGTGTAGTCATCTGTCCATATTTGAGGCCTTAGCGAAGATAATAGAAGGAGAGACTGTGACAATTCGGTAGCCGATCCGATTTGCTGGAGAGACAAAGATTTCCCAATGACCGCTGAACTGAGAGACTTCCAGTCAATCCATCCAGGCTCCCGGGAAACCGCAGATCGAAGCAGGATGTATATGGATCGGCGAACATATGGATCATCGTGGTAACAGAGGGCCCACAAATTCTTGCTGGCTAACAGATTCTCGATTTCTGGTAGGTTCTTCTGTAAATCTTCATCGGACGAATTGCCTAGAGAGGGAAAATGAATTGTTAGATAGAGAGTATTTCAAGGTAGAAATGCTGAACATACCTAGCACGCGGTTGAAAAGCAAAATTGCGGCTCCCGCAACACGGGCATATTTCCCCTCGGCGTCGTCTCTCTTCACTGTCCTTTCATCACTCAATGTCAAGGCAGTTTGGTGAAGAATGACATCATCCACAAAGTCCAAAATGGAACTTTGGTAGATCTTCCACACGTTGTTTTTTTTTCTTCGGTTGTAAAGACGTTGGTGAACGATTCAAGGGCGGCGCGGTGGACTGGTCGATCATTGTCGTAGATTCCTGCAATCCATGCTCCGATGATCTTGGGTAAATTGGGCACGATCCGCTTCCCAACAAGACCAGAAATTGTACCTTGTATCGGATGGGCAACTTGACGTACTCGGCGAGACAAATCAATTGAGAGTCTGGGATATATTCTGACCTGGGAGAAAACATTGTTATTAGTTTGGTGTTTGTATATAGAAGCGATCTATACATACCCATGCATCTAGAAACCCGTCATCTAGAGTTCCCTTCTTTTTTTCCACTGCTGATATATGGTCGCGCAGCTCCTCTAGAGCTTTCAAACGTGTAATGTCATCTTTCTTAAGTAAATTCTTGAATGCGATAACTAGTTGCTGCTCCGCAATGCGAGAAAGATCTGGCGGCACTGCAATGTATGTGAGAGCGGATGGCTCCTTCCCCTCGCTGGAGAGACCACCAGAGAAGCCCCCAAATGACCCAAAGGCACTGGCAGCAGCGCGACTGCTGGAGGCCTGGGATTTGAACTTTTTGCTCATGTGGGGTATGAGGTCAGCGGGATAAGCAAGTAGTGGGGGAGGACCTCAAAATTGAGGAATTGGAAAGGTTTCGGAGAGAGCAAGGGGCTCTGGTTGTGAATTCTCGGTTTGAATGTGATTTGAACCCTGTATCACTCTTCCATCGCGTGTGTGAAGGTGCAAGCACATTCAATATCGGATCTCCAAAAGATCCGCGGGACCAAGATAGCCATCACGTGAGTTTGTGTCATCGCTGTCCCAAATAGGACAAGCGCAAAGGCGGAGCCGCGAAAGATGAGAGTGAGCTCTCTTCTCTTCTGATCCTTTGCCCTCTTGCGTTCTGCATCGGAGCCCAGCCAAGATGAAGTTCTTCATTGAGTATGTCCCTCTGTATGGTTCTATTTAGTCTCTAAGCTGACCAGTCACAGTGATCTTCCGGTGCTGTTTCCGTATCCTCGCATCTACCCCGAACAATATGCCTACATGTGCGATCTCAAAAAGACCCTCGACGCAGGGGGTCACTGTGTGCTGGAAATGCCCTCGGGAACTGGCAAGACAGTTTCACTATTGTCATTGATTGTCGCATACCAACAGCACTACCCGGAGCACCGCAAGCTCATCTACTGTTCCCGAACCATGTCGGAGATCGAGAAAGCTTTAGCGGAGTTGAAGGCTTTAATGGAACATCGTGCTAAGGAGCTGGGCCATGAGGAGGAATTTCGTGCGCTTGGCCTGACCAGTCGGAAGAACCTCTGTCTTCACCCTTCGGTAAAGAGAGAGAAGAGTGGTACCGTGGTTGATGCCAGGTGCAGAAGCTTGACGGCGGGGTTTGTCAAGGAGAAAAAGGAGCGTGGTGAAGATGTTGAGCTTTGCGTATACCATGAGGTAAGACTTTGTTATCTGCAATACAACATTGAACAAGCTAACAGGCCTAGAACCTTGACTTACTCGAACCACATAACCTCGTTCCCCCGGGAGTTTTCACACTGGACGGATTGGCAAGATACGGAGAAGAGCACAAACAATGTCCCTACTTCTCCGCTCGGCGTATGGTAAGATATCGAGCGAGTATCCCACACAAGGTGTCCCATTTCTGACAAGCTTCACTAGATGCCGTGGTGCAATATTATTATCTATTCCTATCACTATCTTCTCGATCCGAAAATTGCCGAACGAGTATCCCGAGAGCTCTCGAAAGATTGCATTGTGGTCTTTGACGAAGCGCACAACATCGATAACGTCTGTATCGAATCGCTCAGTATAGACATAAGCGAGGATTCCCTACGAAAAGCGACTCGGGGTGCCAACAACCTGGAGCGCAGGATCGAAGAAATGAAAAGCACGGATGAGGAAAAGCTCAAGAACGAATATTCAAAATTAGTGGAGGGGCTGCAGGAAGCTGAGAAGGCCCGGGAAGAAGATCAATTCATCTCGAATCCGGTCTTGCCAGATGACCTACTAAAGGAAGCTGTTCCTGGTAACATCCGCAGGGCCGAGCATTTCATCTCTTTCTTGAAGAGATTCATTGAGTATCTGAAGACTCGGATGAAGGTCACCCATACCATATCCGAGACACCCCCTTCTTTCCTCACTCACCTAAAAGACCTTACCTATATTGAACGAAAGCCTTTGAGGTTTTGCGCCGAGCGTTTAACGTCACTTGTACGGACGCTGGAACTTGTCAACATTGAAGATTATCAGCCTCTTCAAGAGGTAGCCACATTTGCAACACTGGTCGCAACTTACGACAAGGGATTCGTTCTTATCCTTGAGCCCTTCGAGTCCGAAGCGGCTACTGTGCCAAATCCCATCCTCCATTTCACGTGCTTGGATGCTGCCATTGCTATCAAGCCGGTATTCGATCGCTTCAGCTCTGTGATCATTACCTCGGGAACTTTGTCGCCCTTGGAAATGTATCCGAAGATGCTGGGGTTCACCGCTGTTCTGCAAGAATCATACAGCATGACACTCGCTCGACGATCTTTCTTGCCCATGATTGTCACTCGAGGCTCAGATCAAGCACAAGTTTCATCTTCGTTTGGAATTCGCAATGACCCTGGTGTTGTGCGAAACTACGGAAGTCTAGTGACCGAGTTTGCCCGCATCACACCCGACGGCGTTGTTGTTTTCTTCCCCTCTTATCTTTACATGGAATCAATCATCAGCATGTGGCAAGGTATGGGTATTCTGGATCAAATCTGGAACTACAAATTGATTCTCGTCGAAACTCCTGATGCACAAGAATCTTCACTCGCCCTGGAGACCTACCGAACAGCGTGCTGCAATGGACGTGGTGCGATCTTGTTCTGCGTCGCTCGAGGCAAGGTTTCCGAGGGCATCGATTTTGATCACCATTACGGTCGTGCAGTGCTGTGTATTGGTGTTCCCTTCCAATACACTGAATCACGAATTCTGAAAGCTCGTCTCGAGTTCTTGCGTGAGAACTATCGTATTCGGGAGAACGACTTCTTATCTTTTGATGCGATTCGACATGCCGCCCAGTGTCTGGGTCGTGTCCTGCGTGGCAAGGACGACTATGGAGTCATGGTGTTAGCGGATCGTCGATTCGAGCGAAAGCGCCCCCAACTGCCTAAGTGGATCAACCAGGCAATGTTGGACAGCGAAACCAATCTCAGCACAGATATGGCTGTATCAAATGCCAAGAACTTCCTGCGAACCATGGCTCAGCCTTTCAAATCGAAAGATCAAGAAGGCATTTCTACCTGGGGCTTGGCCGACATCGAACGCCATGAGGCAAAGAGGAGGACGGAGGAAGAGCGGATGATGAGAGCGGAGGTGAATAACGGGCATGCAATGGGTGGAATGATCCCATCCGCATCCCGGATCGTCGAGGATGAATACGACGACAACATTGATGCGGACCTCATGATGCTCGATGCGCCATAAATAATGTTATTTGTTCTTTACATAATGATGCATCTACTGGCATGGACAGGGCGTTTGGAATGGGGCGTGGCGCCATTTAGCACGGCGTTTCTAAGGAAACCATTTACCTTGCAATTGAAGACCAATCTCTAAAAAACAATTATCCTTAGGAACCAAATTTTGGGAGCACATAATCAGCTAGGATAAAGCATCAATTTCTTACAGTTCCTTCAATATTCCGTATACCTTGGTGGTATCAATAGGACGTAAAACAGATTTTAAAGTACATCCCATCAGATCGTGTATCTGAAATCTGGTGAGCCCTCAATAATCTTCTTCCCATCATCGGCCTGTTTATTAGAATAACGGAACCAGAGAGTCAATGCTCCGACTATAAGCAATATCAAGATGTTACAACTTAGCCATTCATTAGCAGAGGTATCTTCAACAGGAGAAGAGGACACACACAATAGTTGTCGCCCAGCCAGGATGTTGTAAGCATCAAGATCGCAGCGAGCCCAAAGGGGGGAGCTACAAGGCATTGGGAAGCAGCTACGCCGTGTCCCATTCCTCGAGGAATAATAGATTTCATAGAGAAGACATACGGCTCATCCTCGATAGTCGTAGTACTACAATGGTAATCTTTTGACGGCCTTCAGAATGAAATCTCGCAGAACAACGAAGCTGAATATACACATTTCCACGGACTACAGCCTGTAGAATAAGGGTTGCCAATCGTAATAAGCTCAAACTTACATCATGATCTACTAAATAGGATCGAGTCTAAGACTAATCCTCTTGGCCCTGGCATACTGTGTCGACATACAGATACCATAGCAGAGTGGTTTCCCTGAAACAAAAAGACCATATGGGCTCTTCAAGCATCCATCTTCCGCGGGTCCACAATCCCGATAACATCACCACGGGGCCTCATCTGTGGCTTGTTAAGCGCTGGTCTGGATAAATGCACCACGAAAGAGCTATGGGCCCCGTCATCAAGTCCACTTTTATATAGTTATATGGATAGGATAGCCTGGGCAGAATGAAGTCATTTATTCTATGAGGTCGTTCTCCCTCGGTAATAGCCCTGGAGTTGATATTCACTTAAAAAAACCCTACACCAAAGCAGGCTTTGGTTTTGAAGAACAGTGACCACGAGAATTCTCAATTCACTATAATCAGATACTAGTCTCGTGTTTCTTTATGTTCATCAAAAGTTTGAAACACATCAATCATAGACAGAAAGTGGCGTAGTCGGCCATTCCTACGACTCCCCGGCCAAAACGTAGTAGTTTGCATCCTGCTAACGGGCATAGTATTTTAGGTCATAGGAAATTCATGCTTAACCACACCCAATATTGGAGCATACTAGATATTATTCTTGGAAAGTGTCACCTCTCTCTGTTTGCTTCCTTAAGATATGCCCCTTTCTTTCTCAGAGTCGGCCTTATTCCTTAGACATCCATCTAGGAACTCCCGCTTGCTAGTTGGTCGCTTCACTTATCCGCCTCAAAAATCACCTTGTGAGCCCGCATGTTATCAAAATCGTCATATCTACCGAAGGGTCAATCATAGGTATCAAGATCTGAACGAGAAGAACTTACGCCTGAACAGCCTGTGAGAGCGGACGGATATCTTGAGACATGAAGCTAGGAATCATTAGATACTCGCAAGCCAAAGAATATTAGATTAGCCAACTCACTTGAGGATGTCCTGCTTCTTTTCGAAGAGGTCCATGGCCGGACCAAAGATACCTAGCACAGTTGAGTAACACAGTTAAAGTAAGATATGGAATCAGACATACTCCGAACAGGGCACCGGCCCATCTGTAGACGAAGGTTCTTTGCGTAGGCTTCATTCCCAGTCCACGGGATATCCTGATTGTGGACACCCACACTCGATATCCGGCCCCAGGGGCGTAACAAATCGAATCCCATCCTGAGAGCACTACTATGTCCGACGACTTCGATAACAATATCCGCCCCACGACCGTCAGTAAGATCCTTTACCCTTTGGCGCAGCCCTTCTTCGTTCTCTTTGAAATTCCAAGGTTCAGCTCCTAGACTCTGTGCAAGTGCTAGTCTGGAAGGCACACTATCGATTGCAATCAGAGTCTTCGGCTTGTAATCAAGGGCACTGATAAGTGCGCAGATACCCACAGGGCCACAGCCAAAGAGGAGTACCGTGCTTTTTTGAATCTCCTCCGGTGTTGTGCCAGAGAAAGCATTCAGAGAAGCAAAATACCCGGTGGGGAATATATCGGCCATAAGAACCAGCTTCTTCTCGTCGATTGAAGCTGGGACTGTGGCGAGAGTCGAATCGGCTAGTGGAATACGTACGTACTCCGCCTGTCCGCCATCAAGTGCAACAGTGCCGAATAGCTGGCTTCGAGCGCACCGAGAGGAGAAGCCACGCTCGCAGTAGAAGCACTCCCCACAGCTCGCAGTGAAGGGTGAGACTACTCGGTCTCCCTTTTTAAAGTTTTTGATGTCTGATCCAAGCTCGACAACTTCACCTGTAAACTCATGGCCCATGATAAACTCTGTGCCGGACTTTTGATGGCCGCGAAAGACATGGAGTTCACTTTGTAGATATGAGTGGTTTTGTGCTGTTAGGGATAGCTCTTGATCTCTTACCTGCCACATAACGCAGTGTATCGCACCTTCAGAATGACATCTGTTGGATCTTGGATCTGTGGGATGGGCTTTTGCTCGATGGCTACCTTCGACGGGCCCTTGAAAACAACAGCTTGCATTTTGGAAAATTATGGTCTTTCCTGTGGTTTGTGCAGAGTATGTTAGGAGGTTTAATGACGTTGTAACTGAGATCCAGGTCACATTTAAGTCGCAAAGATATATGTCTAGTCCGGGGACATCACCGAGGGACCTCGGCAGATCTCGGATTTATCCTGGCGCAGCAGGGGAACGAGTATAAATAGCATTTTGGCATAATTGCATTGAAAGGGAACAAAAGTTGTTCTTTCAGACTGAGATTCGAAGTGTTCCAGAGGCAAAACTGACCTTCACCCTTTCAATGAAGGATGTATCAATGCCATTGTTGATTGCGGGGGGCGTTTTGCGGGGTAATGGTATAGCGATATAGCTGTCCAAGGCTACAAATGCAGAATATAAAGAAGGATAGGCCATGTTATAACATCATTACATAGGAAAAGATCTATTTATCGAACTAGTCAAGATGCTAATATGAACAGGACTTTTTGGTTCCGCTGCACAAAGACAAACTCCAGATCATCGACACATCAAAGATGAAGCGAAAACACAAAAAATAATAAGAGCTTTGCATAAACACAATATACACATGAGGGGGAAAACAAGAATACACATTTCAGAACTCCGTCCAGTCAGAGACTATGCTACAGGAGCGAGAATGTCGAACGAACCAGTGCCGACAGTGCCAACACGGCCAACAACAATTCTGCTGCTAGGACTCTTGAGGTTGTCATTACCCCTCTCGAGCACAACGTCCTTCAGGGCGCCGACAGTAGTCTCGAAACTGGCTCGCGCGAAAGCAGACGAGGCATCCTTAACCAAGCCGTTACGACTGAAGGCCTTGAAGCCACCAGACTGTGTCATCACATCACCGATCAAGTTCAAGTGACGGTTGTCAACGGAGATACTGTGACCACTGAAAACGGCATCCATTTCGCGAACGATGGTAGCGCGAGCAGCTTCGACACCGTACAGGTTGAGCATGTCGTGGATGGAGTTGGTGTAGATCGAGTGGGGCTTGATGATATCCTGGTAGTCGCGCATGGCGAGCAGGTTGACACCCTCGGTGAGGATGTTGGCGGGGTCACCCTTCGCCTCATCGGCCTCAACGAAGACACAGTTGCCCATGCCGGGGATGCACTGGATGACGGCGAGATGGAGAACCTTCTCAACCAGGGGAAGGAGAAGAAGCTTGGGGGTCTCAACGTCGTACTGCAGTTGGATGGTGCAGGTGTTGCCCTTCTTCGGGTCAAACTTGAACTTTGTGATCTCCTCGAACTTGCCCATGACATCCTCCTCGCGCGCCTTGCTGTCTTGGGCGGTCTCGTCGTCAGACTCATCCTCGGAGTCGGAGTCGGAGCCGTCCTTCATTTGCACGTCGCGAGTGGCCTTGGCAGGCTTGCTGCTTTCATCTTCGTCTTCGTCGCCTTCGTCAGGGGTGTCTTGGCGTCTGATGATATCCTGCTCGGCGGCGTCGGGTCCTTCGTAGGAGACCTGGTGACCCCTGTTTTGAGCTCCGGCAGCCCGCTTGGCATCGTCCTCGTCATCTTCATCGTCGTCGTCGGCTGGCTGGGCCTCGGAGTCGGCGCCTCTCGGTGCCTCCGCGATTTTACCGACTGAAACACCGATTTCAGGCTGAGAAGTTGTGCCCTTGACGCCCTTCTTCTCTTCGTTGCGCTTCTTGAGCTCAGCCTTGGTGAGTCTCACCAACCGAGGGATGAGCTTGGATTGCAGAGCAATCAGAACATCCTTGGTCTCAATGGCGTATTCCTTGGTGTATTCTTCAGAAGGGAAGAAGTCGATCTCGATGTCGTAGATCTTGGCCTTGGCGTGGCCAATGCCCGAGCCAATGCGTTCCTTGACTTGCACCTTGTCAACAAGTTCAGCAATGCTCAGTTTGCTGATAGCCTTGGCGAATTTCTCCGAGTCATCTTTGGAAATCTCCTCGTTTAGAAGAAGAGTCATCGTAGGCGTCATAATCTTGGCACTTGCAGTCATAACAATTTCACGTAGACGGGGGATACCCAGTGTGACGTTCTTTGCCGAGTGACCAGCCAAATGGAAGGTGTTGAGAGTCATCTGTGTGGACGGTTCTCCGACGGATTGACCGGCCATAATTCCGACCGCCTCACCAGGGTCAATGATAGACTTCATGTACTTCATGTTCATCAAAGCCTCGAAGGTCTTCTTGGTAACCTTGCCCTCGATGTTCTTCTTCTTATCTTTAATGAGCTTGTTCTTGTTGACATCCGCAAACTATTTTCAAAAGCTGTTAGCATTGCAAAGAATCACAGGGAAGAGATAGCGAGTCCATACCTTCTTTAGCTCCTGGGCGAACGCTTCGGATGTACTTCCGAGGTTTCCTCCAGGGGGGAAGTGAGACAACACAGGGTCCATAGCATCAATCTTTCCGGTCTTGCGGACCGCCTTCATGGCATCCTTGTGCCAAGTCGTAACATTGTCCTTCGCCAGTTTGTGGTAATCATCTGCTTGGACTTGCTTGGAAATGGAGATGTGGTTCTGAGCAAGGAAATCAAAGTCGTTCAGGTGCACCTGTTTGGTGATGTCGAGACCATCCTCTCCGTACAAGAACTGGACAATGGAGCCATCTGATGCTTCACGGACAGAGGAGTCATATTCAGCCTTGAGGCCTTCCATACCCTTGATCAAACAACGTTGCAGGTAACCGGATCTAGAGGTCTTGACAGCAGTGTCAATGAGACCCTCACGACCAGCCATGGCGTGGAAGTAGTATTCTTGAGGCTTAATTCCGGTCAAGAAACGACCAGAGACGTAACCACCAGCCATTGGGTGAGTCTCGAAGGCCTTGAATGACGGAAGAGTCTTTCCACTGATCATGAGTGGTACACGGCGACCTTCAAGAACCTGTTGGCCGAGATTACAAGAAATCAGGTTGGCGTTAACACCGGATCCCTTGGCTCCAGATATCGTCATAGACTGCATTTGGTTCCAGGGGAAAGGCTTAGCAAGGCCGTACGGGAGACAGGCGCTGGTGATTTCAGAGGAGAGCTTGGCAGACCGGGCGTTAGAAACACTATCCAGGCCACTTTGCTTGTCGTCATCACGAAGAACCTCCTCCAATCGTCGGTTCAACTCGGCAGTCTGGTCACCAGGAACCTGGTCTAAGGTCACATACTTCAGAGCAACTTCGCGACCCATCTGAGGAGCAGTGGCCAACTTCTCCTTGCGGATACGGTCACCCTCCTTGGTCAATCGAAGATCGTCGATACCACAACTGAAGCCTCGCAGGTTCAAAACGCGAGTGAGGAGTCTTCCAAGAACACCGATGAGCTTGCCAGCAGTGCTGTATCCATAAACTTCATGGATGGCATCGATGAGACCACCGGCGGTGGGACCGAGCTGTTTCTTATCAAGGATACCACAAAGGTACTCTCCATCCTGGAAGATAACCTCTCCTTCTTCGTTGCCCTCGCCCCATCGTTCGCCGGGGGTTGAGGACTTGCTCTTCAAGGTCAAACCTCCTCGCTCTGGAGGCTGGATGTTCTTGAGGATTGTCGTGATGATCTGCTTTCCGGTCCATAGGCACTTGGGCTTGCGCATGGCAGGCTCGACCAGTTGGATCCGGTCAGTGACAATATGCGAATGTTCTGGTCTCAAGCAACTGTATAACAACTGGTGATAATCCTCCTCGTCATAGAAGCTGTCACGGCACGTAACCCACGTTCCCATGGAAATATGATCTTGGATCAGACCTCGCAGCGGTTTGCCTGATGTGGCAACGAGATACTGGTGATCGGCATCTGCCAACATTCTGGCTTCCGCTTGAGCAAGCTCATTTTGAGGGAAATGCATGTTCATCTCGTCACCATCGAAATCGGCGTTGTAGGTGTTACAATTGGCGTAGTGCATGCGAATAACCCGCTCGTTGGGAAGGACGCGAGCTTTGTGACCCATGATGGAGGGTTTGTGCAGAGTTGGCTGACGGTTCATCAGGACGTAATCACCAGTGGTGAGATGACGGTAGACCTTCTTGTTGCGCGAACCTTTCTGGCGCCAATTTGACGGTGCGAGCAGTTGGTTGGCAAGTGCTGTGCGCTCTTCCAAGTTCTTGAACTTGAGGTTGATGACTTGCCCGTTTTCATTCTCAATAGAAGAAGCGCCGGGGTATTTGTCGGGACCGTTGATAACAGCCTCCTTCAACTCCCAGAAGTTGTGGTTTGTCACGGGTTCAGGGAAAGTCAACTTCTTGGCGAAGACAAGGGGTACACCAATCTCATTGGGTTCGATGTTTGGATCGGGCGAGATAACACTACGAGCAGCAAAGTTGACACGCTTGCCCATCATGTTCTTTCGGAACAGACCTTCCTTCTTCTCGAGAATCTGCTTGATACCGTTAGGCTGTGATAATGCAGCTGCGCCGGTGACCGAGGTACGATCGCGGTCAATCAAACCGTTGACCACATCTTGGAGCTGAACAATAGCTTGAAGAAGATCACTGTAGTTCCGTGCCCGGGACATGGTTTTCTCTTCCTCGTTTTGGATCTCCTTGCTGATTTGGTTGATGGTGTCACAACCCTTCAAAATCGCATTGAACGAAGTGTTCTGCTGTGCCTCCATGACTGTTCCGGCACCCTGCTGGACTGCAGGGCGGTACTTGTTTGGCGGCACCATAAGACTCTTGATGAAGAACATGTCTGCTGACACAACTGTCACTCCCTTGGGCACAGGCCGAGAGTTGTAGACAAGCTGCAAGATCTCACTTTCCTTCTGGAAAAGGAGATAAAGAGCTCCATAGACTTCGGAAGAAGACATGAATTCCTGGCCGGTCGATCCCGGTACCTCCTGCACGACAGCCACACCACGGCGGATTTCCTCTTCGGCCCCGTGGATCTCAGAAACACTGTTCTTCGACTTGGAGTTTCTTTCTTGCTCGAGAAGGACCATGGTATTCGGTGCCTGGAATCCTCCTTGCAGCATTGCATGCTTCTGCTTCTCGGGTAATTGCTTTCGGAAGATTTTGTTGTAGCGGTCCTTTTTATAGGCGGGGGATACTCTGCCATAATGTTAGCTGGGAAAGCCAAAGTCAAGGTCGAAAAATATTGCATAACGTACCCGCTGCAGCTGACACATTTCTTGAAGCCGTTGATATCCTTGAAGAAGGCCTTGAGCAACTCTCGTCTGGCTTCTGCGGCAATAGGGTTCTGTCCGCCAGGCATTAATCCGTCCAATTTGCCCTCCTTCTTGGCTTCGCGGATGCGCCGAGTGACATAATCACTCCTCTTTTGCATATAGTCATCCTCATCTGGATCGTCTGAGTCGTCCGAATCGTCTTCCTTGCCCTTGGTGGCCTTTGATTTGGCGCCTTTGACGGCTCCCATAGCATCGACAATAGCGACTTCGTCGACCAAGCCATATTGCAGAAGGCGCAATTTGCAGGTGTACATGTTGACCTGGTTGCGACCCATCTGCAGGCGAAGACAGTACACACATTGTGCTCGGAGAAGACGGAAGATGTGATCGAAGAAGGTGACATTATAGAAGGGTACTGGCAGTTCAATGTGTCCAGGATGTCCGGTACAAGTGAAAGAGTTCTGACGACAGGTTGTGCATCTGTAAAATAAGAAAATCTCTCACGTTAAAGATTGAACAGTATACTAATCAAGTGAAGACTTACACATGATCTCCCCAAGCTCCCATAGCAGGGTCTTGAAGACCACCAGGAACAGGATTGTTAAATGAATCCAAAGTCGGAGTATTGTGAATTCTTTTCACCGAGAGAGCTTTAATCTCTTCCTCGGAGTAGACATTGAAGTCGACCCCATTAATGGTCGAGGCGACCGGGCGCGCAAAAGTTGCCATTGTAGCCTGCAGCTCCTTGAGCAACAGAAAACGCTGGCGCACGAAATCAAAGTGCTCGGATTCAGATCTCCAAGTGCTTTTAGTTCTGGAGCGAACTTTTTTTTTTCCGGAGGAGCAACTTCTTTTCTGCCTAGTTTCACCGCCTTACCCTTTTTGGGTTTCTGCATGGATTACTCTTGTCATGCACAATTGCTGCTGCTTGTCAATCCTTCACTCTTTCAACCTTTTTATATTTTCCTATCGTCAGAAAACCGAGTGGGTCAGAAGTCATCTACACCATGGCCGACACATCGGGTAACGCGCTGAAGCGTCCTCACCCTGAGGATCAACACGACAACTCCCAGAAAAGGACCCGCTCCAACCATGGGTCCCCAGTACCAGGTCAAGGAGGTGCTGCCCCGGGCAAGCCAGATATTGCGAAAATAATGGCAGAAGCAAGGGCAAAGGCAGAAGCTGTGCGCGCTCGTCTACAAGCGCATGGTGGCGTGACAGGGACACCAACACCACCACCTCCAACACCACCCGCGCCGGATTCTAGAAGTCCTCCTCCGCCAGCACCCGCTCCTGCAATGTCAAAACTAGAGCAAATGAAAGCTCGAGTTGCTGCAGCTACCCAACGAGCCAGCACACCGTCTCAGCCACGACCCAGTGCACCCATACCATCCTACCAACCACCGGTGCATGACGACGAGGGCATGTCCAAGGCTCGCGGTGGTTTGGACGTTGGCCTTCATCCCGCGCTTCTCTCTGATGCTGCACCTGAATATCGTGGGGCAAATGGACGGCAGACTAAGCCAAAACGTGCTGGTGGGCCCCAGCTTGATCTGTCTGGTCCATCTGTCGAAGAAATCAAAAATAACCCTTACTTTGATCCGGCTATCAATCCAAAAGCAACGATCGCAAAGCCCCGACAAACCCGAGAGCTCCTCTTCAATCAAAAGGGCAAATATATCCAACAGGCAGCGGCTCTACGCAGACAGGCACAGCTGGAAGCCATGAAGAAAAGAATTGCAGAGAAATCGCGACAGGCCGGACTTGACGAGGATATGGATGTGGAAAAGGCTTTCCTTGTTCCTGCTCCGCCCGATGTAGAGTGGTGGGATGCAAAATTAGTTGATGGCAGCGACTATGACGCAATTGATGACCAGGAAAACATCAAACTTGATACCCTCAACAGCTATGTTCAGCATCCTATCGAGCTCCAACCTCCGCAAGAAAAGCACATGCCTGCACAAAAGCCCATGTTCCTTACCCCGAAAGAACAAGCCAAGATTCGTCGACAGCGACGCATGGCAGATCTGAAGGAACAGCAAGCCAAGATCAGACTAGGACTCGAGGAAGCACCGGCTCCAAAGGTCAAGAAATCCAATTTGATGCGGGTTTTGGGAGAACAAGCTGTGAAGGATCCCACGGCTGTGGAAGCTCGTGTGACCAGAGAGATCGCAGATCGGAAGGAGGCGCACGAGATGGCGAACGAAGACCGCAAACTGACCAAGGAGCAACGGCGCGAGAAGTTGGAAGCTCAAAAGGAGAAGGACGCCTCTTTGGGCATCTTCCAATCTGTGTATCGAATTGACAGTCTGGCGAGCGGCCGGAACCGCTTCAAGATCGGCAAAAACGCAGAGCAAAATAACCTGACGGGCATGTGCGTCATGCATCCCCGGTTCAACCTGGTGATTGTCGAGGGCGGCCACCACTCCATCAACAGTTACCGAAAGCTGATGTTGAACCGCATCGATTGGACCGAAAACCCTGGATCAGATCGAGTGCCTGCAGACAGCCCTGAAGCTCAGGTTTCCTGGTTATCCACCGAAGATGATAAAGGAGAGCCCCGAGATTTCAGCGCGAACACATGTAATCTCCTCTGGGAAGGTCAGACCAAAGGTCGGGCCTTCAGGAAATGGTTTGGTGCTCGTATCTGTGAAACAGATTCTGCTGCCAAAGCAGCTCTGTCCCGAGCCAAGATGGAGAACTTCTGGACACTAGCGAAGAGTGCCAAACCAGCTGAATATTAACATTTCCTACGGCTGATAATCAAGGTCTAGGTCTATTGTACTTTTACAGATAGCGAACTTGCTTCATAGCCATTATCATTCATACGCATGATGCTTCAGGTGCTTACTGTTTACTTTTACCGCCGTAGGCACCGTAACTCAATTCAAAACAGACACTCAATTAGAGCTATGGAAAACTTTTAATCAAACAAAATTCCCTACCCACATAAACCCCGCTCCGTATGCAAAGCAAATCTTCCAATGCTAGGATATCACAGAAGAACATGTATGGAAAACAAAGTTATCAGGAAGGGGGAGGACCCTGGTTCCCACCGCTCAGGTTTCGCAGCAGATCCAGCTGAGCTTTAACTTGGTCAAAGTTCATAACCGGGGTTTGGGCCTGGGGAGGCTGATGGTGTTGCTGCTGGGGCTGGTTCTGGGGCTGTTGGTGCTGGGGCTGCGGCTGTTGGTAATGCTGCTGAGACTGTTGGTAATGCTGCTGGTATTGCATAAGCTGCATTAATTGTTGCCGCTGCCGTTGTTCAAACATAGCCATGGATTGAGGATCGAATTGAGGAGCACCGTGTTGGGTGTTCTGGAAGTTATTGGGTTGCGCTTGCTGGAAGGCCGGGTATGGAGAGAACTGGAAGGGCATCTGTGGCTGCGCTCCACTTTGGCTGAATTGCGGCTGCTGCTGTTGCGCGTGTTGCGGGTTCTGGCCTTGCTGCTGTGCGTATTGCGCATATGCAGCGAAGGGCTGGGGCATTCCGTATGGTTGCTGGGGTTGCTGGGGTTGCTGGGGCTGCTGGTACATTGGCTGGCCGTAGGGAGCAGCGGGCTGGGCTTGAGGCTGAGGCTGGGACTCGTGGGTTGGGCCGCTGGCCTGCTGGGGCCGACGATCCTGGTCCCACTCCCTTCCTCCGCGTCCACCTCTGCCTCGTCCTCCGCGTCCACGGTCACCCCGGCCACGACCTCTTCCGCCACGGAACCCGCCACGCTCGTTGCCTTCAACTGGTGGCTCTCGGGTGTTCATCATCTCGTGGAGGTTGGTAGGGCGTGCAAGAGGGGTGTATCCCTCCTCAGCTCCTCCGGCATCGTCGTAGTTGAGCTCACTCTGGTTCAATTTTGAAGGTCCTGGGGCTGGCTTCTTGCCTTTGGGGCCTTCTCTGGCTTCCTTGCGCTCTAGTCGCTTCTGCTTCAGCTTCCGCTTGTATTCAGCCTCTGCTTCATCGTCGGAGAACTCCATCTCTTCGGCGGCAACTTCCTCGTCGTGGAAGTTGGAAGCGTCACTTCCCTTCATGCCCTTGAGCGGCTGGGTGAACACAAAGGTGGAGTGTCCCTCAACATAGAAGATATCCTTGCCCTTGACTAAGCCCTTTTCCTGAACTTCGGAGGATGTGGCGTATGTAACGGTATACAGAGGATTCTCGACTCTGCCCAGGGTCTCTGCTACTACACCAATGATCTGACGATCATCAGAGCAGAGCAGGGAGCCCGACTCAAGTACCTGATATTCTCCAGAGGTATTAGCCTCGATAAGAACATTGTTATCGATAGCGGCATGAATTTTGCCCAGGAACACAATCTTCATCTCGGGGGTGATCTTAACGTCAGGGATAGGCAGGACTTCGTGTTCGACCTCGTTGGTGGTTCGCAGTTGTCCACCTGGTTTCCCCTTGCCGTCTCCCTCGTCATCAGAGCCACCCTCCGCCCGCATAAGAATCTGTGCTTGCTCCTCGGCGCTGAGGATGGGATAGTCTTCATCGTCGCTATCATCGGAGTCCGAGGAATCAGAGCTGTCTGAGGATGACTCGTACGGGGAAGAGTCATCCTCCCACTCAGGGTGCTCCCCTTCTTTGGCGTCGCCAGCCTGACCAGTGGCTTCGATCATATTGTCTTGGTGGGTATCTTGCTCGACATCCATAGCTTCGCTGAGAGGAGCAGTACGTTCATTTTTGATTTGGTTCGCCTCTGTCTCCTCGTTCATCACTGCGTCGGTGGATTCGGGCTGGGAGATGTGCTGGATTTCCTCTTGCTTTGTTTCTGTCTCGGCTTCTTTGTCGGCTTCTTGGTGGTTCTCTGGTTGATCTTGCTCTTGCTTGATTGTGTGTTCGGTCAAATGCGAGCCGGTTTCTTGTTCGGAGGGGTGGTGAATAAGGTTCAATCCGGGGATCATATGGTTTAACTTCGAAGAAGTAGAGGATTCGGCGCTGTTTCCAGCACTTAGGCTGGTTATACCCATGTCTGGTGTTCCTACAGCCAACGGAGTGTTATAGAAATCGCTGCCGTTGTCTGGGGTCCCTGCGATAGGCGTCTCGATAAGACAGGGTTTTTTGGGGGCAGGGCCTTCGCCGGCACCTGTGGTGTCATTTGAGGGGTTGTGGTGTCCGTCCATATTGAATATTTAACTCAAATATGTATTGAATAAAAACCAGTTCAACTCGAAAGAAAGTCGGGAGGGAAACTTTTTTTATTTTGCCAGACTCCGCATGAGCGGTCAACAAGGTCTTATCGGTTATCGCAGCTCTGTACATCCATGGATGGATCCATCTTATGACTTTCGACTTAAACTCCAACTTGCAAGATGGCAGGAAACGACAATTCCTCGGGGGATGCCCATAAACCTCGGACAAAGAAGCAGTATGTCTATGAATATTTTTAAGATCAAACATGACGTTAACCTATGTATAGACCCCCACCAGCTCCCTTCTACATTCCCCTCAACATCACTCTCTACCTATGCCTAGTTACCAACACTCTCGCCGCACTATTCTCCCCAATTCAAGATTGCGATGAGGTGTTCAATTTCTGGGAACCTGCGCATTATCTGCAGCATGGATATGGTCTTCAGACCTGGGAATATTCTCCGGTTTATTCTATCCGGAGCTGGCTCTACGTGTCGCTCCATGCTACTGTAGGGAAGATCGGGTCTTTGGTGGTCCACAGCAAGACAGCTGAATTCTACACAATCCGCCTATCTCTTGCATTTCTGTGCGCTGCCTGCCAAACTCGATTATACTCTGCGATCTGTCGTACACTCAGCCCTCGCATCGGTCTCTTGTTTGTGATGATCATCACACTCAGCCCTGGCATGTTTCATGCTTCGACTGCCTTTTTGCCCTCTACTTTTACCATGTATATGTCTATGCTTGGTCTGGCTTCGTTCCTGGATTGGAAAAATGGCCGGAAAACAGCGCAGGGCATCATGTGGTTTGGGCTGGGGACAATTGTTGGGTGGCCGTTTGCCGGTGCTCTCATTGTCCCTCTTTTGGCTGAGGAGGCTATTGTTAGTTTCATTTCTGGATCTGTCGGTTCACTGTTGTACAATGTCTTTGACGGCATCATTCGTTGTTTGTCGATTCTGGTAAGTGACATTCTACTTGGTTTCAATGTCTTTACTAAGATGTATCACAGGCTCTTGAAGTTGCAGTTGACTACGCTTTCTTCCGAAAGCTCGTTATTGTGCCTTGGAACATTGTTGCATACAACATCTTAGGAGGAGAAGGTAAGGGACCGGATATTTTTGGAACTGAGCCATGGACTTTCTATGTTCGAAACCTCTTGCTCAACTTCAATGTCTGGTTTGTCCTCGCCATGCTATCCGCGCCCCTCCTACTTTTTCAGATCGTCTTTCGATCGCACACCACCTCCTTGCAAACCTCATTGCGGTCCATGACCCTGGTTGCCCCCTTTTACATGTGGTTCGGGATTTTCTCGGTCCAGCCACACAAGGAAGAGCGGTTTATGTACCCAGCATACCCATTTCTGGCACTTAGCGCGGCTTTGAGCTTCCATATTATCCTGACCTACCTTGGCTCTACTAACCAAAAGGAACTGATCGGCCGCGTACCAACTAAAGTAAAGATTGCTGTAGCTATGTCAGTTGTTCTTGTTGGTCTGAACACCGGCATGCTGCGCACTCTGGGGATGGTTACGGCTTATAATGCTCCATTGAAGGTGTTCGAGCCCCTACAGCATGTGGATATCGCGCAAGCAGGAGACTCGGTGTGTTTCGGCAAGGAGTGGTATCGCTTCCCGTCATCATATTTCCTTCCCAACGACATGCGCGCCAAGTTTATCCAAAGTGAATTCCGAGGACTACTTCCGGGCGAATTCCCAGATGCACCGAGTTATCTTGGGCGTCTAGATGGTGCCTCACAGATTCCATCTGGCATGAATGATCTCAACATCGAGGACCCTAGCAAATACGTAAGTGTCTCAACGTAGCCCTGGAAATTATTCCAGTCCCTTTGCTGACTTTACAGGTTGATATCTCTCAATGTTCTTTCCTGGTTGACTCTTACTTCCCTGGTCACGACGCAACCGAGCTAGAGCCCCATTACCTCCTGGACAAAGCGCAGTGGGAGACGCTTTCCTGCGCAAGCTTCCTCGATGCGTCTCAAACAGGTCTGCTAGGTCGATTGATCTGGATTCCTGATTTCCCAGTCATCCCAGCTCGCTTCCGACGCAAATGGGGCGAATACTGTCTTCTCCAACGAACAGTCGCAGGCCATGTATAGATCAAGGATACCCTTGAATCCTTCTTAATAAAACCTCTAGAAGAATTATGTAACAACATCAACACGGAAACATTCACTCGCATCGAATGCGAGCAAATGAGTAACACATGAGGTTATCAAGTACAAGTGTAGCGTCACCTTTCCCAATTGGGACAAAATATCCCTATCAACTTTTAGCTTTTCTCCGCAGATAAACCTCACTCCGCTTCACGAGAGGCCAACAACAGACAATCCACGGAGAAACGCATGCAGTCCCGGATTTAACAGCTCGAAAAAGACGGCATGCCCCTCTTCCCCAGACAAGATAGTCTCTATTCCCAGCCACACTTGATATGTTGACCAAGATGGCCTATCTCGTATCGGATTAACACGGCATCTCGCATAAGTGAACCATCTGGGCAGTCAATTACTTTCTCCGCACTCCAGACTTGATAAGGGCGATCCGCGTTGCGTTTACTATATACTAAATCAAGTTTGGTTTCCTCGACTCTCTATTCTCGATGTATCCTCGAACTGGGTACTGCCTAGAAGTGTCTCACCATGACCATGTCGGTACTTGAGTCCCTATGGGGAACTATCATATCCATCCCAATTAAAAAGGTCGTTGATGCCTCTCTTATTCTCAGTATCTGTGTATGGGTTGTTATCTTGGTCTCACGAAAGTGGGCTTCTAGCACGGCCAGAGCTTCGAGTCGTGACCTAGAGAAACCCGCTGCAGGTGTAAGAGGAAAGGTCACCAGGCCACCGGGTGGTAAGTAAATTCGAGATGTCAGTCCATGCAAGAATGAAAAGTCTCACTAACTCTTACTGCATAGAATGGACTCCATCGGACTTCAAACGGCCAACAGCGATTGCATACCCAGGATGGGATGTCCATTCGACAAAGCCAATTCCCTACCGGCCGTTTAGATATGGCCCGTAAGTTGAACAAATTCATTGGAGATATTGCTAGCCATCTTTTAACCTTTCCTGGCAGAAACTACTACATCACGCTGGGTCTAAGAAGCATGAAATGGGACGAATGGATCGGTGAGTCGTTCTTCGATAGTCAGATCCCACCAGCCCATTGACCTCGTATATCCCGAACACAGAGCTCGACAACCACTACCTGAAATACCACGCCGACAAAGCTCGCCGCATCGAAGAGCGCGGGAGTAAATGCTGCCATACAGCACCAGAGGCAATGGATGCGGCAATCGAACTACTCGAAGAACTGTAAGAGCAATCAAAACACACACCCATAGCAAGAACCCCCTCCTAACACCCAATCCCACCAGATGCGCCTACCTCCCCGAAAGATACCCAAGCATGTTCACCAAGACCACAACGGGAATAACGAACAAAGTAACCAACGAAACCTTCAACATAACCCAACGCCCACTGCCCGAAGACCCAATGGCGACAGCAGCGCGACTGGTGCAAGACGACCTAGCACTAATGATCGAGCGCCCAGACGGCGAATACTACCTCCTCGCAGGCGCAATCCTGCTAGCCGGGTTCTGGCGCCTGAGCGACAAATTCGGGATGCGGCTGTCTGAGATCCACACATCCGGCGACGTACCGCAATTCAAGAGCAAGCTAGAGAAAGGGATGATGAATTTCTTCCGACGACTACGCCCCGAAGAGCCAGTGCTTCGGAACAATTATTTCATCCAGGTGGACGATAATCTGCCGTGGTCTGATAGTATTGGGTCCGAGGATGCGGAGACAGTGTCGTGGAATACGGCGGAGAAGAACCGGGCTATTGAGAATCATTTCTTTCGCTCGGAGAGGCAGTCGTTGAGGAGATTGCCTAGATCTGGGGCTGTGGTTTTTACGATTCGGACATATTTTGAGCCTGTTATTGACATTGTGCAGGAGCCTTATGTTCCTGGGCGGTTGGCGGATGCGGTTAGGAGTTGGGGGGATGATGTTGGGCGGTATAAGGGGAAGGAGAAGTATCAGGATGTTTTGTTGGAGTTTTTGGATGAGAAGCATAGAGTGCAGGTTGAGGGGGGTTGGAGGTTGAGAGGGAGGATGAGGTTAGGAGGTATCCTCTTTGATTGCAATATAGTTAGGGCGTTTTATGAATGATGTCTTTCATTTGTTCGATTGATGTTTCTTTCCAAGGTCGGACTATTAGATGCAAATATTGCAATATCCGGTCTTTGTCTCGAGACCGTATATGCAAATCCAGTATATCAGCAGTGGATCAAGATGACCTCGACAGGCGCAATATAGATGTAGTAAGCATGCTCAGAGGTAACCAACTCCATATTCCTGCACTCGCTGAACGCGTTTAATATAACTCGGCTTCAACCATAACAGATTATATATCTGCAATGGGCCCAGCTCTCCGACTTCCACCCCGTCTCGCATAAGCCATCTCACGCTCCTCACGCCAAGAGCACTCATCGCGGAACTCGCAGATCCGACATTTCCACGCGTCCATGATATCCACACCTTGGGGATCTCGCTGGCCGTTCCACCACGTCATCTGGTCGGTGAGGTAGGAGGTGAGGGTCGTCGGATCGAAGAGGAAAGATCGGCTTCCGATGAGCTGTCTCTCTAGGTCTTCGTTGGCGACAGATGAGAGGTATCGAGCTGTGAGCACCGGGGAGAGGAGGGTTGAGTATGGTTCCAAGAGCTCTGGCTGGGAAAGCGATGGGATCGATGGTGCGACGGTTTGTGTGTCGGGGGAATTTTCAGGGAGGAATGTGAGGCGGAGTTGGTGTATCATGAGACTCCAAAGACGGGAGAGGTTGTTGTGTGTTTGGAGGACGCCGGTTGAGTCCTCGCTAGCAGTAGAAGGACCCTCGTTCTGTTCGGACTCTTGGGAGGAGAGAGCGTCGAAGAATTGGTCGTTCAGACCGCCAACCTCCGAGACGAAGGCGGCCGTAAACGGTTTCTCAGCGTCGAAGTTGTAACGAGTGGCGAGGAGGTCAATGGTGACATCGTCGCTCGTGATCAGCCGGTTGAGCATATGGTAGTAGAGTTGCAGCTGGAGAAGAGTAGGCCGGAAGCCCGTGCTCTTGACATTCGGTAATGATCGGTTACCCTTCGTCTTCACGTCTGTCAAATAAATCCGGGGCAGGTTATAGACTGCCGCAGGCAGTTCCGGCTCAATGTGCCCCCTTTCCTCGGCTTCACCCTGCCCCAGGTCCGAAAGCTTCATCCCGCCCTGCGAAGAAGAAAGCAAAAAGTCCGACAAGGACATCTGATACTCGGGCAGCGCAGTGCGCGACTTTACAGCGTCCGCATAGTAACCAGCAGCAGTAGCCTCAAGCTCCGAGTCCGGACACTCGTAGGACAACTGATCAATGATGCCATTAACAAATTCTCCATCGACAACGCCCCAAACCTCCATCTCACGCGTAACACCATACTCGCGCAGCATGCGTAGTCCCTGAATAACATTCCATATCCTGAGACCCCATGCGTCCTCTTTAGTCGTAACTTCCACAGGGACAGTAGTGTATATCTCATCCTCGAGCGTCTTGTGCATGGAGCTGCCCTTTTTCATAGCAGCAGTCCTCTTCTTCTGCCCCCCATGCTTAGTCAATGTGAACCAGTACTGCAGCTCGCACCAAGCCGGCGAAACAAAATCAGTCACCGAGAACGCTTTGTTGGGTGCCCGCCTGAATCGTTCGACGGGGGATCGAGTATCGAGCGCCGCGGCTTCGGGATCCTGCTGTGTCCATTCGAGTGCGCGCGCTGCATTGCGCTCGCGTTCTTTTACTCGGCCCTCGGTTGAATTAGCGTTCTCGACTAAACGCTTCGGAGAAGATGTCGTCAGCTCAATTCGGGTTGGATGTAATGGGACCCATCCATTGGGAAAATGTGGACGGTCAACGGGAAAGAAGAAGGGGAAATGTAAAAAAGAAAAAAACATACCAAACGGGCTGTTCCTGTTGCTGTTGCCAGCGCGCGGACTTGACCTCCCCATTGCACTCGCGCTCGCACCCCATCTAACCGTCTGACCTGGTCGAGGCTGCGACTGCCGCCATGGCGAGCGAGGCCCTTCCCGGCCAAGCACCTTAGGCAGCCGAGCGCTAGCTGGCTCAATGCCATCCTCGATATCTGTAACGAGTGCCTCAAGAGCTGCCGGTTGCAATGACTCGAGATCGGCGAGTTCTGGGGATTTTGGGGCGGTGATGTGTTCGATCGGCGTTGGGGTTGAAGTCCAGGTTGGTGTCGAGATCGAAGTGGCGTCGGTGTCGGTCGCGTGTTCCGCGACGGCTTTGTTCAGCAGATTGTTTAGCAGATCCTCTTCATCTGGAGTGAAGTCGGATCCGTAGTCAGGGTCATCTTCATTTCTCTCTGGGCAGGACATGCCTGCGACTGGAGGGGATCATGTCTTATAGATAGAGTTGATGTTCGGGTGCGTCATTGCGATGTGAGGGAGCCTTAAAGAATCCCGTTGTTCTTACTGGCTGGCCATCACATACTTGATAATTGTAGAAATATTACATATTACATAGAATTCAAATTAGCAAAAGAGACTGAAGTCTATTGATCTAAGTAATTGCTCTTGGTATCCCATGCATCGCTCCAAAACAAACAAAAAAAAATATCCCAACGCCAATATTCGGCAGGGATCTATGAATCTATATATCTAATCAGCCTCGACTATACTTTCAAGTCTACTTTCCGTGCATTCATGTAGTCCCAGTAGAGATCATATTCCCCCCAGAAACAGCATGCAAAGCACCAACACTCATCCCCTCTGCCTCAGCAAGCGCCTCAGCAGCCGCAACCTCCTTAGCAGCCTTCTGATTCAACCAGCTCAGATATGTCTGCCAGCCAACCGCAATGCACCCAGAGAAGACGTTTCGGAACTGCGCCGGCACATACATAAAGCTGAACGCGGTAACAGCTGGCCAGAGCTTTACGCTATTTTGAATGCTAACGGGGAGAGCCTTCTTCAACCTCTCCCAGGTCTCGTCGAGCGTCGCACCAGCGAGAAGAGAGTGCACGCTAAAGAAGTACGTGTTGAAGACAGGAGTGAAACACGTCTGCTGCACAACGACCTTCGTCAGGATCGAGAGGAACTTGCTCGGGTAGTTGAAATGGTTTCCGAGGAACAAGAACCTAAGAGAGAGCAGTTATGTCAGTCAACAAGTACATACACATACAGATATCCTCCATGCAGTAACAATCCAATAGAGACCATCGGTCGCACATCGCATAATCCATAACCAAATCCCGGATCACGAAACATACCAGTTATAAGACGGAATACTCGACCCAGCGCCAACACACAAATGCCGCAGAGTCCTAAGCGGATCATAACCAGCGCTCACAGTACCCCCATCCCCCTGCGCAACCGCATCCCCATCCTCTGACTCCGATTTCGCAGGCGCAGGAACCTCAGAAGGGAACAGCATCTGCGCGCTCAGATCCCCACACAGGTAGATAACAATCGAGCTCCAGAACTGCGTCGTGTACGGCTTGCGCTCCTGCACGCGCGCATACCATCTTCCGAATTTCCCCACCGGGCTGGCTTTTATCACCTCACGGAATCCGCGACTTCGCACGGGTGTGGGCGTTGCCCCGGCTGCGGCTGTAGCGGCGGGAGTTGTGTCTAACAGCTGGGGCGGAGTTGTGGTTGAATGGTGCGAGTTCGAGTGCGGTGGGTGTGCAGGTGCGGTATTTCTCTCGGCTGATGTTTTCCCTGTAGAGGAGTCCGAGTTGTATCGGCGTTGTGGGCGTGCTCGGCGCAAGACCTGGGGTTGGGATCTGGGGGTTATCGGGCGGCGGAGGGTGGAGGTTGAAGGTGAGGTTGAGGCCCTGGATAAGAGGCCATTTCGGAGGAGGGTCATGTCCAAGACCACATCTAGTTATTTACAGAGTGAGAATAGTTGAAGGTGGAAGCGGAAAAATGTCAGGAATTAGTTAGTCAACAATAAGCTTTGAAATCCGACCTCGGGGATTGTGGCGATAAGAGCCGAAAAGCGGGTGAAAGCCCGACCTCAGTCCCGGATGCAGGTTCCGATTAGGGTTGGATTTATTGTTTGTATTTACTCTATTCATAGAAGAGATTCATACATATACGTGAAAAAGGTCTCTGAAAATAAACTGATATTTCTGTAAAATCAAACCCAAACTCCAGCTCGATATAATAATGCATCCCATAAAAACATTAGTCGGATGAGGTTGCCCTCAGCATGATATGAACGGGTATCAAAGTAATAACAAAGGCATAACATGCAAATAGGGTACTTTTTGTGACATGAGATAGAAAGGGTCAATAGAAACTATGATTAGAGCGACACAGGCTTGTATAGGTATGACAAAGCCCGGACAAGAAATGGTAAGGTGAGAGGTGAGATAAACAAGCTGCTCAACAGCCGTCTATTGCTTGAACGAGTCACGGGTGTGGACACGGTCAATATCGTAAGGGTTTCCCTCGTAGGTAACCGAGCGAGCCAGCGAGCCAGCAGTGCGAGTGGAAGCGACAGAGTGCGCACGGCTGCGAGTGCGCTCCGTAGAGGGGAGTTCCCCAACGCCGTCATGGGAGTCACTGGAGAGTGAGCCTTCGGGCGCAGGAGCCTCTGTGCGGTCGTATTCCACTTTCTCATCTTCCAGCGGCGCTGCAGAAACCTGTTCCTGGATCTTGCGCATGAATGCCTCGGACTGGGCGGCGAACTTGCAACGGGTGCGGATCGCGGGTCCGTACTTGTAGAACAAGAATGGGAAGGGCACGCAGGCGAGCGCCAGGAAGGCCGGGATCGATGATGCCCAGTGGATACCCAGGTTCTTATACATGTAGGTGGTGAAGAGAGGGAAAGCGGCACCGAAGAGGGAACGGATGACGGAGTTGGCGGCTAGCACAGAGGCAGCGAAGATGGTGTAGGAGTCGATGAGGTAGTTCATGATGCTGAGGAAGACTAGGACCATTCCGAAGCCAAAGGGGACGCCGGCTGCGATGCTGACCATGAAGTGGATTGAGGGGTAGTTGGTCCATGCGAACCAGAATAGGCCGATTGGGATTGCGACGGATGCGAGGAGGCAAGGCGGGAGACGTGCCTCCGGTGGTGCGAAGCCATTATGTTTATCAGATACCCCGATGTAGCGCTTGTTGTCCCAGAGGGAGTAGACGACGGCAATCAACATGCCGACCATGATACCGAGGAAGGCGAGGCCACTAACACCCTGGTTCCAGCCGCGGGACTGCTGGTAGACAATAGGGAAGGCAGCGAACATCATATACAAGGTACCGTAAATAATAGCCATGTAGAGAGATAGCAAGAACACAATGGGCTCCTGGAATAAAAGAATCCAAGGGCGGGAGAGTGACACTTTGAAGGAGTCCTTGAGAGAAACCTTGCCTTGGTCGATTTCAAGCTTACTCCGGTAGATCTTGCCCGACAGCTTTGATAGTCTCTCGGCACGGCGGCGGAGAAGCACGGGCGCATAGGTCTCGGGGATCGTCAAAGAGCCTATAATCCAAACCGTACCAGCAAAGATGGCAAGGAAACCCATGACCCATTGCCAGCCGCCGTCACTCATCCCAATGAATCCACCAGCGATGGGGCCGATGATAGGGCCGAGGAAAGGTGCAGCGGCGAACAAACTCATTGCCACACCTCGCTGTTTAGCGGGAAACATGTCCGCAATGACACCACCTGCGTTGGTCAAAGGCGAAGATCCAAAAGAACCGGCGAAGAACCGAAGGATGATGATAGACCAGGCATTTTGAGAACCTGCGACGCCAGCATTGAAAGCTGTGAGGGCGGCGTACGTAGTGATGAATAGAATTTGGCGACCAAACAGCTCACTCAATGGAGCCCAGAGCAATGGTCCGATCTATACCAAAGCAAATAGCGTTAGTATGCATGCAAAGCAAAATGCGCGAGCTCAAGAGCCAATGTCTAAAGAATGGAGGTCCTACCGCGAAACCGAGAACGAAAAGCGAAACACCAAGAGTAGCAAGTTCTTGCCCGATGTTAAACTGCATCATGATCTCTTGAATACCGCCGGTATAGGCAGAGGATACCAGTGAAACGGCCAAGGTTGCGATGGCCACCAGCATAGTAAGAGTCCATTTCTTCGTCTCGCTGAAGTTCATGGGATTGCGAGGGTCGTCGGGAATCCATGTTACTTCAAAAGGGTCCTCATCTGTTCCTGAACCGGGGTATGGGTGATCGATGATCTCTTGTGTGACGACACCTTGGTCACAGACCAAACGCCAGTATGGGATTTTCGTTGGGGCAGAGGGCTCGATCTTGTCCGAGACCTGATGGTCTGAGTCAGCTGCCATGGTGGGCAGGTAGTGAATTAAGGTTGCGATATATAGGAGTCGACAGTATTCGAGGTTGAGTATGTGCTGCGAATTAGGATGAACAGGAAGTGGGGTTCCTGAAGCTTTGCGGGGATGGAAGACCAAGTAATGCCGAGGAAAATTAGTGGAATGAGAATTGGAGATGGAGCCCAGCTCTTAGTTATATATAATGGGGGGGGGGGGCCCTGGGGGTGGGATTATGAATGCCGATATATGCAGTTAAAGTACGGATAAGTGGAATCCGGTGCTCAACTGGGGCCAAGTGGGAATGGGTGGACCCGGACCCAGACCAGATTATTTTTGAAAGGAAAGTTGGGATCTGGACCCCAAAGTTATCCATGTTGTTTTGGGGCATATGTTTTATGTTGATTTCGTACTAATTTCATACCTATATGAGTGTACTTCCAAAGTAAACTAAAGGCTGTACATAGTATACATAGTACAAAGATGCAGATTCAGATGCACCCCTGGCAAATGTGCTCATCTGTTTGCAGCCACGTTTTTATGCCACGTGATTTATGAAGGTTTTATGTTGAACTACTCGGGTATGCGGCATCGATCTGATTGGTTCACTCTACCCTCTTAGGGCAATCCGACATGCCAACTAACGGTGGCGGTCCGAGCACTTCTATTCTAGGTTATTCTAGGGGAAAATATCTAACTTTTCTCATATTAATAATATATCCCTGATTATACATAGAAAAGTCGCCTGCACAATTTATGATTTTTTACCACCTTCGTATACACCCAAGAAGACATATAAAAAGAACATACAAAGTAACACATCGGAGGGTTCTTTTATATAACTTCCCTAATACCATCTTACTCCAAATAGATCAGATTGTTGAAGTCTCAGGTCGTCAATGACAGAGGCCGCATAAGCAGCCGAATAAATCCTACAAGTAAATGTGCACATCGGGCCGTGCATAACCTTCGGACCCGCCCACATTCGGACGTTCCGCATGGGACTCGGTACCTTACCGAAGCTTCATCCACCCGTGGCCACGTTGAGAAAGATCTAAAGTTCTGTGGATCGGGGTCATCTAAGGATAATCTCCGGTGCACGTACTCCGTACATAAATGGGGTTTATAATCCTTATGACCGCCTAAACTCCGTGCACATACTTGGTACAGAGTATATGAACAGCATTATGATTATCAATCCTCAAGGTCAGGGGTCTATCCATGTCTATGCATGGTGGAGCTACGATGTACAATATGTATAAATTTTCCAGTTTTTCTAATTTAGCCCCCGTTGAGTCAGGATGCGACTTCCGATGCTGTCGTAATTTGCTTACTATTCTCACAAATGTCTTTAAAATCCACTCCAAGCTAGGCATCAGCGCCGTGCTCCCAGACATCCACCCATGGAATGTTGTATTGATCGAGTTCACAATAGGCAATCAGGCCACCCATGGGCTGATATCATCCGACATATCAAAGACATCTCCAGGGCTGATCCCAAGGTTCTAGTACTTTCAGCTAACTACATAGGGATCGGTTATCTACATCGGTGTACCTTTTAAAAAGGGTATTAGGCTATAAAAGGCTAGATCTCCAGGGTTCGGCCAGGGTTCGGCGGTACTGAGATTGGGGAAAAACCACACATGGGTGGCTTGCAGAAAAAATGTGCCCAAGAAGAACCAAGAAACCAAGGAAAGCAAAGCCACCAATTCTACGGCAGCTAGAATTTTCCACGGTGTCTTGGCGCCTTCTTTTTCGCCTCAGGCCACCAGTTGGATATGGATCCACTGGGATAGATACATTCGCCACCAGACTATATAGCCTTGATCTTGGTACCCAAAAGGGATATACGTGTCAGTGTATATCAACAGTTAGCTTTCAGATTCAGCTATATAGTTCTTGCGTTTCGAATATTTTTCTGCTCTGGTATCAATAAGATCAAAGAAATAAAACACGCGTTCAAGTCACTCTGTCTCCACTTAAATCAGCATGACAGCTATGATCCATAGACACCTAAACCGCCATCCAGCATCTGTTCAGCCTTGCAAGTAGAGAACCAAATAGTTCACCTGTCCAACAATCCATATACACAGTTTCAGACCGCCTAATCTGCCTTGTCGTACTGGGAATGCGCTCCAGCTGCCTCTCGTATACCGGGTTTGATACTAGGATCGGCAAAATGTATTCATCTGATCTATGTACTCCCTTGTTCTACCAATTTCAAGGCTTGATCGTATGATATTTCCTACATGGATAATCCTGATTTATCCATGAATATTCCTCGTAATCTGAAGAGTAATGAGTCATTCTGATATTCTACCGTACAGGAGGACTACCTACAATGTACCTACATACATACTGCCGCCCTGGGGCCTCTATGACGTGCTCATGTCATTGTGACTCAATCCCAGTCAAGTCTCCTGGGTTTCCGTTGGATTTAGGCGCGTGTGTGGCGATTTGGTTCGATTCTGGTCAGGGCTTTAGTATGATGGGTACATGTTGAACCAGTCGGAACCCCGAGTTCAGTTTGCGTGCTGCTTGATTCTTTAATTGTATGATTACTTGATTGTTGTATTGTTATTGTAGTAGAATCTGATTGGAGACTTCCAAGTCCCTGTTAATTGTTGGCTCGGGGTTAAGTCAAGGTGAGGTCATTCATAGTCGAGTCGTCATATTGAGTTGGCAGTCAAGTTCTACAGTCCCAGTACAGGGAGGTGGCCCACGTTCTTTTGGGCTGTTTTTCCAAGTGGTCGAGGATTGTTCCAATCTCAGAGTCAAACGTCTGTCTGTTACTATCTAATTATAGGAGACTCCCGAGGTCGTACTTATGGTGTTGCCTCTTTGTTGCACAATGAGAGGAAACCTTCCGGGAAGCTTCGGGGTGAAATCGAACCACTTGTTTTCATGTTGGATTGGATAGGATCATATGTAGAAATGGAGTGTATCATTATTGCAGGTTAAATAATTTCCTACTTTGTACAGTATTATTAGGTGTTGGTAGTAGCCTGGAGGCGTCAATAGTTTGGACGAGGTGAAGGGCAATCTTCAATGTTCCGACCGAGAAGTCTCGTCTGACATGGGACCACGAGAACACCAAAAAAAGAGAACCCAAACAAAGAAGAAAAGCCGCCTCAATTCTGAGCGGGCCAGTATCTACACGAAAAACGCGTCGGTCGCAAGTAATTATGCAATGAATTACTCTTTACGATCTACAAGGAAGAAGAAAAGTGTTGAATCATAGAAGACAGCATTAATTTTGCGTCTTGTCATGAGATGATGCGCGCTAAGGCATCATGTTAAAGGGAGCCCCCATAATGTACATGCCCATGACTGATCCATCAATCGATGGTGAGCAGTAGCATCGATAAAAAAGCAAAATTGCGAAGCAACCCGGTGCCGAAACCCATTGATATTTGAAAGCAAACCCATCATGTATCGCCAGTAGTCATGATAAAAAGATAAAAACAAACCCCATGATCGCCTTTCAGAATTTAACCCAGCTCGTTGAAAATGAAAAATTACGAGCGCTCGCCACGGAGACGGCGGGCCAACTGGATGTCCTTGGACTGAATGGTGACACGCTTGGCGTGGATGGCGCACAGGTTGGTGTCCTCGAAGAGAGAGACGAGGTAAGCCTCAACGGACTCCTGGAGAGCACCGATGGCAGAGGACTGGAAGCGGAGATCGGACTTGAAATCCTGAGCGATCTCACGGACGAGACGCTGGAAGGGGAGCTTGCGGATCAGAAGCTCAGTGGACTTCTGGTAGCGACGGATCTCACGGAGAGCGACGGTACCTGGAGATGGAATGTTAGAAGATGTTCTGAAGGATGCTTGATGGATGTCTCGTGAGGCATGATATGGAACTTACCGGGCTTGTAACGGTGGGGCTTCTTGACACCTCCAGTAGAGGGGGCGGCCTTGCGGGCGGCCTTGGAAGCGAGCTGCTTACGGGGAGCCTTGCCACCAGTGGACTTACCTATTGGAGACAGTTAGCAAAATGTTTCTTGTCGAACGCGTGAACGCGTCACCAAATCCTCCCCTCAACGCGGACACCTGACTAATCAGGCATCACCAGTGAGGTGGAAAAAGGTGAATAAAATATGATGGGATAAATACTTACGGGCAGTCTGCTTGGTACGAGCCATCTTTGATGATAGACTTTGATGAAAAAGTGGTTTTGTTGATAAAAGAGTTGGTTGGCGGAGGATGGATGTAAAAGGGAAGAGAGAGGAGGGTGGGGGAAGAGTATTTGTAGGAGACGGGGAGGGGGAATTGATCTGGGAGGGAGCCACGAATCAGGGGGAGTGAGCCGATCAGGATCAGTCAGGAAACTCAGCGCGTAGGACTGGGGACTGCGTAGCGTGTAGCCCAGAGACTGATTTGCGGTGAGCTCTGATTGGTTGAACTGGATCAAAGTGCTGTTACTGCCAACTAAGCGAGCCCTGGACCAATCAGAGTGCAGGATCAGGGAGTATAGAATGCCAAACCCTTGAATTCTTGATCTTGCACCCAACCTCCCTTGGATCGAGAATTAATGCATTCTCAAGTATTCAGCATTCTTTAAAATATATAATTGTTCCATTTTTATTATAGATTTACATTGTTGGTGGCGGATTATAGGAGGATCAAAGATGGACCACGGCAAAGTCGGCGTTCCAACTCTGGGGTCTCCCGGTAGATCAAGGTTGGTCTGTGATCCTGCGCTCTCATTGGTGGACGCGATTCCTAGCGCGTGATTTCCCAATCCTCGCTGATTCCCGTATCATACAAATATCCTCTGTCCACTTCCGTTTCCTTTCCCTCTTTTTCCATCAATTCCATCGACAACCATTCAACTACCAACTCCTCTACATCCCACTTCTACAAACCCCCTTTTTCTTCTAATCCATATTCAATATGTCTGGCCGTAAGTTATTACCCCACACTTCCTGTTCCTTCACAAGAAACGTGTTCTAACGCGTCTCATTTCAGGCGGCAAGGGTGGAAAGGGTCTCGGCAAAGGTGGTGCCAAGCGTCACCGCAAGATTTTGCGTGACAACATTCAGGGAATTACCAAGCCCGCTATTCGTCGTCTCGCACGTCGTGGTGGTGTCAAGCGTATCTCCGCTATGATCTACGAGGAGACCCGTGGTGTCCTCAAGACCTTCCTCGAGGGTGTCATCCGTGACGCTGTCACCTACACTGAGCACGCCAAGCGCAAGACTGTCACTTCTCTTGACGTTGTCTACGCTCTCAAGCGCCAGGGCCGTAAGTTTCCACGTGTCACCCTATTACACAACGCGTCTCTAACCTTCCTCTTCAGGTACCCTCTACGGTTTCGGTGGCTAAATCATTTGTTCTTTTCTTTTCCGGGCTGGTTCACGGTACGACGGGACGTTGGGGTGTTCTCTGATTTATTTTACTACAACTGTCATGGGTCTCTGGGTTTGCTTTTCATAACACTCGATTACCACTATTGCGCGTCCATAGTGTGCGCTTCCAAGCTTTTCTGTATCATAGCGGCCTCCACATTACGGCTGGCACCATGGACATGGTGGGATCAAGCACTTAAGTGCGATCCGATACGAATACAATCAAAACTTGAAATAATTTTTTGACTTTGTGGTCTTCCGAGTAGTATGTCTTGTAGTAACTAGATGTTTTGTATCTTGAAGTGTTTGTTTGTTTGTTTAGCTTGTATTGTGGTACATGGCACCACCTCTTCGGTAGCTGTGCCTTAGTCATTTCAATGTCTGCAATTGAGGTCTTCGTGGTTTAGGGATGCTTGACGCGTTGCGCGTTGTTTTGACTGCCTGAGGCCTCTTTTCCCATGCTCGGCATCAACCCACCACGGGTTATAGAATTTGATTAGATCTCTGTTACTGACCGAGTATTCATATTCCTTGGACTCTCTGGATGTCTATTTTATCATATGCCATGGTATCGCTAATTTCTTTGGTACTTCCATGATGTGTACAGGAGACGATTATACACATGTCTGTAACTACTTTTTTCCTTTTGTATTTCGCTTTGTATTGCATATGTAGTATGTTTGATTTTATTCGGGATCCAGTTATTTGACTGGCTGGTTCCGTAATATTTGAGTTATGTAGATTGCATGAAGAGTGTATGTATGTGGACTGGGATGTGTAAGGGTGGTACTACGGATATATATCCAAACCAACACTAACTTATGGACTCTCGGACAACACATGGGAATGTATAGAACCAACATAAAAGGCATACATCGGGACCAAATACATTATTGATAGTCCAGCTGCCCAATTTAGAACCGGATATACCACGCACCATGGCATGGTGAGTGGAATAGATTTGCTACCCAAGTTCGAAGTTGAACCCCCCCAAAACGGCAGTCCAACTTTACTTGGCGCTGTGAAACATGATAAATTTAGGTCTACCACAACCAAGCTGCAATGGCATATTTTAACCGAAATACGTAAAAAATAGTTTCAAAATCAGTTTCAAAACCGAGCCATACTGGTCTCCATTTAAAACCCGGTAGAAGTCCATTTGTCACACGAAGACTGAGTTGAACCCCCAAAAAGGGGAGTTCAACCTTTTTTTTTGAAACCACAACTGGGCACCCCAGACATGGTCTGAAGTGCTCCTTCTATATTATCCTCTAAAAGAAAAAGAGAAAAACAGCATGGCGTCCAGTCTACCAAATAGCCAACGCTGCACTGTCAAGCGATGAAGGATGACGGCTGATTTCCCACCGGACCCCGGGACAGGTCAAAAGGGAACTGACAAAAAGCACCACAGCACCAGCTAGCAGCAAACATATAGAGAAAAGAAAGCCAGTGAATTGACTGAAGCGAGCCTAATGTGTGAGGCCAAAACATGCAAACACCTCAGACTTGCCTGATTTATTAGCATACAAGTCAGTTGAAGATACGGAGTACATATGTACATACTCTCTCCCATCCTTCTCCTTGCCATCATCATCATCACCACTCGAGCCAATAAACCAAAAGAGTCAAGGTCTCCATAACCGTACCACGATGGGAAAGAAAATATCAAAAAGAAGTGCACAGCTCATAGAGCTTATCAAAGGCATTGAAAGGTACTGGATTCCTACACGGACGATAGAAAAAACCACTAACAATACCATAGCCTGCGCCTCGACCCCAAATATAGCGACTTTACCATTGTGTGTGGAGACGACGAATACGCCGTGCACAAGTGCATAGTCTGCCCGAGGTCGGATTTCTTCGCCAAAGCCTGCGACAGTGGATTTGAGGTGAGATGCATTTATTGGCATGGCGGAACAAGACCCAAGAGGTTCACACCGGCTAACGAAACGCAGGAATCGTTTACAAACAGGATCGTATTATATGAAAAGCCGGATATAGTCGAGGGGATGATTGATTATCTCTACACTCTGGACTACCAGGTGAAACCTCACCCACCCGAAACAGGCATCTCTCGACAATCAGACGGAGAAAGGTCCCAATATAGCCCGAAAAAGCCCAATGGCACAGATGAAGATGCAGCGACCGCATGCAATATCCTGTCAGCCCATATCCTGATGTACTCGCTCGCAGACCGAATGTTCATCCATGGGCTCAAGGCTCTCTCAAAGGACAAGGTCAAAAAGGAGCTGGCCCGGCGGCTGGACTCGATCACGTTCCCACATGCCATCTTTGAGATATACAGCACAACACCCGCAAGCGACCGAGGTCTACGGGACCTGGTAGTGAAAATGACCATGGACAACCTTGTAAGCCTGAGATCTGGAGCGAAAACCATGGACCCCGCGGAGGAGAAAACCGGAGAAGAATCAGAACCTGTGCCCCTTCCAGACTCCTTGGTGAAATCAGTCCCACAATTTTCGTCTGATTTGGCTGTGGCAATGATGGACAGAACGGTTACCGACTGGAATTGTCATGGAATGTGTAAGCCAAACTGGGTTCAGCAGGATACTCACCATGGTACTCAATCCGAGGTTAGCCCTGAAGCAAACAAATGAAGGCAAAAATTATATTTGCTAGGAATGAGACAGTGTTGGAATAATTAACATTGTATTGCAAGAAAATTGTAATTGTAGTTAAACTGTACTCGATAGGGCGATCAGCCTCGAGCAAACTGCACATCAAACAAACACAATCAGCTGTGGTATGCACCAGAAAGTCATTTGAAAGCGATAAAACGAGACCGACAAGCATCCATGGATATATCAGACTAATAGAGCGATGACCTACGTGCAAAACCAAATCACCAGCTCCCAATGTCGATACTCGATACTCCAGGCTGACTTGATTGACGTTGTAACACCTGCCTACAACACTACACAGACTGAAGTAACCAAGCAAACAAGAGGGCAAAGAAGGATGAAATAGGCAGGTTTAAGTGAGACCGAGATAGGACATCAGAGGTGTCATTCTGACCACAGCAATACAACTGACGGGATCCTTCAATGTTGGAGATCAACATGGACTGCCTCAATCACCACACAGCGCAAACAAAGATGCATAACCGAATCCAGACAAACCCCATGCTAACTATCAAGCTGATATGACCACGCTGAATTTTGAATCGCCCGCTCTCAATGAAGCTGATAAGACCTAGTCTCCTCACGCCGTCAGCCTTTACCCCGCGAGATATCCATCAGTCTACTCTGGCGATTATCAATGAATCCCCTCCACAGACAGCCCCCGACGCCCCACAGAAACGAGCCCCGATCGTCGTGAGCCAGAAGACGAACCATGTTGTATACCGAGAACGTGGCCAAAAGAGACACTACGAACTGCCAACAGTACATCAACATGCGGGAGACTTGTTCGGGAACACATCCATGGATATGGTCCCAGTGTGCAACAGGGTAAGTGGCTAGCCAATTATCCGAATGGGGCTGCTGAATACCAAAAATTCCCATGATCGAACCGGCCCTGCTATCAACCGTGTAGGACAAGAAAATGTGGCAACGTTTACGAATGATCCGACGTAATGGCACTGCACCACAGTCTGCATGTTGACTCGTCCGGCGCCGACCATTAAACAAATATTGCAAGAGACTTTGACTTCCAAATATGGCACCTCTACGGAATATGGTACACAAAAACAGCAACAGGCGATTCCAGCCACGAATTCTATTTATACGGCAGCAGAAGCACCAACGATCTTTACGACTGTATCTCCGTGGTCTCGATTCCTCTAACCAGATGGATCGAATTTATAAGTCCTGGATACGGACATGCATGCCGCGTTGTCAATCAGAACCAAATGTTGACAGGTCGTGACGAGTCCCCCATAACATCACCAGAACACATGGATAGCGGTGCTATCTGGTGCGGTAATGCGCTCTCTCGTTGATGCAGCCTAATAACCACACTACGCATCTTTCTCACTCGCAGACCCAGAATCCATCCCACCAAGGAACAAGACATAGCATAGCATCCACCATCGCTGAACATCCATATGGCAAATCCACCAAATGTTGAAGTAAAATACCACAGCAGAGGGCATGCTGCAGAATTGCCAACTTCTCGATATATTCGGGGCCTGTGTGGGAGATTTTATAAAAAATTATATGGTAAGAAGGGAAAAAAAAGAAGAAAAAAAAGATAGACATAGCATGTCCTGGTTTCGATCCAGGGTCCTATTGCGAGTTAGTTTGATGTTTGTGGGTGAAATTGGTTGCGGTGAAACGTACCTCCGGGTTATGAGCCCGGCGCTCTTCCCCTGAGCTAACATGCTGGGATGTTGGAAATCAACGTTTTCTTTGACTACATTAGCCAGGACACACAAGGGCGACACTTCCTCGAGTCTATAGAGAAATTGATTACGTTTAGATATGACAAGTTCTATTCGAAGGGCCATACTACCACTATCAGATGATGAAGCAGTTTGTGGTCATCTCTATTATTTTGAAAGCTGCTTCTGTGGTAAACCGATATGATAGCGCCAGAAACTTATATATAGGAACTCTATACTCTAAACTGTCGCCTCTAGGGATCAAACTTGTTTGTAACTGGACACCAAACTGTACGATATTTACCTTCTCTTTCCTGCTCAGGAAATACTGATGCCTTGCAGCTTGCCACCTCATTCTCAAGACGGTATCCTGCAGCGCCAACAGATAGGTTCCTTGCTACCCGTAACTAGCGTCCAGCTCAACATTGTTGCACAACTTTGTTGCACAACTTCTAACTATTGGTCACGGCTTAGAGTTTCAATGTAACTACATATTCTTGTGTCACCATCAAATATGGTACAAAAACGACTCTATATCTACCTGCATGTACTGGCCTAGTGCTCTCTATAGTCAAATACATACGAGTTGAACTCCTGTCTACTCCAAGGGCCAGTTAGCTGGGATATCAAGGGTCTATCAAAAGGACCACCACAAGCAATTGACCTGGAGGCTGGGTCATAGGGTACTTGGTCATTGATGGGCTCCTGGTTTCCAATTCCATACGGTGCAGGTATTAGATACCAAAACATAATTACTATTATTATACGACCAGAGATAGATCGTGGCTAGCTTCTAAAATTCTGGAATACACGTGTACATAGGCAACCAAGTAAGGAATGTGCCATCCCTTGCTGTCATGGGCATAGCCCCAACTCTTTTCCCAACAAAGCTCCTTGGAGCCTCCTTTCTAAACTTTCCTGACTCAAGATGACGAAGCGCACAGTATACGCATACGCGGCTAGCCTTGAGGATCTAACGCAGACACGTGATAGCCCTTCGAAGTTGCCAAGGTGTGAGTCAGAACAATCAGCCAGTGTTGGTAATGCCCAATGACAAATATCGGGATAATCAATAATCAAAATCAGCCACAACAAGATGCGCAAGGCCAAAAAAACTTGAACGCACGTCTGAAAACAGGAGCATGGTCCTCCGACAATGTCGGGGATGCCCGGAGGCCGGCATTCCGGGACGAAAATAGAAAGCTTCCAGAAGAACCAAAACAACAGCGCTTTACTGAATGCAGCACTAGCGGCATGCATAAGCCACGGAAATACCTTCTGGAACATACCAGAAATACCGAATACGATTACCTGCAGATTGTGGCTGCCCCAAGTGCCGTATGGTAACAGGTTAAACCGGCAACTTGAACGGCGTAACGGCAGTACCGAGAAGTGGCTGTGCAGCCCTAGCTGTCGCGGCCAATCATTTACATTGAAAAACTTTTCGCTGCTGCATTAGACTGTTACTAAATATGATCCTGCATGACAATCTCGCAGACCCGTCGCCGAGAAACCCGGATTAAAGTGCTGACATACAACAGTAAGTTTTTTTTTGGTCGGGATAGCATGCCGGTGAAAATTTTTTCTCCGTGTTTTTCTGAGTCCTTGTGCATGGGCCCTTCATTGGTAATGAGTGACAGGATTAATGTCTGCCCAATTGAGAAAGAGTTTATGGACATTGGAAAAAAGGGTGCCTTCGGTAGGCAAATCCATCCCTAGATCACTCTCAAAAAAAGAAAGAAAAACCACTAGATCTACATATCCCACTATATCTGAGTGGGCCATTGGATCTGGATACTTGGATCAGCTGAGGCTGGTTTGCCACTTCCCCGGACTGTGTAGGGGCCACGTTTTGGTGTACGCTTGAGGAATTCGCCAAGATCTTCCCGCATCTGTCCACAGAGAATGGAAGATCAGTTGAATTTGGGCCAGACTGTTCGGTGGACACGGCAGACCCCGGACCCGAGTATGCCGACAAAACCGAGAAAAACACTTAGCCCCGAGAAGATGCCGGTCGGATTTATGTCGCGCTAGTGGATTTCAAAGGAAGATCCTTGGAGATCACATGGCACCTGCTAGACTATTGTTGCTGCCTTCCTTTTTGCGACCGAACAAGATCTAAGCTGGAAAGCCGGGGTTTGCCGATGCTGCTCGGTTCGGAGACCCTTGATCTGCGATCTGATACACTGGCATTTAGTGTCTAAGCCATGTGCATATGCACGGTCGAAGATGATAGCGCTAAAACCGAAAATTCCGAATGTAACGCGCAGTACATGGCATTCTTACCACGCTACTCGTGGTCATCCGCGTGCTACAAAATCCGCGCTAACAATGTAGCTAATCTATAGGGATCCGAGCGCTATGAAAATATGAAAATACCAAAATCAACATCAATACTCCAATTTAATACTCGAATTTTATTCCCAACACTTTCTGAGTCAAAAGGAAAACATATGATTCACATGTGATCGAGTCATCGAATCATCGAACAATGCAGACCAAAAAATTAAGGCAATCAGCCCACAGTAAAGAGACCATGTGACCATAATCTTAGAGCCTTGCGCATGAGATTCTTGTGTAGCCTAACAATGATAAACCCAAATTGGGCATTTCCCGCCGAGCCTAGAGACAAGCGCTTACACCTGGGAACAAGTGTGAGACATGGAAAATACTACCTATACGGAGTACACGATTGCTCTTCGCTTAAGACAATAAAATAAAATAAAATGAAATTAAATTAAAACTGTGACTCAAGATCTGGGGTCAGCTGATCATCGAGTTCCTACCTACATGTAGGTATACACGAACAAGATCCATGGACCCGTGTCCGACTTCAGCTTATCAAGCCATTAGATGAATGGTCAGCTGACTATCGCGCCTGTCGAACTCCAGGGCTGCGGAGCGGAACCCGCCGATTGGCGCGTAGTGGGGAGACAGTCGCAAGACAATCCCAAGACAATCGGAAGACCGTTGAGAGACAATTGCTTCACAGCCACAATGCTGAGTATTCGAGTCTTGGAATTGTCGGGTCCGAGTACGAAGAAACGAGAAGAATGTGCTCTGCAGGCTTTCCCCATGTTGCGCAGGAATGAGCGTTGGGACGGCCGAACCGAACCATTGGGCACCAGCCACATGGATCAATCTCGATGTGGCTAGTGTCAAAGAAAGTATGTGCAGACAAATAATAATACACCTCGGCTGAACAACTCCCCGGGTTTCAAATCTACATTTCTGGGGCATTCCAATGAGTTCTGACTCACCGGAGATAGTAGATCAGGCCGAATTATTAATTCCCAACGGACCAAAACTTAGTATGCGAAATGGGCACCAAAACAAACCAAGGTGTGGCTCAGCCTTAGGGATTTCCTCGGCTTCTCCACCCCCATTTTTTCCTAATTTTGGCCCTGGTCACCCGAGTGCAAATCGGAGCTAGTTCTAGACTATGCGACAGAATTTTTTTTTCCTTTTTTGTTTTCTTCTCTAAGCGATGTACTGTAAACCTTGGCTGAATCTTTTGCCCGGAATTCTCTTAAAAGAATTTAAAAAATATTATTATTAATATACGGAGTAGATCTTGAAAAATGAACATTGACACCCAAAAAGCCCAATCACATAGAATATAGGTATGGTGGATCCTTGTGGCTTTTGTATATCCTCCAGGGCTGTAAGCCACAAACTTCACAAGAGAGCGAGTGAAAGAGATCCCCAGATCAGATCAGTGGGACTCGGTAAAAATGGTGTATGTGGTGATACGAGTCCAGTCCCAATTTAGACTAGCCCCGGAATTGGGTACAATTAAAAATAATAATTACGCCAATTACGCTAAATCGGTCAATACGGTAAATTCTTGTTCGGGGACACCGAGCTAGTGTGAGGTCATCTAGTACAGAGCGCTCTTTATTAACTCACTCCTCCCGACCTCTTTCAACTTCATTACTCATACCCCAAAACACTCTGACTCTTGAGATCATCATATCAAGTAAGATTTGCTTCTCCTCCGGTCGAGTCATTCTCCAGAACCAAACTCACATCAACCACAGTCACCTCCATTAAAGTTCCAGCCCTCTTATATTCCATTCGATCAGCCTCCCGACGTTTCCAGACTCTTCGCTACCTTAAGCTTTGAACCGAAGTCTCAAATCCACACTTCTTGCAAAGCACGGCCACAATTGACCAGGAAATTTTAATCGGATTTTGTGCCGTCGGGTCCTATAAAAGCTCGTCTTTCCCCGGTGGCGAACACTACCCACTTTCTCTGACGTCCCCAACACCGTGATAACATAATGCTTATGTACCCACGTAAGGGTCTCATCACCGATCCATACAACTCAGAAGACATCATCATACAAGACGACCAGTACCCACCTGATTTCTATTCCGAGAACGCCTTGCACTACGATCAATCTCGTTTGCAATCACCGTTCCAGTGTCATCCCGGTGTACAGCTCTCCCCGCCATCTTCCGCACCTTCTTCACCTGCTTTCTCCTCGCCTACCTTCTCGACATCTTACCCGCAGACGTCTGACTCTCAGTCTTTCGGGGCTCCTTCGATGACCCCAGCGCCTTCATATAACCCGTCATACGACATCCAGGGTTCCAATTCACCTTCGCACTACTTGCCTCAATATCCTCAGCAATATTATACGCCCATGCTGGTACAACAGCCTATCGCAAGTAACCAGGGTTGGGATAGCAACGTACAGTTGTTGAGCCCTGCGCGCATCCCATACCCCGGTGTGCAAAAGAGATCCTCGCCCTCGGCATCCTCGCGCGCAGCCCCCTCAGGGTTGGCAGCCAACAACTACCACCGCCGCTCCAACAGCGCCAACAAGCCGCTACCCACCCCGGTGCAAACGCCTCTCCAGAACTCATTCCTTGCGACCCCCTTCCAAAGTTTCGATCCCTCCTCCCAGGATGGTCACAATGCCGAGGCCGAGTCTGCTATGAGAAAAGCGATCATGGACCAGCAGAAGCAATCACCCCCGCAGCAAATGCAGAACGACTACTCACTAGCTCCATCGGTGTCAACAATAAGCCATAACTCGCCGGTGACTCCGCAGACTACCCTCGACGAACTCGACGACGCATCCAAGTCGATGACCAATGGTGAGAATCGAATTCCTGATATTGATTGGTGGATGGACCAGTACTTACATTCCGACGCACCTCCAGAATACAACGGCGCCAATGGTGCCATGTCAATTGGAGTCCCCAAGCTGAACAGAACCATCTCCGATATATACCAAGACGAATTATATAACCCGACCATCATGGCAGCGCCCCAGGCGTCCAAGCCGATGGGACAAAATCACCTCAACCCGCGCAATTTTATTGTCGATCGCCTGCAAGCTGCCAACCAGGGACACATGTCTGCTCGTTCGCAATCGCCTGCCAACAGACGGGATCACTCACCTTTCCGTCCCTCTTCCCCATTCGCTGGTGACATGAGCAACAATGCTCTCCAGCAGCCCCAGATGGCTACCAGCATCCCCATGGGACAGAACGCTATGAACGGCATGAACGGAATGAACATGGACCAGACCTCGAACACTGGAGATATCAAGACTATGTCCCCCAAGGATGCAGTCTTGGATTTCCACGACAACGATGATGCCATGCCTTCTCTGTCCCCCCAGGCCAGGCTGATTTCAACCTGGGTGATGCGCTTGGCTTGCGACGCGATAATGGCCCAATGCGACCGATGGAGGCATTCCCTCAATATTCGGCACCCAGCATGGCCCAGCCACAGTTCGCATTTTCTGAACCTCAGATGCATCGCCCTCAGAATAATCTCTTGCCGCAGAGTACCGATTTCCCTTCTCTCCCAGCAGTGGAATCTACCGAGAGCTCGTCTCCGAGTCAAATGAATATGCCAATTACAGAGGGTATTTCTCGTCCCGCCAACACATCTTCGGATGCGGGCACCTACACTTGCACCTATCACAACTGCACAGACCGCTTCGACTCCCCCTCCAGACTCCAGCGACACAAGCGCGAGGCACACCGACAAACAACACCGGGCGGCCACCTTATCAGCCGCGACACCTCACTCCGCAACACCCAGGCTGGCCCGCACAAGTGCGAACGCATCAACCCGTCTACAGGCAAAGCATGCAATTCCATCTTCTCCCGGCCCTACGATCTTACACGGCACGAGCATACGATCCACACCGCCGGGAAGCAGAAGGTGCGCTGTCATATCTGTAACGAGGACAAGACCTTCAGCCGAAACGATGCTCTGACAAGACGTAAGTTTCCCTTTTTTGGTTATTTACCCTTAAGTTGATCATACACTAATTACATTAATTACAGACATGCGAGTGGTTCATCCCGAAATTGACTGGCCAGGCAAACAGCGCAGGAGGAGAGACTGAGAGCGCCTTCCACGTCATCGTCACCAGATCGGCATGCCGAACGTCATAGGTGGACCCACTTTGGGTCCACCAAAAATCCGGGGCTTCGTCATCATGACGATTCACATCCCTAATTCTCATGAACTCTCTGTATCACTATTCGGATTCGGATTTTATTATTTATTATGTGTACGATTTTACGGTGATGATTTGTTTTAAATGCGGTCCCCCTTTTTAGCATTGGTTGGTGTGTTTTTTTGCGTGGTTTTTTTTCCTATTTTCTGTCTATGCCTTTGGCTCTGGGAAAACAAACGGTTTTGGTGTTGTACATTTCTGTTGTACATGGTGTTGCTGCATTTTTGACCCGAGTACAGTGTGTCCCTCTTGTACTATAGTACATTCCTCTTAAAAAAAATGTATATTAGCTTTTGGATATGACATGAACTCATTTGGAAATGATCTATCACTCTCCACACTCCATACACTCCACTATAACTTTGTAAACAGTGAAACCCCTCTCTTACTTGAAACAATCGAGGGATAGACTCGAATCCCTCGTACACACCTACATCACACCTGCATGTTTACCCACTTATGCCAGCCATCTTAACTGTTCGATGCCGATCTCTTAAGTACGATGTACTATGTTGTATGTGTAGCAATATCATAGGTACATTGTTTAGAATGTATCTTGTACACTGTAGACTGATTAAAGTTAACAAAAATACCAAAGTATGCACTATAGACAAGGGTTATCGAATAATGTATAATGTATATTGTATATTGCAATATGTTGTACATTAATTAACATCTCCACGGATGAGTCCCGATTCGCGCTGATCATATATTGTACTCCGTACTCTGTACTCCGCATTGTATCAACAATCGCAATTACCCATAAATATCTTGTACATTGTAACAAGACGAGACGAGCAAGTGATCTATGTGCCAAGAGTATGATACCATGATTGCGTAAATCCATCCAAGAAAGCCTTGGAACAAACCCGAGCTCATCCAAACATTGGCCTGATAAACAATCTGGCTGCCAGTATCCTGGTACCCGGTACTGGGATTGTTTGGATGGGATTTGGTAGGATTTTGGTTTGGGTTTGGAACGACGTAGTTGTTTACAATAATAGTTACAATTCCAGCCCCGATTTCAGGATTTTGTTCATGTCCATGTCCTAACGGAGTTGCTTATTTGGGTATATGATTTTGCATATGGGGTATTGGTATCCATGTACCCCCGGGGTGTCACCCCCTTTCTCCTATCTGTTACCGGGTACGAATGTTGCTGTCATTGTCTTGGTTGTCATCGTCATCAACAGCTATTAGCTCCTATTCAAGCTTTTGTATTGAAAACTATCGTTATTTGTAGTTTGGGTTGGTATTTATCCTAAGTTTTACCATATACCGTACCAAATAAGCCACCGATTATGTACCTATTTACATTATCTTTGTACACACTTAAAATGATAGGCAATAAATGATAGACAGGGTGAGATACATTGGTGGGTCTATGGCTTAATAGCTGTGGGTCTGTAATACGCCCGTTGTATTGGAGAGTGGGGGCAGTCGGAAGGTGGGGAGGTGGAACGATGGGTGGATGTGTGGCTGGAGACGAACTTCTCTCTTTGAAGCCGTACGATGATCGCGAAGCTCCTGCACATGTGATTATTAGTTCGCATACTGGTGGTGTGATAGATGGCTTGTTCTAGATGGCTTCTTTCAATTGGTTTCTTTTGGTCGCTATTACTGGTGGTTCTTTGCGATACCCCGATGCACTATATCCCTTGCGTGGTCGCATCATCGAGGGAGTCATATGAGATGTAAAACGTGATGTGGTATCGTGGTCACTCTATACTCTGTACCGCCCGGCAATAGAGCAATCATTAATCATAACAAACATACCTACCTAGGTATGGAGTACCAGCCACAAAATACCCCTAATACCAAGGTGTTATCTCTTCTCGGACAGCCAGCCCTCCTTAGGTGACTTCAAGATGTAAAGAGAAAGATTGTTGATACTATGTTTCTTGTATTTAGGCAGAAAATATGTACGCTGGAGGGCTAGGGATCTGCTCCAGAGTAGGCGGCAAGACAGCCATTCACAATAAGTAACATCACGGACGCCAGCATCACACAGGTCATTGAGGTCTTTGGTATATTCCAACAACATTGTCACAACTCATACTCTGCAGCCCCTCGCTCGGATTTGGAACGGAGTATCTACCTATTCAAACAACTCCTTTGGTGCCCTCCCCGTTATCGCTTTTGTCGTCACGGCATGCGGGATTGAACATCAAGCTACCTCGACTCCTTCCTGGTCATTTAATTGACAGTATTGTTGTTATGCCTATCAAACACCTCTTTTCATCATCAAGTTGGCGTCCTCAGGCCCCGTTGCTGCCTGACCATCTGTTGATATTTCAGAGCTCTTGCTGCTCTTCAGTCAGTTCTCGATTCTGGTGTGCCATTCTCAACGTTTACCAAATTCCTTATTGGCGTACAGACTCATTCAGGCCTTTGCTCTACCTACTTCGACTCAAACCACGCGATCTCATTCTAGTGGCTAGAGGTTCTATCTCTCCGCCATCCTCGAACCCCTGAAATGTCTGCGGGACACGGAGGCTGCAGATGCCTAGTGGAGGGGTACGATCAATGTCTATGCAGATTTTGTGTCCGATGCGGGAGTTTTGGTCATAAGGCCATTCACTGCAAAAGGAAATCTCATGAGGGACGAAGTGGAGGGTACCTAAGGGGTTCACATCCTACAAAAATGACGGCGATGAATGATCCTGATCTCACTGATACTCACCGAGAAGTGTGTGCCCTATTATTCTAACGCATTTCTTCATTATTGTGCTGACTGAAGAGATTCTTTCTCAGGATTCCCCCACAGTGCCAATAGCCATAGCGCAAGTGTCAAATGCATCGAAAAATGACTGCTCGCCACAGAAATCAACAACCGATGAAATTCCAACCGCCAAACGACGAAACTGGAGTGAGGTGGCCGGCAGTCAAATTGAGACCCTGAATCTAGGACCCGTCGATCGGACCTCCATCCTAGAGCATTTGATTTCAAAAGTGCGCCTCGAAATGAACGAAAGGTACTCTTCTGTACTCGAGGAGTACGATGTTGCTAGAATACTCGAAGACAGCTTGAGTCCAGCTGTGAAGGATATTTGTGAACAAGGCAAATTTGATCTAGCCAGGTATGTCTGACCTTGACAATTTAGAAACAAATTGCTAATAAACCCTTCTAGCCTCTTGGAAATTGGACAGGACCCAGAAACGAAAACAGAAGCTGGTGTCTATCTCCACATTCTATGGAGAGAGGATGAAACGACGACACGATTTTGGCTTTACGTCGGCCAAGCATGTGTGCTGTGTCTGAGAATCCAGAAACACAAGGATCCTAGGCATCGTTGGAAGAATATGGGACTACACTACGCAGTGTGGGACTCTGCCGTGGATATGAAATCAGCCTTTGTCACTCTGGCTATCCTCGATGCCCCATCTTCCACTCAGACGCAGCTAGTTCTTAACCTAGCAGAGATGTGGATGTGCCTAGTATTCCAAACACTGACTTCCCTTCACCTAGGCTCCTGGTTGCCGGAAAACACAAACGCTATGTGGTCGGGTAATCATCTCAATGTTGCATTGCCATTATGGCAAGGATTCACAGATACCCAAGAGAACAAAGATATCACTGACGCAATTGGCGGCAGATCAACCTTTCAACAATATCTTGCATCCGAGGATCCAGTTATTCGGGCATGGGCAGAGCAAACCAGGGATGCGTTCAACGACATACGAAACTCCCCTGACCCGGGAATCAGGAATTACTGGTGGGATCTTCACAAGGAGCGTATCCTTAAGGCACAGGACACCTGGGGTAAAAAGAAAGCCAGCATGGCTAAGCAGCACCTCGAAGGGGCCAAAGCTCTTGTTACATTGCATTCCGGAAACCATGGAAACCATCAAACTGAGGTCAGAGCTGGCAGTTTCAGGTTCACTGTTTCACAAACGCTTGGGCTTGATCTCCACAACGGCGACGAAGTTATTCTCCAATATCATCTGACCCCGACCCCACACCCACACGCTTATGCTCTTTCTGCTTTGAAAACAGATCCTGCTACCCGCTTGGGGGTTTCTATCCGTGGTCAGGATAGCCATGGAGATTTTCATTGCTGGCTAAAAGCGACTGGGGAGTACAATTTACGAAAAATGAACACACTCGTGGACATTCTGGAAGGCTATTCCACAGAGGAAAGCCAGGGGTTCAAGAGACGCTGGTTTGTTACCAAGTCTTTAAATACACCAGATAGTGATCCTCCAGGGAGAAATAGGTACACTTGATATTAGAAGACTGGAATTTTCAGAGTTCGGAATTGCAAAGCCAAAGAATTCTTAGTCGGGCCCAATTTCAATATTTCTCAGTACAAAGTTAGTGTCGTATATTCTGTATATCTTCCCTTGTTGCCCCAGTAGATCCCATATTGCGGGATTTAGATCAGTCAGACCAAAGGACCTCCACCTGGGCAGGGCTGATATACAATGACTTTATTGGGTAAGGGATGTCAATGATGAGTATATTAGGGTAAAACTTGAAGGTAGTAAGTCACCTGCAGTTTGTTTTAGTGGGGTTTATTGAGTCAAAAAAAAAAGATCGATTTGATGATGTGTACTAATAAAGAAGAACAATAAAAAAAAGATAGACATAGCATGTCCTGGTTTCGATCCAGGGTCCTATTGAAGGTTAGTTTGATGTTGTGTGGATGAAATTGGTTGCGGTGAAACGTACCTCCGGGTTATGAGCCCGGCGCTCTTCCCCTGAGCTAACATGCTGATTGGTGGAAAATATATGACTTTAGTGAAATATCACTTCGTCGAGAATAATACATTTCAATGTATACTATATATAGCAAGTAATATGTAGCTGTAAGATAGCATGCTACAAATTCACTAGTAAATATGTTAAGATCAATTTCTAACAAATTAGAGCGCTAACTCCACTTTTAGAAATGCACCCGGTGACTACAGAGTACATTGTAACTAGCTGATTTTAACCGCCGCTTAATTAGACTAGCAATACAGCATTTTATTATTTTATCTATTCACTTTTATTCCTATATAAATAATAATTATTATATTTTATCTTACATACCTACATAACCTTCCAAGGTTTTCAAGGTTTTCAACTAGAACGCAGGCTTGTGTATTCTAGAATAAATAAGCACAATATTACATCTCGTCAGCATGTTAGCTCAGGGGAAGAGCGCCGGGCTCATAACCCGGAGGTACGTTTCACCGCAACCAATTTCACCCACAAACATCAAACTAACTCGCAATAGGACCCTGGATCGAAACCAGGACATGCTATGTCTATCTTTTTTTTTTTTACTTGTTTATTCAGTTAACTTTTCATGACATAATTTCGTGATCTGCTACCTAGGTACATTTGCGGTATCATATGGGATTTGTAGCTATACTGAGGCCTAGGTCGTTGGTTAATCCTATGTTATTTACTCTTTTCTATGCAGGTGGCTTTCACTCTACAAGTTTTAACTTTTATATGGAGGATGCGCTAAACACATATATATTTATATATCACCTATAGTCGTCTAGATATATTTTTAGTATTTGATAGTGATTCAATCACGTTAGCGCTCCAAATATCCAAGGTTTACTGCGATATCCCGCTAAATTACTGAGACGAACAGTTCCCTAAGTTTGATGGTAGCCCTGCATCTTCGATCCCAATGCCAACCTACTCTGTTCATTGGGTACTCCCGTTTTGATCGAGTACATATAGGCTTCTCTCGATACCACCCCTTGTTATAGCTACTAACACGAGTCACTCAAACACAAGTCAGTTTACTAGTCACTACATGCTGTGGTGCAGCTTCCGCTGCCTCAGGCCACCAACTATATAGCTCTACAAACAACACTTGGACATAGTGGAAGTATTTTATATATGTGCTTTTGTTACTACCAGCACCTATGGTAATACACCTCGAGCTTCATACCCTTGATTTGATTTCCCAAAAAACCCTTACTGTGCAAGTATAAAACTCCAACTCGTCGCTGATCATACTGGGGGAGGGGGATCTTCAAAGTGGGGGGCGGAAATCTCTCCACAGCCGGAGTCTCATATCTGGCATTTATATCCATCCAAGAAACATAAAGCCACTCAAATCCTGTTCATTTCCTGAGCATAAACAAAGCCCTATACCTTCATGAGCCTGAATATTTTTAAACAATCAAAATACCCAGCGGCGGGGGGGAAAAAGAAAAGAAGAAAAAAAGAGGGTCATCCGGCCAACCTGAAACCAACCACCAACCAACACCAACCCAACCCAACAAACCCCTCTATACAGACAAAATGGGACAAAAAGCCTCCGTCCCACAACCGGGCGCCCAAATCCAAGTCATCGGCGCCGGACTACCACGCACAGGGACCTCATCATTCAGCCAAGCGCTCGAAATCCTCCTGAACGGACCGGTGTACCACTGCGGGACACAAATATCGATAGGCCCACCAACAGAGATAAAAGGCTGGATCCAAATCTTGCAAAACCGGCTCAAACAAGACGACAGCACAAGCCGGGCAAAGATGCTCACCCTCATGCGCCGCCGATTGGCCGGCTACGTCGCCATCACCGACTCCCCAAGCTCAGAGCTCGTCCCGGAACTCATGGAGCTGTACCCGGACGCCAAGGTCGTCTGCACCATCCGTGACCCCGTCTTGTGGGAGACGAGTATGCTCCACGTGCAGAGTTTGACGGGCGTTTGGTTTGCGCGTGCTGTCCTGCTCCCGCTGGACGGGATGAGACATTTTATCCCGTATGGGCATTTGCTGGCGGCGCTATGGGAGAGGCTTTATGGTGGTGTTGCTGGTCAGCACGGTCGGGAGACTTATGCGAGCCATATTGCTTGGTTGAAGGAGGTTGTGCCGGAGGATAGGTTGGTTTTCTTTGATGTTAAGGATGGCTGGGGGCCGTTGTGTGAGGCTCTGAGCGTCGAGGCTCCAGTTGGTGTGCCGTTTCCGCGAATCAATGATTCGGAGGCTATTGAGAGGTCTGTTAATAATCATCTCCGGAGGGGCCTTACGCGCTGGGCTTGCATATTTGCTGTGATTGGTGTTGGAGTGGCGAGTTTTCGCATGTGGAGGTGAGATGGGGGTGAGACGATTGCATAGTGTGATTGAAGGATGAGAGTTGGCCATATAGTTTCTGCTTAGGTTGCGGAGATTGGTGTTGTGAATTCGTGGGGCTTTTGGAGGCTTTTTGGTGTCGTCAAACTTCAACACTTTAGCGACTTGCATGCCTTGGATGATGTTGCTTTCTTTCAGGGCCAGGTGAGGCATCAGGCAGAGACTCATCACGAACAAATCAGATAGATCGGGTTATACAGTCATTTACATAGTCATTTACATAGCCATTTACACACAAGATTTATGATATCTACGTCCTTTAGAGAATCCATGGATGTTAACAAGATATGAAACCGAAATACATTGCCCAAATATTATACAAAAGATCTATACACAGCCGCAAATATTGGAACTCATAAGCGTAAATCCGATATCATTGACGAGCCCGCTCGAGGGACGGTGAACTGTCGCTTCCACAATCATTTCTTTCGCAGGTAGCTAAATCATTTATTTCGAAGGTAGTTTCGATCTCCGTGTGAGCGTAGATCTTGCCCTGGGGGATAATGCGCTCCTCGCTGGAGTTGCTGGCTGGGCCAATATTGGTGCCCATGGGAACATCCTCTTTGCCGTTGACTGTGATCATAGTGATGCTGTTGGGATCCTTAACCTTGGCAAATCCAGATGCATACCGCGGGGTAGCGTTGTCGCTGCTTGACCAGGGGCCGTATTTCTTCCCACTGCTGTATTCGCCGATGAAGCGGGGTAGGAAGCGGGAGGCGATGGCTTTGAATGATGGGATCGAGGCAGCGAAGATGCCGATGTTGGTTTCGATAACTGACCAGTACATGGCACCACTGATGGCGTAGGTGGAGTCCTTCGAGCCAAGCATGGCAGGGATGTAGGTGATTCGGATGATCGAGGAGACGCAAGCGCTGTGGAGGGATAATCCGTTAGATACTGTCCAGGCGGAAGTACTGGGGCACACTTACAAAAGACCAAGACAGAGGATAAAGGCCAGAACAATCTTCTGTTTCTGAGGCATCTGGAGATGGAAGATTACCTTGATGGGCAAGGTATAAGTTAAGAGATCGGTGACGATGTTCAGGGCGGCGTTGCACAGGTAGAAAAGGTTGATGTCGACGCATTTTCCGGGTCCAGTGCCAGTCCAGGCCATGCTAATGGGTTGACATTGGAATGCAGCCACGAGAACGAATGAGATGGCTTGTGCCATAATAACTCCCATCATAACCCAGGATAGGCGAGTGAGATAGCGATCCCCAAGGCGAGTATAGAACCACAAGACGGAGGTTTTGATGAATCCAAGTGTTGCGAGATAGAACATTGAACTGAGCCAGACGGCCTGAGGAGAGGTTAGAAATGCAATGCTGTACAGGGTCGGGATCTGCATCCTTACAAAAGAATAGTCGACGATCCTGGTCTGGTCGACATCCTCAATGTGCTTTCCAAGTCCATCTTTGACCGCTGAATGGTATTAGCTTCTGCAAAGAGTTGTAAGAACGGAAGCTAGAACATACCGACAAGTGTGGCAGCGATAAATGACCACGACAACGCCTATTTCCATTAGTTATAAGGCTTGTTGATGACATAGTCAATATTTCTTACACAAGCGCCAATAATGAGGTCTGGAAGATCTCAGTATAGTGTTGGTAAAATAGATCAAGCATAATCCACTTACAGTCGTCAATACCCATTTGACCTAAGACACAAATGCGTGCAAAGAGACGAAGAGCCAAAACAATGAAGGTCAAGGTGGCAAATGCCACACAGATACCTACGACCATAGGTCCCTGAGAACCATCGCTACCAGTCATGACGAGGAATATGGAGAGGTCAAATAGAAAGAAAAAGAGAAAGACCGTAAGTTGATGTAAAAGAGGGAATCAGTTTAAATGAATGGCATAGATAGTCGTTTCACATGTCCATCTCACGGAGAACGGATGATAAAAAGATCACTGCAATCGAAAAAATAAAAAGAATGGCTAGCGGTACTCCGGTCTACAAGTTATACAGATATTTATCCCTGATGCCCCTGGAACTGGTTCGAATAAAATGACTGCCCACACCAGACATGTGCATTGTGCATGGATCTATTAGCCTCGGAGATCCACTGTATATCATCAAAAGGCCGTTGGAAAAAAAAAAAGAAAACATGGTAGGGGTTTGCACGGCCTTCTCTTTTTAGGGCAACACGAGTCAGACGAAACTGTTGGAACCGAACGTCTCCACCACTCGAGACCTTTGATCTACTCCGTATTCGTGCTAAAATACGCCTTCTGTTTATAGGGAGGGGCTCCAGTTTCACGTTCCTTAGGAAAAACAAGAAGAGCCCTGGGGTGGGCTTTCTAGCGCTATGATTTGCCACCCAGACGCGGAAATGCTGTCTCCAATTGTCGAGGTGCAACCGTTGGATATATCATTCCTTGACAAACCAAGTACCAATCCCTGTTCATAGGGACGTTTGTTCTGGGGACAAAGAGGGCATTGCGTTTTAGCTAAAGATACCCACTCGAAGACCGGGATGGGATTGGCTCGAACATGTATCGTGGGTCGGCACATTCGACGTCTCGAAGACGATCATTATGATATCCTGACCATTGGAAAGTGCATTGCCAAGTTGAACTATTACTTATAACTAACAAGAAAGCAGGAAAAGCCTCAGAAGAAGGAATATGATTTGGTAAACGAAAGCGAAAAAGAGTCCGTGGGTCTCGGAAGATTCCCGGCGTGGTGGAGAGATCTGATTTATTTTTGTTTTTCATGCTCATCGAGATGTCCGATGGTGATCTTAATATCTTATATGTTCCAGGTCGGATACATTATACGGAGTATATCATATGCGATAACCCTAAATCCAACGGACAAAAGCGACCAGAGAACCCAACGGAACATTCCTTGAGGATTTTATGGCGACTCCTGCTAAATATTAGATGATAATCTCGAGAAGAGGGGAGCTGAACGATCTGCACGTTTCAAAGCCCCGAGAGCTTTTGTCTATGCGCCCAATTACGGAGTATGACGGAATAATGGACAATGCCTTGCCCGTAATGCACAGACTTGAAGCCGTCGCAATGCATCTCACCTCCGATCTGCACGACTCCATTTGCCTTCCGAGCCGTCCTGGGTGGAGAGTGGGTCACCCAACGCCTTGTTAAGCGAGATTGGCTAGACTATGAATGATTTGGAAGCATCAGTGTATTTCATATGTGATATCAGTAAAAAATCTACACTGCACATTCTTAAGAATGTACAAAGTGCGAGGAAATGGAACTTTTATACCCCGGACAAATCTTACATATCAGGCCCTTCTGCAAATATTTTTAGAGATCCACCTATCAATTTCAATTTATTATGCCCCCGGACTAGAAGTATACTATGTTGTACGGAGTATTGCTTACAAGCTAATGGCGATTAAGAAGTACAATATACAACGTAGATGTTGTCAGATTTAGCAATAGTTGATCACTACATAGTAAGGCTTGGTCTGTCTCATAAAATACAAATTTTTCTCTTTCTCCCCCCTTTTTTTTGGGAGGGAAACCGAGTAGAGAATAGAAAGTCAAGAGTCTAACTTGTTTCAAGCCTCAACAGAAGTCCTATCGCTTCGCGGCTTACATGCGATACTCGTGACAAGCGCCCAACACACTTGCCCTGTGTTGGTGCCCCTATGTATGTAGTCATAAATGTTGAAATTAGGTACCTTTTGTATGGGCATGCAATACAAAAGGTACAAATGATAAAAAAGCCACAACATCCATTTTCTTCAACCCTCGAACTAATGAAAAGATAAATAAGAATACTAATATATAACGTAAGTATGTCTAAATTGTTCTAACACTAAGATTAAATCTAAATAGTAAATATCGAAGTGTGAGAAGCACATCTAAAAACACCATACATAAAAATTGTATTGCAGAACTTGGATGTTCTATTACTGAGTATACTTAATATCTATCAAAGGTTATAAAGTCCTCTAGTACATTTTTAGCTGTTTCCACTGCCTATATTTTAGCTACAACACCAATATTTAGGGGGGGGGGGAATATCTACCAAAAAGACTACCAAAAAATTACTTGACAAAGGCCGCATAAGCGGCCAACTATTCTTGTTTATTGTTAAGAAGGAATTATCGTTGAGCTTGGCACGGTTGGTATTAGATATCCCTATTCCCCTGCCACATTAATTTCAAGAGAACGCATATTCATTCGGGTGAATAACACCCTTGCACGAGGGCTGGGCCGTCATCATCTGCAGCTTCATTTAGTCTACTCCGTACTTCGTACAGAGACTAGTGAGAAACACTGGCTATTCCATAGTGGAGAACGCCAGCCTCCCGCTCCACTTAGTGCGAGGTATGCACTCTGTTATTTCCGCCTGGCTCGTGCAAATGACCCTCGAGAACCCCGAAAGCCCTGCCTCGTACCTGGCAAGGAACCCCCAAGCATCTGAATCTCCTGTGCCGATCAGTGTTTCAAATTTTCGTGGGCAACGGCGCCTCTTCCTGACGGATAGTACCGAGCCCGCACGGCCCTCTTTGACAGCTGGCAACGTCATTCTCCATACCCAGAACATCTTTACTATTTCAGGCAACTTCATCACGACGGGATTGGTCTTTGCTAGGAATGTGCGCAACAGGTGGACCAGCCCCAAAGCCGTGATTCTGAATTAGCAAGCGGAGTCGCAATCCCTCTTACGATTCACCAATGCTCTTAGCGCAAGGACTAGCACAAAGGGGGAAGGGCGTATGCACGAGCTGATGCACGAGCTGATGCACGAGCTGATGCACGAGCTGCCACACGCCTAGCATATCTTCAGACGTTTAGACCTAGCTTGGTCTAGGTTTGATTTCAGGCAAACTCAGCGTGCTCGTGGGGTACTCTTAGCTCGACATAGCCCCTTGGCCAATGGCTCTTTGGCCAATGACCTTTTGGCCCTTACTACAATGGATATGCTGTCTATTGCGAATGGTAATTCGTGGTGCCTTATTTCCGGAGGGGCTATTTCCCCCTCTCGGTCAAAAAGACGTGTTTTCATCTTCCATGCATCTGCATCTCTAAATCTGCCATGGGTCTTGCGGAAAATGTCCTGTCACTGGTGACGGTGACCAATGTCATCTTGGGTCTTGTGGTCTATGTCGCGCTCAGGTTTGGTTGCCAAGTTATTTACTATCGCTTCTTCAGTCCGCTCGCGAAGTTCCCCGGTCCTTTTTGGGGCTCTGTAACTCGTCTCTGGATCGCATGGCATAATCTGCAGGAGACCGAGGTGCCGACTGTTTATGCGCTTGCTAAGAAATATGGTTGGTCATGATTCTATCCCCAAAAGGGAATGTGGTTTCTAACAAGGGAATTCTCTCAGGCCCTGTTGTTCGCATCACCCCGACATTGCTGCTAGTCAGCGATCACGAACAGCTCCCGGAGGTCTACCACCGCAATGCAGACAAGACCGGACACTATATCACTGGAAGCTTCGGGGAGACCGAGTCTCTGTTCAACATGAGGTCTCACAAGACCCATGCCGTGTTCAGAAAGCACGTTGCTGGACCGGTATGACGATATACGAGTTCATTTGCAGATATCAAAAACTGACACTCAACATAGTACAGCTTCAGCAATATCAAAAAAATGGAGCCATTAGTTGATGCGCGCATCACCGAATGGACCACCAAGCTCAACGAAAAGTTCGCAAAGAGCGGCGAAGCCTTCGACTTCGCCTGGTGGGCAGTGTAAGCAGCATACGAGCGAAATGAAACCACGCCCGACTAACAATACAACCAGCTACATGGCCTACGACATAATCAGCGAAATCGGCTTCGGCGAGCCCTTCGGCTTCATCGAAAAAGGCGAAGACATCGGCGGCCTAATCCAAGGCTTCCATGACGGCCTCCCAGCCTTCGGCCTCCTAGCACGCCTCCACCCCTTCACCTCATGGGTAAAAACCACCTTCTTGAAAAAGTACCTCGTCGCCAAACCAGCAGACAACACCGGCATCGGCGTGCTAATGCGCTTCCGCGACCGCCTCATCGACCAGCGCATCAAGGACATCGAAAACGGCAAGAAAACCGACCGCACAGACCTACTCCAGACTTTCCTCGATGCTCTCACAGAAGACGGCAAGTCCCTCGATCTGGAGTACATCCGCGCCGAGGTCCTGCTCGTCCTGCTCGCTGGCGCTGACACAACCGGCACCGCCTTCCAGGCCATGGTGCAGTTCCTCATGACCCACTCAAAGGCGTACGAGCGTATGATGGCGGAAATCGATAACGCCGTCCGTAAGGGCCTCATATCAGATATGCCGCAGTATGATGAGGTCCTAGAGCACTTGCCTTTCTATGTTGGCTGTGTGAAGGAGACGATGCGTCTGTGTCCGTCTGCGCCGAATATCTTCCCCCGATATGTCGCTGAGCCTGGGCTCGATCTTTATGGTCGCTTTGCGCCGGCGGGCACGGAAATTAGCTGTAACCCGTACCTTGTGCATCGGGATCCGAAGCTTTATGGGGATAATGCCGAGGAGTTTAAGCCTGAGAGGTGGTTGGATGTTGAGAAGGCGAAGTTGTATAATAAGTATAACTTTGCGTTTGGGTATGGGTCGCGTGTTTGTTTGGGGAGGGATATTGCTATGATGGAGTTGTTCAAGGGTCCTTTGCAGGTGAGTTCTTTTCCGGTTGTCCTACGAAACCTGGTGTTGTTTTGGAGTGGCTGCTAATGTGTCGATTAGTTCTTCCGTCAATACAAGCCGCAGACTGTAGAAGGTAAGCCCGAGGCCAAGTTCATGGTCAAAGGTGGTGTTGGCTTCTGGAGAGACGTGTGGTTGACCATCTCTCCCCGGGAAGAGGTGAAAGCCGAGTGAAAGCTTGGTTGGTGGAGATTGGGTCTATATAGAGACACTAGACCAGAAGCTAATGCCGGTAGAAGGCCTTTCACAAAAAACTACATTCCAATTTGCATAGGATTCAGCTCAAAAATCTCGATTTGTTGTTAATTCCATGATTTCTCGCTTTCCTTTTTTGTAATTTCCGTACATCATGCACAAGCCATTTTTGTTCTTCATAATCTCTCTGATCTCGGTATCTTAAAAGGTGAAACCGAACTTGAGCTTAGCTCAAGGGTAACAACGGCGCTTATCCGCATCGCCATTCACCTGGGCAGTCTCCAGGGCTGTATTCTTAGTCAAATTGACTAAAACATCGAATTGGGCTGCGGGTTGGTGCGCTGGTCCCGTTGAATGATAGATACTGGGGTATGGTGGCTGAAAAGGTCATGGCTGGGAGGCAGACTGGGGTTTGAGCTCATTCAAGATTGCAGAGGTGTACTTGAGAAACTCGTCATGGGTGATGTTTGCAGCTGGGTTCTTGACTAGGCATAGTTCATCGTTCCAGATATTGATGAGTCTACTCAATTCGGGCACAGATTGCAGCTCCTGGAACATGATGATAACCGCGGTGTATGGTGGGATTTGCCCCTTGCGGTCGCTGGTCACTTGGTAGCGTAGTTTCAGGGCAGTGATGAATTCCTCTGTGCTGTTGAACTGAGAGCGTGTCGTTTTAATGAATTTCAAGATCGCAGCGGACAGCGCATCATGTCCCTCGTTCAGTATAAACTTCCGTGTTTCGGTCATGAATTCATCGGCAAAGGTCACTCGGCCACCACGTGCCATGATTCCTTGAACTACCTTTGCATCCATTCTGCTTACCAGCCAGGCGCGGATTCTCTGGGATAGCTTCCTCCATCTTTCTGCATTGGGGGCATTTCGGAGGGGCCGTTGGATGGTTGCATCGACGAGACGGTGGAGGTTGTTGGGACGGAGAAATCTATCGACAGCATCAAGCCATCCGTCAAAATCTTCTCTCTCTTTCAGAATCGGGACGGGATGGGGACATTTGAGAGTGCCTGACTCAGGCAGATCGGTTGCTTGATCCTCTTCGGTGGGGTTCTCCAAAGAAACTTCATCCCAGTCTCGGTTGCTTGGTGCACCTGGTTCAGACTTTATGTCGGCCGCACCGATGGCTTGGGCTTCGCTGTCACTCATTGTGCTATGATCAGAAAGGTTGTATTAGAGAAGTCACTCGAAAGATGGAGGGGCAGATGAGGGCCTTACAGCTTGATAAGACGAAGGGCTCAGTTGGAAATCAGGGGAGAAGAGAGATGGTTGATGACGAAGTTATCCGAAGTCTGAACTATCGAAACCACCTAATAAGAGGGCAAGGTGGTAAATGAAGAAGAGAATAAAACAAAGAAAGATAAGAGCCAAAGAAGATACAATGGGGGATAAGAAGGCGATTAGAAGGAAGAGGATAAGGGAAGATGTAGAGGAAGGAAGTGACATGTGAAAGATATTAAGACGACAGCACCAAGAAAAGGTCATCTGATCCATAACATACGTCCACGGGTATATGTAGGCAGAACGGCACTTGGGGTGGTCAATGGCCAACCTAGCATGCATTTGAAGCCAAAGTGAGGATAGTGCTATCCCCAACATGTCGTGCCTTTACAGAACAGCAATATGTATTAGAAATAAGACAAGGGCGAGACGTGACGTGGAATACAATAGAATTGACCGAAATGGAACTATATGTAGATAGAACTATCTTATAAACACGACAAACAAGATACAATTCAGGACAAGTTTTGTTGAATGCTTTTAATAACCCGCTCAGCCGCCGGTAGAACATGGAACATGGCACATGGTATGGCATCAAATATGGAAAATGGAGAAAAAAAAGCCCGAGATATTCATGAGGCATTCATGATCATTCAGCAGTACCCATGACGGCGTCCTAAACACAAAGACAATAAATGTTAGCAATGAAACTAAAGAGGAATAATATAACCAAGGAGTTTGCTTACTCTTGCCTCATGGTACAAAGGAGTGATATCAGTCCAGTGAACGAACTGGTGCACACCCTGTCCAACAAGGACCTCCAGTCCAGGAATGGTGGTCCAACCCGCATCAGATGCAAGCTGCATCAAGGCGGTGACGGTAGGCTTGTAGGCCATCTCAAGAAGAACACGGTGCATGCTAGCTTCAGAAGACTTGCCGATGAGAGTACCGTCGATCTCCTGAGCGCGCTCGAACATGTGGCAGAGCGTCTCGCGCATGACAGGGTCGATGGGACGGTCAGCGGGGATCGTGCCGATAGCGACCTGGGGAACGGTGTCAAGCTGGGCCACGTTGTCGATAACGCGGATGTTGTAGTTGGTCGGGAAGGTCGAGACCATGCTCTCGAGCTTGCTGGCGGTGCGGCCCACCACGTAGATTGGCGAGAAGCCCATGTTGTGGAGGGCGAAGATGGCAGCACGGGCAGTACCGCCGCCGCCGATGACAACAGCACTCTCGTTGCCGGTGGAACCGTAAACGCCTGCGTTGCGCATGCATCGGATCATGCCTTGCCAGTCGGTGTTGTAGCCAATCAAACGAGGGGGCTTGTCGCCGTTGGGGACGGGCACGACAGTGTTGACGGCGCCGATGATTTCAGCCTCCTGAGCGACTTCGTCGAGCAGGGGCATAATGTCCATCTTGAGGGGGATTGTCACTGAGGCACCACCGAAGTCCGGGGCGCGGATGAAGTCCTTGACATCTTCGATGTTGGTAGTCTCCAGGCGAGAGTACACGTGGGGTAGACCCATTTTGCCGAAGAGGGTGTTGTGAAGAGCGGGAGACCGCGAGCCGGAGACAGGGGAACCGAAGATAGCGAACTTCTTGGCCTTGATCTCACCCATCAGGGAGAGACCACGGCGAATCTCTGCAGCGGACAGCTGACCAGGTGCCGCCTTGAAAGGAAGGCTGGGGTGAGACACTGGGGTCATGAAACCGTTCAGGATACGGCTGAGCTGACCACTGTCGCCCATGTTGATTGCAATCAGCGGCACATCGTGGGCTTCTTCAGCCCATGTCTTGAACTTCCGAAGGGCATTGTTATCATCAAGGGTATTGGCAACACCGACGAGCTTAATCACATCGCCGTACTCCAGAGCACGGTTGTAGAATTGCATCCAGGACATGTTGGCCCACGACAGAGTGCCCTTAGGATCATGGTGTGAGGCGATGATTTTAGAGTAACCCTTCATCTCAGTGACGGCACGGAGCATTGCGTCAGGGAATGCTATCTCAAGATCCACGAATTCGCACCCAGAACGGAACGCTAGTCGGTACAGCTGCATTGCCGCATCATGAGCATCATCGGGGAAGCGGCCACCTTGGCTCTTGGTGCGGATGGTGAAGATGAGCGGCAGGGTGGTACGACGGCGAAGAATAGACATTTGTTCGTTGACGTAGTCAACCGAGGGAATATCGCCGTCAACTGTAGGGTCCTTCAACAGGTCGACCCGTAGTTCGACAGCATCAGACCCGACGCAAGCCTCAGTGATAATATCGCCCGACGGTTGGAGATCAGGTAGAGTCAATGAGACGAAGAAGCTGTGCTTCTTCTTTTTAATGAGACCAAGGCTGTCTACTTGGCCAGTGACTACCCGCATGAAGCGGGTAAAGTCCTCTGAGGCAAGGGCTAGCTTCGTTGAGCTGGAGTGCTGGCTATAGTACTGGATGTTGCTGCACTCTTGGAACCAAGGCTTACGTCGTAGCCACACGCCCATCATGTCCTCCACGTAGGCAGGGCGGGTCTTATCAATCTGGAGGAAGTCCATCACTAGGTTGATGTCGCGCATGATGAGGAGCACGTTGCCCTTGCTCTTGTGGTAGTCGGTAAGCAGCTTTCGTGCCTCTGGCATTTCGACAACACCTCCGCCGCAGGCGAAGACATGGCCAGTAGGATGATCCTTAAGGACGCGCTGAAGGACAGCAAGTTCTGCGTCTCTGAATCCCTCCCAGCCACGTGTCTTGATTATATCGGGGATAGTCATACCCTCGGAAGTCTCAAGCTCTGTGTCAAGATCGACGAACCGACGACCAAGGGCCTTAGCAACCCAGTTGCCAGTGGTGGTCTTTCCAGCGCCACGCATACCGATGATGAAGACAGAGGCGCTGCTCCGCTCCACATCGCTCGAGGCAGCATGCTCAGATTCCTTCAGTTCTTTGCCATTAAGGTTCACGCTGAACATTTGCTTCAAGGCGTCCCACCAGCCAGGCCAGGTCTTGCCAACACATTCTTTCTCCAGAATAAGGGTAGACTGGGGAGCGATAAGAGACAGCACACTGAAACTGAACGCGACCCGGTGGTCATCGTAACAGAAAACACCACCGGAGGGCTGGCGAAGGGTAGAACGCTCAATGCCGTCGATCTCAAGCCCGTCGTCATGCTCACGGCACACCACCCCGAATTTAGCCAATTCGTCTTTCATAGCCTTGATACGGTTACATTCCTTAACACGCTGGTTTGCAATACCGTAGATACGAGTTGTGTGGTTCGAGCCCTTGCCCCGGGCAACGGCCGCGAGAACGGAGGCAGTAAGGAAGGCATCTGTCATGGGCTCCATATCCACATTAGGCAGCGGCTGCAAGACGCCATCAGTAGGTCCGGTAACAGTGGTTGAAGTATCAGTCTGTACAACGGAGCAGCCCATAGGCCTTAGAACATCCACTGCGAAACGAGCATCGCCCTGAAGAGACTTGGAACCAATGTTAGGGACGGTGCAGGTGGTACCGGTGACGGCAGCAATGGCCAAAGGATAGGTTGCAGAGCTTGCGTCGCTCTCCACAACATATTCGGCAGGGTTCACGTAGTGAGCCTGAGGAATGTGGTAGGTGTGCTCTTCGGTGGTAGACTTCTTCACGTCGATGCCGAAAGATCTCATCATCGCAGTGGTCATGTCGATATAAGGCTGTGAAATAGGCTTACCACCGACCAGCTTCAACGTCACTGGCTCCTTGGCGTACGGAGCGCACATGAGCAGCGAGGAGACGTACTGAGAGGAAACTTTAGCGGCCAGGTTGATCTTTCCTCCTGCGAAGCCTCCAGAGGCGGCGATCTTGAGAGGAAGACATCCCTTGCTTTCCATGTACTCGACACCGGCACCATTAACGGTAAGAGCGTCAACAAGATCACCAATGGGCCTTTGCTTCATGCGGTTGTTGCCGGTCAAGACACTCGAGTCGACACTGCTGGGAGTAGCGAGTGTAGCCACGGTGGTGAGGAATCGCGAGGCAGTACCGGCGTTACCCAAGTACAAAGGCGAAGGACTTGCGATAATCTTTCCGCCTTTGCCGTTTACAACAAGGACCTCGCCTTCCTCCTCCCAAGAGAAAGTTGCCGCACCGAGCCGCTCTAGGGCATTCAACATGACCTCAGTGTCGTCGGAGTGCAAGAGATTCTTGATGCGGCAGGTTCCAGAACCGAGCGCAGCAAGCACAAGGGCACGGTTGGAGATACTCTTCGATCCGGGCGGTGCGCAAGTGACATTGAGCGACTTAGGCACTCCAGGGTGAACCTCAATGCTGGGAGCAAGGACGACACCGATATCCTCATTAGAGACAACACTAGCCTTTGGCTCGTGAGTGCGGCCAATGGCTGACAAGAGCACAACCTTCTTTTTCGGGCCATCGTTTTTCTTGTCCAAAGCCATGTTGAACAGCAATTGGTCTACAGAGCAGTGCTTACCAGCAGTCAACTTACGAACCCGTGGATCTTTCATGGAAGTGGGCAAGCCGTACGCCGAGATACACTTTACCACACGAGCGACGGCGACACCTTTCAGGGTACCCAAATGTCTCGCAAGCTCTGCCTCCTTCACCATGCCGATTGCAACACATTCTCCGTGAAGGATCTGAGGGGTAAGGATCGCCTCAATGGCATGTCCAATAGAATGACCCCAGTTGAGCAGGTTGCGAAGGCCGCCCTCACGCTCATCTGCGGAGACAACAAAGGCCTTGTGACGTGCCGATGCTAAGATTCTAGCCTTCAGGATATCCCGGATGCCGTCAAAGCGACCTTGCCCAGCCTTCGGCTCGCTGCGCGCAGCAGCCAAAATTAAATCTGCGTTATCTTCCAAGGCAGTGAACTCCTCTTCACTTGAGATGGCAGCAGTCTTAATGACCTCGGCCATACCATTGATGAACTCTCGGACGGGGAGAGTCTCGAGGAACTCGAGATCAATGTAAATCCTCGATGGCTGCCAGATAGAACCAATGAGGTTCTTACCAAGCGGAGTGTCAATAGCAGTCTTTCCTCCGATTGAGGAGTCCACCATGGCAAGGAGCGTGGTTGGGACCTGCACGAAGCGCACACCTCGCATGTAGGTTGCTGCAACAAATCCAGTCAAATCCCCAATCACACCACCACCCAGCGCAATGATCACTGTGTCTCTACCACATGGTGGGTTCTGGCTCAGCATCCAATCTTCGATGTCGGCTTTCGTCTGCCGTGACTTGGAGCTTTCTCCGGGGGCCGCATGGTGGATAAGGAGCCGCGGGGCTGGGGTGATGGAAGCGGCGGCAGCCTCAAAAGTCTTTTGGAAAGTGGGGGTATAAAGAGATCCGAGGTTGGTATCGGTGATGAGAACGTAGGTCGTCGAGGACAAGCCACTGATCAGGTCCTTTGCGACAAAATTGCGCCAAAGACCAAAATCAGCGACAATGCTCTCCCGGCCCAAGATGCTGATCTTGGTGGGTTCAGACATTGTGGAGGAGGATATAGATGAGGAATTGGTAATGGCAAAATTCAATGACTGCTCATTTCATTCTGTGACTTGTTAGTACCCTGACTCATGGTACTTTATCTGTTTCCCCCCACAATGAATCTAGGGATACAAGGTGCACACTGATAATTTGGAGGAAAGTGAATGATTAGAGGAGTTTCACCAACCTGGACAGAGCTGAGCCAAGAGCCAATAGTGTATCAAGAGAATATAATCTTCAAGTCAAGAGCTAACAAAGACAAAAAGAAAAAGAGTATTGTTTCCCCTCCGGTGTCGCGGGCAGTTTCTTGACCGCCCGGTGACTCAATCTGTCGATCTATACCCGTGGACACTATAAAACCTTCATATAATGCACAATTTATATCTACAGGCATGTATTCATATCTGTAACTTTTCTACTAGCTTAAATGAGTTTCAATTCAGACTATGAAATTAACATATTCTCCAAAGATTTGCCAAATTCCACATCTTGACCTCAACTTTCAACTTAGCCGACATCGCCTGTTTTGAGCGAACCCTACAAATAACCGAAACTGTCTTGGGGATTCAGTCTTCTGTCGAATCAACTTCGATTACCGAGTCCAACTCGATTGCCGTGTTCGAGTTGACTGCATCCAGCTGATCTGGCGAGTTCAATGTACCTGCCAATTTCGAACTGAATGCCGCCTGGATACGTTCATTCGATCCTGTGTTGTGAACCTTCGATGGTCGAGTCCTGCTTTTGGAAACGCCATTGTTCCGCCGGCTGATTTGCGTCTTTGGAGCGACCGGGAAACGTTTGCCAGAGTACTTTACTCCAGGGCCAGTGTCTCCGCCAGGACCAACCTTTTCTCCACGGCTGGTCTCCCTAGCGCTCTGGTTTCCCATTTGAGCACAGTGGCTGGCAAGTTGACTAAGATCCTTATTATTGGCCGTGATTCACCCGATGAAGTTCCGTTCAATTGTCTGGGTATATTTCTCGACCAGCCCATCGATGCCAACGAACTGGGTATTGCCATTTTCATCTTTATCAGCTTCGCCAGACTCGACTGAGAGTTGAATCTGCTGAAATTGCTCGCATAGCTTACCAGCAAACTAATACAGCATTTCACGAGCGCTGGTGTAATCACTGATGGCTCCTTGTTTAGGTAAACCGATCTCGTCGTCTCCCGAAGCGCTCGGAAACGCATGCTCGGGCTCAGGTGCGTTTGCGGAGGCGAACGCTGTTGCTGACTCTTGGTTCGCGGTACCACCTCACCGGATCTGCGGACATTATTTTTTTAGGTCGATGGATCTGTTCTTTTAATACAGTTGACCCCCAACGAAGAACGGTGAGCGCATGAAAAAAAGTCATATGCATCAAGCTCCGGGGGAGTCGCGTTGAGATTGCAGCGGGGGAACAGCGTCGGGGCCATACGTATGAGCTGAGTTATACACCACTCGAATACAAAGTTGGAGATCTCGCAAGTTCCATTCTGCACAACGATTTGTGAGGGCACAGGAGCTGTCATTGCATACTCATACTCACCTTTGTGAGCGTATTTCCAGAGTGAAACAAAACTGGAGTTTTTTCGTCTGCTTGTGGTCGAGCCCGACCACATGTTAATAATTCTCCGAGTCTCCGTGTTATTATGGCATAATGCGTTGAGCTCCCGTGTTGTTGAAAGGTTCAAGACACTAGCAATTTTTGTTGCTGAACCCTGAAGTTTACGGGCCCAACGATGCTCATATAAAATCTCAGGTTCATGAGAGTACTGACGAGATGACATACTTCTTTTAGGCATGATGTATGGGTGAAGCTCGACGGAAGAAGCTTGAGCTGCCTCCTTTGATGGGCATGGGTAGAAGAGTGAAAGAGAAGTCTAGGTTGACGTGAATAGGGGGTCTAAATAGGCACTACCTAGGTATGGATTGTTTGCTTAGGAAGACGAGCATAACGACCGGGAGCTCTTCTGATCTTTTAGGGTTATGCGGTGCACACAAACTTTCCAGGATATCTCCATGGGTGTTAGCAGCCGTTGAATTTAGAAACGTACATCACATCAAGCCTTGATGACTGATGGTAAATCATATACCCAATCCATGGATCTACCTGGGGATGCCGAGAGGTTGGACATACATCCATGGATACTTGTAGGTTCCACTATCAAAGTATAGACTTGAATCGTCATCCCTAGAAGACTTTGTAAGTCACGGTGTTCTATCCATATAACATGCACGAGTGAGGAACGGAAGATGTCAAAATAAAGTCGAATCACTCACCTGGGACTTCTACTTCTGCCCTAACTAGGTAGGTAAAAAGTAGCCAAGGGGGACGACCATATGGAGAAAGTCAAGAGAGATAGATCTGCCTTGTAACTACACACGCCGCTACCTACTCAAGCTGTGGCATTTCGTGGAATCACACCGTGAATCACTGAAGAATTGGAATCTTGTTTGCCTGGCTATATACACATGAGCACATGTCCATCACTCATCCGCATCCTCATCATCGTCGTCGTCCTCAGCCTCCGAAACTTCCTCTCCGAGCTCCTTGAGCCGTTTCTAAGATAATCATTAGTCAAATCCCCAAGAGGCAAGAGCAGCTCAAAAATGTATCCAGCCAGTAAACATACCTTGTCCTCCGTTCGCTTAGCCTCAAGGTCGCCAAAGACAATCAGCAGGTCTTCCAGTTCAGACTGGGCTGACTGGCGAGCCTCCTCCTTTTCTTTAGCTTCCGTTTTAGCCTTGTCGAGCTGGGCCTGGATGCCTTTGAGGGCTTCAGCCGCACTATGAGCGTGGGACTCGGCCTCTCTGGCCTTGTTCTCAGCCTCTTTAGCTCGTGCTTCCAGCGCAGAGGTCTGAGATGCGGTGCCTTCTTGGGCTGTTTCAAGATCATTGCTAGACTTCTGAGCCTTGGCAAGGCCTGACTCTAGAGCTGCGACAGATTGCTTTAGAGTTGCGATCTCGGCTTCATACTCTTTTTTGGCTGTGGCGAGATTTGACTCGAGAGCCCCGACTGTACTACTGTGGCCAGTGGATTCAGCCTCATATTGCTGCTTGGTTGTAGAGAGACTAGTCTCCAATGTTTCAACTTTGCTCTTGTAGTCACCGACTTCCGCTTCGTGCTTTTGCTTGGCTGCGGCCAACGTAGATTCTAGGCTCTGCAACTTCTTGGTGAGATCGGTGACTTCTCCATCATGGGTTCCCTTGGTGCTTTCAAAGTCCTTGATTTTCTTGTTGAGGTCTGCCACCTGTTCATCATTGGATTTCTTGGTGTTTTCTAGGTCTTGAATCTTCTTTTCAAGACCGGCGACCTGTCCACCGTGGGCCTCCTCGGACAGGCTGATCGTGTTCTGCAACTCCTGGATCTTCTTGCTGAGGTTATCAACTTGACCATTGTGGGATTTCTCGGTGCTTTCCAGATCTTGAATCTTCTTTTGAAGATCAGTGACCTGTACACCATGGGCCTCATTGGACTGGCTGATGACATTTTCCAACTCGAAGAGTTTCTTATTAAGATTGACAACTTCTCCTGTATGTTGTTCCTGGATGCGAGAAAGCTCCGACTCCAAGCCACGAATGGTTTGCTGCAGACCAGCAACCTCCCGCTCATGATGCTCTCTCAATTCCTTTGCTTTGCTGCTCTTGCTTTCAGATTCCGCCGAAGTCTGCTTGAGTTTATGGTCGATGGCACGGAGCTCATCACTATGCTGCTTGAATAACTCGTTCTTGTAATGCTTATGTTCGTTTTCGAGCTTCGACAGCTGTTGGGATAGCTCCTGCGCATGGCGTTGTTGCAGAGATTGGTTGCTTTGTTGAACCTTTGACAACTCAACCACGTTGGATTCCTTTGTCTTTCGGTGGTCCAACTGTTCTTGATCAAGCCTCCGTTGAATGCTAACAAGATCAGACTCCAATGTTTGAAGGGTCTGGGTGCGATCTTCAATTTCTGCACGCAATGAATCAACAAGCTCACGCGAAATTCCCTTTTCGACACCATTGGCAACAACAGAAATCTCAAACCCGGGTTCACGGTCAATGGCACGAAGCAATCGGCTGAAGTTATCTTTCAGGAACTCAACGAATGAGCGGTCAAAAAACACCTCCGGCAGCCCACCCTCGAGCTGACCACCAGCAGTTTGGGGAAGGACCTCAAAGTCACGAACCAATGGACATTCTCGAAGTCTTGTGATCTTGTCAATATACTGTTCCCTGCCAAGCTGTTCGATGAGTAGCTTATGGAGCGTGATGCGAGGGATCGGCGAATCTTTTGTGGAGAACTCATAAATGACACCCAACAGCACGGTGCAAAGGCCGGGCACCAATTTACTGGGGGCGCGCTGGTGCTTAATTTCCTGCAACAAGGTTTGTATGCAGCTGCCCTCTCCAAGAAGATCATTCACAACGTCTGGGTCTTCAAAAAGCCATCCGCAGAGTAACATCAGATAACCGACTGTGATTCTTTCGTCATCGCCGCGCTGCAGACCAGTAATCAGGTTTCCAACGACAGATTGGACACTAGTGACCACTTCTTCGCCGCTCTCAGAATCGCCCTCGGTAACAGCCATAGCCGTTGCCTTCGCCTCTGCATCATCAAAGAGCAAATGGAACATCAGAACACAGGCCATCCACACTTGATATGGATCGGCGTTTCCTCGCGCTTCAGGTGCCGTGAGCAGTACAGATAGAATATTGGGAATCCGATCCTGCCCGCTGGTATGCCCTTCAATCGCTCGTCTGAGTACATGCATGCGAATTCCAGGATGATGGGCGAAAAACGCTTTCATACATTCGCAGGCAGCAAGTCGTGCGTCCAAAAGGTTGTTGGGAGCAGGCTCGAGGCTGAGTTTTAAAAATGCTTCAATGACATTGATGCGTAAAGGTTCATTCGCATCACCATTGATAGCCTTGTCGCCGCGCGGGTATGAGCCCCACAGGACTTCGATATCACCGAATCTTTCTTGCAACGGTGAGTTGCCGCGAATCAGATCGGCACAAGTTGACAAGGCCTAGATTTGTTAGGCAAAAATACAGACAAGGATGGGTAATAGCAACGTCTCACCTTTGAGGTAACGCTAACACTGAACCTTTGACCGAATGCAATGCTAAGAACTTGTTCTGTCACGCCATTCTGCCAGAATGCAGTCTGGTTAATGGGTGTGCTCATGCCACCGCGAATCAAGAACAACTGAATGATGGCCAAGAGGCCCCAGACATTCTTATCTCGGTGGACCCGAGTCCACTGTTGTGCCGGCTCGTTGTCTTCTGGCTCCTGCTGACATTCATGAAGCAGCTGTGTTACTCTTTTCACACAACCGGTCTCGCGGAAAAATGATTGGTTGGAAACATTGAACCTCAACAAGTGAGCCAACAAGGAGAGGCAATCTTCCACTACCTCGGTCCCATGCGTTAATGCTCCCTCCGCTTCGATAAGAGAGAAAAGTATTTCAAATGCATTCTCGAATGCCACAAGCTTTTGCAGCTCTTCCGAAGCAGGGGTCAGGGCAATCAACAAGACGAGAGCCTCTAGCAGAAAACAGTTTGTCAGCTCCAACCTTCCATGTCCCACGTGGACGCAAATATCCAACAAGACATACCGTTCCGTACTGGTTCCCTCGCATCTGTCAGCACACCAACTAGTTTGGAAATACCCAGCGGCGCTGTAAAAATGCATTCTTGTGTTCGTTCTGGTCGTGCGCTGCAGATGTGCGAAATCAATTGGAGCGAATAAAGGCGGGAGTAAAATTCGCGGGCTTCTAAAAGGTTGAGTAGGGTAGTTATATTGTCTTGTCGCTTTGAAAATGTTAGTCCATCATCTCGGGACCGAGGTCACGATGCATACCTGAGTGAATTCATCTGCCAGCCACAGAGCTATTTCGTCCGACGCTTCAGGCTAAATCTATTTATGAGCAACTCGAGTGAAACTCTTCAGAGTACAAGATACCCACACTGGATTCATCAGGCGTGAAGAGCATCAAAAGGGTCTCGAGGACCACTTTGATGGTGTCCACATCCTCACTGTCATTGCGTAGACTGCTGATCAATGATCGCAGGCCACCAGAAGCGACCGATGCAGGGTAGAGTTTTGCAAAGCTTCTTAATCCTTGAATTGCTGCGCGACGATCTTCCAACAATGTAGCACTTTGCAGTCTACTGCTTAATACGTCGATTGTGTCCGTAGCCGTTTGTTTGGCCGGAGCTTGCGACTCGAGGATTCGGAACATCGTAGTTGATTCCCACTATCATGGTCATTGCCGGCCGAGGGCGTAGGGATTGGTAGTCATATATGAGAGAGCAAAAAGTGAAAAAGTGAAGAGGTTGGTTAGTTCGCTGATTGCAGTAGAAAGCTGTCCTATTGTACTGCCCAAGGGGGCTAAACGCCGATCTTGGCTCATCCCGCAGAATCGCCGACCGCCCGGGATTTATCTTTTCGTGAACGGCAAGCTCACTTTCATTACTCTCAACCTGCACCGCGATCATAACTGCGGTTGCATCTCTTTTTATCTCTATTACATGCTTCAGAGGAGTCTGTATCTTATCTGAACTGGCTCAAATTGCATCTCATTCACGAACAGAGCGATCGCGACTGCGCCTGCACGAACGCCTTCAACTGATTGCGACACAACTGTACCGGAACTCTCCCAAAGATTGATCACACGAGTGTCGCATTACCATCATGGGTGTCCCCGCGCTGTTCCGATGGCTGTCCAACAAGTATCCGAAGATCGTCTCTCCGGTTATTGAGGAGCAGGCCCAAGTAGTGGATGGAGAAGAAATCCCAATCGATATCACTCGTCCGAACCCCAATGGCGAGGAGCAGGATAACCTTTATCTGGACATGAATGGTATTGTTCATCCATGTACTCATCCCGAGGGGAAGCCTCCCCCAGCGGACGAGCAGGAAATGATGATGGAAATCTACAAGTACACCGATCGAGTGGTCAACATGGTGCGCCCCAGAAAGCTTCTCATGATCGCTATCGGTATGTCTATATTCTAATGGGGCTTGCAATTCCCTCATATTCTCCAAATCGGCGATTTCCACTAACCTCGATCCTATGTATAGATGGTGTCGCCCCCAGAGCGAAGATGAACCAGCAGCGCGCGCGTCGATTCCGCTCGGCGCAAGAGGCCAAGGAGAATGACCAGAAGAAGGAGGACCTCCACAAGATGCTCGCCCAGCAGCATGCTACGAAGACCGGCGAGCAGTTGATTCGGGAGGAGGTTGTTCAGAAAACGTGGGACAGCAACGTCATCACGCCAGGAACGCCTTTCATGGATATCCTCGCTGCCTCGTTGCGGTATTGGATTGCCTACAAGCTCAACACTGACCCGGGTTGGGAAAATGTATGTTTTGATTTATTTTATTGGTACCAATGAACACACTAACGTTGACAGCTGAAAATCATCATTTCGGATGCCACCGTCCCAGGAGAAGGAGAGCACAAGATCATGAATTTTGTGCGATCGCAGCGAGCCTCGCCTAATCACGACCCCAACACTCGTCATGTCATCTACGGTCTAGTAAGTTTGTAGTGATCTTCCAAATCAATCTTCTCAGATCACTAATTTCAAATCTAACAGGATGCTGATCTGATTATGCTGGGTCTTGGTACTCACGAGCCTTACTTCCGAGTCCTGCGTGAAGACGTATTTGCCCAAGACTCGAGGCCTCGGGGGTGCAGACTTTGTGGACAGACTGGCCATAAGGCTGAGGAGTGTCTAGGCCTCCCAAAGGAGAAGAGTGGAGAATTCGACGAGAAGCAGCACGCTGCTCCTCTGAAGCCATTCATTTGGCTTCATGTCGCCGTGCTAAGAGAATATCTTGCTGTGGAGCTTCGTGTTCCTCAGCAACCGTTCCCATTCGACTTGGAACGTGCACTAGATGACTGGGTGTTCATGTGTTTCTTCGTCGGAAACGATTTCCTTCCTCATCTGCCTTCTTTGGATATTCGTGAAAACGGAATCGATACGCTGATCGCGATCTGGCGCGACAATCTCCCCGCTATGGGAAGCTACCTTACCAAAGATGGAAGTGTTGAGTTGAAAAACGCTCAAATTATCTTGCAAGGACTGGCGAAACAAGAGGATGCCATCTTCGCACGTCGTAGGCAAGCGGATGAAAGAAAGCAGGCAAACGAGAAGAGACGCAAGGAGCAAGATGCGGCTCGAAATGAAGAGCGTGCTCAAAAGCGAAGGCGGAGTTCCCCCCAGCATGACTTGACAGCTGGCGGCGCCGAGCCCGCCCCTCCCATGGAACTCATCACCCCCGGCCGAGGTCACTTGAACAAGGAGACCAGAGAGCTGACACACAGCATGGTCATCAACCGTGGAGCTGTGTACCGTGCTAACATGGAGAATAAGAGCGCCGCTGCTGTGCTGAAGAGTAAACTCATGAAGGTCAACCAGGATGAAACTCCAGCCACAGCCGACGATGATGTATCAAGCGAAATCCCAGAGCAGACTTCTCCCGGGGTTCTCGGAAAACGAAAGGCGGATCCAGCTGAACAGGAGGTTACCGAGGCAGGAACACCGGGCAGACACTCTCCTCTGCCCGTTCCTGTTGCTGCTGAGAAGCCTAAACAAGATGAGCCCCAAGAAGACACTGTCAAGCTGTGGGAGCCGGGATACGCCGATCGATACTATGAGCAAAAATTCGGCGTGGACCCAAAAGATTTAGAATTCCGTCATCAGGTCGCTCGCGAATATGCGATTGGTCTTTGTTGGGTTTTGCGATACTATTTCCAGGGGTGCCCCTCTTGGGTATGTTGTCAATCCCTACCTTTTTAATTATATGATCGAGCTTCGCTAACTTGATAACAGACTTGGTATTATCCAAGGCACTATGCGCCATTTGGTAGGTTTTCCTTTCATCTTCTCTCTCGGATCTCTCAGAAAGAAGCTAACATACCGTACAGCCGCTGATTTCGTTGATATTGCCGATATGGACGTCCAGTTCGAGAAGGGCACGATATTCAAACCATTTGAACAGCTCATGGGAGTCTTGCCTGCCTCATCTAACCATGCACTGCCGAAAGTTTTCCATCCTCTCATGGAAAATCCCGATAGCGAGATCATCGATTTCTACCCGGAGGACTTCCCACTGGACTTGAACGGCAAGAAATTTGCCTGGCAAGGCGTGATTCTTCTCCCTTTCATCGACGAAACTCGTCTTCTAAACGCCATGGCGAAGGTATATCCTCTCCTTACTGAGGATGAAAAGAGCCGCAACTCTCATGGCCAGGAGGTTCTTCTGCTATCCGACCGAAACCCTTTGTACCAAGATCTTGTCGCGAACTTCTACTCCAAGAAACCTGGTCCCGCACAATACCCCCTTAAAGAGGATGTGAGTGGTGGCTTGGCCGGTATTGTCGAGCGCAGTGACACCTATATTCCCCACAGCTCGTTGGTATCGCCATTGGAGGCACATGGCATGCCAGGCGTTGATGATGATCGTTCTCTCACGTAAGTTTAACCCTCCTAAACCCTCCCAAACCCTCCCACCTTCGCAGTTTGCTTTGTATACTAACTGATCAAAGGGTCCTGTATACGATCCCGAAGACTTCTCATGTTCACAAGTCAATGCTTCTCCGCGGGGTGAAGCTGCCGACGCCGATGCTGGATTCAAATGATATCAGAGCCACCCAGACCCGATCCCAAAACTCGGGCCGATCATTCGGTGGCGCACCTTTCCAGGGCAGAGGACGCGGCGGCCGGATGAACTACTCGAGTGACCGCCCGAACCCATTCGCTGCGCACCTTGACCCGAAGTTCAATTCCAGCCCACAAGGTGGTCCCGGAGGTCCCGGTGGTGCCCCTATGGTACCTCCTGGATGGGTTCCCCCTGCCCAAGGGTACGGAGGCTACGCCAGAGGACCGCCTCCCCCACCACGTGGCGGAATGTCACACCAGTACCCTCCTCAGTACCCACCCCAACACGGCTACCAACAGCCTGGGGACTATTATGGCCAGCAAAACAACCAGTACAACCAGGGTGGTCAGTACAATAGCGGTCATCAATCAGGTTATGGCCAGCAGGATTATCGTGGAGGCAGAGGAGGTAACCGTGGAGGCCGCGGCCGTGGTGGGCAGAACCGAGACCAATACTCCCACAACCAAGGCGGAGGGGGGTATAATCGGTACTAGAAAGCAAATGAGGGTCCAGCTTTCTGACTATTTTCTTGCTTCTTTCAATATGCTATTGGTATCTGTTGACACGTTTGGGAATTGGACATGAAGGTCTGGGGAAGAAATGGAGTTAGAGAAATGTAAAATGAATCCAATTGATGTTCCAATGGACTCTTTGTTTGCCTTTGTAGAGTATGCATGGGTCGAGCCCTTTGCTGATGATACCTCAAGAGTATATATGGGTTGCTCGAATCAATCGTATATCCCGTGCTGCATTGTAGCCAGGCGGTAAAAATACTGTCTACTCAACACATAGTCTACTTGCCATGTACAAATTATGGTCATCTAATTGGCTTTTTGCTTTTTTTTTCTCTCTCTCTATTCTAGGAGTTCTTTCATCTTCTGCTTGTAACCCTAACATGATGCTTGACTGGTTGTAGAAGGCGGTGTGCATAGAGGGGTCAAAGTAAGGCACACTGGCAGAAAAACGAGGCGGGGTGAGTCACCCGTGGACTTGCAAGCCCTGAGAGGTTGTTAGTTGCAGTCAATCTTCTCTCGTAAACCATTGGACTCACCACGTCATGGATTTTCCTGCGGAAGAAGAACTCGTGCTCGCTCGGTGGAGGGAGATCGATGCCTTCAAACGCCAAGTTGAACTTTCAGCTGGAAAGCCACGCTATGGATTCCTAGACGGCCCTCCGTTCGCTACCGGAACCCCTCATTATGGGCACTTGCTTGCTTCGGTAAGACCATAGCGAACAATTTGCGAATGAGTTGCAAGTAGTTCTAATATTTTCAATAGACAATCAAGGATGTGATCCCCCGTTATTGGTCTATGAAGGGATTCCATGTGGAGCGCCGTTTTGGCTGGGATACGCATGGTGTTCCCATTGAGTAAGTTCAATTCAATTCAAAACAAGAATTGTTCAAGACTGTTTAGCTCGGGTTTGGCTGACACTAAATCTAGATATGAGATCGACAAAAAATTGGGCATGTCTGGTCTGCAGGCGGTCCAAGAGATCGGAATCGAGAAATACAACGAGGAGTGTCGATCGATTGTTATGAGATACGCGACAGAATGGCGCCAAACCATCGAGCGATTGGGTCGCTGGATTGACTTCGATAACGACTACAAGGTACGCTCGAGTACATCTGACCTTCTGCGCCCTTATGTTAACACTTTTTTCTTGTCATTTAGACCATGAACCCGTCATTCATGGAATCGGTCTGGTGGGTTTTCAAGGAGCTCTTCGATAAGGGCCTCGTCTACCGCGGATACCGTGTCATGCCTTACTCCACCGCCCTCAACACGCCGCTCAGCAACTTCGAAGCGCAGCAGAACTACAAGGATGTGCAGGACCCCGCCGTTGTTGTGACATTCCCTCTGTTGGATGACCCTGAGACATGTCTACTTGCGTGGACCACTACCCCGTGGACCCTTCCATCGCACACTGGTCTCTGTGCCAACCCCAACTTCGAGTACGTCAAGATCTACGATGAGGCTACAAAGAAAAACTACATCCTCCTGGAGGCTCTTCTTCGGACTATCTACAAGGACCCGAAGAAGGCCAAGTTCAAGATCGTCGACCGCATCAAGGGTTCTGACATGCTCGGATGGAAGTACCAACCCCTCTTTGATTACTTCTACGAAGAATTCAAGGATTGTGGCTTCCAAGTGCTGAATGACGAATATGTCACTGCTGAGGATGGTGTTGGTATCGTTCACCAGGCTCCTGCCTTTGGTGAGGAGGATTACCAAGTCGCCATGAGCCACGGCGTCATTTCCGAGACTCGTCTTCCTCCCAACCCCGTTGATCCGCAGGGCTGTTTCACAGCTGAAGTCCGGGACTTCGTGGGCCAGAACGTCAAGGCTGCTGACAAGGGCATCATCAAGCTCCTCAAGGGTAATGGTCGTGTCCTTGTTGACAGCCAGATTACTCACAGCTATCCTTTCTGCTGGAGGTCCGATACCCCTCTGATCTACCGTGCTGTGCCATCCTGGTTTGTGAAGGTTAAGCCTATCATTCCCGACATCCTTGATGGTATTGAGAAATCGCACTGGGTCCCCTCCAATGTCAAGGAGCGGAGATTTGCCAGCTGGATTCGGAACGCTCACGACTGGAACATTTCGCGCAACCGTTTCTGGGGAACGCCGTTGCCATTGTGGGTTAGTGACGATTTCTCAGAAGTTGTTGCTGTCGGTAGCATCGAGCAACTTAGGGAACTGAGTGGCTATGAGGGCGAGCTCACCGATATTCATCGTGATAAGGTCGATCACATCACGATTCCTTCTTCGAAAGGAAATGGCGTTTTGAGACGTGTTTCGGAGGTCTTTGATTGCTGGTTTGAATCAGGAAGTATGCCCTTTGCAAGTGTCCACTACCCCTTTGAGGGTGCAGAGGAGTTCGAGGACCGTTTCCCAGCAGACTTTATTGCCGAAGGTCTCGAGTAAGCTACCCATTTTCTCCCTTCCCTGCCGGTTTTCACGCGCTAATATTGAATTTTTAGTCAAACACGAGGGTGGTTCTATGTACTCAGCGTGATTGGAGTTCACTTGCGTCAAAGACTACCATACAAGAACGTAGTCGTTAATGGCATTGTTCTCGCAGAGAACGGCCTAAAGATGTCCAAAAGATTGAAAAATTACCCCGACCCATCGCTGATCATGAATTCATACGGGTGAGTTCCGCAGTCCATCAGCCCCGAGTTGATCAACTTTTCATGCTCTTCGGACGTTTCCCATACGAAATTTCACTAACTTTGTCTAAACAGATCGGATGCTCTTCGATTGTACATGATCAACAGCCCTGTTGTTCGTGCTGAGCCTCTTAGATTCAAAGAAACTGGAGTCAAGGAAATCGTCAGCAAAGTGCTTCTCCCATTGTGGAACAGCTACAAGTTCTTTGAGGGCCAGGTGACCCTCCTGAAGAAGACTTCCAACATCGACTTTGTCTTTGACCCTGCAGCAGAGACCACTAACACAAACGTGATGGATCGTTGGGTCCTTGCCAGCTGTCAATCACTACTTCTGTTCATCAACCAGGAGATGGCCGCTTACCGTCTGTATACCGTTGTACCACGGCTCCTAGAGTTGATTGACAACACGACAAACTGGTACATTCGCTTCAACCGCAAGAGACTCAAGGGTGAAAATGGCGTTGATGACACACTGCACGCCCTGAACACTCTCTTTGAGGTTCTCTACACTCTCGTTCGAGGCCTCGCTCCATTCACGCCATTCATCACCGACAACATCTACCAGCGCCTTCTTCCCCACATTCCTGAGTCACTCCGTGCCGAAGACAGCCGTTGTGTACACTTCCTTCCCTTCCCCGAAGTGCGTCAAGAGCTCTTTGACGAAGTTGTTGAACGCAGAGTTGCTCGGATGCAGATTATTATCGAACTCGGCCGTATCTCGCGCGAACGCCGGACTATCGGTCTCAAGACCCCCTTGAAGTCACTTGTCGTGATTCATAATGACCCGCAATATCTCGAAGATGTCAAGTCCCTCGAGCCTTACATTCTCGAAGAGCTTAACGTTCTGGAGCTTATTCTCTCCTCTGACGAAGCCAAATATGACGTCGAATACTCAGTGTCCGCTGACTGGCCTGTGCTTGGAAAGAAGCTGAAGAAGGCTGTCCAAACAGTTAAGAAGGCCTTGCCTTCTCTCACTAGCGATGACGTGAAGGGATATCTCGCGGACAAGAAGATCTTGGTTGATGGCATTGAACTCGTTGAGGGTGACCTCGTTGTGAAGCGAGGAATCAAGGAGACTGACAACTCCAAGGGCATGGAGACCAACACGGATGCTGACGTGTTGACCATTCTCGATGTGAACTTGTACCCAGAGCTGGCTCACCAGGGTCTGGGTCGTGAGATCATCAACCGAGTTCAACGCCTTCGCAAGAAGGCTGGCCTTGTCCCCACCGACGATGTGAAAATGGAATACACCGTGATTTCGGACCCGGATAACATTGGCCTTGATGAGGCTTTCAAGTCTCAAGCTCAAGCCTTTGAGAAGGTTCTGCGCCGCCCAGTTGACCAGAGTGCATTTGTTGGCGATAAGCTTCCTACTGGAGAGGAAGAGGGCACTATCTCGCAAGAAGAACAGGAGGTGCAGAATGCCACTTTCTTGTTGCGCCTTCTCAAGCTTTAGAAAGTCAACCAAAAGAGCATATGTAGATATCAAGTCTACTTTTTAACTATTTTTTTGTTGCTTTGAATTAAATCACATAGCCTTTCATCAATAGTTCGCCTTCAATACCTAGCAAAATTCAACCTAGAATAATTTACAAATGCTCCTGCTTGCGCCGCCATACTCAAACAGCCCCAACTCTTTGAATGCTTCTGATGCTTCTGATTTTTCCAACATATAATTCCAAGGAACCTTCAAATGTTTCTTTAGCCCTTTTTGGATGCCGCCTGTTGCGTTGGTTAGCGTATCGAACGGCGCAGCACTCGCTCGTCACCTACCAAGTAGCAATCCTTCAGTCGCATAAACTCTTTCGCACACATATCTTTATGTACTGAGTTGTAATCGGTAACAATACACTTGCCGTATGCCGCAACCTATCAGGCTAGTTAGTTCGCCAATGCTGACATGAGGTTAGACAGAAGCTACACACCTCTACGGAGCATTGGGCTGAAGCTTTGGCAATCTTCTCGACTGGACGAGTTCTTCCCGGCATATTGTATGGATGAGGTGAGGATGCAGCCCTGAAATGCAAAGTAGCTTAATGTTCCGATGTGAAGCCAATAGGACCTCCAGGGCTTGAAATCCAAGAATGTTACATAAGACCACGTGACCGCCCTGCATGTTTCTGTCGCGACAACCAAAACAACCCGCTGAGCGCATCGTTACTTCGATTAATGGCTCATCGGTTTAGCCTATTGTTCCTATTATTTTGGAATTGCTAATTGCAGAGTGCCTCTGTCTGCGCATGTCTTTCATCCTCGGCGCTCCCCGCTTTCGCGATGATTTATTTGGTCCTGCAGCTCTATGACCCAGATGCGACAAGCGCGCCTTAAGATCGCGAATTTTCGATGCCTCCGATATCCTCTCAGCGTCGAGCCGTGACCGAAGAGATCTCATCTCTTTCAGACGATGGTAGGATGCAATCAATCACTCATTAATTTAAACGAAACCTGACCTCTATAGATGTCGGCTTTCTCTATCAGGTTATCGCTGCCGCCGAGACAAAACCCGAAGCGGATCGACTCCCATTCCGGGCGCTCTTCGAAGCATACGACGAAGTCATTGGCGAACATGGCGTCAACGCGGACCCGGGCCATGCGTGCCTGCGCTTCCTGTTCAAGATGGGAAGCAAAGGTGTGCGCGGCGAAACTCTCTTCGACAAATTCGAGAATGCGCTCCAACAGATGGGAATCGTGATCGAGATTGGCGAGGACGGCTCTACGAACCTCAATGAGACACATGACTATGATCAATATACAGTGGATGTTACCCACAGCCAGACGGTTGACCATGACCATTCTCCAATTACGAATGGAGTACCACCGACACCCAAGCGGCGCGCATCGTTCAATACTACGTACGATATTGGCGAGGATGCTACACAGAGAAGTCTAATGAATCGCCCCAGCTCTCGATCGTCAATGTCGCGACTTGAAATTGGCAAGCCCGAGTTTTCTAAACCAAAACTGTCACCTACCTCCAGGCATGATTTCGGGCCTACCAAATCACCAGATCGGACACAATTAATCAGCCAGTTCCTGGATGTTGGTCGGCGATTGCTTAGCAGATTTGACGGAACAGAAAACAAGCACGGAGTCGCGGAAGAACCCCCCTTGACTAATGGAGTGGTTGCGAGATCGGCCGTTGCTCGTGATCGTTCGAAGAGAATGGCTGAAGCCTCACGTCCCCGTCGTCCACCCTCGTACAATTCTTCAGACACCTCCGAGTCTGAAGATGTGCAATCGATCATGTCGCAGAGCCCAGAACACGATTCTTTTGACAAAGAAGAGGTGCCACCACAGTTCATTTATCGCCCGCAACTTTCGGATCTACTTCGGGATGCATCGACCTTCAACATGTACCGACAGCGATCGATCTGCCGTCGAATTTTGACACAATGGCTGAAGAAAGCCTTCCAAGCGCGACAGACTCGCCAAACCAGGGAAACACTTGCCGTCAATTACGACCGAAGCCTTCTTCTCCGACAAGCCTTTGATCCATGGCGAGGAGTAATTCAAGAAAAACGCCACTCGGCTCGAACAGATCGATTCTTCAAGCACCTTGAAGCGCGTGCCAGTCGCGCACGGGATTTATATCTAATGACGAAGGCGTTCAGTCACTGGGCCCAACTTACGTCGGAAGAAGTAGCTCGGACCTCTGCTGCCCGGAGACATGTACTTGGTGTCAAATATTTCAATGCGTGGCGCGAGATCACTGCTGTCAATGAGTTGAAGGCTCAGCGTTTTGCGCTACGGAGGCCGTTTAATGCGTGGCGGAAGAAGATCCAAGATTTGAAGGCAGCAGAGACCCAAGCAGTGGTTGTACGCAACACAAAGATTCAAAAAGCATCATTTTGGGACTGGTGGTGGTGCTTCTGCGACCGACGTGTTCTTGAGGTATCTGATTATCGACTCAAAAGACGGTCACTTCTTTCCTGGCTTCGAAACTTGCGAACCAATCGAGAGCGCGACCATGAAATAGACCTGCACAACAAACGATCATCTATGAAGTCGGTACTTCAGATATGGTCTCATCACTCGAAAATCATTGCACTTGCAGACCAGGAAGTCCAGGCTTCTCGGCGCCAACATGACCTCAGAGAAACCTTTGATGAATGGAGAATTCAGTCTCGGCTGGCCCCGGCTGCTTCTCGGGTCTCTGGGATGGTCGACGCTAGGATTCTACGAAATGCCCTTTCGAAATGGATTGGAACGGCCGAAATGGTCAGACTGGCAGAAGAGGTAGATCGCCATCGAATCCAACACAACGCGTGGATCTCCTGGAATGATACGCTTCGGTGCTTGGCTCTTCGTGCTCGAATTGACGAGCGAATCAAAATGGAGGCGATGTACAAATGGATATTGATGGAAAGATTTGAGCTGATGCGACGGATACGCGAGCAACGCATCAAGCGGGAAGTATTTTCTCGATTTGTGACAAACACTCGGGATACTTATACCCGTTTACTGTTTCATGCTGAAGCTCATGAGGCTCATCAGACCGAAAATTTGGTTCGATCTAAATTTGCAATTTGGCGTGATCAAGTGCAACTTCAGCGCGAGCGGGAGTATGTGGCATCTGAGTTCTATGCTCCACGGCTTGCAGCTGAGTCTCTTACGATCTGGCGATCCAAGCATAACCAAGTGGTCAAGATGGAAGGTTGGGCTCAAGATGCTCGATTCTATTTCTTGATGAAGAAGTCCATGAAGCAATGGCATCAGGCCAAAGTGGACTCCGGCAAACGACGGCGGCAAGAATCATATTCTAAAGTCCGGCGGCATATCAAGGTCAATCTTGCGTCTAAGGCGTTAGCTGCCTGGTCATCAAAAACTCGAATCATCATGGAGATGGAGCAACAAGCTGGTGATGTTGATCGCGAAAAATTGCTTGCCGACACGTCCGAGATATTCGTCCAATGGCACGACAAAACAACCAAGAGAATTCAAGATTGCCAGGATGCCGATGATTCCTATTTCCGACAACTCGCGTTCGACCAGATGATGCAAATGTCCGAAACCTTCATCATTCGGCGTGAGATGGAAGACCAAGCAGATAATGTACACCGATTGCATGTCCTACGACTGGCGGCAGCTTCTCTTCGCAAGCTCAGCCTTCGTATCTTCCAGATGGGCAGTACCGCCGAGACCTCCGAAGCCATGCGGGAAAGGAATCTGAGGAAGCACTCGAGAAACATGTTCCGCGATTGGGTGGACAAGGCCCGAATGAAGCTGGAGGCTCGAGATTCGGCCGGTCCAACCTTCACGCCTGCACGAATGTCGACCTTTGGAAATGGCGATGGCGCCGGATCAGCGATGTTCGATCCCTGGTATCAAGAGCAGGCGGAAACACCTTTCAAAATAAGTGACTTCACGGCGACATCTCAGGCAACGTCCAATGATACGATCGCTGCAAGCCCCTTAGCAACCCCCAATTTCACGACCTCTCCCTCTAAACGAGCCGCCCGGGCGCGAGCCCTCGCCCAAATGTCCACTACCCCCGCCACACCCTTACGCACACCCTTCGCAAGTCGACTACTTCGAGCCGGGACTACGACTGCTTTATCCACCTCTTCCAAACGGCCACGGACTGGCCGGCGAAGCTCGGTGGGAAATAGCGTCCGGTTTGTGGATGAAGAACCTCCCGAGTCTCCGACAGATGGTCGCAGATCAGCGAATCGACGATCTTGACGTTCTTGTTCGGTATATGACCTTTTTGCAGCTCCTTTAACTTCATGTACATCAGCAATGGTTATACTTTTTTTCTCTCATGCCTTGTCGATAGGTGCGATCATGTCTCATTCAATGCATCATCCGGCGCAGCATATAGCGGGTTCAAGGGTTTCTGGGTCTTTGGTATACTGTTTTGTACTTTTGCCATGATTGAATGTGATACTCAAATTATGAAATGGACTTTACTAGAAAACTTTTAGGGAAAGGCATGTTCGTTCAATGAGATGTATAATCCTTTACTATAGCATCTGGTCGATTCCGAGGTCAGATATAGGTAAATGCTTATCGGGGAGCTCTGTAGCTATACCCCAAATCAGTTAGAGCTCTTTGAATACAAATTTATCACCGTAAGAAATAGCAATCGCTAAATTCAGAACATGTTTATATCCACCTAGCTTCTTTATGTTGTTCAATTCGAGAGTGATCTGTTACACCTGGGCACCGAGTGGAGCGGCAGCGTAATCGACAAGGTCTCTTCCGCCTTGTCCCCTGCGTGTGATCAGACAACTCCCCAAACACCCATCTTCTACCCTCCGTTTCCCTTGCGACTCTGGTTACTCCCAGGCATAATAATATTTGGCCTGGAAATGTTGTAACGTGTTTTCGAGCGCAACGAGCGTCCAACCCCCGAACCAACCACCTCGATGCGAGCGGTACTGCCGGGGAGACCCCCAGCGAAGCTCCAGTCGTTCAGCACAGCGCTGTGGGATGGATTTCGTGTTGTTGTAAGTACTCTCAACTCTTGCCGGATCTTCGATCCAGCTCTGCGGCTCGTTTAAAGCCCCCTGTTGCTGACTCTTGCCCCCGCGCGTTCCCCAATAGGCATACATCTCCGGCCACGCGCTGGTTATCCTCGGCGGTCCGCAAACGCTCCTCCAAACGATTTACATCGACGATACAGATACCCTCGAGGCCGTAGCGTTTGACGAGACATCTGGCAAGATTGCAGTTTGCGGTGGCCCTGATGTATTCGTGTACCAGCCATACGGCATACAGGGCGAAACGCTCAAGGTGCGCATACAACCCCACTACTCGGAGCTTGGTCGACCAGCAACACAGTCTCATAATGGCAATAACAATTGATGTTAACATATGGCTTCATTTAGTGGTCGCTCCTTTATACATTCCGCGCCCCCGATGACGACGAACCGATCTATACACTATCGTGGGGTTCCTCGAACGAGCTCCTGGTGGGCAACTCACGCCTCGCCCTTTGGTTTATGAACGACGAACCGCGCCTTGTTTGGAAAAGAAAGCTTGCGACATCGGTGAAATTCGCGCAATTTTCTCCGGATTCATCCTTGATTGTTACAGTAGGGCATTATGACCGCTTGGTCAAGGTATGGAGACGACTTGCCTTCGGCGCAGACGAGGTTCGGTTCGAGAACTCGTATCTGCCTCATCCGAATGTCGTCACCGGGATACACTGGCGTTTACCTCGGCACCCCGAGCAATCTATGGATAATGTTCTGTATACATTTTGCGCCGATAACAAGATTCGAGTATGGGCAGTGACGGACCTTAATGCGCTTTCTGCTCTACAGTTCTGGGCAGAGATTGACATGGATGAGTCGGTTCAACCTAGGCTTGCGTCGGATGAGGACCGAGGACCGCAACGGCGGTATGGGTTTATCTTGGATGGCCGCGACTTCTGTGTTGCGACTGAGCGTGCTGTTCAGAGGACCACAGGAAACAAGGAGAATCATGCGCTAGAACATATCATCGAGGTTGCGAGCAAGGCCCCGGAGATTTGTGTTGTCATTGATGGCCTGGGCCACATGTCTGCTTGGGCTTTGGAAGATATCGGTTCTAAAGCAAAGACCAAATTGAGCGTCTTCAATGTTCTCCATGTCGAAGGCTTGGACTTGGGAGTTGCATTGGATCAGTCACCGCAAGAAGACTATGCTCAAATTCGTGCATTCCAGAGTACACCATCGGACGACAAGCTCAGTGTTCTGGTTCATCACTTCGACGGTCGAATCGAGTGGTATGATTCTCATGTGGATGTTCTGTTTGATCCTGCACCCCGCACGAAAAGAATCACCCAAACGGCTTCTTGGTCTGGCCATTCTGCCCCTGTGAAAAAGATTGTCCGGAATGCGATTGGAGATACACTGGTGTCACGTACCAACGAAAACAAAGCCACTGTATGGACACAGCGGCGTCGGGATGGAGGATCGGTCTTAGCACACAAGAGTGTCCTCCTCTCAGATGAGCATATTCATCGGACATGTGTGCTGGAGAACAGGAATCTTCTCGTCAATCTCCACCATAATGGCGTCTCCCTATGGGATTTCAGCTCAAACCATGCCAAGAAAGTGGCTTCTTTGCCATTCACACTGCCCGGCAAGCCACTATGTGTGCTGCCAATCCCCGGCACCCAAGCGACTCCAGGCGTTTGCTATGTAGCAACGATATGGGCAGACATGCACGGAATTGCGTGGGAAATACGAGGACCAAGTCAGGAAGGCCGTAAAGGGAGCTTTGTAAATGGCCATCCCTATCAATTACGAGAATTTTGCACCTTTGACCTGGGGCTGAAGGAGGATGTTGCATATATCCTTCCTGTGGACCCAGCAGGCCCCAAAACAGAAGTATCGGGATTCTTCGATTCTTTTTCTGCTGACATTGCTCTCTCCTACACCCACAGTGGAGTTGTGCGGACATGGACAGCTACTGTCGATCCAACGAATGTGAAAGTCGATTGGCTACTTCAATCAACCGTTGATACAGGCATTACCAACCCATCCATGGCGAGTGGGAGCTCTATTCGCAAGGCAGCTCTGGTTGACGAGGACCGGACTCACCTCACAATCTGGGATACCAACAATGCTCAGCTGGAGTTTGAGGAACATTTTGCTTCACATGACATTATCCGGGATTTGGACTGGACGTCAACACCAGACAAACAGTCCATCCTAGCCGTGGGATTCCCACACAAAGTTGTTCTCTTATCTCAGCTACGCTATGATTATCTAGATTCCCGACCCTCGTGGACACAAGTTCGGGAGATCTGGATCCGAGATCTCACACCTCACCCTATAGGAGACTCTTGCTGGCTGAATAACGGCAATTTGGTCATTGGGGCTGGCAACCAACTGTTCGTTTATGACAAGGATATTGATGTTGGAGACCGCCTAGTGTCTGAGCTTCGGATGCCGTCTCGAGGGCTGTCTTCCGTCGATCTCTTCGACGTTGTCAGCCGGCTGAATGGCCCATTGCCTGTGTTCCATCCGCAGTATTTGGCACAGTGCATCCTGGCTGGGAAGACTAGCTTGGTACATTCGATTCTCTTGAACCTACATCGCAAGCTGAAGTTCTACACCGAGGGCGATGGGCTAGATGGTTTCCTAGAGATGCCGGTAGAATATTTCTACAAGCAAGATGTAAGTGCGCACCATTTCATTTCTCCTCCCAATACTAACAAAGTTCAGGGTTCCCAACAAGCGATCTCCAAGGAAATGCGCTCTTCCTACGTCGATTCCACTGATGAGGAATTGCTATCTGTCGTAGATGAAAACGCCGCGGCCGCGCTCAATGAGAGTTTAGCACGGATCGCCTTGCCGCAACTGTCTAGCCACGAACAATTCCGCTTGGCAGATACAATTGAATGCGTTGCCATGGTTGAGAAGCACCGGCGTTCAATGGACGATAATGCAGCACGCTATCTCTTATTCTTCCGACAGCATATGCTGCGGCGGACCCAGGGTGTTGCCAATAAAGACACAGTCTCGTGGCGAGAGATTGTTTGGGCTTACCATAGCAGCAGCCAAGATATTCTCACAGATCTCGTCTCCCGGCAGTTCAACGGGAAATTGACTTGGAAGGCTGCTCGTGAAAGCGGTCTCTTCATGTGGCTATCAGATTCCATAGCTGTGGTGCGTGTCTGTCATATCATTTCCTTGGCCACGAACTAACCGATTGATTAGAAAGCACAACTCGAAATCGTCGCCCGATGCGAATACACCAAGACAGAAGAGAAAAACCCCATCGACTGTACTTTGTATTATCTCGCCCTCGGAAAGAAGAACGTCCTTCAGGGTCTTTGGCGTATTGCACACTGGAACCGCGAACAAGCAGCAACCCAACGTTTGTTGGCAAATGACTTCAAGGAACCGCGATGGAGGACATCTGCGCTCAAGAATGCTTATGCATTGCTTGGAAAGCGACGATTTGGTAATTCGAATCTCATATTGCCTACGAATGAGCACTACCAACTAACACTCAACAGAATATGCTGCATCTTTCTTCCTTCTCGCCGATCATCTGCGTGACGCTGCTAACGTCATCATAAACCAGATGGGTGATCTTCAGCTCGCGATCGCGATCACTCGAGCCTCAGAAGGTGACAACGGACCGGTTCTCCGGGAAATACTGGAAGAAAAAGTATTACCCGAGGCCGCTTCCGAGGGCAACCGCTGGATGGCCTCTTGGGCTTTCTGGATGCTTGGACGACGAGATATGGCAGTGCGGGCACTGATTGTGAGTCCTTTTCTTCTCTGGCCGCCAGACCCCAGCTAATCAGATCTAGTCGCCGGTCGAGACCCTGCTATCACCAACGACGACCCCAGCCACCCCGGGGAGCCCCGGGCGAGTAACCCTTCAGTCCAAGTCATATCTTTCCAACGACCCTGCCTTGGTAGTCTTATACCAACAACTCCGCGAAAAGACACTCCAAACTCTCAAAGGCGCCTCCAAAGTGCGACCCAGAGAAGAATGGGAATTCGTTATCCGCAATGCCCGACTCTACGACCGTATGGGCTGCGATTTCCTCGCTCTCGATTTGGTACGCCACTGGGAGTTCCTGGGCGAACTGCCTACCCAGGATACATTGAAGCCTAATACCTCCCTGGAGATGGATGAGAACGGAGTTGATTACCGGAAACTGCTTCGTCGGCGGAGCAGTCTCGTAGTTGCTGATATGCCGGTGCGCCGAGCAGATGTCTTGCAGAAACCCGCTGTTTCTGAAATAGCACCCGGGGGAAAACCGAAGAAAGAAGAACAGAAACCGAAGCCTAAGCCACCTCCTACGGTGTTTCATGAGCCGGATGCCAATTCGTTGCTGGACAGCTTTGGGTTCTAGGTTAGAGACTTATTTATGTTGACAGCTGTACTATTTCCTGGATATACATACATCCAGTTACTATCGAGTGAGAACCTGGGACCTGGGAGAGATATAACATAGTGTCTCTTATGTCCAAACAGTTAAATAATAGCGATGCTGTGGGAGAATCCTGTAGTCTATCATTTCAATGGTTCACGTGACTTGCGTCCACGGAAGGACCCCGGGAAGGTCCAGATGTCTTGGAGCTTCACTGAATTGTACAACCATACAACAAGGTTATACAACACACTTTATTCATTCTAATAGTTGTTGATTTTGAGAAATTAAGGGGGAAGTTGACCAAGGATCAACTCCGGCAAGTGGATGGACACTATCCACAAAGCACGGGCCTTGATCCCTGCAGAATATGTATGATGGCGCAGATGATCTCTAGAGAAAATAACCTTGGAAGAAGGCTGGAATGATGTCAGTCACCGTCTACATACCAATCAGCTTGACAGATAAGTCATGTTTTGATTATGATTCAATCTCTCCAAGATTCTGTACGACGTACATCCTACTACAATGAATGTCTTGTGATGCTCATCCTACCCCTCACACAATGATCAACGATACCTTGTCATTGCAAGGAGAATGCTACACCGAAGCGGTCAAGATGCGTGGAGACGAATCGAGTTAGCGATGCAGAGTGGAAAAATCTGCAGAAGATTCCGGCTGACAATTGTGCTGAACCCCATTGAGCTCACTGGTTGCACTACAGCCCGTAGCGCGGTTTAGCTACTCCAGTGGCCCCAGATGGCTGCAGATGGGCTCCAGATAGCCTGACGGATTACCTATCCTAGTGCGATCGGCGGCGCCAATCTGCGCTATTACATCGCAATCGCGCCGATCCTTCAGCTCATCCACAAACCTGTACGGAATACCGTGAACGATGGAGACTTAGGCCGAGCGCAAGCTCCCTCTTGCGCCAATGGCCTAGGTTAGCTCGATCTGCCGATCGGGAAACAATGCAGAATTTCATGCAGACTAAAATACATAGATGCTTTTAAGACTCCCCCCGCCCGCTGAGAGCTTGAAGCTCTTCTCTTCTCTCTGACCTTCGATATTTGTTTTTGTATACTAGTAATATACCCAATCCTTTTTTTTCCCCAGCGACAATGCCTACCAAGATCCCAGGACCACCTGGAGTTCCCCTCTTGGGTAATGTTTTCGACGTCAACCCCAATGAGACATGGAACTCGCTCAACAAGTTGGCCAAGCAATTTGGTATGCAACCCATCCACGGACCTGGGCAATACCCAGCCCTAACGAGTAGTCACTAATTTATTTAGGCTCCATTTTCAAGATCAATGCTCTCGGCCATGAGATCGTCTTCATCGGTAGTGTCGCTCTGTTGGAAGAGATTTGCGATCAGACCCGATTCCGCAAGTGTGTGACTGGACCAGTAGTCGAAATCCGATATTCCGTGCACGACAGTCTGTTCACAGCATACGACTCCGAGAAGAGCTGGGGTATCGCCCACCGGATTATGATGCCTCATCTTACGCAATCTGCGACCGACAACCTCTTCGGCGACATGGCGGAGGTCATCCCGGACCTGACCAAAAAGTGGAGCGCAGGAACCAAGACACGGACCCTACTCACCAAAGACCTGGACCGTCTCCTTCTTGCATCCTGCATGCAATGTTTCTTCAACCAGCGCGTGCACGTGCTCGAAGGCGCCGAGCCACCTATGCTCAGCGCCATGGATGGCGCCACCATGGAGGCGATGAAGCGACCCACCCGCCCCAAGCTACTGAACTGGCTGTACCAGCGCCGACTCGAGAAAGACACGAAGACCATGCGCGGGTTCGCTGCGCAGATAGTCAAGACCCGGAAAGAGCAGCCAGAGACTGCCCGCAAGGACATCCTGGATGCAATGATGAACGGCGCCGACCCAGAGAGCGGCGAGAAGCTCTCCGAGTCGCAGGTTATCGATGAGATCGTCACAATCTTCATCGGTGCCGCCACAGCACCCAACCTCGTCTCCTACGCCCTGTACTACCTGATGGAGAACCCAAGCGAGATCATCAAAGCGCAGGAGGAGATCGACCGCGTGGTCGGCGACGGCAATATCGATCTGGAGCACCTGCAGAGCCTCAATTACGTCGAGGCCATTCTGCGCGAGTCGATCCGTCTTTCTGCCACCGCGCCGGGCTTCAACATTGAGCCTATTCCCTCCGACGATAAGAGCCCTATCCTTCTTGCCGGTGGCGAGTACCAAATTGCTCACAACCAGCCCATGATCGCGGTGTTGAGCCAGGTCAACCGCGACCCGGCTGTCTTCGAGGACCCCGAGGCCTTCAAGCCTGAGCGTGTTTTCGGCGAGAAGTGGGATCAGCTCCCTGCTGCCGCGAAGAAGGGCTTCGGTAACGGCAAGCGTGAGTGCATTGGCAAGCTCTGGGCATGGCGGTGGTCGTTCTTCACTCTCGCCAGCATTCTTAAGGAGAACACGTTTGAGCTGGCGGACCCTAAGTACAAGCTTGAGTCGAACGGTGCATTCAGTATCAAGCCGCTTGAGTTCTACGGTCTTGTTAGCCCACGGAAGTAATTTTGATTGATTTTTTGTTTGATGGGATTGGGTTGGCGGATATGAAGTCAGTAATGAATTTGTCGATATACTTCAACGTTGTTATGAATGTATTTCAGAATGGAACGAGCTTAAGTCTAACTCTATTTTTATTCTTATTTCTATCTTTAATTTAAAACATGGGTGGTTCCTGAAGATGGGCTCAATGACGTGGCGGGTACGTACATAGTAGTGGGCGATTGCGTATGTTCACGCCACGCGGACATCTGAAACTCCCAGAGTCCAAAGATACCTACCTACGTAAATAGGACTTCATAGAGTTCTACAATGGAAAGCAATTATTTTGAAAAGAATGTGTTAAATTGTATAACCAAAAAAAGGACCAGCCTAAAAGTCTGTATATTGACATAGAAGCAGATACCATTCCAGCTGGGTATAGACCATCCTCCGAAACAAAATGATCCAAGAGTCTATCTTCAAAATCATATAAAATCAAATCTCAAAGAAAACAAAATTTATCCGCTGTAATCAATGGTAACAGCCAGACGAACGGGACCAGAGGCCAAGTTAGCACCAATACCACCGACAGCAGTCTCAGCGGCAGTGTAAGCGTTACTAACTAAACCGGCGTCCTTGGTGACAGAAGAGCAAACAGAGCCAAGGGCATCACAGATCTTCATGCCAGAGATGGACATGCCAGCATTCTGCGCAGAAATAACCGAGACATCAAAGCCAGACCAGCCATTGTTGGTAGTGGAACCGAAGTCGAACTCGCCCCAGGTGGAAGCGTAGCCACCCGACGCATCAGTGGGGATGGTGGATCCGGAGGCGGCGGCCCAGCCACCATTCGAGTCCTCATCAAAGGCAATGTACTTGGTCTCGCCGGGGGCAAGGGTGAATTGGTTACAGGCGTTGCCGAACCAGCCTGTCATCGCGCCATCCGGGCCGTACTTGTTGAAGATGGCCACAGTCCAGTCCTCGGTGTTCGAGCCGGTGAACTGTGCAACGTACTTGTAGTTGCTGGCAGACGAGGCGTCAACAGAGATGATGTTGCTGCCGTAGGGGCTGCCCACGTTGCCGGAGTATGTTACGCCTGAGCCTGATGAGCTGGTGGAGCTGCCGAATCCAGCGGTGGAGTATGAGCCGCTGGAGGGCGTAGAGGTCCAGCTAGCGGAGTCCTGGCGGCGCTCAAAGTTTGAGGGTCTGGCCAGGGTGCTGGTGGTGAGGGCTGCAAGCAGCATGAGAGACTTGGCGAATTGCATATTGGTGGGTTGTGTTGGGTGTGGAGTCACAAAAGAAGGTAAATATCAATGAAGATATGAACGAGTGTTATATGGCTTGGTTGAATTCAAAAGAAAGTGTTTGAAATGAATGGACGGTGGTACCAAAAGGAGTGTGGTTGATCGAAGGAAGAGAGCAGACTGGAGGGTCAAGGGCAGCTATATATACCCTCGAAACTGACAGAAACTTCTTCCTCCGCCACGCTCGCCTCGTAAGTCGAGAGCGAAAGATGAACCGAAAGTTCCGGGTACCTGGCTCCATTCAAGCGAACCATTGGGGGTGCACACCTGGGCGTACGTCAAACCGTTGAAAGGACTCGTATGCTACGTGTTCCACAAAGGTCGAGGCTGTGGATTTGACATGTAGTCTCCATTGAAGGTGGAATGGGGTTGGATCCAATGGGTCAAACAGTAGATGCATATAGTCTGATTGGGTCCATCTGTGTACATTCAAGCCACCAGTAAATCTAGAATTCTGGATCATCTAAAACATTCTTTATTGGCGGACCCATTAGACAATAGGCTTGGTCACTGATTATATCCGTGGGTACCTGGTGGACCCATGGATGGCCGGAGCAAGCCCGAAATAAAACCAGGTAGGGGAGACGCTTCCAGGGTTACGTATTCTCCGCGTTTTCAATTAGGAGATACATCATTTCTCCAGAAGGTAGAGGGAACTAACCGGATATGAGAACTGCCGAGAGTACACAAACGAGAAATGTAAATGCGAATTGGACCATTCGATAAGGATAACTAGTCTGGAAACTGAAAGGTTTGCAAATCGCATTGTCTGGGTCTTAACTCTAAAAGGATGCCCTAGTGTGGGCCCAACAGGGATCAGATCGTTTTAGCCTGGGGCTAAAGGCAACGCAACTATCAGGAACGGAACTCAGATCCGTAATGATTATATCCGTGTCCGCTGAATTGTCAATATACATTGTCGAGACACATAATAACACTATGACCCTGAACACTTCACTGCTTCGTGCTAGGAGCATCCTATCACCCTCGAGAGGTACTGTTGATGGAATTTCGCAGAATTTGTGTGATCTGTGGACTCTGACGTTGTGGTCCAGAGAAAAGTAATACGATTGGCTGGAAATATTGACAACTTGACCAATCATAGTACATTTACGGTCTTGGCAGGGCAGGGCCTATATTGTAACCAATCACCACTAACCCCTGTTACAATCCATGGTTCACTACTTGTTCCTTGAATTCTCTTCAAAAACTGTTACATACATATGTACTTTCTTTTGGAAAAAGCCGCAATCCAGGCTTGGCCTACTTCACATGCAAGCCATCCGGTAACTCTCTTAGAAAGCCACTATCTTCCAGCGGGTTAGGTTTTGACAGAAATCTGGCAGTACGACAATATACGGACAAAATCAGATATATTTAAATCTATTACTAACTAAAATGACAGGATTGGAATTCTCAGAGGAATTTCCACGGACATGCTTAGTAACGATAATATGCACTTTTGTATGGGATCTGCCATCTGGCGGTCCCGCGTTTTTTTCGGGTAAAATACCCTGCCTGTATTCAACCATGTATTCAACACAGTATTCGACAGATTTTCCTGGGTGGATCGTTTGATTCTTTCTGTTACTCCGCAACGTTCCACTGAAGCGCCACACGGCCAAGCCCTAAACCAAGAAGACACGAATTCGGAGTAATAAGGAATTCAAGTGTTTGAAGGGTAACCTTGGAAGAGACCTCGGGATCAATGTTGCAATCGCCTAAATGCGGAAACAACCCATGGCATGTGGTACCAGGTTCATTGTTTCGGATATTTGAACAAAGATTGCTCTTTTCTTAAGGCAAAACGGTTGAAAATAAAGTTAGACGCTACGCAGAACAAAGACCCCCTAATGTGACGATCCTTGCGAGACTTGGCCAAAATTGTGGGTTTCTAAGAGAAAAGACAAGTCTAGACATGTAAATGGTCTGGAAGAGCGTAGAAAGAAGTTGGCTAGGCTCTGTCATACCCATTGAAAACTTTGATTTACGAATTCGCTTTCCCTACTTTCAAAAATAAGATCTATTGCAATTATGCTGGTGAGGTTCGGATACTGCGGCTTTGTCTTGTTTCTGACGCCTCTCGCAACAACGGTCACAAGGCTTTGCCAAAGGCCAGGATGGTAATGCATTCTATCCACTAAAAGAATACATTCAAAGACAGAATAATAGTCATACAGAGTTAGTAATAGTCAAGTTCGGCGCTTTGATGTCTGCTTTATCAGGCCTTCATTATACGACGATATCACGTGCAGTCACCACCCATCGCGCGTTATCGTCATTGACCAGGCTTTACTTCCACGTGATTTCCTAATGTCAAGGACCAATAAAACAGCCCTGTATTCAAGGCCTCAAGTCATCCCACCATAATGCAGCACTTGGCCAATCCAGTTTTGCTGATGATACAGCAGCTAAAGGGATGTGTACGTTGTATAAATCTCGAGGAAACGCAAAGGACAAGTTACAATCCTTATATTCCACCTAACCTAGTGATATTCTGCATAAGTATGAACAGGCGATGGGCCCTGGACTTGCGGGAAAGCTCAAGTATATTCAAGTCAATATGTCCGATTCTCATAAATAAAAACGACCGAGCGGAACTAGATGTATTGTACCGTGAGAGAAAAGTCAGTGCCTATACCTAATCCGCTAAGTCGATAACTCAGATTTTCGTAAATTGTATACACATGCAGGCACAGCTTCAGATAGCATGTCTCATCTGCGAAGTACATATGGATAAATGACCCCAAAAGAGAGCTTTGACCACTGGCTGCCCGGTTCTTGCCAAGTAACCCAACTGCATTAACCCAACACCGAAGGGGGTAACTTCGGGTGTTGAGCTACTTGGCAGAGTTTGGGTAGTAACTCAGACGCGGCCCAATCTGAAGCACCAGGGGGAGCTTTGGGAAACAAAAGCATAAATGATGAGCAAGAAAGAAAGGATAACCTTAGAATGATAGGTATGATCTAGATATCAAGGAGGCCCCGGATGGGTAAACACCCTGGCCTCAGGCTGCAAGGCCGCAAATATTGTATTCAAGATTCTCTTATATTCGTTGATAACTAGATTCTTACTTGACAATTCAATAGATGATCATCAGAGCACTGTATAATTCCTACTAACCTGCAAATTAACCTTCCAAGGTTGAATGTTTAGCAAAAAGGAGGCAACACGTGCTCCGGCGCTGACGTCGATCGGCGGCGAAAGGGGCCGGTTAAGGTATCGGGCCAACTCCGAGAATCGACACACGCCATAGCTTTGACTGAGATTCCGGAGAATTTTTGTATATTGTCCCTGAAGGCATGAGGGGTCTATGCCCCACTTCCCCAGCCCCCTGAGATAAATGCTTGATCTTCCCTTCCTTGATTGTTCTACGTTGCACTATCTTAAAGATGACATCTCAACTTTCCTCGCTAGCTACGCTGCTGCTCCTAGGGTCCTTCCTAGCACCAGTCAGCTCGAGCGAGATTCCTGCTCAAGCGCAAGTGATTGACCAAAGAGCCTTCAATGTCCTGGACACGACTCAGCCCCCAACCGAATTCAATGCGAAGAGTGTATGCGATTCCTCATGTGCGGTCTCCAGTAGCGCCTCTTACTGATCAATGTATAGCTATTTGTGCCTCCAGGGTCCACAGGAGACAGTCTAGCCCAGCAGCCTTTCCATGTGTACGATGAGGAATTTCTGAAAATCATCGGAGAAACTCCAACTCTAACCCGGATCGCACACTCCCCAAAGGACCCTCTATTCCATGAGGCGGTTGTATGGTAGGTATCCAACACGCAGACCAAGCCAAGGATAGACAGAGTCTGACTTTAGCTTCTAGGTCGAAGGAAACGGAAGAGGTGTTTTTCGTCCAAAATGCAGGCGCAAAAAACGCCAGTACCGGTCTTAGAAAGTCGGCTATCATCGAGAAGATCTCTCTTGCGGACGCTGCTGCTGTCTCCCACAAGTCTGATGCCGCGGGCCTTATTGATGTAACCACCGTTCCTTCTTCACCGACGGTTCTCAATCCAAATGGTAAGCAAGCAGCTCTTTCTTAGAGGTTACACAACTGACTCTGCTCCAGGGGCTACCAATTACCGGGGACAGATTATATTCGCCGGTGAGGGTCAAGGTGACAATGAACCGCCTGCTTTGTGGGTGATGAACCCGAAGAGTCCATACAACGCTACAGGTTAGCACGAACCGCCTCTTCGCCTTTCGGGAGTTAACAAAGTGGTCTCTAGTCATCCTTAATAACTACTTCGGCCGACAATTCAACTCCCTGAACGATGTGGCCATCCACCCGAAAAGCAAAGATATCTACTTCACAGACACGATCTATGGCTATGCACAGGACTTCCGTCCTGCCCCCGGTCTGCAGGACCAAGTGTACCGATTCAACCCCGAGACAGGTGCCGTGACAGTTGTCGCGGATGGGTTTGACCATCCCAACGGTAGGAGATCAAGAATATTTACAGGCTCGAAAAGGAAAGTGCAACTAACGTTGTAGCAGGCTTCACTTTCTCTCCGGATGGCAAGCACGCATTTGTCGCGGATACCGGAATCGATAGCGGCTTTTTCGGTCTCGACTTCACCCGCCCTGCCTCTATGTATGAGCTGTCGTTTCTAATATTCCCATGTTTGGACTTGAAGCTGATTACGGACTGCGTGTTATAGCTACCGATTTGATGTGAAAGACGACGGCACACTCGACAATCGCAAGACTTTTGCCTTTGTTCACTCTGGTGCACCTGATGGTAAGTCCAGCAAGCTGTACTTAATGACGTTAAGGCTAATGTCTTGAAAAGGCATCCACTGCGATTCATGGGGTAACGTATATGCTGGCTGTGGCGACGGTGTCCATGTCTGGAATCCATCTGGCAAGCTCATCGGCAAGATCTATGTTGGATCCAGTACGGCGAATTTCAACTTCGCTGGAAAAGGCAGAATGGTTATCTGTGCCGAGACAAATCTTTACTACGCCACGTTAGCCGCGGCCGGGAGTTATGTTGACAGCGAGATGTGAGAACCAGCGGAGCGGCTTCGGTTTTTTATATTTTGGATCTGATCCTTGACATGAAAATAATGTTGGGTGACACCGCAGAAGTGGCCTGGTATCCTGACTTGCGCCATAGTCGAAATATTTTGTTGTATTACATATTTATAACATAAAAGAAGTGAGAGAGTATGGGACTTTCTCTCGGGTATTTACTCCACCATGCACGCCATCACCGATGTGTCGCATGCGATGGCAATTCATGGACCATATTTTCGTCTCGACCAGCAAGTTCTTGCGGTGGTTGGGGCTTGTTATTGTAGTACTCAACGGGCACACTCGATTCGGGTACACTCGATCCGGGAAGGCTCGACACAGGAAGACTGGACCCGGGAGCACTGGACATTAGAGGACTTGGGTCCGCAGGTGTTCCCATGCTCTTCTTTGCGCGGTTTCGGCGACGGAGTAGGAACCAGAGTAGACCAGCCAGGATAGCCAACCCAGCTACTCCGCCAACGACGCCGCCCGCAATGGCTCCGGTATTTGATGACGACGAATTATCCGACGCACTTGCAGGGGTGGTGGCATCTGCAGTATTGGTAGCGGTCGTGGTGGGGGTCGTTGTACTGGATATTGTAGACGATGGCAAGGCCGTTGAGGTAGAGCCTGTAGACGGGGGGTTAGAAAGTCAGTTCAACAAGTCTCTGACTCTGTAATAAAGGGTCAGGCCGCCAAAGCATTACATACCATGATACCGAATTTTCAAGAGACTCAAACTACTGTCCAAGGTGGATGTATCATCAGTGCAACCGACAAATGAGTTCTTTTTCTGGAAAGCCTGTTCGCCAGCAGCGCAGCAAAAGAAATCATTGGCCTTATAGACATTTGCAGTGCTATTTGCACAATGTGTGTCATCAATCAACTCGGAGCAGTCTGCGTCTGACGGACAACATTTCACGTTTGTTTGGCCGGCTGGGCATTTCGTGCCGCCGGGACAACAGGCATGGAAGGGTGCCCAGGTTTCGCCGCAGTTTACTTCGGTGACGAGACAGGAGCCGTTTCTGCGGACGGAGAGCCCATATGGGCTACTCAACAAATCCGACATCGGATCTGTCACATATAAGATTGAAAATTGACAGTGGATCAATTAAAACAGTTGAAGGTATAGAGAAACCAGTAGGGAGAGAGTCAAGGTGAGGTCTGCGAAAGTTTGGAAACAACTGGGGCTGAACCCGGGGGCGTTTGGTGCTTATTAGACTGTTTCAAGGTTGGAATATTGCGCCAATCCCAACGTCTGTGATCAATGACGGAAAGGGGGGCCGTGTCTCTTACTAGCGCCTACAAAATGGTAGCGAGTTGGGGGCCGTTTTAAATTTAGCTGGAGTATTAAATACTTGTGTAAGAAATGCGCGGAAAGAAAAAAAGGGGTGCTATAGGCTACACACATTCACTTGGCAGCTGGTGTGTAAGTGAAATCTTATGCCCAGATGCTAATCTACAAACGACCAGCCACGTAGGTAAGTTGGGTACATCGCAGGCAGTGGAGACTTCACGGTTGCTCTTATTTGGATCGACATTGTAACCCCTCTCGTATAAGAAGTCCCGCCAACACGTCTTGGCGACGCCAAGGGCCTTGGTGCAACTTATGTTGCAAGATTAAACCACTCGGTGATAATCTTCGGGTCTTCGCATTTCGCGCATAATTATAGCGTTTCGAGAATCGGCTCGAGAGTACGGGATGCCTTTTCAAATTCTATAACCTAATTTTTGCCGAAAGAACCGGTAAAGGTCCACACGCGGCGAGTAGTAAATCTGCCATTTCTCGCACGGCAGTAGGCTGGGGGGCTACTCCGCGAGAATCCATTGAGAGTAGCCATTTCCGAAGCGATACCTCTTCAATTTCCGCCATTGGCGCGAGTTTTCGGCGAGATAGCCCTGTAGTCCCGCGAAGACGCGTACGAAGGGTTGATTCGGGTACGTTAAAATGACGCGCTGCTTCACGAATAGTGTTGATCTCTGCTTCTGTATAGCCTGGATAGCTAATAAGATCCTACCCTGTCTTTCCATTGAACTTCGAGAGAATTGCGAACGGATTGGTGGCATGGTAGGTGGTTGACTAAGTCAAGTTCAATTTACTTGCGAAGATGCATCCTTTTCGAGTTATTTCAGCAGTGGCCAGAGTTTCATTTGTAGCTGGGCTGTATGGGACTAGCCGGGGCGACTTAGCGCCCTAGCGATAGCGTTGCGAAGAGCCACACTGCTCCCTCATTGATCGCGCTAAATATTTCCATATTTTTGGTTTCCGTTCTAGTGAAGAGCAGAGGAAAATATGCAGCACTGTACCTTGGCGAACAACAATCTGTCATCTCCGAGTACATTGGACGTTCTAGGTGCCTCTCCACGGAAATTATATCCGAAGCAACATCGAGATCCATACCCCATTTGTGAAATTGGTGCTCATTTGGCCTTCTTCGGAGTACAAGCTTCACTATCTCCATTGAATGCTAATATGATATCAGCAGTCATATTATTCGCATGGTTGCTAGAAGGAAACATTCGCTGAAGAAAAGAATTTTGTTATGAATTACCAGACTGAAGAGGCATAATAACATCAATTATACACTTGAACAACAGATTTCTTAGTAGATCGGCTCCATAAAAAGGTATACTACTATCGACGTAGAGAGTAGAGAGTAGAGATTAACGATTGCAAAAATTCCAAGATCATGCTGAATAGACATCATGTCTCGATAATACAACGATGGCCTTGCGGGGCCATTAAGAAGAAGGATTGCATCTCCATCTCGCTAGCCGTCATACCTTCTTTCGTAGAAGGTCGAGCATTAGGCAAGGCTCGGAAGAAAAGCGCCGTGGCTAGACGGAGCTCCATTCGAGCTAGGTGCATACCCAAACAGACTATAAGAATTAGCTCTATTGGTGGCTCAAGCCGTGGACAATATCAAGGGACTTACTCCTTGATCCACCACCAAATGGTAAAGAAGCATCCTTCATTTCCTTTGTTGGATTTTCCCACCTCTCAGGGTTGAAACTATTCTGTTATTTAATTTCCCAGTGTTGGCACTATTAAGAGTTAGTTGACTCACTTCTCCGGGTCCGGAAAGATAGTATGGTCTCGATGAAGACTATAAGCCTGGGTTGAGACCGTGATTCCTCCTGGCACACGATACTCATTGAACTCAGCACCTTCGGGTGGCACTAGTCGAGGTAAACCAAACGGAACAGCCGTATACAATCGCAAAGTCTCGTTGATAGTCTGGTTGAGGTACGGTAGGTCTCTGAGGCTTTTGTCCGTGACAGGCTCGGGAATACCAGCCAACTCGGCAACAAGCTTCTCTCGCACTCGGCTGTCTCGACACACGGCATACGTAAGATAGGTCAATGTGACAGCTGTAGTATCACTTCCTGCAATAATGTATCCCTGAGCCTCCTGTATGATTTCTGCTACGACATGCCACTCTTTTCATCAAAAAGGGTTGCAAACAGGCTTCGCTTTGGGTTAGATGGGTCTTGAGAGATGAGTTTTCTGTAGCGGTCAACGGACTGCACGGCATACAGCTTGAGTCTGTCCTCTGCGTTCGCTGTGTCCTTGATAATCGGTACGGGAACATATCTTGCAATCTTTACTAGAAACGGGACCGTTGCTCGAAAGGGTTGTAGTGATATCAGTCTTTCCATGTCAAGGCTGTATTAATTTTTCTACATTCGTTATCAGCATAGATAGAATTTTGTCGAGCTCTTGCCCTCTACACACCTTGCCGATCTCAAGCATTTGAAATGAGTCTCCAAATGTGAGTTCACCAATGATGTCTGTAGCCATAAACAACCACCATTTGAACACATCAGTAACGCCATGAGCTTTCAGATCCATTGTGATTTTGTTGATAGCCATACGGACACGATTGGATATTATTGGCTCAAGGCGAGTCAGCGAAGAGTCAGAGATAGGCGATGCCAAAAGACGCTGGTGGTGGGTATGGAAATGTCTGTCTGTCGTTGAAAATGTGGTGGACACATTGCCTATGGAAATCTTGCGATAGAAGCGTGTTTTATCAAAGCGACTATTGGTCTTGTGGATCTCCTTCACCGCGCTTATGTCGCAGATATCGATTTGATCCGGGTTGATTCGTACAATAGGGCCTATCTCAATGTCAGGTGTTCTTTTTTTATAACACTAGCTGCCGGTAGCACATACCATAATGTTCATGAAGATGGTTGACGTATATCGGTGTCTTTCCCCTTAACCAGTTGTATGTATAAATGGCTTCTGTCCATTTCGATATCTCGGGCCCGGGTAAATGAGATAGAGGATTTATGAGTCTGCGATAGATGGTGCTCTAAGTGTCGCATGAGTAACAGTCTCATATGAGGGGAATTATGTTGTGTCTACCAGAAGGGCAGCACCAAGAATGCATATTAGCTAGTGGCTAATCAGAAAAGAATCAGATAATATTCCAGGCTCCATTATATGCTTTGGGCAGTTTCTTCTGGCATAGAATCAAGCAACCATTACCGGGCAGTTGATTTATAGGTAGGATTCCTTAGTAGCACAATGAGGTCAGAGAGCGTTCCATCCAGAGTGTTATCATCTCGAGTCCTACGTAGTACGGTAACAGACCGGGAGAGACCCAAATGATCCGATAGGTAGAGACATGTTAGAGCAAAGCAAGCAACTGTTTTGGGCGAATGTGGGAGGACTTTTTCTTCAAGAAGAATGACGTCTTTTTGCCGACTTCCGATATTGTACCTTAACCGTCGGCCATATTGTTGATCCCCTAGGGTAATGAACATGGTTGTTTTGCACGAGGCATCAACATTCCTCACAATGGCATTCAAGACAATAGAAATATCTGTTTCTTTATACTAGAGATTCCAAGAATGTAAATCAGTAGGGAGATAGTAGAATTTGGAAGCACTCTCTGACCCCATTATGCTGCTAAGAGAGGGGGGGGAGGCAGACACAGTCTCGCTGTCAATTTGGGGGCTACCTGGGTATGTTCTTGCTTCTGGTAGTGAGCGAAAAAATACATGTTATAGCAGGGGTTACACAACAACCTTCAACCCTACCTAGGTACGAACTGAATCGCATCTTCCACTCTCATTCTTACAGGCGCCTTGACTACAAGCTGTAGAAGGTCGTAAGTGCATCCATCAAACAGATCCTAAAAGAAGAATAATAATAATAATAAGAGTAGGTGGCTGTTTATGTGGCATCTATCCTGGACGAGGCAAGACTATAAAAATCCGATTTAATTGGCTCAAGATAATATTAGGGAGGCTATAGTATATGTAAGACAATATTCCGGTGTCTTTTTTGTAAGTTCTTTTTTGGATATCTTTTTAGATGTCTCTTTTAGACATTTATCTTCTCGATTTTATACCCTTACATTCACAGTTGGCTGGTCACTGTCGCATGAGGGTTAGAGCGAAATAATGATATTTAAATACTCTTCAGCGGACGGATAGGTTGGCTGGTGGCTATGTGTAGATGCTAAGAGACTTACTGTTTTAGGTGCTACAAGATCATCGATCCAATCATCAAATTTTAGTAAAGCTGGGAAGGTCAGGCAATCGTGCCCAGGTGCAACGAAAGGTGAGAAATCATCCTGTTATCACCGAATCTATAGTGCACTCACACTTCTCACCTCTAGTCGCGCGGTACCAAACTCACCAATTGGTTCGAAAATCCATCTTACCAGTCTTAACATGATACATACGACCATAGGGGTGGAAAACAGGGCTTCCCGTCCGCTCAGCCGTACTTAAGCCAATTACTCTATGCGGCCAATTCTTGGGGTGCCTTGAACACTAAACTTAGTGAGGAAACCCGTCTTAGGGTGAGTGTGGGTGATATGGGTGTATATTTTGGAGATCGTTAAGCATGGAGCTCATACAAGCGGCCCACGATTCTTATCTAAAATGAAATATTTGTTCTTGGTTAATGAACAACCAACTCACTATAAACCCATAGATCTTGGGATATTAATATAAAAATTCAAGTACGTAGGCTACCACTAAGCATGAGCAGAAACAAGCTTGGAATACCGACGTCACCCCTGGGGCCGTCTCGAGCCGATTTACTAAGCCCGTTCAAGGACCTTCCAAGGTTGGGATTTTGTCAGAGCCTTGGACCTTCATAGTAGACAAATTGGATATCGGCTTTGAAAGACTTCGTAAATGTAACGTCATGGTCATAAGAGTTTGACAGCCAAGATCCTCCCTTGACTTATTTGAAATTCCCGGTTGTTTCAAGCCTACCTACGCAAGGCTCACACATATCTCACTCACGCCGTAACCCAAACTTTTCGATCACCGTCATCCCTACTGAGATCCAAAGATGCCACGCCAAAAGCTGCCTAGCACACTTTCTCGCCTAGGACGGAGTCATTCTGACGACAGTGAGGAATCTCGTTGTCTATTGGGACGTGAGAATAAGATGAGACGCTGGAGATATGGTTGGAGGCTGTCTGTCGATTCTCAGAACAACCAAATTGAGAAGCAACAAATGAGGAAAGGAAAACACAGAATCCAGAATCTCTACACCAAATCTTTCTCTATTTCATCTATCCTTTCCCGAATTGTGGGAAAAGGCCCTACAATACTCTCCCTACAAGAGAGCGTTCTATTCAATATCTACCAACACCTTCCGCTAGTCGATAAAGCATGTCTATCGCTTAGCTGCAAAAGACTTTTCGACCTGTTCGGAACAATTCTAAAAGAGAAGGAATTTGAATTCCCGCGACTTTTACATCTTCGGATCCCTATTCTATGTGTGAATAGTAATGAGGTCGCACGAAACCAACTACTTCTTCGACTTCAGAATTCCTCCTGGGCATATTGCGGAAGGTGTTTAAAGCTCCATCCACGAAAGGAATTTAGTGAAATTTCACTCGCGCAGCCCGCTTTACAGAGATATTGTACAGGCTATGCGGGTATCATTGACCTATGTCCATGTGCTGCCTTAACGATTCGAGAACTCGGACATCTTGCGAAACTTCTTAAGTCACCCACTACGCTGTGTCAAACTAAAATTGGTCCTTTCACATTTGACCGCGATGGTGGGCCTCAACCAAGTGCCTATGTTTCAGCTGGTCTTCATTTAACTGGGGCTCATTTGAACCATCAATGCTCGTTGGCTACTACATCCGACTACAAGGCCCGAGTCGAGATTCGTATATCCATCGACTCCTCTGGCAGTCCGGGCATTTTTGCTCGGTATACAATATCATTTTCCTCATCTTATGCCCATTGGAAAGCTCAGCCAATCTTTCACTGTCCTCACTGGGATCTTACTTCTTTAATGAGTCGAAAGGATGCTGTTCAAGTGTGTCCCGGATGTCGGACCATAAGTATGCGACGTCGTGCTCCAGGACCCGAAGGAACGGATACAGTTGTATTCGAAGTGACACGGATTTTAGGAAGCGGCAAATGGCCACCAGATTTCCGTTGGCTTGATAATTGTCGTCTGACTGGGCCTGCGTTTTCACAGAATGCCATATATTGGTAAGTGCATAATTCAATACCCATAATTCAATACCCGACTGAATGGATTTAACAAAATCATTCTAGGGGTCGATCAAAAAGACTTCAAAGAGAGATGCATAGCGTTTATGATGGATGGGACAATAAATATCTGGCAGACCAGTTCCTTCAACAAAGTCGGCGTGCTTGTCAACAGCTACAAGGCCCCAATCCGACACTTGATACCATAACGGCATATGCAATGCATCTGGCGCACATGGCGGTGTTTACATAGATAGTACGAGGGGAAAATGCAGGAATCCCACTGCTCGAGTGTTAAATTGAGGTAGCTTCTATGGCCCCTTGGCTGTTACATCCGTCAGAGTATTTAAATTCCTTTATATCAGACCTATTGACAACTTCTCAGCCTAGCGTAGCTCCGTTTTTGCCTATATCTTCTTTTTGTGTTCTGGTTCATCCTCTAGCCTCACTGTCGCGGTTTGCCATTACCACATTCGACCCCGGTCAGTCGCACTAGCCGACTCACGGACATCCCACAGAACAAGTTTGAGTCATTCTTTCCTCGCTTCTTTTTATCATTGTATCTTCAACATGTCTCCCACTTTGGCCTCGACTCGGCAAACATTTCGGAGCTCGTTTCTACCCCATCGGTGAGGCTGATCTTTTCTCGCTGTTCACCGGCCTCAGATGGACCGTCGAAAAGTGCGACGCTCAGCTTTTTGAGATACTCGACATCGAGTCCACCCAGCTAGCGCTCACACCGCCAATCAAAGCCGCTACAACGCTTTCGCAACACACACTTTCAACACCGGCTAAGCTCAGTTCTCTGATTGCTTTTGCACTAGGTACGCTCCGCAAACGTTCGCTAACAAGTGGTGTGCTCCTAAGCCGGTTTCGCGCCTCACCCCTCACATCTGAAAATTCCTGAAGTACTTCTACTTCCTCGCCGCCCTTACTGTCGCCGCCACTACTCATCAGTAGCTCGGCGGCTTCAAAACTTCCGATTCAGACCTTTCCGAATCTGTACCCATCTATGCGTTGTCCGACTTTATCACCGAGAACTAGCACATGGACACTACCAATCAATTCGCTCACCTTGGGGCCTATATGACGGATCGCTATAAGAAAATGTCTCGTTCTGTTTCTTCGTTTTCTGAGTTTCACGGCCGTCAAGATGACCATTTTACCGGGCAGTGCTACCACCCAGCCCTCAGCTAAGGCCCTTTAGTCAAAGCAATCACAGTTTCCGCTCCGCCTACTCTCAGTTCCCGCTCATCCTCGTGATCCCGCTACAACTACTGCATTCTTTACCCAAAAACTTGCTTCAAGTCTACCACTCTCTTTAAAAATCAGGGATATTTCCATCTTCTTGGGTGGTGATGGAGAATCTACGACGTGATGATCCAGAGATGGAGAAACAGAACGGTAGATTCAACTGGGAGCAAAAGGGACGGAGAGGTAGAAGAGAGAGAGAGAGAGAGAGAGAGCTATCTGCTATCTACTACTATCGGGATCTGTCCCATGTGGTGGGTAGGTAGATGGCTCATTCTTTCGCAGCACACCATGTTCCATTCCCTTTTGGCATTACAACCTGGCCCTGTTTCTTGATATGGTCTTTGCCCGTGGGAGACGGAAGATTTAGGTGGTGCAAATAGCCGACGGCTGTTTGCTTTCATTCCACCTCTTGACTGTCCATCATAATATCCCTCCTACATACCTGATCTCCTGACAGCTAGCTTGTTATACTCTGGACTGTTAGATGTCTGATTTTAGACCCCTTCTGTCTTAAATTTCATTTCGAGAAAAAGCATTGTCGGAGCATGAAGAATGCAGCTTCGTTTGTTCCTGTCGCTGGTCTGTCTTTGCATTGTAATGGAGCTAATTGCTTTGCGACATGTCATACTGTTTTCTACTTCCAGATGTATTGTATTTCTGTGGAGGATTAGTGTATTTGAGAAATCAATATCATCATCAAGAAACAAGATGTATTGATTGTTGAAGGAGAAGAAGAGGAACAGTGAGGGGGTAGCCCTTTAAGCTTAACCCAAGTCCATATCAGAAGGATTAGTTTCTATTTTTCTTTTCCTATGCAGATCTTTACTACGGCGTAAAATCCAAGCCTCGGAACCTTCTGTTTGGGGCTGAGTATAGAATTACCCCACAGCCTTGGCAATCAGGTCTTGGCAATCTGGGGGCCAAGCTACGAAAGGACATGCTATTGGATTAACGCTTGACAAATCACACTCCGCTTTCTGTAGGTATCGGGTCTTTCCCAATGAGACGGCGGGACCAGAAGCAAGGAACAAAGGCGCGATTTATTTCGGACAAACCGTGCTTTGCATCAAAAACAACCAAGAATAGATTTTCGATGATTCAGCCGCGGGCGCATGGTCTGTTCTCTGAGATGTAGTTCAAAGGCGACAGCAGGCTCGCCGGTCTCAAACAAAAGCTCGGGTTCGGGAGTCGTCCATCGATACAGGCAAGCTTGCGGAGCGATTATGTTGTTGGACGCTAGGTTTGGCCCCCAAGGGCATTTACGCGCCCGGGTTGTTATATAATCTTGGCGAAGATCCATATCGTGGCGGAGTCATTGGAAATCCGTTAATTACAAAATCCCGTGTGGGGCGGTGCTAGACAATCATAAAGACCCCTCGGTTTCCCGGTCTTCAAATCGTCACATCTTCAATAATCCACTAAGCTTCTACCGAATCTCCTTCTTCTCCTTTTAAAACATGGGTCTTTTCAAGGATAGCCTTGCTTTGGGTGATGGCTATAGCCTCATTAAAGCTGCATCCAAGTGCGTTCTTCAAGTCTTCCACCCAAGCTTGTCACTCTCATACTCATAAATCCTCCATTAGGGCCGCCACTGAACACGAGGAGCGGAAGCAGAAGCAGAGGGAAAGTCTCCAACCTGCTTCCCAAAGGCTCCGACATATTTCCCAGCAACAGTACTATCTTAATAACAAGCGGCGAATGGGCTATAAGGATGGTAGCCAAATGAACAACCCTCATGTCCAACCATCGGACCCTCTACACGGGCCTCGCTCAAACCATGACAGCAATGTGAACAGATCTAAGCCACAAGCACAATCCCAGTCGACCCACCAGCCGTCAATGTGCTGCACAAGTACAAGGACCATGGAGGACCCTCCGGCATACGATCCTTCACCACAGGCACAATCCCAGTCGACCCACCAGCCGTCAATGTGCACAAGGGACATGGAGAACCCTCCTCCATACGATCAGAGCCACCCATACGATATGCAGGTAGATGGTAAGGCTGGATCAGATCAGGAATATTGCAAATCAAAATAGAAGGGTATAGCTTGGGTTAAGTGTGGTAGCCGTTTACGAGGGAGCTTTGGATTCGATTAGTTTACATTACATTACAGGTTCTGCTAGATCCACCTTTAAGTCGATTACAATTGAAATATTCCGAGCAGAATAGATTGGGTTGATTTGATTGTATTCTACTCTATTGTTCAGCCCTCCACTACCTCAAACTGACCGCTTCAACCGCTTCCCACCCACGGCTCTCTGATGTAAATGACTCTACCAAATTTCTGCTATCACCAGATTATCGGCTATTCGTTTTATCATCGCTTACTCGGATCTACGCTGAGTTAAGCAAGCTCCGCAGAATGACTAACAGTGCTAGGGGTGCAGAATAGCGGTGTTACAGCGTAGTGGGCGGTCAAGGGGCGAGTGGACGTCTAAAGTTACGGGTGGAAAGGCGGCCGTTTCTAGCCTCGAAAGCGGTCATTTTCGGCGTCATTTTCACGGGTCCTCATATTCGTGGAAGACACATAGGAAATGCCATCGGTTTGCTGGTGAAGCCCAGGAAGACCAGACTTTCATGACGTGATCAGCCTGACATCCAATGGAGGTGAGCCCGGGCCAGGATGTTACAGGTAACTCTATCATCAGCATGAAGCTTTACTCACATGATACGAGGAGATATGATGCAGCAAAATGTATGAAGCCGGTCAACTCCCTAGTTAGGAACGTCTGCATATGCGAATGTATAAACTTCATATTTCCTGCATCTGTACCTTTCCCTGTCGGATCCGGATTTAATAGTGAGATACTAAATTCCCCCTTTTCTGACTGGCTGAATCGGTATCAAGGTTCGACCAATAGAAAGCGCCGGCGGGATAAGCATACCTGGTACCTATGTAGGTAGTATCTAAGTGAGGCAACCTCAACCAATGAATGATGGGTGGTTCCACCCGCACGCCCTACGCATGACTAGCCGATGTGCTCTATTCCCAACCACAGCGCGAAACGTATTTTTCACCTATGAGCCGTCCCTCACACTGAGTCCCAACGTCATTTAACAATGAAGACAGGCAAAACAATAACCCGGCGCAAAGCTCGGACTGGCTGTCTCACCTGCAAGTAAGTTTTCATGAGTCATTACATCACTAGCACGCTAAAAACTCTCCAGGTCTCGGTATGATGGGAAAAATGTCATGTATTTCGTTTTGATGACTAACATTAGTATCAGACATGTCAAATGCGATGAGCAGAAGCCTGCATGCTTGCGCTGTGTCAGCACGAAGCGAATATGCGAGGGCTATCTCGTTGTACCGCAATCCATTTCATCCGAGAATGAACTTAGCGATACAGAACGCCGAGCATTTGCATTCTTTCGATCACGCACAGTCCACAGGGTGTTTGGCCAGCAGGATGCATGCGATTGGATCTCTGTTTTTCTTTATCTTGGACATAATGAAGTATCAGTCAAACATGCCATTACAGCGCTAGCCTCCCTGCACGAAAGTCTTGAGCCTAATAATACGTCAACATGGATACGAAAATCTCCGAAGCATGCCAGCAAGACTGCGGAAGTTTTGGCCCTAAAACATTACACTGAAGCCATTAAATCTTTGCGGTCCGAATCTCTCAATATGTCTTCGAAACCCGATCTCACGATGGTCTTGTGTATTATTTTTATCTGCTTTGAGCAATTTCGAAGTGGCGATGCTGCGTGTATAGTCCATTTGACCGCCGGACTTAATTTACTCTATTGGTGGAGATCATATACCAACAACTACACCAAACTGAAAGAATATTCTCGGCCAACGTTGGAGCTGATGAACGAGAAGATAACGCCTGTTTTGCAACGTTTGCGCGTCCAATTTTCCCTGTGTATGGACTCCCGTCACGCTCTCAGCAATACTGGCATCAAACTATGTCTGCCTGCTCCGACTATCCCATCGTCATATGCGTCATTGGATGTTGCTCGAAGGGATTTCGATCGTGGCATGAACTATGTTTTCTCCACACTCGAAAAACGGCAGATCACGAATTGCCAGCAGCCCAACATGAGTCCAATGGCCATTTTACAGCGTTGGAAATATGCACTGGATGCTTCTGATTTTGCAGCAGAACCTCCTGAGCTTCGGGGCTGCATACGCAAGCTGCTAGAGCTTTACTACCATACCTCGGTCATCATTACTGGGACGTATGATTCAGAAGAAGAGATAATATTTGACGACTATCTTGAAACATTTCAATTCATTGTCAACCTCACCGAAGAGATCCTCGAGATCTGGAAAGTGGCCTCGCAACAATTCAGTCTATTGTTCAGCTTTGATCTTGGGATCACACCGCCAATGTTCCTTGTTGCGTCCCGTTGCCGTGATTCTCGGATTAGATGGAAAGCCGTCAACTTGATGTTCCATTCAACTTTATACCACGGTGTTTGGCGTGATCAATACTCCGGGCTTTGTGCTCAGCGTATCGTGGAGCTTGAAGAACAAGGACTTGAGAGAATTGGAGAATCTGTATACGTCCCGGAGCACCGACGTATTAGGAAAATATCTGCCGATATCCAGGAGGAGAAAGGTCAAATCGTTATGCATTTTGTCCGATGGCCTTACGCGGAATCGGAGATAATGTCCACTTTCATCCCGCTGAGGACCGGTAATATTTGAGAAAGCGACTTTGGACTGATGTATTCGCTGATGGATGAGACGGTGAAGGAGATATCCCGAATCAAAACTCGTGCTGGCAGCGCAGCCAGGCACAGATGGCCACATGGATGGCTATGTGGAAGAATGCAAGAAAATGTTGAGCTAGCAAATTCGGGTAATTATTCGTTTGGCTTGGAGAGCATGAAAGAAATGCCTGTTCGGCAGGCGATCGGAAAATCAATCGTCTCCACTGGGGTGAGTGGAGAGAAAGATGCGGCTGGGTAAACGCCGAGGCATGTGTCAGATACGCGGTCAGGATTTTTCGGCGTCATGGAGGACACCACATTAAGATCAAGCCAAACCACAGAGTGCGGAAGGTTCTTTATGGTCACTCTGCTGAGTCCATCATCGGATTCCTACGCTGCACTGGAGTCGAGTTGGATGATGGCTCCCATGTCTTTGCGGACTTGGTTATCCTTGCCGCCGGTGCGTGGACGCCATCTGTCGTTGATCTCGAAGGTTGAGCAACGGCTACTTGTCAGGTACTTTCATATCTACCATTAAGTGAAGAAGAACCAATGGCACTCGATTCTTTGCCTATTTATTTCAACGTGAGCCACGGAATTTTCATTTATACCTCCGCACAACAAAGAACTCAAAGCCGGTCGTCATGGATTCGGTTACCAAAATCCAACGAAAGTATCAATCAATATCTCAACCATTGGGGAAGGCACTCAATCTATCGAAAAGGTTGTCAGTGCACCACAAACTGATCTACCTATTCCATTCGAAGCGGAAAAGGCTTGACAGGACTTTCTGGTTGAATTATCCCCAGAGTGGAGCAACATAAAATTCTCCAAGACGCGGGTCTATTAAGACCGTGACATGTAGGTTGGGAATCTGGGCGCTTGACTCAAATACCAAAACTGATTCAAATATAGGCCGACGCAAGACTTTCCCATTGAGTACTATCCTCAATCTGAAGGTCTGTTTCTGGCTACAGGTGACAGTGGTCACGCCTTCAAAATGTTCCCAATCATTGACGAGAAGATTGGAATTCCATTGAAGGAAATCTAGAATCGGAAATACAAGAGCTGTAGAAATGGAGGAAAGATATGCCTAGGACATTCCAGACAACAGATGATGGTACGGGAGGGGCAGGCGGGATATGCTACTGGGAGCTGAGAGCCGCGATGTAAGTTGAGTTCGAGAGACCCATCTCTAGAACTCTCGTTTCGGCTGATCGATTTTCAAAGTGTTCATAGATTTTGGAAGCAATCTAGGAAAGGCTATAGTAAAGAAAATATATGGCAAGCTTTAAGACAGGGAAGCTAGCTAGTAATTACCTATGTATAGCTAGCTAATTGGCCCTTCCCACATGCTATGGATTATCGAAAAGGCCGATGGAATATTCACCATAAAATTACCAAAAATATAGAGCCTCAATCTCAGTGCTTGCTTTTGTGTGAATCTTCTAAACTAGTGTAAACTTCCCGCTAGCCCAAGCTTTCTAGTCTATACCTTGGCTTTCCACTTCCAGCTCCAGTCTAAAAGAGCCCATCGAGACAAGATGACGCTGAGAAGTCCAACGAGCATAATGGCAGAGTAGAACCCAATGAGAACCTGTGGTGTAGTCGACTGTAGCAACTGGCCTCCAATCGGCACAGTGAGCAAGACTCCAAAAGAAGCCACACAGTAAACAGTGCCGTAGAATCGACCATAATCTTTCGTGTCACATAGCTGGCCTGCACAAACTGGAGCAAGCGAGAGCCACCCACCAGAGCCGAATCCAAAGATCGCCACAACCGCGTAAAGGGTGCCTTCATCGTGAGACCCATATGGTAGCCAAACACCCGCCATTATTATGATGGTTATCACAACCAAGGATAATAGAATGTTGAATCGGCCAAATAAATCAGCAGCAAAGCCAGGGAGGACTCTCCCGAGAAGGCTCATGCTATTCAAGACAGTGAGGGAATAAAATTGCACATCCACGGAGAACCCGCTGTAACGGACATACGATGGAAGAAGCGCAGCACATCCAAAAATGATGAACTCGAAACAAAACACTGCCACAGCAAGAAAACATAGACGGGGTGACTTGAAAGCTGCAAGGTCGATCGTCATTCTGCTCTTGCTGCCAGGGGGTAGACGTCCTCTGACGAGTAGCACTCCCACCATGTAGCATCCCAAAGCCATAAAGGCTACGACCCGTATGGCCCATATCCACCCATAATTTTCAAATAAAGTTCGTAACATCAAGGGGATAATGGCACCACCCGCAGATGATCCTCCCATACAAATTCCGGAAGCAAGGGCGCGTCTTCGGCTAAACCAGTGACTGAGAACTGCAATGGAGACTGTCGTAACAATTGCTGCAGATATTCCACCAAGAACACCCAGGCAGAGCATAAAGTGCCAATACTTTGTGCATTCTGCGAGCAGTATGTAGGAAGCGAAACTCCCAAGTGATCCACTGATCAACAAGACTCTGGGCCCATATCGATCAAAGAGCGGCCCAACTTGAACCCCGAGAAACAAGGTCAAGAATACAAGCACTGCAGTGATCCAGCCGACATCTCTCTCCCCATATTCGGCCAACTGGTGGGTGCTGATATAATCCTGGACGGATCCAACTATCAATAGTGTCAGTCGTCGTGTCCTCGGCAACAATGGTCAAAAGGAGTATGGTCCATCCTCACCTGCAGTCTGAAATCCAAATGAGGGGAACATCATGAGACATGATCCTAGCAAGCAGACCCATGCGTCTCGGCCACCTTCCGGAAAGGCCAAGTTGGCGTCACCATCGGCAGGGGTCTCAAGAGCAACCTCAAGCTCAGCCCTGCTCTCACTCGAGCTGTGACTCGTCGGTCTGTTATATCGGTGCATTCTTTTACTTATTTAGACCTATGAAGAGATTGAATGGAAAAAAAAATTCTTGAAGTGAAGTCGCCGTCCAGTCACGTGGTTCTGTACTTCATGAGTCGTGTAAGTGGGTCCGGTCTCTCTTATTATTCCTTTTCTGATTGGACTATGCGTATGGACCGCGACGCAACCAATAACGAGCCAGAACTGATTTGTATGTGAGGACTCGTAGCTTACATGTCTCCGATTGGGAGTTCTTGCATCTTCTTTTCTCTCCAACTCTGAAAAAGCACAGCCATATTCAGTCAGCCAGTGGGCATCTTACTGCCTTCGCCAAAAATCAAAGTTCGTATCCATAGAGAGCATACGGGTCTGGACCCATAACACCACTGGGATGTGGGCATTTACTGCATTGCTGTGTCTCGGAATAAGAAAACGAATGTTCGTCCTTGAGAAGAATTCACAGGGATTCACAGATGTTTTTCATGATACAGTAGTTTAAGTCAGGCTGCTTCTGCATCAAAGAGGCGAAGCGGGTGAAGTAAAATAGTGGAAATGGAAGGATCGCAGGCGGGCTTGAGATTAGACCTTATAACCGCCCGCGAGCCGCCCTCCGAGGGCCGCCCACAGACCCGGCTTTTACGGGCGGAGGGCCGGCATCTCCGGCCCTCTAAATGTTTTTAACGAGGTCTAACGTTGGTAAACTGTTTACAAAGCGAACAAGAGGGCCCCGGGGATGATATATCAGCAACAAAGATAACCTTCCAACCTTAGAAATCCTGTTCTTCATGCGATTTCTATCACAATTATAGCAGAAGAGCACAAAATGCACCTTTTGGACAACGGAGCTTAGAGTTATATTAAAAATTGGTCCATGCAAGCTTTGAATGAATCACGCGAGATTCCCGTAGGCGACTACGCTACTTCTTTCTCTCGCTCAAATTAATCCCTAGCGAAGGCTATCTCGAAGTTTTTGAACAAACATCAGCTGAACGAGACTTGCTACTTGATTTTTGTTCTCTTTCAAAACATTGACCTAAAACATACTATTCTGTTTCGAAAAAAAAAAAAGTCTCGTTATGCTATAGCAATGATGGACGCAGGGTTTTCTCTTTTCTGGTGCGAGTAACTGCAGTCCCCATTGAAAGGATGTCTTGACATGCCATCGAAATTCCACTACACTTGATTCACACCTCCTAACCGATCGCACTGATCCAGATCAGGGAAAGGTCTACTCGTCAGAAAAGAGATCGTCCCAAGGAAAATTACGAAAAAAATATGAATATTTATGAATACATGTGAAGTGCAAGTTCACAGGTTCGAGCGAAGAGGGGAGAGCTTGATTTTATCAGCTTCGTAGACCGCCACTTGGAATGCCTTCAACAGCTCCTCCTGATTTTCCAACCCAACAGAAATCCGAACAATCGTCTCCCTTAATCCGTACTTGGCTGCCCAGGGTTTCTCTTTGCTGAAGACAGTCTGAACGTAAGGTTGGGCAAGAGTGACTTGTGCCCCCAACGAAGGACCTTTATGAACATTCAACGCGTTAAAGAAGGCCTCCGAGGCTGCCACAGTGTCAAATTCGAGGGTAAAAAGCCCTCCATACCCTGGATTGAATTCAGGCGTGTTGTGGCGCATCTGTGCGCGGTAGTTTTCCGTACTCCAGCAGACCGTAGGATAATAGACCGCGGTGATGCTGCTGTTCGGGGCTTTTGACTGGGCGTAAAGGTGATCAACGAGCGACGAAGCGGAGGTGTTGATTTTAGTGGCACGCGCGAGAAAACTCCGACTGTTCAACTCGAGCTGGGCGATATCTCCATCGTAGATCTCGGAGGCGTAGTTCAGGGACATGAGCTTTTTGAGATCCTGATAATATGGCTTTGAAGGGTTGAGAATGATACTTCCAGCCATCACATCTGCAAATCCATTGAAGCTTTTTGTAAGCGACGTGACCACTATATCGGCCACTCCAAACATATCAACATTGGCGAAGCTGCCGATTGTCTCATCAACCACGATGGCAAACCCATATTGATCTGCCAACCGTCTCAGACGAGCGTAGTTGGGTGTTCTCAATAACGGATTCGATGGGCATTCGCACCACACAGCCTGAACTGTTCTATCTTCTTTAGCCTCTAGAGCCAAATAGGCCTCTAAATCATCGATTTCCTCTTCCGTGCCGAAGCCGTAGAACCGAGTGCGCGGTCCATACTCCTCCAGCAGCTTCAGGGTTAATTCATACGGAAACCCAAACACCACGCTTTCTGTTCCCCGCCAGGCTAGAAGTAGTTGATGCACATGGTATATAGCAGCCATGCCCGTCTGGTAGAGGTAAACATCATCCGCGGTGAGACCCTCCACTGCTTGCGGGTCGAGGGGAGCTCGCTGGAGGAGGTCCACAATTCTCGTGCATACCCGATTACGGGAGACTGTACCGGATTTTGTGGGCGCCAGCTGGGCTGTCATTGTTCCTGGCATCCACGCTTCGCGAACACTCCCGAGATACTTCAGACATGCCTCTGCCAGCCTCGATGAGATCCCGAGGCCCGTCAGTCTCCAGAATGTCAGCGCTTCAGGCGAGAGGGTCTTTGGGAAGAACACAGCATGGAGGTAAACAAGCGACCCTGCTAGGTCAGCCTGGTCAACGCTGTTGATATTGGCCTCGATCACACGGATGACAATTTGAGATGCTGCGGCCTTGTCGCCATTCTTCTCCATTGCAGTCCTGCATGCTGATGCCGATGCTGCACTGAGATAGACAAGGACCGAGTCATTTGAGTGGAAGCGTCTGAGAATCGCATTGGACACCTATAAGATATATCCGCTATTAGATTTGTGAAAAACAGCCTTTCCTGCTCCGCGTGGCTAGTGGTAACTACCTCTACAACATCCTTATGCAGAAACGACCGTGGATATCCTGTTCTTTGTGCTGACTTCACTCGGGGGTCACCAGCGGCAAAATCGCACATGTCGGACCAGGTGGGAAGCTGTACAGATACGGCATGACGGGCGGTCGGTACGGGGTAGCCAAGCGGAGGAGTAGTAAGGGCCATTGTGATGTTCCAGAGGAGCCTATATATGCAGGAGCAAGTTAGTTCGAGATCTCCAGCAAGCAAGAGAGCCAGTAAATCTCACTCGATCTGGGCAAGGGCTATATCGGAGGCTGAAATGTCAAGCAATATAAGAAGAATTAAGGTGCAACCCTTCTATGGGCATATCTCATAACACAATGATAGGTAGCAATAAACGAGAATAGCCGAGAATCTGACGGAAAAGCTCTTCTTGGAAAGTTGCCAGCGGGTGTTCGTATGGAACGTATAATATATTTATAGTTCTGTTTACTCCATACCGTCTGCGAGAAAATACCATGAAACCAAGGGATTGGGGTACCTGAGAGCAAAGCTGTAACTGGCCCACTATTCGTGTGGTCAATCAGAATCTGCATCGGCTAGGCAAAGTCTATCTTGGCGTGGATATGTCTGGCTGGATGAGATCGATCATTTTAGACAATCCTACGCCTATAATTCTCCGTACTTCTGGTATTCTATCAAGACAAATTTAGGGTCGTTACGTCGAAGGCAGTGTGTATCGGGGACCCACTGTGGAGTTTGCAAGAGCATTCACACCGACAATTGAAGCTCCTTTGTTCGGTGGGATTTCCTGTATGAACTTGAATTGGTTGACTGACTATATTAGCCTGGTATACTAGTAAATCTTATTGCCCAATAAAAATAGTCACAAAGAATGGTCCACTAGTTAGATGGCGTATAAATGTAAATACGATCAATAATCTACCACGACAGGATCGTCAAATCTAGGACCCGTTCATAATTAATAGAAACCTTTTTAATAAACTAAAATCTCCACTTTAATGCACAGATCCCGAGATCTCGTAGCCCGAGGCATGTTTTCAGCTTGTCTAAAAACTAGCTTCTCCTAGCCTGCTGGCTAAGCGGGAAGAAAAAAAGAACAAGGATAATACCATATGCATTAGAATTGTATCATTCAGGACTAGTTGCTCTTAGTTTCAGGAAGCGTAGACATCCCCGCCTATTTTACCCAGGTAATATACCATACTGGCCCCAACTAATGCAGGAATCTACGGGAAATAATTTTTCAAACTGATACCACCCAGTACAAGGCTGTACAGATGCAACTACGGAGTATAATTGTCTTCATCTTAGCGGAGCTACGCCACCACGCAAGATGGTCACATACGGGGCTGGTTAAGCTCCAGTGTGGGGTGGGGGGGGGGAGGACTCTTGACCGATTATTCTGAATCACGGCGTAAGCTGTTGTGTAAACACCCCCTGACTTTGACTCTCAGCTGGCTTTTTTCCCTTCTTGCTCTTCGATCCAAACCAGCCCATCTAATCAGCAAGCTGCGACATGATGATGAATACCGGAGCTCCGTTGAGCCTTGGGCCGCCTGTCAATCGTAAACCGATGACTGAAGTCCCTGAGTCTGAACTCAATGGGACAAAGGACTTTCCTCCAGCTCAGTTTCCGAATTATTTACCCATCTGGGAAATACCTCCAAACAAGTAAGAAAATTCATTTGAATACTCTGCATAGAAGAAGACAAATTAACCATCCAGTTAAAGGTACCCGCCTCTTGAACCCTTTGACCATGTCGAACATGGAAAAGACGCAGATCCAACATTCCCTGACCTTTTGCCCCAGGGCAGCAAGATGACTTACCTGACTGCATCAATTGGGGCAGAGATATCCGGGGTGCAGTTGAATCAGCTCAATGACAAGGCGAAAGATCAACTAGCTTTGTTGGCTGCCCAGAAAAAGGTTCTTGGTATGCATGACTTGCTTGAATATACCCCCTCCTTACTCTTTATATTTAACTAAGTAAATTTCGGTATATGTAGTCTTCCACGACCAGGATTTCGCCAAAACTCCCATCCGCGAAGCAGTCGAGTTCGCACGCTACTTTGGGCGACTTCTTCTCCATCCACACTCTGGTTACCCGGCGGGACATCCAGAAATCCACATCGTCCACCGTCGCGCCGGCAACACAATGTCCCAGGATCATTTCAAGTCCCATACCCACTCACTGGCATGGCATTGCGATAACACTTATGAGCGCCAACCACCGGGCACCACTTTCTTGTACGCACTAGAAGTCCCCGAAGAGGGCGGCGACACTATTTTCGTCAACACCGCCGCGGCCTATAGTCGCTTAAGCCCTGCATTCCAACAACGTCTTCATGGACTCACGGCCTTACACACGGCGCACGATCAGACGGCAAAGGCCCTCAATAGTGGTGGATATGTGCGACGCGAGCCCATCACCTCCATTCATCCCGTTGTGAGGACGCATCCCGTCACGGGGGAGAAATGTCTTTTTGTCAATCCGCAGTTCACGAGGTATATTGTGGAATTGAAAAAGGAGGAGAGCGATTATTTGCTAAAGTATCTTTATGATCATCTGGCTTATAGTCAGGATATGCAGTGTCGGGTTCGTTGGAAGGCGGGGGACGTGGTGGTTTGGGATGTAAGCCTATCATCATTCATTTTTCTCCTTTTTTTTTTAATAGGGTGTGCTGATCTCGCTTTTTTACTACAGAATCGGGTTACGAATCACTCTGCTTTGATGGATTGGGAAGACGGTCGACGACGACACATTGCAAGGTATGTCCATATGAAAGGATTCTGTTTGAGATGGAATTACAGGTCTGACATATATTGTGCAGAATCACACCAGAAGCCGAGAAGCCTTTTGAGTAAACATGGAATTTCTGTAATTGTCCTTGGACTGGCCACGTCCACGTCTGCGTTTTTAGTTGGCTAGAAAAGTTGATGGCTTTGCTCACGGGCAGCCAATGACCATGAATTCAAGGAATGAGGTGAACAGAGGCACTGCCGCAGTGCTGCAAAATAGTGATTCCAAATTAATTAAGTCCCACTGTGCATTTAGTCTCAGCTAGGTCGATCGAAGATTGGAGCCGAACATTGAAACGAGGAGAGTACACCTAGATGGTGGATATGGAGGGTGGTTGTGGAGCTGTTGACATGGTGTGAGTTACTGAAAAAGGAAGGTCTCGATACCATCTTTTGTATCATTTACACTTTCTGCAGCTAATTAAACACCCCTCATCACTTTGCACAATGGTTTTCCGCACCAACTTCATATTTTAATTTTTGTATATATTATGAACAACAGTAATATTCCAAATAGGTCTTATTGAGTGTTTAGTTCGCCCAGTTGGAAGTTTCTTGCCACATATGAAGGGGCTCGAGCTGTCATTCATTCGCATAGTTTCTATATGAGAGCCCCCACTTTCAGTGGACTTCGGGGTGGTATCATTACCATATTGCTTTCGACTAAAACAAGAACGGTAGGTATCTACGCGGCCGTGGTATTGTAATAACCATGCCTATTTTGTATCAAGAAAGATAGTGTTGGGGTTTATTCATATCTAACCTTTCTAAATTCTCCTCTGCACCCAGTCAACCAGGATATTCCTTAACAAAGGCCACATCATCCACACCATAACAGAACTATGTCATTCGGCAAGCTCTTCGGCTTTGAGGCATGTATTTACAAGCTCCAGCTTATCATATAACAAAATTAACTCAAAATGACAGGGCAATGTCCGTACAAATGTTCAATTGGTCATTGCGAAAGCAAACAACCTCGATATCGAACTGGTTGTTACGCACCCACGGACCAAGGACCCGGAGTATCTGAAGCTGAATCATCTCGCCAAAATCCCGACTTTTATTACTCGTGATAGTGTGGTTATTAAGGAAGCCATTGCCATTGCCTTTTATCGTATGATGAACCAATTTCTTTATTTCTCACAATTTTTATTCTGATTTCCCCATGAATGCAGTTGCATCCCAACAAAACAAAGAGATGTGGCTTGGTGAATCCATCGAAGAGCAAACTTTCATTCTTCAATGGATGTCGTACGCCAATAGCGAAATTTCACCTCCCATTGCAGACTGGTATCGACCATTAGTGGGAAAAGCGCCTTACGATGCGGAGAAGGTCAAAACCAGTAGAATCGCTACGTTGCGGGCAGTTCAACTGCTGGAACAGCACCTGGGCTCTCGCTTGTATCTGGTGGCGGAGCGTTTGACACTCGCGGATATTTTCACGGCATCGCTTATTTGTCGAGGTTTCGAAAATGTTTTCGATGCGAAATGGCGTCTCGAATACCCCGCAACCACTCGCTGGTTTAACAACGTTATTCTGCAACCTGTTTGGAGAGACACCATAAAGAATACGCCAATTTGTGAGGTTTCGGTTGATACCCCACGGAAGGCGAGACTATAGAAAGAATACTGCTTCTAATGATTTTTTTACTTGTCATCGTTATGCCCCTCTTTAGCCACTCCCTAGGGCGGTCATACATGATTTATTATGCTTTTCCCATCATTTATCTATCCGTTCTAGAGATGAGCGTAGATAAGTATATACAGAAAAAATAATGTCAAAGCTTAGACTCGTCCCGGATTCTCCTGGACAATATCTCGTACTCCTTCACTTGCTGGCTCCCAGCTTTGAAAATCGATGCTGAATCCCCAATGCCGACAAAGGCCTTCCAACCCTGCCTGATTCTTCTTTCCAGAACATCCGGCGTCGCTGCAAAACCAAGCACTGCCAGTCCATTTGCGTCAGCCGCGCGCTGGATTTTATTCAACGCTGAGAGAAACACAGGTTCATCGCCATCGGGACTGCCACGCGGTAAACCCATAGAGAACCTGAGATCAGTAGCCCCAACCATTAGGGCGTCCACTAAAAATTCACACCAAGTTACATGTCAGTCGAGTTGAACAAGGAAGACTGGGGAAAAGAAAAAAAAGGTGTACCTCCGGGCACTTTGGCAATGTCCTCAATATTCTTCACGCCCTCCACATCTTCGATTTGGCAAAACACAGCCGTATGGTTATCCCACACATCAAACACGGTCTGCCCGGGTTCTGTTCGCAATTGATCGCCAAACAGTGCCGAGGGCGGATAACTTCGAATCCCAATGGGGGGGAACTTCGTCAACTGGACCAATCTTTCAGCCTGTGCAGCGTTTTGCACGTGTGGCATGATGATTCCACCAGCTCCGGCATTCAGAGCGTAGGTTATTAGATCCGTGGAGTTTTCGGGAATCCGGACGACGGGGACCATGGAGCCATTGGAGAACTGGTTGATTATTCGTACGATGCTTGCGAGCAGAGTTGCACTTAGTGGAGTATGCTCCTGTAACAGGGGGGATAATGTTCCTGATTAACAAAACCAACAGCAAAAGAATGGGTAGAAACAAAAATAAATGGCACTGCGCAACTTACGGCATCGATGAAACAAAAGTGATGGGGAAGTGTGGCAACAATTCTCGCGGCCTCTTCATGAGGTATTCGACAGGCTGTGCCCCAGAGCAACCCCTCGGAGGACAACATTGCTCGGAAATTGGTTGGTTGCGCGAGGTTGAGTGCATTATAGCGCTTTGTATCTGCCATGGTGATTGTGTGCCAGCGTGGTGCAAGGTGATAGAAATGTTGTAAAATGGGAAAGACAAAGGTATTCTTAACTAGAAAATCTAAATGCGCAATATTCGCTTCACGTCAACTTACCCAATTCTATAGATACGTACTACGTAACTAGCTCGGATGTTGAAATAATACGGAAGGTTCTTCATGCAGAACAATTCATCATTATTACAGAAAGAAGTATCTTCCTCGCTTCGTGTGATTAATCCAGCTCTCCCGCATTGGTGGCGTTTTTAGCAGCTTCGTGGCTAAAAGTATATCTCAGCCTAGATCCATGTGAGCCGTGCTGGATCCACTCGAGTTCAAATCAGAAGTCTTCATTTGTTCATTATTAACTTACAATGCCGAATACTCCCTCGGACGGGACAAGAACCTCACCTTTTTGCTGCCTACCAAATTGAGTCGGAAATGCCACAAGGTAGCTTCTGGGTAAAAATGCCGCAATCGCATCATGTTTGGTTCTCCGGATCGCGCTGATCAACAACATGTGGGGGCTGTGTGGGTCTTCCTGGTGAGTATTTACACGTCTGTCGGCACTCTCAACACTGTATAATTCCCTACTAGGAAATTAACCATTCGGGCAGGTAGCGGGCAAAAGTCTTTACTAGTTTCGCGCTAAGGGACCCGAGAAACCGGCTCTTGGCAAAGGAAAAGGGGCTTTTTGGGTGTATCGATCGATCAGAGAGGTGCTTTCAGCTGTTCAAGGTAGCCCACTCTAAGGTAGGTTGTCAGTTGTAAAACACACCTAAGAATGAATGGGATTATTCAGCGTCGATTAGACATCCTTGTGTGCCTAAGAATTAGGGCATAGATGCATCTCGGTTAGGTATGCAATAATATATCTTATAAAATTATGCACACAGATAAGATAGATCAGAGGAATCAGAGCTACGCAAGCTGAAGCGAATGATGAGATGTGCCGAAGGAAAAACAGGTGGATCTGCTAAGTATGCACGATCACTAATAAGGAGGACGATCACTCTATAGCTTCTACTCCGTACTCCGTACTGATCAGCGCGATCTGGAGAGAAGCAGAAGGCAGGTCCCACCGACAGTAACTACATGCTCCACCGATTGGTGGGTCAGTGCTAAAATACTCCACTAGTCGGTGGAGCATGTAGTTACTGTCGGTGGGACCTGCATCCTCGAAGAAGGAGGGGAGAGAAGCTACCCTGCGGCATTTCCGATTCGATCTCTTCAGCAGTTGATGTGGCTCCACTTAGTGTCGTCAAAATCAAGCTCCATTGGATTGGGCGGAGACTCGTATTACGATGTGTCGATCGGGAAAATGTTATTTTACCACTAAGGACAGGCTAACTCAGCGAACTACCCACTCCTCTAAATGTTTTTGTATTAATCGGGTCGACTCGGAATTCCTGTGTTATACCATGCCAATACTAGCCCCTGACGGTCTCCTAGATAGTTCTTCAATCAAGTCACTCAATTGGTTGCCTCAGTACTAGTGCATGCGGATATCCTGTGATCCGACACGATGAACCGAATAAAGACTACTACTTGGTGCATGTACTGTTATGGAGGAAGTTACATGGCGGAACTGAAATGTCACGGACATGGATCGCCAAGATGGACATGTCTCTTGGAAATCAAACCTAATTCCCCAGGCTGCAGGATCAACTTTGAGTGAGGTAAGAGTGCGCCATCCCAGCCACAATGAAATCATAATCACCAAAATTCCGATGGGCAGCTCCACCCCCTGTGGTGACTCTACCGAGTAGAGGTGAAATTTAATATTCTTTTCGCATGTGCCTGTGCCCAGAATATAGGAATAATATCATTAGTATCTCAGCAAGAGGGGTGTTATCAGAGTAAGCTGAAGTACATCATTAATTGCCTCTTAAGGACAAAAGGTCAAGTTAAATAGTGGGTTCAGCCACCACTGCCCAGCCTGAGAAAGGCCGTGCGTGTCCTCCGTCGATACAATAACGCATGGGTCTGGTGGTTATTCTTTTGAATTTCTTTTTTACACCCGGGGTACTTATGGGAAAGGTTTATCGAAATAAACCTTTGTCTTTTGACACTTGACACCAACAACCCTTCTAGGTCAGTTTCATTTACTTCCAGGTATCTCCCAGTTCAAGATGGTCCACCCTTTTGCCAATGTACAAGATATACAGCTAGGTGAGTTTGTTACCCCTGAACATTATTGCGACATCCATTCTCACAAGAGTCCATGATAGAGAGTTTGAATTCTTTAGGCGCTCAGTTTAGATGTGATCCCGCCCCAGAGAAAACTAATCTTATGGTTGGTGTTTTCAAGTCCGATAATGGCGGCCCTCATGTCCTCTCGTCTGTCTCTCAGGTAATATTGACGGTGTTCTTTTATATGTACCGAGTAGAAACAAAAAAGAAAGTTCCTGATTATGTATTACTAGGCAAAAGCAAGGATTTTCAGCAACTCCAATTGGCATCACGAATACCGTGGGACCCATATTGGCAGCCAAAGGTTCCGAGATCTTGGTGCGCGCTTGTTTTTTGGCGAGGATAGCCATTTGATAAAGGAGAATAGGTAAGCCTGTTATATCTGTATGCAATCAATCGGATTAATTGAATCCATTGTTTGTTTCGAGGTTCCTGACATATATTGACTGTTTTCAATCATTGACAGGGTTATATCCATGCAGTCGTTGGGCGCAAGTGGTGCTTGTCATATGGGAGCGAAGTTTCTGAAAGATCACTACGGCCCATGGACTAAAAGTGAAGCGCAGGTCTTCATCCCACAAGAATCCTGGGGTATGTATGAATTCTTCTAATCGGTCATGAATGCTTTTAGAGACTAGTCTCATCTTTCCCGGTCAGGTAATCATCCCAATGTTTTCGAATATCTTGGAATCAAAGTTTCATTAATCCCCTATTTCGATCATGAATCCAGTACGTTCGACTACAATGCGTTTCGAACGGCTATCGATTCAATACCCCATGGATCAGTTCTCGTCATGCAGAGCGCGGCTCAAAACCCCACGGGATGTGATCCCACACTCGGACAATGGCATGAGCTTGCCTCTCTATGTCGCGAACGAAACCACCTCGTTATCTTCGATGTAGCCTACCCTGGCTTCGCAAGTGGAGATGTCGAAACCGATCTTCAAAGTGTTCGGATATTCGCGAAGAGGGAAGTTCCCTTGGTTCTCGCGACAACCTATGGCAAATGTTTTGGGCTATACTGTGAGCGGGTGGGTGCATTGTTTGTGGTTGCTCCGGATGAAGGGGTGGGGAAGCGCATTGAAAAGCAGATGAAGTTTCTTGCGCGAGCGGAGACCGGCGCTCAACCGGATTTCGGGTCGTTGATTGTCGAAACGGTTTTGTCGGACGGAGACTTGCGAAGCTTATGGCAGAGCGAACTGCGGGATATGGCCGAGCAGTTAAAAGACAGGAGGGAACGGCTTCAACGAAGACTCGAGGATCTGAAGACTCCTGGGATATGGAGTCATATCACATTGCAGAATGGGATGTTCTCGTGAGTTATCTTTTATTCATTTTTTATTGCTCTCTTACGATCCCAAGGTCGACATGGCATGCATTCGCTTACAAGCTATTGTTCTGGTTCAGACATATTGGTTTCACTGGTGAGCAAATCCGTATCCTTCGAGAGGATTACCACGTGTATCTCCAAGATAATGGAAGATTATCTATTGCGTGAGTCCGCTGTTTTCTTCAGTCATCTTTGATGTTAGCCAGAAGTCTTATTTTTATGGATAGGGGTCTCAACTCAAGCAACTTGGAGCACGTTGCTAGGAGTATACACGCCGTCGTTACGGCAACCAAGTAACTAGATTCCAATGGATTTGGATAGGTAGACAGAATTTTTCAGTATCCATATTATATTCGATTGAGTTGTCAAAAGATGGATTATCCAAGGCCATGATAACGTGCTCGTATACAGTAAATACGAGCATACTCCAGAGATACAGTTGACTGGTCTCATTCACACCCAATGTTACGGCCAAAATAACTCGTACAAGGGATGTATGTTGGCTTCGACAGAAACCAAAAAGCACCCCTCCACCGGAGAATAAGAAAACATGGACACACAGACCTGCCACAGGGTCGAGGCCCTTAAGGTTGGGTTGGCCCAGCGGAGGTCACAATTCGCATCCCTTGATCTAATGCAAAACTTGCAGTACGGAGTAAAGCACAAAGTATCACACGTTACCGACAGTACTGAACAGTATTGAACTAAAGTAGAGGTAGTGGATCCCCACGGGTTTATGTAACACCCATACATGGTCATCCACAGGGTTGGTACAGTTTAAATACAGGCCTGCTAACACGTGGAGTTATTCTTCCTCCGACTTGAATGGGGTAATAAACTACATAAAATCTATAATTTTTTTAAGATTGATCTCAGAGAACTATTCCCAAATCCTAGTGCTTTTGGTGGCGTTTGCAAAGTCTTGATTAATCACCCCTATTATTCGTAATAATCCCTTGCGGTCCTTGTGCCCCCGAATTATTATTGATCCGAGGTCTTAGTCTTGAACGGGACAAATTTCCAAGTAACAATTTACTCCGCCATTGCAACCAAGGACTGTCTTGTCTCGACTTGAAGTGAAAGGACGAATGTATCCTTGTTCAGCAACCTTGGTTATATTCGATATTTTGCGGTTCTCTCACTAGAGGGTGTTCACATCCTTCCGATCGAATTCTACATATCAACCTTGATTCACGAAAGGGGAAGAAGGAAAAGAAAGGAAGATATTAAATTCTCACACCTGTTCAACTAATACAAAAGTGCACTCTTAACGTATTGCGTGAGTTTTCTTTCTACGTGAGCGGTGTTAACCGCAACGATGATGACGACGACTACGAATCTAATCTTGGCTCTACACAGAAAACATACCGACCGTACACGATAATAATGGCTCCCTCGACCGGATTCCGAGCGCTCATCAATACAACAATCGATGTCAAGCTCCTGTGTCTACAGCGTCTCGTTCGGCTCTACGCATTCGGAATCTCGTCGCTAATATTAGCCCTTCACCTCGCAAAGCTAGGGTTTTCGGAGGAGAGGATCGGGCTTTTCATGACTCTCACCTTGCTTGGGGATGTTTTCTTAAGCTTGGTGGTGACAGCGATTGCCGACAGAATCGGTCGGGCGAGGATGCTTGCGCTAGGATCTTTACTCATGGCATCCAGTGGAGTTATCTTTGCGATATCGAATAATTATTGGGTCTTATTATTAGCTAGCATTTTTGGAGTTATTAGCCCAAGGTACGTACATCTGCTTACTCCTTTCAACTCCCTGAGCAGCCAGGCTTACTAACATGAAAATAAAGTGGCGGCGATATCGGTCCATTCAAAGCGATTGAAGAGTCAATGATGGCTCAACTTGTTACAGCCGCCGACTTCAATGCCGTTCTCGCTTGGTATTATCTGCTTGGCGCCTGGGGTACTGCCGCCGGGGTGATGGGCACCGGATGGGTGATTCAAGTGCTTGAGCATCGCGGACTTTCTACCCTGGTGGCGTATAAATGCATGTTCTGCATGTATTCCCTAATGGGAGTAATCAAGTTGATTCTGTCGGTTGTATTGAGCAAAGCATGCGAAATGAAAGCAGAAAAAGATACAACAAATGCAGAGCGCGACCCACCAATTGCCACGGAGGCTCAGCCACTCCTGCCAAAGCCCGAACCCGAACGCGACATAAACAATTGGATAACACGCCTCTGCCCAACTTTGTGCAAGGAATCCAAGAAATTCCTCACCAAGTTCTGCTTCATTATCTCCCTTGACAGCTTTGGGTCCGGACTCGCGTCTAATAGCTGGTTGACCTACTTTCTCACCCTGAAATACGACATGCAACTGGGATTTCTGGGCTCCATATTTTTCGCCAGCAATCTTCTGGCGTCGGTTTCGAACCTCATCGCTATTCCCGTCGCCCACAAAGTCGGTCTCATCGCCACCATGGTTCTGGGACACGTGCCAGCTTCAATTGCGCTTCTTTTGCTACCTTTACTACCGACCGTATTCGGTACGGTCACTTGTCTTTTGATTCGATCGATTTTTATTGAATTCGATCAAGCCCCGCGCCAGGCGTTCTTAGCGCATGCGATATTGCCTGAAGAGCGCACAGTTGTCATGGGTGGGGTCAATGTGGTGAGGACGCTCTCGAGGAGTTTTGCTCCTTTTATCACTGGGGTATTAGGAGGGCGAGATGGAAAGGGAGGATATAAAGGAATAGGTCTGGCAATTTCCCTTGCGGGATGTCTCAAGCTGGCTTACAATGTTCTTCTTCTCGGCGCTTTTGGGGTTCAAGGTTAAAGCGGTATACTTGTATTTTTATTGATTTTATTCCTCAGGCTTTTCACGACCTTGGGTCGTATGCAGCCCCTTAGCTAGTGTGCACTGCACGGTTGAATATGTACAAGCCATCGGTGGATCCACTCGGTTGAAGCCAACCCAGCAGAAGAAATTTCTCACACTACGTATGTCATCTTCAACCTATCCCATTTCCACGTCTCCATTCGTTTCCTTGTCGATTTGAACCCGCCTCTGGCGTACTTTTGGCCGATAACTCATTGTGCGAACACTCGTGCCGAACACGTGAAGGTCTTTCGGGGCATCTGTCTTACACTCAAAGAACAGTAAAACAGTCGAGTCCGTGATCAATCGAGGTGTGGCCGCAACTTTGATCGATTCATACTCACAGACCGGAAGTCTAAGTGTAGATTCGTTAGATAGTATAGGATCGAGGGCTACAAACTAGGGCTAGGCTATACCATCCTAGACTATACACTTATTAAAGAATTTCTTCGGTGGTATAGTCACTTAGCGCGTAGGAAAAAAAGTAAAAAATAGACGGCTAGTAATAATTAGGCTTCTCCAGAACCCAATTGGACCCGGACCCAACCCAACCCAACCCAACTTTGGATTGGGTTTTGGGGCTAAACCTTAGACCTAAGCTGGGTTTTGGGTTATACTAGGTTACTTAGCCCGGCTAATGTAAATAGGAAGATCGTAAAAGGTAGGATGCTGATTCTAAGAAGTTGAAGCGGTTATAGGCAAAACAAGCCAAGGATTTAGAGATTGAACAGCAAGCTTAATGGGCAAGGGATTAGCTGAAGCTGAGTACGAAGCTTCAATGACGGCAAGAGATAGTGGAAACGGAAATTGGTATATAAATAGTAGTGGTGGTTACCTGTAAATAGTATTTAAATGCAGTTTGTTGAGGTTGAATTTGCTATCCGGTGCAGCCCACCAACACACTACCCGGTGTTGGTGGGCTTGGCACGGTTATCTTTCTTCTCTCTGGTTCCCCACCAGACCGTGGGTCGGTGATTCTAGAACCGGTCCATTTAGTGTTACACATAGCATACATTGATGGTTTAATACGATGAAATAGTGTGAATGTTGACATATGTTTTGGCTTTTGGGTTCATATGATGTATTATATAGGGTGCTAAGTATGGTTTAGTAGATGTCTAAAGGATTGATATTTTGGTAATGTGCAATAATAAATTTGCACCTATAATTTAGTAAACTCTGATGTTCAATTCACAGCGGCTAAATTCCACCTACTAACATAATCTTTACTTTAACTTTAGAGAAAGCAGCCGCAAGCAGCATTAGCATAATGAATTATAGGTAGTTTGATGTAGACAATTCTAAACTTTGAACACAAAAATAAACGCTGCCAACCATAGGCCTATCCGCCAATCTAACTTCATACTAGTAGGTCCCCATCCACGTCATATATATATATGTCAAAGCTGCTGAGGATTATGTTCTTGTGAGTCATAATTGTCTTTGTAACTTGTGACCATTCACTCTTTGTTCATTTCCAAGCTATGACGAAATCATGCGATAATTGCTGGCTGATGAAATGGCGATAGTGTACACACGAGGTCATATGGGTTTGATGCGGCGCTTGCTTGTGGAAAGTCCAAGTACATTAAGTCTACATAATAGCCGGATTCGGTACATACATGTAATCATCATACTTTTATCATAACATCGCCACAAATAGCTAAGTTATATATGAATGATGCACTCGCTCTAATTTAGGGGGTATCGCTACTACTTGATATTATCATTATACATTAAATACATGAGTATTCTTTTTGGTCCTGACCATGGAAGCCTTACATGAATTCTCTGCACCTCCTGGTGTTGCTGTGTCAAAGGGGGATAATATTCAACTTGAATACTTCGCCGATGGTGTTACCGTTTTGACAAAGGAGGCTGACGCAACCAATTGGGTCCACATTCCAATCACTGTTCCTAAGCGTCTCAACGGCAAAGACACGAAGTTGAAGAAGGTTGAAACCCGTTTTCAAGCCGGAGCAAACAAAGTCCAATGGATTCGCGTCATAGTAGACAACAAGGAAGTTAAAGAACAAAATAACCTGAGCCTGTCAGGCGCAGACGAAATTACATCAATAACATGTGATATTTCACCACCAGCCCCCATTGGCTCATCAGGAGTGATAATCTCATTCCGTGTCAATATTAAACTACTTGAGTCAGTTATTTTGGACGGAGCTATCGTCACTCTGTCAGACGCTTGAGTCGTGGGTCTCAATGTTCAAGTAAGCGCTGAGAACTCGTGTTATGGATTTAACATTGGCTAATATTTCGTAAGAATTTAGCTCCAGTCTTGAATAATTATTTTGTTTATTCTTTTAGTGATATTTCCAGGACTTGATATTGATAAAAAGTTGACCTTTATGATTCCCTTCGCTTGAGGATTTATTTCACTGGGACTTTAGTGATTTAAAAACAGGATAACACACAAAGCAATCTATTCGCTTAGGCAATAAGTTTTGTTATAGTTGTGTTTCATAACGTTTCCGTTATTGCGCCATCAGATTGAGAATTATTTATATTGGACAGTTAGCTAGTTAAATATTTACAAAAACACCTGTTCAGTTCGGTGACAGCTATATGCGAATCTTGATAGCATATTTCTTGATCCTGAGATTCTGGCCTTCCATGAGAAGTTGGTTTAGTCCGTTTGGAGTTTCTCCTCCATTTTCAGCCCTAGAGATCGAGCTCTCTCTACCAGCTGGCTCACGTCTTTATCAATCTTATCGCTAACTGTGCCTTTTCGGCCGGGGACTGGTGAGGTGTTGAAGTGAATCCACGTCATCTCGAACCATTGTCAAACAGAACAGGCTTTCGATAAATGGCGGTTCAGACGGTGAATCCAAAGTAATCACGGGTTATATCACAATCTAAAGTTGATAACGACAGTTCTGCCGCTGCTAACCGCCTATCGGGTTGAGACACTAGCAACGAGGGGTTGGTGCCTGAGGCATCCATTGCGGCCTGAGGCCACCACAACAGAATCATCAATGTTGTATATTTTTGAATTTTTTGTTTATTGCTCAATGAATTAGTTGAGATCGAAATACCCCAAAGGTGGTATGTAGCTGATCGAATACTGATTTCAACATAAAATGTCGATCAAAGCACCCTTAAATAAGAATGTTGGTTTTGGGTTATTGAGGTCAACACCACTCGGCCCCATTAAGGCGAGCTGACGGGCTGAAATCCTTATGATTTCCAGCGAATAGATAGGCTTTCCTACCGCATTATAAGTACAAGGCTAGATAATTTGCGGCACTATCAAATGTACCGTCCATATTCCGAAAAGCCTTGAGTCCGCTAGACACGTTTTGCATGTGCTACAGATACATCGAATTGGGGGCAAAGAAAACACCAACAGGATCTGCAGATTAATAAATGAGAAATCTTTATCAAATATAAAATACAAGAATAGCCGGCCGCTTATGCAGACTTGTCAAGTATTTTTTGGTGGTTTTTTATGGTAGTCTTCTCAGATAGTCTTTTCAGATGTCTGTTTTTATAAATGTTTTCTACCCCTTCTCAGTTTGTTAGCTAGATGGCGGAAAAAGGCGGAAAAAGGCTTAATTTGTGAAATGGTCTTTTTCTATGTATAACCTTTGATATCTGTAAATATCTTTTATTGTCATGGAACGTCTTCTGGCCCTACTTTGGTACTTTGAATTGGTATTTACCCTGATAGACTGGAGCGTCTCGGGTTGATATAAACCTGAGTATAGTCAGAGACCATACTTATTCAAATGTTATACTAGAGATCTCTTTCGTAAGCCCCAACTAGAGTATATATACGGAGTACTACAGTTACAGTTATAATTTAAACAAGTTAATCTAGCACAGTGCTAGTTGGGCACTGTGTTGTTACAATTCCTCCCAATCTTGGAAGCTTCTGGGATATTATGGAACAAAGAAAACTATGGTGTGATATGGGCCCCGGAGTCCAGGTTCGTGAGTCATTATGAGTGGCCAGTGACGGCCGCCTGTGATTGGCCAGACAATATAGTAAGAGAAGGAACCAAACAATACTTCATGTGGTTCACAATCCTCTTGTCGAAGCCTTCTGGAGCACCAGAAATCGTTTTCACTGTCGAAAAACCCGTGTTCTCGAGAGCCATACTATCAAAATGTCAGATCAAGGCGCAGGCGCGGGGGCGGGCGCTCCCTCCCCTGTGGCTCCCAGTCTGCAATTAAAAGAACACGAGAAAGAGATTCTCAAGCGCCAAATACACACTCCTGAGTCGCAGATGAGTCGCTTGGGGCTTTTGTATTCTTGTGCAACAACCTATGAGCTACTTGTCCTGGTCATCAGCTCAATTGCAGCGATAATTGGAGGGGCCCTTCAACCAATATCTTTTGTGAGCTGCTCTCCACAGACCTTCAATCTCCCAAGCTAATTTCCGTCATACAGCTCCTTCTGGGGGGCTTGGCCCAAGCATTTAAGGAGTTCTTCCTGGGAACGTCTTCGGGCTCTCACCTCTCATCTCTGGTCGCAAGATTCGCCCTGTATTATGTATACATCGCCATTGGACAGTTTGTCTCGGTGTACATCTCTACAGCCGGATTTATGATAGGAGGGGAAAATATAACCCAACGACTCCGAGAGAAATATCTCGCCGCTATCCTCCGCCAAAACATAGCATTCTTTGATGTCCTGGGAGCTGGAGAAATAACAACCAGAATTACTGCTGATATGAATCTGATCCAAGATTCTTTGACGGGCAAACTTTCTCTGACTCTCTACTCTTGTTCCAATTTTGGGACGGCTTTCATCATCAGCTTCGTGAAAAGCTGGCGCATGGCTCTTATTCTGATATCTGCTATCGTGGCAGAAACTGGATCTATGAGTATATGCTCTTCGTTTATGATCAAGTATACCAAGTTGTCTTTATCGGCATATGCAGACGGATCGACAGCTGCCGAGGAGGCTATCAGTTCAATCAGGCACGTTACAGCATTTGGGATCCAAGACAAGCTGGCCGATCGGTATCAGAAATTTCTCACCCAGGCAGAGGGTTATGGTCTTAGAAGTCGCATTGCTCTTGCGGTCATGATGGCCATCATGAATGGTGTCATATTCTGGACCTACGGACTGACATTTTGGCAAGGGTCTCGTTATCTTGTTGTTGGCGACATTGAATTGGGAGCTCTTATCACCATTCTCCTTGCTACGCTGACTGGGGCGTTCACGTTTGGTAACATAGCACCCAATTTCCAAGCGTTTGCAACTGGTGTGGCAGCAACAGGAAAGATTCTTGCAACCTTGTCCAGGGAGTCACCGCTGGATCCATCATCACCCACAGGAAGCAAGCTACAAGCTGTGTCTGGGACAATAGAAGTCAAGAACATTCGCTATGTTTACCCTTCTAGACCAGACGTACTGACTTTAGACGGGATAAATCTTCTATTTCCCGCTGGAAAGACGACCGCCATCGTTGGTGCTTCTGGCTGTGGGAAAAGTACATTGGCAGGTCTTATTGAAAGGTTTTATGAACCAATAAGTGGCGAAATATGTGAGCTTCTCCCCAGGTGAAAGATGGACTGCGCTAATAACGGCACAACAGTGCTCGATGGCCACGACATCACGTCTCTGAACTTGCAATGGTTACGCCAACAAGTAGCGATCGTCACACAACAACCTACACTCTTCGCCACGACTATATTCGAAAACATCAGATTTGGTCTGATAGGCACGGAGCACGAAAAATGCCCTCGTAATGTGGTAGAAAACCTTGTGTTTGATGCCGCAAAGAAAGCGAACTGTTTTGAGTTCATTTCTGCCTTACCGGATGGATTCCACACCAGTGTTGGTGAAAGGGGCTCATTACTTTCGGGTGGACAAAAACAGCGGGTTGCAATTGCACGGGCTATTATTAGCAATCCGAAGGTTTTGCTGCTGGATGAGGCTACTTCAGCTCTAGATGCCCAGGCCGAGCGGCTGGTACAGGCGGCGCTTGATGTTGCTGCTGAAGGTCGGACAACGATCACAATCAGTCACCGGTATGTGTTCAAAGTCTTAGTGTTGGGTACCTGATTCTTGACTTGCTCTCTCTCCTTCCCTCCTTCCTCTTTCCGTCCTTTTGCTCCCAGAGGATCGACTACACTGTTTTCTTCATTGTTCTTCACTGAAGTACGATCCTAATACTTAGAGATATGAATCTAATTATGTTTCAGGCTATCCACTATCACAGCGGCAGAAAATATTGTTGTTATGTCTCACGGACGTGTTGTTGAGCAAGGAACTCACAACGACCTACTTAAGAAACGATCAATGTATTACGAACTAGTGGAGAAGCAGCGCATGTCGATCGAAAGGAGTATCGTCATCAGTGAAGCAAAGTCTGCCCTCGACGCAGATCCTGAGCTGCCTGACTTGAAAGATGAGGGCAATGATTCCAAGGTATACACGTACGAGATGGAGCAGCACCAGGGAGCCGAAGACCTCGAGAGAAATTCCGAGCGGGAGGCTGGCGATCGTGAATACTCCCTATGGGAGTTGATCAAGTTCATCGCCAAATTCAACAAGGAAGAAACGCTTACCATGCTTTGGGGTCTGTTTTTTTCAATCGTCACAGGCGCTGGAAATCCCACGTAAATCTCCATTCCCACACGTGTTGCGGTGTAGAAGATTGATACTGACCATTTCCCTAGACAGGCCGTGTTCTACGGCAAGACAATCGCGGCAATGTCGTTACCCCCTGATATGTATGGAAAGTTACGACATGATGTCAACTTCTGGAGTCTGATGTATCTGATGCTGGGATGTACTGCATTCCTGGGCTGGGGAGCATCGGGTCTCTGTTTCGCCTACTGCTCCGAGCGCCTGATTCACCGTGCCAGAGATCGTTCTTTCCGAGCAATGCTCTATCAGGATATTTTCATGTTCGACAAAGCTGGGTTCTCAGCAGGTTCGCTTACATCCTCGTTGTCCACGGATGCCACCAACCTTGCGGGAATGAGTGGTGTGACCCTAGGCTCCATCCTTATTGTCTCAACTACTTTGGTTGCTGGTGTGGCTGTATCAATTGCGATAGGTTGGAGGCTGGGACTCGTTTGTACCGCAACCATTCCAATTGTTCTTACTTGTGGTCTCGTCCGACTCAAGATCCTCGGGGAAATAGCTCGACAGTCGAAGGCAGCGTATGAAGCTTCAGCAACTTATGCTTGTGAGGCAAGTTCTGCCATCAAGACGGTAGCATCGCTGAATCTCGAAAGCCATGTACAGGAAGAGTATCACAACATATTGGAAGCCCAGCGACAAAAATCGGTCGTTTCGACGCTCAAGTCATCAACGTTTTATGCAGCCTCACAGTCGGCCAACTTTCTCTGCATTGCGCTGGCTTTCTGGTATGGAGGAAATTTAATCATCCACGAAGGCTATTCTATGGTGCAATTTTTTATCGCTTATGCAGCTGTTGTCGTAGGCGCATTCAGCGCTGGGGCTATTTTCTCCTTCGCGCCAGATATGAGCAAATCTCGTCAGGCGGCCCAGGATATCAAAACGCTGTTGGACCGACCTGTCAACATCGACGCCCGTCAAGAAACTGGCGAGCTGTTAACGAAAATGGATGGCAGCTTGGAGATGCGAAATATCTATTTCCGATACCCTAACAGACCGGAGAGGGTGGTTGTTAACGGCCTCAGTTTGAGTGTTCAGCCGGGACAATACATAGGTCTTGTGGGAGCGAGTGGGTGTGGGAAAAGCACCATCATTGCTTTGCTGGAGCGGTTCTTTGATCCTGAAGTGGGACAGATATTGGTTGACGGGAAAGAGATTTCCAAGTTGAATGTCAAGAGCTACAGGAGTCAGCTTGCCCTGGTTAGCCAAGAGCCGACACTGTATCAAGGAACCATCAGGGAGAATATCACCCTGGGAACCAACGACGAGGATGTTTCCGAGGAGAAAATTACCAAAGCATGCAAGGATGCCAATATCTACGACTTCATCCTGTCTCTGCCGTAAGCCACCCCTTCCTTTTGCACCCTTCTCTGGCTTTTTCTTTTCTCTATATTACTTGATTGCACTGAAATGAATATCTACTAACGCTCGGCTCAGTGACGGCTTCTCAACGCTCATAGGAGCGAGGGGCGGCATGCTCTCTGGCGGGCAGCAACAACGAATAGCCATTGCGCGAGCGCTTCTTCGCGATCCACGTATCCTCCTACTAGATGAGGCAACTTCCGCACTCGATTCAGAGTCTGAAAAAGTCGTCCAGGATGCTCTGAATGCGGCGGCTCAAGGCCGAACGACGGTCGCCGTTGCGCATCGGATAAGCACGGTGCAGAAGGCCGATTGTATTTATGGTAAGAGAAGAAATATTCCATTTACAACTGTAGCGACTGACTTATGCTTGTAGTTCTGCATGAAGGTGATGTTGTGGAACAGGGAACGCACCAAGAGTTGATGGAGCTGGGGGGAAGGTATTTTGAGTTGGTGAAGTTGCAGAGCTTGGAGAGGTCGGACTAGAAAATGTAGACCTATGATCTAAGGATAGAGCGTCTGATATATATCCCCACGGGAATTGTGCAGCATAAGATAAAGTTGAGCTATAATACCGAGAATATGAATATAAGAGTATATAGTATAAAACTTAGAATAGAAAATTTAGACCCTTCTTTACGCCTTTTTCCCCTTCATAAATCTTGACAATAACAGCACACAGTGGCATTCAAGACAATGAAACTATCCGCTTGTTTATACTAGTGGTCCCTAGAGGTCAGTTAGTAGGAAGATGGTATAATTCTGAAGCGCTTTCTGACCTCATTGGAGAGATATGGGAGAGAAAGAGTCTCGCTGTCGATTTGGAGACTACCTGGGTATTTTCTTGTTTCTGATAGTTAGCGAAATTCGTATCATAGCAGCACGGGGTAGACATGCCGGGCTTATCACACTACGACAATACAAGGTGGTAAAATCCACACCGTGGAGAGGAGTTCTCTATGTGTGACCACAGGGATAACGACAACAAAATAGCGGCTCATTTCTGTTGAACTATGCCTATATGCCTCAGTCATCCTATAGATACCTTTGATGCCATTCAGGCCTTTGTTCAGGCCTTTATATAGTCATCCTATTGATGACTAGTTTGCTTGCAGACTGAGCGTTTCTTTGTTAGCTCTAGGGTATAAATGCCCTGCTTTTGATACACAGAATAGATCATGATTCCTCTTCTCTTCTCTCTCCCATAGTCCTTTGCCAGAACCCCTAACAATTTCTCCCTTTGTTTCTCTCTTTCTTCCTTATATCTTTCAGTATGATTCGCGCTTAGTGCTCACCCAAAGCCTAGCATTATATTAATTAATTATATTAGTAAAGAAAGACAGAGAAAAAAAAGATTAGAGAAAAAAAGATGGGCCCGAGCCCGGGATTGAACCGGGGACCTCGCGCATTTGTGCTTTGGGTGAACCCCTGGAGATATTTGTTAGTAAATTGACAGATGAATTGAGTTCATTAGGGTATGCTTACTAAGCGCGAATCATACCACTAGACCACCCGGGCAGTTGATATGTCAAGTTTTAAAATTTGCCCATATGAGGTAAATCTTTCTCTTTCTTAGACAGAATCGGCTCACCTCTCACTAACTATTGGCAACTAGTTAGTATATGGAGATACAAGCCAGGCAAATCTCCTTATTTGGTTCTCACCTCCTTCTTTCTTTATCTTTTACTTTATTCTTTAGCTCTGTCAAATTTTTTTTCTGGCGGCCTGAGGCCGATACATGCATGTAATTTGTTTTGGGAGTGAGGTGCTTGCTATATCGACTCCCCCCTCCTTTCCTTGACATCTGAGGTTCACGTTCCTAATTGGCTAAGTTAACTAGTTAGTTAACTAACTAGCACTTGCCTTTGTTTTCTTCTCTGTTTTCCTTTCTCCCATGAGCGGAGATTTCCATTTTTTTCTTGCAGTATACTGCTTTCTCAAGGACCCGCCCAATATCACCGTCTGTACTGGTCATTTCTAAATCCCACATCTCCTCGGCATGAAGCCCCAGCCGGAGACATTTCATTTGTTCGGGGCTCTGTGTGTCCCCGACCCTAGAAGATGCTTACTCTCGGAAGATCAGCCACCTAGGCACTAGCGGATCGAGCAATTTCGCTCATACGCGACTTTGAGCAAACCCTTCCGGTGAGTATCTATCCTAATTTTGCATGATATGAATTCAGTCAGGCTCACGTTTATTGAGATACAGCTAATAAATATCCTTGGGACATTGATTCTGCGCACCATCGACTGGTGAAAGATGAATTGCCTAGTGGAGGGCTAAAAATGTCGAACGACCCGAAGAGTACATTGTTCGTCCAAGTGACTCGTTAGATGTCTCGGTGGCTTGCATTCTGTTTAATCCCACGTTTTCTGTCAAATACCCTTGTCTGAGACCTTTGACACATCGAACGCGACAATATATCAAATGGAACGAGCCGGATTCAATCCTATTAATACGTTATTTGTCGACCAAGTCGCTGGGAGAGACATTAGCCAAACTGTCGGGGCCATTTTGATGAGAATCTACTGTGGTGGAGATCAATGGAGAAACAGCATAGTCAGATTCTCTGGGAGCAAAAGGACGGAGGGAGAGAAAAGGAGAGAGAAGGAGAGAGAGAGAGGAAGCTAGCTAGCTAACTACTATTGGGATCTGTCCCAAGTGGGGCTGCTGCCTAAGGTAGAATAAGGCACCCAACACATTTACCCCGATGATCTTTGGCAGATTCATGAGAGGTTCTTGAGGGATATTTGGGACAATATGCGAGCAGTTGTGGTAATATGCTGGGAATCAGCCATTCGAAAGCGTCTACTGGGCACTTCGAAGAAACTCGGTTGGTTTCAGGAGTTTGTAGTTGTGAGGCTTTGGGGCCGCTTTTACCGGTATCGAAGTGTTTTTGGAGCTCAGCCCGAACAAAAAGTCAATGAAGCGATTCGTACTATTTGTGGAATACCCTTCCTATTTTTTCTACATTCAAAGTGACAAAGATTGCGCTAGGAAACTGCGACGTAAACAAGGAAGACCTCAGGACAGGGCTCTAGAGGTTGCCGCAAAATTGGGTCGAATCCATATCGAAGCCCAGTTCTACGCACTTAGCCCCAGACTATGTGTGAAACTAACTGTACCACATGGGGTGACTATGGAGAGGGAAGGCTGGAAGTGAGAGGCGGCAGCACAGCTACAGTGCCTTTCCCTCTGTAGTGCTATCGCAGCAAGAGTCCCATCAGATCCGTAATCCGCAAAGGCGAGACCCAAACAGTCTTGATGATATTGTTTCGCTCATAAACCAGTTCATCATATTCGAAATCTGTGTGGATGGGCCTCTTCGGGAACCTGACGCTTCGAGTGACCCAACTGAGATTGAGGTTCGAGACAAGACTCGGGTATTATTCACGCAACAGTCGAGTTACTGAACTAGAATATTTGAGTCTCTGAGACTTGATGGCGCCACCGCTACCTCCAGAATATCGGTTCTTTTTGGGGGGGGGGGGGGGGGGGGGGAGGGAGAGGATCTAGAGGATCTACGACGAAATGTAGGATACTCTGGAAAATCTCCGAATGCGTGGAGAGAGGAAGAAACTATCTACAGGCTATCTGGGACTAAAGGCTAGGAGCAAACAGGGAGGCCACGTTACTTCTGACATAATTGAAAGAGATCATTGGGGGATCTAGATCCCTAGTAGTGTCTGGTGAAATAACTGCTGAGAACGTCGAATATTCCTTGACCACAATAGACGATATGGAAGCTATTGACAAGTGGCAAAACCTGCCGGCGGAGATAGTAGCACTCACTTATACACGACTAACTGGGTCTTAAGTTCAACATAAGGTCATTGAATTCTCGTCAAGTTCTAGAAAGGGTCCTGCGATTTACTTCCACGGTTTCTTTCTAGTATGGGACGATGCTCCAAAGGCATTGGGAATCGGTAACCTCGCTATGTCGGTGATTCTTGTGTACGGCAGGATGATCGATTTTTGTTTATTTCCCTCAAACCGTTTGACAATTAGGTGCGCTGTTCCGCAGCAAACGTGGATCGAGTGAGTAAAACGACCCGCTCTAAGGTGGGCGAAGTCGAGGCTTGCGGCCGGCGTAGCCGAATTCCCTTCCTATATTTAGCGGGAGTAGTATTTAGTGGAGTTGGTATCTTACGGATTGGGAGAAATACTATATAATTTTTAAATAGAAGGTGTTTGGATATATTCCATGGATGAAGTTATTATATATTTTGAGCTACTAGATGGCGGGACCACGCAATATAAGGTTTAACTGGACTTTGCGGCCTTGACTACGCCTATATATAAGATAGGAGTCTTATATCGTAGCGTTGGAGGTGCCCTTCTAGTTGTTTGAGCGCCCCCTCAGTGCGACTCTCAGCCCAAGTACTCCGGTTGTACTCCGTGGACAAAAAGCAAGCCGATTCCATCGAGAGACAAAGATATTTGCCTCATATAAGCAAATATTGAACCTAGACATATCAACTGCCCGGGTGGTCTAGTGGTATGATTCGCGCTTAGTAAGCATACCCTAATGAAGTCAATTCATCTTTCAATTTACTAACAAATATCTTCAGGGGTTCACCCAAAGCACAAATGCGCGAGGTCCCCGGTTCAATCCCGGGCTCGGGCCCATCTTTTTTTTGCCTTCTTTTTTATTTTAGTAATATACTTAATTAATATAATTAATATAATGTTAAGCCATATATAACTTCCCCCCACCTAGTGTAATTATCGGCCTGATTAAAAGAATATATAAAAGTAAGCCGATTCCATTCAGAGACAGAAGTATTCCCTTCATATAGGCAAATACTGAAACTTGACATATCAACTGCCCGGGTGGTCTAGTGGTATGATTCGCGCTTAGTAAGCATACCCTAATGAGGTCAATTCGTCTTTCAATTTACTAACAATATCTTCAGGGGTTCACCCAAAGCACAAATGCGCGAGGTCCCCGGTTCAATCCCGGGCTCGGGCCCATCTTTTTTTACTCTCTTTTACTGTCTTTTATAATCTTTTTATTTTATCATTATAATTAATATAATCATAGGTTTGTATAATACCCTTATGAATGTATATATGTTGTGAAATAGGTGAACTAATAAGAATACTGGAAACATCTTACGATTTAATATTGTGTTCCATATCGATATTGCCATGATAAGCTAGCTGGGAAGGATCTATTACCCTCGTAAATTGTGGACAATTTGCAGCCCTCTCTAGTCAAGGTTCAGATATATAGCATGCTAAGTGGTAGAAATATTCTCAGATAAAGCGTGGTAGTCGCAGCCGATCTCGAGAGGTCCTTATACGCTGAATAGGATACGAACACGATATACGGAGGCTGTAGTGCGCTTCACGTGTTTGAGGAGCGATTCGCTAGGGCATCATTACAAGGGATACGTCGTGGGTCACATCTCTCTCTAACTGAGCCAAAAGAAATACCGCTACAAGATCATCCCAGAAGCCTATCATAGCTATGAAGACATTTGTAACCTACTAACTCCCCTATCAATGGCATAAATCGGATATTTATACCTAAAATTGGAGGAGGGTAACAGAGGCCGAATCTAATTAACGGGGCCCGGGATCGCATTCTACAACTCGACTAAAAGAGACACTATAGCTTAGACTTCGATATTCCTAAGCACCTATATATATACCTGGATACTCAACAGAAACCCACCATATATATACATATTTCAAATAAATATATTAAAAAAAGAAAGATAGGTCAGATGCTACGAAGGATCGGAAAGGAAAAAAAAGATGGGCCCGAGCCCGGGATTGAACCGGGGACCTCGCGCATTTGTGCTTTGGGTGAACCCCTGAAGATATTGTTAGTAAATTGAAAGACGAATTGACCTCATTAGGGTATGCTTACTAAGCGCGAATCATACCACTAGACCACCCGGGCAGTTGATATGTCAAGTTTTAAAATCTGCCTATAAGAAAGGCAGGGGTAAAGGGGGGGGGAGAGTTAATCAGGGGGCATTTTTATTTATTAATGACAAGAACACTCAGTCGGCCGCATAAGCGGGCATGTGACGCCTTTTTGGTTAGTTCTTATTTTTTTTAAAGATATCTTATCCCCCTTCTCAGTTTCCTAGATAGACGACAGAAAAAAGTCGGAAAAGGCTCAATTTGTGAAATGGGCTTTTCTATGTGTAACCTTTGATTAAATTGATTGATTATTTACAAGAATAGTCGGCCGCTTATGCGGCCTCTGTCTTTGACGACCTAAGACTTTAACAGTCTGATCTATTAGGGCCAAGATGGTATTAGGGATGTAATATGTAAGAACCATCCGAAGTGCTTTTTGGAAGTGCTTTTTGGAAGTGCTTTTTGGAAGTTCTTTTCATGTCTTTCTTGATGCCTTTTTTGACGTCTTGTTTGGTGTATACGAAGGCGGTAAGAAGCATACAGTCAGTGGACATAAGTTTCTACATCCCAATAGCCCCATCCAGCTCACCGCCACTATAGATTTATACCGCCTACCGAAAGCGGGTGGTATGCACCATACTAGATTTGAATTCATGGGGGTTTTTGACCGGCGGTATATTATATAATCATGGGGGTGTAGGGCCCAGGGGTGTAGAAACATATGTCCAGTCACTGTACTTTATACAGACCACTTTTCTAATATAACCTTTGATTGATTGATTAATGAATTTAAAAAAAATTAAAGGGGATTGTTCGACACCCTGCCTATAAACCCGGTACCGCCTTCTTAATTAGAATTCTGCCAATATTTCTGCCCACTTCAAATTCTGGTTTACATAGCAAAAAAAGACCAAAAAAAGATGGGCCCGAGCCCGGGATTGAACCGGGGACCTCGCGCATTTGTGCTTTGGGTGAACCCCTGAAGATATTTGTTAGTAAATTGAAAGATGAATTGAGTTCATTAGGGTATGCTTACTAAGCGCGAATCATACCACTAGACCACCCGGGCAGTTGATATGTCAAGTTTCAAGATTTGCCTATGTCACCCTGGAAAATGTCTTGATTGCCGAAAGTCCACTTGGTCATGTTGTCTGGGCGCACCCTATTATGACAGATTTGCAAGGTGCCCGATATCCCCCTTAACACCATCGAACTCAAAAACAGCAAAATTTCCAATCTACACAAGTATGGCTTGTCCATGAGTTTATTCAGCACCTCTAGTGATCTCCGCAATACCGCCTGCAACTTCGACTCCTTTAGGACCTGTGCCTAGGTATTATACCAGTACATTATCTAGGGAGCTACATGCGGGATAGCTACTAGATTTTCAAGCTACGAGCTGTAAAAAAACAGGATATCCAGGCAGCCTTTTCGTGCATAACCCTTAGTTCTACGAGGAAGTTGCTCTATTTCACCTATTATTCCTTGTCGTATAGCGTGAGTGGTCCATACAACCATAGGTATTATTGAATTTGGCCTAGCTTTTCCTACGGTCCCTCAATCATTTCTAAATATTTTAGAGTAGAATCATAACCACTGACTCCAATACCCAAGCATAAACTGGATCAACATGCTCTCGGACTGGTCAACACTTTTAGATACCTCCTCGCCACTGCTCTCTTTATATCTGCAAGAAAGCCCGGCTCTGCACCTTTCTAGTGGAAAAGTATTTAGCGTCATGGCGTGGTGCTTTACGTACGCCCCTAGTATATGATGGCTCTTCGAGAAGACTCGCCTTCCTATTAAGCTAATTTGTCTCAGATACCTAGATCCCTACGTAGTGTTTTTGGGATATCTATTAACATCTAATTGGTACATTGACATCACCAGATTGATCAAATCCAACTTAACAAGATTCTGCTCCAAGGGGATTCCCAACGCCCAACGAGCCCAACCCTTAGAGCCAATCCTTTTCCGAGTTACGGATCGTGTCGCGTCGCACACATCGCCCTTAAGGCTGCTAATAATCTAACTACTTGTCAACTTGCCAGGAAGAGAAGTGTAGTTGTTGGATCATGCCTACATGCCTCAGTCATGGCTTGTTTGCTTGCAGACGGAGCGTTTCTTTGTTAGTTAGGACATAAATACCCTGCTTTTGATAGATTGAATACACAATGATTCTTCCCTCTCTCTCTCCTTAGGTAGTAGCCACAAGAGTAGTCAAGATGATCAGTATTATAAGCTAACAGAGGACTGGAGGTGGAGAGAAAAAAAGAGGGGAGGAAGGAAGGGGAAGCCTTCACCTCCACCAACAAGCAAATAAGAGAAACAGGTAGGTCAACACTACTTAGTGGTCATACTGCATCTATTTTGCGCTTTTTGTCTGAGTTGAAATCTTCGGCAGGGATTAAGGTACCGCAGTCGTCCGTGTAGAAAGAGCCGGGCTGTGAGATACCCCGAGGAAGGGTTATGGTCAATGAACTCACAACAACAAACTGCCTTGGCCTTGTAATAATCTCTGCAACGCCTTCACCCTCCATCCAGTGAACGAATGAGTTGGCCTTATAGAGATCTCTGACCGCATTTGAAGTCACGTAGTATGATGTTTCCAAGGCATCCTTTGTGTACATGACGCAAAAAGCCAACCGTGACCCAGGATCCGTCGCGAGCGTTTCTTGCGCCCATACGTGTGGATGTCGCTGGCCGGGTGGCTTAATCTCGGCTCTAACAATGACTTCCCGCGGAGGCTCCTCAATACGAAGAAAAAGATGAATGCATGAATGTATTGTTACAACAAACATTCCCTGCCCTCTCCGAGTCCCGAGATATTTGCGGCCTTGTAAGAGTTCTTCTCGAGTTTTATTTCCAACGGTGAAGCTTCGATCGGAAGCACCAGCACGGGGCTTTTTCCTTTCCCATGGAGTGACTTGGGTCTCGGTGACAAGTGTAAAGGTTCCATGGTCATCAACACAAATCCGAGAAGTTTCCAGGTCTTCTCTTTCAAGAACATCAGCCTCCCCGACATCATCTTCCAATTCTTCCTCCCTGGATCTGACATCCTGGATTAAATCATCGCTAGGATGGTCAAAATCAACCGGTAGCTTCTTACTCAATTGGCAACAGAGATCCCGAACAGCTTCAAGTTGCGCTTTATCAATCCTAAACTCTGGGGCATGGCGTTTCTCTGATCTGCGGAATGAGCTCATAGAGGACGTCGTGGGGGTATTTTTAAAATGACGTGGGCTTATATGTAGCAAGACGAGGATTGCGTTGCTGAGACTCCCGCCTCCTTTTTCTTGCAAGAGAGAGATGTCTTCGTCTTTCGCAAATCCTCTACGTGTAAGCCATAGGCGAGTCATTGGGTGAAGAGTTTCGAGCGTTAAAGGTTCCTGAATTCCTTTCCGTTCATCCATGTAATCTCGGATGGCCTTTGTCAGGACGCATCCATTATCACCGGCGTAGGGGCGAATACCGACTGTCATGGTGATAGCAGATGTGAAATGAAGCGCCTCGGATATTTTGTGAGTTTTGCGCCATTCTCGGTGGAGAAATGCATCAATTGGATTAGGTATCAGAATATAGACCCGTTTGATAGCTTCGTTTTCGATCTCAAGAAACATAGGAAAATCCCCAGCTTCTAGCTGAAGGCGAGTTTCCTCGCGCTCTGTGGGTAGAACAAGATCCTGCACTGCACGTCCACACATAAGAACCACCCGTAATCCACTATGTTGGATAATTGATTGGTTGAACCGAATAAACGACTCAGTCTCACTCTCCTGGGTTGACCGGAAGAACTGCGTCATTTCAGTCAAATCTCTCTTAATAGGGTTTGCAGCCCAGGTGAGGGAGTTCTTCATGTTCCAGCCACTATCCTGAAATTGGCACGGAATAGATATCTTTGTGTTGCTTGTGTATTCTGATTCTGCATCAAGAAAATCTTCCAGTGCAAAGCCGACCAGCGCTTCAAACTTTCCGCTAGGCGGGACCCAGGGAAGGCCTATCGGCTCTAGGTCTTCTTGTAACTGGCTCAAAAGCCCGAAATTGTTTGAAGCTGAGTGTGGTAGGGATTCACTGCCACAGAAGGACTGCCTTAGCTGGAGATGCTGAATTGCGTCTTGAAACCGGGCATGAAACTCAGAGGATCGCATTAGCGGGCGCTGAAAGATGATATTGGGCTTCTCAGCCTTTTTTCCGTACTCGTAACGGAATTGGGTCCATCCATTGATGTCGGGATCTGGGGATTTTTCCAAGCCAAGGGAGAAGGACTTTCGTACTGAAGGTCCAAGAGAAAGTCCTTGGAGAACAGGAGGAATGATATTTAACCCAAGATTGGAGTAAGGTTTCCCATCCTCCCTTGGCCCATAATAAGCCTCCAGAGTGCTCCCTGGAAGTGATTGAAAAGCGCAACACATCGTCATTTCCAGGACATTGAGAGCTACGGCTCGAGAGGTGCATGATAGCTGAGTATCCGCTGGTACTTCCCAGAGCTTAAGCCAGTTCGCTGCCCGATACCCTTGTCCCTGCGCAATGACATAATAATGCAGTGTGCTCCTAGATCCGCGCAGAATTGCCCGATTGTGGATTTTGATACGACCTGGTGGTTCCTTAGACTGACCAGGATAGGCACGCCAGTATTCGTTGTTTCTTGAGTCTGTGACGATGTCCACGTAGCCTCCATTTGGGCTCCAAATATTATTCTGACGTGCCTGGACACTAAGAAGACTGGAAGATGTCAGAAACCATGATATCCAAATTAGGGGTCTAACATACTCTTCTGTCCGAAGGAATCTACCCTCAAGTGTCCTAATATGAGGATCAACCCACTACAGCAACATTTGGGCTATCTTCTGTGGACCTCCATGACCTGTAATCACAGAATGGTATGGAAGTCGTTGCAGGTAGACATCGGGATCAGTCGCGAGACCCGAAGTCAACTGACAAATCGTGTTGTGAAGGTTCGGGAAAACAACACTTGGGACTAGTTCCCAGGAATTCTGATTCTGAGTTAGTAGATAAGCCTCCTGTAGGACACTCTAGAACTGACCATGGTACTTTCCTGGGTAGCCTGTGAAGGAAGTGTGGGCTGGGGGTCAACTGCGTTTTGGGAAGGCTCCACGCGCCGTGAAGGTGGCATAGATGAACGTAAATCTGAGGGGAGGGAGGATAATTCGTTTGTTCCGTGGCCTTGTTGCGCACGATTCTTACGCTCGAGCTTGCGGCAATTGGATTTGCAGTGCCCCATTTTGCGGCAGTAGCTGCACTCGGTGTTCGGGCAGTCAGAACCCATATGGCCGTGCTCGTGGCAGCGAATGCATTCGATATGCGGGCAGTTTTTCCGCGTGTGGCCCTCTTGCATCACCCCACAGTTAGTGCAAGGTTTGGGGTCCGGCCAAAGAACCATCTTGATGACAAGACGACGTCTTATCTGGGGGAGCAGAAGAGTTGTAAGGTTGGTCCAGGACGATGAGAAACGTGAGTGTGCAGAGATAGGCAGGATGGGTGATTTATCGCCCCACGATTGCCAATGTGTGGGCAAACAGTTCACTCATTGATTCGAAGATGACCCTACGCGAATTCTTCTACATTTTCTTCTAATAATACTCCATCTCGCTCAAGTAGGGCGACTCTAGCACCGTATTCTGCAACCGATTCAAACTATTATTATTGTGATGTTCTATCATTAAGTCTATTATTTCATTACCCCCAAATTATGTCCAAATCAGGACTTTTGTCTCTCCACCAACCAATTTTAGGCTCCCCAATGTTCTAACCTTTTCGATGAAGAGCAAGAAAAGAAAACGACAACCATATTCCTAGTCCCGGGTAAGTCTTGCACGCAGTCCCGCCCCGAAGAAGTAGAAGATATACGGAATGAAAACCATGGCAACCCCAATAAAAGCAAGCAACCAAGAAGCCCACTGCAACCCAAGACGATCATACATCTGCGTGGTGAACAGCGGGAAAGCTGCACCACCACCAGAGCGCAGGAAGACCTTGGCTGCCAAAGCCGATGCAGCGTACTTCTGGTACGAGTCGATGATATAGTTATTCACTGAATAGTAGCACAACACCATGCCGAAGCCAAAGGCAATCCCAGACGAAGCAGGTCCAACCCAGATGATATGCTTGTAGGAGGTAGCGCCCAAGATGAAGAAGGCTATCGGGATAAAAGGCGCACCAATCAGGGCTGCGTGGAGTCGGTCTTCTGGCGTTGGAGCTCGCATGCTGCAGATTTTCTTGAACTTGCCCTCGATGGCTGGAGTGACAACTAGGGCGAAGCCGGCGCCGATCAGAATGGGGATGAACATGAGTCCAATCTCGCCATCGTTGTAGCCATAGAGCTTGGGGAAGATCACCGGGTATGCGAAGAAGAAGGCGTAGAGCATTGCGTAGATCAGCACGATATACATGCACATTAGGTCGAGAACGGGCTCGGTCATGATCATAGTGATGGGTCGGATCAGGCTTGTGCGAGCGATTTCGCTAAATGTGAGCTTCGTCTTTTCTTGCTCGGTGATGATGTTTGGGTTTCCGGTTTCTTTGCGGAGTCTTGCGGCGCGGCGCTTGAGAATCACAGGGGCATATGTCTCCGGGACGAGGCCGATCATGATCGTCATGGCACCAGCGAAGGCTAGATTCACCCAGAAGAAGAGGTCAAGACGGCCAGTTCCAATGTTGATCCAACCTGTCACGATGGGGCCAAGCACAGGGCCGCAGTATGGTGCAGCAGCAAAGTAAGCAATAGCCATACCGCGCTCCTCAATGCTCCAGATATCGGCGATGGTGCCACCAGCGAGGGAAAGACCGGAACTGGAGAAGACACCGCATAGGAATCGGGACACAAGCAAGCCCCCGATGTTTGGGGACAAAGCGCATGGAATGTTGAAGATGGCATATAGACTGAGAGAGATGATGTATACAGGCCTTCGGCCGATGATCTCAGAGAGGGGGGACCAGAGTAGAGGACCAACTGCAAATCCGCAGACCATAATTGAACATGTCAGAATTGCGACTTCGAGAGAGACATTGTATTGTTCTTCAATCAAACCCAGTCCTCCGGTGACGATGGAGGACCCGAATGCCACACATACCACAACTGCCGAAGCGACAAGAGTAATGTACCAGCGATAAGGGCGGGACCAATTGTAGGGGTGTTCAGGATCATCGATGGTGAATGTTACAAACTCCGTGGGGCCCTTTCCTCCCTTTTCGATGTCGGTGTCGGCCTCATTTGCTGGTGTGCCGATTTTCATCTGCTCCAAAGTTCTTTGGGGAACAAGACCAGTACTGGTTTCAACGGTGTACTCTTCGGGGAACACAGGGTCCGTGTCATGTCCAATAGCTGGGTAGTTGTAATCCAATGGTCGAGGGGTTTCTGTGATGCTCCGGTTGCGTAGGCTCTCTTGGGTTTCGGCCCTATATAAGTGCTGAGGATGCAAGGGCTCTGGAGTCTCCGAGCCTTCTTCTGGTATTGTTGAAGACATAGTAAGGAATATGAGAGCTATAGGGATGGAAGGACTTTTGGTAGTATTGAAATGGTCCAGGTACTTGAAGGTGACATGGGATATACTTATACTCCCAAGGAGGCTAAGGTGTCATAGTTACATGCAAGGCCGACCCATCTCCGAGATAGACCGGATGATCACCGGAAAGTCGGCATTGGCAGAAAATGGCTCACCAAACCACCTGGGCAATTGCAATGTGACCGGCAAAATCTCGGTCCGACCGATCACCGAGGTTTTAACTACAAAATGCGTCAAAGGATGCTGAATCCAGCCCAACTGTAAATTTGTGATATCATTGCCGATATGCCGGACTCTGCGCTTAATGTCTCAAAATCTGATCAGATCAGTTTTTTTTAAAGATCCGATCCTTTCTCGGCCCGTGGAAGTCTCTGACGGCATTCTTTGTTTCGTGAACTGAGCTCAAAATATTTATGATAAGCAGGGATTCCACCAATTGTCCGCTCGTAAGTCTGACAGGCATTCTGAATACACTCACCTTTTATTTTAAGCTTCTTCTGGTCTTAAAACAAAGAAAGGAAAGATGCGTCAGCTCTCCATTCAACACCAATTCATGGATATCTATTGCTGCAAGGATAACGACAAATCCCAAGCTATAATGCCTAGGTGAATACTGCCCTTAGAATGCGACGACACCCCAGTCTCCATTGAATCTGTCCTCCGCGGTGCTCAAATGGATTCCGAGAAGTTTTAATTAGAATAGTAAAACGACGAACTCCGGTCTTCGGTCTTCCATATTATGCCGCAAAAGGACCTCAATTAAGCCCCACAATATAAGCACTACTAAATCACTCTTCCACTCAATGTATAAAATTTGGAGTAGGTCTAGTTTTAAAGGAAAATACCCCAATCGGCTGTTTCAATATGCCGCCAAATCCCCGGTATGCTGAAGGTAGGTGTCTGATTTAACTATATACCACAGTAAATCTGATATTTTCCAAATACAGATTTATTGAATGATGGCGAACTCGATAGGCAGGCAAGTAACAGCAGAGAACTTCATATAATAAGGCACAGCCAGCCTGATATCTTACGTGCTAGCAAAGTATAGATGTCATTTTTTTTGATTTTGGCAAAAAAAAAAGAGATTGGTTCAGTGACATTTCATTTCCGCTCTCAGAAATTGAGAATTCTAGCAGGGGCAATCATGAAAAGTAACCACCAAGGTAGAATAGAGTTAATACAGTTCGAAAATATATTACCATCCGTCATCTATGAAATAAGACAAGCAGTGCCTCGCTCCAATTTTGTGATGTTAGACAATGAAGCTCAAGCGTCCGTCTTGGTTGACACTTGCACCCCCTCAACCTGAGAAGAATCAACGTTGTCGGCAAAGTAGTTCTCAGAGTTCATATGCCTGAACCTGAACCAGAAAATAACCGTCTGAACCGCCAGGGCGACTGCAGGAGCACCCCAAATCCAGATCAACCACGGGTCCGCAGTCGCCGGGATGAGAATCTCACCAAGAGCGCTAGACAGGGCAGTCATGAAAAGGAAAATAGCAACGACCAGGCCCTTCATACTCTCTGGGGCCCGAGCATAGGCCACCTCGTACGCCGTGACGTTGGCGAAACACTCACTTATAGCGCTGAGAGATGTATTAGGAATCTGCCACCAGATACTGATATCGGCGACGTTGTCACAAGTTGATGCGTGAGTGCCACACGGTGAGAGCTGGTAGACTTTCCATTGGACGAGTGCGCCGGCTATGCCAGCTAAAGTGGCAATAGCGAAGCCAATTGTCATTCGGGTAATGGGACCGGGCTTCAACTTGCGCCGCTCCAGGAATGGGTAGATTACGAAAGTCAGGATCGGGATGGCGACCATAATTGTCAGCGCATTGAAGTTGTTTAGAACGTCGTTGGGTGCTCCGTTTGTGACCATTGATGCACCTTGGTTCGTAGCCACTGAGCCAATACCACCGTCGTTTAGATTGTAGATTGGGTAAAACCAGAAGATGTCGCATGCCTCTGTTAATAAACACGACTGTTAAAATTTGTCGATCAATGTGCCTGAGGGCTCTCCTTTGAGGAAAGTGGAAGGATCGTGGGGGAGGTCATACCCATTGTTTTCGCAACTTTCAATACTGAGGTATCCGTCCAGCTAACTTCGATACCCTTACTACGAAGGGTTGCGGGCTTTGCTGAATCCCAGAAGTCTTTGCGCCAGAATTGGAATTTGCTCTGTATAAGGGCAGTCCATCCAATTTTAAAGGCTTCCGCGAGGTCCTTGTTTCCACTAGGAGGTTGCTTTTTGGTCTTTTTGTAGACAGCAAAGAGGAGGATTGGAAGCAAGAAGTAAATGATACCCGATAGCAGGAAGGCAAGCCAATACCCGACATACTTTTCCGCGTAGGTTGTCGCTAACATATAGAAAGCACCGATATTGACAAACATGTAGAACAGCAGCATGGTTCGAGTATTGGTAGTTTCGGGGTCGACAATAACGTTCTCGCCTGATTTGAGCGTCTTAACGTAAGGCGTTTTAGATTTATGCTGATCTAGTACGGTCGGTGAGATGTTCGGCTTGAAGATACCGGCACCGATGGCAAGAAGCAAGAGGCCAATGACGAATGGCGGAGCCGCGTTAGATTTGCCCTTCTGGAGAACAGAGGGGATCGCGCCGACGACCTGGATGATGTGGGCAACACCGCAGATTAAAACACCAATCACAATGGCCTTATACCGCCCGATATAAGTATCTGCCCAGTAACCACCGAAGATCGGGACGATATAAGCCAAAAACTTGAAAAGTAGCACGAAACCAGTACTGGCTTGTAATCCCCATCCCAGAGCTCCGGCGGTTCCTTGGGTTCCAGCTGGAGGAGCACCGGCTCCATTGCCACCTATATTTATTATACTTCTTTAGCAATGGCTTCCCCGACACTCAATAATAATCGAAAACTTGGCTCACCTTCGGGCAATGGGAATTCGACAAAGTTGGAGAAGACTGTCTGTGCTCCATAGTAGGACGCGCGCTCGGCAAACTCGACTAGACAGAGGGAGAAACCAACGAGGGGCAGATTGGCGGCCACTTTGCGAAGTGTTTGATTTTCTTCTTTGGTTGGAAGGGTGAACTCATCGTCGTAGGATTCCTGAGATTCCTGCGATGCCTGAGAGTGCCCGAGGGCAGGGACCCTCGAGGGGTCCGTAATGGGCTCAATATTGCCTAATGATTTCCATAAGGTCAGTTTCGCAGGCTCTTTGATGAACCAGTATGGTCTACATACTCATTGGGAAACAAAAACAGCTGGTGGACCGATGTTTAGTTTCCAATGGAGGAGATCAACAATAAATACATCGCACCAACACAGAAACTTCAGCGAATGAGGGCAAATTTCCTGCCTCAATCGCGTGATTGCCAGCCTTAGATTTAGAGAGACCAATTCAACGCATTCAAGATTTACCCTTGTCAATTACTTCTCCGGCCCGGTTAAGATTGAAGCATCTGAAGAAGAGTGGGTTGCGAAGGCACGGCATGGTGGAGAGAGATGACGAATTGGCAAGGAAATGTAACGCTGGCTATCTCCTGGACCCAATAACAGCCCATAGTACTCCGTAGCGCTCGAGGATATTTTTCTATGTGTCAGTCGTAAGACGCTCCGTTGAAGCCATTATAGCTCCAGATTCGCAATTTCCAGGGAGAGCGCCTCCCCCCAACCCCAAGTACGGATGGGATACATCCATGGATAGTAGGTACAGATGCCCTGTATGCATAATTGTTTCGCCTTTGAGAATAGTCACATTGGATATGAGGTTTTATCGTCAAGCTTTACACTTCCAAGATGCCAAGATGCCAAGATAGAAGCTTATTATCCTCTGCGGTTCGCCCGTACTCAGATGCTAAGCAACGAAGACGTCATAGTCATTGTTTATTTGTATGTAGCATCAATCAGTAGCGCTGGCGTAGCGGTGCCCTGTGCTGAAACCCGGGCATTTTTCCAAAGGACATATGGACTGTTAGATCCGACTGGTTGACCAGTCGGATAATTCAACCTTGAAATGGCCCATGTGGCGGGATCCACTCAGGTTTTGGTCTCACTTACTCTTCTCTCCAACTTCTCACCTTCAAACCCCTGTAGTGATAGAAACACGCCGCGGAACGCGTCACCCACTTTTCGCTGTAGCTAGGCAGTCAGGCATCAGGCCACTAATCTTACAAACTTCTATCTTTGTATGACTACCTATCTATTATTGCAAAAGTCGACGTCGCTTGGAAATATCTAGGGGAGTAAGCTGTAGATATATATTTAGGTGATTGGAGTCCACCTACAGTTTTATGTACGCTCACCTATGGACAATGTTAAAACAACTGCTTGAAATATAGTATGATTAAGTAGTTCGTGGAAGCCCACATGCTATGCACGACACAGTAGTTATCCCCCAGCCTTAATTACAGTTGCTAAATTAAGTGCATTCGAAATGACTTACCCGGCCCAAAGGTGACCCACCCACCCATGAGATGTTGTTGAGGGTGGTAGGCTCAGCCACATGGGCCGGGTAGCTGGGTATGTATTTTTCTATGTAAGGTATGCCACTTCAGCCACTTCAAGTGATCTTTGGTCGCTTGTTCGTGAACCCAGAGTCTGGACGAGATCGCTTTCGCTCCATTGCCTCCATTTCAGCTCTCATAATCCTCTCCTGTTCAGTCATCTTCTTAGGGGCTGCGAATATAGAACCCTTCTTCCCGGCCAAAGGGTTTTTCTTAGCTGCAGCAAACACGTTCTTCGGCTTCTGTGCGCCCATTGACATCGAAATCTTGACGGGCGCGGGAGGCGCAGACGGAGCGGGGGAGTCGGTGCTTTCTGTCGGTGCATCTGTTTCTTCCAGCGGTACCGTCGCGGTCGTTGTTGTTGTAGGAGGTGAGGCAGGCTTTGTATCTGTCTTCTTCGAGCCAAGTCCAAGATTTAACGTCATCTTCTCTCCTTCCTTCCTCTGCAACAATCTTGCCTCGGGTTCTGGGTCTGTTGTAGTGCTGCTAGCCAGCGCCGCTTGCTGGGCTCGCTTAATCTGGTCCTGAATCAGGCGTTGTTCTCGTTCCTCGTCTCCCTTCTCCTGGCGTTCTTTCTTTAAGATAGCCTCCCGGCGGCGAAGTGTGTCTGGACTGTTATCAATCCATGCTATGACCAAGCCCTTATCGGTATCCTCAACCCGGCATTTTCCCTCCCGGCCCAAGTAGGCCGCAAACTGTGATAAACTTTTCCATTCTGACTCCAAAGTTAGCATTAATCCTGGCTTCTCCTTTCCGTCGGGACATACCTGTGCTGTTCATGTGAATGTGCTATGAAAAGTTAGCCAGAATGAGCAGAAAATAGTGAAGTATTAGGAACATACCTGCTTATCGGCCACAATCTGATTATAGAAATGATTGACGTTGATAGGTTTAGTTCCATGCGTGGTTCTGAGGGTATCGAGGAAAGTTCGCTCAAATTCGCGACTGAACTCTCTGATGTGCTTGCGCGGGTCTTCTCCAATGATCATCATCTGTCGGACTAATGTAAAGTTAGCGGGTGGCATACATAGAGGATGGAGTTCCGTACCATGCGCTTCAGTCATGGTGTGGCATTTGAACCCGTTCTCATCTCGACATTGTTTCTCGCATGCTTGGCAAAACCATCGAAGGCGACCCAATCCTTTGCTTTTGATCTTGTTGCCGATGGCTTTTGTACTGCCAGCCTCCGCGCGGCCCATTTTGTATGTTGGTAAATAAAGTCGAGATAAGTGTTCGAAGGAAGCGACGAGAAGGAAAAGCTTCCAAGGGCCAAGAGATCGGAAAGATGGGGTATGTTGAGAAGCGCTTGAAGAAAGTTGTGAGAGAAGCTTGGAAGTGGCGCAGATCAACGCGATAAGCCCAATTTATTACATAATGCATCACATGACATAAATTAAAGAGGCCTAGTCCCCTCTCGAGCTTCCAAAACTGGTTAGTTGATTCCTTAATTCAATGTTTATATGGATGTTTCTATGGATGAATGAATATGAAATGAAGCTGAATACCTAGGTTCATTGAACTATTCTGACAAAATTAAACAAAACTCCCCAAAATCCTACGCCTGCATCCTGAGATCGCTTTTCTACCTAGGATCATAGCGTACATAAAACAAGAAAGAAATATTTCGGAGACAAATCAGCAAACCTCGCCAAGGCGAAGGGGTTCAGAAACAGCCGAAGAAATGTGCCATAAACCAGCATGAATATCAAATCACCGAGTCTGCAAGTATTACAGGATGTATTCGTGGATTGCAGATGGTCCGCTCTCGTTGTATTCAACCCGGCTCATGTAACCCTTGCTGAGACCCTGATCAATGACAAAGAAGACCTTGGCAGCCATCTGAGCGCCGAGGAAAACGGCCTCTTCCATTCCATGGCCACCTTGAGATGTGCCGGGTGCGCCTGGGTTACCTCCAGCGCTGCCACCGCTGGCGCCGGGAGCGTTGCTGTTGCCTTGGTCCTTGAAGTCTGGGAAGTACTCGGGAAGCTTCAGAGTCTTGACTGAGGTTGGGGTTTGGGAGTGGCCGGTTGACCGGTGGTGTGATAACATGCCGGGGTCCATGGAGGGCGTGCCGGGCATACCACCGGGCATACCGGGGTTGTTGTGAGTAGCGGCCACAAGGAGAGGGTTTACTCCAGGTGCCGAGGGGTGGTACATCGGGCCGGGTTGACCCATAGGAGCCGGTGTGTTGGCACCGGTTGGAAGGGGGTGGTGAAGTTCGAAGGAATCTCAGACGTGAAGATGGTGCCGGATGGAGAAAGTATGAACTTTTGCGTGATGACAGCCAGCAAAGCCTGTGTGAAGCCTATTTTAATGTTAGCGAAAAGACCTAAACTCTAGATAGCAATGCTAACACATACCCTTGACCTTGCTTCCACATCCAACGATAATTAAAGAGTCCCAAAGCTCGCTTCGTTTTGTAGCATCTGGAACGGCAAGAATGGTGTGGTGAATCTGAGTCGCAATGTCATCGAGGATACCACTAGTCAGGCGGTTTCCGACCTTCGAGCGCGGCGAAGTCAAAAGGAAACGCTCAACACTGACTTCAATATCCCGAGTATGACGAATGTACTGCCGAGCACCGTGGGCAGCTGCCTTCTCTCCTTCCAACTGAACGAACTCCTCGAACTGGAAGGATGCCTTCTCTTTCTTCGAGTTAGGCAGACGGGCTCCCTTGGGGTCAGCTGCGCCTTTCTTGGTAGTGGTCTTTTCCTTCTCGACATTGGCAAGGTATTCCGTGGGGTTGCCGCTGACAATCGCAGCGACATCAAGAACACCCTCCTCTTCGTCACCATTATCTCCCTCAATTCCTGTCTGAGTGCCGTCTCCTGGGCCGCGCGGAGCAGACTCATCTCCATCTGATCCGCCCGTCGAGGCAGCAGCAGCAGGGTTGGCGCCCTGGCGTGCAGTAGCAGAAGACCCAGGCAGTGGGGTTCCTGGGGGCAGAATCTCAGTAATATTGCTTCTCTTGAGTTGCTCACACATCTCTCTGGTAAATCCCTTTGGACCCAGCAGCTCAACAAGACGATCGGTCATAGCATCTCCACCACATCCCTCCAGTGCGATTCCCCTGCCGTGTTCGTTGACTGCGAAGTCGGTCACAGCAGTGACATCGACCTTGCCCTTTCCAACATCGACAATAGTGGCTGTGGGTACACCGTAGCCGTAGCAAGCAGCAAGAGCAGAGTCCATAAGACTAAACGCGGGTGCCTTGAACTTCTCAAAGACGAATTGAGTGATTGCTTCGCGATCGCGTGCGGACCAGACGGGCTGACCAATAAGAAGAATTGGCGTGTGGAAAGGTGGGCTCAACGTATTGTAAATGTGAGTGAGCAGGGCGAAGAAACAGGGCCAGTCGACGATGCGCCCGTTCTCGATCGGATAGATTGCCCCTTCATCGGAAGCCAGGTCCTCCTCGTAGAAGACCTCTTCGATAGTTTTGGTTGACTCGCCATTATCCTGGGTATTTCCATCGGTCTTGACAGTGGTTTCTGTGGCTGGGGTACCATCGGCGGCGGCGGGCTCAGCGTCCTTCATCTCCACATCCGGCTTGGGGGCATCCGTGCCATTGTTGACCTTGACTTCTTGACGTCTCTCGTGAACACGGTAAGGCTCATATTCTCCCTTCTTTTCTGCAGGGAACATGCGGGTTGGGAACCGAAATCGCGCGGGCGTGAATGTTTCGGGCAGGCCGAGCTGCGCCAAGGTCATTTGCGAACCCGGCGCAATTAGCTAGACGGATGGGTTAATTCGGAACAAGAAAATATGAAGAAATAAACGTACCAAGGTATGCTCATCCTTGAAGGGAGGCATTGTTATGAGTGGCAGTAAAGAGCGTTGCGACGGGCTCGATTTGCGTTGGTTGCGCTTTCTTCCCATTGTGGTTTAGCGTGTTTTTGGGTTGATCGAAAATCACGTGCAGTGGACTTGGTGTTGGACGGGTAATGATTTCTCCGAGCAGGCATTTGGAAGCTCGACTTTGATAAGGCAACAACAGCAAACTTCAATTTCAACAACATTAATTTACTGATTATGGAGAATTTAGTCAATAACTATAGGTAATTCATTATGATTCTATATTCCGGATTAAAAAATAGGTAAAAATATTGATATCAGATCAAAATCAAAGGATTAATCTACCAGTAGAAGATATTGCACAGTACACTATAACATATGCACAGAGCTACCTACCTAGGTAGGCAGGATTTGGCTATAAGCTCAACCAGAACAAGATCTGTGGAGATCTTCCAAACATCATGATAGCTGCACACTCATCTTTTATTGAATATACGTTGTATGCCGTTGGGCCTTCTAGAGAGAGATGAACCATGTCTTAAAACATTCAAATCATATGCAATTAACTAATGCATTGTGCACTTTCACGTCATTAGATAGTATATCCTGCCCACAACCTATCCTCTCAAAGCAGAGGAAGAAAAAATCAGAAACCATTTCAGGAAAAAAAACTCCAGACCCACATATCCGGTGGAACACACAAAACGCCATCATCCTTTCCACTCCATGACCAGCATGAGTCTTAGGTGATTCTATTCTGGGACAGCATGGTATTTGTCAGTCGCTGATCGGAATAGCTCCTGTTGTTGCCTTAGAAGCTCCTCTTCTGTCAGACCACTTTGCTCCATCTTGCTCTGCTTCTTCTCTCGTGACTATAATGAAGATCAGAGGTCAGCCTGCGCTCTAAGGTATCACAATTCAAAGCAAAATGTGAACATACTTTCAACTGCTGCTTGTGTTCTTCGGCAACGGCGAGTACATCTGCGATATAATCACTGAAGCCGAGATCCCGTAATGCCTTCTCCACATGCTCACAAGCGATGGTCTTCTTGGCCTCCTTCTCACTGATATCGTTTGCTTCGGAGGAGATCAGGGTGATGAATTCAACACAGCATTCCATGAGCAAGTCGCGCGCATCCTTGGAGAAGGTTTGGCCGGAGCTAGGTGGTAGAATCTCGGTAATAATCTTCTGGACCGTCGCTATCACAGAGACAAGTTAGCAAATGGTAGCAAACGCGTATGTGAAGCCACAAGTGCATAGGTGGTGAAGCGACAAAGAACCGCACAAAGAGCTATACACATTCACAAGGGGTATTGCACCGTACCTTTGGGCAGCGATAGGTCATCGTTTGCTATTCACGTACAGGTCAGCAGGTTGCGCGTAGGCGGCCAAGATCTAGAGATCACTTACAGTTGAATTCTCGGTCGGACATAGCGAATCAGGTGATGTGGTGACAGGCGAATAAAGAACAAGTGTCGGATCTTAAGGGAGAGGCGCAAAAAGGGATGCTTTAATTTCTTTGATCTTTTTGCGTGGGGCTCAAAGTTTCAAGGCCCATCGCAGGCGCGCGACGGAGTTAAGTACAATTTCTTGCCGGCAGAATACTACCGCTTTGGACCACATAAATTGCGCTGAATTTTTTTCTCATTTTACTTCTTCTTCATCAGTCTTCACTCTCCTCCAACAATACCTTGGAAAGAGTCTTTCAAATGAGATCGACTCTTTCCAAGGCACAACACTAATGGTAAGCTCTTGCTCGAATCCCTTTTCCCAATTTCTACATGATGAACTTTGCTTGTCGCCCCTATCATACATTCTATGGTGACCTTACCTGTCCTAGCCAAACGGACTATCTGAACTATATCAATTCTGCCTATTTGCTCTCACTTCATTTGTTTGAAGCTGTTGCTAACTTTATTGAAGAATTTTTACAGGAAATCAACCACATTATTGTAGCTTGGAACTCGTTTCTGCTTGGATTTGATTCACAGCACACAATTAGGAGGATGGGAATCTTTACATCTGTATCTAAAGGTACGCGCAGAAGTTTTGCTATATTTTCAGTTCCAATTACATGATGTATACCTTTACATTCCATGCTAAACATGAAGGTGCACTGCGCCTAATGCTTATAAAATGTATTGCTTTTCATCTTTCGACTGACTTGTAAACAATCATTGCCTCAAATCTTGCACTCATTGTTCTATGGCGATCGTTACTGACTTGCTATAAAGATTACAGATATGAAACAAATTTACATTAGCTATCAATGATATTCTTATTCCTGGAAAACCTCGAGCTCCTTGTCGTTCCATCTGCCAATTATTAGTATTTCTTGCGTAATCTGTGTGGGATAGCACATACGAATAGAAATGACCGCTGATTGCCTTCGGCGCATCGAGCACCAGCTTGGCCATGACGTGGCCGGGCTGTTCGGGCTTGAGGAGCTTGCCGTCCTTGTGGACTCCAGTGAACTTGGAGTGCATTTCGGCGTCCAATGCTGTAGCATGGTCCTCCCGCAGAGCACGCTGCATCTCGGTGTCGACCATACCGGGTCTGATAGACACGGAGGTGACTTCGGGTTCTTCGGCACCCAGGCTCATAGCAAAGTTGTTCATGGCGGCCTTGGTGGCAGCATAGAGAGCCCAACCACGGTAACCGGTGACTGCTGCACCGGAAGACGTGAAGATAATTTTTCCTTTGGACTCACGCAGAGCCGGGAGAGCTGCTTTGGCCTATATTCTGTCAATAGTGTATGGTAGATTTGATGTAGGTCCCGTACAAAAGCAACCAAGCTGATAAAGTTGATATCAAAGCCTTCCTTCCATTGCTGCGGATCAGCCTCGGCGATTTTGCCGATTTGGCCTAGCAGGCCGTGGTTAAGGACCATTCCATCGAGCTGACCGAAGGTCTTGATCGCTGTGTCGACGGCCTGTTGGGCAAGAGAAAAGTCCGACAGGTCGCCATTTAGGACTGCCACCTGTTTGCCGTATTGCTCCTTGAGCTTTTGGAGGGGTTCAACACTGCGGGCTACCACCACCACATTGTGGGATTGAGGTGCTGTGAGAAGATACTTGGCCACAGCAAGACCGATACCTAGAGGGGTTGATATCAGCATATGGCCATGCACGAAGTTTGAGAGGTGGTACCTCTTGAAGCTCCCGTGACAATGATGGTCTTGGCTGCCATTTTGATGAATGCTATAGTGGTGTTAGTGGTATGAAGTTTCTGATAGAAAATCAACACCGCGACAAATGAAAGCTAGAAAGGATGTTGAGTTCAAAATGATAGCAAAGCAGCATGCAAGCAGGTTGCAGCATTTCTTTGCATGCTGAGGCTGTAAACATGCTCGAGCTGTCTCGGGTATATTGGTGAACAAACATGACTGAGCGGCTCTGTAAAGCCAGGAACCCAAGCATTGGGAAACTCTGGATAGGGAGCTGGTATAACTTACATTCAAAGTTATTCTGCAGACGTCTTTAATGCTGAATATCAATTATGACAAGGAATAATAATACGAAGACCCGTGGACAGTGACACAGTGCCGTGAAAGGTTTAGTGCGGGGCTTATTAATGTCGTGGGCTGGCCCCGGGGGCCCCGACCTCGGGAAGGTTTCCCTGCAGGCTGTATACGTCATGTTGCACACTTTTTATTATACAGAGTACGGAGTAGAGTATATGAATGGAATTGATATGCATATATTTGAGCCATAGCCCAGTTAATCGTTTAATTTGCAATCGAAAAGTAAGAGATTGAAGGTATGGTCCAGGTGATTTCCCCAATTTGGACTGTGATCTCGGCTCTGGAGAAAAGTAACTTTAAAAGATAACTTTAATTTAAAGATTACCCCTAAAATGCTAAGAGGTTATCGGATGGACAATATAGGCGTACTCCATACATCGTACAGCGAAGCGAATGGAATATAAAGCCATTACCGATTGCAGAGAAGCGATCCGAGATCCACTTTCGATAGGAAATAGTTGAACGATCGCTCAAAAGAGTCAACTTTTGCGATCAGCTCTTCCCCTACTCCATAGTATTTCCAAGGTTGGGTACCTACCTAGGTAGGTAGGGTGTATTATTATCTAATGTGCCGATTCATGGAATTCTTCCCCGCTACCCCGTCCCACCACTTCTACGTATTCCCGGGCCGGTGCACAGGAGCCCGGAGAGCAAAATCATAAATTGCCGAGGAATATAATCTCCGATAGTCCCATCTGCAAGGAATAATTGCGACCAGCAACACTTCACTTCGATAATTGACAAGCGTGTTTGATTCTGCACCCACAAGAGCCAGCATGTCGACCGTCATCCTCGGAGGAGGCATCATTGGAGCCTCAATTGGGTACTACCTATCTGCCAATCAGCCAGAAGGCGAGATTCACATCGTTGAGCAATCCTCGGAGCTTTTCACCGCAGCCTCGGGATATGCTGCGGGTTTCCTAGCCAGAGATTGGTTCGAGCCATCTCTTGCGCCTCTTGGGGCTATGTCCTTCGACTTGCACCATGAGCTCGCCGCAGCGCAGGGCGGAGACAAAAAGTGGGGATTTATGAAAGGAACAGCATTCAACTTGGATACCGTTGCTCAACGCAAGCGAGGTGGTCCCCGCGGTGACGATTGGTTGCGAACGGGCACCAGTAGAGCAGAGACCGCGGCTGGATCCGAGGATACCACGCCGGTTAAGTTTCCGGAATGGTTGACGATGCAGAAAGAGGGAATCCTTGAGAAAATCAGCCAGGGCGAAACTGTGGCTCAAGCGTGAGTATCAAATTCAAGCGTATCGCGGATGATTTGCTAATTGTGTTCAGAGATCCTTTGCGGTTGAGCCAATTCCTCATTGACGGTGCTGTCTCCCGAGGCGTTAAGCTTCATAATCCAGCCCAGGCCACTGCAGTGGTCAAGGATGGGAACGGCACGATTACCGGCGTGAAAATAGTATCTTTGGATTCCAAGAAGGAGACAATCATTCCGTGTGCGAACCTTGTTCTGAGCATGGGACCCTGGACACCACAGGTTCTCAGAGACCTGTTCCCCTCCTCTCAGGTATCATTTGATATATCGCCTTTGGCTGGCTATTCACTGGTCGTTCGATCCCCTCGGTATTCAATGGAGCACGAGAGAAATGTTTACCGTGGAAGCAGCCATGCTGTATTCACCACACACCCTCCGTCATGCGGGTTTAGCCCCGAGATCTTCCTCAGGGAAGGCGGGGAGATTTATATCGCCGGTCTCAACAACACCGCCATGGAGCTTCCACCTCGTGCCGAGGATACTAGCCAGCTTTTTGATCCCTCCGAGATGCAAAAACTCAAAAATGTTGCAGTTCGTTTAATGGGGGACCTTCCCGAGGGCGCAAAGGAGGCTACCGATGAGATGGCCAACACAGATGACTTGGAGATTATCCGCGAAGGGCTGTGCTTCCGCCCGGTGGGAGATACTGGTGTTCCCACAATTGGAAGACTTGGAGATTACTCTTTAGGAGGAGTGAAAGCAAACCCCAAGGGAGGCGTCTTCATAGCCGCTGGGCACGGAGCGTGGGGAATCTCTCTGAGCCTGGGAACTGGAAAGGTTGTTTCTGAGATGATCAAAAAGCAAAAACTTTCAGTGGATGTGAGCGGCTTGGCCGTTCAGGACAAAAGTCCTGGTTCCAAGCTGTGAGCATCTGATATACATTGTACAATAATAGGAAAGAGCTCCCTCTAGACGTACTTTCCCTGTCACTAGCAAAACAACATCGTAGCCACATGTGCATGTACTTCCCCTTTAATCCCACCAATTCCATCCTCTGAGTGCGCGCACATTGATTTTAAGAAGCTTACCTCATCATCTTCCGACTTCGAATTCAAATACCTCTTTGTCGACCTCTTCGTCCGGTATTACGACTATACCATTAGCAAGCGCTGAAGTCATGTGGCTTAAGAGTCTGCTTGATGATGTGAATGTTGACGCCATGCCTAATGCAGAAAGCAAGGCTATTCTACTATACAGCGACAGTCTACCTGTCATTGAAATGTACTCTGCGCCGAAGGAGAACGGCAGGTCAAAGCACGTTCAAGTGCATTGGCACTGGGTAAGAGAGCAGGTAGCGCGCGGCAAGATCTACATACCTCATGTCAAAAACATTGAGTACATCGGAACCGGTCTGATCATCAGATGGACCCTGCAACCACTGCAACCACCCGGTGTTCTGATTGTTAGACGGACATTTTAGCCACCCACCAGGGCCTGGACTCCACCTCAAACTTATTATTTGACAGCGCCAATGGGCCCAAATATCAATTGTAGCCACGAAGTCCGGCCGATGTTGATACACACCAACCCTTATGCGATCAATATCCCCAGGGAGACCAAACTAGTCCATTGAGCCAGGATACACCTGAATCACAGGCTGTATCAAAAGCACACGCACCCGCCACATTATCTCACTTTCCTTCGAATTTCTGCCTTTGTTTTCATCTCTTTTCCCTTTATCTTTGCCTTTCTTTGGACTTGAATTTTACATTACAGTGGTCATTCTTCGTCTCGAAGTTGGCTCATGATGCTGGGTAAGTCCATCAGTTTCAAGAAAATGTGTTCTACAAACGAGTTGTAACGCCTTAGACTTTAGCTACAAACACCTCTTTATAATGCCTTCGTCCAGTACCACGACAATCGCCCCTCATATATCCTCCTTTCTCCCTTCAATCAGATTGGTGGACTCGACTTGGTTATACTCTCTGGGTTCCCTCTTTTACCTGTCTCTGGCTTCTTACTTTCATCATTTGTTACTACCTCATTCGGCGGACACAATTTTAAATCTACACTTGAGTCTTATTATCTCCTAATTTAACTTATAATAGTACCTATCCAGTCCACACTGTCTAGCCTAAGAATGAGATCGAATCAAATATTTCTGACTCGCCTCCACCTCAAATCAACTTCGCCCTAGTTTTGCACCCAGCGCCAGCAAGGACCCTAAACCAAACGCTGTCGACCATGCCAAGTTAGTCGTCAGCGTCGGGAGCAAACTATAACTCTTCCTAAGTACGCTTCTTTAACGATGTCTTTTCCAACGTCCTTTCAACTGTCTTTTTTAGATGTCTCTTTTTAGAACCTTTTTGAACTTGTTACATAGTAGTTTTATACATAGCTGGAAGAATGAAAAAATGAATTAGCCGTGAAATATAGAATATATGCGGTGAAAAAGATGTATTCAGGTGTATCGTGGGACTGGACCTCCAAAGTATTGGGCGGCATTTTTGTCCCCTCACATACCGCCTTATATATAAGGGCACAAATTTCCGCCCAATACTTTGGAGGTTCCAGTATATTGGATCTCGGAAAATAGATAATCCGACCGGGCAGCTCCCCAGGTTTAGTCATCAGTTATTCGCGCCACTCGGAGCTCTCCAGAAACTTCGGGCATCCGATATCACCCAGCTCTCAAAGCAATTTCGCCCTCCGTTCATTTCTGTCTGCTTGTTCTGCGACCCAACCTCTCATTCCACCTCCATTCAAATTCTCCTTAGCCAACATTAGAGCTTGATAGCAACCAGCCATGGCCAACTACCTTGCATCCATCTTCGGTACCGAGCAGGACAAGGTCAATTGTTCGTTCTACTACAAAATCGGCGCATGCCGACACGGCGACCGCTGCTCTCGCAAGCATGTGAAGCCTTCGTACTCGCAAACCATTCTCATGCCGAACATGTACCAGAACCCGGCCTACGACCCCAAGAACAAGATGAACCCCAGCCAGATGCAGAACCACTTCGACGCCTTCTACGAGGACGTGTGGTGTGAGATGTGCAAGTACGGCGAGCTCGAAGAGTTGGTCATCTGCGACAACAACAACGACCGTAAGTAGTATCCTCTCTGAAATGTCCGACTATCTACTGACATCTGGTCTCGCGACAATAGATCTCATTGGTAACGTCTACGGCCGATTCAAATACGAAGAAGATGCGCAGGCAGCATGTGACGCGTTAAACTCCCGTTGGTACGCAGCGCGACCTATATACTGCGAGTTATCACCCGTCACGGATTTCCGAGAAGCCTGTTGTCGACTCAATAGCGGTGAAGGGTGTGTACGAGGGGGCTTCTGCAATTTCATTCACCGGAAAGATCCTTCGCCTGAGCTTGACCGCGAGCTCCGACTCAGCACCAAGAAGTGGCTTAAGGAGCGCGGCAGAGATCCTCGCAGCGCCAGCCGAAGCCCCAGCCCTGAGCCTGCCCGGCGGAGATACTAGTTGTGTACCACGATTCTTGACTTTTCTCATTGTTGTTTCTCTACATTCGATCCTTTGGCGTTCGGCGATATCAGTCGGTGGTTCGATTCCACTTTCCTTTGCGCAGCGACGCATCTAGGGTATGCGGTCTCGGTCTGTCTTTACTTCTGCTGATTGGCATTTGCGTTTTATGATATCAGACTTGCGCGATCAATAAAATTCACAGCTAGGCTGCTTGTACAAATCTTGCTCAGTAATTCCCTATGCGTAGTTGATGTCGAATCCGGTACGTTGTCTAGCACCCACTTAGTGATATCGGTCAAGGAAACTGATTCAAAGGCACAGGATTGAAACTTCTCTAGCATTTTTGTTTTCACAAGTCACTGTCAGAAAATTGAAACTCCCTCATTACTAATTACCAGTATTTCAACAAAATCACACGCAAATAAAAGTACTCGCAAGCACAGAATAACAATTCCATGGATTGTACATACCCGACACATCGGTTTTTGCTGCGCCACTTTATCACCCTCAATGGTGCTTTCCATCATCCGGCGATGGAAGCTCCGCAATGAAGGCATTGGAACTGACTTCCTGCGACGCATTGTGAGGGGTGCTTCCCGGGGCCTCTGCCATCTTGTGGACCGAGTCGCTTGCCTCAACTTCCACAGCTTGTTGTATTCCCCACTCAGAATGATCCGACTGGTCTTTTGGAACAGACTGGTATTGGACTTGCGCTGGATCATTCAATCCATCTTGCTGGCGCGACTTCCTCCTCTTCCAAAGTAGGAAGACAACACCGGCTCCAATAACACCGGCGCATGCAATGCTCCCAACAACACTACCCGCAATTGTACCAGAAGAGATCGACGAGCCGGAACTGCCAGAGCTAGATGCGGTTGGCTGTGCAGTGGTCGTGGCCGCAGTTATAGATCTTGTGGAAGTCGCTTGACGGTTTGGCTTTGACACCGAGGTTGACGTGTCGTATAAAGAGGAGTACATGCTCATAGTCTCGTCATCTATCTTAGTAATATATTGAGTAGCCCAAAGTATTGTCCCGTCTTCGGGTTCTCCCCATGTTGCCACGGTATAGATGTTTGACACAAAGGTTGTGGTATCACACACATAGTCGGTCAGGGCAGCGCCTGGCCATGTGTACGTCCCACATGAAGGTGAGGTGGAATTTGTGCAGAAAAGGGCGAAAGCTATGTTGCCTGAAGTCAACGATGGCGTCGCAGTGACTTGCGCGGCATTGTAACAGACGCTCTCAAATCCACAGTGTTGGCCTGAGCAGCATCCTACCAGACCAGAGAAAGCGCTGTTTGACATATGATAAACACAGCTAGAAGAATCTTGGCACGCGAACGTGTTGGGAGCATCTGAATGACGCATCGAAGTTAACTCATCAGATCAAAGAGAAGGATCGGCCTGTGTTTGAAGGGTACTTACCAGGATCTATATAGGTGTCATGCCATCCGCATGCATTTGGAGTGCCAGTTAGGATTGTCCCCGTAGTTGTGAAAGCATTACGGCGATGCAACTTCATTTCCGGAGTGGGTTGCGGTGGTTTGGAGGTGACATAATGTGTGCCGGTTGGTAGTATAGTCGACAAAGCAATTGCGCGTGTTGATTGAAGTATCGAAAGAAGGCATAGCGTGGATAAGAAGATGCCCATTTTGCTGTCTCTTCTTTTCGCAAGATTGAGAAATGATTTGAATCTTATGTTTTACGACCGTGAATGCAAGACCTACAGGGTATACATATGTAGGATAGCTAGGGAATAACCTAACTCAAGCCGCATGGAATACCTGCTCTCAATTGGCTCCCTCGTGTATGCTTCTTCGCCAAGCCTACATATTTGATATGTACTATGCATATTTTTCCACCACAAATGGCCAATTTAGATAAAGCGGCTTGGCATTTAGGGGGCTGAAATTCGTAGTAATGCTTATGAGAACGAGGTCCTTGACTTAAGCCTCGCAAAGAAACCTTGGAAGGATTTTTGTTCAAATTCTTCGTGTTCAAACTCGTCTTAGCAAGGTTGTTGTATATTGACTGAGTAGAGTAGTGAGGCTGCTTATTGAGCCTCACCAAGGGGAGACTCTACATTCCAGACCGTAAATATTGCAATGGATAGGTTTATCTATTACCTAACTCCTGTCATTTATCAAGTGTGGATAAGATCATACACAACGAATTACATTCATGATTGAACGCCCAAACATTACTTTTTGACCAGTCACTGAGTACGCCTCTAAGTGTTTACTCTCCCCGGCCAATTTACCTACGATTTTCCCGGGCACTATCACCCTGCGTCTTGATCCCCAGTAGTGCGTTTCCCACACTAATACCAGTGAAGATCTCGACAGCATATTTAGGATCATAATGTCTAAGTTTTAGAACCACGATTAGTACCCCGTAGTTTAATCCTAGTTAGAGCTTATACTCTAGTGAGAAATATGGATACTCAATTCATCAAGCCTTATAGAGGGGAATATAGAAGGCTAAGCTCCTCGATACTGGACATTAGAAGGGACGACGACCAAAAAAAAAAGAACGATCAGGAATATATATGCCATCTGACTGTATATAGCCTATAGCCTAGGTAATGATTCTAAACACAATATAATATCACCCTCCCTCTTTCAAGGAATGCCTCAAATTACCGAAACGAACTATAACCGCTGTCAGAGCCGGCTAGTGCTGTTTCAGTTGTTTTGGTCCACAGGGTTGCATAATCATGTCATTAGACCTATATAAGTGCCCTAAGCTTCCATCGGAGTGTATACTTGTACCGTGCTTCGTAGATGTACACAGTAAAGTCAGACGACACTAGGGTAGTAGGGCTGTTCACGGGTGGATGCCCGAGGCATCAGGTAGTTAATTTTTCGATGCCTGACACCTATTTGCTGAGGCCCTCCTACCTGGGTTCGGACATCCTTCGTCCCGAGTCCATAAAGACCCAATCTGACTAGGAAGATACGATTTTCTTCCTCAGTTTTTTCAAGGTTGGTTAGAAATTGATGCCTCAGGAACAAACAAATTTACTAAGCTTCCTTATCGGGCGTTCTTATCTTTCTTTCATCTACAGCCACGCGAGCGCGTCTGATCGCGTCAAAGCCAGCGCTCTGTTGGCACAAAGGACCTCGAACTGACTGATATTGCGAACTCTGAGACCCCCAGATCAGAAGTCATCGTTGAAATTATGCCCGAATACAATGACAGCAATCGTGCCTTTCTCCAGGCGTTCATGGCACGGTCGTCTATGACCTTCGAAGATGCGCAACCCATCCTAGCAGCGATATTAACAGTATCTGGTACTTGACTCCTGTTTAAGCCCCGTGCCATGCATGACGGTAGTCGCTGATGTTGAAATTATCGAGCAGAGGGGCGAGAAGTGGATCCTGATGAGGTTGGGGAAGACCAATTCTCTGACTTTATTTCGGCGGCTAACACCGCCGTGTCACCCTTCGACCTCGAAATCAGAAGCTCACTGCCACAAGTCCTTGAACCAGCCCAGCAAGATGCCGCAGCCCCACCACCGAAGCGAGTATATGCGCTTGTAAATACTACGAGTGATCCTTTGACACAACTCGCGACCACTTATTCTCCAGACGAGATCGCATTTCTCAAGCGCTTGCTTGACTACATGTTTGCCACAAATAATACACGACTGTGTGAAGGAATGGTAGCTACACAGATGCAAGCTGTCCAACTACATAAGGTTCCGTCTAGCGAACGGCAATCCACGGGCAATGATTCAACACAAACCCAAACTGCAGCGGTACAGTCATTGCGTATGACCCAGGCAGAAACCATGATTATCCACTTGATCGAAGAGGGCTGGCTGCAGAAGAGCCCAAAGGGCTTCCTTAGCCTTACACCACGAGCACTGATGGAGTTGCGTGGCTGGTTGGTCTTGACGTATAACGAGAATTTCGATGACCGATCTGTGGAGCGGATTAAATTTTGTGCTGCTTGCAAAGACATTATAACCGTGGTAAGTATGCTTGATCCTGAATTAGTACGAAACAGACCTGACCGAGATCCTCCAGGGCCAACGCTGCGAAAACCGTGACTGCAAGGGTCGACTCCATGACCATTGCATGCGCAACTTTTTCCGCATGCAGCAAGCAGAGAAATGCCCTTTGTGCAAAGAGGAGTGGCCCGGCGATAAATTCGTGGGCGAGAGAGCGCTCACTGCGAACTCGAGGCCAAGCAACGCTGCTCCACAACAGAGGCAGTCTTCGTCTGCTGCACCTAATGCCCTTGGCGAAATTTCTGAGGACGGGAACAACAACGAAGAGGAGGAGGAGGAGGAGGAAGAAGAGGAAGAAGAAGAACAGACTTGAACCTCCGCTGGCGTGGCAAATAAGACCTGTCTTGGGTCTTACCAGATTTGTTTGACCAAGCGTTAGTTACGACGTGAGTTTCGCACCGTGGACACGCCCATGCGAACAGCGACGAATGAATGAATGACAGTAAAAACGATCGAGCGAGGATTGCTGTCAACTTGCTTGAGGTGATGTCCAAGGCAATGTGCCATCTCGCGCCTCTGAGCTTTTTGATAAGGCTAACCCTTTCTATTTTGTTTCAAAATGTAAATATTGGAGATCATGTGGATGACAATCGTCATGGGCTTTGTAAGAAAAAGGCCGAGTACAAACATGATCTTGGATGACCTATGATATGAAATCAAACAACTTGAGCATATTGAAGTGCATCGTCCTGGTATATTCAAGGCAGTAGAATAGAGAAAATGATGTTTGAACATGGGCGTTGATGTAGTGGACACCTGAGGCATAAACATCTCACTACAACCTTCAACCTCAAATTTCGATCCTTTGAACCTTCATCCTTCATCTCTTCAAGAATCATAACCTTGGGATCATTTAATATTTCCCTGATCTGTTTTTATTTTATTTTATATAGCACGGCAACTTCCCAACGATGTCTTGTCAGACAATTTACTAATGCAAACCCCCAACCCCCTCAATCCCCCCAACTTCCCCACAAAACCAACAAAATCCCTCGCGCCAAACCTTTTTAGCAGTCGATGACGACGATCGTGGCCCGATCCCAACTCGGGTAGGTCTTGGCCGTGAAGGATGCCGACGGAAACTTTCGGTCTTCACAGCCAATAGCCAATGTTATGTCCAGAATCCCATCCTATTTTGTCTTTGCCCCCCGCATTTCCCGGTTCACCCGTTCCAAGCCGTTTTCCATACGGAGTACAAGCCACCACCAGGGCAGCCTCGTACGACATTTTCCCAGGGCCTTGGCTGACGGATGCCAGACTTCCACCCACCTAGATAGGCAGAAATAGGTAGAAGGCGTATAATTAACCTTGGACTGAGAACAGTCCTCTGAACCTTAGAATGGGCCAGTAAGCTTGAGTTTATTTCCCCACATTTCACCATTCCTAGCCAGAGTCATTTTAAATTGCTACCTACAATAGGTACGTGCCTGGATCATCCCCTTTTTCGTGTTGATTAGGAAAGTGCCTTTAAAATCTCTCTTTCCTTTAAACCTCTTCTTACTTCCTCCATCCTCCTCACCCTGTGAATAGTGCCGATCGCTACTTCTTGTTCTACTTGATTCTGACTTATTCGAGAATTGACCTGGTTGACAAGGTGGTGAAACTGCAATATGCAGTTCAAGGTGAGTTAATACCCGTATGCCCTTGCCAATTGTCTAACACTCTGCTTAGTTTTTTACGTGCGCGGCATTGCCGCTACTTCTGAATCTTGTCAGCGGTTCTCCCGACAGTCGTATCACAAGATGCTTCAAAGAACACACAGGCTCTAGCTCGGCGCCCAACGTCAGCAATAATGTGTACCAGACCGGCTTCGATGGTGTGACCTGGGACGAAGACAATTGGCTTCTGAGTTCGACAAACTTGGAACAGGGTCGCTTTCAATCCCGAGGAGCCGTGGCGAACGGATATTTGGGTATCAATGTTGCCAGTGCTGGCCCTTTCTTTGAGATTGATACTCACGATCATGACACCAATGGCTGGCCACTTTTCTCTAGACGCCAGACCTTTGCAACGGTCAGTGGGTTCTTTGACTCACAACCTACCACAAATGGCAGCAACTTTCCCTGGTTGTCCCAGTATGGAGACGACAGTGTGATCAGTGGTATTCCCCACTGGGCGGGAATTATCCTGGATCTCGGTAATGATACCTATTTGGATGCAAAGGTCGACAATAAGACCATCTCCAATTACCGAACCACATACGACTTCAAAGCAGGCATCTTGGTCTGGTCTTACAAATGGACGCCTCAGGGAAACAAGGGATCTTACCAGATTACCTATCGTCTTCTCGCCCACAAGCTGTACGTCAATCAGGCTGTGGTCGAAATGGAGATTATCCCGACCACGGAATCTAATGCGACCATCGTCAATGTTATCGATGGAGCTTCTGCAGTGCGCACCGACTTCGTGGAGACTGGAGAGGACAACGGCGCAATCTTCTCGGCAGTCCGGCCGAATGGGATTTCTAATGTCACAGCTTATGTTTATGCGAACCTCACTGGGTCGCCAAATGTGGATCTCTCTTCGCGCAAGATTGTGACCAACAAGCCATACGTTCACTCCAACGAATCCTCCATTGCGCAATCTGTGGATGTGAAGTTCAAGCCTGGTCAGTTAGTTCGCGTCATCAAATATGTCGGAGGTGCTTCTACGGATGCCTTTGTTGATCCGAAACAAACGGCCAAGAAGGCTGCCTCCGCCGCGATGAGCAATGGCTACACCAAGTCTCTTCGAACCCATATCGTGGAATGGGAAAATGTTATGCCGGACGCTTCGGTTGACCACTACGCGTTCCCCAACGGGACATTGCCTGCAGATAGCCACATCATTGATTTGGCAGTAATCTCCGTGGCCAGCACTTACTACTTGCTGCAGAATACTGCTGGCAAGAATGCAGTCAAGGAAGCCGCGGGAGCACCGGTGAATGTGGACAGCATTTCAGTTGGTGGCTTGACCTCTGACTCATATGCTGGCCAAGTCTTCTGGGATGCGGATGTATGGATGCAACCCGGGCTTGTTGCTTCTCACCCAGAAGCCTCCGAGCGGTTCACCAATTTCCGTGTGGCCAAGTATGCCCAAGCACAGGAGAATATCCAGACTGCTTTGTCTGGCTCCAAGAACCAGACACATTTCAGTCCGTCAGCTGCAATCTTCCCTTGGACCAGTGGCCGTTTTGGCAACTGCACCGCTACTGGTCCTTGCTGGGACTACCAATATCACCTGAACGGAGATATCGGAATTTCCCTGGTTAACCAATGGGTTACAAGTGGTAACACAAAGGTCTTCAAAGAAGAACATTTCCCAATCTACGATTCGGTGGCTACTCTCTATGCGGACCTGCTGGTTCGAAACGGGTCTTATTGGACATTGACCAATATGACCGACCCTGTAAGTTTGGCGCTCCATCTCTTTGCAACATCCAAAACTAACATAAGATAGGACGAGTATGCCAACCACGTTGATGCGGGTGGCTTCACAATGCCACTCATTGCCGAGACCCTCCGAGATGCCAACGTCTTCCGTCAGCAATTTGGACTTGAAGAAAATGCTACCTGGGATCAAATGGCTGACAATGTCTTGGTGCTTCGTGAAAACGAGGTGACTCTCGAGTTCACTACCATGAATGGAAGCGCTGTCGTCAAGCAAGCTGATGTGGTTATGGTCACCTATCCCCTGGGCTATACTGCCAACTACACCAGCCAAAATTCGCTGAATGATCTGGACTATGTGAGTATTCTGATTTTCGGCAAAAGAAAACCAAACTAACAAGATCTAGTACGCAGCCAAACAATCTGCTGATGGCCCTGCCATGACCTGGGCTATCTTTTCTATCGTCGCAAACGAAATGTCGCCATCTGGCTGCTCAGCATATACATATGCGCAGTACTCATACAAGCCTTATACCCGCGCGCCATTCTACCAAATGTCGGAGCAAATGGTGGATAACGCTACCATTAATGGAGGCACGCACCCGGCGTATCCATTCCTGACTGGTCACGGTGGTTCCAATCAGGTTGCCATATATGGTTATCTTGGATTGCGACTGGTAGCAGACGACATCCTCCATGTGGATCCAAATTTGCCTCCCCAGATTCCATACCTGAAGTATCGTACCTTTTACTGGCGGGGATGGCCCATCTCGGCGTGGTCAAATTACACACACACGACCATCAGCCATGCCACAGAGGCTGTCCCACTGGAGACTGCCGATCAGCGATTTGCCAACAAAACAATCACGATTCACTCTGGCCCAGAAGTTGGTGCCACCATTTACCATCTCCCTCTCAAGGGCTCTGTTGTCATTCCTAACCGACAGAGTGGATCGGAGAAGACTGTGGCAGGCAATCTCGTACAGTGCCAGGCTGTTTCCTCTTCGGATGCATTTGAGCCTGGCCAATTCCCCATTTCCGCAGTAGACGGCGCAGCCTCGACAAAATGGCAGCCCTCGCTGGCATCTGAGGTAAACTCCGTGACCGTCTCATTCGAAGATGAGGTCGGCGCTATGGTATCAGGCTTCTACTTCGATTGGGCGCAGGCACCCCCGGTCAATGCCACAGTTATCTTCCACAATAAGACCCTGGAAGATCCCGCGAAGGCGCTTTCCGCTCAAAGCTCGGACTACACAGTTGTCCACAGCCTGACAAACATCATTCAATCGAATCCATACGAACCCGGGGCCACCAACCTCGATATCATTGCCATCCCTACCGGAAACACAACAAATGTGACTTTGTCATCCCCCGTGCCAGCAGCGCGCTATGCGTCTCTGCTTATCGTGGGAAATCAAGCGCTTGACTCTGTTGATGTGAAAGCTAAGAATGGAACCGGCGCGACTGTTTCCGAGTGGGCTATTCTCGGACAGGAAAAGATGCACACTGCTTCCTCAGGCCCCAAATCTGCCAATAAGAAGATGAACGTGCGAGCAGCAGCCGCCGTCTCAGGCGCGGATGCCTTTATGCGTCGGCGTCGAGAGTTTGTGTTCTAGCTTTAGAGGCTGATTGACTTGCCCTGGGGTTCGCCCTAGATTCTCCCCGAAGAACTCAATAAAGACACTCTCTTGTAAATAGTCGTCCTTTGGATTTCATTCTCTACCGGCATTTCTCCCACACTACAAATTTATTGAGTAGATGCCTACAAATCAAACATGCTCCAAAGTGTTAAAGTTCGAGTTGTAAATTGTGACAAATTGAACAGAATCGCAGCTATTTAAAATTGATATATCCATACATACATTCATAACGGACATTCTTTACTCATCAAGCGCAAACCGATCCAAGAACTTGAAGGTCCGAAGTCCCTCCTTAATATCCTTGGAAAACGCATCCCCAGCAGTGCTGGCAGTATACACACCCTCACGGTCCGAAGAAATAAGCCCAGACTTCAGAGCATCAGAGCCCTTACCCAGCGCACCAACAGTCTTCCCGAACCGGAAAGCATCGAGCAGAATATCCAAAGGCCGACCAGCGGGGTACAAAGACGACGCACCAGAAGCCTTATTCGGCACGCTAGTAAAAGACTTGGAGCCAAACAGACCCTCCGCCCCATCCGCAACAACAACAGCATCAAACTGCACCGCATCAGAAGCAGAATACGTCTGATCAACATGATCAACCATCCGCTCCGCAACAACGACGACATCAACGCCCGCAGAAGACAAAGCAGACTGCAACTTCGCGCCCTGCGCAATAGAAGCAGGCTTATCCACAGACGCAAGGAGTCCAACCTTCAGTCCGTCCAGCTTGGCGAGCTTCTGTCCGAAGGCGCCGATGTGCGCGGTCGTGTTGTCGTGGTAGAATGAGTCATCTGGCTTCGGCGCGTCGATGCCAATGGCCTTTGCGACGCGAGTGGCGAGATCGTTGCTGATGCGGTTTAATTGGATGATTACGTTGTTGCGGACGACGCTGCTCTTCACGTTCGAGGTCTCGAAGCGCATTGCGTCGACGATGAATTGCTTCTCCGCGGCTACGAGGGAGTTCCAGAATAGGCGGGGCTGGGACCAGACGTCTTCAAAGGTCGAGCTGACGGTGCGTTGGAGCTTGCCGCTTGCTGTGCGTTCTGGTGCAGTGAAGAAGCCCTTGCCTGCGGTTTGGTTGGCTTGTTTTGGAGAGCCTTTGTTTTCTGTGTTGGGGGAGTAGGCGTTGGGGTTTAGGGGGATGAACATTTGGCCTGGGTTTGTTAGAAAGGGGGTTTGAAGGTGAGTGAGATTGGGTGGTGGTAGGTACGTACCTGCTCCGTCACGGTTGTTGTTGTGGATTGGTGCGCGGGGGCGGTTGATGGGGAGCTGCTCGAAGTTGGGGCCGCCGTGGCGGTTGAGTTGGGTGTCTAGGTAGGAGAAGAGACGGCCCTGGAGGAGGGGGTCCTCGGTGAAGTCGACGCCGCGGACGATGTGGCCCGGTTGGAACTAAGAAATTAGTATTACTCGCTGGTGATTATAGGTCGAGACGTACCATGACTTGCTCGGTTTCAGCGAAGTAGTTCAAAGGGTTTCGGTTCAGTTGCATCTTGCCCAGCTTCGTGACAGGAACGAGCTCCTCCGGGACAATCTTGGTAGGATCCAAAAGATCGAATCCAAATCGAAGCTGGTCCTCTTCCTCCATAATTTGAACACCGAGCTAACGAATAATTAGCAAGAATTGTGATGAATGTGGGGTTTATGACCTACCTCCCATTCGGGGAAACGTCCAGCCTCAATGGATTCGAAAAGATCCTGGCGCATAAAGTCCGCATTTTTACCAGCGGTCTGCTGCGCTTCCTCCCACACAAAGCTAGCCTTGCCCTGCAGTCCCTTCCAGTGGAACTTGACAAGCTTGGTCTTTCCATCGTCAGTAACCAGACGGAAGGTGTGCACACCGAATCCATCAACATGACGGAACGACCGAGGGATACCGTGGCCAGCCATCGCCCAAAGAAGGGTGTGAAGTGTACTAGGCTGCTGACTGAAGAAGTCCCAAGCCGAATCGTGTGCGGTAGCAGCTTGGGGGATCTCGTTGTCGCCGCGGGGCTTGACGGCGTGAATGAGATCCGGGAACAGTATGGCATCCTGGATGAAGAAAACGGGGATGTTATTTCCAACAATATCTAGATTCCATCAGCTGTGTCCTCTGTTTGTCAAAAGGGGTCTACCGTACCAAAGTTTCCTTCATCAGTATAGAAGCGAGTCGCAAAGCCGTGGACGTCTCGCGCGGTATCGGCGCTTCCGCGACTACCAGCAACGGTGGAGAAGCGTGTGAACATAGGGGTTTGTTTGCCTTTGGCGGAAAGGAAAGATGCGGCAGTTATGTTGGACCAGTCCCCGTAGGAGGTGAATGTTCCGTGGGCGCCGGCGCCTCGAGCGTGAACGGCGCGTTCCGGTACCTTAAAAAGCAGATATGAGATTTAGAACTTCAATTAAAATGCAAAAAACATACCCGTTCATGATCGAAGCGTTGGATTTTCTGGCGGAAAATGAAATCCTCAAGCAGAGTCGCTCCACGTTCTCCTGCGCTGAGACTGTTTTGATCCTCGATCGGGCCACCAACGTCGGACGTCAGATAGACATCTTGGTCCTTGAGGTAGAATTGTGAGAGAAATTCTTCGGTGTTGGCAGCAGCATCTCCGTCAGCTCGGCGCTCGATGTGAGGGTTATTGCCGGCCTCGCCAGTCATATAAGGACAGGCAGCATTGGCAATGCCAGCAAGGCCCGTAACGAGGGCAAGTACATGCATTGTGACAGTTAAATAATATAACTGTTGAAGGAAAGTTTAACCTCGATTGAGTTGCCAATGGTTCGAACTTCAAACGAAAGATGGAAGATCCAGGGTTCACTTTATACTCCGGGTTGGATGCGAACCTGAGCAGGGAACTAAAAGTACCCAGTGCGACTTTTGCAATGAGCCAATGGGAAGCTCCATGAAAAGGCAATGACGCATAATTCAGGCACTATTATTGATCAGACCTGGCCTGGGCTGGCCATTCTCCAACCAGGAAGCCGTTGATTATTTCAGCGCAGTGGCCGGCCGAGATTAACAGTGACGAGATCGAATCACCTGTGGGACATAGTGGGGCCCGGCTGGAGTTGTTGACTGTCTCCACGAGCCAAGGAGAAGACCAGAGACAACGTGCATACTTTGCTCCGAATGACCGTTGGCTCGTCCCAATTGGAATACTGGGGTGCTGATCCATAGGCGGGCTATAGGCATCAGGCCATCATGGCGGCCGCTACTCCGTAGATAGAAAGAAAGGTTGGCAAAAGATGTAAGCTGATTGTTTGAAACTCTTAGCGACTTGGATTTGAGTCGGAATAGCCGGATGTATCTCATCAACCGTCGTGCATAGTGAAGGGGGAATTGAAGGGGGTGGTGTCTTGGCGTTGATTAAGCGTCGCAGGGGAACGTTGGTCGAGGCCGCGATGCTTGGTAATTGGCGAGTAATATCTTTGTAAAAGCCACTTAGCGTCTGTCTGGCCTTTTTTTTTTAAAAAAAACTGTATTACATATGTAGGGGATCTGCACCCTAGCGTCAAGAAATTTATGTCTCATGTTGGAACAATCTCCTAATAACTGTAACATTATGGAGTACTCTGTAGGCGGATATCCAGGTAAACACTCACATTGAAACATTGAAATCCAGCACTCGAAATTGGGACCTGGAAAATCAACAGGGATTAGGCTGCGGTGCAGATTACCAAGACCGGCTTCTGCACCTAATCCCTGTTAACGCACATCTCTACCATTTTTAGATCTCACCCGCAACTCAGTTGGGATCCTCCGTGATAACCCATTTGTGTTGGCGATAGCCAAGACGTTGCATCGGTCTCCGGTCTCCGATCTCCGGGGCGGCACAACATGGGGAATAGTTAATTTTAGATATGGCAGTCTTGTCCTGCATCAAAAGATATGCCCATGTGCCGTCGTGGCCGCTTATTGCTGGGCTCGCGGGGTGTGACAAGCTGAGATGCTTGGCGGGTGGGAAATCACTTAGCCAGCCATGAAAGAGATGAGACTGGTCCTTTATGATCTTGGCAACTGTGAGCTTGGCATAACTGTTACTGAAAGAGCTATTTTTAATGTGATATGTGTGATAGAGCTTTCGGCCGGGGAGTACGGGATATCGTGAGAGGGGCCGATATTTGTTTTTTTGGATTGAGTACTTTGTTTTCGAATCCAGCCGGGCTGTTCGAAGAGCCGTTAAATGAATTGAGTAATCATATTAGCGTTGGTTTACCCCGCGAAAAGAAAACATAGAGCCATGATCGAAGAAAGTCCTCAATGTCCCATCTTGACTACTCTTTTCATCAAATGTTATACATAGAAAAGCTCTCTTGCAAATTTCAAACCGTTTTCACCGCCTATAGTCTGGCTACAACACTAATAAGGGGGAACATATCTAAAAGAGATGGACTTTGAAAAAGATTTTCAAAAAGATCTTCAAAAAGACCACCAAGGCCGCATAAGCGGCCGACTATTCTTTGTTGTCTACTGTCTATAATCCGAAAAGCTGCAACTCCGATACGGAGCACACCTCCTAGGAGTATACTCGGCCGATGACATAACATATCTATCCTCGAGCCATCGAGGCGACCTCACTCGGTCCGGCGGGGTCACTGCGATCCACAAACCCATGCTTCGCATACAGCGGGGCACCAGCCTTACTAGCATCGATATATGCCCCAACACCCTCATGATCCGCAATTTCGCACCCCCAGCGAACGAGCATAGAGCCTGCCCCGCGACACCGGTAGTCGGGATGCGTACCGAGCATATCAAGGTCTATCCATAGCGTCAACAAAGGCACAGTCACGCAGCAGTAAGCGGCTACCCGTCGAGGATCAGACCAGACTTACAGTAATGCTTCCGATCACCCATCACACGTTTGCGCGATTTCTCCAGCCCCCCAAAGAAAGCATCGCATTCCTGGCCAGGCATGTCCCCGTGCCAAGGCGGGAACCGAGCCCCGCGCTCGTCGGGCATGGCCAGGTCCCATTTCGCATATGCGACTATCCGTGCCTTCCCTTGCGTGTCCTTTGTATTGGGGTCGACGATCTTGATGTACTTTTGATAGGGCTTTGTGAGCATGTCGGTGCGGTTGGCTTCGGTGAACCATTCACGCGCCCCTGGCGTGTCCGGGATTAGGTGGCGCATGCCGGGGTCGTTGAACACGGTGAACCATAGCTCTGTAATGGCGGGGATATCTTCGACAGTTGCTAGTTCTAAGACTAGAGGGGTTGGGGTAGACATTTTGGGCTTTTTCGTGTTGGTTGTTGTCGAGGGGTAGGTTTGGGTATACAGTGGGGGCGAGACTACAGGCTAGCGGTCAAGGCTAAGTTGATTTGGAATACTCACAACTATTTGAAGTCTGAGTCAGACAATATAGAGAATTACATAGATCAGAAAGGAATCTTTGTTCATTGGCGCGTTACATGCAATGCAGCTCTGGAGGTCTAAATTATATAAAACTCTAAATTATAAACTTAGAAGCACAAGAATATTTTAGATTTCTTTGTTTCTAGATATCTTCTCCCTTCTTAAGTTTTCTAGGTAGACGGCAGCGCAAGGCGGAAAAAGGCTTAAATTGTGAAAACGACTTTTCTATGTATAACCTTTGATATCAATTAGAAAAAAGGAGCGGCAAACCCTGCAGGATCACTCGATATCGCTTAGTATCTCGGGAAAGTAGCAAAGTTCCAGCTCTTTCCACCCTTAATGAGCTGCGAATCCACACCATTGCTACCGCTGTTAACATACAGCACCTTGGTGAATGCCACCTCGGTGTAATAAGTGAAAGCCACACCAACGGGAATGAAAGCTACATCGCCAGTGTACAAGGTCGCCACAGGATACTCCCCGATCTGGATTATGAGCACACCTTCCACAACCTCGAAAGCAGCAGCTCCGGACAAAATGTATATGGGCGCATTGTCCTTGGTCTGGCGGCTGAGTGAGATGGTCGCAATAGTGTAGTTGGCGTCCTGGGACTGCTTAGTGACTAGAGGCTGGATGACCTGGTACCCGTACTTGGAGCTGAGGTACTTGGGACCGTATCCACTGGCAACAAAGTAGGGCTTGCCAGAGTCACCGAGAGCATTATCGCCGGTGTGCCACTTAGAGTTATCAACGGGAGCGGTGCCGTTGACCAGATCACGACGAGGCTCGAAGCCAAGCTGGGCGTAGACGTCGAACTTTTGCAAAGAAGTAATCATACTAGGGTCGGATGTTGAAGAGCTGTTCGATACCGCGGGAACAAAGGGGGTATCGGTGCCCGATGTGTAGTTGGTTCCAATGGCATAGAAGAGTTCCCTTGTCAGGTTAGTCAAGTTTAAACGAGTTCGTTATATGCAGATTTACTCAAAGCCACCAGGAACAACGACACCAACCATCTCGGTGTCAGGATCCAGGATCTGGAACGTGTGAGTCGTGTTTCTAGGAACCGACCCATAATCACCCTGTGTCAAAAGGCGAGCCTGCTGCTCCTCTTCGCCCTTCTGCGCCCAGAGCTGGAACCGGCCTTTGAAATTGAAGAAATTCTCAGAATGCTTCTGATGTATGTGCGGCAACACGCCTAGCGCTCCGCTGGAGGGCGAGTTGGTGCTCATCAGAGTAAACGCATTATTCGAGGAAGGGCCAGTCACTGTGAAGCGGTACAGCTGATCCCCAACGGTGACGGCATGCGAGTTTGCGTAATGTGGAATGACATAGGGGCGTGGGGAAGAGGGCGCATTTTGGAGATAAAGGTCCTCCAAGGTGGCGGAGTGGACGAGGCCGCCGAATGAGGCAATGAGAAGCAGTGAAGATGTCAACATTTTGATTTATTGTCTTAAATCAAACCCCGTGCGAACTCAAAGTCCTTTTCTTCTCTCTTATCCACTCCGAGCGGTTTGGGATCGAAACCTTGGAAGCGCAGCTAACCCCCTATATATGATGAGCTCGGCAAATCCGACATCCGGATTTCCCTAGGCCGGTATTGAAGTAATATTGAAGCGATACATCTCGTATCATGTAGAACATACGATGTGCGGGGTATATTGTATTGAATTCAAGTGAGCTTGCTCGAGATCCATATTAACAGTTGCCGAAGTCACATCCGGTACATGTGGCTTCACATGGGGATGTCCTGGAAGCCTTACTGCGGGTTATCAACCAGATGAGTCTGTCACCCACGTGAGAAAATGACAATTTAACCGAAATTATGTGGAAACACCGGGTAAATTGGAAAGAGTTCTTGGTGGGCTCCCATATATTGCAATCCTGTTTCGAATTAGCTCGGCGGGAGTCGTGCGACAGTTTTGCCGATCCAAAACAACCTAGGTTTGAAGGACGAGCAGCTACCCCGTAGAGTAGATGTTATTCAAGCTCTATTCGGGAACGTTTCATAAACTAATATCCACTTCCCGAATGGCGCTTCTTGTTTAACGGGTGGCTTCGGCTTGGATTTCCGGGGCACGAGGGCGATTAATCCAGCGAGATTGTGAAGAAATAAATTTTGATTTCAGTTACATGGCTTTATCTACAATTCATATTTACATTGAATATTAACAAAAAGATCCAGGGATAGGCGGTAAGAATCGGCAAGCCTAGGTTTGAACAGACCGTCCTACCGTCCATGGAGCAGGGGTCTTGACACAGGTGTCTCAAGTGAGCGGCAACAAGTATGCGCCGACACTATATCGAAAATGTTAGCAATTGCATCTTCAATGAATAGACAGAGTGCACATACGAAATAGCCGCAAAGCAGGCACACAAGATAGCCCCCTCCAAATAATTAGTCTTTCCTTTGAGAACGATGAAATCGACCAAAAGAACAGCTCCAATCAGTGTGACCATTTCGAACTTGTCAAAATGCAAGGTCATGGGCTTGTCGAGAGCCCAGCCAATAAGCACCATAGCAGGTGAAACCAAGAGGCCGATTTGAATAGCTGATCCAAGAGCAACACTGATGGCAAGATCCATTTGGTTTTTCGAGGCCACGACGACCGCAGTAACATTCTCGGCAACATTTCCGGCGATGGGAATGATGATCAAACCGACAAATGATTCACCGAGGACGCCCTGTTCGTTGAGCGTTGAGAAGCTCGAGGAGAAGTATTCGGCGCATATAGCGATGAGAACTGTCGATAGGGCGAGGAGGGTGACTGATATCGTTCGGTTGGACTTGATAACGTAGCCGTCGCAGCAACATACTCCATAGTCTCCGATAGGTGTTTCCGTTGGTCCGTGGAGGCTCGGCCTTCCTTCAGATGGCTCATTGTGAAATAGTGGCATTGCTGATGCTGTGTGTGCGTCGACCGAACATGACCGTGATCGCACCTCTTGCATCTCTAGCTGGGGAATATCTCTGCTGGTTGCGCTTCCGACCTGAGTGGGATGCGATTCGAGGTCGTCTGTATATTGCTGGGGATCGGTTGGATGGGGCACTTGAAGCCGCGTAGAGTGGAACAAGTGAGCGTGTGATTTAAACTGGAAGAAAAGGTACAAGAAGTATGTGCCGAGGAGAATGATCGACACCCCCCTGCTGAAGGACAATGACATATGATCAGCAGACGTGACGCTTTTCACGCTGCCATAGAAAGCGCTCTATGTCAAGATTAGCATCGGATATTATTGGGACACTTGAAATATCGCCTTACTGGAATCATAAGGCAAGAGATGGTGAGGTTGAGAAGTCCCACAAATGACTGTGTGAGATCAGTGTTGTATGTAACATCACTCGTCGAGATACAACCTGCTATGATTGCAGACCCGAGGACGAGGAGGAGGTTCACAAGGATGGAGCCGAGGAGTGATGATTGAACTACTTTAATGTTGTTTTTCAACAAAGCAGTGCTATAGAAGATTAGTTTCGACTCAGCGCCAAGGCAGTCAACTTGGTGCTATATGCAAACTTACATGCTATATGCTAGTTAGTATATATTGATTGAAAATAGAGGGACGTCCAAGATTTGGACTCACAAAATAATAAGCTCCGCTAGGTTCCCTATGGTGATGTTGAGGAGAGCGCCAGCGGTCTCGCCCAAATCTTTGGAGATCCTCTCAGTGGCTTCTGTGAGCGTGATCGACAGCGGCACAATAGCAAGGAGGTTCCAGATGAATATTACAAGCGCCGGGCTTTTGGTATTGGAGATAATGATTGCGGATGCGGCGAATGCACCCGAGAAGACGATCTTGGGCCGGAGAATCTTTTTTGTCTGTTGTTTGAATATGGAGATCGAACTGCAGGGTCTGCCGTGATGGGGCCAACCAGACAAACTGTCATCATTGGGAATATGTGTTTTGTCTGGTCGAAGGAAGTTTTTCACTTTATGGAAGATGTCGTCTGAGCCTGAGTTTGTGGAGGCCAGCTCGGCTTGTCCTTGATAACGATAAGAAGTCTACGTCAGCTTTATCCAGACAAATTGGAGGGTACAGGACTGACTGCTCATTTCATATTGACAAGGATAGGAACCACTAGACCTGGGGTCTGATTCGAAAGAAGTATTCAGGGCGGCATGCTCGTCACTTGTTGAGCTTTCAGCGAAAGTACTGATGTCATGAAGGTTCTTATCGTTGGAACCATTCACTGTGGTCATCATGGAAAAGCCCTTAGAAAGAAATGGAAGATTAAAACCACTATATAAATGCCAAAATTGAGTGCGGAATGGCCATCCGAAGGTGCAAACGAGTGTTTGAAAATGAGCGTGTGTTGTATGGATTGGGGTTGCGGGAATTGATTATTATCGCCATACGAGATGATCGCGGCACAACCCCTTTTTCCTTGTGGCACTTTTGTTTAAACCACTTTCAAGTTAGCGTCTCTTGGCCACAATATAATTCGATATAAGTTCCCCTTATGCAATGCACAGTGGGTTGTGTGGGGGCTGTACACCGCCTACTTACCGCCTACCGTAGATACACTTGCGTGCTTTCCGATCAGCGGAACATTGAAAGAAAATGACCGTATTGGAAAAAAGTAAGACTCAGATCATATGATTTATCGATACTTTGACACATACGTTTTACTGGCAAGAAATCATTAGACTGATCGTGAATTTGATAGAAGACATTCTATTTTAAGACTGGCAGTACCGGCAGAACTAAAGGGCGGTGTCGGACCTCTACCAAAAAGCCCCACTGTATGCTGGATGATCTGTCACGTGAGAGTGGGGGCCAACGGTGCTAAGCCCAAAGTAGCTTAGAGCGGTGCTGCAAATAAAAAGGGGTGTGCGGATATCAATTATTTTCAACATAGCCAATCCGAAGCTGCTATAGCTGGGCTACAAAAAAACAAGTTTAGCCATGATATTCTACCCCCACTAGGGAATCCAATCACGAATCAGTTAAGCGATGGATCTCCATAATCTGGAAGGAGATAGTGACGGAAATTCTGTGGAGAAAACAAGGCTAGAAGCCAATTAATGTTCTGGGCATTATTGGATGCGATAATCCCCGCAGGGATTGGCGTAGCGGGCTGACATCCTTCCATGGTTGGAATAGACCCATATAAGGCGATACGATTACGAGCGCGAAAGGGGCTCAGCCCTGAAGGCTGGTGGGCCTCCCGAGGTCGGGGCCATATTTGATGACGCCTCGGGAGCATCGCCAAGAGGAACCTTGGAATGGTTCGTTTAATCGCTCATATCTCCCTAATATGCGTGTTTTCCCCGAAGCCGGCGGCAGCAGAAGACATTATACTCTAGGATTCTATTGGTATATCTTCAGGTTAGCGCTTTGAGGGTCTTAATATAGCTCCAAGTGCCAGTGACTAGATTATACACAGCGAATGAAGGCATCGGCTTTCTCCTTAGAAGTCTCTTAATCCGTTTACCATAAGTGTACCTTTGTATCTTAGTGATCCTGAGAATGCAATTAGTACATATGTGTTTAGTTCTAATCTTTGATTTGTCCCTAAACAGTAAGCCATCATAAAGGCTCTCCGTCGAAGCTACCAAATATATAACTGGGGTAATATTGGCCTGTATATGCAGTTCGTTACTAGGTTTCAAGTTGAGCAGCCTTGATGATGATGCAAAGGAAGAACTGTGTTCACTTAACGCTGGTGTATTATGTTGCGAGTTCAGCTATCTGGGAATCTAAGCAAAATAAAAATAAAGAGCCAATACTTTCTTCACTCCAACGCCCAGATATAAGCGTGGAAGATACCAACACTATACCAGCTCAGGGGACGAGTCGAAATATCAAATTCAGGTTGGACCAACTTCTTATCTGCATCCTGCAACTCAAACCCGCGGTGACGATAGCAGCAACCACATGAAATAGTACAATGTCCCCATCCTTTCATCCGATGAAAATCTGGTAACCTTTCGCAGCATTTGCATTGTCTGCCACAGCAACCACCTCGTTTCGCACAATCCTCACGTAGCCATTTACTTTTCAGATGCCAGCCTGGTTTTTCTCGCAAAGAAAATAACGCTTCTCTTGCAGGTTCTCCTGGAACACCATTACACTGGGCGATATAGAGAGTTCTCTCAAGGCGCCAATATTCTTGGTCCAGGAGGACTAGTTCCTCAGCCCAATTCTGTAGTTGCTTTTCGTCATGCCCGATTGAATTCGTATGGACTTTTTGGATTTCTTCCTTCAGGAATGACTCGCGCTGAACAGTTGCACATAGCTGCATTTCCGTTTCGATGACAGGATGCGCCCATTTATACGGACCACTGAGGTAAGTCTGGTAGTGACTCCATCGACGAATCTTTTGGGCAAGTCTCCACGTACCAGATCTCCCTATTGGCTTTTCCACATGGAGAGAGAGCTTCTTAGCCTGTTCGAGGGGCACCATTTTGTCAAATTTTATCATATTTATGAGAGGACTTCGATGGCTAGACCTACATGAAGTTATTAGATGGATGGATAGGCCAAGCATTTACATCATGCATCATCATAGAGCTCGGATACTAAGCCCGTCTAGGAAATGACCTGTGACCAACCTTGGAACCTAAAATGTAGGGATGTCATGGATATGGAAGGCGGTACTACGAAGGTCAAGTATATACAAGTGACTATACTCATTCAATAGGAGCAAGTCCCCAGTGGTCGCTCTGCAGTGTGTTATCTTTCCTCCCCTTGTGTTAGCACCACAAGAGCTCCCAGGCAGCTAGGGAGGTGCTTAAGCTATGGGAGTTTCAACAATGTACAGCACATCTCGTTTATCGGTAATATAGATGCCAGTTTGGCTGTATATCACCAGAAAGTGAAAGTTACAATCTCAAGTAGGCGCTAGGCACTCTTAAGCCTGACATTCTAGAGATCTACCAAAGCCCTCTTCGAAACCTCTCCAAAGCTTCAAGTTGAGTCAGGCCCTGTCCTCGCTCATGGTTCTGTGCTTGTTGAGTATCCTTCTTCTGGTTTTTACAAAGCACATTGTGGGCTCAAGATTCTATTAAGGTAGCAGGTGACATCGGGATCCTGAGCTCGCTGAGAGTCCTGCTTCAGCTTTTTCCAAATGCCGCCGCAGCAGAACATTTGTAGCTCCGATATTCTATTGAGGCATCTTAAAGTTAGCGACTTGGGGGGCTCCAATATAGCCCAAGGGCCTGGGAAATAGAAGCATCATACCTGGTGCACTAGCCTCGTACATCTCCTTAAAGGCTTCGCCTTGTTCTTTTGTTGCTGTTTGGCTTACTTTCGGGTGTCTACATATGTATTACATTAGCGTGATTGAAACATCATAGAAGGGCTACTAACCTCCTTCTATAGTGAAGGACCAAAAGAGCCACAATGGCTGTAAGAAGAGGAGTTACCGCTGGGATGATAATTGCCAACGGCAAGTATTTGTCGGGAACACCGTATTTATTCTTTTCTTCAGACATTTTGTAAATAAAAATAAACGAAGCGGGTCAGGGACTTTCTGGTTTTGCTTTGTATGAGAATGCATTTTTGATAGATATGTATGCTACAAATAACAAGACTCGCGTCCCGGAAGGTCGTGCAACTTTCAAGTCCTGGAGGTTTCCAGAACAATTAGGTAAGAAGGTATGGTTGCACCTTCCCAAGGTCATCTCTCTTGCACTTACACTATGTCGCCCCATTGCTATTGACAACAGATCCATGGATCTATGATAACCATATGATCTCGCTGGGATATAGTAAGTGTCCGAGGTCACCGCATACATGTAAATTACGCTGCGAGTTCCCGAATCTGCGCAACCAAATCAACAACAGTCTGCTTAAAGGGCCGATATTTCACCCCCAACTCCCGAGCTACAGTCTCTCCATCAATCCCATAAGAGGCACTCGGCCTCTCACCCATCTTATAATTCGTGGTCACACTCTCCTTCGCCCAGTCGAACTCATCGCGAATGATATCCGCAGCATATTCGTACGAGAACGGCTCCGGCGAAACAGCCACAAATCGCTTCCCTCCAGCTTCCGGTGTAAGCAAAGCCTGAACATGCACTTCGGCAAGGTCGCGAGCATCAATCCAACCGGGTACCCGCGTTCCAGGAAGTGGATCTGCACCTGCTGCCACACTCCAGAGCATCATATTTGACTCGTTGAGTTGCTGCACCGTCGGCACAGGGTGCACGACCGGACCGAAGACCATGGGAGGACAGAGAGTCACCAGGTCGAATTTGGTCTTCTGTTCCTTCACAAACTCCCATGCTGCGAGCTCGGCGAACTTCTTCGAACCTCGGTATGCAGTGACAGAGTCCGACTTCGGATCGATTGCCTCCTCGTATGTCAGCGGGTTCCAGTTTGCAGCTGTATATGTGAATCCTGGTGCCGGAGTGCTGCTCATGTTGACCACTGAGGCGAAGGAGGATGTCATGACAAGGCGCTGGACTTTGGATCCTGGCTTGGCGGAGGCGGAAAGAATCGACTTGACTCCGTTGATAGCGGGCAAAATCAATTCTTGCTCGTTGTTGGTGGTGTCGTAGAAGAAGGGCTGTGGAACTTGTTAGCTCTTTGTGTCGGTCGTAAGCAAAATGATTGCGAGTTGCCTACGCTCGCGACATGGATGACTGCATCAATGCCATCCATTACAGAATCGAAAACCCCGATCTGAGTGAAATCTTCCACAACGACAAAATCAAGCTTTGAAGCGTACTGCGGGCGTGAAGCCTTCATCTGATCTCCCTTTTGCTTTGATCGTGTCGAGCCTCGGACTGATAATCCGCGAGCCAGTAGGTTGTCGACGACGTGGGCACCAATGAACCCTGTGGCGCCAGTGACAAGGACGTACCTGGGATGATGAGCACCGATCGCGTAGGTGGGAAGAGACCAACTTACGTGGGCTTTTGAGAAGACATTATTATTAGGTATAGGTGTAGTTAGAGGGGTAGAATGAATATTAACAAATCTTTTCTAGGAATGGATTTATTATAGGAGTGCGTACCCCGCGTGGGGGGAAATGAGATTCCAAGATTAATATCCACAAGCAATTCCACGTTGCTGTTAGTGTGGGGGAAGCAATATACGGCCGGAAAGATACATAGGATGAATAGAGGAGAGTATTTTATTATTCTAATTGATCGGTTATATCGTCTAGATATGCATGTATAGGGAACATAAATCACCGCGTATCTATATCTACTATATCATCACTTTCAACTCACTTCTGCTCCTGCAGAACCTCCTCCGTTGTACGGACGATGACATCAAAGGCATTACGGATATACTTCTCTTCAGCCAGAGAGTTGGCACTAACCACCCGTATAACGCAGACGCCATCGACGACTGTAGAGGTGATAAAGATTTCGCCTCGCGTGTTGACCAACTCGGAGATCTTCTTGGTCAGACCATTAGCAACTTCATCTTTGGCCACGCGATCAGACGATCCACTGGCCCCGTTAGATGCAGCCTTGGGGTTCTTAACGCGGAAGACAGTCAAGCCAAAGCCTGGCTTTGTGACAATCTCAAATAGATCGGACCGACCGCGCACCAATCCAGTAAAAATATCACCAAGCCCGATGGTCTTGCGGATGTGCGCTTTCATGCCGTTGAGACCATAGCTCCTGATCACGAACCAAATCTTCAGTGCGCGGAATCTGCGACCGAGAGAAATAGACCAGTTCCGGTAGTCAATTACGGTTCCCATATCCGAGTATGAATTGCGTAGATAAGTTGGTGTGATATCCAATGCGCTCGTCAGATCCAAGCGATTCCGGACAAAGAGGACGCTTGGGGATGTTAGATCAAAGATAAAAATCTGCCCATAGGCGATTGGAGTGAAAAGCTTACCTAGCATCAAAGTTGACTAGCAGCCACTTGTGCATATTGGTGTTGAAGCTGTCAACGCCCTCCGCAAAGTCCTTCGCAATATACTGCCACTCATCCGCAACGAGCGAGGCACCGGCATAGGCGGCATCAATGTGCACCCAGATACGCTGCCACGCCGGCTTTTCTTGCAGAACTGCCTTAATCTCTGCGAAGCGGTCCACACTGCAGGTATTTGTCGTGCCAAAGGTCAATGTGAGGTGGTAGGGGGTAAGTCCGTCCTTATCGCACTTCTCAAGAATCTCACGGAGACGAGGTCCGGTCATTTCCATGTTATCCTCCAGCCGCGTGGTCACACTACGGAAGCGAGTGCCCGCAACCAAAGCACCCTTAGCACCACTGCTGTGTGTTTGATCACTGGCAATAGCGACTAGCCTGGCTTGGACATCGAATTTGCGCTCCTCGTACTCCGGGGTACCCTCCTTCAGGCCTTCGGCAAGAAGCACCTCCCGCACACGCCTCTCCCGTGCGGCGACAATAATAGTCGCAATAGCATCACTCGCACTGTTCTGGATCACACCGCCGCCGTGGGTCTCCGACGTACTCCTGAAACACTCGGGCAGTGCCAAAGCTTTCGCGACCCAGTCCATAACAATTGTCTCCAGCTCCGTGCATGCTGGCGAGCACAACCAGTTGAAAGCTGGTGCGGTGAATGTGGCGGAGTACATCTCACCCAGAATGCTGGGGTATGTCACGCAGGCGGGGAAGTATGCCATGAAATTAGGAGACTGCCAATGGGTCAAGCCGGGCTTGATCTTCGTGTCAACATCTTCCTGGATTTGTGCCCAGGCTTCTGGCTCATCAGGGGGGTTCTCTGGGATCAGAGGGCGAAGGTATCCGGGCTCGACGGCGGGTAAAACTCGGCGCTCGGGCACGCTGTCGAAGTAATTGACGACTGCACGAAAGCTTGGTTAGATTGAGCTTCAAGATTGCACAAAGATAGGACGGCTCGTACTATCATCAATGGCAGAGTGTGCCGCGGTCTTGAACTGGTCACGATCCATGCTGATCGTTTAGAGATCTGCGACGCGGGGTATCTGCTTTTCTATGGGGCTGTAAATGCAGCAATTGGCGGCACAGTAGAATACAGTATAGGAGGAATGTGTAGAATAAGAGTACAAGTGAAATATGTGAGATTGAGGTCACAGCCAATGTTTTAAGGCAAATGTGGGAAAAGCAGACATGTCGAAGAAAAGGCGCGGCGCGGGGAGGTCTGGAATTAATTCCGTCGGAAATTCCATTCCACGTTCCGAGAGCTCGGAATATTCCGCTTTTCCGAGGAGTATATATAACCGTTTATACATCCCAAGTCTATCTCATAGCTCAATCTTCCTCTTCCTTGGGATCATAAATGTCACCCGCAGGTGTCTTCTCCAATCTCTTCCCATCTTCCGTCACAATCTCCTTGCTAGGGATAACCACCACAAAGACCCGAGCAACATCCTTACCTCGATTCACCCATTCGTGGTTTGCGCCGCGGCAGACAATGACATCGTGTTGATTTAGGGTCTTCTCTTCTCCTCCATCTGTGATAAATCCGACGGTGCCAGATAACACCACAGCGTAATCCAAGCTCAGTGTCCGATGGAACCAGCCTGCGTCTGCCGGGGGTAGATCAATTATGCGACAGGAAGGACCCTTGGTGTCAGCCAATGGGACGAGAGTTCTGTGAGGATCAGAGAGCTCGCGCATATTGTCCACTGGAAAGCCCCGCGACCGGTGGATTTGGATAACCCCGAATCCAGAGTCAGGCCCCGGTGTTGAGAATGCCGGAGCAGTTGTGGGATCGTATGGCGTCAAAATTTCGTCGGAAGCAAAATACGCCTTTCCCTGAGCATCGTGGCTTGCGATAACGCGACGGATTGGAGTGTCCATCGCAAGAAAACAAGTGTCCGTAATGAGTAGTGGATAAGAGGGATTGAGAGAGTCTTCGAAGCGAGAAGCGAATATGACAGTAGAGAAAAGAAACCAAGTTAGGGCCTTTTTGTATTTATATACCTTCTAGACCGAGGAAATAACTAAGCATTCAAATACAAATGAAGTCAACCAAGCACTTCAAAGATATCGATAGTCATTCATGGAATAGGTATCCATGGATGCGCTGTCCGATTGATAATCATGAGATTTGTAAGATGGGGGCTGAACTTTAAATCTATGAGGCTGCAAGAACACGGCTTCCAGTTTGACTGCTGGGAGAACACTCAAAATCTAGGTACTGACAAAGTATTTTGATCAATCGTGTTTACAGAGTCGTGTTTACAGAAATGATCTTCGCTGTTGTTTACTTAGCCTCATTTGAATCCCCCTGATTGCTTTCTCCGTTGTCCGGATTGTCAAATCCCTCATCATACACCTCTGCTTTCAGCTCCTTCCCTTCGATATTCAACTTCTCCATTGGTAAATACACAAACAGCATGCGACACCATTCGGTGTCACTACGGTTCCGGAACGAATGTGCGGTACCCCTTTGCACACTCACATCGCCACGATGCATATGCCGACTGGCACCTGAGTCCAGCAAGAGATCAACATCTCCCTCAATTATGACCCCATAGTCGACGCTGACTGTCCGATGCATTGGCGTCGCCTTTCCCGGACGGAGATCAATCAGACGGAAAAGGGTTCCGTTGTCGACTGTGATCCCAGGAGGTTGATGTAGAAACTCGTCGTACATGGCAACATCCGCCTCAGCGTCAACCGAGGCTGGCGTACTGGTTGTAGCGTATAGCAGGGCAATCTCGCCATCTTCCCCTGTCGGTTTTGATGGGAGGTAGTCGGGAACTTGCGCATGGGAAAGAAATACTGATTCGCCCTCCATATTGTGGGTGGTTATGTAGCGGCGGATATAGGGAAGTGGGTTCGGCTGGTAAGGAGGCATGGTGAGCTGATAGAGATGGCATTTGAGAAAGAGAAAAGCGTTATTAGGTCAGGGATTCATCAAAAGTGGCGAGGCTGGAGTGGGAAGTTGCAAATTTGACGAAATGCTGTAACATCATGGTGGCATCATTTTCCAAAATTATAGATCAACCTTGGAATGCCCAAGTAGGATTAAGCATAATTTTGTTCCAAGGTTGAGCGAAAGTCAAACCGCCATACACAATGTATTCTATGAGCGCGCAGGGCCCTTCGCTATCATCTCCCCAAATTTGTTGTTCAAATGGTTCTCCAACATGCGTTTGTGCCCATCCGACACCTTCATCTTGTCTTTCATGCTACTAGCCAATTTCTCAATACACTCATCTAGGCTAGGGCCACCCTCAAAGGTTTCCTCGTGCTTTTTAGCAGCGACTGCTTCCTTCCAGAGATCGTTTAACTCATCTCCCCACCCAAGAGCATCAGCCAATTGACGAACACCGTCGTCGCAACTTCCGAGGATGCACACATCCTCGTCTCGATTACCCAGATCACCTACTTTTTCATTGTTGATCAAAACCCGAGGAATCCCCTCTTTTACCAGCACTGGCAGTCTAGAGCAAGGCGCCACACGCAAGCTAGTTCCCATAACAAGCATCAAGTCCGCCTCGAGGACTTCTTTCTCCTTTTCGCCAAACTCAGCCGGAAGAGGTTGCCCGAAGAATACAACATCTGGCTTGACCGCACCCCTGCACCCGGTCTCAAGACAATAGGGCACTTCACCAGCTAGAATCGCTTTTTTCATGAGATCGGCGGGATATGATGACTTGCATTTATAGCAATGTTGGCTCTTCCAGTTTCCATGAGCCCAGAGAACCTTATCAGGAGGAACACCAGCATCTTGCTCAAGCCCGTCGATATTTTGAGTGAAAAGAAAATGGAGCAGATTCTTCTTCGCTAGAAGTGCGAGGAACGCATGGGTGACAGTCGGTTTGAGATTTCCCGGGTGACGTGCCCGGGCGATCGCATAGAATGGCTCAGGTGTGTGGGAGAAATAATTGATGTGAAAAATCGCCTCTGGGTATGGGAGCCGCAGTGGAGCGAGCTTATCATAAAGACCTGTGTTTGGAGATCTGAAGTCTGGGATCCCGGCGCCTGTGCTGATTCCAGCGCCAGTCAAGACGACAATTCGCGTGACTTTTCCACTCTTGACGCGGTCGACGATTGATTGTATGTCGGGTTTCATACTAGTTTTTGTATGATGCGAGGTCTTGTCGGACATGTCTTCGAGTTTGGGTATTGTTTGGTCTGTGTGGTGGTTGGAAGTAAATGATTGTTTTGATTTTGGAGCATCAAAACAGAGGGGTATCTGTCAGCGTCAGCGCCTTACTGCCTTAGGTTGCTAGCAGAGCCTCATGATCGACCACATAAATCATACCTGTCATATGTCCATCGTAGCCTGACAGAAGAAATTATCCTTATTACTCGATTGGCAAAGTAACATTTGTCAACTCCGTCAGCAAGTCTGTCCAGTCCGGTGTATTTAGCTCAACATTAGCGCTGCTCTCTAGCATCTCCGCCCACATGTCTTCAAGAGGCAATGGACTAAGCAATGCATCTGCTGAAGGGTACATCGTCGATTGACCATTGGAAATTTCTGGAGCAAATGTGATGCTCTTGGAACCCAACGAAACAGGCGTGGGGATTTCCGGCTGCGAGGCATTGGTTGTTGTGGCATTTAAATTCGAAGATGCAGAAAGCTCCTGTAAGTCGCGAGAGCTTACTCTTTTTTCGTGTTTCCAATGCCTTCTCAATATCCCCATCATGGCCTTGATTCCCTCACGTGCGGTGGGCGAGGATAGTTGTGCCCGGCTGAGCATTCGACAAGCGTCGAGTACTTCTTCTTTTCGCTTCTCGGCCAGAATGTCATCCCAGTTGAAACACACATCTATTAGAAGAATGGCAGCTGCCATGAACACGTGGTGCATGACTGCCCATACGACCGAGCTGTGCGGTGTGAACACAGGCTCTTCCTCATCCATAATGCGTTTCAATTCGAGCACCTTGCGCGCAGACCGAAGAGCTACGACATGCGAATAGGAATATTTGGGATCCTTTGCTCCGCGCACTAAGTAGTGGCGATGCAAACGACAGAGCCGTGAATGGAAACCCTGGTGTGCCAGAGCTCGCTGCCATGCAAGAGTTGGTCGCTCACGATAGAGCGCTGAGTGTTCACGCCGGGAGGCTTGATCAAAGCGAAAGTAACTGGGCATCTCATCGAATATCTTGTGAAGCTTTTGATCGACCTCGAGTATCTTCTCATAGGGTACCTCTTGTCCATGGAAATAGTAGTACGACATTTCGTCCACTGTTTGGCGACACACAACAGCCAACTTCAATCGACATAAACTGAATGACATCGCGGTTGGAGTAGAAAGGGGAACACCATTCTCGCTATAGTCGATTTCCTCATCCTCAACATTGAGAGGCTCATGTACAACCATATGCTGAGGTTGGATTGAGTACGTCCACTCTTGTGGTCCGCTCAAAAAGCCTAGTAACCTTCAAATAACATCAGTCATAGTACTAGTAGTAAGGTCTTGCTAACAACATACCAGTCGTATGTTGCCAAGTCCCACCACAACCGTCGTTTGAGTTCAACATTGGTTTTATCAAATTCATTTGCTGAGCGTTCAGCCACAACCCGAGGACAGTCCACAAGATGAAGCCCCATACCAGTGGCTTGACTCACAAATGAACTATGCACAAATAACGGACTGACAGAGGAGGGCAAGTTCATATTGGACAGATGATGACCAATGATCATAGTCGCTTGAAGTCCTTCGAGGGTGGGATAAGGGATATAATTGCTCTGGATCAATGCGGCCCCTGCCAAAAATGTGCTTTCCTGACTGAATGGTTCTGCATGCTCGGATGACTCTGTCAGGAGTTGGTAATACAGGGCGGCAGCAGTGATACTAAACAGCAGCGCAGTGTGGGCCAAATTGATAGACTCATTTCGCGCAACATGCTCGTAGATAGTCTCAATCTGTCTTTCCACGCGACTGGGTATGATGATATGATACTGGAAGTCAAGGTTTTTACAATAATACCGAAATAGACTCAGGGCTTCTGGCAGCGGTGGTAGATATGACGGTAGATGGATAGTCGCCGGATTCTCACGAGAGGCAAGCCGTTCGCACATCGGAGAAAATCGATCACCAGGTGTGGTATTTTGCTGTGAAGGCGAGCGGTCGGGTTCTCGGTGCTGGGAGAGCTCGGCCCTCAGTGTGGCAGGGACTGCACTCGGGACACGGTGTCCCATAACAATTGTCTCAAGCCAATCGGCCGTCAAAAGGGGCAAATTTCCATTGCGGCTTTGTGTCTCTGAGTTCTGTCGTGGAGTCCACTGCAAGATCCGAGGTGGCTCAGACACGCGACCGTCCAACATGGGCCTCTGATCCGTTTGGCCCATAGGTCGTACAGGCGTTGTCCCCGAGCCGTAACCGCCATAGCTACACTCCAATTTCCGTGCGGAGCAGCTACTGCATGGAAGCTCTCTGTCGCACTTCAGCTTCTTTTTTCGACAGGACTCGCAGGAAACAGGGTCTTGTCGAGACTGTCTCTTCGAGCCTGGGGTGATGACTCCAGAATCCGGTCTTCGTTTCATGTTGTGAGTTTCATCGAAAATACTTCAACAGTAGTTGGAACAGCGAAAGCGAAAAAAAAACTGCGCGATCAACGTTTGTTTTGCGCAGGAGCGTGTAGATGTTCGCCTGGAGATTCCGCGGACTCTCCGAAGCGCTAAGCCATATCCGTCAATTCTGCCTCCGGGCATCTAGACAGTAGCCCGGAGACTCCGAGGGCGATTCTTTTATCTTGTAAATGTAATTAATTTGATTTCTTATAAAGAGCATGATGCTCAGCAGTGTCTTTGCTTCAAACCAGATCCATTCCATTTTTAGATTGCTTTGTTAATTTCCCCGGCCTCGAGATTCCCATTAATCGACAAAATGTCACCAAAGGATAGTCCTCCAACTGAATACACGTACGTGAAATATGCTTCAAGCTACAACATAGCTGACCGCTGACTCTTCTAGACCCCGAGCATGGCTTGTTATATTTGGCGCCTTCACATGTGCCTTTTGCACTGTGGGCTTTATGAACTCGTTCGGTATCTTCCAAGAGTACTACACAAAAAACCAGCTATCCTCAAGCTCCACATCTACCATCGCATGGATCGGGGCTATGTCAATATTCTTTTTGTTTGCTACATCTGTCGGGGCGGGAGCAATGCTTGATATTTTTGGACCGAAGGTAAGGATACTATTCCTGAAACATTGGGGAAGAAACTAATACTCCCTTTGAACAGCTTATGGTATATGTTGGCTCATTCGGGTGCGTTTTTGCGGTTATGATGACTTCACTATGCGAGGAGTTCTATCAATTCCTACTCGCTCAGGGTATCTTGTTAGGTATTTCCATGGGTCTGGTGACATGGCCAATACTCGCATTGGTCGGACAATATATCAAGGTGAAGCGTGCTGCGGCGATGGGGATTGTCCTTGGGGGTTCGTCGCTCGGGGGAGTTATTTGGCCCGTTGCAATTGACAGATTGATCAATGAGCCCAAAATCGGGTTTCCCTGGACCATGCGAATTGTCGGCTTTATCATGATTCCTTGCTTGATTTTCTCTTGCACAGTTGCAAGATCCCCGGATACGCGGACAAACAATCTGGAGAATCGCGATTCAAATCAGGAAAGTGGTGAAAATACCACTGAACAAAAGAACCAACAGCAGAGTCACAAGACAGAGGCGCTGGCCCTTTTGCGAAAACCATCACTGCAGCTACTGTGCCTCGCCATGTTCGTCATATACTTTGGCATGTTCTCGCCGTTCTTTTATACGACTTCCTACGCGGTTGAGCAGGGATTCTCGACATCCCTGGCATTCTATACCGTTTCAATTGTGAACGGGGCTTCATTCTTCGGCCGAGTCCTCCCTGGCGTCATTGCTGATAAGTGGGGAAAATTCAACTGTTGCATCATAGCCACTATATCCGCAGGGATTGTTGCATTGTGCTGGACAAAGGTGACATCTGTGGCCGGTCTGGTAATTTGGTGTGCTGCATACGGCTTTGCGTCTGGAGTGAGTTATCCTCGAATGGTATTAACTTCAAACACTAATCAGATTTGTAGGGCATTTTATCTCTCCAGCAAGCCTGTGCTGCCCAGGTTTCTGGTTCTACCACTCTTGGTTTGGCAATCGGGGCCGTATCAGGTTCCACAGCTCTATCGTATGACCACCATTTCTTGAAAGGATAATGTGAGATGCTGACACGAACTGCAGTGCTATGGCAAATATACCAATCAGTGGTGCTCTACTTGAAAAGCATGGGTACCTTTCCCTGTCAATATTTTCGGGAGTATCCTTACTACTAGGTGGTTTACTTATGATTGCTGCGCGTCTGGTACAGAACAAACAGCTTCGAGCTATCGTGTAATGTTCCGCCATTAGGGCAGACATTTGTTCCTCTATTAGGTACTCTAACTTATTCTCTCAATGATAGATTTAATAGAAGGTTAGCCCACTAGCAGTACCGGGCCTTTGGAGGGATGGCAATATTGCTCAGAGCTAACTGTAGCTCGAAGCGCTTTTATTTGAAATATAATTACTGTATATTAGAAGGATATACTTCTGATTCAAATTCAACACAGATTCCTTACTTTTATTAGTTTAGTTGGTCGAGGAAGTGAGAGTAATGATGCTCGAAATTGTAGTCTTTAATTTCGGTGGTAGAATTCACCCATATATACAGATAGCAAAAACAAGTTCCGGAATTCCCAAGTGTTCCGAATCATTCAAGCAATTGCGAAAAGCCGTTTAGCCCGAGGTAACATGAAGAGGACCGTTACCGTCATCAACAGGGCAACCGTCACTGTCAGAATCGAATTCAACGACACAGCTTGCGTCCTGACCAATAGCGATACCAATGAAAGTTGTATCGGTCTGTCCCTTGGAGCTACCGAGGCTGTTTCCATCACCATCCTTGACCTCGCAGGTGTCAGGGTGGCCTGCAAAGTCTGCCTTGCACTTAAACTTGCGTGGGGTTGACCAGCAGTCGCCCTCAATGGTAAACTCGCGGCCGTCGCCGGTGTTGTAGCAGGGTGAGTGATCGTCGGGATAGGCTTGGTCGTAGACGGCTTCACCGGCCTCGTTCAGAATCGCAAAGCCTGTGTAGTGGCCGTTCGTGTTGCCGCCCGCGGGACCGGAGATCGATGAAAAGTCGCCGTTTGACCAGACGACCTTCAAGCGCTCGGCGTAGACGGTTGTAGAGGTAGCCATCAGGCAAAGCAGAACGTTGCGGAGGGAAGGCATGGTTGTTTTGTGAAGATTGAGATTTAGGATGTGAAGGCAGACAGGATTTTGTTGTTCTGATGTTCTTCTCTTGTCGGTGCCATTCAGAAGTCTTTTATACTTGTCCCGAGTTGCCTTTACACCCCTGGGGGCTCCCTTTATGCTTGGTGAGATGACATCACAAGATGATCTATAATGTTTAGTGTCTCTGGGCATATTCCAATTGAGGAAGTTTCCATAGAATATCTGGCGTTGGTGCCTGTCGATGACGCAACATTCGAAGGCACTGGTAGCTGTGTGCCTTGACGGGCAGACTTGTGGGGGAAGGAGAGACGAATTATCCCGCAAAAACATATATTCTTCACAATATACTGAGTGATTTTATTGGCCTAACACTTCGGGGGCTTAAATGTGGAGTCAAGCCGTGCAAGTCTGGGCTTCAGATCGTCAAGCTGAAGTGGATAACTGTACAATTTGTTGCCGCTAACAAGGTGATCTACATAGTGATTTGGCGTGGGCTCTTCAAGGATTATCTCGCCCCCAAAATATGTCAGCACTACTAAACGCTAACAGCAGTGCCAAGTTCAATTTTACCAGCTTTTTTTAGATGAAGAGTCCTGTCATGACGTTACTAGCCCATCCCATTGTATTTCTGTTTCAACTTCCTCTCAAGTTCCTATCCTCATGAGCTCAAAGAATACTTTTCTTTGGACTATCTGTGCCAGATTGCCTATAAGTTTGTTCCTGTGACGCTGGTGACAATAGTATCAGCCAAAATGGCTCCCTTCCAACTCCTGAGCAGTTGACAATATACCGGACTACGTCTTATATCTCCATGCATCTAAACACAGTGCAGCCCCATTGAGCCTCCAATGCAAGCAATAACCACTAGCTAGTTACGGTGGGATGGATGGATTAGTGATTTCATTTGTTCTAACCTCTAGCTAGCGCAATGTGGAAACTACTACGAAGACATATATTGTTGAGATTTAGGTGCGTCACACCACTAATGAATGCCTCAGGCTACACCATTCGTTAATGTACGCTCCTTTTCAGTACAACTATCTCCCTCCTTTCCTTGGGTCCCTATTAGTAGTGACCAAGATATATTCATGCCTGGTTATTCATAGAAACGTCCTCTGTACGGTTTGCGCTTTTTACCGCCTTCGCATACACCGAAAAAGAACATACAAAATACATCGGCGTGATAACGCCTCTAATATCATTTTGGGTCAAATAGATCAGATTATTAGTCTTACGTCGTCAAGGATAGAGGTCGCATGAGCGGCCGACTATTCTTGTATGCATACATACATCAACTGTATCACTTAGAAGAACCAAGAGTCTCGCGGAAACCATTTAACAAGGCTCCGTTCACTTCCTTTGTGGCCATGCGTCGTACAGTCCCTCAAAGACCGTCACATCCTCAAATGTTGCTTCTCCCACTCCGTTGTGGAAGAAGTTAATTTCAGTCGAGTTGGCGTACCAAGACCTACATGTTGTTAGTTATTGATCAATCTCCAGAAACAAGATGAACTTACCGAGCCCAGGTACTAAGAGCAAAGCGCCCATTGGCGTATACTTCCAGCACTCCATTGTCCACCACGACGGTGAGCTCCAATGTCTCAATTTGCTCTTTTCCATTTTCCAAGACGTCAAAGAGGCGCAGACGGCCCGCTTCATTGTCACTGAGAATTCCATTGGTTGTTCGGGCGGCGGCACTTGTGTTGCTGCGGTCGATGATGATGGACTCGTTGGAGAATTGGTAGTAGATGGTTGTAGCCTCAAGACCAGAGGACAACACCTGGAAACCAGCTTGAATACCGGAGTCACGAGCGGATACCGGGAAAGAGATATTCGCTGTTAGAGCGAAGAACTTGCTTGAGGGCGAGGTGGTGAATGGCACCGACCCAGCCTTTGACAACGTTTTACCAGATTCGACGAAAGATGAGCCAGACGTGAGAGCGCTGTAAGTTTCCCTGGCAATTGAGATTCCCATTGTCTCAAGATCGAGCTGACCAGATCCTTCGCGGGCCACGCGCCATGATGTCAAGGACTCACGCGAGAGTTCGTTATCCACCACATTGGGGATAGTGCGGACATTCAGCTCCCGAGGGAGCAAGAGAACACCGGTCCAGTTTTGTTGAGCGGTAGGGAATCCCTTCGCTAGCTCAAATAGATCTCCGGTGAGCCAGACGTAGGAAATGAAACGATCAGGGGCACCGCTCTTTTCAGATGCCTGAGAGCTGGCTGGCAAGATCTTGCCTGCAGCAGCGTACGCCGACAGGCCCCAGTCAAGCACACCCGCCATGGTTGGCTTGAAGGTGACGGAGTCATCATTTGAAACATTTCCGCTCACCCACAGCATATCATGAATGGAAGAGACCTGAGGAACGATGGGGAGTTCGGAACTCTCAGTACCGAGAGTAATGAAGATTTCGCCGTCCTCGCTGTACCCCTCTGCGTTCAGACCGAAGACGTTGCCAACCTCAAAGTTGAAGCCCCATCCGCCGGCCCAGTCGCCTTTTCCCCAAGTTGTGTTGACGGGCTCATTCCACCATTGTCCAAGATATTCCCAATATTGGAAATCTGCGTCATTCTGACGGTAGAGGAACTGGGTAGGACCGACATCGTGGACACCACCAGAGATGGCGACATACCAGGTTCCTTCGGTACTGTTGACAGATTTGTCCAGAATTGAGCTTTGGAAAGCGTAGGGGTCACGGAAAGCGGTGACATTGACAGAAAAGGGAGGCGCGGGGATCATGGGGCCTTGGTTGAGCTTGGTAAAGTTGCGTCCACCGTCATAAGAAACGGCCAAGGATTGTGTCTCACTTCCCCGGGTGTAGGGGATGGACCAGTGAATTGGGAGATAAGAGACAGAGGTATATAGAAGAGTGGGCATGCCGTCGATACCGCTTGGAATGACAGAGCCATCGAAGACAGCAAGCGGGTCATTCTTTCCTCCCGCGATAATTGACGGTGCTCCATCGGGATTGAGGTCCTTGTAGGTAGACATATCATCGGTTGTAGCTCCTGCAATTCCATCGTGGAGCCAACCCACGTGGAAGAGACCAGTCTTAGGATCGGTGTATTGCCCGCACGGGTCGCCTATCTTCCCAGATGGAGGGAGGAGATGGGCTCTGGGTCTCCATGTGTCGAAGAGGGATGCATTTGACAGGGTAGACAGGTTTGGCGGAGCCGAGTTATAGTCAATCGGGGATTTATGGGGATTGACAGCCAATGCCCGGTTGGCCAAACCCACGGTGATTGCACTTGACAACTTCATATTGTAGGTCTTGGATAGCTCCTGGAGCTTTCCCCGGGATATACAGACTTTTATATGTCCGTCATGCCCAGGATAAATTGACCGAGATTAGATGCAGACATCGGCCAATAGCAATAGCATCTGCATCAATATGGATCAATATGCGATGTTCATTTCCTCTTTAGATGTCGTCGGCAGTTTCCGTGAGCCAACGGTAAAACCGCGGGGAAACCCCGGCTAACAATTTCCCCGATTCAAACAAACGCAAAGTCTATGAATTCTCTATGATTCTACTAAATGTGAGCCTGGTTTCGGTTTTAGGGAATATTTGATATTGAAAGAAGACTTCTAATGGAATATTGGAAGATGCTCTGAAAGCTCTCGTACAAGTTGACGTTGGATTTGGCCTGGTAGGTGCCCACCTGGGGGATCAATAAAGCCCGAGTACCCCGAGCTTCTCCACTGCAGGGGATAGCATCTACAATGCTTAGGCGCATCAATTATGATGCAGCATGGAATCTGGCGATGACCTGGAAATGATCATGCCAGGTGAAACTTTCCGAGCTTCCGGCGCTGGAACTCATCTGGACATTTTTGACTCGACTTTCCCCTCAGCAGTAGCCCTGCCTAGAGGAGTACGGGCGCACCCGTGGCCCTGGGGTGAGAAGGTATGTCAGCCATTACTCCAAAACTATTAGCTAGGTACCCACATGCCTACATGTATGTAGGTATTGTCCCACCTTCCTCATCTGTCTTTCACCGGGCAGTGTGATGACTTGGTATCCCTGTTTCACATCGCCTAACGATTACTTGGATTATGGTTAGGGAGATACCTTCAATGTTGATGCCATTATATTCCTACTCCATCGGCTTTCGTGCAAACAATTTCATAATATGCTCACTACCCCAAGCAGCAGCAATATCCAAACTGGTCCGCTGGCGTGCATCCTCGGTCATAGGATCAAGTCCCCGATTCATCAGAATCTTGAATCGCCGGACCACATTGCCCGGGGATTTCGCACGATACCCGTGATATGCCTTCTTGGAGGCCAACAAATGGAGCAATGTGGATCCTGCATTGTTTTGTGCGAAGAAGTCAGCTCCAGCCTGATCAAAAAGATCGAAGACGATCTCGGTGAGGTCATCCTCCTTTTCGTCATAACCGGAATCGAAGGGGAATGTAGGAGTTACCACACCACATTCTATGTATTTGAAGAGAGGTGTGTCGCCCTTGTTGTTCCGAGAATTTATATCCACGCCCGCTTTCAGGAATCGCTTGAAGTCAGCCCGTGACTTATCCTCTTTCAGGTTCCTAGCCAAATGATGAAGCGCCGTGTCTCCATTGGGGTCCGGCTGGAGAGGATCAGCACCCATTTCGAGAAGATCATCAATGAGATCAAAGTCCTCTGAAATCAGGGTGCGGTGAAAGAATGTTTCGCCCATCTGATTGGGCTGATTGAGAAGACCCGGATTTTTGATGATAACTTCCTTGAGAGTTTTGAACAACTCCGAGTCAACCCCCAAAGAACAAATATGGTGGAGGATGGTATTTCCATCGTTGTCCTGTGCCATGGCATCTGCACCACGGGCTATGAGCTCTTGGAAAATCGTTTTTGTAATGGTTGTCCCAGCTTCAATAGAATCAATCTTGGTGTTCAGTGTCTTCTGGCTCTGGGAAGCTGCAAGAAGCAATGTGCAACCGCTTGAATCCCGTTGTTCTAATTTCAAGGATGATAATTGAAAGAATGGCCCACTTATGTGCCCGGATTTCAACATTTCATGGATGACAATGTGTCTTTGGGGTTCAATTTGCTGGTGCGAGATATCGGGCTCATCCAGGTCTGAGTCGGATTCCTCCATGCCGTAGTCCTCAGGACATGAGAATTCCCCGACATATGTAGAAAATGGGTCTGCACCATGATTGAGCAGTACTGCCATGATACGGGTGTCGAGTGAATTCTCATCCACATATTTCGATCGGGATCCTGGCTTGTTATAGCCAAACTTACTGTATCGCAGTTCAGGGACAGCGGCAAAGAGAAGAGGTGAGACCTCGGAATCAAGAATATTCAGGCCGAAGTCGCTTTCTTTCCGAGGAGTAACTGGCTCGGATCGCCTGAGATTCGCGTAATCACCCCGAGACAGTAATGTTTCCAAAATCTCAATTTCGCCCATGTCAATCGCAGAAAATATGGCTGCTGCGCTAATATGGGCGCCGTGCGCGATGAGCAGCCTGGTCATCTCTATATCATTACCAGCTTTTGATAAACATGTCTCTCCGTTGGCATCCACAGCATTGACATCTGCGCCGTTGTCGATGAGAATCTGCACGGCATTCCTGCGGAAAGGACCATGTTTGCGATGCATGGCTGCGTGTAATGGTGTCACTCCATCCTCACTACGAAGCTCAAGGTTTGCCCCCTTTTTGATCAAATACGGCAATGCTTTGTAAACATGCCACCAGCTGCGCCCGAGTGCGAGCTTATGAAGGGCCCCTCCGGCCGCTTTGGTATCTTCGAAGTTTGAGGTTTTTCTGAATTGGGCATTCAGGTTGACGCCGACCTTCTCAACAAGTAATTCCACCACATCCATGTTGGGCAAATAGCGATCACATGCAGTCACCAGTAGGGGCAGCACAGGATGTCCAGTGCAATCTAGTCCTGTTTCTGCTTCTAGGCACCATTTGTAGTCATCAAACCTCAGTGCAGCATCCTTATCGCAAACACGTTCCAGTAGCTCTTTATAGCCCCAGGTCACAAGAAAATGCAATAAAGAGGTCCCATTGTCATCGAGCCTGGATGCATCACGCTTCTTTGCTGCCTCTTCAAACAGGTCGTACTGCCTAGTGAATACTAAGTTTCTCATAAAGGTGGTGAGATCACGTCTAAGGAACCAAGAGATATCACCGTCAAATCCGCCGTGTTTTCTTAACGCCTCCTTTGTCGCATCTAGACGGCTTTTGGAAATGAGATAGTCAAGCCCGAAAGAAAGACTGCATTGCTTCGCCTCGGGAAGACGATATTGCAGTCGTAAGAAACAGTCCACGGTGTATTCGTACCGATTCGAAATGGCTTCATTAAACGCGGTTTGAAGATCATTACTGGGCGAGAGGGCCCCATGGCGAACAAGTAAATCCAGAATCTCATCCAGACGAACTGTATCATGCTCCGAACATCGCGGGCCGTAATTATCATCCCTATGAGGGGGATCAAAGAACGGCCGTTGGTGATCGCTGACTAGAACGGCGGCTGCATGAAGGCAATCCGTTCGTGTCATCCTTTTGTGACCGCTCCATAGTTGCTCTTCTGCTTCGAACTGCGCACATGCTCTGAGAGGTGAACGACTTCCGCTGTCCAATATGGTAGGATCTGCGCCGGCCTCGAGCAATTCTTGGACGGTCTCAGGGCGACCCGAACGGCAAGCATAGTGAAGAGCTGTTTCCCCTTCTTTGGTTTGTAGGTTCACAAATGCAGTCCGATCTTGGGCTCCGAGTTCTGCTAGTCTAGAGCAGAACAGGACCACAATATTGGGCTGGCGGGTCCGGGCTGCGATATGGAGCACTGACATTCCTTCATGTGTTACTTTGAACATGTCTGCACCGGCATCGAGAAGCTTGACAACGTAAGACTCGGATATTGTGGCAGCGAGGTGCAAAGGCTGAACGCCGTAACAATCACTAGGATTTAGGTTCTTGCATACTCTAAGGACATAATCCAGGTTATCCTCGTCTGTCGATAAGGATGAAAGTTTTGCCTTGGAACACATCACATGCAGTGTGGTCCTCCCGCGATGGTTTGATTGATCTATGTCCAAGCCCAGTGTTACCAGATGTTTCATGGTAGCAGGCAGTTTCTCGTTGTTCTTGCTAGCAGCAACCTCCATCAAAAGCGAGTTACCTTGATGGTCTGTGGTCAAAGGATTAAGGCCAAGACTTATCAGATAGCCCAAGCGATTGGTGTCATGGCAACAACGATGCAAGAGAGTTCGGCCATTATAGTCCCGCGTATCGAGGCAAGCTCCTAGCTCAATCAGTGTCTCACAAAGTTGTCCATCTTCATGGGCATGTTTGAAAAGAACTGTGTGGCCATCCTGATTTCGAGCTTCAAGGTTTGCACCTGCATTAACGAGCTTGTAAATGTACGGGCTATGTTCACACCTCATGGTGTGCAACGGGGCATTGCCTTCATTGTTCATCGCATTTGGATTGGCGCCCAGAGATATCAAAGTATCGACAACACGACCATGAATTTCGGATGTTTTGAAAATGTAATGTAGCGGACCATTTCCCTGGGTGTCGGAGATATTGACATCAGGCTTATACTCCAAGAAAGCAAGTACTCGGTCTATATTATAGCCGTGAAGCCGAAATAGTAACGGAGTTTTCCCATTCTTGCCAGTGGGCTTGTTGATATCAACCACCCCTGTGCCCAGAAGCACAGGAAGCAGCTCTTCATCTCTCTGTCCTTCCGTGTGTAATGGTGTGGCGCCAGAATCGTCTTCTGCTATAGGATCTGCACCAGCTTCAAGTAACTTCTTGACCACATCTGCCTTCTGGTATTCACAGGCATAGTGGAGGGCCGTTTTCCCGTTAGGACTTCGTACATGAACATTGGCCCCTGCCTGAAGCAGAGAATCTACGGACGCTGGGGAGACCTTGCCTCCATGCTTTCCGGGTGCGCAAAGGGCATGTAAAGCGGTATAACCCCTTTCGGGATTTTGATTCACATGACTTGTTGACCTGCGCATGTACTGCCTTCCAGCAAACTCGCTTCCTGCTTGTTCACAAAATACGTTTGGATCGGCTCCCGCTCGCAATAACACACGAATGGTCTTTTCATCTCTCCTGAAGCAGGATGCGAAAAGAGCAGTGGCTCCTCCGTATTTCTTATTTACATCCACACCTGGATGTTCCAAGATTAACTCAACCACTGCACTCTGCCCGGCCCTCGCCGCCCCGAGAAGGGCTCGATGACAATCAGCGGTATCTTCCAAAAAGGGTAGGAATTCGGCCATCGTCTCGACATGGCCGTTATAACATGCATACATCAAAGGTGTACCTCCGAGGGATGTGGGTGCGTTCCCACAAGTCCTTCCGGGCGTCTCCTGCGTCTTGGGAGTGAGCGGGTGGACGCCAGCAGTAAGCAAAAGTTTGGCCACTGCAGCATGGCCTCTTTCAGCTGCCAAATGTAGTGAGTTGTATCCTTCGTTTTGTTCCGCGTTGGGGTCAGCTCCGTTGGCAAGCAAAACCTCTACCACATCGTGGTAACCGGAAGTGGCAGCCCAGTATAAAGGTGTATTTTGGGAAGCATCTCGCACTTCTATGCTATATCCTCTCTCGAGCAAGTGTGTGGCGTATCCAGCTAGACCAGCCCAAGCAGCGACATGAAGCGCGGTGATGCCCCGGGTTGCATGTATCGGCCATGCCATAATTCGCCAGGCGGTAAACATCCGCCTTTCCGCGAAGAAATTATCAAGCATCGTGTAGACAAGTGACATATCTTCACCCGCTAAGACTGCGCGGCGGACGTGAGTGTACCAATTATCCGCTGCATATTCTAGGAACGGGAATCGGAGTTTCAGTTCTCTTTGCTCGTTATCCTTTGAGTGGTTATATTCCATTGTGTCGGTAGGTTCCTTCATTTGTTGATGAACCAGGCAGCCAGACCGGAGATAGTCCAAGCAAGCAATAGCCAGGCATTTGTTTGTTGAGCCCGGTTGAAAGATTGGATATGTCGTATCATCCGACTCACTTGAACGGGTGAGTCCTTTCAAGAACTCGGTGAATGAGTGGTGAACAACGGAGACTGTTTCATCAGGAAGAATCTCAAGCAGCGGGCCACAAGCAGCCCGGACCAATTCTTTTGTCTCTTTCAGACTGCGATCCCTAGTTGGAGCTCGTACGCTTTTCGCCATTTCGGCGATCTCGAGAATGCGCAGTGGGCGTGTGGCATGTGTGACAAACTGCAAGACTAGTAGTTGCAAATCCTCGGGAACAGCCGATCGTCTTGCGTGTTCGTGTAGCAAATCATTATACATAACGTTCAGGTCAGCCGGTAAGGCCTTGAGGACCTCATTTGCGTCGGCACCTGGTTCAAGAAATGCATCCATTGAAAGTTTGGCATACAAGAAGAGCCCATTCGCCCGACCAGGAATGGCTTCCTCTATGATACTCCAGGACTCAGGGGCGATAGATGAGTGGCGAAGTTTGTATTGTACATAGGCTGCGATGTCGAGATCGACGAGTTTCTCTTCCAATCGAATCTGGGGAATGGAGAATGATCTCAAACAATTCTCCACTGTTGATACTGGGCGTGAAGTGATCAAAACTTTGATATTGGACGGGCGCCACTGGCCTAATTTCACCAAGGCGTGGAGGAACTCATCATTCCCCTGGTCCATCTCATCCAAGGCGTCTGTTATACAGTAGACCTTGGGAAATGTGGCCAGTACCAGCTTGAGGTCTTTCCAGAGATCGCCTAGGGACAGGCTGTCCAAATCACGTCTGTCGTCAATGTAACTTTTCAGCGTGACTTGCAGGGGAGGGCTATAATCCAAAAGTTGACATAACCAATCCCGCAGCGCAGCCACGGGCTGATGGTTGGCGTCGATGATCTGTCGGAAGAAGAAAAATATGACTGGGATATCATCATTTCGTAATTGATTGATGATTGAAGCAGCTAGGACAGACTTGCCGGAGCCTGGGATACCTTTGACCCACAACAGTCCATCGTCGTCGCCTTGGTGCCACTGCTGATAGGTTGTTGTGGAGGTGAGCCATTTTCCTGTCCCCGCGAGATATGAGAGGCGATGTCTAGAGTATTCACTTCGCTCCAGGTCATATGCGGTTGGCTGAAGCCATTTCCTGATCTCAACAATGTCGGTGGGATGGAGGGGAAGGATGTTGTCCACGTTAAAGTCACGAACATCATCTAGGCCAACCAGAATGGTATCATTTCCATCGGAATCTGGTGGAGAGGACATCATTCTTAATGTCCACTTGTGAACAATGTTTGTAGAAGTTGAAAAGTCAACAAAAAAGGTCGGGGCCTGATCACATAAAGCACTAGCCCCGCTCTAGCTTGGGATTTGGGGCTAGCGCATTGCCAAGCCTCATGAGGCAGAGAGCAAGATGGGAAAGAAACCATGGATTAAGTTGAGCTGTTGACTTGGAAAAAGGGGGGAAGGAAGACGAAGATCAATCCGCAGGGGTCCTATCCGCCTTAGGCAGAAACGCTACCACAACATCATTTCGTATAACAACAGCTAGAGGTCATAGATCTGTCTATCTATCGTAATACTCCAAATATTGCATGTTACATAGAAGATTGATTTTGTACTAATGTTGACGGTAATATTGCAGCCTCAGGAAGCGATCGGCTCCCGGATCCTAGGAGTGGAATAGTGCCATTCCCACCTGAAAAGAGACGATTACATCCATTGAAAGCATGACGGCTGCTATCAAGAAGATCACGCCGGGTAGCGGTGTGTACAACAACGAAGCGAACCCATTTACGACCAACTGGCGTCAGATATGGTGGGGAGATAATTATAGCAGGTTGCTGAGCATCAAGAGGAAATATGACCCAAGAGGATTGTTGACTTGCTGGAAATGTGTTGGATGGGAGGAATCACAGGCTGCTAGTTCCTCCTTCTGTGTATTAGTTTGAGTGTTGATGCCAGGGAGAGGTGGGGTGCATCAAGTTGACATGTCAAGGTAACCTTTGGGGGTATATACTGATGGCATTGTCACAAAAACTATCCTGATGAATAAATTTATGATATGTTTCTCCCGAAGGGCTGGTTTACTGTCAGGATTTCTGCGGTCGGTGCATATTATACTTCCTGTCTTGTGGTTCCTGAACTCGTATTTATCTCGGTTGCCTGCCAAATCGAACTATAATAAGATCACCTGATATCTCGTATCAAGATACGAGGACACCTTGTTTTGGGATTCGTCAAAGAGCTCGCCAGCCTCAGATTGAGGCTCTGCAGCAACATCATAACGTTGCCTGAACCGTGCTATATTTACCCCCAAGCGACCATAAACGGTACCATAATACGAGATAAGATCAGGCGCTATAATGATTTTGAACAAGATCAGCACGATGCTTGTTGAAAATGGAGTCTTTGATCTGCCAAGCACCAACCGCGTTGCTGCATAAACGATGGAATGAGTAGAGACAAAACAGGAGGCTGTGTTGCCCGGTTGCCCGAAGCTATATTGAAGAATACTATTTAAAGGAAACGTGATAGATACACTTGCTGGGATCTATATAACCGATCACTCTCACCGGCTTTCTTGTTCCACTATTCATCATCACACAAACTCAATACTGTGAGTTTCACTTGTTTGGACTTATCTCAATAACTCTTCGAAAAAATCAAGGTTAGGCCCCAGTGCACAAGATACCGTCTAACTAATCTAAGAAGTCGGCAGTTGATTGTTTGAAATTCAACCTCTCAGGATGTTTAAGAAACTTTTTTGGGCCAAAGAAAGCAAGAGAAGGAAAGAAGAAGAGAATAGGAAAATAATGCGACAACAGGAAGAGCTAAGGATTCAGCAAATGGCTCCTACTGTGTCCGAAAATGCCGTGAAATGGACGGATAGAGAGCGACAAGTGGAGGAGCGGAAGATTCGGGCATTGGCCGCTTGGCGCGAGTCAACTGACGTACATTCGAATAACGCTTCGGCTAGGGACGCACCATCCACTGCTCAGAGTAGACCCAAATACTACGCCGGGTCTGGCAGTAGGCACCATTCCGGGGGCGACGGCGGTTATTCTGGCGGTGGTAGTAGCAGCAATGATTCTGGTGGAGGAGGTTATTCCGGGGGAAGTACCGGTGATTCAGGTACTTCCAGCGGAGACTCTGGAGGTTGTGGAGACGGGGGTGGTGGATGTGGCGGCGATTAGAACACAGTGCACTTCCTCAGGTGAATAGGTAGTGGAAGGTTCAGTGGGCTATGGCCTATGAGAGGAACAGTTGGATGAGCTCAGTATGACCAGCTAATGTTATTCTTTTCTTGTCACCATGCTATCGAAGAGCTAGTTGTATCTTGTAGATATGAATCGTGATTGTGGAAAATTCAAACCCCATATAAACCGTGTACGAAGAACATATCTCATCCGTCATTTCGGTAAAAAGCGATGCGAATGAACGATGTATTTATGTTGCAGTAATGGCTTCCCCGTTGTTTAGAACAGAGAAGATCGCACGATATCCTAATAGCCAAATATAACCCAAAAATATCAAAAGCTGGTATCCTTCCTTTCGAAGATCCATATACACATTCAATCATAAGAGAACAAAGAAACCTAAATCTTACCCGAAGAGTACAAACGAATAGGCACGCCAAGATCATGCGACATTGTTAGATTAGATAGCTTAATAGGCTCCTGTCGAGGGTGGGGGTCCGCGTTTTCGAGGGTATCGAAGTGCTGCATCAGACGAACAACGGTGTAGCTTGCCTCAGTGAGGGCATATTGTTCTAAGGGATTAATTGTTAGCCAGTCATTCTGAGTGTTCTTCAATTTATCTCTCCGGAGAAAGGCGAGGACAAGTATAACTTACGACCAAGACAGATACGCGGCCCACCATTAAAAGGAAGGTATTCCCAGCCATGCTTAGCATTTTCTTCCCAGCGCTCGGGTCGGAAAGAAGTCGCGTCTTTGCCCCATAGGTCCGTCCGGCGGTGCATAGCGTAGACGCTATATGCAACCATCGTGCCCTTCTTGATATAGACGGGGGATTGATAGTCTGCGCCACCGCCGACCGGTAGGGAGGTGTCTTTTGTTGAGACGCGGAAGTTGACAGGCACGGGAGGCTGGAGACGAAGGACTGAGGTTGAAGTTAGTCGGATGTTCATTGAGAGAATATACAGTATCCACTGCAACATCGACTCACCTTCATTCAACACATATCGCAGATAAGGAATATCCTTCAGCTTGGTCTGAGTCATTTCCGACCGCGGATTCTTGGCATCTCCGAAAATATCCACGATCTCACGACGCAGTCGGTTCCACACATTAAGGTGCCGGGAAAGGTAGAAGAACGTCGAGCTCAGCAGACTAGCCGTGGTATCGCGACCAGCCAATAGAATATTGAGCATGTTATCGCGTAGGATCTTAGGGTCATCGGTGTCGGCCGCCAGTGCTTCGAGGAAGATATACCGACCGTCGGCGTTCTTCTTTTCTGGGTTACGTTTCGACTCCAGAGCGAGGTTGACATAATGATCGACGACTTCGTGCACCTGCCGGCTTGCCTCGCGGAATTCCTTGGGATTGACAACCCAGTACATTCCCTGGGCGCGACTCCGTGCAGCGAGATAATCCTGAGCGGTTCCGAAGGCGTTGGCGAAACCCTGTGCGCTACCGACGGCGCATTTCTCCAGCACGCCTGTCTTCCCCGAAGGGGGAAGCATGCACCCGACCGATTCGCCGAATAAGAAGTGCGTTGCCGAGTCCAGGGTCAGGAGGAAAAACAAACGCTGGATATCGAAACTGCTCCTGTCCTTGGGGATAAGGTCGATTAAGTTGGAGATGTGGTCATCAAGCATGGAGAGATCGGCGACCTGTCACTTTTGTCAATCATGTGTCGTGCATAAATCCTCCGATAAAGTTTACCTGATCTCTGGTGAACTGCGGGCGCAATAATCCGCGCGCATGCGACCACCCCGCACCATCAAGGGTGAAGATGCCATCGCCTAGGAGTGGGTAAAACTGCTGGTGTCTTGTTCCAAGAGAAAAATCTTTGAATTGGGTTGCGAGAATTGCCTTGACATTTTCAGGCTCGATAGTGGTCAATATATTTCGAGATAGGAATGTCTGTTGGTAGGTATTTCCATGGACAGCATATTCGTTGTAGAGATGATCGATCCAACGCTTTTCGCGGACAGCCTTACTCAACCGAATAAAACCTGGAATACCGAAGAAAAGGGAGGATCCCGAACGGGGAGGCTTGCAGAGTAGGGCTTTGGATTGTTTACGGTGGTGATGTAGCTGTGCGAAGTAGCGCACGACCAAAAAGGCCGCAGACAGCGCACCAACTAGAGCAACTGTAGGGCTGAACAAACTTTTTTTTGTTTAATATATCTCCATGAATTGAAAGAAAACGCAATTAAATATGTGAAATCAAAATGCTCTATGTTCATGGCCTCGGTAGAACTCCACGTGAGAAAAAGCGGAGATCGCAAGCTGATACAAAAGGGGAATAGGGCAAAACTTCAGGAAAAGTCAAATGAGTCAGAGACCACGTCGATCCCCTGAACGTTCCAAGGTTGTTCCAAGGTTTAACGAGTCTTGGCTTTGAAACATCCGAGCCACTCTGTCAAAGCTGTGTGGAAGTATCCTCGAGAAATCGCCCCAGGTACAAAAGTGGTACGGAAATCAAAGCAGTGCTCTGCCTTCTGCATGATGTAGCCGAAGATCGTATTTTCCCCAGTCTCCACATTGCACTCGGGGATCTCGGTTGTGAGGGCCACACCCTGCGGGGCTAACCGAGTGCCTTCCGCCAGGGGAGACAAAGTACGCCACGGATCAAACTGGCCGCCGCTCCAGTAAACGTTGGACGGACGAATAGTCCATCCGCCGGTCTCCGCGTTGGTCGCGTCCACTTGTGGGTGTTTGGGGAACAGACCCTTCTCGATCGCCTTCGGGAAGGATCGGTTGCAGTATTCCTGCGCATAATCAAGGGTCTGGTATTTTGACAGCAGCGAGTGACGTCCGAAGTTGTTTGTCTGGAAGAATCCCCATTCGGTGCAGTACTGCCACGTCCAGCTGATGCTGTCCGGGTCGGTGGATAGCGCCCCTAGATTGCACGAGAGTGGCTCGCTGTCTTCAAGCTTCTTGCAATTTGTCTCCAAATTCATATTGACCAGCTGCGTGAAAGCTGGCCATGATGCATATCGCTGCGCGGCATACCTCTTACCCCGGCTGGGGGCGAATCCTTGGGGGGCGCGGGCGCGCTAGTCTTCGGGTCGGTCTCCATGTGCTCGCAGAATGACTCTAGACCACCTAGACCACCGCCCATGCCATAAGATTGGAAATAGTTGAAAATGATCACGAGCGCGGCGGTGAAATCGCCGTTGCTGTTTTTCTCGGCGCCTTCGCCGAAGAATTCCCGCTTGATGGCTGCGGCGGACCATTTGCTCTTCGAGAGTTCCTGGTCGATGTACTCCAGTGCAGCCTTGATGTCCCTGGTGCAGTTCAAGTGTCCATATGCAACCAGGCCATCGTAAACCTGGTCGAAGTAGACGCTCATGTCGATCCGTGCTTCCACAGGGGCGGAGGAAGCGTATGAAGCGTAAATTGTATCGGGGTACAAATGACGAGTGAACGCAGCTCGCATGCCAGAGTATGAGCCTCCGACCATGACCCATGGTGTTGCGGCTGGAGTCAGGTCCACATCGCTGTAATTTCCGCGAGTGAAGTTGGCGGCAAAGTATGGAATGTCTGCCAGAGCCTGTTTGTTGTTGAGGTACTGGAGATGCTCAGGCTCCGTGCTGTGGCTCACGTTGTAGGGAAGAGAATCCCCATAGTATCTACTTGACATTAATTGAGTCCGGGCTTTCACTAGGGAGAGGAGACAAACCGGTGCTCCCAAACGATACCAATCCCACCGAAATCTTCGACCAACTGATAAAAGAACGTGGTCGAATTGCTCAGAAAGGATTGAGCCGAGGATTCGGCAGTGGCCTCACCAACATCATACACGAAGACCGGTCCTCCCTTCTTGTAATGCTGTTCAGATACCCAATAGCGGTTCTGGTACTGACCAACCGAAGAGTTGATGTGATCAATCGGGAGCTACGAATTGTCAGAATTTATCTTCGTTTTCAACAAATTTCGGAAGACCTAGACACATACCGAAACATATTCTGCCTTAACGATTGCATCAATCTGGGAACTGGCAACAGCCTGCACCGAAGTCTTGTGACGGAGCAGGGTATCCGGATGAATCCCCAGCTGAGCGGAAAGCTTCAAATCGCGCTTGAACGGCGACGTGACAAATCCCGCAGCTGTACCAGACAGCGCAGCCAGGACCGCAGCCCCCCGAACCATAGTAGGAAAATGCATATTGACAGTGCCTTAGGAGTCGCTCAAAAACCCAGCCAGGAACACGTATACAGAACAGCTTTCGATTGTCTCCACTGCTGGGTCCCTTACGGAATATATATGCATTGCAGAGATAGATCACAATTGAGGGAGTGATAAGACAAATCAGGGTACATTAGATTATTACCCCGAGAACAATACGATAAGAACAATATGGTTGCGTTTGTGGCAATGCTGCAGCCATCTAGAACATCAGATGGATTGTGGATTCGGGGCACCCGATAGGATCAGCGAGGAGTGGATACAATCACGCAGGCACACCCGAGACATGACCATCGCGTGCGGCCAGTAGCTGTGTCTGTATGACCCGGGACGAAAGGTTGCAGAGTCTAATTTCTGGGGAGTTTGCGTTGAATGTAACCTACCTAGCACGACTTAAGGTGCATGTCTCCAATTAATTAGACAATTACCGCAAATTACCCCTCGTTTTTACTGCTATCGAGACTTTCCGACGGCCTAATAATTGTGCATTGCATTAGTGATGTAGTACTCCCTGCTAGCTCATATTGACTATCATTTCCCGATTCGGCAGGAATGCGATCGTCGACAGATTCAGCGATGAAATCCTGAGATTTCGAAGTTTGTCGAATTCGATTAATTGAGTTTCTTGTCTAAGACTGAGCAACACACTTCCGCATCTGGTTTTACCTAAAAACAGGCACCACGTGAGTTCCTCCCCCCGTACCTGGGGGTGGATCCCGAAACCGGGTGTGGAATCGGAGTCGATCATTGGTCATTGAGAAAAGCAACGGTCAACCGGACTCCGAACAATAGCCGGAGCTTAGTATTGTTGTCATGTAATTGTTTAATTAGCTTCTCCGTTTCTCTGCCCATTCAATTCATGACATTATCTTGTCTCGGAATCTTCACAGAATCATGTCTGGAAACAGCGGGAATTGGGGAATGTTGATCTGGAATGTCACGCCAGCTGGAAAAAAGCCACAATTTTGCGCTCATCGTAGAAAAATCCTCCGTACATAATTCATTTTGCCTTGAATTGACATGGAAGGATTAGTCCACGCGCTTTTCTTCTTCACGGGGTTCCGTGACCGGGCCCCTCAACTGTCTCCCCCTCTTTTCCTCTTCGCGTTTTTTCCTCCTTTAAGTCATCATGTGACGTGACACAAAAGAATGGGTGTCCCGTCAAATATACCAGAGCAAGAAGGGAAATAGTTGTAGAGGCAATGTTGCTACGATAGATACGGCGTAGCTGTGATGTATGAGGCGACAGCTACAGGGGCCATATGTAAGATATACGATATGTATAGACACGTTGTCTAACAACATAAGCTCCAATAATCTAAACTTCCATATTCGAAGAACTATGCGTTATCAATTTAAGTCCAGCACATGCTTGTATCGACTCTGTGCAAGGTTACACAACAGTTCACCCCTTCCCGTCTTGTAGACATCTAACACAGCGATATAGGAAGCGCACACATGCATCATATGAACTTTCAACTCTTCATCATTCTCAGAGTAATGATTAGAGATAAAGTCACACTCGGAGCACATTGAGGCGAGAGAAAGGAGGAAGGGCCACTTTATGTCCCAAAGAGGAAGGCGAAGCGAGTCTTCTCGGCGCGCCTTCCGCTTATATCAGGCCCCATCCCATCGCTTTCCACTAGGCTTCTCGGCTATAGAACTCGGACTCGGCCCGATTTGCGAACATGTTCTGCAGAGTGTGACGATCTGCAACAATACGAGATGTCATATTTGTTCCATAAAGGGTAACTGGCGTCCACAAGCACTTCGGCCCAGTTTCCAACTCAATAAACTGCTAGCGTATAAAGCCATGGCGTCTGACACGAACAACACCCCCTCTTCCCTCACTAATATCTCTTCTTGAATAACCATCATCTTGTGAAGAAAGTATCCAACCATGCCGCAATCATCTCGCTTGCAAGACAAAGTAGCCATCGTCACTGGGTCCTCATCAGGTCTAGGACGAGCGATCGCCATTCGCTATGCCCAAGAAGGAGCAAAAGTGGTCTGTGCTGATCTGACACCAACTGCGCGATCCCAAGAGGAGGCTGAGATCACGACACATAATCTGATTGTCAGGGATGGTGGGCAGGTGACTTTTGTGCAGACGGATGTCGGGGACGCAACACAGATGGAGAACTTGGTCCAAGTCGCTGTGAAAGAATATGGACGACTCGACATGTATGAAAACCCGATAACAAAGATATTGAAGAACCCATCTGACGACTTCCCTTAGTCTGGTCAATAATGCTGGTATCAGTATTGAGGCGCGGACGCCTGCTGTACTACATCTGACAGACGAGACGACCTGGGATACGACGATGCGTGTCAACACTAAGTCTGTGTTCCTGGGTTGCAAGTATGCTCTTACTCAAATGTTAGCGCAAGAACCTCATTCTTCCGGAGATCGGGGCTGGATCGTCAATATCTCTTCCATTATGGGTATGATTGGTGGGCCGGAGAATCGTGAGTTTTAACTCCCCGGTCTGTGGATATGAGTGATGCTGATACTTGAGCTAGCATCTTACTGTGCATCAAAGGGTGCTGTGAGTAATCTCACGAAGCAGATGGCTCTAGATTATGGCCCGGATAACATTCATATCAATGCCATTTGTCCTGGCTGTAAGTCAACTTGTTGGAAGATTGGCTAAACATTCACTGACAACAGTCCAGACACTCAAACGGCTATCTTCAAGGAGACAACTACTAACTTGACTCCTTGGGAAGATCTAAAAAGACGCCATCCTCTGAAAGGACCTGGAATGCCGGAGGATATTGCTCGTATAGCTGTTGTGTTGGCAAGTGATGATGCCAACTGGGTGACTGGAATTTGTCTTCCGGTTGACGGCGGGTATACTGCTCGCTAAATATTTCGCTGTTAGTCTTTTGACGCTTCACGATTTTCTAGCTATTATCCTAGCGCATGTTGAGAATCCTAGTTAATTCTCAGTAATTAACATTGAATTGGGATTTCAACGATAACCCCAATTTAGTGTGCTTTATGCACTATGACTCGCTATGCAATTCTTACATGCCAAGAATCTTGAACTTCTACGGAATCGAGCGGGGAGTATTAAACCTGGGTTTTAAAACATTCCTAATCGTCCCAATAACAGTTAGCATACTTTAATTGGGCATTTGGAAAGTCAACCACGACGCAGAAAGGGAAAACTCCTATATCACGTCGGCATGTGTTACACTTCACTTCCGCAATCTGACCAACCATCCATAAACATACCCGAAACGAAGCATGGGTTCCCGGCGGGGTTCCAATCAAAATCCCGCAAAGGAACGTGGTTACCGTGAGTATCCAATAGAATAGAAGTAAACAAACAGGACTCACAAAACCTTGGAAGCAAACGGGCGTCAGCCACTGATCGCATCGGGTGGGACCTCGGGATGTTCCGATGGTCGTCCAATGTTCCTACATATTTGGGCAATATAATCACCAGTTCTTCCTAGAGAGACAACATCATCCGTAAGACCCTGTCGATAGAGCAAATACGCCCTGCACGTAACATTGGGCAGTCGAACAGGCTCCCACTATACAGATTATGTAGACAAATTGCTTAAATTTGGAGAACACCACCATGTAGGCCGAGTATAGCAATTATATGGTGGATTTTGTCTATGATACTGGAGGCCTTAGATGAGAATCAGATGGTGCAACCTGGCTCCTTCTGCTGAGAGATAGTACAGCGGCCACTCCATCTTTCTAGAACGCTGTGATCAAGTCACCGGAGCATGATTCCAAGTCTAAACAAACGCATCACCCGCAATCCATCGGGTCAAAATGTCAAACGCCACATCACCACGATCCTGGGGAAGCTATTATAACCATCAGCATCTGCTCAGATTAATACGTTTGAATGGATGAACTCACCAAATGACCCGCCCCATCAACCGTCACAAATGCAAACCGCGATTCCTCTGCCGGGCCGTTTAACTGCACACGCACCTCTTTCGCAGTGCCGACTGTTTTATTACGCCCCGCGATATTTGAAGTCCAAGGAAGCAGCCGTTTCGATGTAAACTCAGTCTGTCCCTTCCAGGCAACCGAGTTAGCCCACCGGAGGTTTCCTGCTGTGTTGCAAGCTAGGTCAAGGTTTCCTTGGTAGGCCAAGAAATTCACCCCATGAGCAAGCAGGAAGATGATATGGTCGGATGAAGAAGTCATCGCCTCCGGCGTTGTTGCAAAAGCGTCAACCACAGCGCTGGACTCGAATCTGTACTCCTTAGCCCCTTCCGGTGGCGAGAGGGCTTCCCGGAGTGCAGGGGAGTTCAAATACTGCTCGATATAAGCTGCTTCTTTGTAGCATATCTCATCAATGTAGCACGGGGCTGTGACTGTTGATTTCCTTGCGTTAGTTAAAGTGGCACGTTAGTAGTAGATAGGAAAATCTTACTGTCGAAGCGGTTACGGCCTCCCTTCTTGCTTTCATCCTCGTACAAGCCAACGATTCCTTTGTAGCAAACTGAATATGCAGCGGTGCAGATTGCAACGTCGGGGTTTTCGGTGCAAGTATCGTAGAGTTCCATGCATCGCGGCATGTTCGCAGCGATAATATCGCACCGGGTCTGATTGAACACGGGCGTGGAAACGCCGGGGTTGGTCGTGCAAAGCGTCTCCCAGTACCCGAATGTGATGTCTTTGGATGACATGAAGCCATTACCTACCAGGCATGATTTAAGGTTAATCTGGGGCTCTGATGGATATAGCTGGTTTTGAGTCAGAATCTCAGCCCCGAGATAAGGGATGTATTTGCCCTGAAGGTGTCAGTGGTGCGTAGAAGTGACAAGAGGCAAGTCTTACAGCATAAGATTCACCGGAGAGATGCAAATCCGAGAAGCGTTTGTGGGGGAAGATCTCAGATACAAAGATTTGGAGGAAACGGTGCATATCAATGGCAGCCTCCTGAGAATCGCGCGCGACCTCGTAACCCTCGTCAATATAGGACCAGCCCACATCGGCTGGCTGGTCCACGAAAAGTAATGAGGAGCTTCGAGACCAACCCCATGGATTGTGAACAGTCCCATTGCCGTGCTCGTTTATGAGGCATGGCCCGTTTTCTTGGAACAGGCCCATCATACTGGAGCCCCCGGGCCCACCATTCATCCACAATGTTAGTGGGTCGGCGACAGGATCATTCTGACTTTCGAAATACCAGAAGAACAGGTGCTTCGGGCCAATATCTAGCCATCCTGTGTACTGCGCGGAGCCCGCGGCACAAATAGACTCATTTTGTTGCCGGATGCGTATCGAATGGGGTGAATTCCTACTCCGAAAGGTGGTGAAATTAGATGCCAAGGGCTCTGGTCGGAGCACGGTTTGCGAGGCATGGCCCACGCCGAGTAGGGTAGCAAGCCAAAACTTCCACATCTCAATGATGAATCAGACTTTTCTGGACACCAGGATAATACTGGCATATATGTTTTTATAATGACTACCAGTCAGCGTCACATTGAAAATGTCGGAGTTCGGAGCTCGGACCTAGCCTATGTAGTATGGCGAATCTGCTAACGCTAAGAGGCTTAGGGCGTGGTCATTTTTCGCCGGGAATTGTTTGTGTATACAGATAGCATACTTGAAAATCATGCATCAAATTTGCAAGGCTCGCCCCGGGGAACTATCACCAGTGGAAAGAATTCGCCTCAGAAAAAGCGAAGTGAACCTTCTCCCCGCCCTTTCTCCCGCGGCCATCACTGAACAGTCAATTTTATAAATCGATTCAAAACTCATCTCGTCTGTTCCCTACCCATGACTCTCTGGGCTGCAAGGTCCTTACCTACTTCCAACTTCTGGCTTCAGCAGCATAGTTTGATCAACTTTTCTCGCTTAAAATAATGTTTATTTGACCATCGTACTCTCTATAGTGGAACAAATAGCATTCTATGGCGAATTTGAAGTTGATACTATATGGCAAGGCCCTACCAAAAAAGTACTTTTCCACCGAGCTGCATATAGCTCTAGATAATATTTGTTTGAGCTACCGTACATGAAGTTGTTAGTATATAACTAGTCAGACCCAACTAAAAAAGTAATTTTCTACCGAGTTGCATATAGCTAGACGTTTATATGAGCTATCGTACTCTCTACGGTGGAACAAATGACTTTTTTGAAACTTTTTTGCAACGACTGAAGGTGTAATTACTATGGGATAATGTTGAACTGTTACTGCTAAGCTGATGATAATCCGTAGTAAAGCTTATCCAAATGGGGTTAAGGTGGTGAGTCCCGTTTAAATCCAACCAATAAAAGCTTGCAGAATACCCACTAGTGCTTATGTAATAACCGCATATGGTTAGTACCCTGTCAGCATCAGCCGCATGCCCTTGGGCACAAACAAATATTGCTCTGTCGCGGACTTAAGCATTCGGAATGGAGTAAACAAATTAGAGGTATAAAGTCGAGGGAGCTCCCTCCTAATCTCTCTTTTAATCTTTATTTTTCACTTACCTAAATTTCAACAAACATCAATTCCAAAATGCATCTTATTCTCACAGGGGCAACTGGGCTAGTCGGGTCTTCAGTGCTCGACGCCATGCTCAGAAACACAGCAGTGTCCAAGATCTCGATCCTGAGCCGAAGCCCCGTTCGAATGGCAGAAGACGCAAAAGATCCACGTGTGCGCGTCATCACCCACACAGACTTTGAATCATACAAGCCAGAGCTGCTCGATCAATTGAAAGATGCGGATGGATGTGTTTGGGCTTTAGGAACAAGCCAAAACAACGTCAACAAGGAGTACGAGAGATCCCTCTGTTATATGGATATTGAAACTAACAATTAATAGGCAATACGTTAAGATAACCAAGGATTATGCCCTGGCAGCTGCCGATGCGTTTTCCACAATCAAGCCATCAGACCATCCCTTCCGATTCATCCATGTATCTGGCGAAGGAGCCACCCAGACTCCCGGGCGATTCTCAGCGATCTTTGCGAGAGTAAAGGGCGAGACCGAAACGCTTCTCGGGACGCTATCAGAGAGGAAACCGACCTTCAGGGTCGATAGCGTGAGGCCTGCATTCGTTGATCCGGCGGCGCACGATGCCATCAAACCATATATTCCGTCTGGCCCAGTGAATGGAGTTGCCTTAAACTTTGCTATCTCTTTGCTTGCCCCAGGTATACGGTATCTCATGAAGTCGATGCATTCTCCAACGGAGCACCTTGGGTCGTTCTTGACGGAAATGGCAATGGGACGCCATGAAGCAAAATTGGAGGGTCCGGGGGTATTCAGACTAGGAGGAGGTTATGTTGTTGAGAACGCTGGTATGCGAAGAATTCTGGGGCTTTGAGTATCCAAGGGACTATTATGATAGGAATGGCTCGATATGTATAGACATGTTTAATATTGTACTCTTCTATTTCTTTGTTCTTACTCCTTCCTAATAACCTTACAATAGATATCACTCCGCGGAAAGTTGAGATTCTTTGTATTAATTAATCTTGTGCGAGGAGCGCAAGCTTGGTGAATGCATCGACAAGATCCTCTTCGTGACGCGTAACTTTCCCAGCAGCAGTCTGAATAGCAGCTGCCTGTCTGTTTCCCGCCCCGACATTGGCGCTGATACACTGTAGGTCTGCGCTTCCGATTCGGCTGCCGCTGTCTGCCCACTTCTGGACTCTGTTCATTGCGGTTTGTGCACCAACCCAAGCTTGTTCATTCGCATAGATAGCGACAAACAATCGGTAGTGGGCATTCGGAAGGGATGTTAAGGCGCTTTCCACCTGCCGGAAGTATTGAATACGTTGCTGTGCGGAGGAGCCGACCCCCTGGGAGTGAGGAGAAACAACAGGAGCGGGGGCGTTCGTCCGGGGCACCACAAGGGGCTCTGATGCGGGGGCCTTGTAAAAGTTGCAGAGTTCGTCCTTATTCATCCAATGGCAGTTGGCATATTTTTTCAGACAACCGAGGGTATCGATAACGATACACGCATTGAAGGGACCTTCTTTCTTCAGGCAAGATTCGCCCTCTTCGTCATTCACACGCCCGACGCATTGGATATAGGCGGCCTCAACTTTCGCGATGCTTTCTCCAATCTTCTCATTGAATGTATCAGCTGTCCATAGGTGTCCTTCGCGCAGGACTGGCTCTCGGAGGAGGGGCATTGTTGCAAGTAGTTGTAGCAGCTTCGACTTTTTGTACTTGCCCTCTCGAGCACAACTCCAATTCAGAAACTGAATTCGACTTGCCCATCCACCTGGGGGCAGCTCGCCAGTACCCGAAGTTGGAGCTGGGAGGACCACAGGGCCCCCGATGCTACAGAAAGCCGAGGAGACACCACGTCTATTAATGTCAGTGCAGCCCTTATAGTAGTAGCCAAGAAATGTGATCTTACTCAAACATAGGTGAAGATGGCCAATATGAAGTTGATGAAGCATGAGATGATAGGTGAGGTGGAGGAGAGGAGAGGAGAGGAAGAAAGAGCGATGTGAAATTAGATTGACCTTAAGTACTCCAGGGCTCACACGCTACTTGGTAATAGCCTAATGAAAAAGTCCTAAAAATGATCTGAGATTCATTGATCTCAGAAGCAGCCGAAGAGGTGCACGTCCTGAACGCTCTGAATCTCGTATCTCTGGAGTAAATGGCTATTTCTTCGTTGGTTGCGATAGATTTCCCTACTGTGTAACGGTATAGGTGTTAATAAAGGATAGGCAAGGGGTCAATATAAGCTTCTAGAAACTTGCTATCTTTTACTATATATATATATATATAAAAGAGCATAGATATCGAATCTAAATGAGTATAACAAACAAATGCACTCTTGAAAACAATCGAAAGGCCCTCTTTCTTTATATTAACATACTCAAGCCTTCACCGGATAAACTGATCATATATGACCTAGATCGGGAAATTGTAGAGGGTTGGAAATTTATAATAGGAGAATATAAATATTATAATTTATTTGCTATAGTATGCTATAATTTTAAGACCGTATATTCTCTCATCCTACTAGAGCGGAAGACCTAAGCCTGTTGTTGCAAATTTCTAGGAATATGTCACATTTGTTCCATCCGTCCTGCCCGTGCAAAGCCAGAATTTGCGTACCACCCATATATACATATGTCTGAGTAACTTGGTTTCTACCTAGATGAGATGACTGTCTTCTTCCGGGATAGGTTCCAGACTATGATTATATACAACCTCTTGCATCTGAAGAGCCCTTGTCGCCGAAGGTTGGCCCAAAAAGTCTACACGACAATGTGCTAGGGAGCAAAATGCCGATTTGCGAGACCATTCATTATCCGTACATTTTATTGGACTTTCAATCGTATCACCTGGTCTATGTTGACGAATCTGGATGCGATAAACGGAGTGGGTTCAGACGGATAGGGACGGATGATTTCATTGACCCCGACCCATCGCTTTGGAGGATTATAAACCCCACCCACTTGGCTGATTATGGATTCGTATTTTGGTCTAGTGGTCAGTCAAATCAACTCGGGAAGAGGGAAATGAAATTTACTACTACTATTACTATTACTACTACTACTACTACTACTACTACTACTACTACTACTGTAGCGGAAACATGAACGGATATTTTGACACTCTATTCCACTGATCATTCGTGAGGAAGAATCTGTTTAAAAATAGATTTTGCGATTAGCTGGTAGAAATACGAGAAGTTCTTTTGGCGAATTTAAATTTGCAACCGTGATGCTATTCAAAACCAGGACGCCACTCTTGTGGGTTTCCCTTTTCCACCCCGGCGCTTTCCCACGGTTGGAATCCGAGACATCGTCATAGACTTGAAATTAAACCCCTGTTCTATGCCTTATATCTTTGATGTCACGCCTTATCCCACAATTATCTGACCAAATAGTATCTTAACTATTCTCATATTGAAAATTTATTATGGATTCTCCACTACCCCAGAAATACCTCCAGATCCAAATTCAAGATGACTTGAAGTATGATGTCCGCATCGAAAACGCGGAACTTGAACGGTACATCCTTTTTCCTTCCAGTTTTGGAGACGTGTTTTCTGAGATATGCATAGCGGCAAATTTTACAATGAGGATGATCCAAGCGATATCCTAAAATCCGACGATGTCGACGACATGGTTATTCGCCACAACGGTGGGATCCGGACCGTCTGCTCTATGGACGGCTCTCGAGGCCATCTCGATCTTGTTGACGATGTACGAGATGCGAAGATTTGCACTCTATCCTGGAGAGCCTCTACACAGTTTAGAGCACCCAACGAGATCAAGAAACTCGATCAGGATGAGCGGTACGTGGTTGATATTGGGAGCTGGGACGAGACTGTGACTACGGGACGGGTCCCTGTTACGGTTAAGGAACGTGATTGATCGTAATTGGAGTTGGCCTCTTGTTTTTATTTAGGGTTGTTGGCTATGGGAAGGTGGTGATGGCGCCGTTATGCAGATCAGCATGCTAAACGATACGGGCAGTGACCAAATCACAATCTTTGAGCACGAGACCATGACCCTTGTAGGCACATGCCCTTTTTACTTTCCCGCAATGTGGGTGGCAGGGTTTTTTATGGCCAATAGAGCTCAAGAGTATCATATCTGCTTTAACATGGAGATGCAGATGGAAACGGAGAATGGGGCCCCGTGGGGTCCCTGGTTTGTGGAGCCGGCAGTGCATTATCTGTGGTACTCACGAAGCTTTGCAGTCGATTCGAGAAGTTGTCTTAGAACTCTTCAAGAAAACACGCGGGAATCGTGTATCCCCATCGCCATAGAGTTACTAGGATGCAAAAGGGCAAAAATCCACCTTAGGCGGTGTCCGGTTCTATACAAAGATAAATTTCGTTCTTGGCTCTTTGTAGGCTTCAAATATTCATGTTACTTCTCTTACTGGGAAGTCAATCATCATGCTACTTCAAGTCGGTCTATTCTTCATGATACCTTACTACCCCAGTCGAACGGCCAATCTGAGCGCATAAACCAGACATTCGAGATTGCCCTGCGACATTGGTGCGCTCAGGGACCCCAGGAACACGACGCTCCACCTACAAACAGATAGGACGATGCTTTACCTTTCATTCAAGCCAGCTTAAACTCATCGACCAACGCGTCCACTGGCTATTCTCCACATCAGCTCATATATGGCGTGGAGCTGAAAGCCGTTAGAGATGGTTCGCTATTTTCTTGGCCTCCTTACTACCAAATTCCGTGAAACTGTGACAGGTCGCAATCATTCCTTCAGCACACCCTGCCGCTCGCTCTCCTTGCGCCCAATTCCGGCCCAGAGCAGTGAGAATCAGACAGTTGCGCGCCTTATGGTCTGGCAGAGAATCCACTTCTTCAAGTCATCGTTGAAGCGATCCTGCCCTACGGCCGTTCCTCTGTGGAGGGCATAGACGAGCTATCCAAAAAGGAGATGATGACTAAATATTCCTTCGCAACTGGATATCTGTTAGATCAACAGAATCCTGAATCAAAGAAGATCCTTATCATCACCTCCTATGAGACACAAGGCTCGGACCTTGACGACCCTTCTGTAACACGCTGAAGATATCCCCAACCAGTCGGAACAACTTCGAAAGATAACAACAGTCCACTCTGGAAGGTTTGGATTGCTTGTGGCCGATGAGGCCAACAAATCCAAGAACATGGGCACTTTTATGGGCGATATCTGCTACCTCAACTCCTATGTTCAACGCTGTGAGAGTAAGTTTGATATTAAGGGTCCCTTAAAAAGTATTTCTTGATAAGCACTAACGATCGATCATAGGATTTGGTGGGGTTGGTTGAGTTAGTTGGCTTCCACGCCCTTGAGGATCTCCAGAAATACGTGAAAGGCGTAGGAGCTACCCGTACTACATACATAAAGCTGAAGAGGGCTAAGCTTAACACACTTCGATTGGAATTGGGGCACTTATATCCATATTCCCCCCTAAAAGCGATCATTCTCAAACCCAAAATGATCCGGAAGGTCGTAAAAACCAAGAAGGCCGAACGGCATGCAGTCGTTTCCGAATACTTTGCTCACGTACTGGATATGATCGCCATTCAAAGGTCCCAAGGGTCATCGATACCCACAACTGAGAGGCAGTTGATCTCGCTAAAGGGAAAGTTCAAGAACGTCATTTGCAACATCCTGCAGCGAATTCAACACCAGAGGTCATAGGTTGTGATGAGGGCCTGGATAGCACTCCATGGAGATCTTTCTCCCTCCTACCCTCGCAAACGCTCCTACATTCATCTCTTGAGTCACATAAGCGTGATCTGCTCGTGGAGGAGTTCAACAACCCATATACCAGTGAACGCGTTGAGGGCACAAGACTCAATGAGAAGTTTTGAATGAAAAATAAGGCGGAGGGAGAGAGCCATTGACAACCTTGGAAGGAACTCAGGCCATTGGTGGCTCTTGCCTGCAATGTATGTAGGTATGTACATACCTTACTCAGTCACGACCAAGCACTTATGGACTTAAATGGAATTGTAACACCTGTGACTTGCTTTCAGGAACTAGCCTTCCCGTTCTTCACTGTCAAAGCTAAAGGAAAGTCCGGTGACTCAGTGGCTCTACTGCAGTTACATTTGTAGGTATCGCCCCATCCGTACCTTCCTTGATCACTCACTAGTGTAGAGTTTGAATATGTGCACTACATGGACTAGCAGTGCTTATTTCCATTTGAATTTGGCTTGCAAGTGTGTAAGTTCTTATCCTTCTAGGTACACATCAATAAAAGGGGCGGATATCTTAAAGAACATCTTTGAAGACCTCAAGAAATGTAGTAACCAAAAGGAATTCCCATAGATCACAAGGCCCCATAAGGCCGACTATTTTTGTACAGTGTATAAACTTGAAACAAACATATATGGGTCCGGAATTTTCCTATGAATATAATATCAATTGTGGTAGAACTAGTGAGCCCTACCAATCAAAAATAGAGGAGAAATTAGTCTTTGATCACAATAATAGCAAACCCGGGCGATCTTGGCTCGAAGGGAAAGCCGGACAGGCTCAAAGCAAGCCAAGTTATGGACCCCTTTAACACCCCGTCTATCAGCTAAGTCTATTGAGTCCCATTTTCGACAGGAAGGCGTCAAAAGGCGTAACCCCCTTTCAAGGATAGGTGCTGGATTTCCGCTCACCAATGCGATATTGTTCTTTGTTAACATAACGTAGGACAAGTTTGGCATCTTTTTAATCCAATCAACTCCATGTTCTTGTGGAGATCGGGGCTCACAGAACGCTGATCTCGACCTGTAAAAGTGGCCCAATAGATAATTTTCCTCATCTGAATAAGAAAACTCCGAAAGAAACATCCATCAATTTTGCCCCCTTAAGAATATAAATAAAGAGATGAACTGCTGCTGTCTTGCAACGGCGACGCCGCATTCTACTTTTCTTTTACCCACAATGAAGTACTTCCAACTTGGCAGCATCCTCGCTCTATGTAGCATGGTTTTGGCGGCCGCAATTCCAGACGCCTCGCCCGGTGCTCTTCTATGTGTACAAAAAGGGGGAGGTCCAAGGAAACCAATTGTGCCGGGCACCGAGTGTGGAGTGATCCTCTAAGGCTGGTCTTCCCATCAGAGCAGAGATGCTCGTAGAAATGCATGTAATTTCTTTCCTAACGGTTTTATCTTATAATAGCGGCTTACTCGTTTATTAGTCGTGTTTCCTAGCGTGTTTGACCAACCTGGCTGGTCCGCCCCTCCGCCTCCTCGGTAATTGTTTTCCCGTTTGGCATGCTTATATCTATTGTAGTTCGGAAATGCCGGATTGTGATTTTTTTTTTGTTATTTGTGGCTTTCAGTATTCTGGATATCCTGTAACAGTTATCTATTTTGTATGACCCAATGTCTCGGGATCTCACGCTCCTTTCTTTGTTGACTATATGTGCAATGGCTGGGATTCATTTCAATATGAGTTTTTTTCTCGAGCAGGCGATAATCGTATGTAGTACCATGTTTACTGAACCTTCATACTATGATCGTTTACATATCTTCTTGATCCCCTAAATTTCCTTGGTCTGTAGAAAGAGAAATATCCAACGAAGAAATATTATATAGACCAGATAAATTTCATATCCGTAGGTTATGCTTTCTTTGGCCTGGCTCCTAAGGCAGCGACTTCCGTGAGCTTTTAAAGGGTTGACTGCATATCCGGTCACCTCCATTTTTTCCATTTGGAAATTTTGATTGATGAACGCGCGTATCACCTCCCAGATAATATACAAGTTCCCGGCGCCTCGGCCTTTCGGGCTAAGGTAATCCGACACTTCGGAGACGGGAATGATCTTTTCCATCAGATTAAAGTGATCGGGAAATTTACCTATTTGGATCATAATACTCATCCAAACATTAAGATGTTTCAAGAATCGGATTCTTCGATTGTTATGGGCGGTCCGTGGCATTGAAACAACCATTACCCCACACGGAGTTACAGGGGGTCTTGGCAGGGCTACAAGCTGTGTATGTACGTACACCCCGGGGAATCTGCACCCCTCACACACGCTGGCCTTGTGCTTATTTTCAGCCAGCGGCCTTTGCGTCGAATCTGCAAACTGTCCGTTCTTGGAACGGGGGTCGTCCAGCTGCCAAGGAGCCAGAAACGACACGCATTGGTGGAACTATGAATAAATTCACGGAGGACTAGCAGGAACGGAGCTCCAGCTAGCTGCCAAATCTCCACCTTCCAGCATGCATCGTTTCAGCATGGATAAACGAAAGTCCACTCCTATATATTGCGCTGCTTGTTTGCCCTTCATTGCCTATTCTGGGACACAAGCAAGTTTCTCTGTAGTACACATTGGACATGATGCTTTTCAAGTCCTTGGCCATTGCTTCGTTAGCCCTTTTGGCTAAGCAGGCATCCGCGGCCTTCGGAATTACTACTAGCACTGCTTCCTATGTAATCGATGCTGGCTCTTCAAACGCCCTCAAGTTCACTGTCAGCCGGACAAACTGTGACATTACTTCCATCAATTACTATGGATCCGAGCTTCAATACCAGTCAACCGGTTCTCATATCGGATCGGGTCTTGGTAGCGCAACTGTGTCTGCGACACAGAGTGGTGAGTTTAGAAACAAGATGTCTGTTGGGAAATGTCCTGATCAATATAGGCGACTACATCAAGGTGACCTGCGAAACGTCCACCTTGACACATTATTATGTTGTCCACAATGGAGATTCGACCATCCATATGGCAACGTACACAACTGCAGGTTAGTTTTCTTCGTGCTCAAGTGTGGTGTCTCTATACTCACTATTTATTCAGAACCCAGTATTGGAGAACTTCGATACATTGCGCGCCTGAACGCAGATCTGCTCCCCAACGAAGAGCCATTCGGCGATGTCTCCAACATTGGAGGTGGTACCGTTGTTGAGGGAGAGGATGTGGTAAGTTTCCTCTGAGGCATTGTTTCGACACAAACAGCTAACACATATCAGTTCTTGGTTGATGGAGAAACACGAAGCAAGTTCTACTCTAGCCAACGGTTTATTGACGACAATATCCACTGTATGAAGGCCTCTATCCTGGTTGACGTGACTCAAAATAACACAAATAGGTGTCTCTGGAAGCGCGCACCGCGTCTGCATGATCTTGAACCAATACGAGACATCGGCTGGCGGACCTTTCCATCGGTAAGTTCCTCGACCAGTATGACTTGACCCAGGCTAATATGCACTAGCGATATCAACACCAACAATGTCGGCTCTTACACTGGCCTGTACTGGTACATGGTATGTAACCACTCTCACCCAAATAATAACAGCCTCTTACTCTATGCAGAACTCCGGACACGTTCAGACCGAGACCTACCGCCAGGGCCTGCACGGCCCTTACTCGATGACCTTCAGCCGAAGCGGTACCCCCAGTTCCACCCTTGACACATCGTTCTTTGCCGACCTCGGTATCAAAGGATACGTCGCTACGTCTGCGAGAGGCTATGTCAAGGGTACTGCATCTGGGGCTGACTCGGCTTTCAAATGGGTGGTTCACTGGTATGTTCAATGCACATAGTACCAGGAAGAGCACATATCTAATTCAAAATAGGAAAAACGATGCCGCACAGTACTGGACCTACACTTCGTCTTCTGGGGCTTTCACCTCCCCTGCCATGAAGCCTGGCACCTACACCATGGTATACTATCAAGGCGAATACGCCGTTGCCACGTCCTCGGTGACGGTCACTGCCGGATCAACCACGTCGAAGAGTATCTCCGGGTCCGTGAAGACCGGGACAACAGTCTTCAAGATCGGAGATTGGGATGGGACGTAAGTGCATTGACTTTAGTCCATATACCTGTCCTGATATTGACTACCCATAGACCAAACGGCTTCCTCAACGCAGCCAACCAGCTCCGCATGCATCCCTCCGACACCCGCATGTCCTCCTGGTCCCCGGGCACCTACACAGTGGGCAGTTCTAAGGTCTCTTCTTTCCCGATGGCTCTCTTCAAATCGGTCAATTCACCGGTGACAATTAAATTCACGGCATCTTCTTCGCAGACCGGGGCTGCGACGCTGAGAATCGGCACAACCCTTTCCTTTGCCTCTGGCCGGCCCCAGGTTCAGGTATGTTCAAACCACATTCTCCATCCTCAGCCTCTTAGCTTGCATCTAACGCTTTATATAGATCAATAGTTATTCCGGCGCCACCCCGGCTGCCCCGACTAACCTCAACTCCCGTGGCGTGACTCGCGGCGCATACAGAGGTTTCGGCGAGGTTTACGATGTTTCGATTCCGGCTGGAACTATCGTCGCTGGAACTAACACTGTAAGGACTTTTGAATATAATCAGAGGATGCGATGCTAATTCAGTTTAGATCACCATCAGTGTTGCTTCCGGTAGCTCTGGAGATACTTACCTGAGCCCAAACTTTGTGAGTATCTTTCTGGTCATCTCGACTTTTCGATGGAAGCTTACCTATCTCAACAGATATTTGATTGCGTGGAGCTCTTCCAGTAAACATCTGGGACAAACAATTGAGTTTTGCAGCGCAGCAGAGCAGAAGATATCCTTATTTCAAAGTAGCAAGAATGCGAATGGCCATGTCTTGTCTCTTGTCCAACATCACTTACCTTCCTGTAGTATCGAAACCCTTAAAAGGTAAGTATCAACCCCTAATATAAAAGATATCATAATATAAGACTAGACTCTAAAACAGAGATATCATATGTATAAAAAAATCTAAACCCAAAAAATGCGTAGACAAACAACGTCTATCACTCAAACCCTTGAATGGACCAACCTCCCCCCAACCCAAACAGCCTTCACATTCCGATCATCGCCACCCCAAACCCACTTCTGAATCTTCTCCTCCCAACTCTCCGTCCCGAACAAATCAACATTCCCCACAGGCCCATCCTTCACATGATCCACACTCCAATCACCAAGAACACCATCCAACGGACTCTTCTCCCCCAACTTAACCCCACCAAGCCGAACCAACTGCACATCCCACAACATCCCCATATCAAATCCACCCACATCACTCGCCATATCAACAACCGCCGCCCCACCACGCGTAGCAAGGTAAAGACTCTCAGGAACAGACAATTTCTCCCGACCATAATCCCCATCCCCATCCAGATGATCCCTCTGCCACGCAGCCGATTGACCCAACAACCGCGAAGCAAGACAAGCCTGCCGCGCGGCCTCAAGAATACTAGGACTATACCCCCCACTAACATCCGTGCCCAGGCCAACCGTAATTCCCTCATCAAGCAGCGTCCGAACAGGACAAATCCCCGATCCCAAAGCCGAGTTCGACGCCGGACAGTGCGAGATCTTCGCTGAGCGCGCACGGATCAGAGCCCGCTCATCCGCGGAAAGGTGCACCGCGTGCGCGAGGATCGTGCGCGGCGTCAGCAGGTTGTACTTATCATAGACGGCGGCGTAGCTGTCCGCTTCAGGGAAGAGCTCTTTGACGAGCGCGAGCTCGTTGACATTCTCCGAGATATGCGTCTGGATATGCAGCGGAGGCGAGTAGCTAGCTGCTAGTTCGCCGAGGCTCTGTAGAGCGGGTCTTGTGCACGAGGGCGCGAAACGCGGTGTGACGATCGGTTTCACAAGCTTGCCTTCTGGGTCTAGCGTGTGGATGTACTCGATTGTCTGGCGGGTTGCGACGATGGAGTCCTCTGCGCTGAAGTCGCGGTAGTAGCCTACGCAGAAGTCTGGGTTGTCCATGCAGGCGCGGCCGATGAAGGCGCGTTGGCCGCGGGTGTGGCAGAGCCATGAGAGGGCGTTTGTGGCTGGGACGTGGTTTGTTGCGTAGTAGGAGGCGCAGGTTGTGCCGTGGGATAGTGTGCGCGAGATCACTTGGTTGTAGATTTGCTGCGCTAGGAGGGGTGTGTCTCTGGGGTCGGTTTTGGTTTGGTGGCCTGTTTTTGGGTCTGGTGGGGACCCGAAGCGTGACTCTACTGGGAACGTGTAGGTCTCTAGCCAATCTAGAAGTGTTGATGAGCCGAAGAGACCCGCGTTGGGGTATTGCGGGGCATGTATATGGGTGTCTGAGTAGATATGTAGTTAGGCTTGGGTTCTGGAATTGGTTGGGGTTTAGAAAGTTGGATTTAAAGCATACCAATAAATCCGGGGAAGAAGAACTCATTTTGTTCCTCGCTCGCAGTAACAATCTTCACTCTGATCTTCGAACCATGACCATTAACTTGCCCCTGGGCGTCAACGGCATCTATATCAATCCACCCATTCCGACTCATCAATTCGGCAAACGCATTGTCTTCGCCGGCTTGCCAATCCCAACCTTGAATGCGGCCATCAAAAGCAGAGACCCATAATGCGCCTTGGTTGCGAGACAATTCAGGCTTGGAATCTGAGTCGGGCAGAATCGATTGAATGAATGTGCCGCGGTAGACAGTAAAAGCATAGTCCGTTTGCGATTTCGCATTGCTTGTAATCGAGCCCATAATGCCGGTAAGATACTTAAAAAAGTCTAATTATTGGCGCAGATATCATCAAGTTCAGGATGAATATGTGTAGTGGTGTATAGTGCTCTCTATAAAGAAACTCGATCAGATGTATCGATGTATATTATAGGTGAAACCGCAAATAACCACGGTGTCAATAAAAAGACCGAAGGAACAACTCGAAATCAACAAGGCGAGAAAAGAGGGTGAGACACTTGTTCATATATCTGTCTTCTCCTTGCTTCTTCTCGCTACCTGTCACCAAGCGAGGTGCATTAGTGGAGAATTTCAAGGTTGTTCCTGCTTGATTCGAATGTTCCTAAGGTTCCTTCGGAGCATTCGGGACAGGTTGTGGTGGGTTGGTTGGACGATTAGGGCCCCGGCGATTATTGGGGAGGGCGGGGGTCGGCCGTCTCCGATGACGATACATGGGGGATACGGTATTTGGAGCGGGTGAGTTTTTCTTGATAGAGTAATTTACTGGGGAACGGTTCTGTATTGTAACAGCGCACTGATAAGGCCGCCGAAAGCCTCAAGTTTACCAGGCTAGTATGATTGTGATAGTTTGTTGCTATTTTTACTGTTTAGATGTTGTCTTAAACTAGAATGGAATAGAATGTCTAGAATACTTTTGATTCTTTGAATTGTATTATTCTTGGCATCCATGGATGCTGGATGATCATGTTGAATCAATCCAGCCCTCGTAAGAACAAAGTCCGTAGGTAGTCTTTTTCTACCGTCGTCAAAAAGAAGAAATGTTGAATGTATACACAATGAAGAGGTGGGCATCAGAAGAATGAGCCCCCATATAAAAAAAAAAGCAATCAGCGCAGCATGGGTATCATAGATCTCTACAGATCTGTCTCTATTCGCTGTCCTCGACAGGCCCGCAAGTGCAGAACAAGTTCTGGTCACCAAAGGCATCATCGACACGAGTCACCGTAGGCCAGAACTTCTTCTCCAAAAGCAAAGGCAATGGGTAAGCAGCCTGCTCGCGAGTGTAAGGGCGGTCCCACTCAGAGACGAGCAGGTCGCGCTGAGTGTGCGGGGACATCTTCAGCACGTTACCCTCGCGAGGCTGGGCACCAGACTCGACCTCGCTGATCTCCTTGCGGATGGAGATCAAGGCGTCACAGAAGCGGTCCAGCTCGGCCTTGTTCTCGGACTCCGTGGGCTCGATCATGAGGGTGTTGGCCACGGGCCAGGACATGGTCGGGGCGTGGAAGCCGTAGTCCTGGAGACGCTTGGCGATATCGATGGCCTCGACACCGCAGGTATCCTTGAAGGCGCGCACGTCGAGGATGAACTCGTGTGCGCAGCGGCCGTGGTCGTTGGTGTATAGGATCGCGTAGTAGGGCTTCAGACGGGAGAGGATGTAGTTTGCGTTGAGCAGGGTGATCTTAGTAGCGTGGGTTAGACCACGGTCGCCCATCATGTTGATGTAGTTGAAGGTGATGGGCAAGATGCTGGCACTGCCCCAGGGAGCAGCGGAGATGGGAGGGGAGGAGGTGTCGCCACGCTTCGACTGCAGGTACTCGCTGGTAGGGTGCGAGGGCAGGAAGGGACGCAGGTGCTCGCCGACACCAATGGGTCCGACACCGGGGCCACCGCCACCGTGGGGGATACAGAAAGTCTTGTGAAGGTTCAAGTGGCACACGTCGGCGCCGATCTCACCAGGAGAGCAGAGACCGATTTGGGCGTTCATGTTGGCACCGTCCATGTAGACCTGGCCACCGTGCTCGTGCACAAGGCGGCAGGCCTCCTTCGCACCGGGCTCGAACACACCGAAGGTGCTGGGGTAGGTGATCATGAACGCGGCCAACTCGTCCTTGTGCTTCTCGCATTTGGCCTTGAGGTCCTCCAGATCGAGGTTACCAGTCTTGGTGTCACACTTGATGGTCACAACGCGCATACCAGCCATGGCGGCACTAGCCGGGTTGGTACCGTGAGCAGAGACAGGGATCAAGCACAGGTTGCGCTTAGCATCGCCCTTGGCCTCAAAGTACTTCTTGATAACACGAAGACCAGCGAACTCACCCTGGGCACCAGAGTTGGGCTGCACAGTAACCTCGGCCATGCCAGTGATATCGGCCAACTGTTGTTCCAGATCGTCAATCATCTTTGTGTAGCCCTTCGCTTGCTCAGCAGGCATGAAGGGGTGAATCTGGGAGAACTCGGGCCAAGAGACAGGGATCATTTCGGTGGTAGCGTTGAGCTTCATGGTGCAAGATCCAAGGGGAATCATGGAGTGGGCCAGGGAAAGATCCTTTGATTCAAGGTGGTGGATGTACCGGAGCATCTCAGTCTCGGAGTGGTAGGTGTTGAAGACCGGGTGGGTCAGGTAAGAGGAGGTACGCTCAAGGCTGGCGGGGACAGTGGTGAGACCAAGAGTGCCATCAACCTCGACGGGAGAGGCAGACTTGTGAGCGGCAAAGACATTCAAAATGCCCTTCACCTCATCCCGGCCAACAGTCTCGTCCAAAGAGAGACCGACCTTGTTTCCGCCCAGACGGCGGAGGAAGACAGAGGCAGCGCGGGCCTCGGCCATAATGGCATCAGCCTCCGCGGCACTGGGCAATTCAATGGCCAAAGTGTCGAACACAGCACCACCATCAGCGCTGTTGGAGCGGACCGGGACATTATAGCCCAGGCTGACAAGCTTCTCACGCAGCAGTGAAGTCATGGACATGATACGCTGGGCAATGGACTTGAGGCCGACAGGGCCGTGGTAGATAGCATACATGGCAGTCATGTTAGCAAGCAAAGCCTGAGCAGTGCAAATGTTGCTAGTGGCCTTCTCACGGCGAATGTGTTGCTCGCGAGTTTGCAGAGCCAGGCGCAGAGCCCGGTTACCGAGGCGGTCCTTGGACACACCAACGACACGACCAGGCACCTTGCGCTTGTACTTGTCGGCACAAGCGAAGAATGCGGCGTGGGGACCACCGAAGCCCATGGGAACACCCAGACGCTGGGCACTTCCGAAGGCAATATCAGCGCCAAACTCGCCGGGCGCCTTCAGCACGGTCAAAGCCAGCAGGTCAGTGGCCACGCTGAAAGTACCACCCTGGCCGTGGATGGAGTCACCAAGAGCCTGGAAGTCGTAGATACCTCCCTCGGTATCGGGGTACTGGGCAAGGACACCGATCAGGTGGTCCTTCTGGTCCTTGACGATCTTGAAATCATCGGCCAAGATATCTCCGATCACGAGGTTGATTCCGAATCCCTCGGCGCGGGACTGCATCACTGCAATAGTCTGGGGGTGGCAGAGGTGAGACACAACGAAGGACTTATCGGCCTTCTTTTGCTTTGAAGCGGGCATGGTGGCGTAGGACATGGTCATGGCCTCGGCAGCGGCGGTGGCCTCGTCCAAGACCGAGGCATTGGCGAAAGGCATACCAGTCAGATCAGCTGTCAGGGTCTGGAAGTTCAGCAGAGACTCCAGACGGCCCTGACTGATCTCGGGCTGGTAGGGTGTATAGCTGGTGTACCAGGCAGGGTTCTCGAGAACATTGCGCTGGATGACCGGGGGCACAATGGTGGGGTAGTAGCCGGTTCCAATATAAGTCTTGCCGGAGATATCAATCTGCTTCCGGTAGGTGTCCAGCAGCTTGAGCATATCGGTTTCGCCCAAACCACCCTGCACACTGGAGCGGTACAGACTGATATCGGCGTGGGGCTCGGAGAGCTTGAGGTCCTTCTTGGAGAGAATGTCCTCGGGTAGGACCTGCTTCACGAAGTCATCCAAAGATGACACCGGCGGGTCGAGCGAGGCGAGCATCTGTGCCGCAGCGTCCGGGGAGGGGCCAATGTGGCGGCGGGGGAAGGTATCGAGAGGCTGGAAGATATCCTGGGGGTGGGGATCTCCATGGTCGGAGATAGAGCTAGTATAGACACCACGACGGGTCGCGGGCTGCGAGGTGTGCAATGCTCTCCGAGTGTTCAATGGTGACAATGAAGCTCGGGCAATTGTAGGGACGCGAACACGCGACCGCAGAGCAAGCTGGCGGCCGCCGCGAAGGGCAAACAATGATGCCGCCATACTGAGACCGGAGGATAATGAAGGCTTTAGGGAAAGCACTCAACACATCCACACAAGTAAATCAGTAAATCAATGAATTAGGGGAATGAAGAAGACAAAAAGTCCCAGACTTGTAGAAATCAATATTTATTGCCCACGCCTCTTGCCTTTTCCCTGCCCGATCATCCGATGACGGAGAACCTGTCGGGAAACTTACAGCGGCGATAAGAAATTATAAGAGAACTTGTTATCCAACCAATCACAGCTGCCACCGTTTGCCATCGGCCCCAGCTCGACCACTGACCGCCTTCCCGTCGGAGCAAATGGCCGGTTTTCCGGCGGAAAAGTCGCTGTACATCTACTCCACGAATTCCCCCACCGAGGGGGAAGCTCCGATTGTATCATAGCTTTCCTTGAGCTTCGGTTCAAGCGGGTCATTTAGGAAAATATTAAAAAATGGAAAAGGACGGCTTTCGCATTGCTATCTTAATCCAATTTAGGACATGAATACTATTCCCCCGACCTCAAATCGTATATCGGAAAGCCGCATCGCCCTCAATAACCCGCTTTCCCCGATCCGCCTGCTTATTACAGATCCGGAACCACAGACTCATACAAAGAACCAACAAGATGATCAGAATGTTACACCTGGTGAAACAAAGTCAGCACACGAACACAATTTGAGACAGAGGGAAAGACTTACGCGATAGCGGCATACATTCCCGGTCGGTAACCGGGTGCATCCTGTTCCCGGAACACCAAGCTACTCACGATACCACCAAGACCACCAAAGCCTACAAGTGTAGCACTGGAGAAAGCACGCGTCCACTGGCCGCGCACATTGTTCGCCTGGTATGCCATGCAGGATGGGATATTAGCATTAGCACCGGCAACAGTGAAGAACACGCCCACATAGCGGACGGCATCGCTCTTAGCGAATCCCATCATCGGCAGGCCAATGATGGCGAGCAGGGCGTTGAAAATAAGAATTGGTGCGCGCATGCGGTACTTGTCGCCAACCCAGGCCGTGGCGTACATGACGATTCCTGCGAACCCGTAGGGCGGTGCGACAAGGCATTGGGCTTGGCCAACACCGTAGCCCATGCCGGACATGAGGATGATGGGGAGGAAATAGGCAATGGCGTAAGTGACGGTAGTGAGACAGCTGGGATGCGGTTAGCAGGAATCGGGTCTGTTTGGAAAGGGAACGCACAAGAAGATCATGGCAAAGCCCCAAATCTTAAGATCCATTGCGGGCTTGAGGAACTTCTTGAGAGAGAATGCTTCCATGTCGCCATCGTTTCGGTCCTTGTTGATGCGACGGACGACGAATGCGCATTCTCTCTCGTTTAAGAACCGCCATGACTTGTGTGCGCGGTCAGGGAAGTCGACGAGGAAGAAAAAGCACAGGATGCCAATAACGCCGGTGATCTATGTTCCTTGTTAGCTCGATTTTGTTTCAGCTGATTCAACTCTGCGTACCACTCCCTCAAGGATGAAAATCCATCTCCAGCCTGTTAGCCCATGCTTTCCGTTCAATTGCATCAGACCAAACGCAAGGATACCGGCCAACGCAGAAGCGACACATCCAATGAGATAGAAAACGGAGAATCGCTTTTGGACATCATCTTTGAAGAGTCAGCACTGTTCAGTCACCTGGAGAGATATCTGGCGATTCCTCTTACATCGGGTATACCAGCAAGATAGCAAATAAACACAGCCAGGGAAGTAACCAGCTTCCAGCACACCCAAAAGCACACGCGTTCCAACCAATGCACCCCAGTCCTGAACGAATCCCATTCCCTGTGGCAGTCAGTAAACCAGAGTCTTCAGTTGAGAAAGCGAAAAGCCCTTACGATCATGATCGCGGCCCAGCATATAATAATCGAGCCTAGGAAATATGTTGGGCCAATTTTTCGAATAATGACCGTCATCGGCGGCTGGAAGAGGATATAGGGCACGAAGAACATCAGGACGACAATGGACTATTCAGAAGTTAGCCATTTGTCTTCTGGAAAATGTGATCCATATTTCTGAACTTACATAGCGCTCGCCTATGTCCAGTCGCAATTCCTTTTTCAACCTATTCAAGAGGTCAGCCATTTTTGTATACAATCTTCCTACACGACTGTAGTCTTACCCTGCCACGGCGGCCATGCTCAAATTCGTCCGGTCCATGAGCGAGATGCAATAAGCCAACCCGGTCATGGTCACCAGACGCAGATCAATCCGTCGAATAATCTTCTTCTGCTCCTGCGGTGTGAACTCATCATCGTCGTCGCTGGGAGGGCTCTTCCCCGCGATATCCTCGATGCGGTGATCAGCAACCGGTTTCTCATCGATGGGAGTCATTGTTCCCATGATGATATGTCCGAACTGAATAGGAGTATTCAATATAAAGATAAAGATGCAAGATTGCAAAAGAGATAGAAGAAAAAATAAACTCAGTTGTCTTGACCAAAAATAGAAGATGTAGCTGCAGCTTTATCTAGCAAAACGATCAGACCAGCAAGGATCAAGAATTATATATCCCAAGTAGGGATATACTCCGAAAGAAACCAATACATTCCTAAACCAGCCATTCAAGATCGACGCTCGCCTATTACAGCCCGCTTCATTGTGCCCAGGAAAATCCCCAAGAAACCAGACCATCGAGAATGCAATAGCCGAGAGCAAATGGGAAAGTGCCTCGGGACAAGAACAAATCCCATAGAACCAGCGGTATACGCAGCAATATTGTCCGAAACAAATGAGGGGGAAGTCACCCCACTTAGTGACAGCCTCTACGAGTCATCTCTTGCGCACTGAGCTGGTTTGGCTCAGTGGCGGCTGCTTTGGGGGATAATCTGGGGGCAATGGGGAGGAAATGCGGGGGAAAAGTACTTGGCAACTTGGCAAATGGCGCGTGGACTACGAGATACACTTTGGTCCCCTCCTTTCTTTGGGGATTTTAAGATGATAGTTGGTTAGAGATGTCACTTTTGTGGGACTAGCGATGATCTGTTCAATTGCTCGTCGTTGCCAATGTTGCTTGGTGTTAGGGTTTCTTGAATTTTGAATTCGTGCACTTCGTAATTGTTGTTTGCAGGAAGAAAATCTGGAAAAGAATCCCCCAAACTCCCTCCTTACTTCTTTCTGAAATTCCAAGTTGAGTAAGGACCTTGCAAGACATTGAGCTCGTACTTGTCAGCGGGTCAAGAAGTGTCACCTGGGCAGAGTTCTAGCCAAGAGTCAGCTATGAGATTATGAGGCGCGCCTCTTGATACGTCGGAGCTCAAACCGTGATCGGTAGTTCCGAAAGTGTAATTTCTCCATGTGGAAAAGCCTATAATAATCCTGGTTCCATTCGATCCATTCGATGGATACTAGTAGAGTTGTCGTCCATGGTGATATCATTATGCAGCATATACCTAGATACATGGATAATATAGGCTATGTCCGAGCACTTCAGGGCTCCTATTGCAAGCGGTTGGTTCAGAATAACGCCCCACTATAGGCGAGTCTGTCATTTGACGCCATATCCATATTAGAGTTGTTATAAAGACACAGAGCCAGAATATAGATAATGGATAGAAAGGCTTGACCGTTGACCATACTGTGAATTAATTTCAATTTTTTTTAATCCCTCGGCTCAACCCCCTAAAACTGCTATTCGATCAACGGTAACTTTCATAATCCTCGTATTCGTCCTCTTCTTCATCCTCTTCCAGAAGAAGTCTCTCGCGTTCTTCCTCATCCACCCGACCCTGCTCTCTCAGCTGTCTCACAGACACGAAAACAAAGATCACGAGCGCTGTTCCAACAATGAATCCCGCAACTGCCAAGGCAGCATTGATTGGAATTGGGTTTCCATCAAACGTATGATGCGTCAATGCGTCGAGCCCATACTGAGAGAAGTTTGCGATTCCCGAGAGGCAAATTATGGCACCGTACACACGCCCAAACGTGGCAAAGCCGAAGACTTTGGTAGTATAATCACTAAATCCAAGATTAGCAGGTAGAACATAGCAGTGGATGAGGGAGGGGAAGAACATACGACATGGCCGAGTAATAGAGAGGCCGGAGTAAGACAAAGAGCACAACAGTCATATAACCAGCCCACACTGCCGGGATGGAGTTCAGCACACCAATGACCGTGGTGAAAAGCACAATCACCCCAAGCATCGTTGGCACACTAAGGCGATCAAGCAGATACCCAATCGCGGGCGTGAAGAGAACACCCCCGACCGGCAGTGCGACGTCGAAAAAGGCACCTATCTTATCTGCCTCCTCGATCGACCCAAGCATGTACTCATACTGCGAGCGAATCGTCGCGATGAAGTAATTCATGCGAATCATCTGCAAAACAGTCATCAGCGTAATGAGGATAAACCAGGGCGTAGCCATCTGCCTGTGCGCCGGCAGGCCGTGCATTACACCCCAAACCGAACTCGTCTGCTGGCGATCCTCTTCCCGTTCCGCACGCATCTGCCGCTCATCTCTATCACCGAGCACCGCATTGATCTGACGTATCTTCTTCTGACGTCGTTCCGCTCGCTTCTTCCGCACCCGGTTTAGCTCCGACGTACTCTCAATTTCATCGTCGGAGTCGTGAACGTCGCGTGTGGCATCTTCGGCCATTTCTATCTTGTTTTCCAATTGCAGGGTCGAGACATAGTCGCGCGCCGGCATTATGGTCACAAGGGCGATGAAGATATACACGGGGACTATCAGATAGCCCAGAAAGAACTTATCCGGGGTGAAAGATCTGCCCGACGCCTCATATATGAGCCGGTAGAAGAGAAACACAGCAGCAGAAGCATCGAATGCACCAGTCACCAGCGCGACGATTGACCCCGCATATTTGGGGAACGCATTCGCGATCTGGAACGAGGGAACAAATAAAAAGGTGCCAGCCAGAGCGAGGAAGAAATTCCCCGCAATATAGCCATCGAAGCCGGGTTCATGGAATGCAAAGGCCATGATGACACCGCCGACAGCAAGAAGCAGGCAAGCAATGAACCAGCACACACGTGATCCACATCGATCCAAGATCGTCCCAACTGGAAGAGCGGAGACATTGGCTGTTATTGAAGCAATAGTGAAGAACAGGTTGAGTCTAGGAGTTGATTAGTGACAAGCATAACCCGGAGTAATGGTCTGTGCAACAAACATACCTAAGGTCCTGCTGTGCGCACAGCTCAAGCCCTTCATCTATTTCGGCAGGAGTGCAACGCTCGTGATAAACGCCTTCCTCAACAAGGACAGGCTTGAGTGCCGCAAAGCCAAACACGATCCCCGACGCGCTCCAGCACGCGAGCACAGCGACGGCGACCTGGGCTGGATGGGTGTCAGCAGTTTGTCATACACAGGGTTAAAAATTACGTACCTATTCTCTTTGCAGGGGAATGTTTGTAAGCTGGTGTTCCAGGCCGCGTTTCTGCGACCGGGATAGCGTCGGTCGGCGGCTGGAGAACATCGTAGCTGATTTTTCGGCGTATGGGAGCGAAGTCGCATTCATCAACTAGGTCTGGTTCGGGTTCGCGATCAACACCGTCAATGACAGAAACATGCTGCACCAGTGACATTGCTCTGTGTTAAACAGATGAGGTGTTGAGGAGGGGAAGTTGGTCTTATCGTGGCAAAAACGGGTTTTTTTCCCTCTTGCGCTAGAGTCCTTCGGTATGCAGCACAGCTTTTAGGTATGGGTATATTTAGCATGTGCAATGTCTTTTTGGTGATTCAATTGAGGATTTGAGTATTAATATTATTTATTTGCATATGGATAGCTAGTTGTGCGATTCCCATACTTAACGTAGCTTGGAGCTACATATGAAAGCTATGGCGCACCTGACATCTCTGATTTTCCACCCTAGACTCAAAGTATACTAGAGCTACATTCATAAACTCATTAAACTGTGAAAATATGCATATTAATAGTGCCAAATAGGACAGGGTAGCTGTCTGCCAGCTTTAATTCGCCCGACCTAAATTGCCGGCACTCGTTAGCTCAAAAGCTTTTTCCTTGCAGCTCAATTTTGTCCAATCATAATTAGTCTAACCTACAAGGTCTTTTTTTGTGGAGTTCCCAGGTGAACTAAGGTGAGGGCATCCATGGATCACTCGGAGACTCAGGAACACTTGGTACCGCTTTATACTTGAATTCATTATTGTACATGTATGTCTAACTCCTGGCCCACGCAGTAAATTTCTACATCTAAACACACCTCTTATGATATAGTGATTTAAAACAGTACTCCTTCTCAAGCAGCTGTGACAGGCGATTTCTCTTTCTTAATTGACCTCCATTCCATCGTCAGCGAGGGAACAATCATCAGACAGGACACCGCCACGGCGACAATGAACGACTGCCTGAGGCCATCATTGTATAAAGCCAGAACCTCGGTCAACTTGGTAGCCGGGACAGCATTAGAGAGACCCGTTGCTCCAGTCTCCATGATCTTGGCCACATCAATTCCTTTGATGTGGGGCAGGTTTGCACCGAGGTAATTCTGGAAGAGCGACTGAGCGACAGCGATAAAGACAGCTCCACCGAGAGACTGCGCGAAGAACATGAGCGATACACCAATGGCGACCTCATCCATAGGGAGAATAGTCTGCGCCGCCATGGAGGGCTGTTGCATTCCCGTGCCGATACCGATACCAAACAATACCTGGTACCCAATCCAGGCGGCGTGGTTGGTGTCCATCTTGAAGGTTGTCATCAATCCTGCGCCCGTGGACATGAAAATCGCCGCAACGAACATCCATGGAACATAGTATCCCGTTGCGGTGATGATTGAGCCGGAGAGGATGGCTCCAACAACAAGCGCCAGCACCATGGGGATCGTGTCGATGCCGGATTTCACAGCTGATGTGCCGCGCACGCCCTGGAACCAGAGTGGGAGCGTGTACAGCATCGATATTAGCCCTCCACCCACACACAGGGAAAATACAACTCCGCTGATGATGCTGCGCTGGTTAAAGATATGAGGTGGCACCGTTACGTCCTTGAGCCAGATCTGCACGCCGACAAAGGCGATCATCAGAATTCCTGAGATGACAAACAGCGCGATGATGCGCCCGTTGCCCCATGGGTAGGTTGTTCCGCCCCATTGCAGCGCGAGCAGGAAGCAGATGACAGAGGGCAGGAAGAGCACACTTCCCAGGGGATCGAGGCGGAGGATTTGTCGCTTCCAGTTGCACGGTTGGGGTTTGTGGGGGACAGCCAGGAAAAGGAACAAGATGACCATAGTGAAGCCGCCGATGGGCAGGTTGATGTAGAAGCACCAGCGCCATGTTACGTTGTCTGTGAATGCACCACCCATCAGAGGTCCGATGATGGACGACAGCCCAAATGTCGACCCCATCAGCCCGACGTACATGGGCCGTTTGGCCAGCGGCACAATCTGTGCGATTATCACCGTCGCGCCGGAAAATATGCCTGCCGATCCAACTCCTGCTATCGCGCGTCCCACGATGAAGGCCTTGGAGTTGGGAGCGCCGCCGCAGATGGCCGATCCGACTTCAAAGATGAGGATCGCGATCAGGAAGATGGTCTTGGTCGAGTAGAAGGTGTACACTTTGCCCCAGGATAGCTGGGTAGCGCAACTTGTGAGCAGATACGCACTTGCATACCAGCTGAGGTCGTCAAGTGCATTGAACTGGTTTGCGATTCGGGGGACTGCTGTGGCGATGATGGTGCGATCCTGTAGTGTTCAAGGTGTTGTCAGTGTAGATCCACATAGGCAATAGGAGGCAACATCCATACCAACGCAACCAAAAACATAGCAAACAGAATAGAAATAATAATAGCTAGCAACCGGGTCCCCGTTGGTAAATGAGTCTCATCTTCCTTGACCTCGGAGGGCTTCTCGGTGGTAGTTGAGGCTTGGCCCGGCTGCTGGTCGAGCTGCTCTTCTATCGATCGAGTCATGGTATAATACAAAGATTGTTAAATAGCAGGCAATTAGATATTTGCGACTGATTGACTGATTTAAATTGACACATATGAAGGGAAAGGGGCAGACTTATAAGTAATTGAAGGTAGTTCAGAATCTCGGGGGTAAATATGAGTTCGGCGCCGAACAACATAGACCAAAACTCGGTTCGGCGCCGAACTAAGGGAATAGCGTAACGCCCTTCGCTCCTTCTCGTTTATAGCTTATGGTTTTGCCAATAATGATTCAAGCTATCTCCACGCTCTGTAATCACCCTCTTTTTTATGTCATTAACAGCGAAAGGTGCGGTGTCAAGGTTACTGGGCTTGACATGTCTGCGAAACGGACAGAAATGCGATGCATCGGAAGCCGAAAGAGCTTAGATTATGAAGTTATGGGTAGACTCCAGCATTTATGATGAGTGCCAACTCCTCCTACCGCCGACAGCCTCATCCCTTCAACTGCACTAGCGATAACCCGTCGCATAGTTTAGCTTAACCCAAGGACTCCTACCACTGTAGTGAGTGGTAACCGAGTGTACCATCTCACATTGGTGATTCTGAAAAAGATCAACAAATCTGTCACCGGCCTAGGTCCCATTGACAGTCCGGTGCCACGAATGACTGAGCGCTTCCCGCAGCATTTTGACGACTACTGCATCAAAGGTGCATGTTTTCGAGGATGGCCATGATGCTGTAGTGCTGAGGTGATTGGTTCCCGGTACCACGTCACGCTGTTGCCTCCAATCTAGTGTCTCAATGACCTCGGCTTACGACAGCGTCAGGAACAGTGCAAATATCCTGCGGCTAATATCTTGTCCTAAGGACCTGGAAGGGATGGAATTCTTGACGGAGTCCCGTGCTGACTTCTCGGGAATGGCTGGGAGACGCTCATTCCCGGGTTCTCAATGCGAATCACCTTACCTGGGCCACCTTCTGATTTCTCGGCAAGACATGCGGGTCTTTACTTCGCTGTTGATCCAGAAGTTGCGGGATATTATACCTTTTATGCTAAACGCGGTAGTGTGTTGCAGCGAGGCTGTCATTATTCATATCATCATCCGGAATTCGGTCATCGAGCCCCTTTCTGAACCCGACATCTAGCTTGGCCTAGCGCAGAATGGAAGTCGCTTGTCTTTTGTTGTCGACAGAGGCAAAAGCTCCCGTCTGAACTTCGCAAATACCAACTTGCGAAGCTTATGATTGGATCCATTTGTCGTAAACCGACCGTTGTTTTAAGCAACATGCGATCTCCAGATGAGATCACGGAGCAAATGGTTCTGAAAACTAAAGATGGATGCAACACGGTCCAGTACGTTTTTAAGGGGGATTATAGGGATACTTTTCTCGAGGACTATAGCCGCGTTAAGGTCTTCTTCCCTTTTACGACACGCGAGTACGAGACGTGGTGTGACACCGTCTATTTGCTTACGCGGGGTTCTAATGTTCATTTCTCGTTGCGAAATTGGTGGTGTGTATTTGTTCTTAATTATCAATTATCGAGTAACCCGTGTACGGCAGTCAAAGTTCTAATATTACAAAGTATACTGCAGGCAAAATGAGTTATGGCGCACTAGAACCTAGAGACTGCCGTAGATCGGTCATTGCTGTCTGCTAATGCCTGTCAGCATTTTACGAGGAGTGGCCCTTGAACGGAACTGCCTTGGACTGAATTATATGCATGAGCCTGCTGGACTGGCAGTTTTTCTATGTAGATGATATCTTTAAAGACTTTCTAACTCAATGCTATTAGGAATCGGGTGCTGGACATCAGACCACGAGGTTATGAAACGTCTTTTGATCGATCAGATTATGCCAGTAATGGGGGGATTATTGTAAAGCCTTCTTCTCTTCTTTGGGCGTTGTTTTGGATCATTTGGACTGCTGGTATTCCGTGGGCAATCTGTAATTATGCCGATATTGTAGATGCAACATCCGTTAGAAGATGTAATCGTATGATGTATACATCGTTCATCGTATATTGTACGTTATACAACTATGGATCGCAGATTATCGTACTGTAGGCCATGTTCATTTACCCGGTGGGAAGCAGGAGATAAAAATAGGAACTATAGCCACTTCTAGTTTGCCGAGAGCCATTCCACGTGGAGTGTCTCTCGCATCTTCATCATCTGTCGAGCCACACCATTAATGGTTCCGTGGGTCATAAACAGGAACAGGGCATATATAACAAACACCGCCCTTCATTATTTGAAGACCAACAATATTACCTTCGTACGCGGCTTTTAAGCCCACATAAAAGCTCCGAAAGGTCAGATAGAAGAAAGAGAATGGAGAAATACAACATCGAATCAAATTGTTGTATGTTGTAGATGCCAAGAGTTAATATAAAAATGCCATGTTCCATGGACGGATGATGGCTATGACGTATGCGGACGCCAATGACGTAGATTTGGGGCACCCGTTATATGTCAACTACCCATAGACCACTTTTCATTTTACCTGTTCTACTGTTCTACTTATATTGTCGATTGGAATTTTTGCATAGCAATTTCTTGGGTTGACATCTGAAACGGAAATAATTTACAAGAAGCCGAGGTGCAGCGATAACAACGAACGCAGTACATGCGTTCGAAAACCACAAAGAAAAGTACCAGCAGCACAATGGCCAACATATCGATCAGTGCCCCTGGTCTGACCAGCGGCGGATTTCTTTACAACAATGGGAACAATAATGCGCGACTATGCGTCACAGCCGAGACAGAAGATTTCGACATGGAGATCATCAAGAACTGGCAAGAGGAAGGATTCGACGTCGTATACCTCCCTTATAACGGCGGAGGAAAAGACTACGCTCGCCGGCTACAGTCTGTAAAGGATGGTCTTGGTGTAGGCGAAAACTATGCCGTGATCGGTATGCACAGAACCCTCTTTAATCATAAAACTCCGAGTGATGTACTGACCGGCCCGATTCTTAGCCTACGGTGACGCTGCGGATTACTGTCTCGACTACTATCTCAATTCCATCAACGCCAGTCGACTCTGCGCCCTGGTCGCCTACTACCCCAACCTAATCCCCGATACGCGATCACGATTCCCACTCTCGCTCCAGGTCCTCGTGCACTTGGCAGGCGAGACCGTGGACGTACTTGTTCAGCCCGTCGCGGTGGGCTTGCAAGGAAAGAAACGCCGCCAGACGCGGCCGATCAACGCTGGCATCGGGACTGGAGAGCGTTTGGATTTGGCGTACCCGGCGTTTACATATGATAATGCCGTACCCGGGTTTGCAGAGACGGACTTGGAGGAATACGATCATCTGTCGGCGGATCTAGCCTGGACGAGGACTTTGAAGGTCCTGCGGAAGGGATATTCCAGGGATCCAGATTACGAGCAGCGGTATGAGCAGCATGTGGATGGTAAGTTGCAATCGCAAAAGGATCAAGTGATGGCGGGCTAATGCTTTGTTAGGCAAGTTTTTCTCGTCGAACGTCAGGAAGACGATGGATGGTTACGTCCAACACAAAACGCCCGGTGTCACATATACGCCGACAATCAGCGGCGGGATCGGGAAAAAAGCCTTGCGTCATTTCTATGAACATTACTTCATCGGCAAACTTCCCCCGTCCATGCGCCTTCGACTGCTATCTCGTACCACAGGACCCGACCGCATCGTGGACGAGCTGTACGTGAGCTATGAGCACACACAGGAGGTTCCATGGATGCTACCGGGTGTCCCGCCGACAAACAAGCGAGTCGAGATCATCCTCGTGAGTATTGTCAGTATGCGCGCTGGGCGTCTTTACTCCGAGCACGTATACTGGGACCAAGCCAGCGTCCTTGTTCAAGTCGGTCTTCTGGACCCCAAGCTGCTACCAGAAGGAGTCCAGGGTGTCGACCGACTGCCCGTTGTTGGGCGCGAAGCTGCTCGTCGCATCCTCCATGAGGATACGGAGCTTGAACAGGAAGACTACCATAACAAGATGATCCGTCGTGCGCGTGCCCGCGCGAGGAGGAGCATGAATCGGAGCGCCCGCGCGTCGCAGGCTGGTGATGAGTCTGGTGCTGAGCTGAAGAGTGAAGCGGAGCAGGCGTTGCCTGATAGGAGTCGGAATGAGGGCAAGTCGGTTCAAGAAACGAAGCCTCCGGGTTTGCAGCGGACGGCCACGGAAATTGCTGAGCACGGGCATGATGACGGCGCTGATACGAAAACGGAGTCTAGTGTCAAGCCTAGGTCTGAGGCGGGCAATCAGAGTGCCTATGTCGAGGATGGAGGAGATGATAGTGCTGAGAACGGGTCAAAGCAGACCTGACTTCTCACTTCTATTTCTCTTTGTCGGGATCACCACGAAGACATTACCATGGCCCTTCCTGTGCCTCTAGGGGAGATGAAGTCGACGATTCATAAATTGAGTTGGGAATGTTCTTTCGATTTTCTAGGCGACTGTTTTTTGATTATGAGTGATGTTGTACCTGTCGATTTCTTCTGTTTAACATTAATGGTTGTCAATATTTTGGATACGATGATGAATGTGATATGTATGTTTGGACAGATATTGCAACAATTGAGTTGAAAATTGAAGCTCGATCTTGCTGAGTGTCATCATTCAAGGCATCGGTAAAGCTATTAGTCCGACATGGGATAATCATGGACCTTTATATATAGTTGTTGGGCGCTACGGATGTAGGGACCAAAGGACACAAGAGGGTTGTATTGGAAAGGAGACAATCTCCCGAACTATCTAACTGCTGCGTGGTTACTGCCTAAGGCTGGTTCAAATTCAACAACACCGTAGCATGTCACACTCAATGACACTTACATTCTACTGCACACACCTATGCGCGTACACAATAATCAGTCAATTGCCACCTTATTGTACAAGGCGACCTCAGAACAGGTCTGGGGTTGCCATTTCGGGGGTCGAGGCACGCTACGAGCCAGTCCAACACCCAGAAGACGCTCATGCTCCCCCACAAATCGAGCGTCTCTGGCGATCACGAGACAACAGGAAAGGCCGACATGCCATTCGCATCGATACAGAGGCCTTACCACATGAAACGGGATTGAAAGCACCACCACTGACGCAGTCCGTCTCAGCAGTAGCCAAGATCTTTCTCTGGATGGTGACCTACGTCCCGTATTGGGACGTATCATATCTAGTCGCCATGAGCTTCACTATCGGGTCAGCGATCTTCATCGTCAATGGGTTCTTCGTGTGGTTACCTCATGATAGGATCTATGATCCAGTGGTATGAGAGTTTGCAGAAGCATCCTGTTGAGAAGAAGTGATGATGAGCTTGAATCAGCATGCATGAAGATTATAAGTAGACTTATAGATGCACTGGGATATTAAATATGGGTAATGATACATATTTCACCGACTCACGGAACCCATCCCAGCTGTTGCATAGGCCATTGTAACCAGCAACGATGCTCCTCATCCAAAAGATAATAAATACCACTGATAGTGTGGACACTGAACCCCTGCATCCACCAAGCCCATTCCATCTCCTTCATAACAACGCAAAAATATGCAAAAATAACCATCGCTTCAGGCGTGCGCTGCTGGAAGTACCCAAAATATTGATCCGAAACTCTCAACAACCAAATAAATACATCAGCAGTCTCGCAGTGATGTGATCCAATTTCGTCAATAGTAGCGAATGACATCGCCATATCATCGATTGACTCGTGATAGCACCGCAGCTCACTGTTATCCTGAACTGTATCCTGCAAGAACTGTTTCAAGACTAGAAGAAACGGCGGTGTGGCCGTGGCAGACCTCGCATCCCGAGCCAGCTTCCTGCGTTGGCCCATCTCAAACATCGGTGCTAGCAGTCCCGTCCTAATGGAGTCACCTGCTGACTCCAGGATGTGTATTGTGCCACGAAACAGGTTCAACCACTCGATATCTCGATCACTATTTGCCCAAAAGTCGTGTCTGATGCGCGGCTTGGCGCAGGAGATAATGCAGGTCAGGATCGAAAAGACATATATGCTTTGACAATTCTCCTTATTAACATCTGGCAGGATGGCGGACACCATTTGCAAGGCGGTGTTATGGTGAAACTCGGCTTGTGAGACATAATGGTCGTGGAATTCGGGCTTTATATGAGCCAGATGCAGCGCGGAAAGAGCGATGATGGCGCGGAATACGAATGGCGACGAGAAACTGACTTGCGGGATCCGGATTTGCCATACTGTTTGCAGAACTGGGCTGCGTGAAACTGTATAGCAGGTTGATGTAGAGAAGTGGTGGAGTAGAGCCATCTCGGCCATGCCCATAGGTGGGGTGTTCTCCCCCGAGGAGACGGGACTTGGGGCGCTGGAAGTGCCGAGAGTTGGAGGTGACACTGATTGCCCGGCGGGGCCTGCGGGGGCATCGCCGAAGAGACATTGTACTCCGTGTTTGAAGCAGTTATTACAGCGCGGCCTGGTTTCATCACACTTTTGAACGTGTTAACACAATTAAGGAGATATATTGTTTTCTTTAAGTCACTTACTTTTACCTTGCGGGCTTTGCACGATTGGCAGCCGTTTCTGGACTTCCTGTGCGACCGTCGAGGCCCCATGTTACCCCCTTGATGGGACTGAAGTTGTATAGGTAGAAGTAGATATATGGCTAACCGAAGAGAGAAGATGTAGTGTTATATCAGTTGTATGTTGAATGTCTTGAAAAAGAGCAATGCAAAAACGCTCCGCCACTCCGACCCGCAAAAAAACTTTAACCTAAAAATATCCCATGGGTACTCTTTTCCTTCCCAAGGCTCCAGCTTTGTTTTAAGCCTCAGATTCATCTCTCAGACATCACTTCTGACATCGACCATTTCCTTGTTACTAGCCCGAGACTCAATGTCACGTATAGGCGACCGGGGAGTCACCAATGACTTCGGAGAGAAGATGTTGAAGGTAATCATAGTCAAGAACATCAGAGCAGCATCAAAGACATATAGGTACACCTCCGTCGACATGAGCGGACCATCTGTACCGGTAATATACTCAATGGCACGGAAGATAGACCGAATCATGATGAACAGACTAGCCGTGTATAGGACAAACAAGCACTTTTTCCACGGCACTGTGATAGCAGACATGGAAACGCAATCACGGCACTTCCAGAGCCGGTAATGGAACACACCAGCAGTCACGATGAAGAATCCGAAAAAGGCAATTTGGATGAAAAGACCGGCGATGATGATGTTTTGTCCGAGGGTAATCTTGGACTGACTCTTTGCGGAAGCAAGGAAGCCACCGCCAGCACACTGGGCGAGGAACGAGATCACATCTCCGCAGACAAAGATTTTGGTCAGCCATTTGACTCGGATGACAGAGAGCTGATCATGGCCGGTGGAGGTGATTGAGCGGCCCAGGATCATGTAGATGGATGCGGCGAAGAATGCTGGTGCGATAAGGAGCAAGAGTGATTGCATGGTAAATGGGCCGGTTGTCCAATCGGGGGTTTCTTGTGAGTTAAGATAGCGACCGACATAGCCGACAGCCTCAACTATAAGCACGTTAGCTTTATATATTCGTTCCTGAATGGGGTATATACTTACAGATTCCTCCTATAATGAAAGGAATGAAGAACCATGATCGACTCCGGATCATTTGGAAAATGTGCACCAAGGTGGTTAATCCGAAGAGAACGACAAAGATGATCGCCGCAACTGCCGACGGGTCATAGTTGTAAAGAATGTATGTGGAGTCGTTGGCCATGGCTTCGGTGGTTTGAATTGAGTAAAGGAGAAGACGTAATTGAATCGTAAGAATAGTATCGAAACTGAAAGCTATGTTGACTATGAAAATAAAGTCCGTGTAGAGATTGACGGACGCTTTTATATATATGTGTATCAACTGCATTGCTGCAAATTTTTTTCAAGATCTAATGCTGAGCCCTGAAAAGCTATTTTGGTGATTCACGTACTCGGGTTAGAATCCGAGAAGATGTAGACAGACTTGTCCCTAGAAGCTTATTTTGGATATGGATCCAGATTGTGGCTTGGTGTAAAGCTATAGATTCTAGGCTGCCGATTAGATTATGCTTCTTGCTCCGCCATTTTTGGGGACAGATCAATCTTGAATCCACAGATCAAAGATCCGAACCCGAAATCCGAATAAGAGTAGAACTTTGGCCTCTGGTTGGCCCACCAACTCGGATTCGTAACTTTATTTTTCGTATTTCGTATTCGGGTTCGGGTTCGTATTATCCAGCTTCGGCCTATGCATCTCCTTCGCCGGTACCACCTGCAGGTCTTGTTCGGTGAAGATAATAAGCTTAAGATTATCCCGATGCCTAGATCCATGGTGCGGTATGTCAATTGTTCTGCCTGAGCAAGACTCAGCCTTGTTCAACTCATGTGGAACATGTTGGGAGTATCGAAATGTTGATCCGGAAACGAGCCCTTCCGGATCAACATCGTGAACACCCAAAAAAGAATTAGTTCCACGGTAGATTGGACTGAAACTCCCCTGAACAAGGATGCCATGAAAACAGAAGACATGGGACTCGCAAACTTCTATAAGAAGGCATCGCACCCTGCGGTTATCTGAGAAGCAACAACCACAGATTTGATTTTGCAATAATCAAAATGCACCTTCTCCTTCCCTTTGTCGGATTGTCCCTTTCGGGCCTTGCGTATGCCAATTTGAGCAGTGCGAGCGCCTCGGCGACTGTAACGGGCTTCCTCTCCACTTCTTCCGGTACTCTTCAAGTTCCTAAGGGAGCTTCATGTGCTTGCGCGAAACTTTCTCGGTCTATGCCAAAGAGCGTAATTCTTCCTGGTTCGGCAAACTACACGACTCAGACCGTCGATAACTACTGGGATATCCGGGCGGATCTTTCTCCTGCGTGTGTTTTCGTGCCCAATACTGCTGCTGAAGTGTCGCAAGCAGTCAAGATCATCGGTGCCTGTGATGCGCAGTTTGCTGTTCGTGGTGGAGGTCACATGAACGTAAGCTTATATTCGGGATAGCAACAGAAACAAAATAATACTAACTCTCTAACTCTACAACAGTATCCTGGAGCGAACAACATTGATGCGGGAGTTCTGATTGCTCTGTCAAATCTGAACTCCATCAATGTGAAGGCCAACACCGTGGAGGTTGGCCCTGGCCTCAATTGGTACCAGGTGTACTCAGCACTTGAGCCTCATGGTCGTGTCTGCATCGGTGGCCGTATGAAGACCATTGGTGTTCCCGGACTCAGTCTTATCGGTGGCTTCTACTACTTCAACAACAAATACGGATACGCCATGGACAATGTGGTCACGTACGATGTCGTTCTTGGAAACGGAACTCAGATTACCGTCAACAAGACTTCGCACGGTGACCTCTTCTGGGCCTTGAAGGGTGGTGCAAACAACTTCGGAATCGTCACCAGATTCGAACTGAAGACTTATGCTGTTCCTAAGGTCAGCACCACTATTCAGGTTTTCAACGAGACAAACATTCCCAAGTATCTTTCTGCTGTCTGCGAGGCAGCTAAGCTGGACGATAAAGATCCCATTGCCGCGGGCATGATCTCCAGTATTAACTACAATGCCACTACTAAGGTGGTACAGGGCTCTATCCTCGGCGTCCAGGAGGGTGTCAGCAGCCCCCCGTCTCAGTTCGCCAACTTTACCAAGATTCCAGCAATCGAAAGAATCAACAATGTCACTACTATGAAGCCATTCGCTAATACCCTTGACTCCCCTAAGCAGATGATGCGGTATGTAATCTCGACTGTACTGCAGTTTTCAGCTTACTGATTATTTAGTATCCAATTTTCTCACAAGACGATGAAGCCCGACGCGAAGGTTCTTTATTCGATTTACGAGGCTTGGAAAGCCGCAGTCGACAAGATCGCCGATGTCCAGGGCCTTTACCCAACTTTTGTTACGAATGTCATTTCCCCGACTTCAGTCCGCGTGGCCAAGACCAACGGTGTTGGCAACGTTTGGGGTCTTGAAGAAGAGCCTCTTATTAGTAAGTCATTCCAAAGTTGCTTCGGTTTCGCTTCTAATGGTCTTACTATTTTTGTACAGTTTGGCAACTCAGTACTGGTTGGGAACTAGCTCAGGACGATATTCGCATGGAAGCTTGGTCTCGTCGATTGGTCGAGCATCTTCACGGTATCAACAAAGAGCTGGGGCTTGCTTCCGAGTTCATCTACATGGGTGATGCTGGTGAATGGCAAGATCCTTATGCGGGTTTCCCCAGTGAGAATGTCGCTCGCATGAAAAAGATCCGGTCTTCTTATGATCCCGCTGGAGTTTTCTCCACCCTTAGCTGGGGTGGTTTCAAGCTGGGTCTGTAATTACACTCGAATTTTCGTCTTTCGTTAGATCTAGCGACAAGTCTCCTTAGGTGACGCTCACTTTTATCATGTGTATACAATCTCTATATAGAATCAAACCACTTCGTAGGCACGAGATCTTGGTTAGGGGTAATGTAGTAGTATCAACAGGCTGTCAAGTGAAGATATCAGAGCCAATAAATTGCTCGTGGAATGATCACCAGCCAACTTCATACATTAATTGTATCCAATTATTTTTTAACCTGCCATCTCCCTATGTAGAACGCACGAATAATATGACAGTGTTAGTAGTTAGCAAGCATTTCCAAGCCTTTTTAGAGGCGAACAGCCGTCATCGGAATGTATAGGGAGTACCCACATACCACGCACGATCCTAGATCGACATCATATGGACCCTTCGAGACTGGAATGTGCGATCAGACAACCGATTGAGAGAAGATTTAATTTTATGACACTTGCCAGCCCCTGAGTATGACGCAGAAGTTCCATTTGAATTTTAGGCAGGTTTCAGGTTCAGCATTATACTCATTCCAGTCATTCTTCCCCGCCATCTCATTACAGCGGTGCGGCAATCATGGAATGAGAAAGCTGATAGGTCGTACTATGTATATAAGAACAGTAGATGAACATCGTGTTGCCTCCACTTTTCAATCACACAATTCAATCTGAGCATCAAAAACTATTCACGGATATCAAAATCCAAGCAACCATGCATTCCCTCACCTCATCCTTCATCTCCCTATCCCTACTATCAACCACAGTCCACGCCCAAAGCATCGCCCGTGTCTGGACACACTTCTACCCAAACTGCCCCGGTGAAGCATTCAGCAAACTCGACACATACGAAAACTACCAAGAATCCGCCCCATCCCAAGATATCGTCGTGGACAGCTGCAAAAGCTTCGCCGTCCCCTCCTACGAGCACGACCTCGTCAGCTCCATATCCGTCGACGCAGAGCTCCTCCTCCACAACCACGACCTCCCTTTCCTAGAAGGCGGCAGCGGCTGCAACATCACCGTGCACGAGGTCCCAGGATGCATCGACCCGCCCCTGATCAATAAAGAGATTCGAAATGGCGTCGAAGTCAGTCAGTGCGAGCCGCGCCAGTTCGTCGCTTACAGCCAGGTCTGGGTAAATCTTGTTTGCGACAGCGATAGCCCTCTCCACAACGAGAACATCCAAACTCAGGAGAATAAGCAAGCAGACACCAAGCAATCCATGCCTACTGCCCAGCCCGATGCGCCTGTGCGCACGGAGAAACAGACTTCCGTCGAGGATATTAATAATATCCAGACGCCTGGGTCGAACTCGGAATCTTGGCGTTCGTCCCAGGTTGCGCATAGCCAGCGGGAGCCCGTGCAGGAGGGCCGTGTTAATAATGCCGGTCATGCGGAGAGTGAGCAGATCGTTCACCAGATGATGGAGTTGTGGAAGAATAAGACTTCGCATATCGTCACTGGCAAGCATGATGCTACACACTTGAATGTTACGCTGCATCACAATGGTACTGCCCCGGGCAATCGCACTGTGATGTCACGTCGGCGCTTGTCTGTTTTGAGAAACCGAGCTCCTCGTTTTGTCTAGAGTTGGTTTTGGATTGTATATCTGAGCGTTTGGTTTATGTTTGATGAATTGGGATCCTCTGTGTATACTAGGTCAATTAAAAGTCAACTGTTATACGTGAAAATTGCTCAATTCCCTAACCCGGTATCTAGAGGATGGATGCAATATTCTTTGTACTCGGAACTCAACTCAAAGTAGTGTAGCTCAAAAGATTCAATCGGCATGGCTGACTATTCTGGTCTACTGACCAAAAAAAAAATGATATTTTGTGTCAATTGTAGACACACCTCAGACTGTACAACAGCATGACTCTATGGAATTTCTTACACGGGTGTAGCAAATTTACCAACAAGCCGTACCCGTGATTCCCAAGTTAATATTCTAACTTGTCTCTTCGTCGGCGTCTTGAGCTGCCTGCTTCCGGTGGGCAGCCTCCTTGCCAGCAAAGGTGAACAACATGCCAAGATCATAGATCACTTTCAAGCATCCTGCAATAATGAAGGAGACACCAAAATAGCCATTGCGCGACAAGATACCCGTCAACAAGGGACCCATGCTCTGGGCGGTAGTCTTCACAACATTCACCGCGCCCATGATAGCAGTGCGCTTGTCTGCCGGCAGAGCCGCAGCAAGGAATGCGGAGCGAGGTGCCACATCCATGTTCTGGGAACAGGCTCGCAGAACCAAGAAGGTCAGTGCCAGAGGCAGGTTAGATGGGACGGAGATGAGAGCCAGGCAGATCGCCGAAGGCAAATGAGTGAATACCATTGTCTATCAAAATGTTAGTAGTCGCTCAGCTGCCCGAGTAAGAAGAATATCTTACCTTGACATTACCAATTCGTTTGGCGAGGGACGAGGCGACCAGCATAGATGCCGCGGAGATAATGTTTGTAGTGAAGAAGATAGTGCCGAGTTCACCTGAAGGCAGATTGAACTTGCCCTTGAAGAAGTAGGTCATCCAGGACCTAAAAAGTTAGCATTATAGCCAACATGAGCTGGGATTACACTCACAGTGAAGCCAATCCAGACGCAAACGAGTCCACTCCAAATAGGATGAAGAGACTGATAACCAACGACCACAGGTCCTTCTCGATAGACGGAAATAGCCCCTTCTTCTTCTGTGTTGGCTCGACATCCCGTTCGACTGGTTCTGCAAGCAGCGGTCGGGTTTCAGAGCTCTGCTCCTGTGGCTCTTCTTTCTGGACCTCGACTTTGCCACTCAGACCCAAAGTGAAGATTAGCTTAACGACGCCAACACCAGCATAGACGAAGAAAATGATCCGACAGGCGGGAATGAAGGCCCATCCGTGGATTGATTCCAGAGAATTGATGATCCAACCACAGACAAGCATGCCTGTGGCCGAGCCAGCAGTTCCAATCAAGGAATACCAAGCAAAAACATCAGGCAAAAGCTCATTTGGTGTGAGATGAGCCAAAGTGGACTCCTCAACGGCGCGGAACGGGCCAATTTCATTTCCACTAAAAGAATTATGTCAGATAAAAATAGAAGTAAAGGGGGAAAAAAAACTCGAACCTAGGACTGATGACACCAAAGACTGCAGCCGCCAGTAGAATCCAAAAATTCCCAAACAGCGCGAAAATGACTCCGCTGCCAGCCATGAGGATTGATCCGAGCGACAACACCGCCTTGCGACCCATAGTATCGGCATATAGAGTGAGGAAAAAGCTAATCACCACATCTCCAACCAACGTGAGGGTCATAAACAGCCCAATGCGATCATCTGAAATCCCCATGGCCGACAGATATGATGCCAGAATTAAGGTGGAGCCACCGTACGCGAAGAGGCGCACGAAGCGTTGCGCGCAGAGAAGTTTCACGTCGAGGGACGACCGCCACATGGTGGTTAGGCCCAGCTCTTCTAGGGCATGGGCCAAGTAGCGCGCCGGTCGCGATTGATTCTCCATTATCCGATTATCAGATGGTTGAAGGAAGAAACAAGTTGAAACACCAACCACGTTTTAACTCCGACCTCGGACTCGGGGTTCGGGCCGGAGCTAAGCTTTTTTGAGAGAACTAAAAAAGTATATTATTAACTCCTTTTTTAGACTGATGGATATAAACAAAATTTATTATGTACAAATATTCCCAATTACTGCTCAGTCTTAGGAGGCCATTTCACTCGTCGTTCTGCCCGCACATATAAATTGGTAGGACGAATCAACTGGAACATGGGATCATACTCGACCGGCCCATCATTCTCTTTCGTGAACTTGTACCGGTACAACAACTTGGGCAAGAACACTTTGACCTCCTGCAAGGCAAAGCTAAACCCAATGCACATACGCGGTCCAGCAGCGAAGGGAATATACGCAGTCTTATGACGGTTCTTGACTTCCGCCGTATCCCAACGATCCGGGTCAAACCGTGCTGGGTTAGACCAGACCGCTGGGTTGTTGTGTATGTGGTGAAGGGCAGGGATGATGATGGAGTCTTCGGGGAGCTTGTATCCACCTGGAAGGATCATGTCGACCTTAGCAGTGCGCGCAGGCTGGTATGAGGGATTATGACGGCGCTGGGTTTCTTTGATGAACTTGTCCAAGAATGTCAGACGATCCGTCAGATCTGCGGTCATTGGGGTATCGGCATCGATATCGTTGTCAATCAATTCCTGTAGGAGTCTCTCCTGCATGCCGGGATAGTTGACTAGCGAATAAAGCAGCCACGACAACAATGAGCTAGTAGTCGTAAAGCCAGCGCCGGTGGCTACTACTAGTGCCTCCATCAGACTTGTCTTGGGCAATTTCTCGCCCTTGTTATCGGTGGCGCGAATAATATAATCTGCCTAAACGTTAGCTCGCACTTTCCAACTTCTGGTCATTGCACTTACCAATCATGTTAGAGGCTTGCAATGCAGCATCCTGCAACGGGAGATCCTCGATGCCGTTGCGAGAAGCATTTTGAATCGACTCATTGACCATCTCAACGATACGATGGCGAGCATCCCGTAGGCGTTGCGGGTCACCGAAAGGCAACTTGGCGTACCAATCACCACGGGCGGTCACCTTCTTGTTCAGCTCCAACGACTCGGCAATTCGGTAGACAAGTTCATGAGGCGGCGCATCCACGGCAGAGAAATGCTTAAAGTCCATACCGAGAACCAGCTTGCCCACGGCCTGCGCACCAAGCTTAAGCATGTACGGGTAGACGTTCCAAGCCTCGCCGCGCTCGTCTAGCTCGTCGAACACACTAAACGCATCCTCGACGGTCTCCTGCATAGTGGGTGCGTAGTGGCGCACTGCTTTCGGTCCCAACGCCGGCGGGAGGAACTTGTGTGCCGCGCGCCATTCGGGTGTATCGGTGTCACCCAAAAATACACCAGCATGTTGGTTCTTAATCGGGTATAAAGGGTGTGCCTCGTTGATTCTCTTGGTAAAGAAATCAGACTCGGCAAAAACAATGGCCGATAGCTCGGGATCATTGGTGTGGTAGACTGTCCGGCCCATGTTGGTGGTTTGAATGATAGGTCCGTATTGGTCAAATAGACGTTGGTGGTTTCCCAAGTGATCGGGGTAGACCTCGAAGTAGTTTCCCACGAATGGTAGTCCCTTGGGACCAGGGATCTCCCGTACTGCCTTGCCATCTATTGAGATGGCGATGGGCTCTTCATTGGCAAGGATCTCTGAGGGAGTGGACAACATCGAGTCCTCTGACTGGAATCCGATGCCTAACGTGAGAGTTAGAATGATATCAGAGGCCAGGAGATAAAAACTTACCATTTGGCTCAACGATAGCGAATTGACCAGCAATGAGGTGCTGAAGCCCTTGGTAGTCGACTGTTGTTTCTACCTCGATTGGGCGAGCTGAGGTGATGGCCTCGCCCAGCAGGTAGAAATGTTTGGCAACCATCGTGAAATGGGAATGAAAATGAAAATAGTAACTTGTTCTTCCTCTCTTGAAGGGCCCGCTCACATTTATAAGGATCTAATTATCTGAGCCATTTAAACTGCATAGTTGACTCCACTATTCATGAAAGCGCGTCCCGATTGTTTTTCATTTCATAATAGAAGAAGATGCATATCTCTGAGAGCCTCGGTCCAAAATATTTCTTAATCAGGATCCACAATAACCTCTGATTGCAAAAATAGTACATATTCTGTCGAGTAGAACTTGTTTCGGGCTCACCGTGGCCGACGGCACTGACGCAAATGTGCCGTCTTGGACGGCCCCACCGACAAGATAGAGGTTTTTCTTTATTTTTTTTTTCTTCAAGATGCCGAGGCATTTTGAATTCCTGCTTGCTGGTAGGCTAGTTTTAGTTTTATGTACATATCGGAAGTGCTAAGTGGGCTATTGCGATAATTCCATCTTCCAGTACGAAGTACTCCGTACTTTTCGTGGTATTAAATTAGGACTCCGTCCTTTTGGTTTTCTGCAAAATCATTCATTCACAATGTCCGTTCCAGAAACAAAAGAGCTGAAGGCTGAATGGAAGGCAGAGATCGAGCTGCCAGAGTATACATTGAAAGATGTGGCAGCCCATAACACCAAGGGTGATACCTGGATGATCATCCATGGACAAGGTAACAACCTTTTGAAATAATCAAAAAGACGGTGCTAACATTACAACAGTCTTTGAACTTACAAAATACCTGCAAGATCACCCAGGTGGTGCAGATGCTCTCATCGAGGTAGCCGGCACTGATGCCACAGCAGCCTATGAGGATGTTGGACATTCTGAAGACGCCCGCGAGATCATGCAGCCATTCCTGGTGGGCACTTTGAAGGATGCCCAGCAGTACGTCCGGCCCAAGGCAGTGCGCGTGGTCTCCCAAAAAGCACCAGAAGAGGCCGGTTCCTCGTCATCGACCATCAAAACGATCGCTTGTGCTCTGGGTGGACTGATTCCAGTCTTCTACATCATCAGCCAAAGCAATAATCTCACAAACAGCCTGGGAGCCATCTCCCAACTGATCCCTCACCAGCTGAAGAACCTGCGACTGCCTCATGGAGGCTTCGTCAACGGCTTTTTGGCCGCTTCTGCTATCTCCACAGCCGTGGGAGTAATGGTAGCGCGACAGGCCGGCAGATTCACCAAGATCGACTCTGGATTCATGCGCTTCCCACCTCATATGAAGTCAAAGAAGGTGATTCGTGTCGACCCGCATCTGACACGCGGTTTCCTCGAGCCGCAACAATACCAACATCTGCCTCTCGTTGAAAAGACCGAACTAGCAACGAATGTCTACCGTTTCGTCTTTGCCCTTCCCACCGCCACAGGTGTGTTGGGTCTACCCATTGGCCAACACGTCGCCATCAGAGCCGTTGTCGATGGAACGACCGTCACTCGCTCATACACCCCTACCTCCAACAACATCGACCGGGGCCGCATTGAACTCGTGATCAAATGCTATCCCGACGGTCAATTGAGCGGGAAATATCTGGCCGGCTTGACCGTGGGCGACGAAGTTGAATTCCGCGGGCCCAAGGGGTCAATGCGTTACACAAAGGGACTTTGTCGCAAGATCGGCATGGTGGCCGGCGGCACAGGCATCACACCCATGTACCAGCTTATCCGGGCAATCTGTGAGAACGACACCGACACGACGGAAGTCAGTCTGGTCTACGCGAACCGCAGCGAGTCTGACATTCTCTTGCGCGAGGAGCTTGAACGGTTCGCGCGCCAATACCCGAAGAACTTCAAGCTGTGGTATATGCTGGACTCTGCGCCCGAGGGCTGGACCTATGGATCGGGATATGTGGACCAGACAGTTTTGGCAGAGCAGCTCCCTGCGCCATCGTCAGACACTAAGGTTATGCTATGTGGGCCGCCCGGAATGGTCAATGCCACTAAGAAGAATTTGGTTGCGCTGGGCTTTTCCAAGCCAGGGGTTGTGGCGAAGATGACCGATCAAATCTTTTGTTTCTAGAAAATTGCCTAATATAGTAATAGCCGAGGTTTCGAATGGAGAATCGTTGAACTTAGCTTTGTTAGTTTTGTTGAGTTGATGGGATTACGGCCTGTCCGACGGCCCTGTTGCCGAATTCGTTCTCGTCTCCGACGCGAAGAAAGGCAAGTCTTCGCCGAGAGACCGAGCAACTCCACTTTCCGAATTGCTGATTCCCGAGACTTTGACTGGTTGGAGCTTTATCTGTCAGGGGGATATGCATCCATGGATGTACTCCGTTTAATAGTATAAATTAATGTACATAAACGCTATCTCAGGCTAAAGGGGAAAAAGATGACGTGGATAAAATATAACCTGCCTCCTCAAACATTCCATATTCCGATCTGGATTAGAGACACTCCCATCAATTCGTATCATCTGCCTTCACCCCTTTGCGTTTGCTTCGACGCCTGTGAGATCTCCGGCGCTTCTTCACCCTCGGTCTCTCCCGTTCTCGAATCATGAAGCGAACCCGCTGTCCTAATCTTCCTTCTCTTGTCTCGAACCCAGTCCTCAAGTTTGTTTCTGTTGATATTCTCACAAGAGGCGAGATGAGCGACTTCATATCCTTCGAGCCTGAGTATCGGGGCAGATATCGAGGAAGATCAGATGATATCGTAACACTCTTCTTTTTCCTCGCCGGTTTATCGTCAGTAGGAACAGGATCCGGAGGTGGTGTAGGATCTTTCGGATCAAGTGGAACTTTAGGCGATCGTGGAGTCGATGCCCGCGACTGCAAACGACATAGATAAAGATAGTATAAGAGCAGCAGAGAGACCGCAACACCGAGGATAGACCCCGCTATTGCGCCTTTACTTTCATCTGATAGTCCGCTGCTTTCGACCGAATGGATTTGGTCTGGCACAGGAGTCGCTGCTATATCGACCACGTGAATGACAGTCGTGAATGGAGTCGTCACTGTCAATGTAACCAAGTTCAAAGTTGGCCAGGGCCTGGTATTCCCTAGAGTAATGACCGTCACAAAAGTAGTGTCGGCCTCGATAAGTGTCTGGGTAACCTCGCGTTTCGCAGGTGCCATTGCCCGACAACAAATTGAACTGACATGATGGGCTTAAGTGTCTATGGCAGCTTCACTTATTTCGCCCCACTAACACGTAGGATATGCACGAGCGGATCAAATGGGTCTTCTAATATATGTGGTAAAGCAATCGAATTGGTGACAATCGTATTTTCTGACTTCATTATGCAGCTTACGCTGCGCAGTCACGGGAGTATCACGGCGATTGGTGGAAGGTCTGCAAGTATCGCCAGCTCACTACATCTTGGCGCGGGGATTCTAATGAGCACGTAATAAAGACGAACACCTATGTTAGTTTTTTTCCCGCGAATACTAACTATCAGGGGGTCTCATGTTGCCTGATTTTTACCAAGGCGCCGAACCCACGATTATTCATTAGACAGACATGCAGCTTTATCTCGAATCAAATTGCTGCCCGAAAAAGAACGAGCGCAAGTGAATGGTTGCCTCGCCCGCACGGATGAACCGGTTCGATACTCGATACCAAGGAGGCCTCGGCTCTTCGACCTTCAGAGCGAACCCATAGTATTCAATATGTGTGGTATAAAATCTCTATAAATTTACAATTTCGCACGTGCAGGAGCAAAATTCGACCCAGCGCCCTGGCTAATAGCCTCAACGATGGCATCAACACTATTCAAAATCCACATATTTCCCTCATCACTAGCCAACCACCGCGCAGCCTGTTCCCCCTCAACATCATTCACCCACGAGCCATCCTCAAGCGCCTTCCGCAACCCAAACACATGCGAGAGAACCTGGGGACCGACGCCAGACTGAGCGCGCAAGCACGAGACAGCAACAATAGACGTCAGAATGCGCCCAGCAGAGGCGCCCGTGTCACGCTCCGGATCAGACAACAGGGCACCGTAGTTGCTGTGCAGGATGTGCACCGGCAGATCGGGGTGTGAGTCGGCCAGTTTATTGAATAGCTTCTTGTCGAATGGTCGATAGATAGAATCCCAGAGTGCGTGCCCGCGCTCACTGATCGCGGTGATGTTCTCCGGGGTTGGCGCGCGGGTGGGGGGTGCGGGAGAGCTGGCTGCCGACTGAGTCTGGGAGGCTGGATCTGAAGGCGTTGAGGCAGTTTATTGTGCGTGGGATGCCGTTAAAACTTATACATTTCAGACCGACTTCACGCATGAGCTCGGCGGTCTCGACTTGCGTGTCGGGGTTGGTGCTGGCTAGTTCGTAAAGGGCTGCGAGAGACTCCGGGGAGTTCATTGTCATAGTTGCTGCGGTCTGGCATTGATGTTAGATCGCGTTTAATCTTAACTGAAGTGGTTGACTCACTGATAGTGCGACCCATGATGGCTGCGAGATCTGGTTGGATTGCGCGGTCTGTTGGATCTTTTGGTAGACCGAGGTTATGTTTGCTGGCGCCGGGACGGTGGATGGACGAGCGGCAGGGGCATTGATTAATGCCTTGAGGCTAGTTGAAAGTCTAGACATGTCGGATGATGAGCTTTTGTGCCCTGGGTGTGGATGTCTTGCCATTAAAGATTGGTTGTTGAAGACCAATTCTATTTCCCGACCTCGGAAGGTGGAAACAAACGGGACTCAAAAGTGATCACCGAGAAATACCAGGAGGGGGCTGTAATCTGACAGTAATGTGACCTAAATATTCCGGTAATATTACCAGTGGGGAAGGGGTCAAAATCCGGGGATGGCGGGGAAATAAAACACCCCGAGAGCTCATGGAGGCTCTGCCATTGGTGAGAAACCTGGGGCTGGAGGGGAGCTCGGATCCAGAAATGCCAGCCGAGAGAGTTTTCTCTGGTTTTTTGTAGCCTATTTCTTTCAATTCTTTTCCTCTTTTTCTCTCCATCTTACGCTGCGACAGATACCCTAGGAGAATAAGATCATTCGTGCGTCGCCAAGCAACAATCCCAGTCACCATGGACCCACTCAAGTCAAGGGTGTCAGAACTCGAAGAGGCGAAGCCATCTCCCCTCGATCGACATGGCGACCTTGCGCATCAGGAGAAATTGACACGGAGGGTGTTGTGGAAGTTGGATATTCAGTCAGTTCAGACACTACAATTACCATGCCCTTGCTAATAATTTCCAGTATTCTTCCTATTCTAGCACTGCTTTTCCTCATGTCATTTTTGGACAGGACCAACGTCGGTAATGCGAAGATTCTCGGTTTAGAAGCGGACCTTTCTATCACAGACCATCAGTACGATATCGGCTTGGCTGTGTTCTATCTCACCTACATTTGCAGGTGCGTTGTGTGCCATTGGACCCCAACGCCAAAGACTAATTGATATAAAGCGAGCTGCCGAGTAATTTAGTACTCAAAAAAGCGTCGCCGAAGATTTGGCTGCCGTTCTTAACGGCTATTTGGGGCATCATTACCATGTGTCTAGGATTTGTACAGAATTTTGCTGGTTTCGTTGCCGTCCGGGCTTTGTTGGGTATTGCGGAGGGAGGTCTTCTCCCTGGCATGGTATGTTTTCCAACATTGTAATGGAATGGACACTGGTCATAACTAACAAAAAGAAAGGTTTTGTATCTATCTTCTTTCTACAGACGAGGCGATTTGGCTCTGCGCATTGGCTTGTTCTACACGGCTGCTTCCCTGTCGGGCGCATTTGGAGGTACATATTCATCGATTTCATTGATTCTTCATTGGTTGCTAACAAATTAGGCCTTCTCGCTCGTGGGCTGGCCGAAATCGGGCCCCGAGGAGGCATAGAAGGTTGGCGCTGGATTTTGATTATTGAGGGGCTTTTGGTATGTTGAAGGTGATTGCTATTCAAACAAAAAAAATTTGTCTGACTGTTAATCAGACATTTGTCTGTGGAGTGTTCAGCTTCTTCTTCCTCCCAAATAGCTTGGAATCTGCATCTTTCTTGACTACAGAGGAAAAGGCATTTGGGGGGAAAAGGCTGATGCTTGATAATCCCGGATCATCGGAAGTGTAAGCTTTTCTAACCCACTGGATGATAAAGCTTGGCTAACGCAAACAGGTCATTGACGCCTGAGGCAGAATCGTTCAAATGGTCCGAAGTGCGCCGAGGTGTGCTGGATCTACAAGTGTGGCTCTCTGCCTCAGCCTACTTCGCCATTCTCTCTGGACTATACTCCTTCGGCTTATTTGTAAGGTTCTCCTATTTCTGTGCCTGTCTGAAAGCCACTGACTGTTTCTAGCTACCGACAATTATCAAAAATCTCGGTTTCGCCAAAGATGCCAACGAGGTTCAATTGTGGTCTGTGATACCTTATGCCGTCGCAGCCGTAATTACAGGTTTGTATACTCTTGATTCAATCTCATCAAATGCTCACCCATTTTTAGTCGTCGTTGCCATAATCTCTGATCGTCTCCGTCTCAGAGGCGTGGTAATGCTCTTCACACTCCCAATCGCTATCATTGGATATGCAGCCATCGCCAACATTCACTCCCCTCGTGTGCAATATGGCATGACCTTCCTCATGGCAACCGGCCAATACGCCAGTGTACCGTGTATGTTGGTGTGGTTGTCGAACAACTCTGCGGGACATTACAAAAGAGCCACTACATCAGCGCTGCAGCTGGCAATTGCAAATGCTGGAGGATTTGTTTCGAGTAAGTCGCCCATATACTGAATTTATTTCTCTATGCAGATCTCTAACATCAGTACTATAGCTTTCAACTATCCATCTCGAGATGGGCCCCTCTTCCACCGTGGACATACCATTATCCTTGGGTTGTTGGTGTTTGCCTGGTTTATGTGCGTATATTTCTTATTATTGGTTGAAGAGCTATCGCTGATTTACATAGGATCCTGCTTAATGTGCTCTACTGCGCTAAGATCAATCGAGACAAAAGAAACGGAAAGTATGATCAGTATGCAGGGTATAATGATGACCGTAACCCAGAGTTTATGATGGTTCTATGAGTGACGACAATGATATCTAGTAGAAAAAATTGACGTGCTCTACAAATCTACTGTTTTCGGTTTCTGGGTGGTAATTGTGGCATATCCACCAGTTACTTTAGAATCAACGTAATATTCTGCATAAATCGTGTTATATCCACCACTGCCACCAGTGGTGAGGCTTTCCAATACTGCGCAGTTGCACCGCGCAAATCATCTGTATTTATCACATCCACGCCCTCATGCACAAGTACATGCCAAACATGGTTCCGCAGTCCAACCGGCCAGGTGGGAGTTCCCCAGTACCGAACCTTTAGTCCCAACTTGTGAGCTGTACGTACTTGACTCCGAAGAATGGCGAGCTGAACGTCCGACAGACGGCTAAGAGAGAGGGGCCCAATAACCTCGCGGAAGTCTGCTGATGCATAATAGCTGTTGGATGGGTTATATGTGGAATCCACTGATTTGGTGTCATCTGCCGTGATCTCGGTGGGAAAGGTCAAGTTGCCAAGAGGCGCATCGTAAAAGACGTCGCGATACGTCGTATTATCCAAGATCATGTGGAAAGGCGCGTCTCCGCTGGCGACGACAGTAATCGGGCCGTATACAACATCAGAGCCATTAAAATGAGTCAGATAGCCCTTCTCACGAAACGGGTTCAGCTGTTCAACAAGAAGAGGCCAGATCCGATCACCCTCGGTTTTGCAATCAATCACCAAGACCAGAGTTTGCTTTGGTTCATTAGGAAACACCCCGACCATTTCCTTGCTCGTGACGTTCGGCCAGTTGCGAGAAGCAATTGCATTGTGTGTGTCGAGCTTCTCCAGTAGCGGGTCAAGGTAGAGGCTCTGTAGTGTTCCCCGGAGGACTGTGGAACGTGAATGGCCGACTAGAACCTCATCTCCCCATGGCCAGACGTCAACCCCGACACTGGTACATCCTGCACGAAGTGCTGAGTGTAGGGGAACGTGACGCCAGTAGTCGTTGTGCGAATGGCATGATACGGGGGTGACACCGTGGGTAGATGAGTTGGAAAACCATGAGGAGCGTTCACCGGGGAAAATGGCCAACGTGAGATCAGGTCGAAACAGAATAAGGAAACATTGCCATGCAACGGTGAGGATACCACTAAAGTGACACATTGTTAGGTCAAGCATGACGTGTCAAGTGTGGATAACATCTCGATCCAACAAATCACACTGGAGTGCAGATCAGCAGGTACGTACATGATGAAAATCAGTGCCCAGAGAGGTCGCTGCACTACTCGGCAGAAAATGGCTCTCCTTGAGGATGGGTATGCAATGCAGTCCGGGTGAGAGCATTTCAAAATCGAGAACGAGGGTCGTCTCTTCCTGTAGGGTGCTGGGTTCAATACCATCAGTTGATTGTAGTCGGAGACCAAGATAATTGCTTCATGCTCTGGAATGGGCTCCAGAGATGATGGGTGAGATGCCATTCTGATGAAAGGGTAAGAAAAATGACAAGCTTTTTCCCAAGGGCTGGGCAAGTAAGCTTATTTTATTAGATGAGCTTATTCTTGAGGCTTAGACCCACGGGCGCCGGAATATACTCCCAGGAAAATAAATTCTTCTGCCTAACTATGGGGGCCAATTAAAAGCAATTAAAAGGCAGAACTTTGATAAGATTAGAAAGTAAAGATATATTTCTGCCTAATTATAAGAGGACAAACAAACCTTCAAAGCCCTTTTGACTTATCATTTTCGGTGGGGTACGTCGATCAGGACTCTTTATTCCATAATTTCAAGGGTATCGGCAATGATGAACTTAGCGCCCCTCTTACATACGTACCTCTTCCACCTCAGCATTATTATTCTATTCTCGGTTCCTTTATCTCTCTGTTGATCGACATATTACTATAAACATCGACCAACACATTCTAATTAGCTGTTGGGCCATTGGAGTGAAAGTTATCATGGAACCCATCGTATAGTTATAGTGCCTTCTGAAGGTATTATCCTTCTGTGGCCGTAGTCAGTCAACATTCGCGCTGCAACAGTGACTAAGTTCTTTCTTTTAAGCACCCGATCGGAAATCAGTATTTGGATCTCATCGACTTTTGATGTTCTTCCCCAATCGTACCATGACTTGAGAAATTGTGTCTGTCCCGGCCAGCGCCGGCTACTACAACAAGCCATGGGAAAAAAACAATTTAGGTGACCTCCACAGATCCATGCAAAGAGGCTATAATGCATACAGGGAAAAGAGCATGCAAATGCAACTTCTCTCGAGCAAACTCTGATTGAGGCGATCTAGTACCGCTTTTCTGACCGAAAAGCCTAGTGACTACCCAGCTCTTAATAAAGGTTATACTTAATACTATGAAACTGGTCTACGAACAGTTTAGCCATGATCTGGATGCCACCTTATATGCCGATGCACTAATAAACATGACGTCCTAGGCCCTATCTATTTACCGACAAACCAAACCCGACCGCCCCCACTCTTAAAGAGCTGTACGGAGTACGGAGTATTATTAAAGCGAGTATTAACCTTGGAATAGTATTAATAGGACAGGGGAAAAATGGCGCTAATCGCAACCCTAATATTTTCTTCATATTTTCTTGATATTTTCTTGATATTGTCCTATGCCAATTGACCCCCTGACGTGAAGCAGCGCCCTGTTTTAACGCACAATTCTTTAAGATCACTTACGCCGCCACATAACGATGAAATACCTTAAACATAAATTAAGAGAAATCGCTCCAGAAGATAGATACATTCTATAGATTCTTCTCGTCTAGCCCCTCGGCCTCCTTCCAGAGGTAGGAAATCTTCTTGAACATCGAACTCTGCAAAAGTCATCTTCCCGTATAGATGGCGTGATTGAAGTGGAGAAGAATTCATGTGGAGCAGAACCGGGTGAATGTAATTAGAAGGCGTTGGGAATTTGTGGAGTGTTTGTGTCCGATAATGTAATATCCAAATTCGAGATCATTTTTTCTTCATATACTCCCGAACGTTTTCATCTTTCATTCTTTCGCAACATCCTCCTTCCTGATCGCTTACTCTACTGTTCAAATTACGCGAGCCTACATTAAATGTCAATCAAGAAAGATGCTGAACAGATGTTCCCGGATGGGGAATTGGCCGAGATGAGTGACCGGGATCAAGAGATCTATAAAACAGGTGTCCAGAAGTTCAATCGACTGGGATGGAAGCGCCTCACAATCGTCCTAATCGTAGAGGCGATAGCGCTGGGATCTCTCTCGATCCCATCTACGTTCGCGACTCTCGGAATGGTGGCGGGTGTGATCTGCTGCGTTGGTATCGGTCTCATCGCTGTCTACACTAGCTACATCATCGGCCAGGTCAAAGTTAAGTTCCCGCATATTTCGAACTACCCCGAGGCAGGCAGAATGATGTTCGGTCGATGGGGATATGAAATTCTATACGTGATGCTGTGCTTGGAGTTGTTGTTGTCTGCTGGATCCCACTGTTTAACTGGGTCAATCGCATTCACGAATATCACGGGGAGCAATATTTGTTCTGTGATTTTCGGCTTTATCTCGGCCATCATTTTGTTGCTATTCGCCGTACCACCGACTTTCTCTGACATGGCCATTCTCGGCTACATCGATTTCGCCTCTATCATTCTCGCCATCGGAATCACTGTTATCGGAACTGGTGTAAAGGCCGGTGATTCTACTGGTCTCCAAGCTGTCGATTGGTCGGCTTGGCCAAAGGAAAGCCTTACCTTCTCCGAAGCATTCATCGCCCTCTCCAACATCATTTTCGCCTATAGTTTCGCTCTATGTCAATTTTCCTTTATGGATGAGATGCACACGCCGACTGATTTCCCCAAGTCCGTTTGGGCCCTTGGCCTGACTGAGATCTTCATCTACACTGTGACTGGCGGACTAGTGTATGCCTTTGTCGGCCAGGATGTCAAGAGCCCCGCCCTACTGTCCGCCGGTAGCCTTCTCAGCCGAGTTGCATTCGGGATCGCCCTCCCGGTCATTTTTATCAGTGGTTCTATAAACACGGTAGTACTGGGTCGACTAGTTCATGGTCGCGTTTTTAAAAACTCAAACATCCGTTTCATCAACACTAAAATGGGATGGGTTACCTGGCTGGTTGTTGTCACAGTTCTGACAATCCTTGAATTTATCGTTGCGCAGGTCATTCCATTCTTCGATGACCTGCTGTCCCTTATCTCTTCGCTCTTCATCTCCGGTTTCACGTTCTATTTCCCGGCTATAATGTGGTTTATGTTCATTCGCGGCGAGGAAAGCTCCACCGGCAAGAAAGTACTTTTCGGCGTGATCAACGTCTGCATCCTGCTCATTGGCCTGATTGTTTTGGGTGCTGGAACATACTCGAGCGTTGTTGATATTGTGAGTTTGATTAATGCCCCCCTATATTGCGATTCCGCTTGTGCTAACTCACCCGCGAAAAGACCAAGTCATATGCCGAAGGTACCGTGGGAGGGGTCTTTTCATGCAGTTCCTAAGACTTGGTGCTTTGCATGGTGTTTTTACATATAGACAAGATAGAAATGTATAGATACTTTGGTTCACAAATTACACGATACACTGAGGTTAAGGGAGACTACTCTTGACTGTCGTACTTGACCAGCCGTTCCAGCGCATGGTGAGATCCAGCTCCAGCGTGCCTGATTTCATATAATGAACATTCGCTGCAAAATATGGTTGGTAGCCTCTCATTCGATTTTTTTCAAGTGAAATGTAACTTCTTCAGTGGATGTTGCCAAGAATCAATTCCACTTCTGCGTCTGCAGCTTCTAATATATGCCCTGACGAAAACTGCGGTTTCCAACCAATGTGATGCCCATTTTTTGATTCGAGTGTACATTGACCCCCCAGGAACAAGGGAACTAGAGCCGTCGGGCAGCCCAATGCGTGCCCCATCTTCTCCAGAGCACCTTCATCCGCTGGCTCCACACTATCGGTATGAATAATCTGACGCGATGCAAGGCTCTTTGCCATTGCACCGTAAATATCATTCCAGGGGACACTACCACTGGAAGCAAGATAATAGCCAGCTTTGCCATGGGGAATATCCTGTTCAGAGAGTATTTTCCGCATGATTTCTAGGTATAGCATTGTGGTGTCAATAACATGAGCCACTGGCCAGGTCTGATTTACAATTAGTCATGGTTTCATGAGGGATTTGCGAAGGGAAATATAATAAATTTACCAAAATATCAGAATCGGGTCTATAAACCTGACCCAGCTTCTTTGCGGCTTTCACAATCGCAACCGTTTGAATGGAGATAGGATTTCCAAACCCTTCACCCTGGCCGTAGACGATACACGGGACAAAGATATAGCTTTTCACACCGAACTCATCCGCAGTCTCTATGATTGTGTTATTGGCATCCAGTCCTTTTTGCACTGGTGGGAAAATCGGCCGTGACTCCTTTTGAATTCTATGAAGCTGCGGATCATCGTCAAACAAAGGCCGATCGACGGGATGGTTGGAGTGGTTGCTAAACAGCTTCGCCCCGGAGGTATGTAGAAAGTGAACTTCCTGTCCTGTCTCTTTCTTGACTTTCGCAAGAGCCTTGATCATAGAGACTTGGGAAGCTGATGCCATAGCATCGATGAGGAAGAAAACGATGGAGATCTTGTTGTTGATGATTGCTGCCGTGGTTGCAGCTTCATCGTTAACGTCGAAGGTGATCGCCTCAGCACCATATTTCTTCACTGATTCTCCTTGCTCTTTTGTTCGAACCAGTGCGTACAGTGTACTGTATGGTGGAAGGTTGGCGGCTCTCCAGCGGGCGAGAAGGGTCCCACCTAGGTATCCGGAAGCGCCGGTGATGAGAACGTTACGAGCCATTTGAATGATTTCGGACTTGGTGAGATGACGGAAGGTTGGAATTCAGTTGAGGGATTGAAATGTCTATTACCAACCGTGGTGGGGGTAGACTGACGATCTATTCTCCTGGTTGGTAAGCATTAATGCGATGGATTCATCTGACAAATGAGCATAAACCCCTGGAAATTGTGTGAAAGCCGGAATGGCCATTAGGAACGCAATTTAACCAGGCGGTTCGAAGTTTCCAACAACGTTGGGGTACATCTGCCAAAATAGAGAATGGACTTTTAGAGTACTAGTGCAGGTACCAAGCAGGGTCGCTCAATTTCATAATTAAGATATCCCTAATCAAGTTGAGTGTTTCCCTATCAATTCCCGTGTAATTGTAAACTTGCTCTAGTAGACTGGTGTCACGATCGCTCTCGGTCGATTCTCTTGAGATGCCTGATTGTCCAAGCTTCAGACCATGGCTGATTGCTGGCAGACTGAGCACTGTTGAGATGACTTTTTCAGGGTATAAATACCCTGGCATTGCTAGGTTGAATAGATCATGATTCTTCCTCTTCTTTCTCCCCTGCCAGTTGTAGAACAGATTCGGGTCTTGGTATTATTCGAGGCCTTATTATCACACTGTAAAATACCTACAGGCACTAATTACAGAATATAGAAAACATATTAACTGAACCTAAGTGGCAGAACAAACCAAAAAAAAGAAACAAATGGAATTGAGGCCGAAATTATTCTATACTTAAAATTGTCTACTCCGTACCTGGATTTCGCTTATATTAGAATAGAGCCTCGTATTAACAAACTGATTCCAGCTTAGCGTCTAGAATATTTAGACGCTATGCTTTTATGTGCGTCGATGCTTCAGTTCAGAGGAAAGCTTGAAATAAATCTTGCCTTATTAGTATCATAGAGTGGATTCGCAACTGAAGCCAATACCTACGTATGTATAAAGTACATATGTTCGTGTAGAGGACAAACAAAGCCCTTTGACTTAGAGAACTACTATAAACACACCCCCAAAAACCCACTTCTCTTGACTTATCATCTTAGCGGGGTATATACGTCTATCCTGGCTCTTTATTCCATAATTTCAAGGGTATCGGCAATTCTGAACTTAGCGTCCGTCTTACTCTGCACCTTTTCCACCTCAACACCCGGAGCAAGTTCCGTCAGTGTGAGCTCTCCAGTAGCTCGATCCACCTGGAAAACACACTATACTTTTGTCAGTTCTGTTTTAAATAAACTGGGCTCTTTGCACTTACCAGGTCTGTGATGATAGTGCTGACAACATTGGCACCAGTCAATGGTAGACTGCACTTTTGGACAATCTTGGGAGATCCATCCTTGGCGACATGGCTCGTGGCCACCACGATCTTGGTCTTTTCCGGGTTCGAGATCAAATCCATTGCTCCTCCCATACCCTTGAACACCTTGCCCGGGATCATGTAATTGGCCAGATCGCCGTTTGCACTCACCTGCAAGGCGCCGAGGATAGACACATCTACATGACCTCCGCGGATCATGCCAAACGACTCGGTGCTATCGAATGTGGCGGCTCCAGGAACCAAGGTCACTGTCTCTTTTCCGGCATTGATGATATCGCTGATCTGAGTTAGTAAGAGTTCTGGTCATTCCATCTGGGAACAACTTACGGATCCAGTTCTTGCTCGGTGGGATAATCACCCTAAACTTTGTCAGACCAGCCTGTAAAAAAAAATTTTACAAACTTACCATTCCCAAGATACCATTCTCCGACTGAATCCAAACCTTCACATCTTTTGGCAGGAACGACGGTGCCAACGTGGGAATACCAACACCCAAATTCACATAGAATCCCGGCTTAAGCTCCTTGGCCGCCCGACGACCAATGAGTTCTCTTTGAATCTGAGCCGCATCTTTAACAGACCCAGCTGTAGTGGCCTCACCCGAGCGCAACTTTTTGTTTTCAATGTGCTTGTCGTCCGTGGCAGGAACGATCCGATCCACGAAGATACCCGGCAGGTCAACATCATTAGGATCAATGGCGCCAAGTGGGACAATATTCTCCGCCTCCACAATGGTCAGGGTTGCGGCCTTGGCCATGATAGGGCCAAATGCTTTGGTAGTATATCTGACCAATCTCAGTATCCAGTTTTTGGGAGGTACTAGTAGGTACATATACTCACCGGAACACGCAATTACCAGCCTCATCCACTTTCCAAGCTCTGAGAATAGCCACATCTCCAGTCAAGGCTTCTTCCATGAGGTATGTCTTGCCGTTGAATTCTCGGGTCTCGCGCGGTTTGCCAGACTCGAGAACTTTACCAGACTCGTCCATGCGAACAGGGATCTTTCCCTCCTGAATAAATGTATCTTCGCTTGTCAGCTACGAACATAACCCGAGAAAAACCTATACATACGGACTCCTGTCGGGGTAAAGAAAGCCGGAATCCCAGCACCCCCAGCACGAAGACGTTCAGCCAAAGTACCTTGCGGACAAAGTTCAATTGCAATGTGTCCCGTCAAATACTTCTTCTCAAGCTCTTTATTGTTCCCGAGGTATGAAAGGATCAAACGGTTGATCTGGCCGTTCTGCGAGAGTGTCGAAAGACCTCCCTTGCCCGCGGAGCCGGCATTGTTCGAAACGGCCGTCAGGGAGTGCAATTGATCAGCGCCTCGGCGGTGCATAGCATTGATGAGGGTTTCTATACTGCACATCAACTCCGTTATTCTCGCGCCAGTTACTCGTCCACGTACCTGCAACTCCGCAAAGACCGAACCCAGAGCTAAGGATTGTCGATCCGCTCTTGATGTCGGCAACAGCTGCATCGGCATCCTTGTATAGCTTTGAACCGCCGCGCTCAACCTTAGGAGCGAGAGATTGTAATGGCGCGGTTATGGAGTATCTAGTGCTCGTGCTGGTACTGAATGGCTGCGAGAGGCGCACGCTGGCGCGGACTCCGAGGAAGAGTCGAGGTCGACACGCAGTGAGCGCTTTGCGCGACAAAGTAGTAGAAATCCTAAGAGTCGTCATATTTTATAATTGTTTAAACTGAAAAAGAAAAAAAAAACAAAGCGAAAATGAAATCATCGCGCAGTTAAAAACATTCATGGTATCGGATAGTCGGGGCTACTTCTGGATGCCGAGCGGCCACAAACGGAAGCCCTCCGAGCTCAACTTGGATCTTCTTCGGATCTTCTATATATTCTTCCAAGGTTCTATTCTTCTATTAATTTTGGACCAAATTCCACAGCTTGACATGAAACAAGTGCAACATTCTCATTGGTCTACTATGAATGGGAAAAATATAGCAATCACCTCGTATAAATTCCCTCTGATGTCATAGGTATCCAGTATAGAACACCAAATAAGAAACATATCAACAAAAGAAATAAGAAATAAGAAATAGAGAAAACCCTTAATCAGCCCGTCAACTGCTTCTTAAACCGACTCAACTTCCCCTTAATACCCCCACGCTGCCTCCGACCATCCCTCTGCTCTATCAAAGTATCCGCATCAGAACCCATTGAACGCCTGGGCGCTCGATCGCCGCCTTCCTTAGACCTTTCGGGTTTGGACTCGCGCTCTTTTGATTGGTTTGTGGGTAGCAATGTAACTTCCGACGCCGTATCGTCACCATGCTGGGGTTTCTTTTCGAGTTCTCGTTGCTCTGCTTGCTCGCGGCGTATACGCTCGCGTCCGCGTCGGGCGGCGCCTTCGATTCCGCTCTCGCCTAGCATGGCTGTTCCAGCTGGGCCGGGAGCTAACGCGCTCCAGTCGAGGACCATGGTGGTATTTGCTTTAAGGTGGTTTGGGTGGTTTGTGCGTTTCAGCTGTGTTTTATATACTAATTGGTCGCAGTAGGATTTCTGTTTGAAACATCGATATTGTTGGAGGTGTGACTTCTTGATATGTTTCGGAGAGGGGCGATGACGTTGGCCAAGATGGCCCCCAAGGATGATCTTCTGGGCTTGTATATACATACATCGTGTGGTTTTTGGCCCCGGATCTTGGGGTCTTGGCGAATTATAACTTGGCGTTTACTTTGTATTATTACCGTGGCGATATATGAGGGCCTGTAGGAGAGGGATCTGCAGGAATGAATCTCGGGGCAATCAGTGCCTTGCATTTGGCTTCCTAGATGAAAGAGTATCAAGATATTTCTTGCCGATATATACAAGCTGGTAATATGAATATGTTCAGAAAACGAAGGTTTAATCGATAAACGCAAGAAAAATGAAAATGGGGTATGCAAATATCCGCCTTCCGGTCCTACTAAAAATTGAAGTCCGGGTTTGCAAAGTCAAGCCAATCCCAATTAAGCATGTCATCAGGAGGTACATCCGGGATCGACGCACCAAACGCGGTGCCCGCTCTATTGACTGCATCGACGATCTGATTATCAGACATGGTAGAGAATTGCAATGGCTCAAACCAGAGATCTTCGGGTGGTAGTGTTACTGGCAGCGGGCCATCATCCAGACATGCAGATGGAAATGCCGGCTCGGGTGGATCGACTTTTCCTAGATTTCCTCGGGGTTGTAGAGGCAAGGCTGGTGCACGCCGGATCAACTCACGCAAAAATCTCCCGTAGAGCACAGAGGCGCCGCTTCGGTGACTTGGTGTTGCTCCGATTCGCTCTAGCACGCCAGCTGTCTCTTCAATGAGATTTCGGACGCTTGGTGCTAGACTGGAGTTGCTGTCGCCGGGTGTTACGCTGAGGCTGAGGGCAGAGCATGCGGCGAAAGAGATCATTATGACGGTGTTGTTTGGCATTGATTTCAGCCGAGATTCGCCCTGTATCGCTGCTCGCAGGACGTTCAATGCAGACGATAGACCAGCGGCTCGGAAGAAACGCTTGACTTCGATTGGAGCTGTTGGGTGGTTGATGACACCACCGTAGGTGGATAACTGAGTATGCGTGACAAGAATCTCGACATATGGGGGTAGAGATCTTGCTGTAAACAGTTAATATTTAGTCGATCAATTTTATGTATTAAGCTTACTGTCTCCTTCGCCAATTGACAAGGCCCATGTTGCATACCACCGCTCGTAGAAGGTTTGAATGGTATTCTTAATCCTATGATATGGTCAGTATATAATTGATATTCATCAACGGCATAATATCATACGACTGAGCAGCTTCCGAGCCAGTATCGACGATGCGATAGCTATCACAGCTTGATTTAACTTTCTGAAAGAGTCCATCCTAAAACCGTTAGAACGGAATTTAATAGCATAATACAGGTGTTTGTGATGCGACTTGGGACGGGATTTGGAATGGCACCTACAAGGTCCCTTCGAAGAACTGCCATGGAATTCATAGGTCCATCACGCGGGTCTGCGATGCTGGAAAGGTGCCAACGATCGCAGGTTTCGATGAGCGTTGTTGGGGGGACGGTATAGCTTCGTCCACGCGCAAGGCAAACACTGAGCAAGTTAGTGTCAAATCCAGATGCACTACTGGGAGAATCAAACGTACCCCCTCTCCACGACATACAACGCAATCCAAGCTCTTTCGCGTCTTCGTAACAGCCTGAGACCCCACTCCGAGGACGGATCAATATCATCAAACCCATCCATGTGTAAAGCCCTCTTGGCATCGATACACTCTGCTCGCGCCAGGCGATTCATGAGTTCTTGGTCAAAGCTTGAAGAGGGCGAGACAATCTTGTTCAAAGATAAGTCTAGAGCAACAGTGAGAGCCATGGCAATATAGGAGCAGGTATCATCGTCTCCTAGTCTATCACCGGGAGACATCCATGGGACGTTCACCATGAAAGCCAGAACAATCTCAACAGACCTATGGCGGTGTGTGATCACTCGCCTCGCGAGCCATTTGCAATGCCTGGATAGTCTCTTGGATAAAGCAGCAGCAGATGGCAAAAATAAGGCTGCGCCTGCCATGATTGAAGTAAAAAGAAAAGCCGACTGTGACCGTACAAAGGACGGGGTGTGTATCAAAGGATCGAGGCCCCATCGAGTATGTGCAAGATTTTGGTAGAAACTTTATCTGTCAGTCATATATGTTTAAGAATAAGAAAAAGACCACTTACAATGAGAACAAAGACTCCGATTCATCAAATGTGACCAAGCCCAGCTCAACAGGGTCAACTTCAGGTCCAATATCCAAATTCGCTCTCGTGGGAACAAAAAAGGATTTGGCACTCAGTTCTCCTGGCGGGGTGCTCTGAAGAAACGATGGACCCTCTGACAATGGTATTGGAGACTTGGGCACATGCCGCATCCCGGTCGGCGAAAGCTGAAGATCCGAAGCTCTAGCAAGCAGCTGGAGGGGATTTTCTGCATCATCAAGAGTAAGACTCTCCTCCGCATGAATATCACGTGGAGATGTCATGCGCGGATGATCTGATGCCTCTGAAAAGCCACGCTCATGCTCATGCTCATTCTGCATTAACTGGCCCTGGACTTGACCAAGGAGTTCCTGGAGGACTGAAATGGCCCTTTGGGCCTCATCGTCACTAGAAGAGTCGACCTTGGGCCGCTTGATTGCCTGCTCGATCTGATGTATCGCTTTCTCCAGGCCCTTACGTTTGCTAGATCGCAGTCAGTATTTTATTCCACAACCAGTTAATTTAACTCACTTTTTAACACCCTTTTGTCGGCCCAGGTGATGGTTGGGCACAATACACTCTGCATTAGTCTGCTTACATTTCTCGCAGCTGGACTCGCCTGCCAGACGGTTGCAGCGAATCTTGCTCCGCCGACAGTTCAAGCATGCAGCTTGTTTTCCATGTGGGCTAGAGGCTGGACCTGCCGACTCGACCTCCATGAGTAAGTGTTTTGACCTCGGCCATTGACACTAATGTGAGGAAGGTGCGGAAGTCAGGGATAATTGACTAGTTGTGTTTTTGGCTAGTGTAGCATTAGAGTGCAGCCTCTTTCAACAGCCCAGCCGGGCTAGCTCAATCGGTAGAGCGTAAGACTCTTAATCTTAAGGCTGCGGGTTCGACCCCCGCGTTCGGCTATTCCTAAAAACCAAACCTGAGATTTCTTTTTTTGCTCTTGTTATTTTAGATTAGTTTAATGATGAGAGAGATAAACCACTTTTTTTTAGGCTTCGGTGCGACAATAAACAAAAGGCTGCTTCCAGCGGATACTACTTACCTAGGTTGTGGTACAACGGACAGAAAGCCACACATTTAAGGTTTTTATCCATGGTTGTATATCTGAACAATGTTGTGTCTTGTTTTTCATCCGATTATATATTTCACTTCTGTTTTAATTTGTGAGTAGAGAGTACACTATTCAGTTTCCCACACATACTAGACATGTATATTAGATGTTAGATATCATTTTATGCTTAGTTTTCTGATTTTTATAGTGGACGAGTAACGAGCGAGTGGTATGAAATGGTATCAAATGGTATCAATTAAAGATTAGTAGCTAAATACAAGCTCCAAGACAACAAGACCGTTGGTACTCTTCATGACTTCTTAATGGGCAGGGAATATATAACCGAATCAAACATAGGCAACGATCACATATCAACTTTCAATCAAGCATAACGAACGGGACCAGACTCCTCAACATGGCCCGCTGGCAGAGCACCAGATGCATGTGAAGCAGCATGGGGCTGCGCCTGAGATACAGGAACCTGACTCATGCCAGAAGGCTCACAGCTACCGGGAGGAGTGACATCCAACAAGCGCGGACCAGACTCAACAGGCCTCTTGTTCGCCTTAACAGTGGCAGGTGCGGGGCCCAAGACAGTCGGGTACTTGAAGCGGAAACCCCAAGCGAAGAACAAGCCCATCTTTGTCCAGAAACCCATGGCATCCCACCTCTTCTGGAGGACCTCGGCATCCTCTCTGCTGCGGGCGCGGTATCCCTTTCGGAAACAAAACAGACAGAAAAGAGAGAAAGGAAGCAAAAGAAAGGACCAGAAAAGAGGGAAACCACGACGGGTTTGCCAGCCCGTCATGAGACGACGGAATCGCACCCAGGCTTCGATCATGCCCAGGATGAAAACAATGCCGATCCAGCCCAGCGTGCAGATCAGCACGATTGCGAGGTAGGAGATACCCAGGCCGGATCCCCATTTGCTGGTGAACCAGTCTTCGTCGTCGTAGTAGCCATTGCCGTAGCCGTAGTAGCCAGAGTTGGATGATCCGCCGGTGCTGGATCCTCCTGGTCCGTCGGACAAGCCGGTGTAGTATCCGGAGTTGCCGCTATAATCGCTGGGGCCTGTGTACTGGCATCCGGCACCCGAGTACATAGAGGTAGGGGTGTGGTAGGTGCTCAGAGAGTTCAGAGTCCTGCTGGGGATTTGGGTGGGTTCCACGAACACCACTTCGTAGATGTAGGTGGTGGGCTGGAATGGCTGGCTGTTGTCGACTGAGGTAGAGCTTTCTACATTATCCCTGGGCAGCAAGGTTGCGATCTGATAGGGAGGGGTGACTGCGACTGCGGTCGTGGTGGTCCATTGAGTAGAGCAGGCCGTTGGGGCCGAGAAAGTCAGGTTGACTTTGTAGATGGTGCTGTGATAGTTTCCATTACTATCCATAGCGTTACGGTAGCCATCGTATAACCCGCGCTCCGCGCCGTAGCCAGTGGGATAAAGCTTTTCGACAACGGTGTAGTCATAGTTGGTATTGGTGGAAGTAATGGTGGACAGGGCCTCGGCTGGCAAAGTTGCAGTTGGAGAGATTTGCTGGACCTCGGTGACCAGTTCGGAATAGTAATCTTTATTAACCTTCTGTTCGTAGGTATCTGTCACAATCCAAGGGGCGGCCTGAACGAATGGGCTCAAAACGAATGACAAGAAAAGAATGAACGAGTGTGAAGGCGCCATCTTGAGTGGTCCTTGGGGTTTGCAGGGAAAACATTAAGATACGAGGCGTCCATGGCTTTAATAAAAAAAAATCTTGATAGCGCCTCTGGAAGACCCTTATTTTTGGTCATTTTGGGGGCGTATTTGTCGCCTAAGATATAGTGGTTCAAATGGCTCGGGGGAAATTGCCCGCATTAGAGTAGGCAGATGCTCGGGTGTGATTGGTGATGTCTCTCAATTTGCCAGAGCTAAGTGAACGGTCTAGTCTGTTTACGATCTAGTAACAGACCCTAGACTTTTCGCCTCATGCTTTTACCGAACTGGTCTTTTCTTAGTCTTAGTCTTTTGTTAGGAGGGCGATGACACAGAATTGGACTAGCCTCATGTATGAAAAAAAAAAAACTTCGTTGAATACGCCTAGTCACGTATAGAGCAGCGCAGAAAGAACATTGAAATACAAGCGTAACTTCGTGGATCGTCAGTGTGTTGCAAGGTCCAGAGATCGCGAGGAATCTATATGGGGGATTGACAGTCCCGTAAATCCGGAGTACCCAGGAGGAGAGAGAGATTAAGCCACTTGCTCAATTAGCAGCCCGTAAGGCTCGTAGCCTTGCACCCAAGCCATCCTCAACCTCGGCATCCACTTGCTTGGGCTCCTTAACCTCCTCCTTGGGCGCAGCATCCGCCTCGAGGTTCTTGCGCATATCAACACCCGCATCATCTGCCAGTTGTTCCATAAGTCGATCAACGTCGGCCTCACCCTCCGCACCATATTCCTGCATCGATATACCCTGTGCGACATCCTCGATTGCACTGCTAGCGATCTTAAAGTCCTCCGACCGGGCGAGGAAGTTGTTAGCGTGGGAGACGAGGTGTTCGAGGTTGACGCTCCGTGAGGCAGCATCTAGGCCCCGCGACGCCATAGCGAGCGTCCGGGATGTGTCGCGGGTGCTTTGGGCGGCCTTGAGTTCGTTGATGATAACGTCTGCGCGTGCCGCTTCGGATTTGAGCGTTACTTGGCGTCGCTTCTCGCGCACGGCGGAGGCGGCGTGAATGCGGGCGATCTGGAACTCGCGGTTTTTCATCGCTTTGTCGGCTTTGGCCTTCTCGGATTTGAAGGTCGCCTCCGCTCGGACGGCTTCTTTCTTGAGTCTATTGGAGTGTAGCTGGGAAGATAAGATTAGCGATGGTTCCATGCATAGGCGGGGTGATGCACGCTGTGAGGAGGGGAAGCAGAGTGCGGGGAGGCAACTTACTTTGACATTTGTGCGGGCTTCGAAGATAGGGTCTTTGCGAACCATGATGTTGGTTAGAGAGAATATAGAGGATGAGGATTTGCAGGTGTTGTGGAAGGCAGATGGATTCGGGGGCGCGTGGCAACGTCACTGACCGCATTCAGTGCATTCTTAGCGTCCCGATGTTGGTTTATTTTAGTCTAGATTTGACCAATATGCCGAAACAATGTTTCTACTAGTTAGTACTTCGTGAATGGATTAAGGCTACTGTGGTGATTTAGGAGAACACTATTACTACATGTACTGGTACATCTCGGAAATAATTGTAAGATGAGCCAGTCGATCTTGCATTATAAAAAACTAGTATACAGGCCAAAAAAATGGAACCCTCAGCGCTGTTTGCCCATGAGCAAAGATGAAAGGGCTTTGCTCGCGCTGGAACTCCGGAAACTCCGTTTACCTCGATGCATCTTTCCATTACTGCGTTGCCGACCGGATTTCATTGTGTTTCCCCGCTGGTGTCGTTTAGACAGGCTGAGACTATCGATTGCCCAAGCCATGGTTAATAACGACTCCCAACTCGGTCGAGCCTCCGAGGCGCCAGCCGACCAGGTCTGCGGGGAGAAAGTCTCACTAACCGCTAGCTGCAATGCTCTGCCCGTCGCATCTCGAAGTGGACGCGCCAAGGCTGGGCTGCAAGCTAGTAGTCTGGTGAGAAGTCTCATCCGAAAGACCGGACGGTTGGACGCCTTCGAGGACGACAGACTCGGGGTCGAAATCAACCATAGAATCAAAGGGAAATGCTGATAGATCTCCTCCGTCGAGAACGTCAAAGGCAAACCCGTCTTCAGGGAAAGAAGGATTTGACTCAGCGGGTGAATCACCGTGGAACAGGCGACGGAAGTCATCGTCAGAAAGAGGAGCTGCAACGTCATTTGCAGTCTGAGGTTCATCGGAGAGGTCGAAGAGGGGTAGGGCGCTTCCAGATCCTTCGAGGCCAGCGACGGACACTGCAGGTCACACAACACCGCTGCAGGATGTTGTGTCACGTCGGAGGCCTCAGCCAGAGTGGAAGGTTCGAGGGTAGGAGAGTAGTCGGTAACGGAGGGAGTGGGGAAAGGAATCCGTTCCATAGGAAGTTCGTCGCCTTCTTGTTTGAAGAGGGTAGGCGTGAGGGTGGGAGATTCGATGGCGGGAGAGCTGGCTTTGGGAGTCACGCTGCGAGATCCACGGACCTCGGCGGAGAGCTTGGCCACTTGTTGGCTCAGGCGGTTATTCTCTGTCTCCATCTGCGATAGACGCTGGATCAGGAACTGGTTTTGTTGCTCCATTCGGATCTTTTCGGTCTCGAGCTTCTCCATCTCGAGGCGCTTGCGCTCCCGTGACGTTTGAGCAGCAGCGCGGTTCCGAAGGACCCGTTCTATCCGACGCTGCTCCTTCTCATCATCTGTCTTTGCGCGTTTTCTAGAAGAGTCAGCGGGGTTCAAGGTTATAAAGAGAACATGGACAACATACCTGGGAGGGAGGTTTGTTTTGGGGGTTGGGAGTTCTTGTCCCCAAGACTTTCTCTTCTTTGTTGGCTTCTTCTCGTCATCTTCTTCATCCTTAAGATCATCTTCAGGCTCCGGGGAGTCTAATGATGTATCCGCGGGGGAAACTGTGTACATGTCTGGGGATGGTGAGGCTGGGAGGGTATCCAACGGGTTGATAGTATCCGTCATGGTGACAGGGTCAAATGGATAACCGGTGCCGGACGTGAATAATAATTTGCAGTATACAGACTTATAATGACTTGGGTGAAAAGATGAAGTTCGAATCACAGAGGCCACGTTATCATCACGATCGGCACCGGAAACCAGACTCCGGGGAAATATTGAGTCAGAGTGGTGAGTCAGCGAAGAGAGAAAAAGAATGGAAAGGACAGCTGTTCAACTGCAAACGGATGGGCGAGATGAGGTTTAAGTAGAGGCCAGCGTGGTCTGAAAGGGATGGGCCCAGGATAGAACAAAGGGGGGGGAAACCTTGGAACCTGGGCACACACGTACGTCAGGTACAAGCTACACCATACATTTTACCATGTGTCACCAAGTACCTCATAAGGGGGCTGAGTTCTTGTAACGAGACACGTAAATTACGTTAATTTCCCCCTGCATACCATGGTTCAGCCCCTGTCGGCAGCCAATTATGATTTGCCGCTTGAAACATCGCACTTCCTACGGAACTCCGTATGCATTACTCCGTACGCTACAGCCCACCTAGGCACTTGGTCACTGCCTTTGCCTCTCTTGAGTTCTATATTGGGATATTGGCCCCCCGGTACGGAATACACTTGCATCACTTGCATTCGATTGCATACGGAGAGTAATATTTACATGCATATCCGTTCAGCTTCTGATCGCTCGGGTAATACGAGACCCATCCAGTCACTCCGACTCGATCTATCTAAATCATGATACGTCTGTCCCACAATGCAAATGATGCGATATCACAGAGAGTCTCGAACAATCTAGGGTGGACCTAGTATTGATACGTTCTCTCCTGAATCTTAAGACGCGATCATGATTGCCCGGAGAATGCTCCATTTAAAACGCCAATCACAGGGTGTTTTGCAGGTCAAGGCTTCCCCGCCCCGTCAATTCTCCGTGCCCCTGACTGAGAATGTGACACTGTGATGGTACATGTACAACAATGGACTAGCCCTGGAGGGGGCCAGTGTGCCATCTAGATTGGCGGAGATCATCCCGGCCCCGGGGGGACGTACGGAACCACCTCGAACACGGCAGAATGTTTAGGTCGAGGGGGCTGAAACGGGCGTACAACGTATACATTGCCCCTCCGTTACTATTTAGGGATGGCCTCGGGGATTTATAGGGGTGACTCCTGCCATTTGCTGCATATGGACAATTGATAAGTTTCTTGTGAAAAGATAACGATATAGTTGTATGTCTACCTCAATTCAGTACACTAAATTCACTGATCGGTATTGTCATCCCATTTTGGAAACCTTCGACACCAGGGGAATTATATGCAGTCCCTCAAACAAAAAAAAAAAACGCCATCCCATAGAAACCGTGCTCATGACAATATCGTAAGCGAACATGTGCGGGGCTAGGATCAATTGACCTCATCTACATGGTGACGTCCATCGTGTCGTCGCCAGCATCGAGAGCATTCTGGGCCTCCGGGTCAGGGACCACCACACCACGTCCTCGACCAGCAAGCAGTTCGCGTCGCACTTCAGGCCCAATGTCCTTGTGTCCACGGACGAGAAGCAAATCGAGAAGTGCTTCACGCTGGTCCTCAGTGATGTCGTTACGATAACGCTGAGCAAAGACCAAAAGGGACTGGTGCCAGAGAACTGGCAACTTGTATGCCTTGGAACCGAGCCCTGAGGGTCCGTCGTTCATGGCATCATCCGAAGGATCGACGGCGCGGAAGCGCATGAAGTGGAATACCAGGGCGTCAATGACCTTGTATGGCAGGGCGTACTTCTTCTCCAAGAAGACGCGGATGAACATGTTGACAGCACCGGTGCTTTCAAGAGAGGTCAACGATTGTTCCGCGGCCAGATCACACATGCGGAGCAGAGCGGCTGCGGAGTGCAGCACGGGAACGGAGACGCGGGCAACCACAGAAGAGACAATGTGGGCTTCACGCAGGGTGCAGGTGCCGGTGGACACGAGCGGGAACAAAAGTCCCTTGAAGAAGCATGCGGGCTTGTACAGGGCCTTGCGCAGCGCATTGTAGGTGTGGACGTTCAACTTTTTGGTTTCGTGGATTTCCTCGCGCACGCGCTCCAAAAGCACAGTGTTGATAAACTCCTGGGCAACGTGAGGCTTGGACGAGATGAAAATACGGGTTACAGCGTAGACGGCGTTGCCGGTCCATGACTCGGGGCGAGTGATATCCAGAAGGGTCTGCCAGTTCGGTACAGAGGGAAGGATCTTGATAGGCTTGGGGAGCGGGCCTGACTTGTAGCGAGAAAGAATCATGCCAACCCTAGAACAAGTTAGCTTGGCCGCATAAGGAACTATCGCAAAACATACTTCTCATATACTTCCACGGCCTTGGCAGGAACCTGGACTGCATCCTCGGGGATACCACCACCTTGGATGTATTGACCATATGGGCCCTCGCCAGCCTGCTTCGCCTCGTGCTCGGCAATCTTCTCGAGAATCAAATCGGCAAGGTTGGTGGGGCCAGCAGAGCTGGGGTCCTTGGGGTGGAATATAGGGTCCTCCTCGTGAGGCATGAATTTGTTGAACATATCTAGATCATTGGGATCGACCTCCTTGTAAAATGTTAGAAACAATATCGTTATCCAAGGATTCGGGAGTCTTACAACTTGCTCGACTTCATCATCAACCCAATCGTCGGCCTCAAACTTCGCCTCGTCGTCGGAGAAAGCCTCCTCCTCATCCTCGAATCGGGTATCGAATTCAAATGCATTCGACTGGGGCCGTGCTGAGTTCTTGAGTTCCTCAGCGGCATCCTCGTCGGCCAATTCCTGTCCAATCTGTAGAATCTTGCGCGACATCTTCGCATCGACGAAACGCTGTCCATTTTCGCCATCCTCATCGTTTTCGTCGGATTTGCCTTTGCCTTTCTTGCTGCTCTGTGTCCGAAGGTGCCCCGCGGAAGTAATATCTTCAGCGAGAGGGTTGTGTCTGCGTGCCGCGGCAGCAGCGCGGGAGCTTGATACCTTTGGCATGGCGTATAATTCTTCAGATAAACCGAAGAAACTAAAATGAGTATTTTGAGCTGGCTTATCGAAGTACACACGACGATCAAATTGTGTGGTCATATTTTTTTTTCTGCCAGGCGGTGCCCCCCAATCTCCCCACCGCCTGTACCCCACACCGCCTGATCCTCTTCACACATTTTCTGCAATCAATCACTGACCGCCTTCATTTCCCAAGGAGATTATTGTCCAACGCGCATGCGATTGACTCTTTTTATGCACAAAGGGAAGTTTCTGCCTATCAATGAATATAGGAGCCATCAGCATACCGTAAGACTTCAATTGGGAAAGTCACAGGCTGCCAACTCTCTGGGTCTTTCGCGTATATACGCTGGAACAGCTTGACAGCCTACAGACAAGCTTCAAATTGAGTAAGCACCTCTAACTTTTCGGAAGCAAAATGCCCTGGAGCCATACTCATTGGATTATAATTTGCTCAAATTGCTGACTCTCTCCAGATCGACAGACCTAACGACAGACCACAACCCCAGCGGACAGACATAGCCTCCATCATGGCATCCGCCCAAGCCCCCGGATCTTCCGCTCCGTCGTCCAACATCAACTCCCCGATCCTACCCCCGAATGGTGGACCTCTGCTCAATGCGCAATTCACCGACTTGAATCCACGATCTTCTCCCGCCCCGTCCGCCCAAGGCGATGGCCGAGCCAAGCGCAACAAAAGAGATAGTCGCAAGAAGCGTGAAGCCAAAGGACTAGACCCCGAGAACGCACCACCGCCGAAAAAGCGAGCCACAGCTGCACCCAGCACTGCCCTACCCAGCTCAAAACTGAGCATTCTTCGTCCATTGCTGCTCGCCGAGCCGCACGCCTCGGATCGATACCCTCCACAACCTCGCCAATTGAATCGCGTGAGCCGAAAAACGTCGGACGTTTTGGGTCAGAGCTGGGATTTCTACGAGGTTGTCGATAAACTCACCAACAAGAATGGATTCCGTTATAGCTACGCCATTGCAGACCCCGGATTCCCTCATATCAAGTATCGACAGACCGATGTTCGCCCCTACCATACCCGCTTCAGTTTCGAGGATTCACCGGCTGCTATATCGTTTTCAGAGAGCGCGACTGCGGTGACAACCAGTGATGCATGGCATACTGCCCGCGCTAATGTATGTGCTCGAGAGGGCACATACTATTACGAAGCTCGTGTGATTAGTGGCATAGTCAATGATCCCCAGGCACCTCAGAACGGCAGATCGACAACTTCACCCCGTGGCCATGTCCGTATTGGATTTGCCCGACGTGAGGCCGACCTCGATGTGAATGTTGGGGTGGATTGCTACGGATACGGGATTCGAGATGTGAACGGCGAAGTCGTCAATCGCATGCGATGCGAGTTCTTCTTCCCCAAGGGGGAGGCCATCAATGAAGGCGATGTTATCGGCATGCTTATCACTCTTCCGCCTCTTTCTCTCCACAAGAAGATTGTCGAGGGCACCTACGACCCTGCCGATAATAACCCACCACCGCCGATAGCAACCAACATCATCCGAGATCGGATTCCCTTTCACTATAAATCGGACTTCTGTTGGCAGCAATCCAACGTCTTCTCTACGAAACATCTCCGTGACTACGCTTTCAACCTCAAAGAAACGCCGACGTTCGGTCCCCCGTCCCCTCTGAACAGCGAAGATGCCACGCTTCGCACACTCCCAGGATCTAGTATCACCATTCTAAAGAACGGAGTACAAATGGGCACCCCCTTCAAAGAACTTTACGCCTTCCTGCCGCCCGCAAGTCGTCTCGCCAATGGCACAAACAACCTTGGTATTGGCGAGCGTGAGAATGCCGACGACGGCTTGATCGGTTATTATCCTGCTGTGAGTTGCTACGGCGGCGGTGCCGTCGAATGCCGATTTGAGGGGCCGTGGTGGGTTGGGCCACCCGAGAAGACCGAAACCGGAGAGCCAGTTCGGGCCATGGGCGAACGCTTTAATGATCAGATCGCCGAAGACGTGATGGCCGATATCGTGGACGAGGTAGAAGCCATGTTCACATGGGGTGGTATTGATGGCGATGTCATCAATAACAACACCGAGCTCGATGGAGCTGGAGTTGTGGGAGGGGCGGAGGTGTTGAAGGGTGGAGTCGGCGCGGCGCTCGACTCTACGCTCGCCCATACTCCTGGAACTGCTGGGGCATCTGATTCCGCTGCTAATAGCAACCGTGAGACACCGGCTGCAGGCGATGTTGGGAACCATGGCCTTGAAGATGCGATGAGTGTCGGGACAGCTGGCACTCCCAACGTTGAAGTGCAGGGTGATGGCGATGTCGAGATGACTTAGTGACATGCTCAATGGGAAATGAAGTGGGCGTTTGGCTTTCGCGATAGCATTGATACCAATTCTGATTTCAAGATTCTATTCACATAATATACATTTCATATAGTAGTCGTACAGGTATGGGCCTAATCAAAATTCCGTCCCTCCAACATCTCTCCTACTTTCATGACCAACTGATCGTCTCCATATTGACCGATGACCTGGATACCCGCCAGTTCAGCATCTTGCTGCCCAGATACTGTCACAGGAACTGAAATTGCAGGTAACCCAGCCAGACTGGCGGGAACGGTGAATACGTCGGTGACATATGCATCCAGTGGTGACTTCTTGGTAGATTTGCTCATCAAGTCCGACAGTCGCGGCGGGGATGAGGGAGCAGTAGGACATATGATGACATCAACGTCATTTTCCTTTGCAATTTTGTCTGCGCCCTGCGCAGCGAGCGGATGCTTGGCTGTAAAGACAGCATCAAAGTCTTGCTGGACTAAACGACGCACCCGTTGTGCTTGGATGAAATAGTTGTCAATGGCATCGGCACTCAAAGTGAACGTGCCTAGAACAATTCGTCTCTTCACTTCTTGCCCGAACCCCTCTCCTCGGGTATTTGAGAATAGATATCCATCAGGCTTGCCGTCGCCATCTGGGCCTTCGGCGCGAGTCCCGTATCGTACTCCGTCGTATTTGGCCAGGTTTGAAGATGCCTCGGCAGGTCCCACGACGTAATACGTAGATAATGCGTGTTTTGTGTCGGGTAGAGAAACGGAATGGACGGTGTGTCCTTGTTTCTTTAGGTGTGCTAGAGAAAGAGCCCAAGCTCGTCGGACCGAGGGAGTCAGCTCGGAAACGTTGTACTCTACTGGCACGCCGATTCGGAGAGGGGCTGAAGTCAGCCGCGAGGCAAGTTGTGGTGTTTGGAGAGAGGCTTGGATTCGAGAGCGGGAGGATATTGAGAGGTTGGTAGGGTCGCGCTGGTCATGTTGGTTGAGGATGTCTAGCCATGCTATTAGCACAGTCGTTATCCAGCTACACTGGCCAAAACCTACCGAAGATATCTCGCACATTGGCGGTGGTTTTCCCCATTATACCCACGGTGTCTAGAGAATTGGCGTATGCCACCACACCCCATCGTGAGATCAGTCCGTATGACGGTTTGAATCCCACTGTCCCGGTGTAAGCAGCTGGAAGTCTGACCGAGCCTCCGGTGTCCGTTCCTAGTGAGCTGTAAAAGTCAGCAATCAGTTTCCTTGCTGACGACTGGCCACTTACGCATAGCATTGGTCGGCAGCGACTGAGGCGGCACTTCCACCAGAGCTGCCACCAGCCGAGAGGTCTTCCCCGCTGGAATCCCGACGAGGGTTCTTGACAGGACCGAAATGTGAATTGATCGAGTGTGATCCCATCCCAAACTCGTCCAGATTTGTCTTTCCGGCGACAATGGCCCCGGCGGCCTCTAATTGATCGACAACGGTGGCATTGAACGGGCTCGTAAATTTATCCAGGATTCCCGAAGCGCAGGTCGTCGGAAGGTCGCGCGTGCAGATATTGTCTTTGATGGAGATCAAGCGGCCGTCCACTGCGGACTTGGGTTTCCCTGATCATATCGGTTAATTCAGAAGTAGAGAGTGGAAGTCTGATGTTGCTACCTTCTTCCTTGCGCACATCTGCTTCCTTGACGCGGTCCAGCCATGGCCCCGCGCGCGATAGCGGGGTTATGAAGGCGTTGAAACCATGTGCATATTGATTAGCGACGCATTTCTCAGCTTCGCGCAATAAGGACATTTAGACGGAGTGTGTTGAGGAGTACAATATAGAAAGGGAGTGGGAACGCGAGTTTCCCGGGTCCGTGCTGCTTTTCTACGGTATCTGTTCAGGTCTCTGTAGCCTTTGAAGATATATATCTACATACGTGTATGTATATATTATAGAGTTCATAGCCTGGTTAGAAATAAATAGCTATTGCCCAAATATAAAAATCAATATCCAACAGTTCTAAGTGACCTCGGAGCTACAATGTCAACAGTTCCTTCGGGCCGAGCGAAATCGACTAAGACGTCATCCACATTTAATGCTCGACACTTTCTCTTCTCCTCCACTCCCTCACCTACCAGCTATGTTCTCGCGAAGTGTACTACAGACGGCCACCCGAAGTGCTCGCTCGGCCTCAGCTAGAGCCGTACCACAGGTGCTCGGCAAAGCTCCATTCGGTCGGCGATACGTTTCGGTCTATGGCTACACACAGGCAAAGGCTCTCATCTACTCCAAATATGGCGAGCCCAAAGATGTCTTGCGGTAAGTCCTCCCAGCTGCAATTAAGCGAACAAAACTGATCAACCTAGTCTACACAAGCACTCAATCTCCGCGCCGCACGCAACCCAAGTGACTCTGCGCCTGTTGACTGCGCCGATGAACCCAGCCGACGTGAACCAGATCCAGGGCGTCTACCCCAGCAAACCTCCCTTCCAAACGGACCTCGGAAACGCGGAGCCCGCCGCAGTCGGCGGCAACGAGGGCGCATTCGAGGTGCTGTCAACCGGTGCGGGCGTCAAGAACCTCAGCAAAGGCGACTGGGTCATTATGAAGCGCACAGGTCAGGGTACCTGGCGCACCCACGCACAGCTGGACGAATCCCAGCTTATCAAGATCGAGAACAAGGAAGGCCTGACCCCGCTGCAGGTTGGCACTGTCAGCGTCAACCCCGTCACTGCGTACCGTATGCTCCGGGATTTCTGTGAATGGGATTGGATGCGTGCTGGCGAGGAATGGATGATCCAGAACGGCGCCAACAGCGGTGTCGGGCGAGCAGCTATTCAGCTGGGCCGCGAGTGGGGAATCAAGACGCTCAATGTCATTCGACAGCGCAAGACACCCGAAGAGACTGAGGCTCTTAAGAAGGAGCTTCGGGATCTGGGAGCTACCGTTGTTATCACCGAGGAGGAGATGCTTACTGGTAACTTCCGGGATATGGTTCACGAGTTCACCCGCCAGGGCCGGGAACCAATTCGTTTGGCGTTGAACTGCGTAGGCGGGAAGAATGCCACTGCTCTGGCAAAGACGTTGGCTCCTGATTCGCACATGGTTACTTACGGAGCCATGTCGAAGCAACCTGTTGCATTGCCTTCGGGCCTGCTGATCTTTAAGAACCTCGCGTTTGACGGGTTCTGGGTCAGCAAGTGGGGTGATAAGAACCCCGAGCTCAAGGAGAGCACCATCAAGGATGTGCTTCAATTGACTCGCTCTGGCAAGTTCAAGGATATTCCCGTTGATGAGGTTAAGTGGAACTGGGAGTCCGAGGGCCCGGAGTTGGCAGAGAGTGTGCAGGGCACTTTGGGCGGCTACCGTAGTGGAAAGGGTGTGTTCACGTTCAACGGCGGTGATTGAGTGAACAGCCACCTGGGAAATATGTATTATAGAGCTAGGCGGTTTTTCCCGAGATTTACTTCTTCACGGTCAAATGGGCCATGCAATATGGGCCCAGAAACTAGGAATAAATTGTAACAAAGTGAACTGAGCTAGATAGTATATTTATCAACACTCCCAGTTCTTCTTCACCCAGTCAAGAATCAGGTTTGTTAGAGACATGTTCTGCATGTACACATCGCTTTCCTTTGCAATGTCGACATCGAGACTAGCAAACTTGGCGGCCAGTATCACATTTTTCTCAATGAAATCAAGGTAGACCAAATCCACCGTCTTTGGTGTCTCGGATGCATTGGCAGGGATGAGGGCTTGAATACAGTTCGGCACGCGGTAAAAGGAGATGGGTGAATGGATGGTATCATCACCATCTGTGCCCGCATCATCTTTTGTCGTGTACCCGGGCACGAGATCCGGACTGGACATGGGGATTTGCTCGCCAGCTGAAGGCCATTTTTGGGCAATCACGTCTTCCAGATATGCAAGTTGCTCGAGGGGGCCCAAGGTCGTCAATGAAGATTCATCTGTAGATAAAATTTGAGGCTGCCTGTTCAAAACGTCGACAATAAGTTGTGCCTTGTCATATGGGACATCTTTCACATAGCGGAACGTGCTGGTGAATGGAGATACAATAAAAGTCGAGTCTTGGGTAAAAGGCCCCTTGAAGATATCGAACCTCATAGCGCCCGTATTAACAATGGCTAGCCTAGGTATGTCTCCACGAGACTCATCCCTCAAATCACCCAAAACTTCAGTTTCAAGCCAGGTGTAGATGCTGTTGGGATCTGGGTACTTGGCTCGCGACATCCATAAATCATGTGGAGCGCATCCATGGATGTGGTCTAGATGAAGGTCGGTCCGTGCTTTGGCGATCAATTGGGAGACATTGAGACCTTTTTCGGTTGGGAAGGTCTCTTGATCAAGACCGGTGTGATGATAATAAGAAAAAATATTGTTGTCGATGTATCTGCGCTTGAAGATGGGTCCAGCAGCAGACTGATGGCTTGTTTTGCTGGCGAGGCCATCGATTGACATGAAGCCAACAGTTTCCATGAAGCGGCCGCTCGCTAGCCCAAAGGCTTTGGAATCATACTGCGCATAGTCACGCACGTGCTGGTGCCCGCCAAAGAATTGGATTGGAGTATCCCAGCGAATTCCCCGAATCTCCTTGAAGATCGCCCGGTATTCCGGCGAATGAACAGGCACATGGCCGATCACCAAAAACAGATCCACTTCTTTATCCCGAATGGCTTCTTGGAACCAATCCTCTTTGATAGTAGAAGATACTCTCTGGACCACAGTATTGTTGTAATTTCCGTTGAAATCAAAGAGGAACCCAAACGCTACTATACGGATGCCTTGTTTCTTAGTAGTAAACTTCTTAAACCGCGGGGCTAGAGGCACAAGCTCTTGGGTGGTCGGGTGAATGATATCGATATTCGAAGCCAGATAGTTGCCCCGGAAGTTAGGAACGGTGATGAGAAGCTCAGCCTCCGATGTGTTTTGCTTGTATAGTTCGTGGTTTCCCGATGTCAACAGGTCGATATGCTGGTGCCGGAAGATGTCTGAAAGGTAGATACCCTTGGGCTCGGACGAGTCATACAGGCCGTTCCCTTCAACTCGGTCACCAGTATCTATAACAAGTAGATCTTGTCCTTGTGCTTCCGCCTTTTCCCGCATGCGTGTCGTAAACGATACATAGTCCCCCCAGTCTGCGGAGTAGGACGGTCTGCGATTATTAGTACAACTCAACGCTTAGCAGGGTCCAAAGCCTACTCTTGCAGATGACCAGCGAGCCAGCCATGACTATCGGTAGTATGGAGGAAATTCAGTTGCCCGAACTCAAGGGCTCGTAGCGGAGCGGAGATGGGGTCGGGTGCGGAGGGTTGAGCGGCGAGTACCGACGGAAGTAGCCAGAGCAAGGACAACATCATTACCAACAATACACCCTTGGAAGAATGGATAAAAGCATGAATTTACAGCAAGAAAAACGCTTGGAAGGTCTTGAAGGATCCTGGAAGGAAGCCACGTAGCTATAAAATAAAAGTAGATAGCTCACTTGACAGAAGATATGTTGTGTAAACAAGGTGTGATGCCTCAGGTCAGCTCTCTCCAATTCTTGTATGGTTACGGTTACAGTACCGGTGAGCTCTGATATCACGTGTTGCCCAACATCTTCGGATTTGCATCTCAAAGATTATTCGGACGGCGATAAGTTTTCCCTGGGCATTCACTTTGATCTACTCTCCCGATCTTCTATTCAATTGTTTTTGCGGTCCGATTTGGTCTGCGATCTTTAATTGAATCTTTTTTTCTCTTTTTGTTTTTCATCTTCTCAATTCCATCACATTTCCGCAATGGCAGCTCCCCGACTTTTCCGCCCAACAGCTCGTCTGTTTTCCTCGCGCCTTGCTTCCACTGCTCTGCGCTCGAATCTCCGCCAGTCCGCCTGTGCTCCTTCAATTCTGCGCCGCGGATATGCCACCGAGGACGGCACCAAGCAGGTCACCGTTCGCGATGCCTTGAACGAGGCCTTGGCGGAGGAGTTGGAACTCAACCAGAAGACCTTCATCCTCGGTGAGGAAGTTGCACAGTACAACGGAGCGTGAGTAATCCTTGAGTTCCAGTTGAATCGAAACCGACGCTGAACTTCCGCCTCTACAGATACAAGGTGACGAGGGGTCTGCTCGACCGCTTCGGTCCCAAGCGGGTTATCGATACTCCCATCACAGAGGCCGGCTTCTGTGGTATCGCCGTTGGTGCTGCTCTCGCTGGTCTGCACCCCATTGTGAGTATTTCCGGAGATGACCGTTGATCCAGGATCGCATGCTAATCGTTCATGATCTAGTGCGAGTTCATGACCTTCAACTTCGCCATGCAGGCCATCGATCAGATTATCAACTCCGCCGCTAAAACTCACTACATGTCCGGTGGTATCCAGCCTTGCAACATCACTTTCCGCGGTCCCAACGGTTTCGCCTCCGGTGTCGGCGCCCAGCACTCCCAGGATTACTCCGCCTGGTACGGCAGCATTCCCGGTTTGAAGGTTGTCTCCCCTTGGAGCTCCGAGGACGCCAAGGGTCTGCTCAAGGCTGCTATCCGTGACCCCAACCCCGTTGTTGTTCTGGAGAACGAGTAAGATCACATCCACCCATTTTGCTGGATTTCGCGTAAGCTAACCAATGCTAGGCTCCTGTACGGCCAGACTTTCCCCATGAGCGAGGCTGCCCAGAAGAACGACTTCGTCCTGCCCATTGGTAAGGCCAAGATTGAGCGCCCCGGAAAGGACCTCACCATCGTCTCTGTCTCTCGCTGCGTCGGTCAGTCCTTGACCGCTGCCGCCGAGCTCAAGCAGAAGTACGGCGTCGACGCTGAGGTTATCAACCTGCGCTCCATTAAGCCTCTCGATGTTGAGACCATCATTGCCTCCCTCAAGAAGACCGGCCGCATTATGGTCGTTGAGTCTGGCTACCCCATGTTCGGTCTTTCGTCCGAGATCCTGGCTCTGTCTATGGAGTACGGCTTCGATTACCTGACCGCCCCTGCCGTCCGTGTCACCGGTGCTGAGGTTCCTACTCCTTACGCCGCTGGCCTTGAGGCCATGGCCTTCCCCCAGGAGGAGACCATTGTCAGCCAGGCCGCCAAGCTTCTGCGCTTGTAAGCCAATAAACGAGGGCGAGTGAGGAGCTCGCAATAATATAGCTACGTGCCTAGTACCCTTTCATCTGTTCCATCTTATGTTGTTTTATTCTGCTTTTGTTATCCAACCGTTTTAGACAGTCTTTGGAAAGCATGTACCATTACATCCAGATCAGGACCAGCGTAAAGGTGCTTTAAACGGCTTAGATGGAAATTCATTGCTGCCCAGTAACATAAAACAAAGGATATCCCGTACCCTTCAACGCCATTGCATATTTGACACTTGATATTTGATTCAATTCGCAAGTTATTCCGGCATCATGATATCCATTAGACCTTTTGGGCAACACACCCAGCGAAACAGTCCGTTGGCCGGCGAGGATCATAATATCCTTCTTGGCCATATTCCTCGTCGGTGTCACTTTCCATATCGCCATATTCACTCTTTCGGGGTATGTGCATATCTGATGGACCATTGTCTTGAGGTTTCGGGATATCATCTTCCTCGTCGTCTCCTAGAACGTTCTTCTTGACCGGGGCTGTGGGGGCCACTGTTCCCTTGACAGCGGCGAATGAGCTTTTGAAGCCTCCCTTCTTGAAACCCGTGCTTCCTCCACTTGGTGCCACATTGTCCACAGGAGTCTCGATGACTTTCAGACCGGCCTGCGCATCGGCTTTACGTTCTGCCCGGCGGTTCTTCTCGACGGCATTTGGATCACGTGTAAGCTGTTTGAGGTCCTGCAAACGCTTTCTGTGCTGGTGATCATATGAGCCGATGTGCGCTTCGTATTCTGGGTGGCGTGAGTAAGATTTATTACAAAGCCCGCAGGTGAAGGAGCTGAGCGCAGACCGCGCCGATTCGGTCTATCAGAGTTAGCTTGGCGATAGCAGATATGGCAGACCGGGAGGGTTGATTACCCTAGGGGCGGGATTCGTGAATCCACGCTATATTTGTTAGCTAAGGCATCGGATTTGGACCAAAAAAGAAGAGCATACCGGTGCCATTGTTCTTGAAACTAGAGCGTAGGTGAAGTTCAGTGAGAGAGCGTTCAGTACGGCGGGGCATTGCCACCACCTGCGTATTTATGACCGACGGCTCTAAACGCGTCGCTGCCTGTGAAACCAGGCATACATGGATTCATGCATTTAATTGTCTAGGCTTTCATGCTCATGTGCTCTTGTTAATTATTAAGTAGCTATATGGGTCTTATTTAGGTACATGAGAAAGCCTTGCACCTATACGCAATATCCAACTTTTTATAGTAAATCAAGCAAGTCAAACTGCTATAGTAACATACGATGTATACTGAGTCACCTGACCCTGAATCCCAGGTGGGTAATCGTCATTACCCGCAGAGGAAGTGACCTATCACAGCTGCCGTATTTTTCGCGACTCAGCGATCTTCAACCCCAACATTTCCCTGCTTTTTTCTAGTTCGCCTATACAAAATATGGATGCATGATTGACGAGTTACTTTCTTACGAGTTTCATTTTCTTCCTTTTCCCTCAGCTCTTGAAAATCAAAAATCCTAAAAATCATACAATGCCGCCAGACGTGCTCTCCAAACCGGAGGACATTGACACCAAGTCTATCATCTCCTTGCAAGAACTAGACCCGTCACCTGTCCATGATGCTCTGGATGTTGAAACCGGCGAATACCTCCCTAGGGCTGCCTCTCCCACGCAACATGGAGCTGGAATTTCAATGCCCAAACTAGGCCTTAGCGGCCATCGCTGGGATTCATGGCGTACGTCAAGCGACAATAGCTGGTTTATATATTCTAACCACAGTGATTATTTAGTAACTGGTATTCAAAAATACTCAACCTACCCACCTACGGCTTTCTTCATACTACACCTCGCCAACACCTCTCTTATCCCACTCGTGACTCGCTCCGTGCCCGCCAGCGAATCCTTCCTTTTGCTCACACGACCCATATACCAAGCCCCCGGGCTAGAGCATCTTGTCTTGACGATTCCTATTATTTCACATATTGCCTCAGGAATTGCTCTCCGCAACACTCGAGCTGCGCGTAGAGCACGTCTGTACGGCGCCGAGACTCGCGCACAGCGAAACACGTTATATTTCTGGCCGCGGATGTCTTTACAGGCACGCACTGGATATTTTGTCACGCCGCTGATTGTATTCCACGCATTCGTTAACCGTGCCACGCCATTGATCGTCGAAGGAGGAAGCTCTGGCGTAGGACTTGGATATATTGCCCATGGCTTTGCTCGGAGTCCTGTGTTCTGGAATGCATTCTATGTCTTCTTCGTGACTGCCAGTGTGTGGCACTTCGTTGGTGGCTGGGCCACCTGGATGGGCTGGAGAGTGACCACAGCACGCAAGGAGCGTATCCAAAAAGGCTCGTTGGATGGTTACCTTGGACTTACAGAAACGAAGTCGAAGAGACAGCGCAAGATGTGGTGGGTTGTCAATGGAGTCGCCGCTGCTGGCGCGGCTCTCTGGCTTGCAGGTGCTCTCGGTGTTGTTGGACGTGCCGGCGAAGGCGCGGGTTGGGAGGCTAAGGGATGGAATGAGATGTATAGTCAGGTCCCGATCATTGGGGAGTGGCTGTGACAGCTTTGTATGATTGTACATATTATCTACATAGACTTAATCCTAATGTATAAAAAGAGCCTTGAGACATCATTGAAAATATTCTTTCTCTACTATAAACATTATTTACCAACATCAAGGCTCGTCCTCCGATATCACCGCGATAATTGCCTATGGCCTGCTAGATAAAATTACATAGTAGGGCTGCTTTGGTCTCTCATTTTTGAGAGTTCAAATGTTGCACATGTGGTTCTTTAAGAATACAGCCCTATGCCCAGGTGTACTTTTATAGTTGACATAAATTACAAACAGTATTGTTGTGTACTGCAGGTTGGTCCGTGCGCAGAATCTTTTTCTCCGTCGCATTCAACGTCTCTTGCGACATGCTGTGAAAGGCTTCGCTCATGAACTCCTCGTTGATTTTTGGATCAGCAACCAAATACGCTAAGCGAAGACTCACTCCTACTCTTATTCTCGCCCAATTCCCCCGCTCGACCCCCACTTCGATCCGATCTTGTGTCCGAATCCTTTCCACTGCTCGAACCATGGAGGATCCTCCAATTCAGCTGGTGGAATACCAGGGAAAGAATTACCATGTTGTCAAAGAAGGTTTGGCGAAGATTCTGAACCCGCCTGCCCAAGAGGCCGCCTCCAAGGGCACGAAGAAGGATCTCAAAAGCGACGACCAAATGCAATCCGTCTTCTACAACCCAATTCAACAATTTAACCGCGACCTCAGTGTGCTAGCCATTCGCGCTCATGGAGAACATATCATCGACCTGAAGAAACAAAAAGCGGCCCAGAAGCTGAAGAAGCAGGGAGGCAATGGGGAAAAGAAACGGAAGCGTGAAGACGACCAGACCGAGAACCCGAGGCCCGCCCCAAACGCAGAACACAAGGGAAATACAGAGACAAACGACCAGCCAGTCTCCGCTCCCCCGGCTGATCAGGAACCTCAGTCAGAAGCCCGACCAGAGCAACCCACAGCTTCCTTCACTGTTCTTGATGCTTTGTCTGCAACTGGGCTTCGTGCTCTTCGCTATGCCTCGGAGCTTCCATTTGTCACAAAGGTCGTGGCTAATGACCTGTCAAAGTCAGCAATCGAGTCCATGAGGACAAACATTGACTACAACAATCTTAAAACGATTCAACCCAATCTGGCCGATGCTCGAGTTTACATGTATGGGCTTGACCAGGCGAGCAAGTTCGACGTCATTGATTTGGATCCATATGGCACAGCATCTCCATTCCTGGATGCCGCAGTGCAAGCAGCCAAAGATGGTGGCCTTTTGTGTGTTACTTGCACTGATGCCGGTGTCTGGGCCTCGACCGGCTATTCGGAAAAAGCATTCTCTCTGTACGGCGGTATCCCCGTCAAAGGCCTCCACTCCCATGAAGGTGGCCTGCGATTGATCTTAAACGCCATTGCCATGTCCGCAGCTAAGTATGGAGTGGCCATCGAGCCATTACTGTCTCTGTCTATCGATTTTTACGCTCGTGTCTTTGTTCGGGTCTATCAATCTCCCGCACAGGTCAAATTTACCGCGGGCAACACAATGCTTGTTTACAATTGCGATGTCGGCTGCGGCGCATGGTCAACACAATACATTGGGTCTACCAAATCCAAATTGGACCGCAAGGGAAACCCCGTATACCACTACGGCCTGGCCCAAGGGCCCGCAGCCGGACCGCACTGCGAGCATTGCGGCACAAAAACACATCTTGCAGGACCCATGTGGGGCGGTCCGCTACACAATCCTGACTTTATCCAAAAGATCTTGGACATGCTTCCTGGAGCTGATCCCGAAACATATCAGACCTGTGCTCGGATTGAGGGGATGTTAACCACTGCCCTTGAAGAGGACCTGGACCTAACACCATCTAACTCCGAGCCATCCACTCCCAAACAACCTGCGCCAAGCACCAAGAACCAATACGATCCTGCATACCCTGCCATCATTCCTCGGATGGACATTGCCGCTCAGGAAAAATACCCTTTCTACTTCTCCCTCAGTGCTCTCTCAAAGGTTATCCACGCAACCACCATTCCAATCGATGAGTTCCGCGGTGCCCTCAGCCATCTCGGATACCGCTCCACTCGTAGCCACACCAAGCCAAATTCAGTCCGCACCGATGCGCCCTGGGAGGTGGTTTGGGAGATCATGCGCGAGTGGGTCCGTCAGAAATCACCTATCAAGGAATCTTCCCTGAAGCCTAGAACTGCCGGTGCTGCGATTATGGGCAAGAGCCGTGAAAACCTGCGTAAATTGAGCGATGAAGATCAATGGTTGTCGCTTCTCAAGCAAGACCTGATGTCTGCCGTTGAGGCTGGCAGAGATGTCAGTGACTTGGTCACCAAGGTTGAAGCGGCTCTCTACCGGTCCGGATCGCGAAACTCCCGGAAAATTGCTCCTGATGCTGCAAAGGCTCCTGCATCTACAGAGACTCACTCCGATGCCGATCCCCAGCCTGCACCGGAAAAGGAAAAGGCACCCGCACAGCATTACACGCGGCCTCACCCCAGTACCCTTGAGGTGGTCTTTGATGAGGCTCTAGGCCGTCAGGTGTCTGCTGCGCATACCAAGAAACGACTGGTGCGGTACCAGCTTAATCCTCGTGCTAACTGGGGTCCTCTCAACCGTGCGGGACGATAATGATGTTCAAATATCCCTGTTCATATAGAAAAGTCTTCTGTACGTTTTGTGCTTTTAATCAAACCTTATACCTATCGTACACCGTAGAGTGATAAGCCCAACATGTCTACGTGCTATTTATTATTCCCATTCATGGCGGTAATTTCGTAGAGCTATCACACCGCGAAGGAAAAATATCTACTACGAAGACATCGGAGTGTTACCTTACAGATAGTGCCCCCACATAGTTACATATGTACCTACATGTACATATAACAACGAGTCATGGTCACAATGGGATGGCCCCAGGGAATTTGCCCAATACTTTATTGTTGGGACCACCAAGTGCTTAGTCACAAGTTAACTAAGATCGAGGGGATGTAACTAGTTACAACATACCTACCTAGGTTGTGCGGTAGATTGTGAAGTCCCAGGTTGGTTCGGTCCACTTAAGCCAGTTATAGAGGCTGCGTAGATGAGATGGAAGCCAGCGACACCTGTTACTTGATAATTGAACTCCCGACATGGAATGGGTGGCACGATGGTAAGCGGTAAATGCGCTGAAACGAAGGAAGAGGGCTTACATCTGAGCCCGGACTGAAATCTACTCTGACTCTCAGCTCGTAAAAGCGGCTACTTACATATGTAGGTAAGATACGAAAGCCCCACCTGAGGAAATCAAGTACATATACCTAGGTACCCTTGCACTGTTTATTTCTTAATGTCTTAAAAGTCTTGAAACGCTCTACTCTATAAAAATGGCTGTTGGCGGCTGTTTCTGCGGCAAGGTTCGAATCGAATATAGCGGCCAGCCTCTAGCATCGGTTAGTACAGCCCATAGGATTCTCTCTAGGATTCGATTTTGTTCTTGTCAACCTAAGCTAACATTATTTCCCAGGCACTGTGCCATTGTCTCGATTGTCGCAAACTTACCGGGGCAGCCTATAGCTACAATTTCATCATCAAAAGTGACGCACTGCAAGTCTCTGGAAGTCCGAAAGAAGTGGCAAAAACATCGGATAGTGGAAACGCTATCAAGAATTATTTCTGTCCTGACTGTGGTGTGTATTGAATTGAAATTTCCAAGGTTGGGAAAACAGCATCTGACGAAAAGTGATAGGCACGCCGCTTTTTGGACGCAAGATACAATCCAATGGAGATTATGCCGAGACTACAGTTGTCCGGGCTGGAATATTTGATGATAGTGGGATTTTGAATGAACGAACGCCTGTGGTGGAGATATATACCGAGCAACGATTGAAATGGGTAAGTCCCATCGAAGGGGCTGATCAATTTACCGGCATGTTGCCACTACCATAACATTAATGATCATGTATCAGTTTGCTGTTTAATACATGTACATTGCTTGAGGTTCTATCTTGATATTGTAAAATACAGGCACTATTCTACTAGGACGAAATGGTGAGGTATAACTGATCTCGAAAACTGTATTAAAATGCAAACAGAAACTCATATACATGCACATAAAAACTCCAAGGCTTTGAGACATATCACATAATGACCCATGAAAACGAAAAATGGTCTATCAAAAACACTACATTATAAAGAGGATATTAACAGGAATAGATTATTTCGCAACGTTTTCGTTGCCCTCTTCGTACTTCTCCCAGTTCGCCAAGATAGAGGCAATGCGGGGCGAGTTGGTGAGTCTGTAGACATCCTCGAAGTACTCCTTGGTGATCTCGAAGGGACGGGCAGTGACGTTGGGGATGTACTTGCCGATCAACTTGCTGGGGTCGATGGTAGTCTTGTTGATCTTCTTCAGCAGGAAAGAGCGGAAAGGCTTCACACCAGAGCGCAAGAAGGTGCTGTGGAAGGGCACATCGATACCCTTGAGAGGAATGGTGGCGAAACCACGCTCCAGGGCGATAGGACGGGGCTTGGCCTCGGTTTGCTTGACACATCCTTGGATGATGCTGACCAGGTGCTCCTTGACGTCCTCCAAAGACATGCTCTCCATAAGAGCGGGAATGTCAATGTTCTGCGCCTTCAGGAAGTTCAGCAGGTTGGTGAGGCAGTCAAGAGCACGGAGGTCACCAGCTGCGACGTATTGCATGTTGGCAACGTTGTAGTTGACAATCTCCAGCAGCCAGCCAGTGGTCTCGGCAATGTTCTCAACAACGTACTGCAGTGCCTGCTCGTTGAAAGTCTTGGAGATACGGCTGGGGTTGACAGCGCACATGGAGTAGTTGGAGCGACCCTGTGCATCACGCTCGACGGCGACTTGCATGGTCAGACCACGGTAGAACACGACAGACACCAAGCTCTCAATGGGCATGACATCAGCCAGAGCGGCCAGAGCCGAGTATTCACCAAGTGAGTGACCGGCGAAGCTGCTGTCGCGCTGAACCAATCCCTTGGTGCGCATGTCCTCGAAGCTGGCCTTCTCCATCAGAGTCAAGGCTGGCTGAGTGAACTGAGTGGCAGAGAGAAGACCGGTGGGAGACCGGTAGGTGTACGAGGCGGTATTCTCATCGACCTCCTTGAAGATCTTCTCAGACTTGATGGAACCGTCGGCGTTCACCGACTCGAAGGTCATGGCCATGTAGTTCTCCCGGATGGCCTTACCCCGTGGACCACCGAAGTAGACTGTCAGCTCCTTGGGGTTGTTCTTGACAATGTCAATGATGGAAAGACCGTAGTTCTCCATGAAGTGGCGATCAGCCCGGTCCCAGACCTCCTGGGCCACTGGGCTAGAACCATACAGTTCCATACCCATGCCCTGCTCCTGAGAGCCCTGGCCAGTGAAGACGTAGGAAGTGACTGGCTGCTCAACCTCGGCCTCACCCTGCAGAACCTTCTCTTCTGTCTCCTTGTTGCTGGCTTCAACTTTGATGATTTTGCGACCAGCAATCATGCCGACATGCTGGAGCTTGACAGTGATCATGTCGTTTGGCAGAACCATGCCGACCAGGGAAACTTGGAAGCCACGAACACGGCCAATGTTGTTCTCGGCGGCCCAGGTCTCGACAAGGCTGCGAACAGCGGCACTGCTGTACATGCCGTGGGTGATGGTTCCGGGCAAGTTGGCGTAGCTGGAGAAGACGCGCGACACGTGAATAGGGTTGTAGTCACCAGACACGCGGGCGTAGGTCTCGTTGGAGGCAGGGGCACGCAGTTCCAGAGCGGTCTTGCCACTGAGCGGGATGGGGTTCTCAAAGTAGACCGGCTGCTCAATGGAAGTTCCGTTACGCTGGAGGTAGTCAATCACGGGGTTACCGTGTGAGTCACCTGCCTCGTATTCGACAGACGCAACTTGGATGACCTCCTTGGTGGGAAGCTCGAGAAGGACCTGTCCAACGGTCTGGACGTTGCTGAAGACAGTGGTGTTCTTGAAACGGATCAAGCTCTGCAAGCGGAACGTCAGGGTCTGGCCCAGAAGCTCAATGTCAGAGTCGTCCATGCGGAACCATTCCTTCGAGCGGAGGACGGCGACGTCCCGGCTGGTTGCAAGGTGAACCTGAATGGGGACCTCATCCTTGCGCTGGAAGGTGTTCTCATAGTCCGTGTAAGTACCTCGGTACAGGAACTGACTGGTGACATGCATAATGGCTTTGTTGTCTCGCTTGATGGTGCCGCAGACCTCGACCATCTTACCGGAATCCTGGTTGATGACAGAGTTAATCTGGGCTGTGGTGTCCAGGACATCGCCAACCTTGAGGGGCTGGGCACCGGGCACCATCTTGAATCCGTTGGACAAGTGGACAAGCTTCAACAAATCTCCGTCAATGGTGCGAGGGAATATAGGCTTGGTGATTGCCTGCCAGCCTGCCACGATGGCAAAGTCCATAGGGGCAAAGACCTCCTTGCCAGGCCGGTCAACGAAAGCCTCACCGGTGTTGCCAACTGCGTGAACAAAGTCGGCAACATCCCGGGCAGTGATGGTCTTCTGGCCACCACTAAAGGTGGCAGTGGTGGCAGTGTCGAAGGGCACGTCCTTGTTGCCGAACCAGATCCGGTAGTAGAACTCCTTAATGCGATCGTTGCGGTCACCCATAACCTCACGAATAGGAGCGTATCCAGTCTCGGGGTGGTAAGTGAACAAGAAGTTCAGAGGCACAACGCCATTCTCGGCGGTGCGGCCCTCGAACAGGGTCAGACTGACCTGGCCATTCTCGTTGATCTTGGCCTCGACTGTCTTAACCAACTTGCCAGACTGGTACGGCTCTCGCACACTGATAACAGTCTTGGCAGGATCATTGGGGTTGGATATTTCGACATGCATGCCTGCAGTGGGAGCGACAATCCGCTTCATGGGGTTGGACTGGAAGCGGTGGCCCTGAACATAAACATCGGCCAAGAATAGAGCATGTCTCCAGGAGTAGACGTTGCCGGCAAGAAGACCGAGCCAGCGGTCCAAGTCTGGCAAGGCTGCAGTGGAAGACAAGCGGAAGCTGGTCTTGCTTGGCTCTTCCGAAATAACCAAACCGTCAGATTCCGATTCGGTGGTGTTCATAAGCTGCCCACCGAAGTACTCAATGACAGGAATCTTGGAGCTATCACCACCGTAGACATCGCGCAGGAGGCCAGCGATGTGTCCCTGGTGAACACCATCAAGGATGTCCTTGACAGGCTCATCAACGATGTTGGAGAAGCGGGCAGCCATAGGACCCTGGAGAATACAGGTTCGGCCGACATCTTGATCAACAACAGCCTCAAGATCCTCACTCTGCCACAGAGAATCCTTCTTGAAGAAGAACTCAAAGGTCTCATCCAGCACGGGGACGAAAGGCACGGGCTTCTGCCCGCGTTTCTGGCAGAGCAGCAAGAAGTGCTGCACATCCTGCGCGTTGATGAGCTGATCGGCAGCTTCGGGATAAGCAGACAAAATATTGTCAACGGTAGGGTAGGGGGTATCAATATCGGAATAACTTTGGAGCAGCGATGCCTGGCCTTCGGCGGTAGTGAAACGCTCCTCGACACGGCGGATGAAGTCACCCGTCAAGCGCTTGAGCGAGGGATCGATCCATCGCGACTCGTGCTTGATGTACATGAGGTCCACCATGCGGCGAACGACCTCAGCATAAGTCATGTCTTCCAGATCCACAGTCTCGCCTGCAGCGTTGCGACCGAACCAGACCTTGTGGAAGTCATCATTCAGCTTCTTGATGATGTAGTTCCGTTGCTTCTTCAGTTCAGGGACACGCTTGGCCTTGTCGAGCTTGAAGATCTTCTGGTCCATCTCTTGCCAGAACAGCACACCGCGAGTGGCCAGCTTGTGGATAGGCTCACCCATCTCAGACAGAACAGTGATCACACCACCTGTTGCTTTTTGGTAGGTCTTCTCCCATTCCGCATCGTCCACACCAGGGGCATCAGCAATTGCCTTCTTGGCATTGTAAGAGGTGTGTGCCTCTTTGGCGATCATCATGCGAGATCCGAAGAGACAGCCGTCGAAGGGCATAGGAGGGTAGCCAAACTTAGCGGACCACGTACCCGAGATGTAAGGGTAAGTGTCTTCCGAGCCACCGAAGCCACTGCCGGCAACAAGCACAATGTTATCTTGCTTGCGAATACGGCTGTACATCTGGAGAATGGGCTGGTGGAAGTCCTCGAAGGAGTGGTGACCACCGCCACGGCCACCAGTCCACTGAAGGATGATGGGGAACTTGGGGTTGGCCTTGGCAACATTGATGACTTGCTGAATCGCATCGACGGAGCCAGGCTTGAAGGAAATGTGCTTGATACCAAGAGTTTCAATGTATTCATTGGCAACTTCAATAGATGGCACACCAGCGCCAATGGTCAGACCCTCAATCGGCACGCCTTCCGCGCGCAACCGACCGATCAACGGAATCTGCCAGGCCATCGCACGGGGGTTGACATAGATCAGGTTAATAGTGATACCACGACCAGGAGGGATAGTCTTCTCAATCTTGGTAACGGCCTCTGTCATCGTCTTCGCGTTGTAGTAGCCACCACCAGCCAGTTCGATGTGATAACCGGCGTTCATAGTAGCAGCCACAAAGTCCCAGGCAACAGTGGTGGGTGTCATACCAGCCACCATGACAGGGGGGATTCCCAACAGACGGCTCATCTTGGTATCCACGTAGGTTTGACCAGTAGATGTCCGTGTCAGGCGAGGACCGTGTTCCTTGACCCAGTCCACAGCAAACTTGACAGAATGCTCATCACGGTCGAACAGTTCTGGCTTGTAGCCGACCTCCGCATTGGTTCCGTCCATTTCACCAGCGAGAATGACGCGAACACCGGTACCGTCCTTGTTTCTGTTGGTCAGAACGCCCAGACCAGAGATGCCACCGGGGCCGAAGTCAACGATGTGGGTTGCACGGGGGAAG